TGATTACCTACCTGAACTTCTGGACGCCAACGTTTACATACTCGATTTATCTCATTTCTTACATACCCAGGTACACCTTTTTTTTCTCTCTACCGGCTCTTACCAGGTACCTATAGTATCTTGACTTCTTGATCGGAACGCCGCAATAGGCACCCCTGCCTTGCCTTGCAACGGGTAGCTCACCCTAGCGGGATTGAGCGTTCGGCCTGCGTGGTGGGTGGGTGGTGAGAGAGAGCAAGCAACATCTAGTTGCTCTGCCAGATGACGTCCGTGGCCACGCCCAATGGTTCACTCCAAAGGCGATTATAATCCCAAATTCTCCACCAGCTTGTGGATGCATCGTCAGCTACCACTCAACCACGCGTGTTCGTGGCCGCATATCTAAAGCCCCAACTACTGCAGCCGTATCTCTTCCAATATACCTCGCTACCTACCTACATCTTGTTCGGCAGCCAAGGTTCATGTTGGCACTATATACTGACGACCTCCATCATGGTCTGATTACGAATACTAATTCCTACACACCATCTGTCGACTTAGGGTACTCCTATCCTAACAGGGGGTTGCTAACTTCACGCAGCGGCGAAGGCTTCGAAGCAGTGTGCCAACTAAAGCCTCCATTGCTCAAGCTGCTGATCACCCAGTGGCACTGGATCTTATGACAAACAACCTTGAAGGGAGCTCACATATACCCGTCTCCTCGTCCGTCAAAGGTCATTGTCTATAAAGTCTACCCTTTCGCCCACATCGACATTCATACTTATTCCTCACCATCATCACTTCAACAAGCATCTTCCTCAAGCTACTCGAATCAAATCTTAGCAACAAGTCATAACACTCTGTCGCGACTCTTCTGTCAAGCCAATCTCATCAAGCTTTCAGTTGAAAGTAGAACACGGTTGTTCTCCATACCTCATAAACCAGTATGAATTTTGATCTCATTACTAAAATAGTACTAACCGAGAGGTGGACAGACTCGAATCTTTTCGGAGACCTCTCTGAACCACCTACGCTTCATCACACAATCGACAGCATTCAAAATGTGCAAAGCTTACAAGATCAAGTACTCGTGCGGCTGCGTCGAGACTGACGTCGCCCCATGTGCCGAAAGCCCAAATTCTGTTGGGGGATGTTCCACTGGGGTGTCGGAAGAGCCGATCACCAATGACGGACCATGTGATAACCATGCTTAAGTTAACAAAAGGTACCTAGGGATGATATACACACACTTATTCACAATGTCTGGAATTCGTCTTTTGCTAACCCATTGTACCGCATAGAAAACTTTCTTACGGCCCTCTACGAACACGAACATGGCAAAATGCATGAATGATTGGCGAGTAGGGATACAGGACGGAAGAACGTTTTGCGAGCGATCGCACAGATACCTCGATTTCACTATCTTCTTTTCACCCTAATATGTAGGGCTTTAGGCGACTGGCCTGGCCTGACCTGACCTGGTGTTAGGGTCTGCCTGTGCAACACTCTCTCGAAGCTATTTAGAACGGTGGATTTTTTGTTTCGGCTATCTTTCTTTGCTGTCTGGAAGTAATTGGGTTAGTAATTCTTCAAGAAGATGGAGGCGGGGTTTTTGGGATGGAGGATGAAGGATGAAAGACGATGAGATGTGCTTCACGATGGGATAATTCCAAATTTCAGACAGCCCTTGATTTCTTTTTTTAATAACACTTATTTTCGTCTACGTTCTCTTTTGAATCTTCACCAGCAAGTGTCCACCGAAAGCAGCATGAACAGCATCGAACGGCATGGCAGTAACGGTTAGCAACATGGGGTCAGGTTGTGGCCGTATAACGTGACACAACTCAACCTGGCATACGGAAAGGAAGTATAGCGGCCAGTTCCGCGGTCAGAAGCATCTACCCGAAGGCACAAGTAATCAATGCAAGGCAGAGATACATGGAGAAGATGTACCGTCCCCCCTAGAGAGGAAGACAAATTCTGGTACTGTGTAGGTATGGCGGTTGGGTTGCAATAAGCGGAATGATCTAACCAACTTGTTGGCGGCCAACCCGGAAAACACGACTGAGGTTCACGACAAAGCTGACGTAAAAAAAAGGGTTAGTGCCGCATTGGATAAAAACTACTAGGTAGAATCCTACAAATGAATTGCAGATATTGAGGTACTACTCGCATCTCCCCTACATCATGTGATTACTTATATACTGAGGTACCTACTAGGTATGAACCTTACATACTCTAGACATGCTAGTAGGTTAAGAAGGGTGGATAAAAAAGGACCAATGTGAAAAGAAAAGCAATGAAGGGAGAGAATTGGCTGACGGAACAATAGGAGATCGATTATATAACCCAGATTAGATAACCGTTTGGCAGCTTGTCCCTGAAACTACATGTAGGTATGTATTGTACAAGTACCTACATAGGGTATAATTACATAGGAGTACATATTCAGTAACTGTCTAACATGCCCGACATGCTTAACATCCGTGATGCCTATGTACGGTACTATTATGTATGGATAGGTACATTCCATTTAATCAGGAGTTGCATACATGTAGGGTTGTACGATTGGGTGTGTATCACTTTCCGGCTGCTCAATTCAATGCCTAGGACCTACATAATCCTCACTATTAGGAGGTCCATAACTACATATATTATGTTTATATAACAGGAACCTAGGGAGATGTTGTTAGAGTAATTTAACATTAAATATATTATCCTACATATTAGAACCCTAAGAACTTACATACGACACCTGCAGGATATATCTACCTACCCTATGTAGGTAGTTATATGTCGTTATACATAACTTCAAATTATAGGCGTATGATCTTGATGTATATTCAGCAAGCATGGCACGGGCCAGATACCAGATATTAAAAACCATATTATCTGAATGCACTTAGTTACCTACATATTATGTAGGTACTTCGTACATATATCAATGATACAGTACATCCCCCACACATCGAAGACATGCATGTGAATCTTAACCCTCCTAATATTATACAACATGGGAGACAATCCATATAACTATTCCCGTACACAAATTTGACCTGAATTGAACAATACATAGCCTTCTCTGATCTACTAACCTAATAAGTCAGAATGTCCCTCCCTCGCTAGCGGCTCACCAACCAATCGCCACCCTACATGGGCGCCAACCCTTGCTGCATCGCGCTTAATGGCATAGGCTTCGCCCGCAAGCATTTACTTCGGGCCGACGGACACCTGATTTTAATTTCTATTGGCGACGAATTAATGGATACTGACTTGAACAATATAACAACACAGGCACGCTGAGGCACCTAACGGTTAGTCAAGTACTAAGTAGGTAACCGATTACCTCTAGCTTCTAGGTAGCCAGCCCTGGAGACTGGAGGTATGTGTATATTACTCATTTTCCGAGATTGCATAGTATGCAGGTTGCAATCACTGAGAGGCTTAGGTTAAGGCTAACTAACGCTTTGTCTTTTACTTAAGTCTTACCTAGTAGTAGGGAGTGTGTATGTACTGCCACTAAGCCCGCGCCATTGTTCAATGTGCGTTGGCCCGTTTGAGCGGCCCGGTCCCGATAGATACGACATCCCGTCATCTTCTCTAAGCATACAACACCGGATTACACGACATTTTACGAGCTTTGCAGTTTCCCCTCCGAGGCAGCCTACCTACATAATACATACCTAGTACTTACCTAGGTATGTACCATCATGATGTGTAAGTAGTCCAATTAGTACCATGTACGTACATAACATTTCCTCCTCTAGCCAACATTGTGTCACCTAGACGAGTCTTTGCTGCCCCATACGACCTAACCATTCATCCTAAATCCGGATGCTGATGGAAAGCTGCGTCTATAAGCCCAATCGGTGCGAACGCTTACCGAGCTATCCAAAAATTATCGAACCAACAACCCGCAAACCCATATGCCTATCTACCTTGTGCAGTCTACGACGAACAATGTCGGCAAATCAATAGCTGACAAGTAACCTTCCAAGGGTTGACTTGAGTGCAATGTACTGTACCTAGGTACATATCATTGATGTGAGTGCATGCAGTGAGTTACACAAAGAAGTTGTGTAACCTACGAAAAGATTGCCCCTCTTTGACTAGGTACATGTAGGTACCGAACTAAAGTACCTTACTGCCTAGGTTTACTACCTAGGTTAACTAACTTCAACATTGTTACCTCCATTGGCATTACTATTACTATCGGTAGCTGTCAAAAATAGTACCCCCACAACCTAATACCTATATACTTCATTGTATAGTACTGCGCCGGTCAAGTAAGGGGTATGTATAGTCTCTGTTATATGGCTCGTATAAGGACACACCCATCCTTATACCTCACTGCCTAGCTATGTAGGTGTCTACTTAGTACTGATTCTATTCAATGTTGCCGTTATACTAGAGCTACAACTACATACTTAGTAGCAACATCGAAGTACCAACTAACCTAGGTAAGTAGAAGACATGCACTACATGTATGTAGATACCTATTGCTAACTAACATTGAAGATCTTCCCACCAAACTCGGTACGAAACCTGTACCATCATCATTTTACGTTCTACTCTATACTTTACTCCCTTTCCGCCCTTTTCACGAACAAAAGGTTCCATTATCCCTGCATTTATCCATCACCTCATGCGCGACCCTTGCAGCCCTGGGATAACCTCAGCGTGTGTAGCGGCTAAGAAATGACAACTGCCAATGGAATCGCTCGGAGCGGTTAATAGACGTCTTGACGCGTTTATAATGGCACCAACTTCAAGTATAGAAGGACATGATTTGCGTCTGTCGCCTACTAGGTACCAACTTGGTATTACTTGGGGGCTACTTCCCGCCAGGTTGGTCATTTCGGCTTCCGATCTACCCCCTAAGTCATTTTATCCCGATATGAGGGAGAGCGCAGTAGCTGGTTGAGCTCCTGAGACACAGATTGGTTGCCCTATACCACATGAAGTCACATTAGGCTTCCCCTATAATCTTACGCCCATCGAGCTCGCCCCGCCAACGGGTCATAAGGTGCCCAACTGAACACCAGACTTGAGAAACTCGCTTTAAACATCTTTCCAGATCCCCGGGGAATTTTTATTCTCGTGCAGCCCGACAGGGGTTAAGGAAGCAAGGGGAAGTATCACAATCATTCAAACCGCCGCCCGCAAGCTTATTGGCCACTCTATAATGACCACTTTGAAACCTACATCTAGAGTGTGGAGTCCACGTCACCTGGCGGCTGTCAACCTCATCGTCTGCCTTCTGGCGATGGTAAACCCACGTTTATCGTACTGTGCTTGTGAAGTAACATATGAGATGTGGGCACAGCAGTTTCCGAAGTACGAGCTACCAGGTCTGGGATGTACGAGCCATCATCTCCTTACCGGAATACTAGCGTTCATGTCACGCCGTGTTCGACACCTGCCTTTTATCGCGCGTGATACTTGGGCTGTCGATGACGCCCTAGCGCGTAATCTGGCTTTCGTGCAAGTGTTGAATCATAACAGTAGATTGGCATCACACCAACATTTAGCCCGTAGCCCGACGCATGGTTGAGCATTGTACGAGCCGTCACTTGCGACCTCAAAGAAACGAGGAGAAGTAAGAGGGTGGGAAAACCTCTCTAACCTGGTGGGTATTGGCTCTCATGCCTCTACCACATTCCGAGGTTGGATTCTTGCCCTGAATTTGATGGTAAGTCCAATCTCGCCGATAAAATCCTGAGTTTTATGTGTACGTTTTGGCAAACTTTCCGTCGTCATCAAGCTGGATGAAGAGCGCAATATGACAATCTGGATGGTGTGTTAAGTTTACTAGTACTGGCTGGCATTTCCAGATTGCCATCAACTCTGGGTTTAGACGACTTCCAAATTGTCAATCTTTATTTCTTTTCTTTTCTGAATTGCATTGAATTCTTAACCGGCTGACCCAAAGTGTCATTATCATGCGGAGGTATGTATGTGTTGGCCTTACATGTTATAACTTCCTTCTCAAGCTTACCTATCAGATAGTTTCGGTGCTCGTGGAAGAGAATTATTGTTCTGTTCAATCCGGTCATCACTATTACTTGCCTAGTCATGTCGCTTTCGTGGAAGCAGCTATCTAACGCCGATGTGATCGACTCTTTGCTTTCGGCTACAACCCCGAAATGTTTCAGCTACCTACTTTCGGGCGCAAACATGTTCCAAAGCATCACATATATTGGCCTCCTCTACATCCATCATATTGTTGAAAATGAGAATTATTTATGGCACTCAAAGGCAAACGGCAATACCAGGGCTATAACCTATTTTTGCCACGTGCAACAGTCTAATAGACCAGTGCGTAATTTCTTGTATTGCCCATAGACCAACGGATATTATAACCGAAAACAATACAAGACTGCCTACGTTAGGCAGTTTATAGAGGTCAAATTATCGCGGTATGAAGGGTTTCTTGTCAGCACGAGGCATAGTTATCTAGTGGATAGGTACTTACTGATGTCCATATATTCATAGGCAAACACCAAGGTCTATAGTTAGACTTGGACTGACGCTGAGTGTGATGGGGTCGAAAGGTACATATTTGGCCCGTTACATATTGGGTCTTGAAATCCAGTCCGACTTGCATGAACTCCACGCTATATTTGGCCTGATACGCACCGAGTCTCGTGAGTAGGGAGGAAGAATGGGAAGTATTATCACGCCTTGGCACTGTTACCATCGGTGTTCTCACGCACGTATGCTTCTGATCCTTCGAATATAGAAACACATGGCACAGGGATGATTCTGCGAGTTGGTTCCTCTGACGAACAGCCTAGCGGGTTAGGTTTTATACTATAACGTTGGGACTTAGAGTCTTACGGAACGGGCGCGCTTCATCGGCTGGGCCGCGCGGGAGGCCGGAGATAAGCGGGCCCGATCGGCCAACATGACAGAAATCCATCTGTGATGAATGATTTGTGAGATGAGGTAACGGTTACCCTTTGATTTCCAAGCATATACTTCAGAGGATAGGCACTATGCTGATGTCATTGGGGGCTTACTCGAAGGTAGTCTAAGCACAAGTAAAGAAGCTGACTTTGAAGAAGAAATCGGTTACCAGCGGCCGTGGGCATTGTCGAGACTCAGATACACGCAAATGTCATGAGGACTATTTCCAGTTGGAGCACAACTTACTCACAGGTGCACACAGATGCTCTCGGACACACATATGATGCTTAGATGGTCAAAGATCCTATAATTAGGTACACTTGGAGTCAGGCCAAACCCCCTCGCGTCCCAGTTACGAGTTATGCATCTAGGTAGGTATGTCAATACTCTGAATGCAGACACTTTTTAGGCGCCGCCCCCATTCTACTAACCTTAGCTAGTAGGTATCGCACATACCAAGTCAAGTAGCGCTTACTTAAATACCTACCCATGCTACAGCTGCCGTTCGTGAGCCCCCACCCCCGGAGCCCCCATATCTTGAGCCTCATGGTTCCAGAACTAGCGGGGCTTTCGCTGTTTCAGTATCCTGAAGATGGATGCTTGTTCGTGAGATCATCTTCCAACCCTTCCCCCCCCCCAAAAAAAACAAATCGGGACTTGATAAGATTCCAAAAGGAGAAGGAAGGAATATGTCCCCCTTCCCCCTTCGCAATATGACGACACACTGAACAATTGGGCGCGACAGAAGGAAGGATGATATGCTCACGTGGAATGGATTTGGCCTTCATGTATTGGGTAATCCTTTACATTAGCCGCCGGCCGCCACCCCCCCCCCCCCCCCCCCCCTTTTTTTTTTCTGGCACTTTTTTGCACTTTGCACTTTGGCTTACCCTACCTACAGGTACCTTACCCACATTACCACGTTTTCTCATACCTCGCTTAGCCAGCCAGACTTGCAAGTCCGCAGGGAGCGAGCATGCAGCAGCAGGCATTGAAACACGTTGCTTCTGCATGCTGCTCAGGTAGGAAGGTAGGCTAGATGAGCTAAGGGTGTGTCTTCATTTATCTTGCATCGCTCCCATCCTCCCGGAGATGCCAATCTATTTTGCTTGCTGATCTGAGCTGAGTCGAGCTGAGAGCTGAGATGAGCTGAGTTGAGTTTAAGGTGAGAGAGGTGAGGTGAGGCGAGTTAAGCTACAAGTTGTAGGTACTATTTAAGGTATGTATGGTTACATCACCTATAACGACAACAACAACAACTGCTACAACAATAACTACAGCTTTATTACATGTAGTGGTAATACATACAGTACCTACTCAATACAATTTATTTGAACAAGGTCTACTTACCTACTTACTACATACCAACATCCATGACATATCAATATATTGATCTACCTACCTCCAGCTACCTATTTACTCAGCAGCGCACTTGCACCTGAGAACCCGGGGCCTAGGGTTACATATGTACATATACATATATGTCAACGGTACATAGTAGCAGCAGGTCGGCACATACATACATGTACATAATACAAGCCGAGTTATTAGCTAAGCCAAGGCACAATTCTACATAGGATCCATCCATACCTACCTACCTACCTTAGGTATGTAGCAGAAAACTAACTATTCAGTAACTATTCCAAGGTTACATAGCTTCAACGTTTCAAGAATATCACCCACCGCATGGCATACCTATAAGCCTTGGACATACATACTATGTAGTAGGTTAGTGGTAGGTATAGGTATAGGTATGTATAGTTGGCACCTAACCTATGCAGCCCAACAACTTCAATGCTGATCCAAGCAAGCAAGCAAAGTAGTTAGTTAGTGCACTCACTAGATCAAATCCAATTAGGTAATCGCTCAATCAATCAACCTCATCATCACCGCCAGATTCCAAACAAACCCACGATGATGCTGGGAATCTTAACTAAGTACTTTCATTCATTCAACATAATTAGCACCTAGGCATACAGATAGATCAACGAACGGACCGACCGACCGACCGACCGACCGACCGACTGCAACAAAGGCCACCACACCGGGGCACTCAATTCAATTCATTTCATTCATTAATTACTACAGGAGGAGCAAGAGCAAGCTGAGCCATCCTGTTGGACCCAATTGCAGGCCATCCATTATTTTGCCACGCCTAGTGTAGATACCTAACCATACCTATTTTATTTTTCCATTTTTCCATAACCCTCCCATTAACCCCCCGCCCTCTCCAAAACCCCTGAAAAGGGTCAAAAAATGGTACCGCACCTAGAGTTTTACAAGAGGCCTCGCATTTCACGAACCACAGGAGTAAGGAGTATGGAGATGTTCTCGTTTAATGGCTTTTATTTTGCCTGTGTCTGTTCTGTCTGTCTGTCTGTCTGCCTGTCTGTTTGCTTGTCTCTTGCCTACCTGCCTGGGCTATAATTCTGCCTCGACATTGGGGGGGTAAAAAACAACAAAAAAACATGACAAAACAAGACAAAACTAAAGCACACATCAATACCTCAGTCTCTTTTTCATTTCATAGCGCCCCTCTTAACTCTCGTGTGATCGTCCATAAGACTTTGACTCCTTTCGTCCTCCATTTTTGATCACAACCTCAACTTGAATAGCGGAAATAATCAATCTGCCGCCCCATCATATTGCCACGAGAGTTTCCAGGAGGGAATTAGAAAAAAAATCAAAACGTTGCATAATAAAAAAGACAACAGGAAATGTCAAATGCCAAACCTGCTTCTCCCAATCACTCTCACTCACTCTCTTTGCCTTTGCTATTGTACACAGCATGAAAAACTGGGAAAAAATCCGGGAGAATGCCCGCGACCCTTTTTTTTACCTGGAAACTTTTTTTGTGATTGCGACTTTGCTCTCTCTAGTCTGAAACGCGAATGCTGGGAAGAGGGATTTGCTTCTTTCCTCTATCGATGCATTATGAGGCCCTAGTAGATTCTACTAGTAACGGAAAATGGAAAACGACCATGTAGGCAAGAAACCCCGAATACTAAGGGGAAGAACATCCGCAAGACGCCAAGTGTGTATATTATGCAACCGAGAATTAATCATTCTTCGGTGATGTTGGGGAACTATTGACAGGTTAGCACCTTTGCATTTTATTGCAGAGGTTGATACGTACAACTTCGGGCTCGTATTACCACCCGGACCAGGGGTCTTGGGCGTGTACACAGGAGACTGCCCCGAGGTTAGCAAGAAATATCTATAGCAGTAGGGTTGGGTCTGGTACGAACCGTAGGTGAGTATCCAGGACTCGTTGAAGACTGCTGCGCCCTGTACCCAGGACTTGTAGGAGAATACGACGCCGGTGAGGTGGGTGAATAGTTAGGCGAGGCGGGTGAGAAGTTGGGCGATGTGCCACCCGGATGCAGATGTGGCGACGTTGGGCTATACATGGGACTTGTGGGAGAATAGCTGGGCGAAGCCGGCGACGCAAGAGTAGGTGAGGTGGGAGAATATTGTCTCGACGTGGGTGAAGTTGGTGAATAGCTCGGTGAGGTCGGGCTATATTGTGGGCTCGATGGGCTGGTGCTTCTGAAATGAGGCGAGCTTGGCGAGAAAGATGGAGACGATGGGCTAAACGTTGGTGACGTATTGAAGCTATTTCCCATCATGGGTGATGTAGGTGAATAACTACCACCGGGAGATGTTGGGGAGTAGCTAAATGGCGATGTTGGTGAAGTGCCACTGGAGAAGGGGCTCGTCACCCCTGGGCTTCGACCTCCATATGGACTCGTTGCACTGCCAAAGCCTCCATACTCTGTCGTACCAAAACCGGAAGGCGAGTCAGAGCCAGCTCCCACAATTGGCGAGAAATTGCCCATAGCCATTGATGGAGACGCGAGAGACATGCCATAGCCAGAATCGGCCATGGGTGATCCAGTATCATATGGAGTTGCCGCGCCCTCCATCGGGCTTCCTTTGGTAGTCATACCAGGCATGAGACCCATCCTAGAGTTATCGGAAATGACGGTCTCGAGCATCTTAGGATCCAAGAAGACTTGAAGGTGACCTGTACCCATAGGAGCCAATTGTCCCAGCATGACATTTTGAGAGATACCTCTGCAATCATCAATTTCACCGATAGCAGCGGCTTCTAGGAGAATTTCGACAGTCTCCTCGAAAGAACATCTCATCAACGCACCCGTATCCGCTCTGTTGATACCGTGACGAGTAACAGCAGCAATACTACCCCTATACGTCATAACATCAACCAAGAGAGCGAGATGGCGTTCGTTAACATAGGAACCATCAAAAGCCAACACTCGTCGTAACTCATTAAGAAGGGCCTGTCGTGCGGCCTCAATGCCGAATACATCGACTGTCTGCCATAGATCGTTCGTAATTGTCCGCCTGGAATCTACTCCAGGGACCGCCAGGACTTCTCGCAGGGCTGTGCCCTGGGTGTCGAGATACCACTCCTCGCAGAGGGGATTGTCCTTTGATTGTATTATGGCATCACTCTTATCAATAGCCATTCTGGTACCCTTGTTCAAGAAAGCCCGCTCAATGCCCTTAACACCTCGCAGGGTTAATTTCTCAAGCAGATGGTCAGAGAGACGCTTCAGCATCACATCGTCCTCGATCGTCTTGTCTTCGTCCTTATCTTCTGACATTGGGCGGATACGAATCACCTGGTGATCGGCATTGTTATCACTACAAATCACTGCTATGTCACTAGGATACTCGTCTCTCAAACGTATGGCAACGTCCTCAACTGTGAGGCCTTTGTCAAGCATTTTCTGACGATCTAGCGTGAAGCGGAGTAACCAGCGCGATTGTCTCTCGACAGGTGGTTGGCTGTCGTCGGGTAGTAGGAAGAATGATGAAACCATATCGGCATCTTGTTCGATGGTTGTCGACTCAATATCAGGATCATAGTAAATTTCAGTCATTGCTGTGACAGACCGGAGGTTGGTGTGCTCGACTGCACTTCGGAGTGCCTTGGCATGCTCCTGGGAAGTGGAACCGTCCAAGTAGACCATCATCGAAGGTGTCTTAATGTTGCTAGCAACATTGAGAATTTCCTTTAGACGGGGAACACCAAGGGTAACGTTCTTGGACGAAATACCGGTGAAATGGAAGGTGTTCAGCGTCATCTGTGTAGCAGGTTCACCAATTGACTGTGCAGCCAACACGCCGACCATTTCACCGGGGCTCACCATTGACCTAGACCAACGGTTTTCAAGCTCACCGAGAACGTGACGGAATGCAAGCTTATCTAACCGATGGTGGACAGCGATACGCTTAAATGACAATCGCGAGCGGAGTAAAGCCTTGAAGAGAAGAGACGAAAATTCGTCTGCCTCTCTAGAGACTGGGTCAGAACCACGAACAACAACCATCCTGTCCAGAAGATCCTTCACTGCAGGAATAACGTCGTGTGGTGTCAAGTTACTTCGTCGCGTATCGTCAACTTTGAGTAGCTTCTTCGATGACTCAATGATTCGGCCAACATTTAGAGGTAGTTGGAACATTTCGTCGAGTTTCTCTCCCCCAAGCTTTGCTTTGCGAAGGTACTCGCGGTCCTTGCAAAGATAGTCCCACTCCATATCCAAAAGCTCTTGGACCTGGGCATCTCCAACTAGGTCTCGGCCGTACTCAAGGGCATCTAGTACGGAAGGTTGAAGCCCTTCCATCACATCCAAACGGTACCGATGATCGAAATCACTAGCTCTTATGACCCAATGATCCATAGGCTGCTTCTCAATGAACATGGCATCGCGACCATCTTCACCATACAAATACTGAATGACATCACCAAGTGAGTTACGCACCGTGCCGTCGTACCGAGCGCTGACGTCTTCCAGGGCCTTCACCAAACGACGCTGAATGTACCCAGTTTCGGCAGTCTTGACGGCTGTATCAATGAGACCTTCACGACCAGCCATGGCGTGGAAGAAGAATTCTGAAGGAGTTAAGCCACGCAAGTATGAATTCTCGACAAAACCACGAGCCTCGGGAGAGTAGTCATCTTTGGTGAAGTGGGGAAGCGTTCGGTATTTGAAGCCGAACGGAATACGCTTGCCTTCGACGATCTGTTGGCCGACAAGAGCGGTCATCTGAGAGATATTGATCGAAGAACCCTTTGAACCGGAACGGGCCATCACCACGGCATTGTTCGAGTCCTTAAGACTGTTCTCGGTAGTTGTACCGGCCTTGTCTCGTGCAGAGTTGAGAGCCTTAGAAACTTTGCTCTCAAACGTTTCTCGAACGTTCATACCGGGCAAAGCCTCCAACTCGTTTGCGGTAGCTTGGGCCGTCAGGGTAGCGACCTCTGCCTTTTGTTCATCAATGTGGACCTGGATCTTCTCGATTGTGATCTTGTCCGGAATAGTATCACCAATACCAATACTGTGGCCGTTATGGAACAGCCAGTAGTTAATGACGCGCTGGCATCCATTAAGGAAGGCCATGGCTCCCTCAGGACCAAGTTCATTATAGCACAGATGGATGATACCACCACTAGCTGCGCCGACATTCTTTTTGGTAAGTACACCGAAAAGTAGCTGCCCAGACTGAACCAGCAGCCCATCGTCTCCTAGTGGGCACCAGGGACCACTCTGTGGCTTGGTGTAGAGGCTGATCTCCTTGGGAATGACTAAACTGACGATTTGCTTTCCTGTCCATCGAGGTCTTGGTCTGAGAATTGCGGGCTGGGGGATCACGCCATCCCAGTCAGGAACCCACAACATTGTGTTGTAGACCTGCTCTCTTGTCAAGAACACATCACGACGGCACATCTTGTATACGCCTGCCAACGTATCTTGGACGATACCCATTAATGGACCATTACGCTGAGGAGAGACGATATTAAGAGGGACCATGCACAGCTCGCGGATTTCGGCGCGAGTTTCTTCGGTTTGTGGCACGTGAAGATTCATTTCGTCGCCGTCGAAATCAGCGTTATAGGGCGATGTGACCGACAGATTGAGGCGGAACGTGGAAAACGGCATAACCTTGACCCTGTGGCCCATCATGGACTCCTTGTGAAGAGAGGGTTGACGGTTAAATATGATGTAGTCGCCATCTTGAAGGTGGCGTTCAACTTTCCAACCGTATTCGAGATTAATTTGACCAGCGCGCTTGTGATGTCGTAGATCGATTCTTGAGCCATCCGTTCGGACCACATACTTGGCACCGGGGTGCTCATTGGGTCCGTTCTGGACAAGCTTATGCAACCGTGAGATGTTGTAGGGTGTAACAGTCTCAGGGTAAGTAAGAGTACGTGCTATACTCTTGGGTACACCGACTTCGTCAAGTGAAATGTTTGCATCACCTGTGATGACGGTACGAGCAGAAAAGTCGACACGTTTTCCCATCAGATTACCACGCAGTCTGCCCTCCTTTCCCTTTAGACGAGCTCGAATAGACTTTACTGGGCGGCCGCTTTTCTGTAAGGCCTGAGGTTGACCAGCAATGTCATTATCCATCAGAGTAGCAACGTGATATTGAAGAAGTTGCTCAAAGTCTTCGGAAATATGAGCAGGTGCGCCCTCTTGAATGGCTTGTCGTACGTTTCCGTTGGCACGAATGATATCACCTAATTTGTACGTCAAATCGTCCTCATTCCTCAGGCCCTGGCCAGTCCCGTCCATAGATATACTGGGACGAACAGGAGGAGGCGGAACAGGAAGTACAGTGATTACCATCCATTCAGGGCGAGAGTAATCGGTGTTTAAGCCCATGTCATGGAGATCGTCGTCGGAGATAGCTTTGAGGATGTTGAGAACCATTTCGGGGGTCATGCGTCTCTTCTCGCTACTCTTAGTACCGTCCTCGCCACTCATCTTATATTGCGCTGTCAACTGAAGCGCAGTTAGACGAACTGAAGGCTGGAAGTTGCCGCATCCACCATGGCCCGAGCCCTTCGGCTTGCTGCCCGGCTCATACTCCTTGTCATCTTCCTTGGGTACATCGTTACTGCATATTTTCTTGGACTTGCAGCAGTTCCAGACACGACTGAATCGTGTCTTTGGATCTCGTGTGTTGATAGCAGCTAGGAATTCGGGATTATTCTAAATAAGTAGGTCAGTATTCTGAAGATTTCAGCAATGTCAGGGAGCAGAGGCAGGGAACTGACTCTATCATCCAGGACTTTACTGCAGTTGTGGCAAACTATCTCGAGAATCTTTTTGACTTTCTTGATAAAACCTGGATGGAAGACAGGTTTTGCTAGTTCGATATGGCCGAAATGACCTGGGCATTCGGACATGTTCTCTAAGCAGGTTGCACACTTGAATTGTCGGTCAACAGAACCAAGACGAGGATCATTGAGACCATTCTGGCGTGGCTTAGTCCGTGTCTCGTCCATGGTCTCAGGATATAGAATGTGAGCAACGCTCATGTTCTTGACCTCTTCAGGTGAGAGAAGACCAAATTGGATCTCCTCTATGGTCTTGAGAGGCGCATCGGAATGCGCAAAATGAAGGTTCGCCATCTTGCATTAATTTGGAAATGATGATGAATATTAAGTTGCGAGGTAAGGATGGGAAAGGTCAAAGACTGGTGGGGGGGAATATTATATCGATTGACGACTGTGTTGGGTATTGAAAGAAGGAATGGTTTTGTTCAAAGTGATTGTTCTGGGATGAAAGAAAGTGGGTTGTAATAATGAAGGTACTAAGGTTGAGAAGTGAGAGGTGGTGCTTCGTCGGATCGTGACTCGTAAAGCGGGGCGGGCGGTATCGTGTCGGTCGGAAAGAAGGTAAAAGTAAGGTATATACAACCGACAGTGTGCTTAGCAGACACTGATAATAAAAAAATGGGTGTCAATAATGACAGAAGAGATGACACTGGAGGGCGATTGCCAACCAGGCCAAAGGCCCGATCAAAGTGACTAAAACGTTTTCCAGAGCGCGCGCACGATGAAAAAATAATCGCGATAATCGAAAATCACTTCACCGATGCGTAATAAAGTGTAGGATACTCGCGGGGAGGGGGCTGATGCGATATCCGGAGCGCGTCGTGATGTTTCGTCAATCGTGGAAAAAGTTGTTGTGGTTTGGGAGAAGGCTTGTTCTTTTGGAAGGAGTCGAGAACTGAACTAGAGCAGAAGTGAGGCAGAAGCCGCTACGAGACCACGCTAAGCCAGTTTCGGACAGAGAATGGTTCGGAAATGAGTTTTTCCATGAGGCTCATTAACAGTACGTACTTCATAATTGTATTTGACACGGAGAATGTAACCGTGCACGGTGTACCTGCCCATTGAATCACTTTAAAAAAAAAATAGTAACCACATAGAATCACCCAGTGCAAGGTATGTACCATTATGATACTAATCCCATTGTACTTGACTAGGTACATATTTACTACATATTTATCATGTGAATGGTCTCAAGGTTAACGGTGCAGATGCATGTTACTCACCACCATCAGAGATATTAGGTCAGCAACAGCCAACGTAACAAGGAGATCAGACCATTACATGACACCATATCCTGGTTAGTACAGTATGAACCGAAGCACCTACCTAGTCACATAGTAACTACTGGTTATTTGACTACACTTGATAGATGGATTTCTCGGAATATTTCTCATTAGAGGGGTATCGGGTTATTATTACCTAGTAGCTAGCAACTGCGTACCTACTATATAGGTATCTGGGCAGGTCAGGTATGTATTATAAGTCATCTCTTCCTTCCTCTGGTGCTTTTCGCAGGAACCGTCTTCTTGCCTCCAGCCGTCTTCTCTTCATCAGCAGCCTCGCCTTCTTGTCCTTCGCCTAGACTTCTGCGCCGCACCGTACCTGTCGAGACCGTAACGAACTCCTCTTCGCTGTCGCTCTCGCCTAGATTAAACAGTACTGGCATCTGAAACCCCGCGCCGTCGATGTCCTCGTCGTATCTGTTGCTCGGATCCAGCGTCAACACATCGATATCTTCATCTTCCCTATCCAGCCTACGCTTATTGATCTCCTCTTGAGGGTGGATATCGAATTCGTCCTCCTTCTCGATATACTCCACATTTTCCTCGACCTCGACGAAGTCTGGCGCCAATGCCGACCAGCGTTGCGGTGTGGTCACCGACCAGATGTAGATACGGCCGGTTTCGAGCCCACAAGCAGCTAATATGGCCCTATGCGGGTGCCACTCAATTACTCCTTGCTCCTCCTTTGGTCCCTCTAGCATTCGAACAAGACTGCCGTGATTTCGCTCCCAGATGTATAATTCGTGATTGTTGTATGTAGATGCTGCCACGTATTCCCCTGTAGCGCTGAATGTGACATGGTTCCAGGACAGTCGATTAACGACATCTTGAAATTTATGCTCGAGCGGCATTTGTATTGTATCGGGGTCGAGATCTTCGGCCGAGAGATTGGGTAGGTGGAAGGTTCTGATGATGCGATCCTGCGAGTTAACCAGCATTTCACGTCCGGAGCTCGTCAAACGCAGCGTAGTGACCACAGAACTACATATCTTTTCTGACCATATAATTTCGTGGGTGTGGGCATCTATAATGTTGAAGCGACCTTTGTTCGTGCCCGCAAGGATATGATCGCCTGCGGCCGTCCAGACCGCTGCAGTAGTCATCTGCTTTGCATCCTCTTTCGCTTGCTTCTCTTTAGTCGCGGCGTCGACGTCGGTATTCGTTCTTTTAGGCGCGGAGGGGAGCGTGTGCTTTACATCGCTAAGGCCGGTCATGTCAACAAGCGATGGGGCTTCGTCAAAAATGGATGCTACGAATAAATTGCTATGTTGACGCCGTGATCAGTCTTGTAGATGTTTTTTTAAAATTACGAGGCGATACTCACTGGTTCCAAGGGTGGAGATCCGCGGTATAGATGGGCGCGCGGAAGCGCACTTCTCTGTACCTCGTGCCATCTTTCAGATCCCAGAGAACAGCCCTCCAACCTTGGCAGGCGGAGAGCAAGTACCGGCCGCATCTAGACCAGCTCAGGGAAGTGATTGCCGCCCTATGACCTCTCAACTTCCTTGCCACACCCATCGTCTCGAGATCCCAAACTACGACGGTACCATCGACGCGACCGGAGGCGAGGTAGTCACCTCTCCGATTGAAACGCAGACATGTTGTGTGGCCGGATCGAATAGTATTGGTGATATTCTCAGGGTAATCCTGGAGCAGGTAATCGTCGGAAAGTAGCAGATTCATATCGGCGCGTTCATCCCATTGATCGGAAGGGAAATCGTGGATTCGTATTGATTCGATTCAGCGAGTTTGCGGTTTTTGACGCGTTAGATAGGTGTAGATACAGGTGGGGGTTGTAAGTACAGGAAGTACATGAAGCAAGTCCACATTTACAAGTTCAATTCGTGAAACAATTGATGGTAAGCTTGGAGCTTGGAGCTTGGAAGTTCCAATATTCTTGCGGTTGCGGTCGTGGTCGTGGTAGCCTTGCAGCTCATGCAAATAAATTTACAGGGGGTTTTAGACAGGGTCTCCCCGCTGATCTCCCGCTAACATGACGCCCCTACGTAATAGCACATGCTCTGGGGGTAACCTTGTGTATTCACTGTACACTATTGAGGCTGGAGGCTAAAGGTTTCCAGTTGTATTCTATGAGCGCATGTACCTATGTAGTATTCCTGTATTGCATACATGTATGTACCTACTACTATTTATGTATACATACATTATGTATGTTAGTCACTCATAGTGAAGACCATTTATCGTCTACATCCTCTTTATATACCAATTTGTATACGATTTGATCGCAGTCTCTACAGGCTATTCGATTCAATGGCTAATTCAAGGTAAGCTGTTCCCTCTCTAGACACTATCTTTACGTCTAACAATCTCACCTTAGGTTTGAATATGTCAAACAATTCGAGCAAGTTGACAATCTACTACCGAACACATGGATAGTAGTGAGAATAGATGGTCGCGGGTTCACCAAGTAACGTCCCATAATGAAATGACTACACTAAATGTGTGCTAATTTCTATACTGGTGAGGCAGATTATGCGCCAAGTATAATTTTGAAAAGCCCAATGACCGTAGAGCGCTGGACTTAATGAACGCCGCTGCGAAAGCTGTTGTTACCGAGCTTCCTGATATTACCATCGCTTATGGGGTCAGTGATGAGTATAGGTTAGATGCTTCAAGTTTCATGAACGAGATAACTATACTAAATTACAGTAGCTTTTGTTTCCATAAAACCTGTACCCTATTTGAAAGAAGGGCCAGGTAAGTCACTTGTCTTATGCTACAGCTTTGGACATGCCGTATCTTATTTGGAGTTTATATATAGCAAAATAACATCTACCATTGTCTCGACATTTACTGCAAACTACATCTATCTATGGTCAACCTACTTCCCAGATCTGCCACTGTCAGCTCCTCTTCCTAGCTTCGACGGCAGGGCCGTTTGCTACCCTAGTGTACAGAACCTACGCGACTACATGAGCTGGCGCCAGGTAGACTGTGAGCCTTTGATTCAGAATCATGCCAGGCAACGTAGACTGACAAGCTAGCAGGCCACATTAACAACTTATACAACACCACATTCTGGTCACTCGTTAAACTCGGGGGGATGGAGGCGAAAGATGCCGAGATGCTATTATCTGTAAGTCGGTATGTGGCTCTGGTTCCCAGACACTAGACTGACCAACATCTAGGGCACACTTGCGGCTGATAAGAATGAGATCTTATTCTCGAAATTCGGAATCAACTACAACAACGAACCAGAAATCCTCAGGAAAGGAAGTGTAGTATTTCGAGATGTGAGGGATTCCCTTCTAAAGTAATATCAAGGCTACGTTTATATTGACAACAGACAGTACGAGCTCGTTGAGCCAGGCAGTGACGACGTGGCAAAAGCAGCCGATGAGCTGGCGGAGCCCATACGACAGTCCAAAACACAGGATGACAAGGACAAGAAACGACGAGCAAAAGCTGTAGTAGTAGTCAATCACTTAGATATCATAAAGGACGACTTCTGGGAAAGACGGCCTTGGCTCCTGTCCAACAAACCAGGAAAGATTTCCAAAGAGACTTAGGAAAAACCGACACTGTCAACCATCACGATATTGGCATCAGGTATACGCGATAATGCGCACCCAACTCAGACGTACATCATTAAGCCTCCAGTCTCAAGCCGTAATGGATCATGTGCAGATATATCCCGAAAACACTAGAGCGCGATACACTGAGAATTCTGTCTCCGAACAGGTTAATGATATGCTCGTTGGAATATTATTTATGATTATTTCCGTAGCTATCTTGGTCTTATGGTATGGCTGGTATACTTCTTCGCACCCGCTGCGAACTACCGAAGAAGAGCACGAATTACCCACATACTAGCGAACTAGGCATGCATCCCCGTGGGAGTGAACCGGTTCTGCATAAGGGCCTCACGATTGCCCGTCGACGCAAATCCATGGAGGTATTGAGTCGGCTTGTATCCTTCTTTCCGATGGATTAGGGGAGCGAGGACTTAGGCAGGGCGAAGACTTGAGTCTATCGGTGAATGTATCTTGGAGAATCCATAGCACTACATTGTTCGCTCATCCACCAGATGCTGTCTTGTGTTGTCTCTTGTCTTCTTTTCGCTTGCGTCTCGCGTCTCTTCTGGCGCGGCGTTCCTCCTTAGTCTCTCCGGCCTTCATTTGCTCCTTCTCTGCCTTTCTAGTTTTCTTGCCCTCAGCCTTGACCTTCTTCACGACGCGCTCTTCTGCCTTTTTCTTCGCCGTCTTTTTCGCCGCCTTCTCTAACCTTCTTATACTCTTGGCTTCTCTTCTCGCTTCCCTCCTTTCCTTTCTCTCCTCTTTGGTCTCCTCCCCATCCGTACTAACAGTCGCGACAGGTGTTCCCGTGCCGCTATCGGGCGGTGTCGGTAAGCCCGTTGTCACATTCATTCCCACGGTCCCCTCTATAAAGCCGCCCTTCACAAAGGACGAGTACAGACCTCGATTGCCTGTGTACTTGCTCAGGGCGTTCTTCGCAGTGATCTTTTCCAGGGCGCCGCCTTTCAGGGTTTGTTTCATGGTTCCGGTCTTGGTATCGATTCCCTTGAGCGCTTGATCAAAAGCGTTGAGCCACCACGCTTCAACTTTGTGTTCGGCCTTTTTACTACCAAGGCCGCTACCATCGCTATTGCGTTTCATCAGGATGTGGTGGGCGAGTCCCGTGCTGTCGCTGGTTGGGTGGAGAGTGTGCCCGGTGCCCCGCCACCCTTGGGCGGTCAGGAGGGCGTGCGCATTCATTGTAAGACAGGTTCGGTTGTCGCGTATATATGCCCTTGACGTGGGGGGGGGGGGGGGAGATTGGAAGTTTATGACTTTGAAAGGCACATGGCTTTGTAAGAATATGGTTGACTTGGTAGAGATTATTTACAAGGAATTGGAAATGGAAATTTTTAGTGGACCTGTCACTTATCTCGATGTATGGATAATTGCATATCTTTTTTTGGATATGAATAAATGAATGTGCTTAGGTAATCTTAGCCAGTGCTACTTTTTACTTTATTTCGTTATTTCGTTATTTCAACTCTTAACTTTCTTTATTTCAACCAAGTTACCAAGCACCACTATTATGGTCTCTACGAAATATAGCATCTAGAACAACAATATTCTTTGTTAATATGTCTTCCCTTTGCGTGGGAACTTTTCGATTGCCCAGCAAGAGGTATCAACTAGGTCCAGTTGGAATAGCTTCACCACCAAGGTCTTCACAAAGACAGGTCGTACAAATCCAGACAATGTCATCCATGCGTCCCTCATTATCTTACATCGCACGCCTCTTTAAAGATGTCAGAATTGGAACACGAAGACTGGGTTAAGATTATGAGGCGAAGCTGATCCATAAGGCGCGAAGCCCAACTTGATACCCGCACTTGTAAGCGTCAAATGAAAGTTGTAAGCTAGCGCATTCATTCATACGATGCCGTGCCTCTTGTGGATGTATTAAACAGCCTATAGGCTTCCCAGTCCCCAATATGCTTACACGTACCTATGCACCAAGTATAGACGACGAGGTTTATTCGTCTCTCGAATCCTCCAGAAATGGTAGCTTCCTAGTATGGTCGGTCTTAAACTGCCCAATCTCTTGGTGAACTCGGAATTATCTTGACATCTGATATCACGATATCTTGATTATATGTCTTATTATATCAAAAGACCTTCTACAAAATCATTATAAGTAGGTAGCTTACCTAGGTAGGTAGGTAGTAAAGTGTCTAGGTTAGGAATATTCCAGAGAAGTTATAATATCACAAGGAATCCCTTACTGCGCTTTCTCCATTACCCCACAGTAGCTATGGCTTTTCAATAAGAAAGCATAAGCTCGTGATTTATAGGAAGCGGCGCAACGGTCTACCGGGACAGGGGCCATGTGATGCCTTTATTCTCAATTCGGGCTTCTCGACCCCATATTCTGAGGAGCCCAAGAAGACCAGATCATGTGGGATGGGCGTGTTTAATGATGGAGCTGCGACCCTGGCATCACGTCCTCGATGGGGAAGGTTGATAATTTATAGGTCGTTATGGATAGGGGGGTAACGTTGCGCGCGTTCAAGAACTGCTGTCTTGGATGAACCTGCGCCTGACCAGCTCCATGAAGGAAACATCACATAACAGTCGACAATGAAAACAGCTTTATGGCGTTCTAAATACTGACATATGAAGGTGTTGGGGCAAGCCAAGAGTACCTAGTAGGGTTGGCTGCTATGTGCTCAGGTAGGCAAGCTCATATGAACATTCATCAAGGCCTCCTCGCCGCATTCCTGCCATAAGGCTATCGTGCCCAGCTAATGTTGTTTTACACAGCATGGCTGCTGCTTTACCAGCTTCTAAATGCAGCAGCTGTGCCGCTTTTTCGTGGTCAACAGGGGTTCTTAGTTGAAGCTATCTTGATACTGGGTCTTCGGCCCGTGAGATCTTGGCATAGTAGGTATTGAGTATGTAGTTGGAGCTTCGAAGTCTATAAGTATAAGACTGCGTCTCTGTTGTTTGACGAGAGAATAATCTGTATTCTCAAGCCTCCTGCCTTTCCAAGAATACTTACTCAGGAATCAACAGACTAACTACAGTCCCATTCCAACAATGGTTTCCTCTTCTCTCTCTCCTCTGGCCGCGGCCTTGCTGCTTCTTTCCCCCAATGTTGCCGCAACCCCTATTTCTAATGCCCAAAACAGCAAGTACACCCACCCTCTCGGTATCCCCGAGGTGCAGCCCCAAGCACTCCTATTCGAAGGTCCCGCGCCGCAGATCCACGAGCTCTCGATCGACGCTCTCAGCCAGCAAAACGCCACCGAAATCCCCGCCTTCATCCCCGAGGGTCTACACGTGGCGACCGAGGACGAGGAAGCCGAACTCAGCAGGCGCTTCATCATGGGCGCGGACAACCGCGTCCTGTGGACGGACCGGTCGTACCCCTTCTCGGCGATGGGCAAGATCGAGTGGAACACGGGGGTGTTCTGCTCGGGGGCGCTGATCGGGCCGCGCCACGTCGCGACCGCGAAGCACTGCGCGCCCATCGGCCAGACGGGCGTCAGCCTGCGCTTCCGCCCCGCCTTCTACGACGGCGACCAGTTCCCCAGCGCCGCCGTCACCACCATCTACCACCTACCGGGTTACTCCGTCAACGACCCGGACGCCAACGCCTGCGACATCAAGGAGGACTGGGCCATCTTCATCCTCGACGCGCGCCTCGGCGACCAGCGCGGTGGCCTCGGCGCCAAGGTCATCGACCAGGGGCTCATCGGCAAGAACGAGCTCCTCCACCTTGGATACCCTGGTGATTTGGCGAACGGCCAGCGTCCGTACCGCCAGGATAGGATCACCATCGCCAACCGCTTCGACTGCGATGCGACTGGTGGGCTCTCGACCGATGCTGATGTTGCGGGAGGACAGAGCGGCGGCCCTATCGTAAGTGGTTTCTTATATCATTACTCTCCCCTCTCTACCCCCCCCTCTGCCCTTGTGAACAGCAAATAAGTATTTAGGTATGACTATACTAACTGGTGCCCGATATAGTGGCAAAACATCGACGGAACCCGCCTCCAACTCGGCGTCCTGAGCGCAGGCAGTGCCACGGAGAGCGTCTTCGCCGGCGGCAACAACTGGCTTAATGCCATTTCCATCGCCCGCAGGGATTTCCCTTAGGTTTAAATTTTGTTTTTAGGTCAGCGTTTGCATAGGAAGGGACAGCTGGGAAGGAAGGAAAGCGATATAGGATGAAAGTGTTGGGTTTTTTATATATTGCGAGGTTTATATTCGTATTCTACTGTATATAAGGTATATAGCATACATACTTACGGTTCTAGGCGATGAATGTTGAAGTTAATATTGATGACTTCACCCCTTTCTCCTCGAAGTAAAGAAATACCATAAACGAGTTCGCCACCCATTAAACACCAGACACGACTCTACCATCTAAATCATATATACTAACCTAGATGAATAAGTCCTCGATATCTTCTGATCTATAGACTTGCCTACTTATCTTTTACACACATGGCATGCATCCCTACTGTTATTCCTATCTACCTGCCACTTTCTGCTTCAAAAATGCAGGCCCCTTACTCACCTTTGCCACAGTCTTGCATACGTAGGATGCGTGCATGCAACCTTGAAATAGCAGGTAACTACACTAAGCATGTGGGTATTTCCAAGTCTAATTTATTAACCTACTGTGTCTTTCTAAACAGAACGAGAAGCTGTTTTTAGTTGATGTTACTTCGATAATGCTGAATGATTTTTATGATTACGATAGTTAGCTGTACGTAGATAGAGGGTTGCTGTCGATATGTAACCTTCAATGATTGAACCTTGAAGCTACTAGGTACTGGATGTCTCCAAACATAGCTGGTACCTTAGTAGGCAGTACGTAATCCAGAATCCACTTATAGGGCTGAATCTCCCTTCTAATCTGCCCTAACCTAATCTACACTACTACTAGGTACGTATTAACCTAACCTTAGGTATTTACCCCACAGGTAGGTACCTAGAGCTCAGAACTTAACCTGGCAAGTGCGTTAGCTTAGAGACCTGATCCCCGCAGTTCTCCGAAACGCGTAACTACAACATTTTTGAACTTTTTTCATTATTTTCCTTTTTCCAATTTCTATTGTTGATCAGCCAACCCAACATTCTCCTAATATTCTTACAAGATGGTCAATGTATAATGCTTTTATACATCATCTTGAATAGAAATTGGTGCAGAGTCTTACTACGACAATTGGTTATCATCCATCCTCCATCATTTATGATCCCCAAAGCTTCTTTATCGTCCATCGTTACTTTCAGTTCTCTCGCTCTACAACCGATCAAACATTCATACCGTATAAGCAACAAAAACAATCACCACTTACGCATGCACTGAGGAGAAAGAAGAGGAAAGCATTCACAGAAAAGCGGCGCCAATATATTGCAACAATGCTTCGTCGACCTCCAACAACCCTCACTCTCACCGCCGAAGATGTAGCCGCATATGAAGACCGGCGCTTCGCCTTACAAAATCAATCGCAGGCCCAGTCGCAAGCTGAAACCATATCGCGCGCTCCTTCGCATCCAACTCAATCACTACAGCAAACCCAGACGACTGAAATGGATACCTCCTCTTCACCAGTAACACCGTCTTCTCCACCTGCGAACGCAGAAGATGACGAAGACATGCGCGACGCCGACGCAGATGAAGCAGACACAAGCGACCCTTTCATAACAGCACCACGTCGTGCAGTCCGCGAACAACTACATGGACGGTCTCAATCTCCAGGACAGGTGCGAGCCGCATACCTGCAGCAAATGCGCGCTACGAGAAGCCAACATGCTGCCACGAACTCTACTAGCACTACTGCATCATCCACCACCACAGGTCCTTCCACCAGAATGCAGCGCATCACCGGCGCCACACAACAGCCAAGCACGGCAACTACAAGGGGCGGGGCTGGTACGAGAGCTACGAACGCAAGCAGACAAGGGAGCACCGAACCAGCCGCGCCATCGGGACCAGCAACCAGACAAATAATGACAAGGAGCAGAGAGGAAAGAATAGGAATTGCAGGACCGACCACGGGAGGTGGAGCGGGATCGGGAATAGGATCGAGAAGGCGGTAGGACCGGGCTTTTCCGCTGGGCCAGAAAGAATTACTGCGAAGGAGGAGAGAACGAGCAAGCTGTAAGCTACGTATAGGCAAACAGCAGTACAAGGTAGGTTTCGACACTAGGCTCTTTATATTTCCAAGATGCCCTCCACCCTTTGGCCAGAAATTGCTGACTTTATACTTGTAGAAAAGCTCCCTGATTTACTATCTACACGCAGCACCTCAGCTTTCGGCACAACCCTCCCTCGCTGAGGTACTTATCCACCCAAGACATATAGGCAGCACTTTCAACCCTTCCCACTACTCAGCATTGACAGCTATAATCATAACCCTACACAACGCCTCCTCCGCAACCCAGTCAGTCCACTATGGAGTACGCTGAAGCCGCCCCGGAAGTCCTACTCGGCTACATTGTTTGTCACAAATTTCACAATGGGGTGGTGGAGTCCTGTATGGGATGACTGAAGAGGATCGGAGGCTTAGCCGCTGTGTTACATAGTGGTGTAGGTTGGGAAAGATGTGGATCAGCTGCTCGCGTGCCAAGAGAAAGGGCATCGTGAGCCTGGGATTTAAAAGTGACCTACCTAGACTGGGTGCTGATAGTCTAATACACATACACAGACCCATGCGTGGTTTGATCAAGGGGATTTGAGGCTCTTGCACATATAGCTAGGTACAATACAGTCGGGGGTAATGTCAAGCTGGTTAGTACTACCTAGTGTCTCTGTCTAGGTTGGATATCAAATAAATACCTAGGTAGATCGACCTAGGAGCATACTGGATAACCTACCTACCTACCTACCTAACCTACCTTAGGTGCCTGGGCATATCTATAGAATCGATTTCTAGGTCGCTATAACTAATACATAGAAAGAACGTCCTCCCCCCCCAAAAAAACCCCTTCAACAGGAAAAATAAAATAAAAATGATTAGTGCCGTATAACTTAGTTACGCCCTGAATAGTTTCCTCTAACCTACGTGGATAACTAACCTAGGTACTTGCTTATACCTACGTTCATCTATTGTAGGTACCAAATCAAGCAATAAAGCACCTACTACTACTACTACTACTACCACCACCACTACTACTACTACTACTACTACTACTACTACTACTATAGACCTAGCTACCTAGATAGGTAAGCAAGTAAGTAAGTAAGTAAGTGGGCAGGGAATACCTAGCCCTACATACACGTAGGTAGGTAGGTAGGTACCTAGGTATTGCAACCGAGTAGTAAAAAAACCACCAGCATATTACCTACCTAGGTAGGTAGGTATAAAGAGTCCCAACCGACCGACTGGTTGATCGATCGCTGTTGAGGTTATTCCCATACATACCCATAGCCACACCCGGTACTTTTTTCCAAGGTTTTCTTGCGGCCATCCGTGAGGATTCTAGAGCATGTGAAGATATGCATGCATACATAGGTATATATACCTACCTATGTATGTATGTACGCACATAAGCACGATCTACGCATAGATGCCTAGGTAGGTAGGCTATATGTACCAAGTCAAGTCGTCATATAAAACTTAGGAGCGAACACACACACACACACACACACACACACACACACACACGCAGACGATCAAAGTTGCATTGCACTTCCCTGCATTCATTAAAAAATACTATGGGCTACCACGTTACGGAATTCGTGAAGAATAAACCGTGCTACGATTCTCCCTCACCATTTACCCTTAGTCCCTCTTTTCACCATGCACATACTTATGCACAGGGACTCATGCCACGTGCAAATTGCAACTTGAGTAGGAGGAGGATTGAATCACCAATTATTCCTCCCTCCCTCTTCCCCGCCTGGACTTTAAACGCAGTGCAGAAAACCCATTTCCCTCCTCTGCTCTTGCTTCATTCATTGATCCTCAATCCTCTCTCCTGCCACGATCCTCGAAACCGAAAACAGGAAAAGACGGGCTGAGAAATTGCCCGCCCCGTCCTCAAACCCTCCATCGAGAGGGAACTCGCAGCACATACAATAAACGAAACCTGTCCTGATAAGGATCATGATTATCATCACCTAACGCCAATGCTATGCCGTGAAATGCCATGCGACCACCGCCAAGGGGAGGGGGGAGGAAAAAAAAGAGGAGTGATAAAAGGGGTAAAGAGTATGTGGCAAAAGGTTACTACCACTGTCTGGTACTGCTTTTTCTGTATGCATAGAATTTAAGGGAGCCGAGGCAAATCAATGTGACAGTATCACGTTGAATGCCGAGTCAGGCCTTTGTTATATCCCATTGACTGGGTATCTTGTTTCAACTGGGGTTTTCATGTCCTAACCCGACGATCCTGTCGTTGATGGCTTCAACTTGATCTTCAGCTTTGTGGTTGTCTTAGGTGCCGAAGGGGGCGCTGAAGTTGGTGCCGGCTGCTTTGAGGGCGTGGGGCTATTAGCCGGTGCTGCCGACGGAAGGGGTTTACGTGAGCCTGGAAGAGGCTTTCGTTGCTTCCCATCGTTGGCATTCGATTGTGACGGCTGGGATGGAGTCTGGGAAACGCCAGGGGTCAAATTTTGGGACGACGTCGTGGATGTCATGTCCCGGGCAGATTCCGAAATCTTGGGAGTATGTAAGGACGGGTTTGCCGATGGGAGGGGACTGCGGAAACCTGGCTTTTCATCGGTTCGGCGATGCTTGGGAGTGGCTCGAATCGAGCTTGCTTGGACCGTGCTGTTTTCTTGTCGTCGCAACTTATGCCAGGACTTGAATTTCGTTGTGACCAATAAACTCCGAGGCCTTCGCCGTGCCTGAAGTCCCTCGAGCTCCCCTCTAGGAATTTTAGAAGTGTCAAGCTTGATCACCTTCGACGGTTTCCGACTCTCGCTTCCGACTCTTGCTCGCTTCAGTGACTTTTTTGAAGGTGTCGCATTGCTGTTCCCACTTGGTTTGGGAGACGCCTTACTTGCTTCGGGCCGCGCTATGTCAACCTTGGGTCGTGCTGCCTCGGCCTTGGGTCGTACGGGGGCCTGAACAGATATACTATCTCTCTGAGCTGTGCTTATCTTCGACTTATCTCGAGCACCCGATGGAGTAGCCTCTCGAGCTTTGGGAGCCGAGACGGATGACTTCGTCTTCTGTTTCGAAGTCATTTCCTCCCTCGCCTCCTCTGTAGACTGCTTTTTAGCCGGGATAGTCACCTTTCCCTTGGGCGTAGGCAGCAGCGAAGATCCCACTGAAGTAGTCTTAGGCCCGGAGCTCTGAGAAGATAAAGTTTCTGAAGATATAGTAGACTTAGTACTGGAGCTTGCATTTCTATTCACGTTCAAAAGAATAGTCCGTTTTGGCTCTGGCTTCTGGGGTGACTCATATGCCTTGCGCGGCTTTATTCTGAGATGTCGTTTGAATTTGACATTGCATTTGTTACGGCCTCTCTCGCCACGCTCAATGGTCCAGTAGGTAGGGTAATCAAAAGTCAGCACCAGGGATTGCTCTTCTTTGAACAATATTGAGCAAAGCTCAAGGAAGTTGATGCGTTCTGTCACGGTTAGAACAGGCGAGTCAATTGCTTCCCAGATTGCCGCCTTGAGAACCTCATTGTCTGTCATTTCTTCCTTCAGGGCCGCAAGGGCTACAGGGAGATTCTCTTTGCGGGCTTTTGCTTTCTTCCTCGCTTCTATTACTGAGTCATCCTTCTCGACAATGAGGCCATCAACTGCTGGTTGGTTGGCTGTCTGCTGGTTTGACTGGCTACTTTCCCCAACAGCGATGCTAGCTAAGCCGCGGCAGAGGATCTTGAATAGTCTATCTCGAACGAATGCGGAATTGTCTGTGCTGATCGCGACAAGGAAGAATTTTACGAACGCCGCGTCTGTCAACCTTCCAAGTTCGACTAGTGACTCGCAAGCCTGAATACGCACAAGATCGCAAGTCGTATCTTGCAGATATTGAATAAACATGATGGGCTTGGTCGGGATGATGTTGGCCTTCATTAAACGGCAGTAGGCGTCGAGTGCAGCGACGGTGAAGCAATTCTGGTGAGAAGGATAGTACTCATCCATCCTGCGGTACCGTTCTATTTCTTCGACAGCTAGTTCGCGGAACTTCTCTGGCTCCTCATCAACGGGCTCTGCCATGATCTCATCCTCATCTACATCCCCAAATGCGAAGGACATGGACTTCTGCTGTTTGCTCTTTGTCTCGTCGGGAACAAGGCAGATAGATAGAGCCTTGATTAAACGACAGATATACGGCTGATCGGAATATACGTTGTCCGTGTTGTCATTGGATTGGAGTTGTTCGAGAATGAATGTCCGCGCTTCTTTAGGACATGTGCCATCCTCGCCACGGATGCGAGCCACAGCTTCTGGAATTACGCGTTGGACGAGATATTGACGTTTGTCCGAAAAGTCGTTCGGCAGGGGGGTATATGTTCCCGGTTGACAAAAGAAGTGCTGGAACGTTTTTAGGAGGTGCCGAAGACCAATCCAATTCACAGGGTTCTGGGCCGCGTGCCGAGGAAGCTCTTCGGCTGCCATTATACGGATTCCGAAATAGTAACGAGGATCGAGTAGGGTCCGGGTTAATATGGTGGATACAAGAGGATGAGGTCCTGTCTTGGAGAAACTTCGGTGAAGGAAGAGCATCGAGTCTTGCTGCGCAACAACGTCTCTATCTTGCTGCAGCTGTGATGCGTACATGTACGCCTGGAGATTTGTTTGTATCTCGCAAATCCATTCGAAATCAGCATCCATTCGGATCCACTCATAAGATTCCTGATCCATCCTGGCTTCCGTTTCTTCATCCCAGTCACGGAAATCCCACTCCTCCATCTCGTCGGGATGTTGCATGACATCTCCTAGATAGTATAGGTCCCTATGACCGTCGTCATTCACTCTTGTACTGCTCGCCATCATCGCCCTTTCACGTTGTCGACGATTCCGCTTGAGTCGTTTGTACTTCGTATTGTAGGGTATATCGAACTTGACAGATTTGGTAGTGTCTGGCTGAATCTCAACAATGTGTTCATAAGGCGTACCATCTGCTTCGTGAATGCGGATCGTCATGGGGCCGCTAAAACACTCCTGGAGTGCCCCAGCGTAGACAGCATGATTCTCCTCCATGACATCTCTCCAGAAGTTATCCTTCTCGAGGGCTTTGGGCTTGATAAACGCAATCTCTTGTGTCTGTCGAATTGTCATTTCAACGCATAGTCGCTTCTTATTAAAACGTTGGAAAACGTCAAATCGCGGACAGCCGGACATCACGATCCATTGATTCCAGAAATGCTCCAGCCTGGCATTTCCAGCCTTCTCGCAGGCTTTTCGAAAGGCGTCCGATCCTAAAACTTCATCGGAAGCTTGGCCAGACGTATTGGCTTTGCTGACCATACGAGATATGATCTTGGAAATTCCAGTGGAGCTAGCCGACTTGGAGAGTCGTCGGTCAAGGATAAATAAGACGAGAGGCGCCTTGAGATTCATAAAATCTGATTCAAAACTGCCGAGATATAGGTGCTCTCCGATATCTTGAAGAGATGGTCGCTTAATGTCAACCTCAACGAGTTTGTCTGCCATCGACTTCATTCTGAATCTGAATTCGTTGTTCCCGCAGAGTACTTTCATGAAGTGGTCAGTCAGAAACCAGGCAATCCCCACCACCAGCCAGATGTCTTTCTTTGTATTGGGAACAATGTTCAGTCCGAACCACTGACTTGCCAGAGAGTATACTAATGTCCGAGTAGTCTCCACCTCGGTGTCTATTATGTCTGGGGGACAGAGCAGTCGAGTGCTGCAAAGAGAGAATGCGCACAAGGGTACGGTCTCCTCGACCATGTCATCAACAAAGCAGACCTTGTAGCTCTCAAATGGGTAGCGGCCATACGTGAGCACGAAGTAGTCTATCGCTGTAACGAGGGTGCAGCACGAATTTTTGACTTCGTCAGCACGGCCTGGAAGACAATAGCCGTGTACCTTGACTGCATTGGGACCAAGTTTCGTATCGTCTTCCTCGCTGCGAAATTCAGACCATAAGTCAACGTGCTCAAAGGGGCCGACAGCGAAACCGATATGCTTTGCCGCCTTATTACGATCAATCTCAAACGTCATTGTCTTTTTGGTTTCGTCGTCCTTTCGCACCACTTCCCCCGTTAGATACCCCGAGCAGACGACAGTCATTTCGAGCATCTTGTCTTCCTCAGCTAGAGGTATGTCTATTTTTTGAGGTTCCTCCTCGCCATGGTTCCTTTTGCGTTCTATATTAGCAGCTTCAACGCTCTTAGGTTGCGGTTGCGTTACGGGTGGCTTGCGGAATGCATCGCCAAGGGTTCGGGGGCAGGTGATGGAGATTTTCCATGAATTTCGTGAACCGGGATCGTCTATGCATGGAAAGATGGAAGAGGCGGTGCCAGGCTCGACAGAGTGGCGTGTATAGACATGCGGGTATCGAATATCAACCTCATCGAACCCAACAAATTGGAAACCATCAGAAGTATTTCGTATCTTGAATGGAATTCGGACCCTATAACCACCTAGTGTTCCGTCGGGATGCAAGAGCATATCTTGCAGGTCGGATTTCTGAGAGTTACGGTTCTTCTGCAGCACTTCGTCTACACTTGGGAGCTTAACCTTAATGGATCCGTCAAGTGGCGTGCAGCATTTCAGATCGTGATCCAGCGCGGAAACTTCTTGGCGCTTATGGTGTAGTAGTGCCTGCATCCGATTCTTTCTAATAGCCCACTGGTTCCCCGTCCATTCGTAATGCTTAGGGATTTGCAGGGGATCGCAAGGATCTTGATATGAGGCTTCTACCTCACAGTTGCTAACTGTAATATGTTCCACATCGACTTCGCATTGGCGGGCGTCAATGTAAACTTCCGATATGTCTGCAATAGGGACAATGAGGATATCAGATCGACCAGAGACGCGCTTCTCGGAAAAGTCGATGTCGATCTCAACACTCTGATGAAAGACGACGTAAGATCGAGGAGGGGTATCATTCGTGGGAAGCTCAACAGGAGGAGTTTCGTCCGCCGAAGCAGAGTCTAGATCTATTATGCTAGGCATCTTCACAGGCGTGCGTATGCGAAGCCGAAGTGTTGTCGAGTATTCGTAGTCATGAGGATGAGTGGGGTTTCTGGCTGAGGTATCGTCGAGTTGCAATTGGGTAACAATCGGGGCGCGAGAAGATGATGAGATGAAGAGACCCTGAAGAATTGGGATGACTACTACTGGCGCAAGTCAATCCTGAAGGAATTTGATAATGGTGTCGGAGGGAAATGGGCAGGTAATATGTAGACTAGTGAAAAGCAGTGCTGATTGCTGGAAGATGGCTTTGCGGTCACAGCTCGCAAGACCGCGCCCAGGCAGCTCGCGACTCAGCACGCGTAAAGAACAAATAGAAGAGTGTTGTTACGCGATAGTAAGGTAGATGTGTTTTACGGTGGGTATGAAATGAGATAACCTGGGCCTGGCCCAGCACTGAATGAAAAGTTGAAAGATTTATCAGATCTTGAAGGCGGTTTGGAAGGTGAAGGTATGAAGGTGAGGATCAGCGCCAAGCTTTGCGCGCGGGTTTGAGTGTCGAAAGAGCTAAGGTCCCACCCATATATGTACACGCTACTAGGTACCTGGATACATTAGTATACCTAGTATGCACTAGGCTGGGGAAAGTACAATAGTACAATACCTGTTAGTTATGTGCAATAACTAGTAACTACATATTGTACTGTAATATGTTGGACCATTGGACCAATATAGTGCCAAGATACCTAGGGTAAAGAAAGATAGGGCACTAGCCTTGCCAGAACTTAAAACTGTAACTAACTACATATGTAGCTGCTGCTGAGCAGGTGCCGCCGGCAATTGATGAGATAATGCGCTAATCTCCTTTCAGGTGTCAGGATGTCTCGACACCTGTTCGACTTTAGTCTTTACCATTACTGAGCACAACTCTTCATGAAAGGATATTAATAGTATGCACTTATAATGTAGTTGCACATCACTCGTTGAATTTATACATTTTACCGTCAACATTTACTACAGTCACTTGCCATTATAATTGACTTTCACAATACTAACAGGAGTTTGCTATCATTTACCAAGCAAAGAAACTTGCCCGTCAAGGTAAATTGTAAAAGTGTTTACTGAATTAAATATTACAGCATGAGGTTGAATGCGAGCTCATTGAGTAGGGTTTATCGAAAGTGCTAGTTCATGAATAGCTTCCAACCCGAGCAATAGAGACGTACATAACTTTGAACTTAGCTTCAAGATTACATGTATGTCCGTGTTGTACAAGATATGGATTCGAAAGCAGTCAGGGCCCGGATTCCCAAAGCTACATCATAGTTTGCAAGAATCTCTCTGTTGGCCGGGCACTTGCAACTCTGGACCGCAGTACAGTAAAGAGATCGAACCAAATCAGTGTTGACGTTGGCGTCTCTCTCGCCTCTTCTGTCTCTCATATGCTCTCAATGTTTCCGTGTCCCGGTACTCTTCAGGTAAGTCAAACTCTGCCTCCAACATATCTGGTACGGGATGGCCCCAAGCCACAACTGTTCTTCCTCTGCGCCGAGTTTTGTTGAGAGCTGCATCGCGCTGATGTTTCTTGTCGAAGAATGAGGTGAACTCCTTTTCTACCAATGGCTCAGGAGATTTCAGCGAAGGATCACCTCGAAATTTCTTGGAGCTCGAAGCGGTGTATTTCGCACGTGCTAGCGCTTCGTCATGAAGCTGTCTCGCGGATGCGTCAACATCGCTGTAATCTGGAGGGTTGCCATCGCTGACATCATCAGATATGGTATGTCCTGCTTCGGCATCAATCATATCCACATCTTCATCTCCATCATCTTCTTCTTCCTCATCCTCTTCTTCTACAACTTCTTCATCTTCATCTACTTTCTCCTCGTCCTCCTCTTCCTCTTCCTCTTCATCTTCCTCTTCTTCTTCCTCGTCCTCGTCCTCGTCCTCTTCTTCTTCTTCTAATTGGTCATCTTCTTCTTCATCTTCTTCATCTGCTTCTTCTTGCTCCGCCTCTTCCGCCAAGGCGCGTTCCCTCTCGAGCTTCCGCTTTTTTTCTTCTTGGCTCCATATGCGGAATTTCTCCAAGATCGCTTGACAACCCTTAATGAAGTGATCTCGTGCAGGCTCAAAGGTCTTTTTACGACTTTCTGTAACTCCACTAACTCCCATCGTTCTCAGCCAATCAGGACCTTGCAACTCATTGAGCAGCCGAATAATTTGGTCCTTTTCATGCTGGGCGCGACCTTTCTCTGTATTTCGAATTGATTTCTCAAGCCTTTCGGCTTTTTTGTGTGAAGGGCCGAAAAACAAATCAGGTAAAGAATCCTGAATAGGGTTCTTGTGGTACTGTGCCTCGAGAAAGGAAAAGTCGATGCGTTGTGAGTCATGTAGGTCTGAGAACAGATTGTCACCGTACGTACGCACTGTAGGTAAGTGGGGTGAGAGGCCTGAGCTGTCTGAGCTTAGCGCTGTGTTTGGCGCGGGTATTGGGGGCTGTGATAACTGGTATGCGTTATCCGAGAGGGGATTGGTATCGACAAAGACGATAGGGGTATCAAGGTTAAGGATATCTATATATATAGATATTCAATTAGTAACATAATAATAACATTTTAAGCAATAATAGAAGTAATCAGAATGCATTCAAGGCAATGGAGTTGTATGAATGTAATAGACGGTGGTACTAGATGAGATTGATGTGATGGTAAGATAACGTACGTTGCTCTTTAGGATCATTCCCGATTACTTCGTCATAATCTGGGAAATATGCCGATAATTCACTTTTGAAGCGAGTCGCCTCTTGTGACCGCAACTTGCGACCGGATGGCTCTGTTGCCGAATTGGTGTCAGCTGCATTTGGCTGCAACCTATCCAATTCATGTTTGATTCCATTAATTTCTTTTTCTTTGTGTTTTTTAATGCTTGATTCTGCTGCTGTCGCCGTCTTGGAGGGTTTTTGTCGAGTAGGAGGAACTGAAAGGGGAGGCGAGGGAGGAGAATTTGTTGATGCGACCGAGGATTCGTTCGTAGGGAGCTGTTGCGGCTTCACGGTGATGGATTTCAGGGGACCAGCAGGAGGAGCGGGTCTCGACACAATTTCAACAGTAATTCTAGTTCTTTTGGTCTTGGAAGGATCGTAATTATTGACAATAGGATCGAGTGGTCGTTTCATTCGAGGAGGACTAGGTTGTTGGAGGATGTTCTGCGAATTCCTCGTTCTAATTTGAGTCGTGATGACATGCGAAGTCGCATGTTTTGTAGCGACAATATTAGCATTCAAACCAGCATTAATAATGCCCGAATTGTCTGTCTGTTTTTGTCGTCGCTCTTCTTGTTCGTGCGGTGCGCGTCGCTGATAGCCCGAGTATTTTTGAGAGCGCTGAAGCGCTTCAGGTCGTCGCGATGAAGTAGCCATCAGTGGTAGTGATTGACATTGCGGTCGCTGGTGGTACAGGACAAAGGTTGAAATGTCGATTGTCGAATTTCGATTGTCAATTGTCGATAGTTGTTATTCAATTGCCGATATGGTAAATAGTACATAAATGTAGTATTTAACAAATGCGCATTGACAAAACAGTTGCTTGAATTTACCAAGTCGAACTTTCTCTAGGGCGTTGTTGTCATCAATTGATGAATGATTGATCATTCAGGGCTATTTTTGCAGGTGCGTCGCGCTGTGCACATCCATGGATGCGCTATTGCTGTGCCTTTACAGTGCTTGTGTTGTTCAGTAGGTATTGTACCTAAGGTACTAATAGACACTGCCAGGCAGGCATGCTTCGGTTTTGCAGATACTCACCGTATGTAAAATCATGTTAAAAAACTGTGCCGTCCAGCATTATTCACATCATGGATTGATATTGTTACCTAAGGCACGGAGTATGTACTTCATATGTATATACCTACTACAGTCTACTACATACTAGGTAGTACTTAGGTAGATATTCATTAATGCAGGGGATGCAAATAAAATGTAAATGATTCTAAAATCTTACACCGTTGACTTTATCGACATAGAAGGAAAACCAATGCTGAACTAACGTTGAACTAACGTTGAAAAAAATAGACATACTCTAAAATTCAGGTATGTATCTAGGTTACCAAATTGCCTAAGTCTGAGCAAATACCAGTTTAGTTCAACTCGTCGATGCTACATATCTTGAAAGAAGAACGGTAGGGCTGAATATCAAGAAGACTATCTAGGTATTAATTCAGGTTAGGTCATAATAGATAAGAGTCTGAACCATTAATTGTCTCTCCTTTCGTAACCTTTCAAAAGGCTCACCGTGGCGTATGCATGTACCCCTCTCTCATCGCTCTAGCTGTGGTTTTGGCTCATAGACAGGTACGGTTACATGCATACATCATTGGTGTATGCGGGGAAGAACGTTTGAGGGCTACATATGTAAGCGCAAGCACCTTTGAAGTATCAACATGATATATATAACATTATATGTAGTAGTCCGTGACTGCCCGTCCTGTCCGCATACATTGTATTTACATATTTATCTACCCTACGTGCGTGCCCGATTACCGGTCGGCTGTGTTTAGACGTGGCTGCTCTAAAATGCCAATGCAACATTGAAGGTTACTAATATTAGGTATACTTCGGTAGCCAATAGAGATTCGCCTGTACACGTTGATTATGTAGATTTTACTAGGTTAACTAGGTATCTCCTTCCTCCTCAGCCGCTTGTTACACAAATATAGGTTCTAGCGCAGTTCGATCATGTTTATGGCACTTCCATAATATGCCGTTTAACCGTTCAAGATATAGGCCATTGCGTCATTCTGATCAAAGCTTTCCGGCTGCAGTTGCTTACATAGTAGACAGACAGAGAGTCACAAACAGCATTGGTGACAGGCTGCTTAGTTAGACCCTTAGGTACAAGTACTATATACTATGTACTGTGTATGTCTGGTTCAAGGTTACACGGCACACATGTGCACTTTGCACTCTTTGGATCAAGACGGTACAAGTACAAGTATGGGATTTGGGATTGTGGCATTGTATTACATTACAATGGACACTGTTCACATTCTATTTGCAAATATATATCTACTTAGGTATTTATATGGATGTAATAAATACCGGTGCTTAGCACATCCCTTAACCTGAATTTACTCAATGTTGTCGATTTTCGACCCATCCGCCTTTCAACAGCCATGTAATGGCATCATTGACGTGGAATCCTCACATGTTTTTGCTTCAGGTTCCTTCCTTGATACTCATTCATAGGTAGACATCGTCTTTAGTGACTTAATGACTGAAAAGTGGCAATAAGATGGCCGAAAGACAGCTTGCAGATCGGACTACGACATTACCATCGCCTTCGCATAGACGATCGTCGTCAATCCCGCAAAATCCCACTTCAAACCCCGGATCTCTCCCGCTAACCCCACCATCGTCGCCCGCTCCGCCTAGGGCAACTAAACCTTCCTCCGATACTTCTACCTCACACAAGACCCACCAAGAATACCTAGACTCTTTAAAGCCACCATCTGGAGAGGAATTTAAACGACTAGCAAGCGTACAGGAAGAGAGGGAGAAAGAGCATAAGCGCCGTATCCAAGAACTACGACGCAAGGGTGTGACAACAGCTCGGCGGAGCATAGAGGCAAGACAAGATTTCATGCAAGCCAAGGCCGATGAGGAAGAACGAATAGGAAAACACCTCTCGGTATTAGGGCACAGCCTTTCATTCTCTACAACATACTCAAGGTCGCACTCTGGGCCGAATATGAATAATAAGGATGCAATGTCTACAGACAGGGGAGATGCCATGCAAACTTCTATTAGATCGAAGGCGGCCACTGTAATCCAACGGACTTATCGCGGATATCGTGTGCGCAGAGAAATACAGGGGCTAGAGCTAGACTCAAGGACTAGGTGGACACACGCCATCAGAGATGCACGGTGGAAAGATCTGAACACGCCACGCGCACGAGAGGACCGGTTGTCCAATGCCGGAGACGAAAATACGGATGGACAGAGGCGACCTAGTAGTAGCCGATCCTCCGCAAGGAGAAATTGGATCAAGGCCGCAACGATAGCTCGAAGGGCTGGTGGAGACGAGGACTCTGACCATTCAGGGGGCAGTAGTTTGCCATCCCTGAACGACGACGACTTGCAGGGGATGAGCCCGGAAAAGAGAGAAGAGGCAAAAAGAAAACGATTAAAGGCGCAGGAAAAGCGACGAAAACACGCGCAGATGATGGGGCTACAGTACTTCTTGGAAATGGTAGACCTCAAGCATCGTTATGGATCGAACCTGAGAGTATATCACGAAGAATGGAAGAAATCTGACACCCATGAGAATTTCTTTTACTGGCTAGATTACGGCGAGGGCAGACACATAGAACTACTTGCTTGTCCCAGGGAAAGGCTGGATCGTGAGCAGGTCCGATATCTAAGTCGAGAGGAAAGGCAATACTATCTGGTAAAAGTTGACGTAGAAGGTCGTCTAGTATGGGCAAAGGATGGCGTAAGAATCGACACTACAGAGAACTGGAAGGACAGTATTCACGGCGTGGTGCCACTTGACGACCCTACCCCGGCCTTCGCTCCCGACGTCGAGTCCCACGTTCAAGCTAAGCCCAGCGCGAGTTCACCTGCCCAACCACATCCTCCACATACTCACCGGGGCCCATCTTCCTCGTCATCTTCACATTCGTCTTCCTCGATGTCTTCTCGCGAGTCGGAACTAGAAGCTGCTATGGCGGCCAAATACGCGAATCCTGATTTTGACTCTGCCAAGGGTGTTAAGAAATTTCAGCATGTATCCGCTGCAACGATTTTCAATAAGCTGCTCCGGAAAACTGTGCGCAAGAACACGTGGATCTTCGTCGCTGATACGTCGTTTCGACTATACGTTGGCATCAAGAGCAGCGGCGCCTTCCAGCATAGCTCATTCTTGCAAGGGTCCCGTATCTCCGCGGCCGGGCTGATTAAGATCAAGAACGGTCGATTATCTAGCCTCTCCCCTCTCTCGGGACACTACCGACCCCCTGCCTCCAATTTTCGCGCTTTTGTACATAGTCTAGAGGATGAAGGGGTTGACATGTCACACGTCAGCATTAGCAAGAGCTATGCAGTGCTCGTGGGCTTGGAGGCCTACGTCAAGACCAAGAAGAAAGGCAAAGAGGTCATGCAGAGGCTCATGCACCAAAAGAAGAAGCTACTAGATCCAGAGGAGGCAAAGAAGATAGAGGAGGCCAAACTCGATACTAGCAAGAGCGCGGCAAAGGAAAGAAACGTCCTCGAGAAGGAGAAACAGAGGGAAGAGATTCGCCGCGTCGAAAATAAAGCTACGTTCAAGCTTTTGCAGAGGCTAGGGTTCCAGCCTAGGACACCGGCTGGGCAGCAGAAAAATGGCGATATGGAAGGTACACGCTCCGAAACGCATTAATGACATGATGACCAGGTCGGTGGGTACTAATACTAAGGGTGGTGGATTGGGTAGAACGTCATGGCTTTGCAATATAGGCTTCTGGTTGGCGTTGGCGTTCGGATGTTTCTAACGATATCCCTTCCAAGAGTTATAAATAAAACGCGGGAAAATAAACTACTAATGATGATGTGTATACGTTATACTATGAAGAATAGCAAGCATGCGAGTATATACTCTTTTATCGTCATCTTCTTTACATTGCGTATCTCATCAAGACAGACAAGACATTATGGAGTTACCTATTAGGCAAGGTGGCCCTTACACATACTTTTAGCTCAGCGATGAGCTGTCAAAGGTAGAATTGGTATAGGTACTCGTATGGACGCTTAGACGATACCTACCTACCTAAGGTTAGGAGGAGCCCCTCCCCCCTATTTACCTAAATAGCAGAAACATGATCCGTAACCAAACACGTCCACTCCGACGAGCCCGTGTATATGGTAAACCCATCGTTGTGTGTCTGCCCCGTGCTCAGCGTCGTCCCCAGCTGCCAGAACAAGTCAGCCGCCAACCCCTTGGTCGCCAGCGCCGTCTTCTGCCACTTGCCCTCGATGCCGCAGTGGTCGCTCGTCGAGCCGTCTTTGTGTTGTTTCTCCTCGTTAGTACTCCTTTTTTTTCTCTTTCCCAGGTAGTCTTTTGCGGAGGTAGATAGATAGATAGATAGGTAAGGGAAGGGTTTAAGGAAAGAAGGAAGGAAGGAAGGAAGGAAGAATGAATAGGTACGCACACTCCTCAAACAAGCACGGCTTCCCGGCCGCCGCGCACGCCGCCCCATGCGCCTGCACCCAGGGGTTCCCCCACTCGTAGCTCGTGCCCCAGGAGCTCGGGTACAGGTGGAAGGTGCCGAAGTCCAGGTCCCGGATCTTGAGATTCGCGGCGAAGTCCAGCCCTTCGCCGAACTGGTACGGGTACGAGCCGTCGTCGCCCTGCAGGCCGAACCCCTCGTCGCCGAGCGCGACCATGTGCGCCGGGTCGAGCGACTTGACGTACGCGGCGGTGGAGGTGGCCCAGGACGTGATGACGGACGTGGGGCACCCGTTGCACCGCGGCTCGTTGGCGAGCTCCCAGGCGAAGATCGCGGGCGAGGCGGAGTACCGCGTGACGACGGCGCTGATGTACGCGCGGTATTGGGTCTGTGCGGCGCTGTTGGTGTACCAGGTTGTTTGGCTGCCGCCGAAGGCGGTTACGTACTGTGATGATAGTCAGGCGGTCATGGCCATTTTATGATGGGGATATTTAGGGGGGGGGAAGGGGGGTCGAGAATTTACAGCCGGCATGCCCCCATAATCACTCCAGTTATTCACGAAATTAATAATCAACTTAATCCCCCTCTTCTCCGCGGCCGAAACCACGTAATCGAGGCGCTGCAGGCCGTTGGCGCCGGTGTTGATCGTCGACCCCTTGGCCGACAGGTACTGGAAATAGACCGTGCCGCTGCCGGGTTGTGCCGTGACGTCGTTGAAGCCCCAGACGCGCAGGATCTTGTGACCGGACTCCGCGAGCTCGTCCAGCGTCTTGTCGACGTCGGCGTTGTTCGTCAGGAAGCTGATCCAGTAGCTGTTCGTCCCCGCGAAGTACTTGGTCTCGCCGTCGATGTTGAAGAGCAAGCCGTCGGTCTTGGGGAAGTCTGCCGCGGAGGCGCTGGTTGTTGCGCCGGTGCTGCTGCTGCTGCTGGGGATCGTGCTGGCTAGCACTGCTCCGACGAGGGAGAGGAGCCCGGGTATGAGATACTTCATTTTGACCATGGGTACCTAGGTAGGTATTCTTCGAACCTATGTAGATTCCTAGCGATGGAATTGTCTTCAATACTAGGTAGCTGTAGCTAGATAGCTTGATAAAGGCAAATACGACGACCGCCCCAGGCAGGGGCGTATTTATATGTCTACGGGCATATCGAATGATTCATGCACGACACGACCCGCTGGGCTGGGCACTCGGGAAGCGAGCCATTAACTGAGCTTCGGTGTAATGGTGGTTGCTTTGATCAAGGCGGATCGTCGTGCTCCATCAATACCTAAACCCGGAGCAAAACGCGATTTTAATCCAATTGGCAATACCACCTACCCCAGCTTGCTAATCACGTACATACCTATTAATGCTCATCGCTTCTACCCACATAGTGTAACTCGACTCATATTCTCAGGTGCGATGCGACGAGAGATCGAGCGAATACCAGAGATCATCGCATGGATTCTCCACATGGCAATGTGAAGAACGGATATATCGAATGCCAGTTACTAGTAGTACACAATAGAATGTGATGGGAAATGGAAGTCTACGAATAAGTATTTTGAGAGAGGGGCTGGGTAAGTGTTTTCGTAGGTACAATACAATAAACAGGTGTAGGTATAACTATTGGGTTGTATTTATATGCACAAACCCTTGCTGTAGTTATTTAACTCAAACAGGGTCTAGACTTCTAAGGACTAGTTAAAGGAACAATGAAGCTTCCGCATAGGGAGAGTCGCTTGTCTCCCACTGGACTATGAGGCTCAGGGGTGCTTCCGCATATGGCATGCATGAAGTCGGCGCAGCCCTCCCCGAGATTCCCCATCTCTATACATGTGAATTTTGTAACTTGATTTTATAGGCTTGTTCTATTTGTAGCAAGCGAATTCTTAAAAAATTTAAAATAAAAATAATGAGTTGTCATGAGTTATCCGAGCCATGACGAACTTCTATGAGGTATCATATTATTCCTTTCCTGGAACTGGGCTGGCTCAACTCAGCCCCTGAAGAAGAAAGTCCCATGACCAACATCTTCAGCTTGTAACTTTTGCTTCTTATCCTTCCCCAGATTATTTACTTTTTTTCTCTCCGTTTCTATTTTCTATCGGCGCAGCAGCCGCCTCTGGGCGGACTCCGTTGTGTACGACTGTATCATCGTGGATATACAATTGCATGACCTTAGGTCCTGGGTAATGGCGTGTTCCGTGTAGGACCCACCATAACGCCGAGAGACCAACAGTGCCGACAAGTATCACGCTGTTGTAATTCATGGCCTCGACCGTCGTGGGCATCTCATAGGCTATAATGAAGAAGTTAGCCAATGTTACTTGCGTGTGGATGAATCTAGAAGACTTACGAAAGCAGAAAAAGGTATCAAACAAGGTAATGAACAATACGGTAGTTATGTTAACTGCATATCCATATTTTCCTAGGTTGAATGGTCCAGGAGGGAAATACTTCCGGCCCGTTAACACATTTGCGGTGAAAGGAATCGCATATGACACTGTTGTCAAAACGATGAAGGATCCGGTAAGAGCCAAGAAGGCAGATGAGCTTGCAAGTGGGATTGCACCAAGAGCGGTAGCGACAACCGATACGAACAGGGTAGAGTAAACCGGGCAGCTGAGTGTCTCGTTGACTTGGCCAAAAAGGCCAGAGAACGGTACAGCATTGTCTCGAGCCAAAGCCCAATAAGTGCGGGAGTTCGTAAGGACTGTTCCGACACAACAGCATAGACTGCTGAGCAATAGGATGAGCAAGAGACAAAATGTCGCAGTATGGCTACCCGTAGCCTGTTGGTAAATGACCGCGAGTGGGTAAGTATTAATACCGCCTTGTAGTGCTGAGAGGTCGGTGATGGCATAAGATAATGCAATGGCGAAGAAAAAGGCGTAGAGGAATCCTAGCCCGATTTGCAGTGCAATGGCAATTGGCAAGTCTCTCTTTGGTCGCGGTAATTCTTCTGAGATATGGGTGACGGCATCCGGGGTGCCAATAGTAAACGCGCCGTTCAGTACGCTCAGGAAAAATGCGACGCCGCCAGACCAACCAGTTACTATAGTTAGATGCGTTAGCAATTGCAACGATCCTCGAAGGTGTTTTGGATTATATGAATCAGTAGGTGTTGTACTTACAGTTATTCTCCTCGAAAGAATTCCATACGAAATGGTTCGAAGCATGGCTTTCAGGTCGCATTGCCGAAATAACAATTATGGTAATAATACCTCCTGCAATAACGAGGAACATACCGCAGTTCTGGGTGTATGGGATAAGCCTATTCGCAAAGATAACGAATAGAGTTGCCATCCACAGAACGCCAACGTATGTGACATAGACGTGCCAGGAATCTGGGATATAGGTATCCTGATGGTATGTGGCATACATCTGGACCAAGATGTTGGCAGTGATTTGGATCAGTGCCGCCAACCCAAAAAGCCAGCCATAAAAGTTGATCCATCCTGTAAAGAAGCCAACCATTCTTCCCCATCTGGGACCAGCTGCGATAGTTGCCCAATGGTAGACACCACCAGCAGTAGGGACGGACGAGGCAAGCTGAGAGAGGGTTAACATTATTATATTCAGACTAGGGTTTAAGCGGTGTCGGTAGATCCGATAATCGAAAAGGATGGGCAAGAGATCAACATACCTCAGCTAGACTTAGACCAACGAAGGAATACCAGAAAACTGCTACCATGAGACCGAAAATCAGACCTGGAGGACCTCCACTGACTTTAGGTGGTCAAACTCGAGTTAGCATGATTACGTGGTACGAGTTTAAGGATGGGTTCGGAGTATAGATGATGCTTACGGATGGAAACCGATATGGAAGAGCCCAAGGCTACCCAAGCATTGTCGACAGTAAGCGCAATGCCGACGATTCCCCAAATGCCATATTGTCGTTTCAACTGATCTTTGTAACCAGCAGCATTAACTTCCACGCCATGATCAACTGCGGCAATGGTATCGTCGTCTAGCCCTCCAAGCTCTGGCTCTTTCTTCTCATCGAGCTCGGATGTATGCCTCGACATGTTGTCCACTTATGTACTAGGTAGGTAAGCCTAGGTAGATAGGTAGTTTTGAGGCGTGTTAGGTATAGAGGCGCGTGGCTGCCTTCAAACTTGACGATAGTAGTTCCTGGGGATATGGCATCAAGATGTAGAAGCAGGCTCTTGCCTTTCTATATATACCTACTATGTAACTAGTAGAGGGTTAGGTATGTGAAGTAACCAAGTAAGGATGGCTTTGATTACTGGTAGTAATATGTACTAGTCAAGACTCAAGGCTGCGTATAAGATTTGGGACTCATTCTTCTACAGCGAGCAGCAGCCAAGATATGTGCTCGGCGTCGTTTCCTGGCTGGGCCATGATAATGAGTCGAGAAAGGTTGGCGAGATAAGAAAAGCCACTCTTCTGTCCATCTCGATCCGCCGATTAGTAGAGCCTATCCGGGGTATGTCATCCAATCGGACGAGTACCTTGTTCGAGACTGACTTCGTCCTATGATTTCATGGATCATCCTCAATCTGTTATGTCCTGTTTCATGCTGTGGTAGCAATGTGTACTATGTATCAAAGAGATTTGAGTCGCAAGATCTCTTGTTAGTAACGACTAGTATGCTAACGCGAGTGGATGGAAGATAAGAGTTCGGAGAAACTTGGAGGAGTTAGAGGACTTTAGAGGACTTAGAAGGCTTAGGGGGGGCGTTAGGGAGGGTCAAGGAGGGCTAGGAGGGAACTTAGGGTTGCTTTACTGTAACCTGGGACAGGGAACTTGCTGGTATTGATAGGGACGGCCTTATTCTAGGTAGCGGGGAAATGAATGGGGAAATGAAACTAGGTTAGACTCGTTAGAGCATCAATTGAATGCGCGGGTGTACTTGAGGTTTGTAAAATCTGGTACGTAAACGGAGGGACCGATGGCAGATAGGTACTTTATCCCAGGTACCACCGTCGCACTACATGGTTGATAACCTGGACAATCTACACTAACATTGAAACTAGCATAGTGTGTAGGGACTACCGATGACATTAATATGTAGATTAGGTAGTTACTACTGGGCAACTGGTTATCTAACTATCCCCAGGCCCTAATGTTACGCAATCAACTTTACGATTATTATTGTTGTCAATATAAAGTTCCCACTTTATGTAAGTATTTAAACTACACTGCTGAAGATATTTACCTAATACCAGTAGTACAAGGTACCTAGGGTACCCTACGTATGTAGATACGGGAGGACCCTGGCTCCACCCCCTTACCCTACTACCGGTATTAACCACCAAAGACGGTTGTACTTTCCTATTCAAGTACAGCATAAGAATGCAACTAGAACCCTTAGCGGAACACATGTGACTCGGACAGGTACCATGTAGGTTAGGTAAGTTTCCAAGCAGATACATAGTATATATTCGGTAATGAATAGTTGGTGCATTAGTAAATCACGTACATACATCCGGGGGTTAGGGTTACTCTACCTCGATATAAAACATGATCCAAGTTACTAAGTGGGTGGCAGGTACGTCAGAAGTAAAGTGTGACGCAGTTGTGTCACCTACTAAGTAGTACTTACCTATATACACAGTTACACAGTACCTGGAGCAGTATTCAAACAAAGTTTACAGGCTTCAACTTCTAGACTTGATCCATTACTAGTATTGTACTTACCTAATGTTAATAATGCAAACACACCTTCCTACATATTACTATGTCGACGGTGCGTCTGCTGATCACTTCATGGAGAATACCGCTGCAGCAACACCATCATGCCGGCCTTAGCCGTTCCCCCAGACTTTCCCCCAGACTTTCACCGGCATACTCAATACCCATGTACTTTGTTAGAACATCATGGATACGGCATCAGTACCGCCTATAGTACTTCTATGCTGAAAACATGGAGACAGCCGGGCACCAATGGGATTCGCCCTTGTTATGTTGTGCCTCGCATGATGGTGGGTGGTATTGCATATAGAAGCTTCCTTCTGTGCAGGTCGAGCATCTCGCTTTGTAACGGGATGAATTTTAGATTCTGTCTACTAGACACAGAATGCCTACACTAATCTATTATTAGCCCATATGAACAAGACCTCCCCCAAAAACTATCCATCCTGACTACCTCTAAGAATATCTCTACCCAGGTAGGTAGGTACAGACGATATATCACAGGAACCGTAGTTGGGGTTATTTTGCCCAGCCTCCGGACGACAGGATACCTACCAGGTGTGTGATTCTTACAGGGCAGCCCGGGATCGAGAAAGTGACATCGTGAATATTACTCGAAACCAGACCCTACAAGTATACGAAGCTCTGAACGGTGTGCTTCGATGCCTAAAGGCGGGTGGCCGTGATACCGAGTTACTCTCGTTGACTAGGTCTTCTACTACCTAAAGCCTCAAGAGAACAGATAAATGAGCTTCAAGGGAGCTTCGAAGGTCTAACGGAGAAGAGGCAAATATGCATGCAACACTTAGCCGGCTAGGCACTCCGAAAGTAAGTGTCATGAAGTGGAATCTAGAAGACGCAGATCAACATTGCTGTTGTGCGGGGATCTATAACATCTCCCCAGAACCATGGAGGCTGCATACCTACATATGTAGCCAGCCGTCTTTGTTCTAGTTAGCCCCCGGGTAGACCCTTGACAGTAAGCAAGATCTCAACCCTCCTCGAGAATTACCTGATCTAGTTAAAATTAGCCAGGCCACTTCAACGATCCGCGGTTGGCTCGTCCCGCACAGGTAACAGGTACATAGTTTGTGTTGGCCCAGGAAGTCCAGCCCAATTTACCGGCTTAAAGGCTCTTTTGGGTATGGCCAAACGGTCCTGTTTGCCACAGCCACTTTTCGATATCGCCAATCCAGACGCAAGGCTGGAATTACGCTCTTTTTTTTTTTTTTTACGATGGAGGTAGGCTAGGGAAATGGTCACTGAACTATTGTTCAGCTGCTATTCTATGGGTAGGCGTTATGACGCTTCTGTGACTAACTTAATGTCTTTAACAATCTCATAAATCTCGGAATTTGAATCTAACGATCATACGATGGTAGAGACACAAAATGGGTTGATAGAGGGACTAGAAAGACGAAAAATGTCGTATACTTAGAGCTCTTTCGTATTGATGGCTCTAGCTTCTCCTGACGATATCTACTCCGAGCTTCAAGAGTTATAGCGGTCTAATATACCGTACTAACTTAGTTCCATACCTTCATTCACTCTTGGCGGCCGAGTGAATATCCACCCAACTCCACCCAAGACCACCTGGCTGAACTCGATCTCTGAAGTCACGATCTTACGGTAAGCCGTTGCTTACAGCGCTTAGAAGGATGTGGGACACGAGCGAGATGGCTGTCACATGGATTGAAGGTTGAATACCCCCTTAGAGAACGCTGCCAAAGTCCAGGGACGATCTTAGCAATGGTAAAGATTCGAAAACATTGGGATGTGCCGACCTTCAAGGTTGTTGGATAACACGAGGGTAGGGGAAATACTCCAAATGTTCTACAGGTTGTGGATGTGATTGAAATATGGCTACCTAGGTATATACGTCTTGCACGACAGACCAGTTGCATGTTGGCACGATACTCCGATATAACCTCGGCAAGGCATTCTAATCATGCCAAGAGCATATAAGTTACATGACAACAACACACAACCTTCGGTCCGTGTTCTTTCTACCACTCCAATTGCCTCGAGCTGAATACCTTTACTAGACAGAGACGACGTACACTCGGGCTATGTCGACCCGACCCAATATGTCGCCTATGGGTAGAGAACATTGACACGCGGAATGGGGTCGTCGAACTGCATATGCATGGCCAGTTCCTGGTAGTCCTTCGTCCACAACCCCGTCGAGCCCCTCGGGTACTGCGACCTGAACCCCAAAAACTGCTGCGCCCGCTTTGACATCTTCCTCACGATCTCCTTGTCGAGAATCAGCGGCGACGCCTCCGACGGTGTCATGAAGCCCGGACAAACCGAGAACTGGATGCACCCCCTCTCCTCCGTCGTCCGGTTGTCGCCGCCGCCATGGATCACCTTCCCGCTGATGAATAGCGCGTCGCCCGGGTCCATGACCGCGGAGATCGCCTGCTCCGGGTTTCCGCGCTGCTCGTAGGGCCACTTGTTGCTTCCAGGAATAACGACAGTGGAGCCGTTGTCAGCCGTGAACGGCGTTACGGGAATGAGGAAGTTGATGAGCCCCTCGGTCGCGTCGGGGCCCATGAGAACGTACGGCGGGTACGTCTCGGCGTCGCGGTGCAGCTCCTGCGCCTTCTGCGGGCCCTGAACGAACACCGTGCTGCCTTGCCCTAGCCAGTAGTCGCCGGCGTGCCCGTCCGTGCTGTAGACGTGCGTGCATAGCTTGTGGATGAAGTCGTTCTCGACGAGCCGGTCCCGGAACACGGCGCTGTGGTTCGCGAGCCCGCCGACCCGCTTCGTGCCACGGCCGTGGAAGTCCGCTAGTCGCTCGTGGAAAGAAGCATAGAGAGAGCCGCGCTGCACTTGTTCAAGCGGCGCTTGCAGCTCGGCGTGGAACTGCGCGGTTTCGGAGGGGGTGAGCAGGCCCTTGATGATGACAGCGCCATCTTCGTCCCAGTACTTGAATATCTCGTCCAAGGGGGTGTCGTAGGTGACTTCCTTAAGCTTGGTGTGGCCGTTGGGGGTGGCGGTTTGGGGGACGTCGGTTGGTATTTTCCACATTTTTCCTGTCTTTTTTCTTTCCTTCTTGATGCAGTTCCCTTTCTTGTTTTTATTGTTGTTCTGCTTAAGTGAAGGTCGAGGTAATGATAGGTACTACCTATGGTAAAGTGACTTTTATCGAAACGGTGCCTGCCTAATATACTAGGTAAGGTAAAAGAGCTTGAGAAGCAGCTTACGATTGATTATTTATCTTTCTTTTACCTTCCTTTTAAACGTTTCCTTATCCCGGATCAGCCGTTTCACTGCATGCCAACCTATGTAGTATAGCTTGGCTGACCGCGCTACTATTCTCGCCCACGGAACCCGAATCGCGGGGGCCGGAATCCTGAGTTTGCCAGATTCGGAACCCAGCCAGCGCCAGGTTAGAATCAATCCTTCTTGAAGGATCTGCCACATAAAGTCTTTCTTTCGGCTGGATCTCTCATACGATCGCGGGGTCTGCCGGCATATCCGGGGTTTTCGTTCTTACCTATTCATATGCCGGTAGGTAAGTACATATATCTTATTTGTGTCGTGGTTAGATAGGGACATTATACATCCATGCCCAGGTGAGCTTAGATAGGAGGTACCCACACCTTAATATAGGGGGGTCAATTCATACCATGCGTGCCATATTAATGCCATAGGCTACAGTGGCCGTGGTGGAAATGGAAATGGTGGAAATGTTTCTATCAGTCTCGAGGCCTAATTAATTAAATACCAAGGACAAGGCCAAGCACTACACCATCTCTATATCTTGCCATCCTTTACTAGTCGGCGAATAGTGTCAATACTCCCATGCACAGCCATCTTCGCGGTCTATCATACCGAGAGAAATATATATCAGTACCTCTCCCAGATATACTAAACGCAGCGCAGGTGAAAATAAAAATAAGAAATTAAGTAGGTAGGTAGGTAGGCAGGTAATCAAACTCACCTTCCAGCTCCTCTCCTCCAACGCCCTCGCCTCCTCACTCCCCTCCTCCACGCCGGGGTGCCTCCACTCGAACGCGTACGTCAACAGCAGCTCGCCATCGGCGCCCATGCTCGCGATATTCGAGATCGTGCTCCCGTCCGTCTGCTCGAAGTCCACGCGGCACGGCGCGAAGTGCACGCACACCTCCTTGACCAGCTTGCCGGAGTCGAATCGTACCTCGCGCACGACCTTGAGATTCCCGGTTTCGGCGTCGGTGGTCGAGGAGAGCACGGTGCATTCGGTGATGAGCGGGACGAATTCGGGTGCGTGGCGGACCTTGCGCTGCAGCCCGGCCCAGACTTGTGGCAGGGAGAGGGGAGGGGAGGCGGAGGGGGGGTTGATGGGCGCGGTGTAGGCGAGGTTGAGGGTGACCATTTTTTTTGTTTTTGTTTAGGTAGGAATGTAAGTGGATTGGTAGTAGTAATATACGTCGGGTTTAAGGTCTTGCTGTTTTTGTAGGTGTGAAGGAGGTAGAAAATAGGTCGAATTAAGAGACAGCGACGTCATATGGGCAATGGTACCCCGAGAGTTCCGTTATGTGGTGGGGAATTCCGGTCGTGAATGCGGGCGAGATATGTTACTAGCTTAGAGGCATGTAGTCCTACGTTACCTAACATTTTACTAACCCCTAACTATGGAGGTACATAATGGAGGTATGGGGGTACTATCTTCAATGTTAGGTAATGAGGGTATATAATTGTAAAAAGGGGGCGAGGCACTATGAATGATACCATGTACCCAACGACTATGAACATGACGGTTCCACCGTTGGTATACAACTTATACCAACTTATACAGGAACTTATACAGGCTGTATGTATTCAAGGAGCCATCATTCAATCGTCTTCAATACGTATAGGCTCTACAAAAGTCAGCTCCTCCCCATCCGAATCGTTATTAATCATCGTAATCCCGCCACCTCCCTCTTCCGAATCATAAGCGTAGTCGTCGTCATTATCATCATTCCCGTGGCTAGTGGCCGCGAATACAGAATATGCAGGCGGAGGCGGGACTTCCATGTTACTCGTACTGGCGGACCTAGACGGCGCAGTAGCGGCCTCCGTCTTAGGACTAGTTCGGGAGTCGAGGTTTGGCATAGACGTGGTCATAGTCAACTGGCCATCATGCTCTTTGACATCCCTTGCGCCCCCTAACTTCGCATCCCTCACCTTCACATCGCTCTTCTGCTCCAGGACGTTCTTCACGCTCGGGTCGAACTTCTCGTTCTGCATATCCCGCAACCGGTGTCTGGACGGCTGCGGCGGCTTCTTCTTGTCGTCATCTTCAACATCGATCAAGTTCCCGGACTCAGCCCAGTCCCTATCGCGCAGCTCGATCTCGATCTTCCCGTCGTCCTTCTCGATGGCCCCCGCGCCCCCCTTCACATCGGGGAACCCGCACCGCGCGAGGATCTTGGCCGTGAGCCCGGGGTACCGCAGGTGTCCCGTGACCTCGTTGCTGAGGTCCACGTTCTCGATGCCGACGTCGCCGGCGATCGGCTGCAGGCCCGCGATCCCCAGCTGCATGCTCGTGGCGCGGTACAGGAACCCGAGGATGTAGTCGTTCTCGCTGTACACGTTGAACAGCCTGCCGGAGACCACCGTCCGCATCATTGCCCAGTGCGCCGCGCTCGACGGCACCGGCGCCCCGATCAGCACCGCCGTGTCCACCAGCCCGAACGCCTTCCGCTCCGCCAGCACCCGCAGGCACGAGTAGACGACGCGCGCGCCCAGCGAGTACCCGATCAGCGTCACCGGCCGCTCGCCCTGCACCCTGTCGATCAGCGCGTCGGCGAGGATCTTGCCGGCCTTCTCGGAGCGGTTGCGCGCGAGGCTGAACGGGTTGTCGAGGCTCGCGGCGGAGGAGAGGAGGAAGAGGGGCCAGAGCGCGCCCTGCAGCGTGGCCAGGACGGTGCGCTGCAGGATCTCGGCGCGCACGGCGCTCCACGCGGTCGCGGCGACGAAGCCGTGGAGCTGCGCCCCGAGCGCGAGCAGGCTCTTCATCTCGTAGCGCAGTGCGAAGGCTTCGGTCTCGTCGCCGAGCGCACGCCACGGCTTGGTCACGTCGGACTCGGTTGCGAGCCACCCGTTGATGCCGATTGTGACGCGCAGGCGCCTGCTGCGCGCGCTGCCACTACCACTACCACTCCCACTCCCATCACCACCTTCTCCTCCTCCATTCCCACCCTCCCCCCTATCACCATCACCATCACCATCACCACCCCTCACAAACCCCCTCCCCCACTCCTCCCCCAACGGCACAAACCTGAAATCCTCGACCTCCTTCGCATACCGATCGACCATCCTGCCCGTCATCCTGGCCCCAAACGCGCCGAACAGCGTGCCCACCAGCGCCCCGTTCATCCAAAAGATGCCCAGAAAGCTCGCCAGCCCACCGAGCCCGACCGTCCCCATCAGGCCCCCGATAACCCCCGCGACGGCGGGCGCCGCAAGCCCGCCCGTGACCCCGATGAGGGCGGCGCCCGCGACGGAGGCCAGGCCGACTTTCCAGAGGCGCGAGGGCGTCAGGGGGTGCGGGGTTGGTGTGTTTTTACTACCACCACCACTACTACTACCACCATTACTCCCACTACCCCCCTCCCCCCTCGCAGCCCCCGCAAACGCCTCCGCCGCCGCCGCCTTCCGCGCCGTCTCGATCATCGTCGTCGCGACCTCCGTCTCCTCCGCGTCCAGAAACGCGGGCGGCAGCTCGAGCGCGGAGCAGATGTGGCAGATTAGTGTTCGCGAGTAGGCGGAGTAGCTGCCCGCGGAGAGGAGGAGGAGCAGGGTTGCGCTGAGGGTTTCCTTGCGGTCGGCCGGGGGGGTGGTGGAGAGGCGGGTCGGGAGAGGGTGGTAGAGGTGTTGGAAGGTGGGGAGGGCGGTGGGGCCGGTTGTTGTGGTGGTGGTGGTGGAAGGGGTTCGAGGGGGTAGGGCGGGTGTAGAGGAGTAACTGTTGCTGTTATTGCTATTGTTGTTGTTGCTGCCGTTCTCATCGCCAAAGCTAAGAAGATCCTCCCCGTCCCGCGGCACATCCCGGAGCCTATCCCCGCGCTTGCGCCTGGCGTCCACAACGCCCTGGTCGTCGGGCTTCGACAATACCTCCCGCAGCTTCCCCAGCGTCTCGTCGCGCCACGAGTCGAAGTGCAGCAGCGCCGCCCGCCGCAGTCTGATTAGAGCCGGGCTCGGCGATGTCTCCGAGTACGCGGGCGGAGACCGGACGTGCGAAGAAGTGGGGGAGCTGAGGGGACTGTCGTGAGGTAGCTCTATTTGCGAGCGCATGTACCCGATGATTTCCTTGACGAGGTTGTAGTAGGCCCGGCGACGCGCGGGATTCAGCACCACCCGGAGGGCATCGGGCTCGGTTGTGAGAGGCGCCATGGCGGCAAGTCCGTCGGCTAGGTGCCTGTCTTTTTATGTGGTACCTAGATTTAGAAATGCATATCTAGGTAGGTAAGCACCAGCTATTAGTCCCTGACCTATGTAGGTGAGTAATTCTTGTGCCGATTAAGTGCTGATTAGGTATCATTCACATTGAAGTCTTGAATGAAAGAGGTTGTAGCTGGGAGAATCCTATCCGCTCTCCGTTTTTCTTATAAGCTGTTTGGAAGTGCGACCGCAGCTCTAGGCAGCCGAATTAATTACCATGCAGGAAACAATCCTTCAAGGACGGTTAGGTACTGCGCATCTACCAACCTACCCGGGTATGGGTGTATCACTTATATCATGTTGATAAATAAATCATTTATATTAATTTGTCATTGCGTGTTATACTTTTCTTTTTTGATAAAATAATCCGAGGTAAGCCAGCACTAATGGCCACAGGAAAGGAGGCCGCCGTCTTGCCCCTAATGCGGCGTTCCTATCTCGCATAACTCACCTACCTACCCTGACGCAAAACATCATGTCATGTAACAGGACTAATGAGCGACAACAACGAAAGAATTTCCTTGCCTTCGTTTTAAAAAAAAATCATCCAAAGACCAAGCCCACATTTTTTGAACCCTTTTCAGATCCGCAAAGCCGTGATCTCGGCCCCAACCACGCCCGGCACCAAATCCTCACGCTTCGTGCATACCCAGCAACTCGCGTACATGTTCACGCGATCAATGCAAGCGCCAGGCGTGCGTTCACCTGCACACTTCGCCACGAACCCATGGCGCTCGAACTCGGCAAGGTACCAGGGGCGCAACCCCGCCGACCTCAACATCACACGACCTCCTAGTCGCAACGCACGATTCAGCTTGGCAATCTGCGCCGCGGCATCGCTGGCGCCGGGCTCGAACCAGTCCATGCTGTCCATGACAACCGCAACCGTCAGCGTGCCGGGCGCGATGCGCGCGAGCACCTGGTCGATCTCGTCCGTGTGGATGCGCAGGCCGTCGAAGGCGCCGGGGCGTGAGAGCCGCGCGTGGGCCTGCGGCGCGAGGTAGTCCGGATGACAGCGGGGAGTGAAGCGGCCGTCGAGGCAGACGAGGTAGTACGGGTTGTCGGCCGCGATGTGCGTCGACTCGACCATCGCGTCCAGCGTGTTGACCATGTACTCCCAGATCGCGTGCGAGCGCGTGTTCTGAGCGCGCGCGTCGGGCCCCCGCACGGCGTCCGACTCCGCGTGGTCGGCCTCGATGATCGCGAGCTGGTTTTTTGGAACCCCGAGAGCTGTCCACAGGAATGCCTCCTGGCTCACGACGAACTTGGACACGAGGCGTGAGAGTAAGGCGGGCCGGATCTTGTGCCGCCACACCTCGCGCTGCTCGTTGAGCGTCCTGGCGCCGAGGAGCTCTTGCACTGCGGAGCGGCACCCGAAGACGTAGCAGATCCAGCGGAAGATGCGAATCCCGTGCTTCGAGCCGCCCGTATCGTATAAGCCGCCCTTGGACTTGGTGAAGATGTGGTGGTTGTTGAGCCAGTACTGGAACGCGCGGCTGGACAGGTGAGGCGATATCTTAGAAACGAGCAAGGATCGGAATTCGGGGTGCTTGCCCTCGCCGAAGATCTTCCAGAAGTCTGCGTAGGGGAGCGACAGGTACGCGGCCACCTTGAGCTCGAGGAGGTGGTTTTGCGTGGGATTGAGATCGACGGCGTGGATTCTTGCGGGGCTTTGCAGCGCGTACGAGAGAATGTTATCGCCGGCGCTGGTGATGGCCAGCACCACGTCGTCGGAGCTCAGCTTGAGGATGCGCTGGTCCACGCGGGTATCTTCCCATGTGAAGGCGTAGATGTACTCGTCGTTGAACTGAGTATGCTTCTTGAGCTGGTCATCGTAATAGATCCTGTAGTGGTGGTTCTGGTAAAAGAAGGACGGGAGCGGCAGATTGGAAGAGATGTTGATAATGGCCGCATCGAAAGCCTTAGATCGTATCTCTGGCGCAGCCCTGTCAACCGCACGAGACAGAGCGGCGGAATGGTTGGCGGGATGGAGATAAGGTGACTCGGTGACCAACGCATCTACCTTCTCAACAAGTTCATGTGGAAGGTTAGATGCGGGTGACTGCTTGTGAGTACCCAGCCAGATGTAATAGGGGATAGCGCCAAGGACATAATTCCGGTTATTGACATTCAGCACGGTTCCGAAGGAGTACTCGAGGTAATCACGTCGGCCGGGTTCCAAGGCAACTCGGTCCATGTCAAACCAGGCACGCCAGAATGTCCTGCCAAAGAAATTGACATGACGGTTGACGGAACCGCCGGTATAGTTTCGGAAGTTGACGTCGATTTGAGATTGAACGTAGAAATCAACCACGCCCACGATACCATTCGGGGCCAACAGCGACGGTAGCGAGTCGATAACAGAGTAATAGTCGGGCTGCATAAATGTGAGCACGAGATTCCTGGAATTAATTTCGATTTCCCTTTTTCAACTCACGATCATCGACAAGCTATAAGACATGGTGATCAAGTCGGCACCACTATGTCTGGGCTTTTCCTGATAGTAATAACTCGGATCCGGTGACCCAGAAGGGCGTCTTCCCGGCTCATGGTCTTCCAGGCGGAATTTCCTCGCGTCCTGGCAGATGACCTTCACGTTGCTCCACCCGAGTCTCTCGAAACGCTTGCGCGCCACTTCGCAGAGAGACGGGGAGAAGTCAACGAGGTAAACAGCTTCGAAGAACTGGGCTACGTCGACGAATTTTGACATGGCCTCGATATTAAAGCCAGTCCCTCCACCAACCTACATATCTTGATGGTCAATGACATGTATGATTCATGACTGAATCTGTATTGGAATGTACTAACATCAACCCAAATACGCTTCTTCTCATCGCCATTTCCCGTTCTGTGGGCAAGCTGAGCCGCTGCTAAAGCTAGCATATCCTCGCGGCCCTTTAACAGGGCCTTCCTCGTAGTATCGTACACACCGGCCTGCTTCTTGTAGAAGCTCTCCAGGGCATCCTGCTGGTTGCCGTTGGCATCGCCATTGTGCGGTTTAAGGAAACATGAGTAGAAGAATAGCCACAAGGACTGCGCGAGACTAGGGTTCTCGTTGTCCGTTGCATTCTTAGAGCGTAGTGAAGAAAAGCATAAGCCCACCAATAAGATAATACCTATTCCAGCAATATAGATTTTGGTGTGAGGATCGGGGGGTAAAATGTTACCACCAAGAGAATCCATGATACTCTCTCATTGCAATGAGGGATGAGAGGGGATGTTGAAATTCCTTCAGGTTGTTGAAGTTGCTTGCAATAGTCGATCAGGGTATATGGCAATGAATAAAGTAAAGGGGGAAAAGGGGGAAGGGGGAGAGCATAAAGCATCCATAGGTACTTGTGGTAGAGCTATATACTAAGCCCTTGCTTATTAGTTACCCACCTTTGCCTGTTGCTTGACTTCGGCTACCTGCGTCTTTGATGTCACCAAAGACAATATGAATCGACAGAAATTTCATTTCGATAATTGCTTGCATCGAGAAGGTAACACTGTATCTCAGCCCTTCTCCTGGTCATTTACTAGAGGGCGTACCTTGAGTTTATCTCCACCAATTCGCTAGCCCCGCTAGGTACTGCTACTATACTACTCCTGTCTACTAGGTAGGTAGGTAAGGTTAAGTTACTGCTGATGATAGCTTGGATTGTGGTCTCTTAGCCAATCGTTGAGACCACATGTCGGAATCTTATGGAAAATAATACTTACATATTATCGCCCGAACTTCCTCATCGTTTACCCTGAACACTTTCTGGGTTTTACAAAAGGGTGGATAGCTGCACTAGCCGCCTAGATTGAATTGAACTTGCTGAATGATGTGCATTACCAGCAAAACTCTTCGGCGAATAATATTCGTCGCTCCATGTTAGTGGAGGGCGTGACACAATCCGAAGGCTGTGAGGCCCTGGCATGTCGGTAGCTCTAACTTGTGGTAAATACGACGTAACAACGTAGTTTCAGTTTGAATCCCAAGGTTCATCATCGACCCTGAAAAGTTGTAGTATTTCTACGGTCAATTGCCGAATGGGAATTGAGCTAACTGGCCCTTACGGACTAAACCTTTGAGTTTGGGACGAGAAATATGCACCCACGTGCTGGAGAATTGAAGCCGGAATGGGACTCGACGCCCCAGCCGGGTCAGGTTATCCAACGTGCTCGTTATATAGTTTGCACATCGTAAACACCCGGAAAGTTGAAGCTGCAGCATGCGGATGCCAGCATTTGTTATATGATCTGCAGCACTAGCTCGAGGACCATCGGGATGATTATTACTAGGTAAGTAAGTACCTTGGTACCTATAAAACGTCGTAGTCGTTGAGAGGATCTCACAGCTGTGACCCTCATCTCAGCTAGCAGAGCACGTTGTATGACAATGACTTTCCAAGGGCGGATGAATGATTGAGAGTTCTAAAATTATGACCGGTCAAACAAGCCGTGTCCGGCAAGCATGCCTCGAGACGTTGACAGCCAATCACCAGCTGCCTTACTGTCAAGGCAGTACATAGCTCACCCGACTTGTCCCCTTCGTTCGACCAATTTTCTTGACATTGGTCTTACCACACAACTCTGTACTATCAACGTGCGTGCCCCCGCAAGGATAGGCTTCAGCTCCGACAATTTTAACAACTCGGAACTTCTCGTCATCTGCCATACCCATGGCCTTGCGATCTGGCGTTAAGCGTTCAAGATCATTAGCCTTGAAGTCGTTTTCATCCCACCAGTCAATTTCAACTGGCATGTTCTTGTTGATATATTCATCCAAGCGTGTCTGGATGGCATCCTTCCATTTCCCCTCGATGAGACCTCGGAATTCACAAGCGGCAGAATCGGGGAAATGTGAAGCCTTGAGTTCGTCGAAATTGGCCACCTCCTTCTCGAGAAGATGGCGAACAGCTGAACCAAGAACGTGTCCGGCTGTATGATAACGAGAGTATAGAAGTCGCCGCTCACTGTCAATGGCCTGAGTGATAGATTCTCCAGGTTTAAAAATTGAGGAGGCGTTGGTGAACCTGCCGAAATGCAGGACCTCGCCGTCATTTATTGCACTCATGCGCACCATAGACACGTCGAAATTCGCACCATTGGAGCTTTGCATTGTACCAACATCAGAAGGCTGGCCACCCCCTTGAGGGTGGAATATGGTTTGTTCTGTGACTACGACATGATCGTCCTCCTTGGCCTGCTTGAATAGGCCTTTATTAACTTCTTCAAGACTCGCTACTGATCGGACCGCGGTAACGATTGTTTGAAGAGAGTGAAGTTTGGCGTTATGTTGAAATGCGAGATAAGTACGTTGCATGTTGAAAAAAAGGGGTGGTATGTGTGATCCTTGGATGGAATGTTAGTCGAACATGAAGATGAGAAGGTTGTCTTCGGTTGAGTGAGGCTGGATGAGATTAGACGATGATATATATTGGTATTATATCCAGTCTTCCATGTTAATTAGGGTATGTTCTGATCAGACTTTGCGCCTTATTTGTAGATTCGTCGCTGATAAGTTGACCAATCAATAGCGAGATCCGACACCCCACTCTTTGCGCCTTTCGCCAGACTTTCTTCGTTGAGCTTCTTCACAATTCTGAACTTCGTGAATGGTGAACTAGAGTAATGAATTATGAATTGGGATACACCTCAGTTAAGCGTGTTCTTGAATCCTAAGTACGCAGAATTGATATCCAGTTCAAGTTCTCTTGCTTGCTGTTCGCTCAATTCTTCGGTCGCCTTCATCTGATTCAGTGTAATCAGCCATTGGACAATTTTGCCGCGATTCTCAAAGTCTCGGTCGGTAACTTTGTTGACGCTTTGGATGACATCGGTTAGAAGAGGGTGAAGTTGATCCTTTGCCAAAAGACCAAGACGTAGGGCATCTAAGAAAGTAATGAAATCTTGGGTCGCTTCAAGAATGAGAGCCCCAGATTTATTGCTCGTCGAACCAGATGATTGAGTGGCGCCAGTAGAAGCAGTGACCGCAGTTGATGGCATTCCCACCCTAATTCGTTCTGTTGCTCTCGGGACTTCAAGCTATAAAAATGTAATCAGTGCCTGGTGATCATTAATGTTTGAGGTTTACCTACATCCCACTCGGCCTTGAACTCTTCTAAACCCACAAATGCTTTAGCTACGGTTTCATCCGCTAAGATAGACTTGTATTGCTTTAGAGATCGTTCACAGATCTCTGTGTAGTCTGCTTCGGGAATGGCATCTTTAAGAAATGCCCTTTCCAGTTCATCCAAAGTAACGATGATAGAGAAGATCTCGGCGAGAGAGTCTTGTAGGTCTCTCTCGGCACGTGTGTCTGCTAGCTTTACCTCCTACATTAAAAGTGAGTGTAAGTGGGTGGAGAGCTTAGCAGTTGTTGATAATGGTAAAGCATACCTGATCTAGATTAATTGTGGCTGAGAGAGTCGTATTAGGCACATAGCTATGAGGTGTTGGCGCATAGGCCTGCCTTGGGTTCATTTTGTATGAAAGTGAGAATCTACCAGATGTTATATTATGTAGTTGATTCGTCTATGTGATAATAGTATTCTAAGGTTAAACATGTCTTTCGTCAACCTTGTTGAGCTTAAATTGAGTAGAATGCGAATAGACAACGACGGCAGTATCCAGTGTATCCACTTTCACCGCCTACCGCTAGGTACTTTAGTGGCCGAAGTTCAATTACCTTGGCATAAAAAAATACGATAAGCACCCCGCGATAAGCTTATCCTAAATTTTTTGATCTTGTCTTTGAACTTTTTTTTTTTTTTTTTAGTTTCAAGTTACTTTTCTTCTTACATAGACAGATAGACATACTGTCGCAACCTCGATCGCATACAAACTTCACGATGGCGGGCGCAAAAAAGAACTTCAAGGCGACCAAGAAGTTTGAGAAGAAACATCTGACAGGTGTTTTGGATCAACGAAAAGCTTCTTCTAAGATAAAGCAGAGACAACAACTGCAGGCCAAGAAGTTCATCAAAAAGTCAAAAGATGCCGAATTCTATAAGGGTGGCGAGGATGGCGATAAGAACAAGACCAATGGCCCTAGAAAGACAGCAAACGTCAATGACATGAGCGTCGATGACTTTTTTGGCGGCGGTTTCGAAATTATCCAAAAGTCCCAGCCAGGCAAGAAGTCGACCAAGAAGCTTGGGAAACGCAAGCGCGACGACCCCGAGGAAGATGATGGCGCATCAGATTCTGGCAGCGATATTGATATGTCTGGCGATGAAATGCCCATTGCAATTGGTGCCGACGACTCGGATGATAACGAAGTGGATGACGTTGGCATGAGCAAAGGTGCCATGGACGCACTCGCCGACGAAGATCCCGAATTCTACAAGTTCTTGAAAGAGAATGACCCCGAGGCATTGGATTTCGATGACGCCGATCTAGCTGAGGTGGACGAATTGAGTGCTAGCGAGGAGGAAGAAGAAGATCAGCCGAAGAAGAAGCGAAAGAAGGAGAAGAAGCAGAAGGGGAAAGCAGATGGCCTGGAGGAGGAGGAGGATAACATGGAAGATGAGTTGACACAGGCTATGGTTGCACGTATGAAAGCGACGTTAGAAGAAAAGAAATCTCTTCGAGCTGCGAGACAAGTAGTGTTAGCTTTCCGATCGGCGGCACACTTAAACGAAGAGGACGATGATCAGGGGAAAAAGCGACCGTACAAGATATCGAATCCCGAAGTATTCCACGATATCCTTATCGTTGCCTTAAAACAGATTCCCGAAGTCATCCAGCACCATGTCCCCATCAAAGAGGCTTCGTCTGGCAAAGTCCATGTGCCAACAGACTCTAAGAAATTCAAGACCCTTTCGATGCTTTTGAAGACTTATGTTTCTGCCATCTTACATCTGCTAGGCACGCTCTCCGATGACGCTACCCTCAAGTTGACGTTGTCTGCCATCACGCCTCTTGTCCCTTACCTATTAAGCTTCCGAAAGCTGCTTAAGAATCTTATCAAGACGGTTGTTAGTTTCTGGTCTCAGTCTACAAGCAGTGACTCCACCCGCATCATTGCTTTCTTAGTTCTTAGGCGGCTGGTGGTTACCGGTGACAAGGGTATCAAAGAGGCCGTCTTGAAGGCAACCTACCAGGGGCTGATTGCAGGAGCTCGTGTCACGAACGTCAATACTCTACAAGGAATCAATCTCATGAAGAACTCAGCAGCCGAGCTATGGGGCTTAGACCAGAACATTGGTTATACGACGGCATTCAGCTTTATTCGACAACTTGCTATTCATCTACGTAATAGCATCGTCCACAACCAAAACGAGTCGTACAAGACCATCTACAACTGGCAATATGTTCACTCGTTGGATTTCTGGTCTTGTGTTTTGGCGGAACATTGCAGTCCGTTGAAGGAGGCAGAAAGCGGAAAAGAATCTCAACTTAAGTTGCTTATATATCCGCTTGTCCAAGTCACGCTTGGTGCCATGCGTTTGATACCCACAGCAACCTACTTCCCCCTCCGATTCCATATGATAAGGTCGCTCCTCCGTATTTCTCGATCAACTGGAACTTACATTCCACTGGCGTCTGCCTTGATAGAAGTCTTGAACTCTGCCGAGATTAGAAAGTCTCCCAAGCCATCAACTATCAAGCCCCTCGACTTCCATATCGCTTACAAGGCACCCAAATCATATCTCCGAACTCGAGTCTACCAAGATGGGGTAGGAGAACAGGTGGTAGAACTCTTCTCGGAATATTTCGTTCTATGGTCTACCAACATTGCGTTCCCCGAGTTTACCTTGCCGGTTATCGTCATGCTGAAGCGATGGCTCAAGCAGTCGAGGAAAAGAACTGGCGGTAACAATAACAACAAGGTCCGCGCTGGTCTTGTATTGCTCGTGCAGAAGCTCGAGGCAAACGCCAAGTTTATCGAGGGCAAGCGAGCGAAGGTAGATTTCGCACCAAAAGACCGAGCCCAGGTCGATGCGTTCTTGAAGGATTTTGAGTGGGAGAAGACCCCAGTTGGCGCCTACGTTGTCGCCCAAAGAAAGGCGGGCGCGGAGAAGGCCAAAATGTTAGAGCAGGCTAGGAAAGAGGACGAAAAGCGGCGAAAAGAGGAGGAGCAAGAAGCGTTGGAGGAGAACGCTGCTAAGTTGGATATTGATGATGAGATGGAAGACTTTGATGAGGAAGAGGAAGAGGACTCTTCGGACGATGACGATGAAGAGTAATCTTGACTGTTAATTAAAAATCCGTTTCGATGGATTAATCAACCGGGACACGGCGTATACCTAGATCAAAAGCTTTTCGACCCGTTAACCTTTTCAATTAATGCCCAATCTTGTTACTCACGATGCCTCTCATTTACGGTGACAGGCGTAACATAGATGGGCTTCAATGATGACTGCCGAGTAAATTGGGACTATTGCACCCAGTCACATTTCCCTATCTGTGTACCCGATGATCACACAGAAATAAAAGCAAAGTCACCTTGACTTATCGTCATGAGCTTTCGTAATGTAATTCGGCGCATAACATTGATCGCATGAATAAATACCTATATACAGAGACCCAAGCAAATCTTGGCATCTCAACAAGAAGAATATACAGGAAAAGGCAGGCATTATCGCCTAAAGCCCACTGCCTGGCCAACTTGACTTACCTAGGTAGGCAATAGAGACAGGACAACTGAGAAGCTTACAACGTAGCCAAGCCGCTCTGCATAGCCTTGATGTAAGTCAAATCAGCCGAGTCCTCGCCCAAGCTCCAGGCCACTATACACAAAGTCAGCATCCGCTTTTTCGTAACCAACACAGTACCATTCAGATGCATAGGAAAAGTAGGGAACAACTTACTAACACCCCCCAACCCGCGCGCCCCAACAATCTGCTCGAACTTCTGCGCGATGAAGTCCGGCGTGTCCCACGTCCAGAAGTAGCTCGTGCTCGCGTCCCAGTACCACTGGCCCCCCTCGTCGGCGTCCGCCACCCCGCTGCTCAGCACCGGCGGCACCTCCGCGAACGTCACGGCCCCGGACTGCCCCGTGTCCCCGCCGTTCGCGTCCTCGAGGAGGACGGTGGGACACCCGATGGGCTGTGTGCATTGTCCGGTGGTTTTGAAGAATTTCGCGTAGAAGGCGATCCCGAGGTTCATTTTGGAGGGCGTCATGCCGAGGGATATGTAGTGGTCGATGGTGGAGAGGGAGCCTTTCACGGAGGTGTGGTGAGAGGTTTGGGTGTCGCGTCTGGAGAGGGTGGTTAGGTAGGTGTCTACTAAGACGAGTGCATCTTATCATGGGCGGTGGGCGTTTCATACCTGTTCATCAAGTCGTAGGTCATGACCTTGAGATGTCCCTTGTTAGCTGCTTTTGACCTAACAACATCTTGAGACAGCGCGGAGACTTACATTAATCACATCGACGGCGGCGTCGATCTTGGGCACTTGCTCAGAGGTAAAGGCGATCATGTCCCTCTCGAGCCCAGGGACGGCGATGGACAGCTCCTTATCGCCGATGGCAGACTTTATCTCCTGGAGGAGCAGGGCGTAGTTGGCGATCTCATCCGTCTTGCCCGAGTTGGGGTTCTGCTTATAGTCCTCGCCGTTTCCGCCGGGGTACTCCCAGTCGACGTCTAGATGATAGATGTATCAGTATATGTCTACTTGACACTAATACAAAAGATGTGAAGGTAGTAAGTATGATGAAAGAATAGATACATACCGACGCAGTCATACCCATGACTCTCGAGTGTCGAGGCAACATTCTTCGCATACAGCTTCCGCGACGCATCATCCTTTTGACCAACGGAGAACCCGGCCGTGTCACCCCATCCTCCGATCGCCATACAGATCTTGGTTCCGTCGTCGAACTGGCTGCGGAGCGTAGCGACGTCCACGAAAGGGGTATATGTGCCGGGCGGGTCGCTGGTGAAGAGGGTCGTGCTCGCGAACGCGGTGATCACATGCGTTATGCCGGCCATCTGCGCCTTGTTTGGCGACGCCGTGTGCCACTGGTCGTAGTACATGGCGAACCGCGGTGTCGCGGCCGCGGCCGTCGTTACGGCTCTAGGGATGTGCATATTGGGGGATCAAATACCTGAGATGAAGGTACTCAACTAATGAAACCTATCTGCCTAGTAATTCTATCGTAGCCGAGTAGGACAAACAGATTCCAAACGAGATTACCAACTCATAGTTCAAAGGGAGCGAGCGAGCTTGCAATACCTGACGGCTTTCTATCGTCCATATTTATGTTCTGAGACCGTCCACACGCTGGAATGAGGTGTAACGTTAAGGCGGGCGATTCGTGGCCCACGGTGTGTGCCCCCTGATATCGATTTCAGTTACATTCTCGATTAGGTAGCTCAGATAACCTTCCTAGAGCCTCATGCCAGGCAGAACTGTGCCGGGTTGCTGTTCCATTTGGGATTTTGGGACTTTGGATCCTTGCGGGATGTTTCGCATACATCGATCTTCTAGTCACACGTGCGCCCCTTTATCAGACATACATACATAGCAGATATAGACCGAACAAATCATTTGAGGTCTAGGTATATGCTGGTTCTATATCAGATACCGAGTTTGTTATCGAATTGGCTTCAACAAATCACTTAACCTGACGCCCCCTTTTCCCCATCCCCTTATACAGGTATATCCTTCCAGTCGGCTGTCTTTCCTGTCGATCTTCAACTTTGGGGTAGTACTACAGTTTAAGTGGGGCGTGATCCTACGAACTGCCTCTTGGGGAAATTCGGGTTAAAACGTTACCCCAGCTTCCCATGGGAATGTTGTTAAGCTAACTGCTCGATAAGTATAAGTGTTTGGCGCCTCCTTTAGAATCTGAAACAAAAAAACTAAAGGCGAGTTGAGTTGATAGAGACGGGATGCTACGTAAGTCACATTGCATGCCGGACCTTGGCAGTGATCGTCGGTAGCACTTCCATCTGAAAGTCACCTTACAGAATCGTGTGAAGCAACCACCCGTCACCATGATCCTATAATTCATGTGATGGATGAAATAGATAGATTGATAGATAGGTCCTTCATATGACTTGGATAGAATTCTCTCGAACTTTAGTGTGTCCGTCTATTCTATTTAGGTACCCTAGGTACTATAAGGTATGTGCCCCTTTTCTTCTTATGTAACTCTTAAGCCACCATTTTTAACTCAGCTAATAACTTTCATAGTATGATTTCCTCGCGGCTATATGGCCCAACTAGGCACTCACCAGATATAATGGGCACATAGGCTCCCTAGAGTCCCTAGTAGGCACATTAGGTACCTAGTACTAGTATGATAGCGGATTGCGGATCGTCAGCCCTATAAACTCTTGGCGCCTTGGCTCTGTTGAGTCTGTTCCCTAGGTCAGTCAATAGCTTTAGAGTTAGACTTCTGCTTGGGCGCGTTGTTTTCTACACTATTTTTCTTATTTACTTCACATACATGATAGCTTCAAGATATAAGATTCAATGGTCGAGATACTATATGCTGACAACTAGTTGTAATTTTATGCTATGACTACTGAAACTATACTCGTATTCGATACTCGCACTCGGTTGTTTCAGCCCCCACAACCCCAGAAAGAACCTTGAAGATCCGAGGCCTCACAAGTTATAACACGTACAGATAGTAGACTGACCTAGCCTACCTCGGCACCACACCCCACTGTATCCCTTGTATAGCCTCCAGGTAGCAGCTGTTGAGCTTGCAGATCCTCAAACGTTCTAACGTTTGAACATTTATATCGGATCTCACATTTCATCTTTTTCTTTTGACGATTACCTACTCAAAAATCTAGGGACTACACATACCTAGTACCTACTTAACAGTCTCAAATTCAAAAAGATACCAACTAAACCATGGGAGTTTCAAAGGAGAAAGAAGCCCAAGACGAGGCCCTACCAGCCTACGAGGAGCTCGCCGGGCCCTCCTCCTCCTCCTCCCACGCAGTCTCGCCAGCAGCGGGGCCCACCGTAGCATCTCCCTTTAACTTCCCCTCAGACTCCAACCTCCCGTCCTACGAAACAACACAAGCCGAGCAGCAGCAGCAGCAGCAGCAGCAGCAGCTTCTACAACGGCGAGAATCACAACCGCGCGTAATCGCCATCCCCCAAATCACGCCGCACGAGACCTCCCCGCTGCTCAACGCCTACTCGCCCACGCTCCTGCAGTACGGCGTGCCGGAGGACAGCTGGCTCGCGTTCCTGCGCACGCTGTCGGGGTTCCTCGCGGCGACGGTGTCGCAGAAGGCGGTCAGCCACGCGGCGGACATGGCGCAGCACGTCGGCGGCGTGCCGAAGCGGTTCGGCAAGGAGACGCTCGCGCACGCGAAGGACGTCGGACACGCCATCCGCGGCAGCGCGCGCAGGGGCAACTTCCTCGCCGCCGCCGCGCACACGCTGACCGCGACCGTCACGCTGCCCGTCGGCACTGCGCTGCGCGCTGTCGGCGCCGCGGTCTCGCTGCCGTTCGCGGCGCTGGGCGCGGCGGCGCGAGACCCGAAGACGCCGCGCGAGCGCGCGGTCGCCTACGCCGCTGCGGCGAACGTGAAGTGGTTCCATCGCCGGGGGCTCGAGGCGCATCTGGTCGACACGACGGAGCTGTGCCAGGTGCTGGGGTTGTCGGTCGATGTGCTGCTGAGCGCTGCGGAGGCGGCGAAGGGGCTGGGGGCCGCGGGACAGCTGGCGGCGCTGGGGGGACACATCGCGGAGTTGGAGGTGAAGGCGCGGGGGCCTGCTGCTACGACTGCGCTGGAGCTGGGGGCGGCCACGTACTGGTTGGTGGTTTCGAGGAAGAGCGAGGTGGAGGAGGAGGGTTATGGGAAACAGAAGTATGCGAACTGATGGATGGAATTGGGAGGATGGGGTTGGCTGGCAGATGAGATGGACTTGCATATATACAGTACTTACCTAGTGCCTGCGTGGTGCCTGGATTGATTGGTACGCGATATATGCTCAAAATCAGTTATATAGGGAGGGTGCATGTATTCGGGTTTAGGGAGCTCCTTAATAGCTATAGTGATACCCAGGAGTCTCTGGGAGTTTCTTTCAAGTGTTTACTCTACATATATACCTACTTGTTGTCTATACCTGCTTAGGTACTTACAGATACCCAAAATAATATTCAACAGTCTTGTTTTCCACCTACGTACTTAGTTAATAGACCTAATTTCTATTACTTAAGTTGCAATCCGTCAAAGCATCCTAAGCTGACTGGCGTCTAGGTGCGATGTAAAAGATCGGCGATCAACTTGGAGAACTGAGACAACGTGCAGTACTCTGAGTAAATGACCCCTTGATGGTAGTCAAATATAGTTCAGATGTCCGTCTAAGGATAATGATGGCTGCCATATTTTTCTTTCTTTCTTTCACGTTATTAATAGTGATGGCTGACAACCTAAAAGGCTGGCTTTATGCTGTGTAGTATAATGCTATTGATGTATGACACATCAAGAGCTTCTGAGTTGGAAGATGCCAATCAAGGGTCTACATGGGGTTCTACATGGCGGACTCGATATAATAAAGACAGTTTACATCAGGTGTAGTAGTTTCCATACACAGTCTCCGAGGAGATGTTATGTTAGAGATCCCCGCTCAACAACGATGTTATTCTGCGTTTTCCAAGTCCCGCCTTATGACAAATCCCGAGACGAGATCGCCAAGTCCGCTAAGTAGTAGGTAAAGAGGATGGATCAAGCATTTGACGCCTATATTCCTCTTCTACGGTGAAATATTGGATATATATCAAACAGGTACTAGGTAGCTAAGGACCCATGACTCACGATAACACAAAAATAGCATTGGATGATTGGGAAGAAGGAGAAAGAGAAGAGACTTTTGCATCTCCATTCCTGCAAACACACGATGTCAGGTGATAGGCATGATGCAGAATTAGCCGCAGTGGATCACAGTTCCCACGAAATATGTATGTGCCATTCAGGCTAAATGCCATTAAGTTGGCAACCAGAAGTCGGGTCTCGGTGAAATCATTCCTCCTCTCGGGTTCTCCAAGATAGCGTCGAAGAGCTTTATGCTTGCTGTTGCATCGTCGGCTCTGTTACTAGCGAAGCTACCGGCGGCCGCTAACGGGGTTTGCGCACCAAATGCCATACGTCGTCTATTAAACGAGCAAATAGGAGACGCGCCATTGCTCTCCCGCTGTCTCTTCCCTCCCCTACCCCCTACCCCCCATCCCCAATATTTTTTTGACTTGGGGGAGCAGCGCTTGTAGTCGTTCGCGGGTAGCTATTATCCATGCCAATCAGACAAGTCATGAGTTCCACGAAAGTGCTGTAGTGCAAATAACATTTTGCTCGGCGAGAAACCACCAGCCCATTTACTTTTCTCCTCGTCTTTTATTTGGTTGACGATGCTTTCCAAGGGGGGTTTTTAATAGAAGCGGCTATCTCCATGTCAGGGGGGAGGGGAACAACATGATCTGAGGGTAGCTGGGCCTGGTAGAAGGTATATTATTTTATAGTAGACATCAGGGTATGTATGTAGCTTTATCTAATACCTACCTAACCTTTACTCTCATGGCATTGGCGCGGAGGGAATGATAGATACTGGGTGTACATACCTATATAAAGAACCTACTCCCACCAACCAACATCCCGCGTTTTGTGAACATGCGATCTTTCATTCTTCTCTCTTCCAGCCTTTCTCGTCCACTCTCCCGTCGCTTCACTACACCATTGAAGTGTGCCGGCATACATTACCACCACCAGCCTAATACCTTTCGACGCTTCATCAATACAAAATCGTCCACAATGGGTCCTACCATCAAGCTGAGCAGCGGCCACGAGATGCCCCAGGTGGGCTTTGGTCTGTGGAAGGTGGACAATGCTACATGCGCCGACACGGTTTACCACGCCATCAAGACCGGATACAGGTTGTTGGACGGTGCCTGCGGTATGTCTTAGACACATCTGTCTCATAACCCCCTCTTCACTCTACGATTCATCCGCCTCTTTCATTTTTTTATTTTTTTTTTTACTTCTTTTCTTTGTCCTACTTGATGTTGGTAAAGGGAAAAAGAGATATCACGATAATCAGCAGGAGAACCCCTCTTCGGGTAGCATTACCCCGCCACCCAGCACTGTCAGGGGGGGCTCCCTTCCCCCCTAGCTCGCGCCTCTTGCGGGTCGCATAGATCGGACAGCCATGTACCTGCCAATCTACCCGCTCTTCTTTCCTTAGTGCTAAAGAAGAAAAAAATGGGAAAAAAAAATCAGGAGATGCTAACATGATACCAAACATACAGACTACGGCAACGAAAAGGAATGTGGCGAGGGCGTCGCGCGCGCCATCAAGGAAGGGATCGTGAAGCGCGAGGACCTCTTCATCACATCCAAGCTCTGGCCCGTCTTCGAGGACGGCGACAAAGTCGAGCCAGCCTGCCGGCGCTCGCTCGCCGACTGGGGGCTCGAGTACTTCGACCTGTACCTGATCCACTTCCCCGGCGCCCTCAAGTACGTCGACCCATCCGTGCGCTACCCCCCCGGTTGGCACTACGACGGCAGCTCGCAGCTGGTCCGGTCTAACACGCCGATGCACGTCACCTGGGCATCGATGGAGTCGCTCGTCGGCAAGGGGCTCGCCAAGTCGATCGGGATATCCAACTTCCAGGCGCAGCTGATCTACGACATGCTGCGGTACGCGACGATCCCGCCGGCCGCGCTGCAGATCGAGCACCACCCCTTCCTCGTGCAGAAGGAGCTCATCAGCCTGTGCAAGGCGGAGGGGATCGCGGTGACGGCGTACTCGTCGTTCGGGCCCGCGTCCTTCCTCGAGTTCGGCTTCAAGCACGCGCAGGCCTTGGCCCCGCTCATGAAGGACGAGCTGATCGCCGGGCTCGCCGCCAAGTACGGCAAGCAGCCGTCGCAGATCCTGCTCCGCTGGGCCACGCAGCGCGGGCTCGCTGTCATCCCCAAGACCAGCCGCGTCGAGGTCATGGCGCAGAATCTCGACTGCACCGGCTTCGACCTCGAGCAGGCTGACCTCGATGCCATCACCGCCAAGGATGCGGGCATTCGCTTCAACCAACCCTCAAACGTGAGTCGTTGCTTTCCTTACAACGTTACATCGCATCGCCTTGCCTTTGTGCTTCTTCTTTCCCTTTCCCTTTTTCTTTCCCTTTCCCTTTCCCCTTCTGCTTTCATCATGCCTGGCTTCAACAACCAGCAGCTCCTATATCGGGGAATGGAATATTCATTGCTAACCATTCATTGCGCAACAATCTAGTACTTCCCCACGGATAAGATGTGGATCTTTGGCTAAATAGCCTAGCCCAACCTACCCCCTAACTCCCCCCTCAAAGCCCCCTCGTGACCGGATATCGTGGGTTTCATTATTGTATTGAGCCGCTCCCAACGCGACAACCGGATATAAGTATACCTAAGATATTAAGATTAAGCTGCATTTGCCGATCGATAGAGGAAAGGAATGAATCTTTTTACTCGGTCACTGTTGGTTGTTGGGTCGGGAACCGATTTTATCCACCGATGATGATGATTTGCGGGCAGCACTATACATATACATATATATAGGTAGAGTCTGATTTGATCATGGGGAAAGAAAGCATCTCGCTAGAAAATGGTGATGGTGTCTAGTCTAGACTTGGCTTTTTCTGACACTTGTATCGCGAATTGTCAATACTCGACGGGATAAAATATATACCGTGAACTTTGAAAATTCCCATTTGCGTGAGCTTATGGATATCTTTTGACATAAATCCAGCGCCAAACACTGCTTCGCCACCTTCCCTTTTCCTTTGTGAAGGTGTGTGAAATAGCCTAACCTTCCTCTAGCGACTCTGCAAGTCGTCATGAATCAAGCCCTCTGCCCCACCCAAGAAAAGCCTTCCATAGTCTGGATATTACCGAAACGCCATGCTATGCCCTATTGATACCTCGTACCTCGCAGATCTTGGCCCTGATCTTGACCCAAAGTCGATGGTTCATTAAACTTGTTTCACGAAAGCTTTCATTCCTATCGTTAGCCATGTATTCATCAGTAAGTGCCGAGTTGATCACTTACTAGCATCTATCTGCTGAATTTGCGGCAGAGCCAGCCTCACTTTATTCCGATACAAGGCGGGCTGCTTCAACTGCACAGGGTTTCCTTCAAAGTATACTGTTGTCAGATCCTTTTTGTCGGATAATTCGCGCTCGATGTCTGCAAAGTCGAATATTTGATTATAGCTTGCCCATATTTCCTCGATCTTCTTCAAGCCACCCACGCCCTTTAAGCTCTTGATCGTGTTATTCGAAATATCCATGATTTTCAGGTTAGGGTTCCCGTCTAGGCCGTCGAGGGATTCGAGGGCATTGTGAGAGATGTACAACTCCTCTAGCTGGGGTACGTCGCGAAGAGGGGAAAGGTCCGTGATCCGGTTGGACTGGATACTTAGAAGCCGTAATTTTGAAAGACCAGCGAGGCCCTTGAGTTCAGTGATTTTGTTCTTGGCCAGCCACAATTCCTCGAGGTTCTTCAGAGAATCTAGGTTCTTGATTTCTCGGATTCGATTCGAGCCCAACTCGAGTTGCCGCAGCTTCGCCAGAGACGACAGCCCGTCTATAGTACTAATCTTGTTGGAGACGAAGAAAAGATCGGTAAGCTCGGTTAGGTGGTCGATATGTTTGATGTGTTTTATCTTGTTGAAACTGAGGTCGAGGGTAGAGAGCTTTCCCAGGTCATCCAATCCCCTAATATGGGAAAGGAGATTATCGTAGAGGTCGAGCTCTTCGAGGGTGGGTCCTAGGGCAGAAAGCCCCTCAATGTGCTGGATGAGGTTTTGACGTAGGCATAACCGCACGACTTTCTTAAACCGATCTAATCGAAGAGCGGGGATGGAAGCAACTCGAGAGTGTGTGAGACTAATATCGTCCGTTTCGGGATCTTCGTCATCAAGAAGATCTAAAATGCAGTGGTCAACAGCCGGGTTCCACCAGTCATTATCGTTGTGTCACTACCAACTAGGTGCTACTGAGAGAATAAACTACTTGGATGAATGAGTGAAATATACCTTCGTCAGCGCTGATCTCTTGACCTTCAAGCACGTTCTCCTCATCCGAATATTCGGGATCTGTTAGAGCCTCGGGGTTTTGGATGGTAGCGTTACGATCAATCCTTAGTTTACCGTCCCAGCCTTTGCTATCCCTCAAACTAGGACTACCTAGGGTAGGTTGGTTATCTCCCCGATCCGATCGGGCGTCTTCTTCAACTACCTCTATATGGTGAGCATGAGACTCATTGCCCGTTTCTTCGTTTACATGGCCGGGCATTGTGGAATGATTTGCGGTGTTGGTAGGGTTAAGATTGTGGTTATAGTGGCTGTCGTTGCCGTTGCCGTTGTTTTTTGGTTTTTATTTTTGTTTATGTTTTTTTTATAAAGGTGAATGGATATGTATGTAAGAATCGCGGAGTTGGGGAAGGAAAGGCTACATGTATGTAGGCAAGAGGAAAGGTGAAGAATATTTGGAGACTTGACAGTGACGGTTGAATTTCGTAAGTTCTTGAGGTACCGTAGCGCAGGGTCGCACGTATTAAAGACATCTGGATCCACTCAGTGCTGTCAGTTTGTTAAGATAAAGTTACAACATTGAAGACGGCACCCGCTCTCTCACGCCACAATAACCCAAGTTTTCCCCGTTCAGCCAATCAGGTTGTGCAGCACTCAAGACCTACCTAGGGTATGCTCTGGTTGCATGCTCTACCGACCTAGTAATTACCAGTGCTGGGTCTGCTGGCCCTTGCCCTTGGATTTAGTATATATCCAATCCACGGCTAGTTACGTCACCTGATTTATTTTTTATTTCTTAGCCATATGAAGTTCTAATTCAGTTGTTAAATTCAGATATTTATATAATTATTACGTGAAGTTTTCATATATTAATTAGGAGGAGCCAGATTGGTGAAGTTATTCAAGTTTTTGTGCAAGCGTATTTATACTGCACATTTAGTTAGTTGCTGTAGCATACGAGGGGTTGTCTGGGGTAGTTAGAGGGTTGTCGATGACGTTGTAATACCTCTGGAGGTACAATACATACTTTATTCAACTGAACTGGACAGTGGAAAGAGCTCAATGAACCTTGAAAGAAAAGAAGCTTCTTCGATGCTTCCAAATATGGGTAATATAACCTAAGTTAGTAGATATGGGGTAATTATTACTAGGTACTACTAGTAGTAGGTATGTACCTAGTAGTTACATTATAATCTACTAACCTTAGGTACTTTGATCGAATATTGAAATCTTCAACTTGCACAACTTCAATGTTCCATGCCTAACATCTACGACACACTACACTATAAACATAAACACCCAATGTGTAATTCACTTGATATACCCTCCTTTCTTTTCATGCAGCAAGCTCCAACTATTCATTTTAATGATCATTTCATATATATAAGTACCTAACCTAGTAGGCAGTAGGGAATGTTTGGATATGCATTGTCCTAATCACTCATCCATTCGCATCAATGATATTTCATCCTGCCCTCCACCCCACACAAAACACCTTCAATGGCCATGCCCAGGTGGCTTCGAATCCCCAATCATGATGCTCTTCACCGTACCGTCACCCTCACCCGAATTTCCGTTCTAGGTATCCCAAGGACGGCCAGCATCCCATCATGGCCTTCCACGACACCTCGCATCTTAACACATGGGAGAGAATACCACGTAGAGGGCCTGATGCTTGCTCCCGTTATATTTAGTGGCTTATTCGTATCGTTGTGGACTTGGAAGTGCTTCATGATGGTCACTTTTCAGAACAAGATCATATACATGCCAGGCTTGCCGCCCAATGCACGAGGGGAGAAGATTCAAGATTACGCTAGTCGATGTGCTGGTATTCAATGGCGAGAGGAAAGAGTGCGCGCTACTGATGGCACAGATCTCGCCCTGTGCGTAACAGACGTAGACCTCGGTCCCAGCGCTCTCAGCAGTCCCAACGATCCCAACGATCTCAGACCTCCCAGTGCAACGTCTGCACAGCCAGGTGTTGCATTCTATATCCTTTATTTCCAGGGTCTGTCCGCATTCTACTTCTTTGTCTTGTGGGGTACATCTCGATGAGCTTACCACCAGTAATAGGAAATGCCTCGTCAATCCCCCCACGCTTACCTGACCTCTCTTCGGTACTAAGTATGCTAAAGAGGCACTCACTGCAGTGGGATGCGAGAAAAATTCGATGCACAATGGTTTGCCTCAGCTACAGAGGCTATTGGACGTCGCGTGGTCGGCCCACTGAAAGAGGTCTTAATATCGATGCTGCTGCTGCTGTTAACTGGATATCCCAGATACATCATGATTCCTACGGTGGGGGGGCTCACAGTTCCAGAACATCGGCAAAACTTATACTTTGGGGGCAAAGCATTGGTGCCGGCGTAGCTACTAACCTTGCCTCATTGACTCCAATGCCTGCAGATATACATCTAGACTCATTGGTCCTCGAAACCCCCTTCACCTCAATCCGCGCCATGCTAGAGGTTCTTTACCCACAAAAATGGTTGCCATATCGGCACCTTTGGCCGTTCCTTCGAAATCACCTTGACAGTTGGCAAAATATAGGGACCATATCCCAGAAATATAGAACCGCAGAGTCATCTCCAGAGATACTTATTCTGGAGGCGGCGAAAGATGAGCTTGTCCCACCAGAACTTGGCCAGAAGCTATACGAAAGGTGTTTAGACGTCAAGCTGCCTGTAACGAGGAAAGCTGTTGCCGGAGCTTTTCACAATGACGTATTGTTCCGAGCTGAAGGCAGACGAGCTGTCTCTGACTTTTTGTCGCGCAGGATGCGTTCCTCGCGTGGCTACTAATCAGTTCCATATCTAGATCAGCAACATAAGCGATGAATACTGTCCTCGGATGTAGACTATCAGCCCAGTTCTCAACAACCCCGATAGTCATGCTCGTTGTTAAAGGTGTAACTCACAAGTATCTCCTGTCAGACACTGGAATAGTCTAGGACATCCCGATGACCAGAGCATTGACTTTGAGGCTTATTTTGTTTAAGCAATTTCGACATGCCAAACACCCAACATTGTCTATCGAAGATCCGGCGTTGTAATAATTTCTATAACGTGAACTTCTTAGAACTAAATAATAGTTTCTGAATAGTTTTCGGCTTGTCGGTCAAATGGATACCATTCATCAACACTACATCAAGTCCAGATAATATTTTCGGATGTAGGCATCGTCTCGATCCCGTTCTCGGTAACGATAAGGTTACATCACTATATCAAGATAGTCTAAACAATTGCCACAAATTTCCCAAGGCGCCGTCGAGTCTGTGACTCATGAAGTATCAGAGGTGGGAGCTATCCTCGTAGCCTTCATGACTGGCGTGGAGGTTGCCTCAGGTATAGTCGACGTGGAAGCAGCCAGCTTCTTTCAACTTGATTAAGGCGTGACGAGCAGGCCCGCGGAGGCTCTTGTCAGGTACGGAATCTCAGCATACTTGTCTTTTGGCTATTATTGCACGGATCCTCGGTCTTTCTGTAATGAGGTCGATGCGAGATCCAGCTTGCTCCAACTGGGGGGGATCCAATCACTTCAATTAAAGGGGAGGGAGAAGTAAGGAGGAGGGTATTGCTTTGATGGTCGCTAAAATACTTTTTATCCTCTTATTACACTTATTTCAACCTCCAAAGACTCCGATAATCAAAGCGCCTTCACACATCTGGCGTTGACGCCTCTTCTCGATTAACATAAAGGGGGAGTCTCGTCTCGGCCATCGTTTCCTTCAACATCGGCCTAGAGCGCAGGGAAGTTGCAGAAATACCTAGTACCTGTCGCTAATACGCAGGGAGGCTTCATTATGGAACACTCGTGGATAACTACCAGTTCGTCGATTATTGGTACCTCGACATGGGCCTGAATTTCGACATCGACAGTTTGAAAAAAGAGTTGCGCAGCTCTGTTAGACTGGCTACCAACACTCTGTTCATACTTCTTCCCCCTATCATGGATGGGAGAAGTTTCGCGGGGCGGCCGCGCTGGGCCAAAAGTCTCAGACGGCTGCTTGTTTTTCTCTGCCCCATCCCACACTCTCGGAGAGATCTTTGCGCATTCCCACATGGTCTTGATCGAAGGGGCTGGAGTTGGGCTAATGGCTCTCATGAGGAGACTACCAAGGAGGTTGCCCCGTTGAGTGCCTGAATCTACGAATGTAAAGGCGATGAAGACTTAGTAAAGTGAAAACCGAATTTGGCGGGTATATTCTCCTTTTCGCATTACGTTTGACTGAGTGACTGGTAAGCAACCTTTATGCTGTAAATTTCCTCTTTCCGTTTCCTTCACGTCCTGTTGCTCCAGCGTCTGATACCACAAAGAGATTGGCATACTTAACTCATAGTCGTTCCACGACTATAGCTTCGAAACACATGCTCCGGGACTGCCTATTCTACCGAATGTATAAAAAGACAAAGCGAGCAGTGTTATATTGGATGAGACGTTGCTTGCGATTCGGGCCGGAAAGGCACCATGGTATTAACGTAGCTAGGCCGTTGCTAGAACGGAAATCAAACAAGCCACCTCCGGGTGGTTGTGTACGGCCGTCAAGTCATTTTCTATTTGCGCGCTACGAAGTATGAACCACCATCAGGCACTAGGCAGGGAAGATAACTACATAACTGCCAGGTACTAATGACGTGGTGTCGTTTTCGGTGACTACCCTTCTCATGGCGACTGACTCCGAGTTTATTAATTCCATCAAAAGGACTCCTAAATGTCCGGGAATTTAACTTCGGCAGCACAAATGCCTTTTCGTGGGTGGTAATGATCAGTTAGGTACGGTAGCTAAGCACATCATCGTTTGATTTTAATGAGGGTCGACACCAAAATGCTTCCAAGGTTGGGGGAATCCCACCGCCGACAAGCTGTATGCAGGTGCCCCTGATTGGCAACTGGCAACTGGCAACACAGGCCTAGCATTACAAAATGCTGTGACGAGGTTGACGCCATTGTGCCCCCCGATGTCGAACGTTACGAGAAATCCGCTTTTACAACTCCGGCTAATGAGTCCCGGGGATTTCGGGAGGAAAGCCCCGTAAGTTTATTTTTTCTTCATTTGTTTGAGGTGTGTGTGTTTTTTGCGAAACCTCTGTAAGAATTGCCCTTTTTTATTTTTTTTTATTTTTTTATTTTTTTATTTTTTTTCTTTTCTTTTTTTTTGTCAAACTTCTATGAATTTTCATGTATGGCTTATGTATTGAAGAGGTAGGTAAGTACGTACCATATATATGTACGACGGAATAAATAAAGATTAATTATTGAACAGAGTGGCTAAGACAAGTCTAGGCACGAGAACAATCCCAAGATTGAATGTTTCACTTCCAGGTCACCTATCTAAATACTGACCTTGGGAACTAGGCACTTACCCGGTAGTTCTAGCTATATACCGTAAAATGACACGCCAATTAATAACGACACAACGTTAATCCCACCACTTTGGGCCTTGGACACTGACTGTTACATGCATTGTGCATGCATTTATACCCTCGTACAACATTCAGGTTGCCATGCTATGTTACTCCGAATAATTATAATCCAGGCGACCAATACGAGAAGAGTATTCGTGGTAGTAAAGTGATAATATTATCATGTATCCTTCAATGTTCGGGGTTGGGGATTTTTACTTGCCTACTTGCCTATGTAGGTAGGCACACTTATACTATCCTTGCTTTTCCTAGAGGCATCTAGGTTGTAGGTATGTACTGAAACCTTTGAACGTCGCGTGTTACCACGCCATGCATTTCATAGTCTCTACGCCAATAACACGATAGTTAGGTAGGTACCTACTACGCAAGCCACAACGGGTTCCTTGCTTGTGTTATCTTGTCCGCGTAAATTGTTTCGACGATACTAACGTACGAAAAGGGGAGATTTACCTATTATTTACCTACTGTAGCCATTAAGCCAATGAAGGTTCCGATAATCCTCCTATCGACACCTTCTCCCGCCTGCAACATATATCACAACAGTATCACATTCTCTCAACTACTTACCTACATTACTTACCTTGTGTAGTGTGATATATTCCCGTGGGGCCCATAACTCGAGAATGATGAAGATCGCCAGGGCATGTATAGTGTATATGAGTCTTGGAAGTGCTACATAAGTCCGATCCGTTCGCCAAGCCGTGGGTTTACTTGACCATTTGCCCGAAGGGTCAACTCGTCACTTTATAGAATACGCCGACTAATCTAATATCCAAGCCTCCTCATGTCCTATATCATCTCTATATGCAACCCGACATGTTGAATTAGTGGTTTCAAAGAATCACGTCTACTTTTCCAGTATTTTCATGACAAGAAAATAGCTGAGCTCTATAACGGCAATCGTGCAAGATGGGTAACCTGCTCTCGAGAAATGGGCAACGAAACCCCCCTTTGACAATATCGTCCGACACGGTCATCCCACTGCACCGTCTCGACGATACTCCCATGACTAGAGCGGTTATCGTGGAGTATACAATGAGATTCGATGATGTATTAGACTCCGATAAATTACGCCTATCTTTGGAGAAGCTCCTCAATCGGCGTGACTGGCGTAAGCTTGGCGCCAGGTTGAGACTCAATGTATGCTGCCGTCCTTTACTACGCCTTGTTCGAGTCTTATAGTCTTTGATGCAATGGGATCGAAATAGCTAAAATGGGTTACAGACTGATGGGAAACTCGAATATCACATGCCGGAATTCTTCGATGAGACACGACCGGCTTTTGTTTATTCCCATGTGGCACATGACTCCGGGATCGCTCAACATCCAACTGGCCGTCGACTACCTAGGGCTACCACTAAGCCTACCATCTTCAGCGATCCAGAGGACTTTGCGCCTTTACTCCGTAGGTGGGACGCACCCCGATACCTTGATGACTACTTGTACACAGACGCACCACAGTTGAGCTTGCACGTGGTGTCTTTTACTGACGCCACTATCGTCTCGCTTTCATGGCCACACACTTTTCTCGACGCGATGGGACGGAGAGCACTCCTGGACGCATGGGTCGCTGTCCTCGAAGGTAGAGATGAAGATGTGAAACCACTCTACGGCGTCTTCGAAGACCCACTCGAGTCACTAGGGACAAACCCCCAGGAGCCTTACGTGTTGGCCAAGCGTCGTTTATCTCCAATCAAAGCCTGGTTCTTCGCCGTCTTTTACATCTGGGCGACCATGTTCTGGCACCGCGGGGAGGAAACCCGCATGATATACCTGCCGGCGGCGCATGTCAAGGCCCTGCATAAAGAGGCACTGGATTATCTTGCCACGCAGAGCGACGATGACGGCGAGAAGCCGAAGGAGGAGAATAAGGTTCAACCGTTCCTTAGTGAGGGTGACGTGCTTTCTGCCTGGATCTCACGCCTGGCCATGTCACACCTGCGACACGCCAACCACGTGATATCCATTATAAACGCCTTCGGCCTGCGCTCGGTGCTCGCTAAGGACCTGCTGCCCCCGACACATGCCTACGTCGGTAACGCCGTCGCCTGCGTGTGCGCATTCCTACCCATGAGCGACCTCTTCAACAAACCGCTCGGCTACATCGCATCAGCGGTCCGCCGCTCGATTACCGAGCAGGGCACCCGAGCGCAAATCGAAGCGCGCGCCGCGATCGACCTGGCAGCGAGCAAGAAGGGCAAGATCTCCGTCTTCGGCGACCCGACCATGATCCCGATCATGATATCCAACTGGACGAAAGGAAAGTTCTTCGAGACGGACTTCTCGGCCGCCGTGGTGGCACGTCCCGGCGACGGCACGGAGGAGAAGCGGGACAGCAAGGAGATCGGAAGGCCGTCGTATATCCAGCCGAATGGCTTGACTAATGGCGTGCCGATACGCAACTCGTTCCCGATCGTGGGCAAGGATGCCAAGGGCAATTACTGGCTCTCGGGCACCCTGAGGGTCGGCCTCTGGGGCCGCGTGCAGGAGTTGTTGGATGAGGAGTTTAATCGTTTTGCGCTGCGCGAGCCGAAGGTTGCGGCTTGAAGCATAAAGGGGGTGGGGGGTGACTGGGTCTGGATGGAATACTTGGCAATATGGGATTTGTGAGCGTTCTTTTTGTAGATATTGAGTACTTACGTGGGTAGTAGGTGTCTATCTTTTCTGTGGGATGGGATGTTTTGGATAAACTGTCATGGTAAATACCAGGTACCGGGTAAGCAGTGTTTATTTCTGGCGTGGGAGCAGTGTTACCTATATTAATACTTGGCTATGATTGGGATTTTCCTTCGTCATGTTGACTACCTGGGTACACATCAGGATATGGGGTTTAACATCAGTCATGCATACCTACGAAGGAGTATAATTGTATCGCGTCTTAGGAATATTGCTTCATCGTCGAGTTCATAAGTCCTAGCTAGGGCACTTCGAAAGACTAGGTATGATAAAGAATATAGTATGAAGTACAGCTATAGATTAATAGCCGCAGGTTAATTGTATCTGGAGTAGTTCCTTTAATGCAGATATTACTCCATCTCACCTGGAATGGTTAAAGTCACCATTACATTTACCGATCGCAGTAACAGCTGTCGTGGTACTAGTACACAGGGCATAGTCACTTAAATGCCACGACGTGTAATTTACACCCCAACAATCTTTTAAAAATAAATAACATCAACTATGTCTCCAAAAAGGATAATACACTAAGAGACAGGTTTACATGAGATTCCACTAGAGCTCGAAAGCTTTGGATCTATCAGGACTGACACAGACCGGCAAGGGGTACCAACGGTGGCCGAGTAACCACAACGGACTAACGTACGCTGGATATGGTCTCACTTGGAGGAGACAACGGGAACAGTTAGAGCATCATCATGTCTGGCTTTTTATGGTTTGATACCTAGGTAGGTATGTAGAGTACGCTGGAACGGACGTGGCCCTGTCCCTCTCATGGGAGCAGCAATCCATATACTGGAGTCGCTCTACGTGCCGCCCCGATGGAGGTTGTGAGGGCAGGTCTTGCCCCTTTACAACAGCGTTAGATATACCAACCAACTCACCAGCCTACCAACCCAACCTACCAACCAACATCGGATTCTACAAAGAACTTATCTGTTCCGGAACGTTTAGTGAATATAATAATGTGTTCGCGTCTCTTCCAAAGGAAAGAGAGACGGGTCAAGATGGGATACGAAACGAATCTTACATGAACTTCTTCGTCCGATATGGCAAATGGTCATGGTTAGCATAACAGTCATGGCTACCTAGTATGCATGTCTGATGAAGAGCATCTGACACCCGTACTCGAGACCAGGAGTTAAATTATTTAAATGAGAACTCTTTTACGCTTCAAACCTAGCCAAACCCTTTGTGCCATGCCTAGCAGATCCGTATCGCCTCCTTTTAGACCATACCTAGGTACTTATCTATCACCATCTCAAGATGCACCATACAAACTCTACTCAAAACCAAGCCCAGTACTTAAAGAAAGACACGATGGGACGCCCCCTATCCAAAGACATAAACAAGGCCAAGCAGGACGAGCTCCTGGCGCAGTGGGAAGAGCGACAAGCCGAGGCGCAGATGCTCCGGCTGAGACACCGCCTCGACCCCCATGGCTCGTATCCCCCAGCAGCACCTCGACAACCACAACAACACCGCGAAGCGTCTGCACGCCAGGATCAACCCCCAGCGAGAAAACGCTCGCAGAGCGCGGCCGGGAATGGGGATAGGCCGCCGTCCCGCAACAATCGGTCGTCTAGCCGTCGCCGCGCGCAGTCTACCAACAGGTCTCGGGAGCGTAGCAGACCACCGCCGCCGCTAAGGCCGGCGTCTAGCTCGGGATACCCTTCCCCTCTCCCCCCCCCTCCTCCTTCGCACAGCTTCCTGTATCTATACAGCTACGCGCGGCCGTCTCACGCACCCGGAGCGATCTACGCCCCTCCTCTACCATACGCGTGCACCCCTCCCGGCCAGACCCCTATGCCGCAGCCCCCTGGATCCTTATACTACCCACCTCCACCACCGCCAGGCACCTACCCCCAGCAGGGACCGCCCCCGCCGCCTGGATCGCGGTTCTGGTATCCCCCGCCTCTGCCTCCGCCGCCTGGTTCGCAGTTCCGGTACCCCTCGCCCCCATACGTGCCTCCTCCGCCGAGCGCAGGTAGACAGCACGGTGGTCCTCCTCCTCGTCCTTGCGGGAATGCACGGTCGGGGTCGAGCCAGCCGTCTAGTCGTCTATCTCCGTCTTCCACCCCGACGACGACGACGACGACAACGACGACATCGTACAGCAACCTAAGCCCAAACCCAAACCCAAACCCAAACCCACGCTCACGCTCACGCCCACGCCCATCAGCACTCAGAAGCCCACGCCCGCCGACTCCTCCGCTGAGAAGTGCGCGGAGGATGCCGAGCGCCTCGCGGGAACGGTCGCGGGAACGGTCGAGATATCGGGACGAGGAGATGCAGATGGAGCGGGAGCGGGAGTGGGAGGAGATAGAGATGGAGATAGAGAGGGAGAGGGAGAGGGAGAGGGAGAGGAACAGGTCCGTGTCCCGTCCCCGAACCGTGCGTTTTCAGGTGCGGGTGGAGGATGCGGATGAGAGTGAGGATGGGGGGAGGAGGTAAGGGGGGTAGGGAAAGGGGGGGAATGTGGTTTGGTGGGGATGGGGGGAGAAGAGCGATGAGTAAGGGTTGGTAGACTTGGCAGAATGATTATATACCTACCTACCTAGTACCTACTCATATTTAGATAGGGGCAGCTGGTTCTTTGATTTTTAATGACACTGACTGGCACCTAATTCAGGCATGTAATTAGGAAGCGTGTTGATAGAGAAAATCTAAGAGTGTGGAATACTTACTGCTTGAGTACCTAGGTAGGTACGTACTTATATATGAGGAGCTATGTATCGTGCTTAGAGCTACGCGTAAATGATACTTACATCGGTGAATTAAGGCACGAAGGCTGGCTGGCTGGTTGGTTGGTTGGTTGGTCGGTTACTACCGGTACCTAAGGTAGGTTTGTAAGTAAATAGGAAAGCAACCTCGAAGGTTTTCGCCCATGATCCATACCAATTCACCATACTTCAAGCACCGAGACAATCCCCACCATAGTGAAAAAAATATCCCGTTCTTGTAAAACGTCTTACCATACTATATTTCTCGTGCTTCATGAACTTCAAAGTTATCTCCATGTCTTAGAATTAATATACGAGGAACCCCCCATGTAAAATGCACATGTTATGCTAGTATTAAGATCTGAAAGACGGGCGATCCTGTACGGGACTTCAGTTAGAGTATTGTATTAATCTCAAAAGCACTCGTAGAAACCTGACACACTCAGAACTTGTGCTGCTAGTCAAATTCACTTGCGTAAACACCCAGGCAACATTATACAGTATGAACGAGCGAGTATCAAGTAGCACACGATAGAAAACACATCTATAGACTCTTTGAGGGGATCTAACAGATGAGAAAGTCTTTATGGTATGGTACAGCGAAGTGCGTGATTATCTGATACACTCTATGACCGGGTCCCCCCCTTTTTTCGATCCGGCCCCCAATCACTGCCCACTTAAAAGTTTCGGCTCATGTCATTTCGGATTCTCTGGTAGTCTAGTAGTCCCTCGATACTGCCAACCGCACTGATGGCAAGGTCCTGGTCCCATAATTTTCGTTGGGCAAAGTTCATTACATCCTTCTCAGTAATGAGGTCAATCACTGTCTCAATCTCACGAGGGCTTCTTCGGCGACCAGTAGTGACGATTTGTCGACCAATGTCTTCCGCGATAGCCGATGTGTTGTCGAGGGAGAGGAGAACGGAGGCCTTCAGCTGTGCCTTTGCTCGCTCGACTTCAGACTCGGTAACATTGGTTGAAAGTCGAGACCATTCTCGAAGAGTGAAGTGAACTAAGTCGTCGAGGGTGGTGAGTGAGTCACTGACTAGGTAGATACCCCATAGACTAATGAATTAATTAGTGCCTGAACGATCTATTAAAAGATGAAAGGGGAGAGATATAATTACCCGGTGTCGTTGTAACTAGTAGAGAAGCTCATAAAACTGTTGGCTAGGTTGTTGTGGTGAACAAATGAGCTTAGCTTGCTTCCCTGGTGAGGGGCGCTGCCCATAGCCTTGTCATAGTTGCCGACAATAGCCTGGGTAACCAAGGCAGTGAAGTAGTCATCATCGTTCCAGCTAACACCCTCCACCGCGAGAGCGATGTGGGCGGCAGGGATCGTGTCATCGCGGATTCGAACCTCAGATCCAATAAAGTTGGGGGTTTTCTTGGACTGGATGTAGGCCTCGTTGTGAGGAGACGTAGTAGGGAGACTGGAGAAGTTCTTCTCAGCTAGGGCGACAAGCTGTTCGTGCGGGATACCACCGGCACCAGCCAGAACCATACGATCAGCTGTATAGTTGGTCTTGATGTAATTAGTGAGCTCGGTGCGGGTGATGTCGCGGATATTTTGTCGCGGTCCTAGAATTGTGCGTCCCAAAGGCTGGTGTGCGTAGGCAGTAGCATGAAGATGGTCGAATACAACTTCGTCCAATTGCTTCTCGACTTCCTCAGATTCACGAAGAATGACGTCGCGTTCTCTTTCGATCGCAGAATGGTCGAGCTTTGAGTTCTGAAGGATATCGGCGAGGATGTCGACACATTGGGGAATATCGGAATTGAATGCTCTGGAGAAGTATACAGTGTTCTCGCGCTGTTCAGGTATTAGTAAGTAAAGAACCAAGATATTGCTATTGGCAATATTTTATGTAAAGGCCTAATATTTACGTACCGAGGTGTAGGCATTGAGGTGGCCACCCATGTTCTCGATCTCGATCTCGATTTGTTGTTGGCTTCGCTTCTTGGTGCCCTGAGCAGATGATCAGTAAAATTTTACTGGGTAATGCAATGTAAGATCTAATTTAATTTCATACCTTGAAGGCGAGATGCTCTAGGAAATGTGCGGTTCCATTTGTCTCGTCGGTCTCGGCTCTTGAGCCAGCATCGATCCACACTCCCACGGTCGAAGTCTGCGCCCAGGGCGAGTATTCTGTCGCAATCTATATTTTGTTGATCAGCAATGGGCCTGAGAAATAGAAAAAGGGCACCATTGGAATTAGAGAAACCTACTGTCAAACCATTCTTCAATGTGGTGGTCTCAGTCTTCGCGCCGAGGACAGACGTCACTGGAGTTGCAAAACCTCTCTTTAATGGTCGGATAAGGGAATTGGCAGCAGAACGGCTGCGCATGCCCTGCGCAAGGCTGAATGCGAGTCTCCTAGACGCCATTAGGGGTGTTGAGTTGAGAGGGCGTTATGGCGTTTAGGGTAATTATGTTGAAAGTTGAGCGGTTAGATTGGGAAATCGGGAAATCTTGAAAATCGTTCGGTTTCGGCTGTATGAGCTCAAATTTTGGGTTTGCACTGAGGCGTTCGAGTGCGTCAAGCCTCAATTTTCAGCCTGTCTGAAGCCTGTCCCACCATCTGAACCCCACCAAGTCTAGCTAGCGTCAGTAATTTGTGGCTTAGCACTTACAGTAAAGAATAATCAATCGCTGGTTGGTCAACGGCTTTTATGCCAGTCAACGGTGCTATTCGAATCCAGGTGGATACAGTGGGGAATTAATACCCAGGTACCTATTGTACTTGCCAGGTATTCGACGAACATTGGATGCTCTTGGGCTTTAATGTTGAACTTACCAGTGACAGTTGCCAGTGACAGTTGAACCTGCCATGCCATGCCATGTGCAATGGATATAACATTAAACTCAATTCAAGTTAACTTAATTTAATCTTCCACTTCATTCCTTGACTGAAGTCTTTGTTTTCAGTCCTCGTCTTCTCATGTTTCTACTTTCATATCATTCGTGGCTTAATAGAATGAATAACTTCACTTACTTCTGATTGTATCCAAAGGTGAATGTGACATCGATATCGACATCGACTTCAACTTCTACTCCCCCGAACTCTAGCTACATACAGCTACAGTTACCAAGATGGGGCCACACATATCAAGCTATCCACCTCTCGGACAGATCACTCAGCTCAAAGACCAAAATTTCCATTTAATCGCTCTTTTAGAAGTGGGAAAAGATGTCGCCAATGACCCTTGGGAAGTTGCTGTTTGGTATACATTTGACCATCATAATTGGTCCGAGAAGATCTTACCCCCCCTTCCCAGTAGTGATTGTCCACCGTCACTTCAAACCATCAATTCTTCGAACGCTCTCCTATACTTCTGTTCTCCTTTTTTCGCTTCCTCTCGCGTAAAATTCACTCTGAAATTCCGCAATAGCCATGATCAACCGTGGATGTGGTCTTACAACGTATCAGGCGTAACTAATGGCGTAGTCATTATCAACCAAGAGGAGTCTTTGGATGGAACTGAACAAAGTCTCTCAGATTTCATCCATGGAATCAACCCAGACTTGTTAGTTAAACCCGTAGCAAGTCAGACTCCTAATACTCGACTTTGGACTATAACTGCAACCGTTGGCCCAGCTGAGGAGGACCGTTCCACTTATCACAATATAGAACTCGGAACCCCATGTGGTTATATGCGGTGAGTCATTCGTTACAAAGTGTTGAATCAAGACACTAATTAACTATAGATATTTTGCTCTAGTTCGGCACGCCTTGCCATGGCTAGGTCCCAGGCATGGTAGCGATACGATCAGCCTCGACAAGAATGCTGTCATGTGTTCCTTTCTCAACCTTAATGGACAACATCTTGTCTTGTTAGGGATCAGCGATGTGGCCAACGTAATGACTCTTCTTCGGAGTTCGGATACGGGCTCTGTACAATTGCATGTGAGTATATCCTTTCTTCTCCTTGTGTGTGGTTATCGTCATCTTACACTTCACATATAGATCCGCAACGATGCCGAAACCGATTCAGACGGTCTTGTTCTGGCTGCTGTAGGCCATAACTTTGAAAGCGCCATGGCTGCTGTAATGTACCACGCACGTACTATTCCTCTGACTACCGGAAGTGATCATGGAAATTCGACTCCGGATATCCAAACTGTGAGTAATGATGTGAAAGCTCAATGGAATGAGAATTGGTACGACGGACTAGGATATTGTGAGCCATGTACCCATTAACCATGTCTTTTCAACAGCTGTGACTAATATATAGCTAGGCACTTGGAATGCCCTGGGACAGCGTCTCACTGATGAGAAGGTGATCCACGCTATTGAGACGTTGGCGAAAAACCACATCAATATCAGCAGTCTCATCATAGACGATAACTGGCAGGACATTGATTACCAAGGTGGAGATCAATATCAGCATGCTTGGAAAGGATTCGAGGCAGAGCCTACTGCATTCCCACATGGTCTCAAAGATACAGTTTCTCGTATCCGATCAAAACATCCTGGAATTAAACATGTGGCCGTTTGGCACGCTTTGCTAGGATACTGGGGAGGCATCTCAAGTGACAGCGACCTCGCCAAGAGGTATAAAACAATACAAGTCGATCGACAAGATGCTAGTGCCCAGGGGCCCATGACTGTTATTGCCAAAGAAGACGTGGGGCAGTTTTACAACGATTTCTACCAATTCTTGTCTGATTGTGGGATTGATAGCGTCAAGGCTGACGTTCAGTATATGGTTGATACTTGGATTTCTGCTAAGCATCGCCGAGAACTCACCGAAACATATCTAGACAGCTGGGTGGTCTCTGCCCTTAGATACTTTAGCATCAAAGCTATCTCGTGCATGTCGCAGACGCCACAACTCCTATTCCACCAGCAATTACCACACAACAAGCCGGCCATGGTTGCGCGAAATTCAGATGACTTTTATCCCGATGTTCCCGATTCGCATCCATGGCATATTTTCGCCAATGCCCACAACACTCTATTAACTCAGCACCTAAATATTCTACCGGACTGGGACATGTTCCAAACAGATCACGAGTTTGCGGGCTTCCATGCTGCTGCGCGTTGTCTAAGCGGTGGACCGATCTACATCACCGACGTCCCAGGGAACCATAACCTGGAAATTATCAACCAAATCACCGGGACCACAACTCTAGGAACGACAGTCATCTTCAGACCTAGCGTCCTAGGTAAAAGCATAGATGCGTATATCGGCTACGACGAACCCAACATACTCAAAATCGGATGCTATAATGGGATGGCCGTGACTGGGACGCCGATCCTAGGGGTCTTTAATACCTCTCGCCAATATTTGCGAGAGATCATCCCCCTCTCCCGCTTCCCCGGCGTTCTTGAATCCAGTATGTACGTCGTGCGTGCCCACCGCAGCGGCTTCGTTACCCCGGCTCTAAAGCCCGACAATCCCACCGCCGTGATCCCCGTGCAATTAGACGTGCGAGACTACGACATCTTGACCGCTTTCCCTGTGACCTGGTTCGACAGCGAGACTAATGGTGGAATCCACGTTGCTAACCTAGGTCTAATCGAGAAGATGACAGGGGCAGCTGCTATCATGGCAAGCCGATCCGAGCTACAACACAACGGCAGGGTGGTTTTGAGCACGTGGCTTAAAGCCTTGGGAGTCCTCGGTAAGCCTTCTTCTTCTCCCTCCCTTTTCCTGAATATGCGTATATGCTTTTCAATGAATGATCAGTTCCTCATAAAAGAAAACTAACCAATCCACTTTGAAAGGTGTGTACATCTCATGTTTACCCGATATGTCGATCGAGCGAGATTTCATAGCTACGATGAGGGACGAGCCAATCCCTGCTCACACAGCCAGAGTCAGTGAAGCCGACGCCCATGTGTTGAGCATCGATATCGAAACTGCGTGGAAGGAGATGGGGCTGGATTCTTGGGGAACCAGTGATATCGAAGTCAAGGTGTATTTCGATATCGAACACCCTTGATAATGAGAAACAGAATACCTTGGTGCCTAATGCCTACCTAGTAGTTACTCGGGGTATATAAGTATATATGCCTCTTGTTGGTAGAAGGGCTTTAATGTTAGCAAGAAGGCATAGATTAGATGATTACAAGACGAGCATGAAGTTACGAAAATGAATGAATGAAAGCAGATTGGTACACTTATGGGATAGGCATAGATATTCATGTCATGGGCGTGAATGATAGATTAGCTAGGTACCTAACCTACCAATAATTGGCATGACAACTACCTACCTAACTTGAAAACATCGTAAAGCGAAACCAGCAGCAAGCCAACTTAAAAACCTCTCCTCCGAGCTCCTAATCGAATTCGACTTTCAAGCTTTTAGTCCCAACCTCTTCGCCTCAAACGCCACCGCCGCCTCAGTCTCATCCTTCAGACTGGGGCTCTTGGGCGCCCAGCCAAGATACTTCCTCGCCCTCGCGGCGACGCTCTTGGAGTTGGCGCCGTAGCGCGGGGCGTCGACTTCCTTGGTGGCAGGCTTGGGGATGAGCCCCTGCCGGGCGGCCTCGTCGGCGACCCAGCGCGCGACGTCGCTCCACTTGTGCACGCCGCTCTCGAGGAAGAAGTAGGCGGTTGGCCCGAAGATCTCGGGGTTGCTGTTCTTGGCGGGGTCGAGCGCGGCCTCGACGGCGAGGACGAAGAAGGCGCCGAGGTCGTGGATGTGCACGTTGTCCCACTCGGTTAGGCCCGGGGCCTGGATGGGCGCGTGCCCGTTCGTCAGGGTGTACTCGATGAGCCCTGGTACCTGGATGCTGCGCTGGTTGGCGGGCCCACGGCCGGTGCCGTAGATGGTGGGGGGTCCGACGATGAGCGTCTTCACGGCGGGCGACGCTGTGTTCGCGCCGAGCACGATCTTGTCCACGTTCCGGTGGATGGCGCTGTCAGGCAGCGAGACGATGCGCTCGATGTCGTCGATGTCGTGGTATCGCTGCTCTGGCAAAGGGGCCTGCCCGTACCGCTTGTGGTCCGCATCGTACCAGGTCAGGATGCCCGTTCCGCAGAGGTGGATCCAGTAGCCCGGCTTTTCGGCCGAGTGCCCCGCCGCAAGACCTTTGGCGATGGCCTTTGCGGACGGGACGTTATCCGCCGAGTCAGCTGTGTCTATACTGAGGTTAGTATATCCCAATTACAGTTATATATATAACTATATGGTTGACTCTTATTTAAGAGGGGTGTCAAACATACGAACTACAACATCCGCTGCGGCGGCTTCTTTCTCAATAACGTCGGTGTCATCGAGTGTGCCGTAGACTAAGCGGGCATTGGGGTAGGCGGCGGCGACTGGTTTTCCGCGCTCCTCATTCCGGATGAGTAGAGTGTACTCGTACTCCGGGTGGGCTTTGTTTAGCGAGTAGAGGGCATCGCCGCCGATATAACCTGCAGTTTCCCTAATGTTTTAGCATGTAAACGGGTGAGGGGTGCTCTACGGGGTGTCTAAGCAGAACGTACCAGTTGCACCAGTACTGTTGTGGAAAATAAGGTTAGCTTCCGGGTCGTTCTATAAACTGTTCTCCATGCTTGAGGTACTGCACTTACAGGAAGATCTTGGGAGCCATTTTGCGATTATTGGTCGAGTGTTGTATAAGTGATCAGGGTGGAATTGGTGGTATAAGGTAGAATGATTTGTTTGTTTAGCAGAAAACAAATCAATTATTGAGGGGATATAAGAGGCACTTTATATATCACAGTAGGCTGTAGAAGCTATGAATATTGAAGGCATAAGATACCTTGATATCTACCTAGGTACCTACCTTTACCTTAGGTAGGTCGACTCCATTCAATATTGTATGACAAATTACAAACAACGTTTCGAGTGACGCCATCTAGGTCCCATATCCCTCTTTCCCTCCCCTCCCCTCCCCCCACTTACCCTTCCATGTTCACAGAGGGGAATAGATTTTACGTTCAGCTTAAGCTTTCCAGGCTAACAAGCTTTCCCGTACATGATTTATAAATGATGCTTCCCAACCTAGAACTTGGGAAGTTACGCGGCACGCATAGATGTAAGAACGGGACGCCAAATACCGACCACGTGACTGACAACTGTTTGAAAAGGTACATTTCTTTGTCAACTCGGTCAATTTCATTTCGTTCCATCACCAATTTTCTTAATTTTCTCGAATTTTCTCAGGGTCACCTTTTCCCCGATGCCCACGCCACTTACATGCAAAAGTCCCCCCTTTACGCTTTCAAGGTAGTATGCCTAAGCTAGCTCTAGAGTACATCCTCCTAATTAATGGCTTAGGTATGTACTTTATGTTAATACCAATCCTTCTGTGTTCTCCTTAATACTCTGGTCGAGGCTCGTCCATCCATGGCCTGTACATCTCTTGAGTAATTCTTCGGCCCTTTCATTCGCCACCTTGCTCTGGTCTTTAGGCACATCAGAGACATCCTCGCCAAATCTGCGCTCGGGGCATACCGTTCTCAGCCCGTGCAAAATGGAATTCCAATCATAAGGATATGCAAAGGCGAATAGCCTCTCGCCCTGCACATCGGGATACACTAGCGCTGCGACGTGCAATGTGGCATCATCGCGCACGTTAACGTAGTACTGTGGTATTAGGCCCGGAAAATCCTTCATTCTCAGGCCTTCCCCCATTTCGAGTAGGGCCGGGATCCACAATCCCGTAGTCCGGTAGCCTTGGTTGACCGGGTCAATGGACGCTCCGAAGTTGGCACTGGGAATCACTGTGTTCAGTGCAAAGGCGGGCTGATGCTCCCGCATCCATTGCCATGCTGCCTGCTCGGCTTTGGTTTTGCTTGCGAAGTAAACGTCTCTGAGGCGTTCCTTCACATCAGGAGGTGGTAGCCCGTATGCCTTTTCGACCGAAGCTTCATTCCAGGTGTCCGAGTCGACCGTGAAAACCTTGTTGGGAACAAAATATGTGCATGCCCCCGAAGAGGACGTTAAGACCACCCTCTTAATCATCGGCTCCTTCGCAGCCGACTCTAGAAACCGAATTGTGCTGTCCACAGCAACAGGAACAGTGACGTGAGGATCGGTGGTGTCCATTATCGGTGCCGCACAGTGCACGAAGCCGGACGCCCCCTTGGCAGCTTCGTCGAATGCGCCATTTTGTACCATATCTGACACCTCCAACAATTCAAACTTGCCTGGTCCATATTTCTGCTCAAAAAGGGGTTTCACCCATTGGTTCTTGGAAATACTTCGGACAGTACCACGAACACGATATCCATACTGCAATAGCTGGTCCGCGATATGACTCCCAACAAAGCCATTGACGCCCGTCACCACTACCAGGGACCCGGGGCTCATTGTAAGCTTGGAGTTGTGGGTTCCAAGCTTCTGTGATCCATTTGATGATTCCGTCATGATGAAGGTGGCGATATGGCCCAATACTCCTCGAATCAGTTAACGTTTATTTGAGCAAATAGACCTCGATGCACGACAATTCGCTTTACCCGTCATGAAGAGTATCTCGAGACCCGCTACTGATTTATAAGCCATCTTCGGTGAACGTCATATCTCCGCGACGGCATTGACTTGTTACGTCTCATTGTAGCATGCCGGCATAGTTCGTTCCAATAGGGTCGAAGGCTTGTGTAGGTTCCAGACCGTATGGCTAGGCTACCCGCATAGTATCCTACCTTCTATGTAACCTTAGATATGCTTACTCATAAAGCCGAGCATGAAAGCCACATTTTCATCCATGTGATGCCAGATACTGCATCGTTAACCTTCCCACACTGTTCGTTTACTTACATGATCTGAGCTTGACTACTTGAATTGATTGATAATACAAGAAAAGGGGCTGAAAGCACTTTATTGATACTGAGAGAGAGAAAGGCAGGCAGCTGTCCACAATGTTTGGGGTAGGCCCCTACATATACAAGATGTCCTCCTGACCTGAACTTAAGGTTCCTATCAAGGGGCATGCATACCTAGGTAGGTGTACCCAGTAAACGTACGTACATATTATACAGCTCATTCAAACCACCAAACAAACATACCTACATACCTTCGACTAGCTTGGTCGGAAAATGTGACCAGCCAACGGGTCTTATATACATACTTATCCCCGTTTGGCAATGGTGAACAACGCCATTAGTATGGGATAAAAGGAACATATTTGGCATTGGAACTTGGCCAGTGCTAATAAAATTTCTTTAGTAACATCCAACGGGCTTGGTCGTGCTAGGGACGAGATGTAAAAAAAAAAGCCAAAAAGTAACTGCCCATCCTGGGGTCGAACCAGGGATCTTCTGATTTTACTGCTTTTACTAACAGTCAGACGCCTTTACCACTGGGCCAATGGGCAATTGATACCAAATTGATTCTTAGCGGAAACTATATAGACTTGTGCGCAGGCGGGGTCTTTGCGGGCGTAGTTTCCCCGAGAAAAAGGCGATAGAAGGGCGCTAACAAATTTTAGTCATCTGCTAAGGTTAGGGCATTTAGGGTCCGGTGACATAATTGGAATGCCCGGAAGTTCAATAACTAACTAACCTTAGGCTCTTCTGTCTAAGTCCAACATCAACTGGATTTACTGTATCCTGAAAGCTCCTACGGCCTGTCTATCTACAGAGATGTTCCGTGGCATTAACGTACAAATATACTATGGACAGATTCATTGGTGGGACCGAAATGAGGTTTCTTCTTTTCTCATATGCTGCTCGCACACCTGAATACCTACCCCACAGACGGGACAAAACCGAAGTTATTCACCATGCAGCATACTTAGGTAGGTCTAAATCTTTATGGTAATGATGGATATGAGTACGAACCCCATATCCAGAAAAGTTGGTGACATTACTATGAAACCCCCCTCGAGACCCCTACTGATGCACGCCACGCCCCCTATAATTATCCAAAGCGCCATGAGACATCCATTCGTCAACCCATCCATCCATCCACATCCCTACCTAGGAAATAATAATACAGCCAACTCCCCCCCTTTCCAAGTCAACCAGTCAACCAATGAAACCGACATGACAAACCAAAACTTAATCATCTAAAGTCCAGTCAAGAACAGAGCTGTACGCCTTATCTCTCGTCACAGCACCATTGACAACTAGCTGCTGCAGGTCCGTATTGAAGCAGTTGTCCACGGTCTTGGCGCCGTCGCACACCGAGAACAGCGTCTTGTCGCTCATCCGGCAGAACGTGCCGTCCGCCACGTTGACGAAGTCTGGTCCGACCGATGTGTCGCTCTGACAGAGCCCCTCTGCCGAGTGCTGCGCGCTCTTGCTCATGACTAGCCGGTTCGTGTGAGGGTTGGCGCTGGCGCTGGTGTCGTCCGTCCCGTTCGCCCTCCGATACTTGATGCCCTCTTGACTGTGCCGGAACCGGGCGGAGACAGGATTCTCTGATGGAGCGTAGGAGATGGCCGTCTCCCGCTTGTTCTTGTTGCTAAGAGTCCAGTGGGTGATGGTCTTGGGGTCCTTGACGTCGGTGTACTGGTACATCTTGAAAGGGGGCCCCTGGTTGCACAGGAAGTCACGCTTCTGCTTCTGCTCGGCCGCGTCGGTCGGCAGGGTCTCGTCTTGCTTCTCTACGAACTCCGGCCAGTGCACTTGGAACCCCGACTGCGGCTGGTCGTTGTTGCCGTCGATCCAGAGGCAGTCGGGTTTTCTGTTGCCGCCCTTGATGTAGACGTTGGAGTAGTACCTTTAAGTAGGGTTTTAGCACGAATGTTTCTTTTTCTCGCCCAGTGGCTTAGGATGAATCGTTAACTTACCAGGATCCGCCACACTCGTGTCCCCAGTCGCCAACCCAAGAGTACTTTTCGTTGCTCGGCCAAGTGATAGAGACATATGCAATGCATATGGCATCCTTGTTGGCCGAGAACAATGCATAGGTCGGCTGCTGGGTGGAGTCCCCCTTATGGTCTATTGTGATATCGCCGAAGCCCCCATCCTCGACCTTCCCAGGATCGGTCTCGATGCCGATGAAGTCACCGGCCTCGTTGAACAGCCGGACGTCTGGAAGATCGCCTCCGGCATTGTCAAGACCGCCCTGGGTGTCGAGGCCCACGGTAACCCTCACCGAAGACCCGACGGCCTTCTGCTCGGGGAAGTTGTCAACGCCGAACTGGAGGATCCCCAGAACACCTGAGATCACCCCGATGGCCTCGATGACTCCTGCCATTGTGCGTGTTTCTAAAAAAGAGTGATAGAAACGTTGAAATCGTTAAGAAGTATAAAAAAGAGTGTATGTGATTTCTCAAAAACGAGTGTGAGATATTCAACGTGTAACGAATGTATTAGTTGGATCCTAGACTTCAACAACTCAGCGAAAGCGTCTGGTCTGATGCCGAACTGATCATTATTCGAACAAGCCCAGGGAGGAGGGTTTTATATACCTACCTAGGTAGGTATTCAAGATCCAACTTAGGACTATTCACTTCCTCGCCCCCATCTCTCCCGAATTGCACTTCTCGACCTAGTAATCCATCTATCTAGACACGAGAAACCAACCCTGGCCACAAAACCACCTGGGCACCCAAAAGGGATCCAAGATTTCATGCGGGCAGCGGGACTATACCGCATATACAACTCTTACGCAAGAGAAAAGAAAAGAATTTTCAAAGCCCCAATGTATCATCAATACTTACTCTATACATGCCCAGGTGTAATTACTGTAACTCTGATAACAGCCCATCGAGGTATCTCGCATGATTACGTACAGGATCAGCGACGAGACGTCTCGTAAGCAGGCAAGCGGGTGGGTACCTGCATCTCTACACTATCTACATCTGATCTCTATCTCTACACGTGTAGGCACGCATGAAGAACGTGCACGATTGAGGCTAAAGTCTGGCCAGGGGGATGGGAGTGTTCAAGGCTTCAACTCAGCCTCCATCACCGAATGCAACAGCTCATTGCCGTCTCGGGAAGGTCTATCCCATGTTTAACACGAGATAGGGTTAGATGGGAAAAAAAAATAGAAGAAAGAAAAGGGGGGAGAGGGGGGGGGGGGGGGGGGGGGGTTGAGCAAGATAGGTGCAGGGGGGCCAGGGTTCGCGATTCACTACTATTAGTGTTCCTAGATTTCGAACAGGATCACGCACGTTAGATTTAGATTGGCAAGAAAGCTTGAGCTGGACAACCCTTAACTACTCATATACATATTACCCACATACCATAATACTAGGTACCCAGGTAGTATTCTTTCATGCAAGAAGCCAGCCTTATACCCTTTTCGAGGCGCAAAAGAAGACTCATGTGTTTCACATGGCAACGATCTGCGCACATAACTAACAGTCGTTAGTTGGCGCGGCGGACTCTGCCACAATGCCAAGAGATTGGAAAACTCCCCGGCTTTATTCTTTGATGTCTTTTCTTTCTTTCAGGGGGAGGGACTGGGACTTGGGACTTGGGACTTGGGGTTTGAGGGGTTTAGTTAGGGGTTTAGGGTTCTAATTATAGAACACCTGATCAAATCAGATCAATAGTTATGGGTTGAATATCGCTTTTTTTTTCTTTTTTTTCTTTTGCACTTTAACTACTATTACCTACCTACGTAATTTACATCTCATATAAGTTATAGGAAATACATAAGTAGGCAAGGTAGGTATGTACCTAATACTAATAATCAGCATCCAAATCTCTCTCTATTAGTTAAGTTCAATGTTAGTTAGCTAGGTTAGGTAGTTATTATCTAATTCCATTTCACGTAACACACACACACACACACAGCGCCGCGGCTATCGCTGATTACTACATACGTACAAGTACAATACAATAAATGTAATTACAATAAGTTAAGCCCCAACTCAACTTCAAGCGCCCTTACATCATCAGGTTCTGGGTGCCTGCCTGCATTTGTCAAACCCCCCTAACACAAAAAAAAAAGGGGGGGGGGGGGATCCCTACCAAGAACCTGGGAGCATGCATCAAGGTAGGTATCAATCAACCTTGAAGGTTAGTTACCAACAACAATACTTCATTCAATGTTGAGAAGCTCCCTTACGTTTACATACGTGCGCTCATGCAGCTTTTTTTTCGGCTGTCGCGTTGACTATTACCTATATACATACCTAGCTAGGTATTAAATATGTTGGTGGTCAATGAAGCCTGGAGCCTGCCTACATGTACCTATCTACTGGCGACATTTGATTGTAGGCATGCATGCATGCACCCACCCAGCAAGCCGCCAGAGACGCTGGGAGCATGGGAGCCACGAGCCGAGATAACCTCGAATTCCATTCCATTGGATTGGGCTATGTTGTATACCTATACTAGGTACCTAGTTCACTCTATTCCCACATGATGCCTTTCCTGGGGTAGACCGTCGTTTGCCGCTGTTGTTAAGGCTTTGACTTGGGATCACCCCTTTCCCTTGGAAAAAGCGTCAATGACCAGCTCCCTAGTTAGCGTAGGTAATTATAACAATCTTCTCTTATTCATGTCCTTCTTCTTCCCCATCCCATCCCATATCCCAGATTTCCCGTCTTCCCCCAATTTCTTTATCGCGAACCTGGCAGTATAGTATATATAGCCTTACCTGTCCAGGCGCCCAGGTGCTTGCTTGGTAGGGACACGGGATCGGCGGCATACATAAATACGAGACAGCCTTTGTTTGCCATCTTCTTGTAGCCCTAGGACATATACCTATATATATCTTGTTCAGAGTGTCGCTCCTTTCCCTGTCCGATCCCACCCCCTTCACCCCCCTAGTCCTTTCAAAACTCCCACGTAAATAATAATACCGACATGAGGGACCTCCGCACCACTCTTCTCGCTTTCGCTTTCGCAGCCACTGCGATCGCGCAAGACCTCAGTCAGACCATCGTCGGATGCGTCGACCTCGAGTGTCCCGCGGCGACGGACAACGTCAATGACAACTGCACCATCGCAGACACTGGATCTTTTTCGTCCGTCGGGCTGACGCGCGTGCCCCTTGGTAGTGGTGACAGCAACGGCACCAACAGCGCGACGCTTGCGGGCATCTCGTGGGTCAAGGCCTTCACCGTCGCCAGCGCCGGCGATTCACGAGCCTTTATCAGCTCCTTCTACCTAGGCTCGCCGCCGTCGCTGCAGCCGCAGCTGAACGCGTCTACCGGCGGATGCGCCGTCTTTATGCACGGCGCTTCCAGCTCCATCACGTTCGGTGGTGAGCTCAACGGCACCTCCCAGGGAACATGTGCGGATGCCATGGGCGCCTCGTGCGTGGATGCGCTCGTCTCGCGGGCTACGACTCTGGTCGAGGGATACCTCAGAAATGCCAGCGTTGGAGTCACCGTTGAGAATACTTGCGAGAAACTGCATAGCGACTTGGAAAAGAGTAATGACGAGGCGTGCCTCCCGGTCTCGCAAGGATTGTGGAGCAATTTTACCGCTGTCGGTAAGTTCGGGGCTCGAAGCTGAATACCTACCTATAGGAGATAGCCCATCAGCACAACTAACATATGGCCATTACTTTAGCTCTAACTGGAGATGGAGCGCCACGGCCTATCACTGCGCAGCAGAACTCATCCGCGAATTGCTGGCCTGTGACCCCGAAGCAGGACGACCTAGCGCTAATACGCCAGCAGGCTACTCCTGTATGTCACTTCTTCATCCCTCAATGCTTCAATTATTGCCCAAGTTCTGCCTAGTAGGTAGCCTAACATTCAGTCAATTAGGCGAGCGACTTAATCAGTGATATCGAGAAAGCCTTATGGGCAATCACTCCCATCATCACTGTCTTTTACAACGCAAGTAGTGGGAGTGTGATTACTGGCGTCGATGCTTCCATGTCATGTGTCAAAACCATGGGGCCTGCGAGGGCCTCACTCGACACTATGAGCAATGGAACAAGCAATGATGAAGGTGGTGCTATTGCATTATCGTCATCTTCCGGTTTGTTGACTGCTCTTTATGTGGCTATAATTGCCTCCTTGGCTTTATATATGACATGACGAGCCTCGCAGGTTGGGAGACTTGAAGGAAGAATTGGCGTTGGTGTGCATTTTATTAAGCCTTTAGAAAGGTCCGTTTCTCATTCGACGCACATGTGCCAAATACGGGGAACCCTTAGAATAGAACGGGACGTTTCCGGTCCTAGTAATCCATATCAGTTATTAAGCTCAGAGACAACTAACTACCTAGGTGAAAGGGGGGGAAAGGTCAGGCATAAGAGATTATTAGGGATAACGAGACCAGCCAGGTAATATCAGGTTAAACATTAATTGTTGATCGGCTCTCTGAATAGCCATTGGCCGTCATCCTCGCGGACCAATTCAACCTCGACTCGGCCGATGTGAGCATTTAAGCCCTCCGGGACTTCCATTCCATTGCCAACTTGAGCTTCGATACTTTGTTGCACATGACAGAACAGTAAGGGTAAAGAGTCGCCCTTCCAAGCGCATACTTGGTCTCTCGAGGTTCTCTAGACCGTTTGTGCTATCCAGTTTTAGCATACGCCTTACAGAGATTTAATTGGATCCATGTTATGGACTATCCTTACCGAGATAACAGAAAGCCAAGACCATGAGAGTCAACGGGTAGATTACCCAGTACCAATTGACTTTTACGTGGGAGGCTGCAATGAATGCGGTACCACTGTATTTGAATGATTGCCTGTCGCTGAGACTGCCACTTTGTCGAATGTTGTTGGTCATGCTCAGGGATAATCTTGCTATCCAGTTATCTAGATCCGAGGTTGTGCTGTGAATGGCTTCAATCCAATCAGATGAGTACTTAACCACCCCCCCGATGCTCGAAGCGTGGCCCGTCATTAAAGAATCCATAAACCCCCGTAACGCATGAACAGAGTCTACAGGAATGGTATATCGGGTTTTGTTATGTACGTGGAGTTCCGGTGGGATATCGACGAAAGTAAGTTCATCGAAATGTCCGTTTGTCTCTGGAGAGTACTTGGTTTTTGGCCAGTGTGCGATAACCGCGCTGTCTTGCACGCCATTCGTTACGGTGGCATTAAGGCTTTCGAGGCAAAACCACAATGCACATTCATGGCTTTCAACTCTCGCCTTTCCAGCCGTCTGTGATACGGAGATTATGTCGAAGACGGAGAATAAAGCTCGATCATCAGAATTAAAAGTGTGTATTGAGCCATTGGATGGGGCAACAATGAAGTCGAAATCGGACACGTCCCCATTTGGTTTGGTTACAGAGGTACCCGTGGGCATCGTGTATGTACATCCATTGTGCAAGTCGCACGAAGTTCTAAAAATGGACTCCGTGCAATTTCCACAGACAGCTATGGTGGGAAAAGGAGGCCACATGCAGTGACCCGTTGAGCAGGGTAAAGGGATAGTCAGCATACTGCTGGCCATGACGCCATCATATATAGCTGCCTTAGTAGAAAGGCCTAGAAATAGTTCTAACTTCCATTAGTATTATATCTCAACTTATGAAGGTGAATAGAACAAAGCGCTACCTTTGCCCCTTGGAACGATGTTGTGCCATGTCTCAGCCCTTGGTGGCGCTGGGGCAGGCGAGCCGACCATGCTGGACCTGTGTGTAAGCGGTACTGGCTTGTTGCTGAACCCAATCATCTCCGAAGAAAAGGTCTCGAAGCCTTGGGCGAGTATCATGATGACGGCCCCGACACAGGCCAAGTGCCTACGGATCAACTGAGCATCTGTAGGTACCATTGAAGTCTGTTGGCCTGATCTTGAGACTCACCTCCCTTTCAAGCGCCATAGTAAAACTAAACTTCCGTATAACCCCGTTGCGGCTTCGTCGAACATTTTGAAGTCTTCCAATCGAGCTTCAACTTTCCCCTTGCGGAAGCCGGACACCCAGATCCAGGCACCTTGGCTGATGCACGTCTGAACTACTGCCTTGAGGGCGAGACGAAAACAACTCATGACAGCAATGATAATGGTACTTAGTTTGAGGCTGTCGTTCCATTCGGGTTCAAGCATGCCGTCAAACAAGTACATGATGGTGATAAGAAAGCCAGCTGTTATGAGACAGAGGCCACAGTAGAAGTATTCCTCCTGCCACTAGCCCAGAGTATAGCGAACGGTGTGTTGGAGCTCGTGCACTGACGGGATTGCGAAGTTGAGGGAAGCATGTTCATCACCACTTTCATCGTCGGGCTCAATATTAGGATCTGAGTCTATCTTGGTTGGGAAAATCTCGACCCGTGAGCCGGACCTCGTAAGGGGGGAGTCCATTGTAGTCAGGCTCTAAAACGTATCAAAATGCCACTTGAGTAACAAAGAGAAGTGAGCGTATGTCGGATGCTGAATTAACAAGCTTGGCTGGTTCGAGATGGTGAAATGCGTACTGGTATCTAATAATGCATACAGAGAGAAAGGGCAAAAGGGGTGGAATGAAATATATACTATGTTATATATAAATAATAACAAGGGATTATATCATTGATAACTAACCTACCTACATACCTGGGTAGTAGTAGTATGGTTGATGTTTTGTTTAAGACGAAGTTGTACAAATAAAATGAGAAGGTGATTGAATTAAAGGCCTTGATTGACCGTAATATCCAATTGAACTCACTGACAGTGCCTTCCCGAGAATAAGGTTCAACGTTCCTTGAGGACTCAATTGTCAGGAACAGCCTCAGTTTCTCCTACTACTTTTTACTGAATATTCATATTGATTACCGCAGATATTTACGTAAAGTGACAACATTGGATGACTGATATTGGAGATTACGAGGGAACCTTTCAACATGCATATTAGTGTAATCTACTAGTATATGCATCATGTGTAGTACCCCTCATAAAGAGATAAGAGACATACATCCTAAGTAGACATTGCCATATGTACTTACTTGATATGCAGATGTATATAAAGTATACATATAAAGTGTATGTGCATAGGTATGCATCATGTAAATGTAACAGACTTGAACGTTCGGTGAATCAGATGAAAATTAGATGAACTTTGACCATCATGCACTTAGCACGCCCCCTCATAATTATACTCGGCGTCACTTGTGCCATCGCGTGGGAATTCCCCCAGAAGCCCGTTTTCCCTCCTGGCCAAAACTCAATCCCAAACGTGAACGACAACATAGACATCGTGACCGGAAGTCAATTCAATGGCTTGGCCACATACGCGAACCTTCCCTATCTCAACTGCCTCTCGGACAGCGAAGCCGAGGGGAAGAAGTACGATATTGCGATTTTGGGGGCGCCGTTTGACACGGTTAGCATCTATTCCATACTGACCTACGTTCCTACCTAATGCATGGGTAGTATGATGTACATGTACTGTAGGTATGGTGTGTGGCTAATGCGTTACTGAATAGGGGGTCACGGCTAGACCAGGGGCTCGGTACGGCCCGCGAAGCATCAGGATCGGGAGTGAAAGAAAGGCGGAAGACTTTGCATGGAGCGTATATACTGGTAAACACTCCAACTATGAAATCATGACGAAAAAAAAAGGGGGCGAAATCTAATTTATTTATTAGGGAGAAACCCCCTCCAGTCATGGGCCACCATCGTAGACTGCGGCGACGTGCCACTCACCTGGCTGGACAACAACATAGCTCTGGCGCAGCTGGACAAAGCGCATAAAGTTAAGCTGCCTTCATTTACTATCTTACATGATTATCCCGAGCCGTAACGAGAGGGGCTTACAGAGAGTACCGTAGGTTGTTTCCGGACGAAAGGCCTCGAATGAAAGCAATTCGGCACACCCGAGGATCATCACGCTGGGTGGCGACCATACCACCACGCTCTCTGCTCTCAGGTCGACGTACAAGCACTGGGGCCAGGTCTCGGTGATCCATTTCGACAGTCATATCGGTTGGCACCCCTTCCCCCCTCTCGTTCCCCCGAAAGAGGCTGGAGCTAATGTGGATGTGGGTTAGATACTTGGGATCCTGCTGTTCTAGGGGGTGGAATCTCGGATTATGCGTAAGTTTGAAAATGGGCGTTGAGTAACCTAGGATGCTGAATTAAAACCTTCAAGAGGGCTGAATCACGGAACATTCTTGCACATTGCACACGAAGAAGTGAGTTTGCAACCTATTCATCCAAATCCGCTAGTGGCACTCGCATTAACAGACCTCACCAGGGCTTGATCCGCAACTCCTCGATCCACGCCGGCATACGAGCGCCCCTCCTGCGAAGGAAAGGCGACTTGAGAAACGACATCGACTGTGGCTTCTCTATTGTCAGGGCTCGCGACCTAGACAAGATTGGCACCGAGGGTGTGATTTCTCAGATCAAGAAGCGCGTTGCGGATTCAAAGGTCTACATTAGTGTGGACATCGACGTCCTCGATCCCGCATTTGCGCCAGGTAAGTCGTTGCAATGAGCACACATCCACCGTAGGTGATGAGCGAAATATGAGATACTGATTGATTTATAGCGACAGGAACGCCGGAGCCTGGAGGCTGGTCGTCGAGAGAACTGCTCACAATCCTTGATGGTTTGAATGGCCTTGATGTCATCGGTGCGGATGTCGTAGAGGTGGCACCGATCTACGATACAGCTGGTCAAACAACGGCACTTGCCGCTGCTGAGGTCGTTTTTTCATTAATCGAACTGATGGTTGAAAAGCCAATACATCACTGAAGTACCTAGTTAGGATAGTGCATAATGAGTTGAGTCGTGAGGAAAAAAATGAGATTGGATTGGGATATCGCCGTAGTGGCGTATTTACAGATGTGATGCTTTCAAGAGAAACCGGATAGGCATGATATGATCTAACTAGGAGGAAGAAACCCCAGAGAAGAAATGACCCAAATAATCCGACCTATACACCGCATGATGATAACCCGCCTTATTCCCCAGATTCGCGTGTGCGGGCACGTTGGCCCTAGGTCATTGGGTTCTGGTTTTATGTACAAGGGAACTATACTGGATTTAAACACGATCGAGCTTCCGTCGCTCCGTTCGTGTTCGCTTCATCAGCTTCTTATACTTCTTCTTCTTCATTTTTAGTTTTCTTTGTCGTCGCACACTGATGGCCATCATATTGGGGTTCTGTCCGCGAACTTCATCACGCCATCGAGTCTGGCGAATAGCCATGCGTTCGATGAAACTGCGTGGTGTAGGTGCTTCATCAACTATTTTTGGACTGTGTGCCGTGATTTGAACCTGGCCGTCCGCATCGGCTGACTCCTCAATCGTAAACATAGCCTTGTAAATACGGCGTTGCGGTGCTTTGTCCACCGCTTGCTCGGCTTTAGCCGAAGTCGCGGTTGCGTTTCCAGGTTGCGGGAATGGTGGCGGTCGGAATGGTAAAAACTGGCCAGACATGGTGTTGAGCTGGACGTAAACACTCGATTCGGTGCCGTCAGGGTATTTCAACTCGATCTTGTGCAGTTGTTCACCGCTAGCATCCGCGATAATCTCGCTGGCGCTTTGGTTGTCAAGGCTCATATTCTGCATAGGCTCTTCAAGCTCATCGACAGTTCTTGAGAGGGTTGACATGACATCGTTGTATTTGCTACTCTTTGAGCGAGAGGCAAATATTTGGGCAAACGCATCATCTGTGATCGTTTTCGGGAAGCTGTGGGTTACAGACATGGGCCGATGCAGCGAGAAGAAGGTCGACAAGGCTAGAGCTATTTATAAAGTCAATACATGGACTTGCATTTTTAATGGCAAATAGTGCATAGTAATGCATTTTACACGAACCTTCTTGTGGTACATGTTGCGTGCTGGGAACGCTAGGAAGTTTTTGAAGGTCATTGATTTCTTTGGTCTTGCGCCTTCGCTTCTCGCCAGGTTGTTTCGTAGGCTGGGATGGCGAAGCTGTCACTTGGCCATCTGAAATGCCTTTCGGGGAGTCGTTAGGGCTGGAGGGTTTTGAGGAGGAATAGCGTCGTCGCTGCAGGCTGTTTGGATTGCAGACAAGAAAGGCGGCGGGCGTACGAGCGGTGGTATGTCCGAGGCTGGAGAAAAGGGATGATTGAGGTGCAGCAGAGACAACCCGCCGCACCGATGAGGGCAACATCATGCCCAGCGTAGGGAGGTGAGATGGGGGGTGGGAGTTGTGAAGGCGAATGATTCTATGGTAGAAAAGGTGAAGATAATTAAATGTAGAAAGAAGGTTTGAACTTTGAAGACCTTCGGAGGAATGGCATGCGATCACCCGTTGGCCTCCGTGAAAAGGTTAAACTAGCTGCTGATTGGAAGATAAGGCTTTGGTGGCTGATGCAGTGCTATCAGGCTTGTACTATGTACAAGTGTATCACGTGCTGTAGGCGTATTCTTAAGCATCAAATCCTTTCAAAAGAAAGAACCGTGGAACATTTTGAAACATCGATGATTGATTGAACCTTGAATTTTCTGGAATGTGGCGGGGTCTATCTGTCACGGGCCACTTGAAGAAAGATCAGTAATCTTCTTTAAATGCACGGTTAATGCACATTTAATGCATAATTCTCTTAAATAGATACTAGACTCATCCCATGACCACCACCTGGGCACTCATCTGACAGCCTTCAATTTGAAACAATTGAGCAGCTGCTGAGTCATATTTTGATTCATATCGATTAGAACAAGTTCCTTACTTCATTAGCTTCGAGGATCATTTCCTCGATATGATCAAGGTTTCTACTATGCATGTACAATCGAAGGAGACATTACCTAGTAGCAATGCCAATGTTCAATCCATCAACTAGATTAGCGAGATGGAATCGAACCAGATGAAGACGAAGGCGTCATCATCATTTTTTTTTCTTTATCAAAAATTCCTTTTGGATTTTAGATTTTTTTTTCCCCAATTTACTATCACTCATCGATACCACATGTCAAGCCTCTGCATCTATCCTACATTCAACACTCCAATTCATGACCAAGGTTTATCTTTAAAGAATAGATAGAACATCGAATTCTCAGACAAATATGGTGCTGTTTTAGTCGGTCGAATGCTGATGGCTTACAGATTATATTACGAAAGTATGAAAAACAGCACCCGTAAGCTTCTATAATAACGACAAACATCGTCGTAACCTGTCATTTGCGCGCGGATCGTTTCGTATCCTAAATGTTGGTATAGGCCCTAGGCTTTCATCCTTGGTCTGGTATCCATCTTCATTGCCCTAGGGCTCGGGGCCTCAATGGCTTGACCAGAAATATTTCGAGTCTATACGTTAGCACACCGCTCTTGACTATTCAGTCCTGTCGTTAATAAGGGATATTAGTTTGACGGTGTGTACAGTCAGCCTTTTCTTGCCAGGCTCATCTCAAGTGAAACAAAACCAGCTAGCGGTTGGACCAGAACGCTTTTTGTGGAATCTCTGGCTTTGTCGTTGCCACGCTATGCTTTTTGTTCTTCATCGCCACGGTGCCAAATCAAATCAATGGCTTATGATCGGCGAATAGGGCAGACATGATCGACCAACATAGCTATGATGGAGATGAAAACAACGAATAGTACATATTGTAGGCTGTAGGTAGGTAGGTACCTAGTAGGTAGGTAGGCTGTCCATTAGTATGGTTCAATACGGTATATTTAATACCTACATACCCAGGTAAGCTAGTACCCATGGACGCTAGAATGTCAACATCTTCCAAGGCTTCGTTAAATTGACGCCAATCCTCCCCCTTTTATAGATCTCGAGCTACATACTACATGCTTGCTTGCTACCTAAACACATCGTGATTTAGGAAAACGGCCTGAGGCTCTGCCGAGCTCTAGGCTATGGATATCATACATATTACCCACAGCACTAACACCAGACCCAAGCGATCATCCAATGCTACCTTACTTAGGAGTAGGGTTTCTAAAGTGTAGCACTTTTCGGAATAGTGCTGAATAGTGTAAAGTGCTGTTTAAAACAGCACTTTACACTTTACACTTTTCCCCACTTTTCCCAAAACATTACTAGTGTACTACCGTTACTATCACCACAATAACTTACACTCAAGCTTCAATCCAATGATTGAATCCATAATGCTTAGGGGATATAATACCAAGCTTGCTGTCGCTACGATATTACGAATTACTTTCTGACTATCACGATATGCCTCTTAGAGACACGCGAAAAGGCTCAAACCTAGAATAATATTACGGCTACAAAAAAGCAAAAAATCAAGTTTGATACAATATTCAACCAAGATATTTATCAGGAATTAACTGAATTCATATCTGAAATATGGGTCCCAAATCACAAATATATGGGTCCGGAATATTTCCGGCCCGAAAAGTGCTACACTGATCTGAAAAGTGCAGGTTTAGAACTGTTTAGAACTGTTTAGTGCACTTTTGCACTTGTGCAATCCGAAACCCTACTTAGGAGACTAGTAAATGGTACTAATGATTATATAAGCCCTGCAGCGGGCAATTTATTACCGATCTTTTTGCCGGCGTCTATTATTTCTACCGGGGAAGAGCAACAGGGGGTACTCACTCAGAGTCACTCTCACCCAGTAGCCGTCCATACTTACCTAGTTATATACCTAGTCACATGTATCTATCCCCCCTTTACCCTCTTCCTGGGTAAGATGTCGACTTTGCCTGAGGATTCTGGACAAGCAATTCTGCAACAAGTGACCGTTTCAATGGCACAGCGAACTCGGAGCCTCGGAAGCTTTCTCGATCTGGCCAACTACAGACTACTCGATTTACCTCTTACCCATCATTGATGAGATAATTGACAGTTCCTACTAGGTGCTAATGTACTAAATATCGGAAACTACCCAGGCATTTCAACATATTTCTAAGATCCATACTAATAGTAGCAAGTCGGACACCGTGTTACGTCCGAGAACTTGCATTGCCCTAGCCTTAACGCCCTGTCATGATCATAGTGCAATACACCCATGGATAGATCGCCGCCCTGACTTGGCGTATAATGTTACCGGGATTCCCGTAATGGGGAGTGTCCAGGATACCTAGTAAGTAGGCTAGATGCCTCTACTCGAGCATATGGAGTATACCCCACAACCCCACGAACTTCTCCAATTCCTGGGGATAGGTGTTCCCTCTTTTTCTTTCTTCTCACTCCTGTATATTCTGTATAAAAGTGTAGACGGTCAATATGAATTACGAATCCGTCGCGATGCCATCAGAGAGCGTTGAAACCGCCGAGCCAAAGCCGAAGTCAGCGGCAAAGATGAGGAAAAGAGCACCCAAAGCTTGCTTGTCGTGCAGGAGTCGAAAAGTGAGATGCGATGTTTCTCAGCGTGGCAGGCCTTGTATGAATTGCTATCTAGACAATGAGACTTGCGTTGTGACCGGGCGAGCATCCAGGTTGTGAGTCTCCTATTCCTCGACCCACAATCCTCAGCTCACACTAAGAATCAGTAGAAGAGGCCAGCGCGGTGAGAACGATGAACTACAAACGTCTTATCCTCCATATACGGTGGATGACTATGTGAATGGGGGGACTTCGGAAGATTTGGTGAATTCACGCGTCAATGGGAAAGTGCCCTCTCTAGGGATGGATGAGGAGGATTATAGCCCGTCGCGAGAACTACCCAATTCATTAAATCGTACCGAAATCCACGCAAGCCCGGAGGTTGAAGCACAAATATGGACAGGAGCACCACAGCAACAAGCGTCTGATGGATTCAATAATCAACATGGTAATAGGATTGCCAGTCCCTTTTCTACCGCTCAGGGTAAGTTTACTAGTAGTGGTGACCTGATATAATCTGATTTTAACCGAAGCGCTAGAAACCACGACGTTACCATTGAATACTTTCAATTCCTTCATATCCCCTGAGATCCCTCTTTGGACAGGAGATCAACGCATCGCTGTCAATGCCGATGTGACATATTCTTACTATCCTTTCCTCCGAGTCAGCAACCTTCGTAACATCATGCCCCAGGATGCAAACTATCTGGAGTCTCAAGGATGCCTCCGAGTCCCAACGAGAGCGATCTTGGACGAGTTCGTGCAACAGTACTTCTTACACATCCACCCAATAATGCCGATAATCAACGAGGGAGACTTTTGGGACATGTACTGCAGCGAAACCTCTACAGGGCCAACCGAGACGATGTCTCTTGTCTTCTTCCAGGCGCTCCTATTCTCTTCTTGCAATGTAGGCAACCCAAAGCCGCGATGAGAATTCATGTTAACTAAGTCTCTCAGTTTGTCTCGAAAAGCAGTATCAAGGCCTTAGGCTTTCCTAATATCCGTGCTGCCAGAGCTATATTCTACAGACGCACCAAAGTACGTACCGTGGTATTCCAATCCGATCAGTCTGCTTACCACAACATAGCTGTTATACGACTTCGACACCGAAACCTCCCTCATCGACCTTTCTCAAACAGCCCTTCTCCTTTCCTTCTGGGCTACGAACTGGTCGCTCGCATCGAAGAAGTTAAACAGCACATGGCTAGGTATCGCCATACAGAATGCGAGGAACTCTGACGCTCACCTCTATGCGGTTAAACCAGCTTTCTCGATAAGCACCGATCCGATACAACACAAGAAACAAAACACACTGAAACGGTTATGGTGGTGTTGTGTGATACGTGATCGCATTCTAGCTCTTGGCGTACGACGGACTCTACAAATATGCCGAGCCCATTTTGACATCGACGCCAACACGGGGCTGGGATACACAGATCTAGCTGACGAAATAGACCGTTCCAGGGTATACAACGCGGAAACTAAGAGGTATCTCATCGAGATATTCGTTCAACTCGGGGAACTATGTTCAGTCTTGACAGATGTTGTCACGCTTGTATTCCCTCTTGACGATGTACCTGGCTGGGGCCGGCAGATGGGATCAGAAGGAGCAGCGAAGTTGAATGAATGCAAAGCGGCATTAAGGAGATGGTACAAAGGTGCATCACTTCGCTTTCCAATGTTCGGTGGCGGAAGTGCGCCGAGGATGACGAATACGAACAATAACCATTTTCAACATGATTCCGTGATCCTATACACCAACTTGATGTATATGCACTACCAGTAAGAGACCCCATCCAGCGCGTCATGAAGGCAATATGCCCAGCTAGGAGGTAGATGGTCACTGACACTTTGCTATAGTTCCGCTAGAGCAGCACTTTGCCATCACGAAGTTCTACAATTAGCTGTAGCTTGCACCTCACCAAATCTCAGTAGCAATCTTCGCGAGTTCTCCAATATTTACGAAAACAGGCACGAGTTACAAGACGCATCATGTAGCCTGACGGAATGTCTTAGAGAACTCATTCAGCTGCGGCTTGCTCGTTGGTTACCCATCAGCGCGTAAGTCTTGACGGCAGTATCCCGATTACACCTCCATAACCGCTAATATTCGTCTAGTGTTGCTTGCACAGCCTTACCATTAGTCCTCCACATCATCGACGTAAAATTATCCGCCCAAAACAAATTCAAGAACGGCCATACCCCTCCCGATCCACAAATGGCGGCCAAACAGCATCGTCTCAACATTCTCATCGAGGCTATGAAGACGTACCAGCCCCAGTACGACGGCGTGGACTATATCAGCGAGACCATACGACACATCATCAACATAGCCCAACTGGATGCACCGACCAGTGCGGGGGTAGGCTTTTCAGGCCTCGGGAACGACGGTAAGCCCTCATCGATTTCCGACTGGACCGATATACTCGCATCTCAGCCGGGTTACTATCTACGCTTAGCCATGACGATGGATCTCTGTTTTAGCAAAGGCCGGCTGGTGGAAGAGTCCGACTTCCCGGCGAACCTACGGGGGTTATTCGCCGCGGACTTCAGCTCCATCCGGGCACTCAGCGTACGGGGAATGTCCACAACACCCACACCTGCACCCACAACTGCACCCACAACCACCACCACAACAACAACATCACAGGGCCATCAAACGTCTTATTACGTGCCAAACCCGACAGCAAATATCATCCCGGGAACAGTGCGCTCGCTCTCCTCAGACGAGGATTCAACGACCTCGCCGAACTCCCTCGACAGCCACGCGAACAGCAACTCCGAGTGCCACTTCGACTGCGGCCCCCACCATCACGACCAGCGCCAGCACCAACACCAGCACCAGCTGCACCACGCGACGGCCGGCGGCGCCGGCGACATCGACATGTCGGGCATGTTCGACAACACGCTCAGCGTCGACCACCTCGCCAACGAAGTCCTCGCGCTGTACGGGCTCAACGCGGGCTCCGACCTCGACCAACCTCTCTACGGCCAGGGCGGGATGCTAGGCGAGGACGACTGGATCGAGAAGGCGTGGAGTGACGAAGGCATCAACGAGCCGGATGATGACGATGAGGATGGTGATGATACTATGGTGGGGACGAGAGACCAGGATCATGGCGGCGGCGGCGGCGGCGCGGATAAGGAGACAGAGACGGAGAGGGCGCTGCTCGATGCCCTGCGCGATGAGGGCGTTAGTTGTAGCGTGTGATGCGATGTGATAATTTATGGATCTGTTCGATTACCTGGGTAGACTAGCATGGTGCTTATAGGTTGCATAGCTTGGCTTGGGGGTTCTTCTCTTTTGGATTCGGTGCGGATAAATTGGACCTCTAGGTGGGTAGGTAGGATGGTGGTGAGGGCTAGATACTTACTGTGAGGGAGGTAGGAGGTACCTACCTAAGTAGGGATCATTAAAGAGCGAAGCGACTCGGTATGGTTAGTCAGGCACATAGGCAGTTACCCTTTGGGATTATATATGAATTTACTGCTACTTCTGACGAAAAGCACGGGAGTTCGTACGTGAAGCCGTGCCCCTGAATTTGTAGGGGAAAGTATTTTGACTATTGGCTACTAGGTAGGGTTCATCTGAAATACATCGCGATACTATTGGATATCTACCTAGACACCGTTAGTCGTCCGTGGACTAAATAAAGCGGCCTATCTCACGTGGATGACTTTGGTACTGATTTGAGTGAGCAACACCGTATATTCCCGTGCCTGCCTACCTATATAGGTACTTATGCTACACTTTCTTCGCCTCACCAATCCACGCATGCTCGTCCTGTAGGTATAGATGGGCCCTCAGGTCTCCAGACCTCGCATGCCCCTCGAAATTCTCTGCCCTCGAGCAGCGCCCGCACAGCCGGCCAATCTCCCCACTCGCCTTCTCGTCCACCACTTCTTGGTACGTCTGCGTCTTGAGGTACTTCCCTACCCATAGCCCACCGGTGTACCTGCTTGCTTTCCGGGTTGGGAGGACGTGGTTTGTGCCGATACACTGGGAAGGGGGTGGTTAGATTTGATACTGGTAGATGTCTAAAAGTAGGAACTTGGCGCCTAGATAGGCACCTCCATACCTATATAAGGGGTAAAGGGGATGGATAATGCAGGTATGCACGCTTACCTTATCACCGTACGAAACGCAAGTCTTCTCGCCCAGGAATAACGCGCCAAAATTCCTCATCTTCTCCAAAGCCACCCTCGGCTCCCGCGTCAGGATTTGCACATGCTCACTCGAATACTCATCCGCCAACTCAAATGCTTCATCCAAGCTATCCACCACGACCACCTCACCATAATCCCGCCACGAAGTCCCCGCCAGATCCGCCGTCGGCATATCCTTCAGTATCTGATCCACAAACACCATCGTCTTCCTCCCCACCTCCTCCGAAGTCGTGATCAGTACCGCCGGAGAATCCGGCCCATGCTCCGCCTGCGATAATAAGTCCGTCGCAATCGTAAACGGGTCCGCGAACTGGTCGGCGATAACCAGCACCTCGGTCGGCCCCGCCAGCAGGTCGATGCCGATCTCCCCGAACAGCTGGCGCTTCGCCTCCGCGACGAACGCGTTCCCGGGGCCCGCGAGGAAATCCACCTTCCTCACCGTCTCAGTCCCCAGCGCCATCGCGGCGATCGCCTGCGTGCCGCCCAGCAGGAAAATCTCGTCCGCGCCCGCCATGTGCGCGGCCGCGACCGTCGCGCGGGGGATCTCCCCCGCGATCGGCGGCGTGCACGCGACGACGTGCTCCACGCCCGCCACCTTCGCCGTCACGATCGTCATGTGCGCCGACGCCAGCAGCGGGTACCGGCCCCCCGGTATGTACGCGCCCGCCGTGCCGATCGCGTTGCTCTTCTGCCCCAGGAACACGCCCGGCTGGATCTCGACCTCGAAGTCGCTGATGCTGGCGCGCTGCGCCTCCGCGAACGTCCGCACGTTGGCTTGCGCCGACGCGATGTCTGCGAGGGTCTGCGCGGGGAGCTGGGAGATGCATTCTTGGATCTGGGCTGCGCTGAGCTTGAAGGAGGGGGGGGACCACTTGTCGAATTTCTCGGAGTACGAGCGCACGGCGGTGTCGCCGTGCGCTTTGATGTCGGAGATTACGCCCTTGACGATGTCGGAGACTTTCTGGGAGGTCGAGGTGCTTGCTACGAGGGCAGCTGTCTTCAGATGTCGGGCACCCATTCTGTTCCCTTTTCGGACAATGGCTAGTACTCTAGATGCTTCGTACTTGGGGGTATATAGTTATGTTGGTCTTTTTCGTAGTATTTATTTGGGGTATAGAGAACTGCCATCTTGTATCTCGGTAGCTAAGTATTCTTACAGACTTATATGTTACTGTTACCTCGGCATCGCGTGGGGATTTGTCGATGCAATGAGGAGGGGGGCGGGGAATTTGGGGGGATCGCGCTTAGGAAATTGGGGACGACGGCATTGCGTCGATGCGGCAGAGGTTCTAGAAAATAGATGCCGGTTTATTTACAGCGCGAGAGCCAGAGATTCTACAGCTTCCTACTTGGTAGTATGTGGGTAGTCGTTCAACGTCTCCATGCATAGTCCATACGCTCATATCCTTGTGAATTCCAAGATGTGTCTGGTGAGGTTATCTACCGAAAATATGATGTTATAATATTGAACATATGGGTTCTTTTGACTAGACTCAAACCGTCGAAGGGGCCATGGGATGGGTAAATGAGTTCATATTACTATGTAAAGACATCTTGCGCCGTGCCCTCGTAAGATGAGGTTCAACCTAGATGTCTTCGTGGCACAGTGTCTAAAGGACAGGAGTATACATGAGACAATGCCAATGCTCTCTAGGTACGTACCTAGGTAGGCAGGTGGTAGGCAGGTAGGCACCCGTACCCCGTAACCCGGGCAGTCTTTTCGTCAGTACCACCCAGCCATGTTCTTCCAAGAAGCTTCGAAACGGAATATGCAATGTCATAGCATATAGTTGATTGGTTAATCTACCATTGATGTACCATTGCGGGTTTACATAGATCTTTCTTCAGCCGCCTATGAGACTTCTTACAAGATACTTACCGAGGTAGCCCTGAGGGTAATCGGGCACGATCTGTCGGGTCGGGATATCCGAAATTAACCAAAAACTCGGCAACCGGTCGTGACTTCGGTTACTTATCTATCAGTTTATATCCCATGATCGACACGGGAAGGGCAGTATTAATAGCATTACACTAGACGAACCGATGGCATTGTCAGGGCTGTGAAGCCCTGAGATCCGGGGTGGTAAAGAAAAAGCAATACTGATCTGCTACGTACAAGGGGCTGAGAACCAACCATCTCCACCAAGACGATAGGCTCTAAGTACACTGACGAGAATAGGTACGTAATATACCTCCCTACCTAGGTATAGGTAGTCACACGAACCCCGGACATTGTTACTTCTTAGGCATCAATTAGATACCTTTTGGTCCTATACATACGATCGTAATGCACACCGCCGTGCTGAAGGAGTATAAGAGTACAATGAAAGCCTACTTACCCCAGCATCCTATCTACTTGGTAGGCACTGCTACGTATGGAATTGATCATATTCGAAACATGTTTGGCTGCTTCCCTACTTACATATCTGCACCTATCCACTGCCCGCCTTGCTCACTTACACATGTCAAGAATGAGTTTGGCGGGATTTGGCCACATGGTCTCTCATGTCGAATCATTGACCATGGGGCAATGCCGGTGAATTATACGCGGCTCACCTCTTTGCTTTTTTTTTTTACCTGCAAGTAGCTCATCATAGAAATCATATCTCAAACCGTCTCCTAAGGAGCCACTTAAGCCACGTTTGAGACCCAAATCTCGCCTGCGGGTGGAATGGACATCAGGCTTGGATGTAAAAGACAAATAGTGTAGAAACTCGTGCGCCAACATGGGCTGATATATGTCTAAGAATCGTATATGTTCACAATTTACCTACCTACCTAGCCTTACTGAGGTACCTCGAGGGCTAAGTCATTGTATTAGGTCACACAATATCTTTAAAACCGAATACGGGCTTTGCCTGACCTATGATATTTTCAAGATCTGAATAATAAAGATGTCATCTGGGATCTGTCCAATGTTATACTGTAGTCATATTTAAGTATACCTATCATAAATGATGAGATGCAAGGCCTTGCAGCTTACGCCCCTAGTTACTTAATAGCTGCACCAATCCCATCTTCCTTGCGGCCAGGGCTGCATCCGCAAGTACTTCTTATATTGGTATATTACATCCATGGATGTGCTGCTGCATGTGCCGTGGATGTTATGCCGTTAGAAGACTAACGCAAGGCGTGAACCAATGCCCCTCGGCGATCCAGTATATCCAGTAAGCTGAGGATACGAAGATATATCATATTTATCATATTTATATATATATATATATATATATATATATACATATATCAAGATTGATATCATTCGATGCTATAACTTTATGTACATGTACCTAAGGATATCAAGTGCCTCATAAGGCTTTCTAACCCGAGCCTGCAGTTTTATATCCTAGTTTAAAATCTGCGAGCAATGGCACAGCAGAGAAAACAACTATTTTCAACCCTCATCTTTGGTTACAAATCGCATTCACAATATGGGGGAATTCTAGGCAGCTGCATGGCAAGCCATGTTTAAACATGGTTGCCATCATATGGATACTTGCCATGCAATGTCTCAGCCCAGCTGAACTGACTCCAGTATCTCCTCCATTGCCTGTTCGGACATCATTCGATCTCTTGGTAAGAGAGGTATGCGTAAGGGCACGGTGCAGCTAACTGCCTCAGCAAGTAGGTACCTACCTAGGGAGGTATATATTTAGTCTCGAGTCCCATTTGTGAAGATGGAGTAACCATAGACATCAAGATAGCTGTTCAGGAGACCCTAGGGGTATTTATTTATTGTCGTCATTACTGTTATTTCTATAGTATTCCGTATTATACGATTCCCCCCAGGACTCAATATCACTTATAGCTATTAGGCCAACGTAGATCTATTTTAGTCCTCTTTCCCAATGACGAATGATAGCAGATTCGAGCAAGACCACTACGGAAACCATTGGCCCCTACAATACGTACTCAACTATGATCGGAATCCAACTCAAGCAGAGAGTCAACTACTGCAGCTCCCAAGGCAAAATGACCCGCACTCCTCCTGGATCCAAACTCCACACCCAGCCCATTCGCGTCAAGTCCAGCGGGTTGCATACCAGCTATCCAAGAAGACCCTAAGCCAGTACCTCGACGTAACCCCGGCGCCCCTCCCCCTGCCGAGATTCGGCGCGCACCTAGAGAGCCTACCGCAGAACGTGCTGGACCGCATATGCTCGTACGTTCCCTACGAGCACCTCCTGACGCTGTACCAGCTGTCGAAGACGCTGCACCGGGTCGTGAACCCGTACCTGGCGCCGTACGACACGATCCTGTCGTTCGTGCTGCGCGCCGAGCGCGACTTCGAGAAGCACTACAAGAACGAGCAGTTCCTCGGCTGCTACATGTGCTACAAGGTGCTGCCCGCCTCCCTCTTCGCCGTCGACCAGCCCCTGCAGGCCCTCCTGCGCGTCTCCCCCTTCGACGAGCAGTCCCTCGTCAACCTCCGCCGCTTCTGCATCCTCTGCGGCGTCAAGTGGGGGTGCCACAGCCCTGGCAAGGAGCTCACGACACGCACGGGAGAGCGCTTCTGGATCTGCGATTGCTTCCATGTGCATAATGACGGCACGCCCGGCTGCAAGGAGTGCAAGGCGCCGAGCCCGCTTGAGCAGCGAGGGCCGAGACGGAGGAAGTAGATGTATAGATTTAGATACCAGGTGCTGTTATTCCAGCAATTTGTTGAGCACGAGAAAGTTGTATGGGTGGTTGTTGTCTCAAACTTCGCTGGGCTGAGTTGAGAACTGGAATGAGCGTTGTTCGTTTCATACTTCTATATCTTCTGGGGGTTAATATCCTTGTCACAGCCGGGGAGTTTCATATCAGCCTTCGGCACACGAGGTTGAGTGTGTTCAAAAGTTCAACATTTATTTTTTATTTTTACATTCAATGGGGCCTACAGCAAGTTAGGTTGTTTCTGGGGAAAGAAACTGGCTAACAAGGTCAAGGTGGTGTATTTGATTAACCTAACCTACGAGTTGTCGAAGTAATGAACTATTGAAGGGCTGATATCCAGCTGTAGTCCTTTACGTGGGATCACGTTGAATACCTAAATAACGGCCGTGTGAATATTGTGGTTCCTAGATACCTACATACCTACCTAGTAGGTAGACACTGGACTCAAAGTTCGTAAGAAAGCTAATCATACGATATCCGCATTATTCTTTTTCTCTCCAGAGTTTTCCCCTAACTCTCCAACTCTTCAAATTGAAGCTATCAGCATTTACTTGCCGGTGATTGTGCACGCCGTGTCCCTAGTTGTCTAAGTCACAAACTTTGCTGGAATTCTGATGGCAGCAGATATAGCAGCTGGCAGAACTATGTGACAGCTGGCAGTGATATAGGACTGTGGAAGGGGTTGTTAGAATAACTAAAGTCATGTGACTTGGTGCGTGGTCAGGGGGATTTTGGTCCACGTGATATCCTTCGTTTGCACTCTCCTGCTTTTCGATGAAATCATCGTTTGCTTGTACAATTCCTTCCTTCTATATTGATATGATTTCTGCCTTGATGATATTATTATTCTTAAATACTGTCGCTACGCTGCATCTCCACCATGGACCTCTCTATAAAGACGCCAACATCTCCCATGACCAACTACAAGCATCTTGTAAATGGAGTTGGACTGAAAGTCTCCGATCACCCCATCCTGTTAATTTTAGGTGATTTGTGCATAGTTGCTTGAGTTCTGCTGCTTCTTACTCTGCATATGACAAAGTATCCCCCGGAAATTTCAGCCCCTGCTGAATTTTCTCAGAGGCGTGCAAGATACGTTCAAGTGCTCGGACTTCAAGCCGTGCACCACCTTTCGGTACTTTTTGTAAAGTCCGAAGACTCCCAGCATCGCATTCGTGTGCCGAAGGTGGCCGAGGGATTACTGGAGCTCTTCAATTGAATGAATTTCATGAGAATCGTCTACTGTTCAAAAGGGTGCAGTCATTGATATGCTAGGGTTAGATACAAGAAGCAACTACACGTGGAAAGGTAGAAGTAGTGATACCTTTCCTTACCAACAAGCTGTCCCTGTCAGTAAATAATGATGATGGCAAGTAGGTACTTGGAATGAGTGACCATATTGGCTGAGCGTGGAGCCTAGCCATCGCCGATTTGAGATACGGGGAAAGCACCACTCGGCTGTGTCCAAGCTCAGGAGACTTAGCTCTCTTAGGCAACCCTTTCGTTGGTGTCATTATTGCAGCTCTTTCGTCTCTTACGATACCTTTCTAAGTGTCATAGGAAGCAGCAATGCGTGCTTTGGGGCAAGTTACACCTCACAATGCCAGAGTGTGCGGATGATATATGATGGAATAACTGCCCCCTGATGCTCAAGCACTAGCTCCGGCTCCTTGACACGGGCCAACTCCTAGTTCACAATGTCGACCGGAGAGAATTCCGGCGGGGGGCGTCAGTGAAAAGAGGCTGTACCTGCGTAGCGTACCTAGGTAGGTATCTTTGCTGATCTCGTTTCCTCTTCCTCCAGTGCTGCTTCGCGGCATTGAGATGAGATAGGATATGGGTTGCTCCATATGCTTTAGTTTCCTGTATATTACTTACTAATACCCTATGTTCCGCATATTCACAATGTTTAGTTGGTCTTTGGCGAAATATACAGCTTCGTGCAACAGCATTTATGCTAGGGATATGGCAAAAGTTCCTCGTTACAAAGTTGACTTGTCGCTTCTGTTGTTATTTGTTTGCAGGCGCCACGACGGGTATTCCGCCAGCTTGAAGTCCTAGCTTTGAGGGGCATCACATAAATGTGTCATCAATTGCAATACCAGGAGGCAAGCTATGATTCTGCTGCTTTTCTAGCTAGTCACACGAATCAGTTCTATTTCAGTATCGTGTCCAGGTGGGATTACAAACATTCTTCGACATGGTCCCATTTGCGACCGACACTCACTACCAAGATAATCAATTCAGATTCACGCTCTAATTACTTTCTTGACACTCACTATGTTAACCAACAACCCGTCGGTAGACTTCTAGAGTCACGTATGTGAATCATTTTCTTGGTGTCTGCCTGAGGTAAGTATCCAGCATGGCTACGACTTACTCACGTTTCTTTTGTCGAAAGGCGCCTCAGGGGTTGCCTGCTCGAATCTACGATTACTCGGGTTTCCTACTCTACCTAGTATTTAACACAATCCATATTGGCAAGTCTTCCCTTGCAAAGACCACCAGACCCCCTCTAAGTCATTTGTGCCCCTTAAGAAAGCGATCAGTTAATAGAACGATCATTAAATAATGTTTGTTCTATTCCTACTTGCCAACTTATGTTTGGCTGTTGCGCAAGATAGCAGACGCGTGGACCCTAACAATCACTTTATATATCCTCCGCTGCCGGGACCTCCCATCGGCGAAGACCCTCACGCTTACGATGCAAATATTAACTTCATTGTCGGCAAAGCACCGGAGCAGTCCTTCAAATGGGTGTCCAACATCACAAGTTTGAAGGTGCAGATAGTCCAGGAAACGCCACCGAACGTCGAGAATCAATATGTAATTAGGGGTATGTTCCACCCAACGAACAGCCTCTTGATATTCAAACTCCCCTCCTCCTCCTATCCCTTTTTATTAAGTAGGTATCTTTCCTAGGCTGACTTTATATCAAGACTGCGACCCAGGCTCTGACAATACCGTCCACTGGGACGGGCAAATTGGTGATATCGACCTCGCCCATGGCTTGCAGGCGTACCTCGGAGCTTGGGACTGTGCAGCTGGTAATGACGCGGCTCCGGTGTTCTTCTCGCACTACATCAACCTCGTCGCCACTCCCCCGCCATCTTCCGCCAACACATCGCTATCTCCATCGCCCGAGGTGCCCCCCGCGGCTGAAGATAACTCGCCGGCCGGTATAAACGCCGGGACGGTTATTGGCGTTGCTTTCGGTATCGGCGCACTGGCGACCCTGGTGCTTACCGTAGTCTTCTATCTCGGGGTGAAGCGGGGCCGGACAACCGAGAGACGAGAGCAAGAGGCGAATCGAGCTACTTGGATGGACGACATGAGTGGCTACGAGATGGGCCCGCCTCCAGCATCGAACGTGGAAACGGCGCCGGTTCCTCTCCCGCCTCCTCAGCCACCTTTACCAACTTACTCCGAGAGCTCAGACAGGAAGAATGCTAGGTGAAGTAGCCAAAGGGGGAGATAGCATGGGTTTTTCACCGATAGGTGCCTACTCTACTGTCTAACTATCCCAGGTTATGAGGCACGGATAGGTGGGCATACCTATATATGAAATATCATAGGTCAGATCTAGAAGCTACGATGGACTAGCCAACTAGGTCGTCCTGATTCGGACATTCCGAAGGTGGAAGATTAAGTAGTACATTGACATCAAATCTTTTACTCTTTGAAGCCGATGCTGGCCTTTGGTGTCTAGTAATCGCATATCTCCCGTAGACTCAACGTTGAAGTAATACGTACAACGAGTGAATAGACATAGCAAACCTTGAGCGCTATTCAACTCTGTGAGCTAATTTTGTCTATGAACTGTCTAAGCACGTGGTAGGTAGGCATCCAACACGTTGTAGTGCAACCTTTATCACATACCTACCTAGGTACCTACCAGTTTCTTTGCACCCTTGGGTAGGTAGGTACTTACTTACACGTGTAGTAGGAATCCTTGCCAATACACATCTGTCGTTTTCATGAGTCAGATCCACGAACCCATGTTTCTTACCACCAACCAAAGAAGATGCCATCTTGCTTCTTATCCCAAAGATCATCAACCTTGGAACAAATAAGAGAAAAGAAAAACTAAAACGGGACAGCACTTTTGTTTAAAATAGGCAACAGGCGGTCAACTGAACCATGGATCGTAATCCCGAAAAAGGTTCAAGGGTCCGCTCGGGAACCTTGGAATACCACACATCACACCGGCGCTTATGCCTAGATATAGTATACAAGTAACTACAGACCTATGTAGGTTAGTTAACCTGTATTTCATTACCTACCTAAGTCTGAGGCAGAGACTCCAACGCCAAAAACCTGTTGGCGGGGCTATGAGCCTGTATGCCGGGTAGGGTTTGCCTTGACAGGGGAACCGGCAATCATCTCATTGAGCTGACGACTTTCGTTTCCCTGCGTTTCATCAGTTTTTGGTCCAATGAATTCCGACTCGGAATTCCCAACTCCAACTAGGCGGGTCCCCACTGGGATACCTAGGTAGGTAAGCATAGCGTGGTGGTCAGCTCGGTAGTGTAGCTATTAACAAGAGAAGACAAGATCAATCTTACCTACCTGGGCATGGTATGTGTCATATATGCGTGAATCTGGCGGAGAGCATCCGCTTCATCACTGCACTGCTGCTTCTTGATGCAAGGAATAGCCCATGCAGCTAGGTAGATAATAACGGGCCCAGCGGCCGCGATCTTATTTTAGCTGTTGTGAATCATGGGGTTCTGTTCCCGCCCCTGGAGCTTGGGGCTGATTTGAGTAGGTATACCTAGGTACCTACATACCTGGTACACCTCGGAGCCTCCTCCCCAGCTCCGGGGATAAAGAAAGAAAGCCATTCTCTCCAGATAACATGACCGAGACAGGGAGTATTTCTGTATCAATGCACGGTGCGCATGCTGGCCTATTACTAACAAATACTCCCTTCTGTCTTGCTATCCGTCATCGTAACCTAAGCTTAGCACTCAACGTAGCAAATCCGACACATACTGTACCACTGCCCACGACACCACCCCGACCATACCGTACGTCGCACATCGACGTATCCAACGAGTCCTGTATTCCCATACCTAGTTGTTGTAGGTATGGTGTGAGATGAGCAATCTGAGCCGAGGCGAGGCAAGGCGTGTCGGGGGCGAACCTAGACCTACACGAAAAAGCGTTCGATGCCTGGTGAGGAGAGGCACATCTGCCTTCCCACCTTCCAGCCGACCTACCTGCCACGAATAACCAGCGCCGCGTGAACGATTGTCTCGGGCGTGTAATTCACCAGCACTCATCTTTGCGGACCATGTGTCCTTGCGCACTCATTTGCCGCGGCCTGTTCGTGCCACCGTGTTACGTTTGACCGTCGACCCCCAATCACCCGCGCCCGCGACAGACGAACAAGCCCATAAGACGTGTGTAACGGCCGCAACGTTCATGACCAGTGCGGTGTAACAGCCACGAGAAGGCTGTATATTACACAAACGATCCATAATTATGGAATACACACCATCATAATCATGATGCGCATAAGATAAGGTAGATACAGGCCCAATCTGCCGGGGCGAGCGAGCGAGCGAGCGACCTGTAACCTGTAACCGGCCGATCGATCGATTGGGGTCGCAGTGACGTGACGCGGATACCCGCACATGGTCGGTCTCCGACGTATTGGGAATACTAGATAAATAAGTCCCCCAGGCAGTAGTCGCTAATGTCGCCATCCGCTCGCGTAGGCTGCTTACCTATTACATTCGCCGTACCGGTTTGGTTGTATGAATGTTCCTCGTTCGTAGGTAGTAATTCAGGCAGAACGATGTAATGCCCGGCCTCCGTCTGCCCCCCATCCCACCTCAGCTCCAGGCACGGAGAAGCAACCCCACGCTCAGCCGTACGTAAGGTTAGGCAGGATAGAGTGGTAGTATTTATGCCAATGGGACACAACCACAACCATGGTGCATTCAGCCCTAGCTGACGAAAGCGACGGCCGTCGTGTCGCACACGATCGCATTCATATGTAACCCCCTTTTTTTCCTTTCGTATTTTTTTGTCTTCATCAGCCTGGTCCACAAATATCAAAATGAAAACTTGGTACCTACCTACCTAAGCATGATAATTGAATCGTGGTCAATGTAACAACAGTCCAGAAATAACGCCCCCCCTTTTCCCGTTTTTCTCCCTCCTGGTGGTAGTTAAGGAATGAATGGAAGACTGACATAACGTAAGAAGCTGGCGAAGCTGGCAGACCTACTAAGTAGTTGCCTGCCTAGCTTGACTGCACACACCCTATTACCTACCTACCCAACATAGCAGGTAAGGCAAGTAGGGGAACTATACATGAAACCCAACCTCCTGGAACACCGTCGCAGTCTGACCTCTCTCTCTATCTCTCTTTCTCTTTCTCTCCGTCTCTCTCCAATAAAGTAAAACGGTCACCGTAAGCTTACCGAACGGCCACAATACACACCTACCTATGAGCCCACCGGCCTATCCCCAATTAGCAGAATCTATATTATATCATCCAATTTTTTGGGGGGCGACTTGTCCCGTGCTTGCGGCCGTAGACACATACAGACTCATTCACTCACTCGCTTGCTATAGTAGCCCAGTGAGATAAGTATGAGAAAAGGAGAAAGTTGTGGAACGACCGCCTGAATGCAAGAGGGAGGTCAAATCTAAAGCAAACCTTGGTGAATCCTTTCCGGCAAATTAGTCAGCGCGGCACAGCAGCCCGGCGGTGCTCTTCCGACGCCGTACTCGAGCATTCCGCCCAGGGGTTGGGAGTGGGCAAGGTACAGTAGTATGTACCCATATTTTATCGGCGGCTACGAAAGGCGTATTTTTTCTGGGCGTGTGTTACATATAGTTATTAGTGTAGTGCGTGTGTCTGTGTGTCGGCATAATTATACGAAAATAGCTAAGGTGAAAATAAATAAAAATTGAATTATCGGAAAGGTGAGGTGCTGGATACGCTGTGACAAAACTGCGTAGTGGGGAATCACGAATAACCTAGGAGAATACACGGATTTTGAGGGTGTAAAAAAAAAAACTCGATTCTCTAATTCTATTGTATATCGTTGCTTGCGCAAGTAGGCCTTCGGGAGAGCCCGAATCATAATCTATCTATGTCTAAGTGTGTGAACCTCCAAATGCCGTATTCCCATCCAAATCGTGAAAGTCTTCATGTTAAAACAGGGCAGCTAAAAAGGGCCAGAAGGGAAATAGGGCTGATAACACAGGCTTTGCTTCGTGGTTCGAAGGAAAGGGATGGAGGAAGGTGTGCTCCCTCCGATGTTGAGAGTAAAGGGGGCCTTTAAACCGGAAGTGAGGAAGTCAAGAGAAAATGCAGGATTCCATCTCCTTTCCAAACGCCTCGTCGTCCATGCTTCATAATACAAGTGAGGATGTCTTTAGTTGTAGCCGCTGCGGCTTCTTCCACGAGAGGTGGTGGTTTCCGAGCCAGTTTCAGGGCTGCCGGAGCCAGTGTCGTTGGTAGGAACGTCAGATCCGGCCTCAGGCATCTTGTTTAATTGTTTACTGATAGTCTAGCGGATGCTCCAACGTCTTCTCGTTCAACTCGTTTCGCTTGCTCAAAGACCCTTCTACAAATTTGCTTTGAATCCTCGAATAAGATAAACCGGTTTTCAAGAGGTCGACCAAGATTTATATACTGCGAGAATGGCGTTCTAGATTGAGAACTCTGACTGTAAGTCCAATATAAGACTTGGTGTTGCCTGGGAAAGTTGGTGTTAGTATGTATTGGACGACACTAAAAGGAATAATGAGGGAAACTCACTCGATGTTTAACAATGGTGGTCGCTAGGTACAGCTAGTGAGTGTTTATATTCAAGGACGTGTATCTACTTAGATGTCGAGAGGTTAAGATAGAATGCTTTAGTCCTGGGTTGAAGGTTGCTCGAGAGTATCTGGTGAATTGATGATATTTCCAGAGAACAGAACCAACAATCTAAGGGGGAGAGGTGACGGTTATATAGCTCGCTCCATACATCATAAGATACCTTGCTGTAGAGATATTCGCTTTGACGTGTTGTATTGAATGCCTATGATAGATTGATCACTGCCTCAGCCCTATGGGAGGATTCCTTGGGCCACACCTAGGATCCACGAATATAAATGAAGGTGTGTGCGTACTTGTCTTGGTCACCGCATAAGTTCAGGTTGTTGACGTACCTAGGTGAATATGCCTCGCCGTGAAGACACAAATGAATGAGAATACGGATTGTGTAACAAAAATTATTTTTACACAAGTCCCATCAAAATTGGCGAATGGACACCTGACCCAAAAAAGAAACGGCCCAGGTGCAAAGCATAGGTGAGATCTAGGAGGCGGTAGGATCTAGATTGCATACCTACCTACCTACCTATATCCCGCACCTTGTCCGGCCTGAGAGCCGAGGCGAGGCTTGGCGTATGCTCGATGGATGATAACTTAAGTTTCGGCGTAGCAAAGGTTACCACGGCTGAAGATGTCAGTTGGGGTCCGGGACTCCAAGACTGCGCCCTAAACCTAGCTCATCCATCTGGCTAGGCAGGACGTATTGCTAGGATTGCATCCCATAGCTTGTTAGAGGGGTTGCATTGAAGGCGAGAAGAAGTAATAGTTTTCTAGGTGGATAAGTCAAATATGGTTGTTACGGATAACTGATACCAGAGAAGAAACATGTTGCTACGCATCGGAGGCATCGGAGGAACGACAAAAGGGCAGGCCACCGTAACATTAGCTTAAGCGTTTGGGCCTACTGACGCCGCATTTTGTATATATTAGGTACCTTATCTGCCTCGGATGGTCATGAGCATAGCTGTTTAGAATGAATCATACCAGTAGGGTATAGAAAATATCAGAGAACATACATTTTCAGGCGATGCAAGGTGCGATATGGAACTAATTTGGAAACGACAGAACTTCCAAGGTTACGACAAATAAGCGCTAGATGTGCTACATACCTAGTAGACAGGGAAATTTTGAAATGGATCTGTAGATGGGTCTGTATCGGTATCCATTATAACTCGGTCAACAAGGGAGGGGCTCTGTTCCTGGACTAAGTCTTGGGTCTTCAACATTAACAATACACTAGGCTCATATGCACTATAGTAGATACTATAGTAGATGTGTATAGTACAGTACTACTATGTAGATAATCTCTTGACACGAACACCTTGAATGGGGATTAACCGGACATGATAATGCTTGTGGGCCATTCAGAATAATAGTACTACCTATGTAGGTAGGGAAGTAAGAAGGCTTTTCCTATCGAGGGGGTATACGCCGAATCCGGTATTTGGTAAGGACGACTAGGTTAGTTACGTGGTAAATGAATAACAGGTTTCATTCTATGGCTTGGTCATACTTGAGGTGGTCATTCCTGCTGAGTAATGGTTCAGAAGGTTGTCGGCGGGCGTTGCTCAATGCGAGGTGTAGGTGTAGGCACTAGGTAGGGTATGCATGTGTACTACTAGTAGTAGAGAAAAAGGAGAAATGACGAAGTTCGATGTTGTACAATACACGTTACCTACTAGTAGTACATACCTACCAAGGTAGACTTGAACTAAGCGTCAAGCGACATGCGACATGCGCCATGCGCCATGCGATATGCGCCATGTCCTGTAACTGCATGTAGTACCTACATTCAATGTTTGTGTATGCAAATCCCTTGTGTGGAACCTGTATTGGTACATAGTAGTTACTGCTAACCCTATCAAACTTAGGGCTCAATCAGGGTCTAGATGCAACTAACTTTAAATTCTACTGCACCGTCAAGGCCTCAAGCCACAAAACCATTACGCCGTAGTTATTGTACATACATACTACTAGTAGTAGTTAGTACCACCCCGATTGAGAAATCCTACGCGCTTATGAGACCAATAATAACTTTAATGAGCCCCGATTTAATCTTTAAAAGGGAATTCAAACGTTCCAGGTTTATCTTTAGAACCTCAACATTGAATCCTTCAACTTCTTCTTTTTCTTCCTGCGTACCTCAAACATCATACCTACATGTACTATGCCGTATAGAATAAGAAGAAAAACTCTTCGTCTGCGTTTCACTTCCAAAAACAGTAGCATCCCTGTCACCGAACTAGCCGAATGAGATGCATCATGTTCTCTCGGACTACCTAGAATAGCCATGGTGCTTTTCGTCTTCCTTCTTCTGTCTTTAGCACCCTCCATTACCTCCCTTACCCAACACACTCTGCATTTTGGTCTCCACGAAAATTCGGTGCGTCCCGCTTGTACCCCACCCATATGCTTGCCCCTGATACCCGCCGTTCCACGTGGAATACGGACCCGTACCTGACTAGCTACGAAGATCTAAATTCTGCAACCTCCGAAGCTCCGCAGAGTGAAATACATAGTACTGATATCACATCCTTGGAACCGACCACACGGGCAGTCCGGGGAAATAAAATAGAAGTTTCTAGTTTCTTTCTAGAATAATCCTAACCTCGAAATCTCCGCTGACCCCCCGAAACAAGGAAAACTTGGATGGGTCATGTTGCACTCGCCAATTCGTAGCAGACGCATTGTCTTTCTTGGGGTACTATTCTGGTCCTTGGCTGAGTAATTTTTTTTTCCTGTTTATCCTTTTTGTCTCTATCCATAAACCAGCACAAAGAGGTAACATTCATCCATCGTCACAGCTGATTCGATGAACGACTTAGCTACACTACCTATCTTGGTGGGTGGTCTACTGGGCATGCCTACATAGTAAGACCACACCCCATTCGTAACGTCTTGTACAGATAGGATTTCCTTAGTTCCCTGTTATAACCTTTTCAGGGGTCATTTTGCTGTGTATCCATACCACACGTTAACAGCAGATCATAGTATCATCAAGGCTAAGCTGGCCTAATTCATCATCTGACTACCCTAGGTAGGTACAGAATGCAAAGATGGGGGTTAGGCTGTGAACGCCTACCACGAGACCCCAACATGCAACTGTACAATTCAAAGAAAGCGGGTACATTGTCATCTCCTGTTCTAAACTCGGACCCGGCTCGATGGCCATTTGTACCTTGTGGGAGTCAACCCCGATCTGGATATCTGGGTGAGACGGCTAGTTATCTACGCCGCATCGGCTATGAGATCTAACCATGTTACGGGTTGACTAAGAGCCGTCAAGTACCGAGCGGCGCATTCCTAATACAATGGGTAACTGCTACACTGCTGTGGCCTAATAATATACCTTACATGTTTGTGGCCCGTCAAAATTGTTTTAGCTGCGGCTCGCCATCCACACTCGTAATCATAATTTGCCTTTTTTCACATTGATCACCTCTCCTTACGAAATGGCTGTTTCTTATACTATCTCCCCTTCGCCGGTCACACCTAGAGACTACTACACCTTCATTTACACGTCATGCATCAATTGAAACGACAATAAGACATATTTAATGCATCGCTTTTGGGTATATTTCTCACGGTAATGCAAAATACTTGTACATGGCGAATAAACTATTGCTCGCTAGGCAGCTATATATAACTTAGTCAGATAAGGAGCCTTGTAAAATCGTCCCCCACTTATGCCTGGAACTGGTTGCTCAGGGGGGGCATCCACGTGACACCCTTCGCCGCATTCATACCCCTATTCCATGTGCACTCGTTAAGAGAAAAGAAGGTAGCCTTTCAAGGCTCAGTTAACTAAGAATCGCGGCCTGCTGCAGTCTTAATTAGACCTTTAACTCCCTTCTCAGCCCCCTTTCCAAGTTCCCAAAAATATAACCTATCTAAGAGGAAGCTCGCGCCGGATACTCTCCAATAGGTTCCCATACGGGGCATTCTTCCATGCTTTTAGCATAACCTCGCTTACCAGAAGGAAGTTCATCCTCTTCTAGCAAGTCAAATTTATGCTGCTATCGGGGCACGGCCCAATCAAGTCGGCCACGACGTGATATAAGAGCCAAATAGGTTAATTCAAGGTTAGGGCATTCCCCCCTTGTGCTGGCAATGTTACTCCTGCTTACAAGCAGTGCGTGCCTCTACTAAAGGGTTTTTCAACACCATTTCTGTGCGGAATCTAGCAGCTGCAAGGACGTAAGATAGACGCCAAGCTTTGTGCTAGAAGGACCTAAAAAGGGGGAGGTGGTTCCGCTTTTATTAGCCTTGGGGCCAATCAGAACTTCGGGCCTTCTCCTGAGTTGGCCCAGGATCACATATGTCAACCAGCTTTGTTGCAGATTTCCGATCGATGTGTTGTAATGAATGACCCTAAGTTCGTAGTATCTATAAGTGTATCTCAGCTACCATAAACGAGTAGTAGTTGCCTTAGATAGTATGTAGAATAGAATATGGAGGATATAATAGGGTAGCTTCTATGATAGTATGCATTGCACCAGCCGTGAATAGGGGCTTGATAATGAGGGGGAGCAGTCCACATACATACATATATCTTGAGCCTATCAATAACTGGGTACCTACCCTATGTATATTTTCCATGATTCTCAAAAGCAAATGTTTGTATATTGCGCTGATTGTCACTCATAATATAGCATAACAAGTGGGCCGTTGACTTGAGTCAGTTTAAACCACACCTTTTATAGGCAGTTACGCCTTGAATTCGAGCAAATAAACCATTGCCTGAGTGCTCAGGTGCCTGTCAGGCAGGTACTGCATGCAATTTCCCAGTTTCTGACGTTGAAACTCTGGTAGTTTGCAGTTACTGTGTAGGTACCTGCCTACCTAAATACCTGAGGCAGGTAGTAGCCAGGCACTTAGGCGATAGTTGCAATTCTGAAAGGCAAACAAATTCGAACCTTCCGTTGAAATTCAAGTCACCAAGCACTCTGGAGCACCCAATACCTTCCAGGGTTCGTTCTATCCTTAAACGTGCCCGACACTTACGTTTTCATACACACTCCTCTTTTAATTCTCTTACGAGCCCGTTTCCATCTCAAACGGCTTCATCCACTCATATAAGGACTTCCTGGCACTACATTAAAACCCAACATTCGTCAGAACTACTACACGGGTGAGTTAATACGCAGGCGTACGCTTTGGGGAGGTATCTATATACGGCATATACAGAAGTGAGGACAACAACAACATATCAGCATTGTGCGGCCGTCATACGCCGCACATTTATTTCCTATTACACTTTGCTACACTTGATAAAATGGTCATATCAACGTAAAATACTAACACTTGTTAAACAACTCTCAGATAATCAAGTTCTCTACCATAATGTCTGTACGACGAGCCACAGACAAAGCCAAGTATAGTATGCAGCCTGAAATGGCTTACGATTATTTTACCACACATCTACCTGGATCCATAGCCTTTGAAGACCCATATCATCGTGGCTATAACGGTGTATTCGGGCCAGACATCGAACGGGTCGTCTTATGGCTCGGGCCCGATAGCTCAAGCAAGGCCCTGGGTAACTCGGCTGAAGAAGATGAAGATCTGCCGGAGCTTCTTTCCTACGGAGAGATCCCCGTCCATCAACTAGCCAACGCCGAGGATTTTCGGAACGAGTTTTTTGAGGTTAAGAAGAGCAGTCTTGGAGGCAATGGGGCGTTCGCCACAAGGGACCTCAAACAGGGAGAGCTCATCCACGTCGAGCGGCCTTGCCTCGAGGCGATCCCCGAGACACTGTCCAAGAAGCTTGACCAACTAGCCCCAGAGCTGAAGGCCGCGTTTTTTCGAATGCATGCGCACAAGCGATACGCCGATCACGATGAGCAGCAATCCATCTTCCATACGAATAGGTAAGCAGCCATGATAAGAGCCTTGCAGGGTATCGTACTTAACAACACAAACCTAGTTTCATTGCAAATGGAGTTTCGTGCCTCTACCTCATCACATCGCGCTTCAACCACGCGTGTAGCCCCCTCCATACGGTTCAGTACCAGCTGAGGGCAAACAACGTCATAGAGCTGCGCATGAGAAAGGACGTCCCCGCAGGAACGGAGCTTACGATATCGTACGGCCCGCTTACGCCACGGAACCTTTACATGACCTGGGGTTTCCGCTGTGGCTGCGGCGGCTGCAAGCCTCTTACGGACGAAGAGGTCGCCCAGATCGATAGCGCTATCCAGGAGGAGGAGGAGGATCCTTTTTATTAAGGGGTACTGTGTAGGGGCTCAGAGGCTTCATATCTGTTCAAGGCTCCAGAGAATTGAGATATTGCACCGGGTGGTGGAAATGGAAATCTACAGCAGCAGCTCAGTAGCTTGATCGAGTGGGGCTGGCAACCCCCTTTTTTATCCGTATCTTATTACATGTCCTAAAAGCTTTGCAATTAAGTTAAGGAAAGATCCGTAGGATATGCTGTGACATCAACGTTGTTTCTTTGTTTTCATTTACTTTAAAGAAGTTCAATGCAGTGCCATGTGTGATTCTAACTTTGAGCCATCTCAACCTTGAAAATAAGGACATTAAAAGGGGTCACGGTGGTATCGCGTCTTATTTAATTGGATAGCTTGATAACTAGCTGGCGATGCAAACGCGACCTCAGCTATGGGCACCAACTCCATATGTACATACTTAGGTTCAATAGTACAGTGTTAGGAATACCAATGATTACATGTACAAAGTATGTACTTGGGCAGGAACCATCATTTCATATGTATGTATGTATTCCAACCCAAAGATTCACACATCAGATTGTTGGACATATCAAGATGTGTATGTAAGTCAGTATATAGTTCCATCGTCTCGATTGATACACTTATTATATGTGTCACATGTAGGTAAACTTACCTATGAATGGACATCGGCCAAACCTTCAACTTGAATAGATCAGTTGCCTACCCTAGGTAGGTGCCAACGTTGAAAGCAAGACGCTTCATCTTTCACTTATTTCTTTCAAAGACACCGCATGCATACTATCGATGCCTGGGTGCCTGGGTAAGCAGCTAGGGACATACATATGTAGGTTAGGTACCTAAGGCAGAGATATATACCTGGCAAAGGCAAGAAAGATACCAGGCTTTCCTTCAACCAAGCCATATTCCACTCTTCTAAAAATCTCTTATTTATTTCTTGACACATTCTTTTCGTCCTTTCCCTCCAAACACGTCCAACCCATACATACCTAGCCAAGCTGACCAACCAGTTCATAGCCGACCGAAACTTGGTTTGTGGAACGAACGAATGCGGAGCGTCTGTTCAAACGCTGCCTGGTACCTGAGGCATCAGGTTAGGTATCTGTTGAAAAGAGCCAATAATAAACTGCACCGTGCTTTTTCCCATCTCCCCCACGGTTCAAGTAACACCTAGTTCCCGGCTAGGATCTGAGATGTGATCTGGTGTTTCTTTCCTCTTTGTTTTGTTTTGTTTTGCATAGCTGTTTGGGCGTAACGCAACGCAACGCAACGCAACGCAACGCAACTCCCCTCTTACATCTCAACAGACTTGCTTCTCTACACCCCAACACTTACCACTTACAATTCACCATATTGGGTTACTCTAGTAATCTATATCTAACCCAACATCATGCCTTCCGCGCCTACCTTCAACTACTACGCCGCCCTTGAGGTGGACAGCCGCGCGACCCATCAAGAGATCACGACCGCCTTCCGTCGTCTGGCACGAATCCACCACCCGGACAAGAATCCCGACAACCAGGAATCTGCCACGGAGGCCTTCCAGAAGGTGAGACGGCGTTTCGTTGCATGTCGCAGGCTTATGCCCTGAGCTAGGTGGACTAACACCCCACGATAGATCCAACTTGCATATGAGACCCTATCGAGCCCCGCCAGTCGTGCTGCTTACGATGCTCGCCACCCACCCGCCGGTCCCCCGCCGGCTTCCTGGTCTGGAGCCCGAAGATCAGCAAACTACCGCTCTCCTCAATGGTCGTCTTCTGAAGGATCCAACGAGGACAACGGCCAAAACTATGCGAGTGACGAAGAGTTCTGGGACGATGACGCCCTAAGAGACCAGTTCATGTACCATTTCTTGTCATCACTATTCGCCAGCACCGACATGGCGCAAGAACGCCGCGATGCCTTCAACGCCGCGGCCCGCGAAGAGATGGGTCGCGAGCAGCAGGCTCGGTTCAGGGAACTCAACGCGCAGCGCCGCGAGCGCGAGGAAGCCGAGGCGGCGGCCAAGAAGCGACGGCAGGACGCCAAGCAAGCCGCGGAGGAGGCCAAGGCGAAGGCCCAGGAGGAGCTGATGGCTCAGGAGAAAGCCAAGCAGGAAGCGCGCTGGGCCAGCGCGAACGCCCGCACCGCCGACGAGCGCGCCAAGACGTGCCTCCACTCCGGCCACTGCGGCAAGATCCAGCAGCGCCAGAAGCTCAAGTGCGGCGCCTGCCACGCCAGGCGCGGCATCACCGCCTTCGAGTGCCCGCACTGCCAGCTGCTCATCTGCCAGCAGTGCGTCGGCCACTTCGCCAAGAAGCGCGCTGCCGCTGACAAGCCGCGGCCGCCGCCACCATCCTCGAAGCCCGAGCGGCCCAAGCCGGCCGCCGACACCCCATCCCAGAAAGCAGAAGACGAAGGAAAGGCAGAAGCGGGTTTGAAAACCGAGGCTGCCCAGAGTCAGAGTCACAAGAATGGTGGTGGTAATCGCAAGGGACCGGTAGACGGCCAGCAGCAGCCCAAGAAGAAGTGGAAGAAGACCTGCTTCAAGTGCCACAAGGAGGGACATATCGCCCATGATTGTTGGCAGAAGGCCGCCAACGCCAACGGCAATGGTGGGGCCGGAAAGCCTGGGCCAAAGAGCAACGGCAATAAGAAGAACGGTGGCAAGTGAGGAGGAGGGGAAAGCAGTCAGTTTCGATGCCCCTTAGATTAATTACATAGGTGCCATGGTCCCGAAGCTAAGGAAATACGTCGAGAATATGGTAATGGCGAAACGGAATGGATGATATCGGGGAGTTTGGCAAACCTCTGATTTGGCGTTTTCACCTTGGGGAGTGGTGGGGGAGGGGAAGGAGACGGATGGTGTCTCCGATGCATGGGGCGTTGCATGATTTCATGTTTGGCCGAGTGAGGGAAGATACCCAACGGATGTTTCTTGCGCTGCCTTTTACTTTACTTTTGTTCTGTCCTTCTTTCCTTTTCCTTCTACATGGTAGTGGATAGTGGATTGATTGATGGATGGATATGTCATCAAGAGATAACTTTGACCTCGGCCTTTTGTTGCGAGCATAGTAATTGCCTTCATACCTAATCCACTTAGTAGATGATAGGCACGCCGTCTATGATAATTATCGGAACAGTTGCGAAGCTCCAGCTTCTTGTACAACTTGAAGTTCTCTCCGAGCCAATACCTCATGGAAGATATATTATGTAGGAAAGCTTTTATCGACATCCAAGTACGAGTATGCACGTATTGTAGATGGGAGAGCCTAAACCGTTCTTCGGTGTCTGAATACTTCCGCGTGCCGACTTGAGCAGCTGTTCAGGTAGGTACCTAGCCTTAGATACTTGGAACTTGAATGTCCTAACTTAGGACAAACCATGACACTTCAGTATGTATGTTCAACTGGTAGGTACCTAAGATAAGTGTTTATTGATCGGATTTGGCTTCAAAGCCATCGACTCACTTAAGTCTCGGCGCTTTCCTTGCCCCATACATACCTACCTACAGTGGGGCGAAATTGAAAACGGGTAATTTTTAAACGCGAAAAAACGCGACTACCACCTTAAACCATACACCTTCTTTTCAACAATGGCTCCTACACCACCACCAAGCCCTAGAAGGGTCAAAAAGCACTATTCTCCTCATAAAAGGACGAGGATTTCATCCCTATATTCAGCTGGCGTTGCTGCTAAAGCAATCGCATCGTTAGAGTGTGTTCCAGTCCGTAGCGTTTACGCGATCAATGCCCGCTATAAGATTCAAAAATCAGGGCAGTCACGCCCTGGCCGGGGAGCGCTCTTCAAGCTTCAGGAACGCGATAAAAGACACATAATGAGACTTATACAGGTCGACCCTTTCGTTACATGCGCTGAACTTGCCGCGGGGATAGGTGGTTTAGTGTGTAGCCGCACTATAACCAACTGGCTCAAATCTGAGGGTATCATGCACCAACGTGCACTTCGTCGGCCGAAATTAACGGCAAGGAATGCTGCAAAACGCCTGGCGTTTGCTAAAATGCATGTACGAAAGCCTCCTTCATATTGGAAGCGTTGGAAATACTCAGACGAGTCAACGGTGGCTCGTGGAGATGGCGAGAAAGTGGGATGGGTATTTTGTCGTCGGGTAAGTCATTTCCGCTCTCCGGTATCTCTAACTTCACTTATACATATTTTAACCACCACAAAACTTTAGGATGAGAGATTACTACCCCAGAATGTACAGCCACGGGCCAAGCCAACAAGACATTCACAAATGTTTTGGGGCTTAATGGGGTGGAACAGTCGCAGTCCTTTGATAGACCTTTATGGGGATCCCGATGCTAGGTACCGAGGTATCACCAGCGTGGTTATCTTAGAGGTTTTAAGCGAAATCCTTCCGCAATTCTGTCCAAGAGGAAGTATATTCGTTATGGATAACGCTCCCACACATAAGGCTCGTTTGGTCATGGATTGGTTGATCCCTTGGGCCGAGAGTAACGGGGTTACTTTGGTGGATTGGCCCCCATATTCGCCTGACCTAAACCCTATTGAAAATCTATGGAAGCTGCTAAAAGAAAGGATTTGCGCAAAGAGACCTGAGCTAGCAGACATGCCAAAGAATGCTAGGGCACTGGAATTACTGGTAGAGACCGCTAATGAGGTGTGGGAAGAGTTTGAAGATGAGATGTTGAATAATCTGGCGATGAGCATGGAAAACAGGTTGCAGGCGGTTATTGACGCGAAAGGTTGGTATACAAAGTACTAGATACAATCATGTATATATCAAAAAAAACGCCACTCATTTCTCTATCACATACTAAAATTTGAATATTTAAAAGCCTCAATTGATTGCATAGTCGGCCATTTAAGTTGTATGGTCATGTTGAAGGTTTATTGCCTTGGTGGGGTTGAAAAAAAATTACCCGTTTTCAATTTCTCCCCACTGTATCTAGCCCACACGGAAGAGAACACGGCAAAGCAGACGGGAGAATCACGAGGTTTTTTTTTTAAGAAAAAAAAGCCACCCATGATACCGTCTACCTTCCATGTATGTAGGCAGGTAAGCAAGCAAATACATAGGTATGTATGCGTGGAAGCAGCAAAAAAAAACAAAAAAAAACCTGACCACACAACACTGCCACCGCCCTCCCGTAGCACAAGACCGAGCCGCTTAACCTACATATGTATGTATGTATGTATGTATGTACATACCTATAGCACCCATCAACCAATACTGGCTTCAATGTTATCAGGGCACTGGATGTGGTAATACAGCATTCGATGCGAGTAGGTGCCTATCCGTGCATACGTAAGGTACTCATACTCATGCCTCGTGCATATGTATATGTAGTTGGAGGAATATGGGCGTGTACCTACATACGGGCATATGTACCTATCAAATCAACAACTGTGGCGTCTGCAATCTTATCCATCCATACCTACATATATGAGGCACATAATGTAGGTATCATCAATGATTACGTACATAATATATGTGCGGCTGATCATGGGTAGGTAGGTACTTAGATACCTACCTACCTATGTAGGGCCATTGTAGGCACCAATGATTCAAGGCTGACCGAGTGTCCTTTCCCATAGCCGAAGCTTCGGTGACTACATTACCTAGTATGCGTGTTCGGTCAAGTGGTTAGCTACACAAACAACAACCAGGCGAGATTAGCATTTTCATACTGTACAAAGCACACTTCACTTCACTCCACTCGCAAATATTACTACAAGACTCGGTGACGAGGAACAACACAAGATAGGGGGGAAAGTCAAGTCAAGTTTACATAGTCGAGACTGGTCTTGTATTTCAAGGGCCTAATGTGTCAAAAATAGGGAGTTTTGTTTCGGCTTGTTTGTTTCGGGGATGAGCCTACACATTTCCACCGTTTTCCTCCTATGTTTGTTTGTCACATGATCTTAGATGCCCGAGGTAGATACCTACTAGGCACCTAGTTAGGTACCCAGTACTGAAATAGTCTCAAGGAGCCTTGCTGGCGAACTCGACGACGTCCATCAATAGTACGAGAAGGGGTGATATCTGATAATGCTGCTCCATGACTGAAATGCGAAGGGGTTCACTTTGGTGCTTCAACCCTTCCATGCGTATTCTTTTTTTTGCTTCCTCCCCTTTCCTCCCATATCCAGCCTGCTAGCAGACCCAACTCTCTTCCACCTCTTATTTCCTCGCCTTACGCGTAATAATTTTCAAATGGCACCGCCGAGAAGTAACAAATTTCAACAAAAGAAACAGAATAAAGTACTTTGTATCGCTTTGGTTTGGATGGCGGCAGTAGCGTCAACTAACTCTACGAGAGAGCAAATTCATGTAACGCTTCAAATTCCGCTCCTCGTTCCTATCATGTATCAGGTTTCGAATGAGGCCTGCATACGCTGCCCGGAAATAATTCCAGGTGACTACACCCTCGCTCATCTCGAAGCAGCAAGGCCTCCCCCCTAGTGAAAAAAGTGAGTCCGTGGCTACACTCCGATTAACCGGAGACGAGTCCATCGAGGACGGGAAAGAGAGGTGGAACGAAGGGTAGAGTGAGATTCACGCAACCCATCTCGGTATATAAGATTAAAAAGTACATATACACCAAAAATCGAAGTTATTGTCACCAAACGCCAGCCGCTATGATGGCTACCAAGGTAGTTTGTCGGTTCGAGTTTCTACCTCGTAGAATAGGACATTATTGAATTGAAGTTTAAAGAGTGACATCGAGAACTAGGCTGACGTCCTGGACATTAGACCCGGCCAGATCTTCGAGGACGGGTATCAAATCTAATAGCTCATTGTCGTGCGCATCCGAGAACCAACTGCTGATCGGCACCGCGTGCTGAGGGTGAAATATGTAAGAAGTAGGAGAGTTGTCAATAATTATGGTATCTTTGAGATCCCTGCCGACCTGGGAGAGGTCCTTGACGTAGTTTCCTTGGTGATTATAACAACTCTCACGGAACAATCGGTGGTGAACGACCTTGTGTATATCGAGTTGGTCAAGAAGAGGGTCGCCGTACTATTCGGTCTCGTTAGAAACTCCAACTAGATACATAAAAGGGGAAGAAATGCGGAATTAAGCTTACCTTAGAGACGGAGGCCGTAAAAACTACGACTTCATAAAGCTCGCCCACCCGCTTCATGAACTGATCAACACCCGGTCGCTTAATGACGTATACATTGTGGTAGTTGCCTTCAATCTCGACCGGTATCGTAAAGTCAGCTTGATGCAGTATCTGTAACAATTAGCATATTGTCCATACAATCAAGAGTCACCGTAAATTACCTTGAAAGAGCTGTGTACTAGTATCTCGTCCAGATCCAGCACGAGACATTTCCTGCCCTTGAGATGGGGCTCGACAGGTGGTAGAAGATACTTCTGTATCCCTTGTTCGACGTCGACAGACTTGTCCTCTGGCGCAATTGGGGCGGCGGCGACAACGGGTATCGGTCCAGGCGGCGGTGGGGGGACTGGCTTCTGGTATTGCTCGTCGTTTCCTACGGCAGGCTGCTTGGCGGATTCACTTGTAGCTGCTTGTGCGCCACCCATTTCAACATCGCCGTCAACGTCTTTGCTGGAAGCGCCTTCGGCGGGAACCGCCTCCGCTTCATGATCCTCTATAACCGGAGGGTTAACCGTGATGCTAGGGCCCGGTACACCGACCAGGGTAGTTTGCTTCGACTCACTCTCACGGTCACCGACTGTCGACTGATCCTGCGTAGTAGCGGCGGAGGCTCGCTTGGCCGATTTGGTGTCTTGAGCAGAAGTGCTTGACTGAGGTTGCGATTCCTTCTCTTTCTCGTAGAGGTGATTCTTGCTACCACTGGTCTGCTCAGATGGTGGCCGACTAGATGTTAATGGCCGTTGGGGGATCTTATCTAGTTTGTGAGAGGGGAGTGGATCATCACCGCCTTCGAGGGCGTTGGCGTTATTAGGAACAACGCAGCAGCCAAGAAGTGCCAATAGGCCGCCCTTTTTCCGCCGTTGGGGAGCTCCAGCCGGAGAATTGGGCTGGGTCGTAGTTGGTGTAGTCGTGGGATTCGTGGCAGCTCCAGAGTGATTGCTGGATGCACTACCGTTCCGACGCCGGCCGAGCATGCTGTGCTTTGATTCCTTGGAATGGCCACCAATGCTATCCCTCGGATCGTCTGCGGTCGTCCCGCTTAGGCCCGTTGTCGCCGGCGACGATTGTATCTTTTGCGACGATGATCTTGACGGAACGTTTAAAAGCCCACGGCCTTTCCTAGGAGCCGATCCTTCTTCAGGAGTATACGTCTCTTTTCCCCTTGATCCTTCGTGCTCCGCCTGTACTTTCTCATCGGCGCCCTTGGACATATTTCCTAATTATTAAACCTCGACACTTGTAGGCTGTCAATAAGACGACACGCTTTCGCGCTGCGATATGGAATTAGCTATTGGTACATGGGGGTTGGAAGCGAATTGTGGTGCATAGGAGAACAAGTAGGCAACAAAAGGTGTTTGGAAGATCAAGTAAAGGATTAAGTAGATTGAATAGTGACTGGCGCAAATTGGATCGGCACACATAAGCTGCTGGATAAAATAGCACCACGTCGACTAATTGAAATGCCCAAGGCTTCCAAAGTACGGCAAGTTTAATGATAATGGGTTTCAAGACTTAACCGTTGTTGGCAAGAAATGATGTTATTACTCACCTTGGTAACCAGCGGTCGTTGGCTTTGGAAAGCTGCCCTTAGCCCCTAATGCAATAATTGGTGGCCTCGGATGGCCAAGCCAGTCAATAGGTGTGGCCGTGTCTGCGAGCTGCGAGCGCGACTCGACGAAGGAACCTTGAAAGTTGACCGATGCGGTTGAATCGGAGTGCAAATGTATGCCCGCGGTTCGAGAAGCCGCGATGGGGGCGATGGGTAAAAAGGTGATGCGATGAAAAAGAATACAGAGGGTATCAAAGATATCGGCGCGTCGTGGAGAAAGAGAAGCACCTTGAGCTTATTGTGATAATTTGGGGGGGGGGGGGGGGGGGGGAGGATGTGAGGAAGTGGGTCTTGGACTAGTTAGGTACTGGGGGACCTTGCGAACTTGACTTGCTACCTACTAAAGAAGAAAAAGAAGAAGAGAAAAAAAAAGAAAAGAAAACGATTGAACCTGGATGTCAATGTAGATGACGAGCCTGAGAAAGGTACTTTGGGTCGGGTATCTGAACAAAATAACTCCAAATCCTAATAGGTGAAATAAAATAAAAATTGGCCCAAATGCCCAAAAATGCTATCGGGAAACTACCTAGTAAGAAAAAGAGAGAGGTTGAATGAAAAGAAAAAGGGAGCAAAGTACAACGCTGAAGATGATACCGTTGACCTAAGTAAAATAAAAAAAGGTAAGGTAAAATAAAATAAAAAGGTAGCGCGTAAAAGTGTACTACTAACTAGGTACTACTGGGTAGGCAGTAGTAGATAGGGTATGGTAGGGTAGGTGCTAGAAGTAGGTAAGGGTTAAGGAAGTTGGAGAATTGGAAGTTAGGTAATAAGGTACAATACAAACAGGGCTGGCTGTACGTAAAAGAAAAAGAATAGCGCTGAGTAAATCTCTCAATGCTTCTTCCCAATCTACTCTCATGTGCCTAGTCTGTCTTGTCTGGTAACTCTGGTAACTCTGGGAACTCTGGTTTCGCAGAGGCTGAACAAAAGTCTGGAATCGCAACCTTGGAAGCGAGATGATTTCCGCAAAGAAGCCCTTGGAGACCGAACTGGAGACTGAACATTGAAAGAGCACGGAGCAAATTGACCAGGGTTGGGGGGGATAAAGCCGCTAAGTGTGCCTAAGTGTGCCTGCTTAAAATCACTGCTCTAAAGGATCAATCTCCATCTGGATGTGACAAGGGGTGGGTGGAAAGGTGGGAGCGATTGCCCCAGTTGATGGTTAATGTTTGATGGTTGCTGGATGGTTAACCCGTTAGCGTCCAGAAGCTGGGCTGGCTGGGCGCTTTGTAAGTGGGACCTACGTTGTAATTGGCGACCAGTAGAATTGCTCATTCCCAATTCATTTCTACAGTGTACTCCGTGCAATTCCCACTGAAACGAACCAGGGCACATCTGGGCGAAACCTGTCCATAATACGATATGTTAAGGAAGGTATGGCAACCTACAGCGAATTAATAACATGATCCATCCCGCATTGGTACCGCGCCAAGTTTAGCCCCATCTAGCTCCCATGTGCTTAGCTTGCCCCTACCAACCCAAAAAATGCACATGTAGGATACCTAGGGTACCTAGGATACCTGGGTAGTTAATTCAATATCGCAATTTCGCCGATAATCAATTAATCATCTTGTATTCATCTTGTATTCCTCTCAACAATAGCGTACGGCGCATCCTATGGCCTTTTCCACGAGATTAACAATTAACTTTCTTTTGTTCTTTTTTTCTTTTTCTTCTTCCTTCATTCTTCACACTAAACTAATTGGCTTGGCCTCCAGTCTTTCTATTACACACAAATCTACCTATATCACTATATATACCTAATGTATACCTATTACCTACTAACCTACTATGTAGCAACTTGGAGCCGCTTGCTCAGTTAGGTAGGTGTCTAAAGCAGCATCCAACATGCAGATTCCGTGCCACTTCAACACCAGACCGTATGTAGTAAGTTCCAGATGTCCAAGGTAAGATCGATACGCTGGAACCTACATTGTAGCCTCAATGTAGGGAGGCATATATGTAGGTAGGCATTTGTACTGTGGGTTTTCCTATTTCCTATGAGCAGCATCTGCATATATTGATGTCTTTCGCATGACAATTTTTTTTAGTCGCCCATCGCATTCAAGGGGCATGCACATTCAAGTGTGCCGGGGAGCATTTCCGTTACAGCAGTGCTAGCTACTAATGCACAGGCGGCAAGGGGATTCTGATTGGAGCTGTGTTGGGACAGCAGCAGCAAGCGGCGGCATGCTCCAGCGTTAAATAGAAAACTAGGGCAGGGTAGCTAAACTACCAGGTACCTTACCCCCGTTACCCAAGTGAGCTTTTGCAGCTTTTGCATTGAGAATGAGACCGCAGAGTAAGACGAGCTAAGTAGTTCTTCGGTGTTGGTACCTGATTGGTTATGTTGGCGCCCGTTAGAGTGACGGGCTGAGAAGGGCAACTGCGCCATCCGTCCACTTAAATACTAGGCCCAACTTGACTTTGATGAGGGTTGAACAGATTCCCTGTGGTGGGCAGCAATGGCGAGGGCAAGTGTTTCAATAGTAACAATGCTACACCGTGTGATACAGGCATCTGAGATACTAGCCGTATTCTTCGTCAGATAAGGCGAAGCGGATTTGCCATACCAACATCATCCAAGCAAGACATGATTCGTATGTATGTATGTATGTAAACCAACCTGCTTCCGTGCAGGTACAACAGGCGGTAAGAGATCTATCTTACCAGGTATTTTTAACCTTCTCAAGATCCGTCCCGTTGGGACTTTCGACTGGTATAACAGTTGTGTTATGGGTCAGGTTGAATTATTTTCTTTCGAGTTGCTATGACGGACTTTGACAGTCAAGTCAAAGTTATTGATGATATGTTGAAAATCCACCTATGTAACCTTTGCTAATACTTTACTAACTATTATGTAGGTCAACTATGCAAAAGGGGCACCTAGGGAAGACTGGGAAGTATGCACATTGCGCGCGCTATAAAGATACGGACGGTACTTATTTTCAACTGGGTCGGTTTAATTTCCCCAGACTTCCTTCAATCAAGCCTCTCCTTTTAAGCCACGAAATGTGGCAGTTTCAAAAGCAACGCGATCTTCCAACAATTTGAACTTGGAACTTGAAGTGGGAAACCTTGAACTGCACCTTACTTACAGTACTGTCAGTACATGCACCGAGGGTAGACTGCACATGCATGCGATACATACTTCAAGTTTGTATGTACTATGTAGTACTAGGTATGTACCCAGGGCCATGTACTCCGGACCTTACCTACCTAGTACCTAGTAACTTTCGTGGGGAAATGTGGCTGGCACTTGAGGCTTTGATCACATGATCCTCTTTAATCAATCTCTACGCACATACGAAGGTGCACGGTTCCCAAATGAGATCATTGGACGCGGTCGGCTCTTGACATGAGGGATCAACCTCGGGTGTTCACATGCCTCAGCTCGTCACTTTGAATCGTCACTAATGACGGACTTTACCTTTCTAACCATATTCTGCTTATCATTATTTTCCTCCTCACTTCTTTCCTTTTAGGATCCAGGACTCTTATATTCATCTATATCATAATAAAATCCACCTAATTGGTTAATCATGTATTAAATATTTACTTGTCCAGGTACTCATACCCTTTCTATCACGCTTCATATACCATCCACCATTACCTGACCGTCTATGGCTCTCGGTGACGACAAGTCATAGACCGCCTCAATTGGATGTCATGTCACCATGGCGGTGCAATCGACACTTCGCCATTCGGCATCCGAAGATATCCTCGTAGCTTTCATCGACAAGTATACCACTCTAATCCGTGATCGCCTACGAAAAACTTCGAAACGTACGAAGCTCTTCGCAACCCTCGCTCTCGCCGCATCCATAATACTCAGCGCAGAAGGTAGTCGGAGATGGTGGAAGCGAAAGAGGCAAGAAAGAGAACAGGGCCGAAAGCTTCTGCGCACGAATTCTTGGTTATTTAACAAAGATGGGTCGCGAACTATATATGTCCCGTATAAAGATGGGACGTCAAAGGTGGTCATCAACAGGACGAAACCACTGACCTTCGAAGCGCATCGTCGACTGTTCTTAAATCCCCCTAAAGTGTCCGGTCTTGCCGATGGCACTGTTCCCTCCACGCAGACTAAACCAGGCTTAAATCTTGCTTTCCTACACCAGTTCCTGAGCTTAATGAGTATTATGATACCACGATGGACTAGCAAAGAGGCTGGCTTATTGGTTAGCCATGGCGCATTCCTAATGCTGCGTACCTACCTTTCCCTCGTTGTTGCGCGTCTGGATGGTGAAATTGTGCGTGACTTGGTTGCTGGCAAGGGAAGATTATTTCTCTGGGGTCTTGTCAAGGTATGTTACCGTTCTATTCATAATCTCAATCCTGGATTCGTCGTTGACACTTAAGTAATAGTGGTGTGGACTTGGTGGTTTCGCCTCCTACACCAATTCTATGATCAAATTCTTAGAGTCCAAGGTGTCGATTGCGTTTCGAACCCGTTTAACAAGATACATCCATGATCTGTATCTCAACGACAATTTGAACTACTACAAGCTTTCGAACTTGGACGGCGGAGTTGGACAAGGAGCCGACCAATTCATCACCCAGGACTTGACCCTTTTCTGTGCCTCCGCCGCGAACCTATACTCCTCGTTGGGGAAGCCTTTTGTAGATCTATGTGTTTTCAACTATCAACTGTATCGCTCCTTGGGACCTCTGGCGTTAACTGGCCTAATGAGCAACTATTTCCTCACAGCGAGTATTCTACGAAGGATGTCACCACCCTTTGGAAAGTTAAAGGCGGTAGAGGGACGTAGAGAAGGAGATTTTAGGAGTCTACACGCCCGTCTAATCGCCAATGCCGAAGAGGTTGCCTTCTACGGCGGTGCTGAAATGGAAAAGACATTCTTGAACAAGGAATTCAAATCTCTCAAGACCTGGATGGAAGGCATATATCTTCTCAAGATTCGTTACAATATCCTCGAGGACTTCATCTTGAAATATAGCTGGAGCGCTTATGGCTACCTCTTATCATCCTTGCCAGTCTTCCTTCCGGCTTGGGGCGGTGTAGGGGGCGCGATGGAAATGGTCGAAAATGCTGAGAAGGGTGGGCGAGAGCGTAACCGAATGAAAGATTTCATCACGAATAAACGTCTCATGCTTTCGCTTGCAGATGCGGGTGGCCGGATGATGTATTCCATCAAGGATCTTTCCGAGTTGGCTGGTTATACGAGTCGCGTTTACACACTGATCTCCACGTTACATCGCGTGCATGCCAACGCTTACACTCCACAGCCGAGTGGTAATGAGCTATATTCGATGTCCGATATCCAGGGAACCATCCAGATGGGCTTTGATGGTGTACGACTTGAGCATGTACCCATTGTCGCGCCAGGTCTTTGGCCCCAAGGTGGCGAAGAGTTGCTAGAGTCACTATCCATGATCGTTCGCCGGGGAGAGCACTTGTTAATATCTGGTCCCAATGGTGTTGGGAAAAGTGCCATATCAAGAGTTCTCGCTGGGCTTTGGCCAGTCTATCGCGGCTTAGTGAGTAGGCCCAAATCCATTGGTCAGGATGGTATCATGTTCTTGCCCCAAAGGCCGTACTTAAGCGTTGGCACCCTTCGTGATCAAATCATCTATCCGGATGGCGAGTTGGATATGCGGCTTAAGCGCAAGAGTGAGGATGAACTCAAGCGAGTGCTAGATGCCGCCAAACTTGGCTATCTACCTGATCGGGAAGGTGGCTGGGACACGCGAAAGGAGTGGAAAGATATTTTAAGCGGTGGTGAAAAGCAAAGGGTTGGTATTGCCCGTCTGCTATACCACGAGCCTCAGTACGCCGTCATCGACGAGGGTACAAGCGCTGTCTCGAGCGATGTCGAGGGTCTACTCTATGAGACGTGCAAGGAAAGGGGCATCAGTAAGTTAAATATCACTTACATCTCGGACATACAACTAATGAACAATAGCCTTGATTACGATATCTACACGTGCTTCTTTGAAGAAGTACCATACGTTTAATCTCATCCTTGGCGCTGGCGAAAGTGGCGACGAATGGGAGTTTGAGCGGATCGGTACGGAACGGGAAAAGATGCATGTTGAACGTGAACTTCAGGAACTCCGCGAACGACTTAGCCAAGTCGAGCAGTGGAAGCAGCGTCGCGAGGAGATCGAGAAGGAGCTGGCACAGGTTTGGGTTGAGGGCGATGCTTCTCTAGAACCCCCTCCATATGTGGAGACTGAGACCTCTGAGCCCGAGCCCGAAAAGACTGAGGCTCAATGAATAGATGTTGCTTATGAAGGCTACTTGCTACTTCATCCTTTGCATAATACATGATGGCTATGTACGAGTATATTATAGCACGAGGCAATCGAAAATCTTGAACACACTTTTATGTCCTTACCCCTATTGTAGGATCGGTAGAAGAAGTGCGTCACAGATGCATACCATGGTCTAAATCAAGGATACCACCTATAGATAAATATGCTTTATCAAACAGCCAGAGTCGTTCCGACAGCAAGACCGAGGCATTCTTCAAGTATCTATATGAAGGCCTACCGGCTGCAGGCATAGACATCGAATGGTTTAACCTAGATGCTTGTTTGCATGAGCAACTACCTAAGATTGGGTATATAGCAGATACTTGAGTGCTAATATGCCTATATAATTCAAGTGCTGACGATAAAAACACTACAAGGTGGTGACTGTAGGTTAGAGGTGTTATCATCACATCGCTAACCTGGGTAGCCTCTTGTAAATTTCCAAATCTTAGCTAGGTACACCACACAAAGAGACAAAGAGACAAAGAAACCCAGCCGAGAGCTTCGTTCTTGGTTGGAGAGAAACACACAACATAGTCACAAGCAACGAACTAAACAAATTGTTTAGCCATTGTACTAACCTTAGTATAAAGATGAGCCGCCATCACGCCTCTTCACAACTTGGGAGATATCTATACCAGCGATCTGTTATCAATAGCAAGCATTTGCAATACATAGCACGTTATTAAACTTCTAACACAATCAACTCTTTTTTTTTTTTTTTTTTCTTTTTTTTTTAAATTATTAGTTAAAATTGCCCATCATGTCCACCACAGACAACGCCTCCGAGGTGGAAAACGCGACGACCACCCAGCTCGCCGAACTGACGTTGAACGACGCCGAGCAGGCATTCCACGCCAACATGCTCGCCGGGCTGAACTTGGCAGAAGGTGCACGGCCCTGCGCGGGTTGCGGCGAGGACGACTGCGTCTGGCGGGTGAGGCTGGACTGCGGCTGCACCTACACGTGTCGCGCGAACCTACCCAGGCAGTGCTTTACGGCGAGGCTGAAGAAGCGAGTCGCGGGGGCGGGGGTGAAAAGGTTGTACAATATGCGGCCCTATAGAGGGATCTCTACTATGGTTGCGCATATGACGGGAGAGTACGGAATTTAGTTAATTGATAGGGGATGACGGCCAGGTGGCAAGAGCACTGGCTGCACAGCTGGCAGATCTTCCTGACAGTCGACAGGGATCCTGGCAGGACAGGAGTGCCTCCGTAAGCGCCAAGCCACAATAAGCACAGACTTGTGGTCAGAGTTTACTGAGATAAGCCCCACCATTGCAACTTTAATTAATTATTAGATTTAACTACTTCAGTTGTCGATTTTATTAGATCTGAGAACAAAAAAATATTAAAATAGTTAACTAGTTATTCCCAAAAAGAAAAGAAAAAAAGGAATTCAATAAATTTCGACGAGACTTCTGCCCGGCGCAAAGTCATACATTACCTAGTAGTTAACGAGGAAACGGGCAGAAAACGGTAGAATAAAGATCTATTTGTTCTTCATTGTTTCGTCCATCGTCCATCATCGATCATCGCTGCATCGTCAAGTCTGCGGCCGGCATTGCCCCTCCTCTCTCATCTTGAGAATAACACCTATAAATCTGCCTACTCGCAGTTGCCGTTGCAGTCGCGCATAAGAAGGAGAAGAAGTAATAGTCCAAGATTATTTACTGGTATTTCTTCCTTCTTCCTTCTTTCCTTTCCTTCTTCCTACGTTTCCTGCGTCACTGCCCAGGAGGTACGGACCCCATTTTGCCTCAGGCGCAACACACAACCAACACACAACATTTAACACTTTTTGAGCCTTGAAGCTTATACATACATTGTAGCAAACTGCGCAGTCGCAACCACCCCCTTCCATTACCTACGCTATCAATCGACAACTTTCTCTCGATTTAAAAGCAAACTCAGCCTCTCAGCCTCCCCGTTCCATTTACCTCTCCCCCCACCACCTCTCAATTATACCCCTCCAAAACCATCTCACCAAAATCCTTCAACATGTCCGAACAAGTCGATCTCACCACCATCCCCATCTCTCCTACTGGCGACCATTCAAACTCTGGCGACATTGACGACACCGAAGGCGGCGGCAAGCTGGTCACTGTTTTTCACGACAAGGACAACTTCAATGTCAAACATCCCCTCCAGAACAAATGGACTTTGTGGTTCACCAAGCCTTCCAGCGGCAAGGTTAGTCTATGTCCTAATCCTATTACTAAGTAAATTTACAATTGGTCTCGCTCTTACTGACTGCCATACCGAACAGGGCGATAACTGGAATGATTTACTCAAAGAAGTCATCACCTTCAACTCTGTCGAGGAGTTTTGGGGAATTTACGTAAGTGTTTGATGCCATTACCTATAGCAAACCACGTCTAACCTGACTACTCTAGAACAACATTGCGCCTGTATCCGAACTAGCCCTCAAGTCCGATTATCATCTATTCAAGGAGGGTGTGCGACCAGAGTGGGAAGACCCCCAGAACAAGCACGGCGGCAAGTGGTCCTATTCGTTCAAGGACAAGCGTAGTGTCGATATCAATGACCTTTGGTTACACACCATGCTGGCTGCTATCGGTGAGACCCTTGAGGAGGAGGAAGATGGCGAAGTCATGGGTGTTGTCGTCAACGTCCGAAAGGCCTTCTATCGTATCGGTGTCTGGACACGGACTATAGGAAAGTCCATCCCTAACCGAGGAGACGGTGATGTGGCCGGCGGAAAGGGTCGTTCGGTGGAGAAGGGGCAGAAGATTCTCCTCGCTATCGGCAAGCAGTTCAAGGACGTCTTAAAGCTACCCGCCAACGAGCTTGTCGAGTTCTCTGGTCACACCGATTCGGCCCACAGTGGCAGCTCTCGTGCTAAGGCTAAGCATACCGCCTAAACACTCGTTGTAGTCGACGAAACCTTTAATCCTAGGAAGGAAGAGTCGTTTTACACGACAGCCCTTCAGGCTTGAAACACGGTTCACGGATCACGGTTTGATTCCTCGCTATGTTTTTCTTGTAACGCGGCTCGCATATCCTAGGTACTAGGGCCTCCTTCACCAGTCATACACAGGATCCGGTAATGACCGACTAATGAAACCCAATGAGTGTATCTCCTAGGACTTAATTGGACGTTGCGGCGGCGGTATGGCTTATGATCTCGATATGATACGTATCTTACTCATTCCTGATGGGGCGAGGAATTGAGTTTTACCCAGTAGCAGAATTTTACTACTCGTCGCTGGTGACAGTCAAGAGTAGGGCTACAGTATTTTCCTTCTCTGCGGATAGTAGACAAATACCAATAATGGAAAACACACTCTTTGGTTCTTTGCAATGGTGACTTGTGACTTGTATAATCCATACCCCTTTTTGATGTAGTTTTACTTGAACTACCTATTTATCGGGGCAAGTATCGAATTTATTTTGTAATTTTTAATTGTTGGAATCTACTTATGGTGATATGATGATGTGGTGTTTATTCACCCCTGCCACTTACACACATGCATGCAGCACTTACATACTACTTACTACCTAACCTAGGGTCTTCATGGTTTGTTTGTTCTCTCCACAATAGGGGAGAGCGAGTCTCACACGGTATACATACATACATACATATACATACCTAGTAGGTAGCCTTGATAATAGGTACCTAAGTAGGTTAGGTAAGTACTACAGTGTAGTACCTAGTAGGTTGGCTTGATAGGGTAGGTAGGTAGGTAGGTACTAGGTATCTAGTTAGAGATGCAATGCTTATTTACATAAGAACGAAGAGACGGGAAGAAAAAAAAAGGGGGGGGGGGATGGATGGTGGGGCGAAAGGCGCGATGATGAAAAAGAAAAAGAAAAAAAAGAAAAAAGTCGAACTGGAAACTGGAAACTACATATGAGTGCATGCAAGGAAGCAAGCAAGCAAGTGCCTAGTGCCTGCTGACTGACTGACTGACTGCAGCTACTAGGTTAGGTATTCTCCTGGGTACTGTACTAAGGCTAGATATGTCTCGAGGTTAGTAAGTAACGATGGGCGAAGAAAGCACGATGGAAGTCAAACAGACACGTAAACACCGTGGACATGATGCGTAGGAGGGGATAAGTAATAGGTAAAGAGGTAACCGTAAATAGATTCCCGAATATACATAAAAGCCAAAGTCGCCGCCCCGACACAACACGACACGACGTTTCGATATATACACATCTATAAACTAGGTACGCTGGTAGGTAGGTCTAGATAATTCCAGTCATTTTCCGTCTCCTCTCCTCTCGTCTCGTTCCAGCCATCGTCATCGCCTCTATAGGCGGGTGGAAGTGGGGTATGTTGAATGTAAGTAAGTGTGCAAGTGTGTAAATAGACCCCCGCATCGCTCATTCCAGTATAAAACTCCAGCTGACCCCCCTTCACATCTCATCGCCACTAAAATCATCCAAGAACACCGACTTCAGCAGCTCCTTCTTGTTGATCTTGCCCATGGCGTTGCGGGGGATATGCTCGACTACCCTAAGCACCTGGGGGATCTTATAATTAGCCAAGCGACCCTTGAGGGCGCGGCGCATGTCAAGGGGGCGCCACGCCGGGTGGTCGTGCAGGTGCTCGGGGGAGTGGATGAGGACGGCGCCGACCTTCTGCCCCCACTTGCCCGACGGCACGGCGACGACGGCCGCCTCGGCGATCTCTGGGAGCGACAGCAGCTCGCGCTCGACTTCGAGCGCGGAGACTTTTTCGCCGCCCGACTTGATGATGTCCGCGCTCTGCCGGCCTAGGATGAAGTACATGGGGCCCTGGGCCCAGTCGCCGCTGACGCCGTGGCCGGCGCTGGGGACGGGGCGGCGCACGGCCACGTCGCCGGTCTTGAACCAAGGCCCTTTGCCGTCGTCTGATAGTACGAACTCCTTGGCAGTGGCGGTGGGGTTGGCCCAGTACTCGCGGAAGACGTTGGCGCCGCGGAGTTGGATTTCGCCCGAGCGTTCCTTGTCGGACGGTAGCTCGTTTGGGTCGTCCTCGACGAGGATGCCCGTCTCGCTGTCTACGAGCCGGGCCTCGACGCCGGGGAGCGGCCACCCGACGCTGCCGTCGACGCGGTCGCCGTAGTCGAGACCGCAGGAGAGCGCCATGCCGACCTCAGTCATGCCATAGCGCTCAAGGAGCACGTTGCCTCGGCTGAGGTCTTTCCAGGCGCGCTTAACGGGAGTCGGGAGAGCGGCAGAGCCGGAGATAGAGACGCGCATATGCTCGGGGCTGATGGCGATGCGGCCGGCTTCGGCGATAATTGGGGGCAGCGATTTATGTGTCGAAAGGAGACGGGTGTACACCGTCGGGACGACAGTGAAGAATGTGATCTTGACGCGTGCCATGTTTTTGTACTTCTCCTCCTTTGCTAAATCCGCGGCCGTTGGCTTTGTCGGCTCTGGCTGTTTCGTAGGAACAGTGTTTGATTCCACGACTGGGGTGGTAGGCACATCAGTCGATACAACAGGAGTGTTGAATCCGCTGGTAGATGCAGTCGCAGACTGTGGTATGCTGTTGGTCTGCTGTGCGATGGCTTTGTTTAGGCCGTTGGTCAATGCAGCTGGTTGGCTAGGCGGATTGATCCTCGCAGCAAGGTTATTAACCTCGGCCGCGAGCTGGCTAATGACCGATGCCAGACGACCAATTTCTGATGAGGTCGAGGTACCGAAGCCGTTCAACTCCGGAGCCGGCGTACTGGTACCGTTCGTCTCTGTTACCGGAGTGATAGTGCCGTTGGCCTCTGCGACAGGTCCCGGAGTAGGGAAACCGTTTGTCTTCAAAACTGGATGGTGTGCACTGTTGGTAATTCCATTAGGCTTGTCAAGGCTATAGGCTTTGAGCGGGTGCACAATGCCATTGGCAATACCATTCGTCTTTGCAGCCTCGGCCACCTCACTGGCTTGCTTGACGGCTGCAGCAACCTGAGGGGAATCTACAAATGGAGAAGCAAAACGGCGCCATACCGCGTCGGCATTGAATGGGAAAAGGAACTCGATACTGCTGCCGGCAAAGAGAGGTGTGAGTAGCGCATTTATGGTGCCATGAATATGGTGAAGGGGTAAAACGTGGAGGAGTCGATCTGATGGTGAGTATTTCCATGCTTCGATCAAGGCACGGGCTTGGGCTGTGATTGCGGTCTCTGGCAAGAGCACTCCCTTTGGCCGATTGGTCGTCCCGGATGTATACAGCATCATGCCGGCACCCTCGGTGCTGTCTTCTTCTAGCAGAGTAACCTGCTCGAAAGTCTCTGAGATTGCGCCGAGGCGTTTCTGCAGCTCGACGGGGGTCGGCGACGGCGTAGCATCGAGCTCTGTGCTTGGAGTGTGGAGAACTTCGTCGACTTTCGAGGCATATCTAGGCGAGTGCAACAAGAGTATCGCCTGAGATTGCGACAAGATGTACTGTAGCTCGGGTGCCGGGAAGGGAGGTGAAAGTGGCAAGGCAATAGCGTGTGCGGCTAGAATAGCCAGATATGTGACTAGGTAGATGACGCAAGTCAGCAGGCAGTTTTTTGTTGAAGAATTAAGAAGCACGTTTGGTGTATATAAAAAGGTTGGATAGTTGAATTCATACCAACATAATCATATCCATTCTCTATCAGAAAAGCAACTCGTTCGCCTCGAATATCTGTTGTGCCCGCCGCATCAAGTATCCGGTCACGGGTACGGCATACATCCGGTAGAATTTCACCATACTTGAAAGTTCTGCGGGATAAGCAATGGACAACAGCGGTAGATTGTGGGTTGTGACTAGCAATGGCTTCGAAGATGGGTAACTTGGGGAGAGTTAGAGTGGAAGCCATCTTGAATTGTGTATTGGTAGTAATGGTAGTAGTGGTAGTAGTGGAAGTGGTATATTTGCGGAGGGGGGAAGATGTATGGTCAGACAAGGAACACGATCGAGGAACAAATGCAGTATATGTAGTAGTGGGTGCAGTAGAGGGATCAGCAGCAGCAACAGCAGTAGTAGCAGATGCAATGAAACGACGACCTAAAGAATGGGCGGCTGAAATAGACCTAAGCAGCTGAGACGACGACGGAGCATTAACAATCAGACGAAGTCCAGTACCACTCAATCGCATTCCGATACAAGAGGGAAGAAAGTAGTAAATAAGTAGGTCTGATATTTCTACAACCTCCTCTGTCTACCATCTGCACATACCAGGTACCGGTAGTCCCCCTCCCCATGCACGGCCCCTCTGAATAGGCAGGAGGATGGATCGGACTCCGGGGTTGATGGGGGAAAATGGGTATTTGAAATACCAAGAACTCGCGAACAGGGAAGAGATCTGGGATAATCGGCAGAGTTAGGTCCGTGATAGTCAGACAAACACAGAGAGAGAGGGCCCTGAGACCTTGAGCTTTGTGTTGAATATGTCCGATAATCAGGTTAGGGAGGTACCCAACTTACTCCAAGTGTTGAGTAATACCTACTTGGTACTAGTTGACATGCCTTACGTATGTAGGTAGTCGGGCAAACAGAATAAAGGAAATAGGTATATGTGAAGCTGACAGATCTAAGGCGGATTACATTTTATTAGTGTGTGATTTAATTCTGGAACATTGCATTGTTGAGATTTTTTTTTGATTTTTTTTTTTTTTCCATTTTAACTTTTTTTTATCTTCGGGGTCGCTTTTTCTACCGTAAATTTATCTCATTGGTCAATTAATTCCCACGTTTCTTTTAGCTCCAGTTTCCCGTCGGCATCGGCCGGCCTAAAACCCCCTAGCTTGTCCCACCGTTGACATTATCAATGATATGTACTCCTAGTGCGCATTAAGGTAACCTAGGGTATCTTGCCTAGTATACCTAACCCTTGCCTCTACTTTACTGAACCTTACTGAATATAGATACTTCTCCAGCCATACAAACCTCAAGCATCTCTTATCATTTATCATACCAGGTTACCCGTCTTCACCCCAAATCGGGAATATCAAAAGACTCGATCCTTGAGCCTCGACCCTCTACAGCCTCTACAAGTTTGAAACAAATACCCCATAAGGGTGAAAATAAGGCGAGGGATCTTTTACCCTTACATACCAACATACATACATGTTGCAGAGACACGTGCGGGCCTGGACCGGCAGGGTAGCTAAACAGCTTTCCACCATGGCATCATCATCATCAGCGTCACCATCACCCACGTCGAATACGCCGATGGAGGATGTGATCCGGACGAAGGTGAATATACGAACACACACACACACACACACACACTCAGCCCCGCCCTGGCGCTCCTCAAGCCCCAAGCAAAGAATATGAGTATAATATAGTAAGCCGTCTCACTAATCATATGTCGTGGTGGTTCGCGCCCCCTCGGTTTCGCCCCCATCTCTAGATCAACGAGACCCTCAAGCCCTCGCGTCTGGAGATCTTCAACGACTCCTCCAAGCACGCGCACCACAAGCCCATGGCCGGCGTCGCCTCCACGGAGACCCACTTCCGCCTCGTCATCACCTCGGACGCCTTCCGCGCCAAGCCCCAGCCCGCCCGCCACCGCATCGTCTACCAGCTCTTCCACGACGAGATGGCCCGCGACGGCGGCATCCACGCCCTCCAGCTGCGCACCATGACCCCTGACGAGGAGCTGCGGCTGAAGGAGAAGGAGCAGCAGCAGCAGCAGCAGCAGAGCGCAAATGCAGCAGCCGCTGCCGCTGCCGCTGCCACTGCCACTGCCGCCGACGCAAGTTGAAAGAAAGACAATGCCTAGGGAGCTAGGTGGTGTTGATGGCAAAGGGGGCTAGGATGGAAGCATGAGTGTAAAGTACCTAGGGTAGGTACCTACAGTATCTAACGTACGATAGAGGTGTGTGTATATGACATTATCTCATACTACTACTGGACTCACTTATCACGACGTACGGGCCTGGCGAGTGTACACTAATTCATGGCGCATGTAAATCCTTGGAAGCTGCCAACTTTCACACGATACAACGTGAAGTGAATAGGTACCTACCTAGGTAAGTAGGTTGGCAGCTAGGTATGATGCTGAATTAGTATGAACTTTGGAGTTCTGTCATATTCGGGGCTAGTAGACTAATAAGTCGTGCATATTTATATGTCCTTGGACATTACCTCCCTATGTACCTACCCGCCTCCCCACCTTTTCCATGACCCTCGAACACAACGTAAGAGGCATTACATCGTTTCCAAATTGACCTGGCCGGATGTCATGGCTTGATGTGTAGGCGCGTGGAGATTAGATTAATAATCGTCGATGACTTGTTACCAAGTAGGTGTTTAGGGAGGTATCGAACCTTAAACGCCTTTGAGACATACACATTCCATCCAGTGCCCCCTTGCCTCAGATCCTGCCAGTAATTAACTTGTTAGAACGCCAGGCATGCTATAACCCCATTAATCACCCGAAGCCTTTCCCCAAACTTTTCCCGTCCCAGTACCTGATTATTCCCTCTGAGCCGAGGTTGGCGTATTGTTCACTGGTGCCGAGCTCGCAATACCTTCCTTGTCCCACTGTGTTCGTCTCTTGTCACAGTATCTCTTCCAAGCCTTGCTTCTCTTCTCCGGGTGATTTTCATATCTGTTCTTTCTCGAAGCCGTGGAACTAGGTGCCATGGAGCCCTCCGGGCTATGTCTAGGAATGCCGGGCTTTGTATATGCACTTGCATTGCCCATAGTGTCGGTTTTCACGAGCGAGTTAACCGAAAACCGTTTCGTGAAGGCGCCGCTGAGATCCTCACTGGCCTTCCTCTTATACATGTTAGCCTCGGAGAAGGATCGTGCAAGCCCTTTTCCTTGGGCTGGTCTCTGGTCAATCACACTCATCGATTTATGAGGTGGGATAATCGCACTGTTTTCCGGACGCTGAAACGTAGATGAGGACGTTGGAGGCACGATTCTAGGGTCGTGGCCGTTCGTTTCCATTCCTATAACGCCGAGGTTTTGCGTCATGTCTGGTATTATGCGATTATCTACCAAGCCGAGTTTGTGATTATTTGCTGGTTGGGTCGTATCTGTGCAGCTTGCTGTCTCTGCGGTTGGGTTTGACAGTGTACTAATGGTATGTTGAGCATACTGCACATCTGCAGGATAGCAGCTAAGCGTGAACTCGAGGTTTTGCCTTGTAATGACTCGGGAGGTATATACAGGGTCGTCGTCTATTGTGTTGTACCAGGCTATGGCACTTAATGCTTTCACCGGGGGATCGGCATTATCACACTCAACTATGTACTGGCGGTACGCATCGTGCCATATCCGGATGAAGTCGTCGTATAATGAGGTCCGTATTCGTGCTCGTTTTTGTTGGTGCTGGATATATACGCAAGCTTCTATAAAATCACTGATACTTCCACGATAGTCCCTATATGTTGTGGTGTAGCAGGCAAAAGGGGACTGGGTTGGTGGCTGTGGCCAGATAGGATTCAGAGAAAAGTCTCGATGAATGGGTGAATCGATTGGCGAAGATCCAAAATGCGGCGATGAAGGTTTAAACTCAGGCGACTGTTGTTGCTGTTGTATTTGTGAGGAGTTTTGAGAGCTGAGATCCTTGTAACTTATAGTGGACTTCTTAAGTAGAGATATGGGACATGTGACCTGGCTACTGTGCTGAGTGGGTAAGTCTTTACTGGTGCCTTCATCTTGCATAGTAGATGGCACAAATAAGGATGATGGGTTGAGTGGTGAAGTAGCATTTTGGGCATTGGCCAGTGGCGTATCTGTAGGTCTCAAGCTATTGAGATGCTTTGACGGTGACTGAGCTTTCCCGGGGTGGTAGAACTCAACAGGTTCCGGGTAGGCACGCTGCTTCGGTTTCGGTTCTGGCTCAGATCTGGGGTCCGTAGAAGACTGCTCGGACTGCTGAAAAGTACATGGAACAACCGGTGGAGAAGGAGGGGTTGCATATTGGTGGCTACTGTCTTTATTGACAGGAGGAGCGGCATCGGTTATAGCAATCGGAGTTGCCATTTCAAGGGGCTCCTCTTCTTCTTGGCTACTTGGTGGAAGAGATACCATAGAAGTTACCGTAGGTGAAAAATGTGGTTGTGTTAGGAATTGCGACTGGCCACTTTCACTTTCTGTTTTCTGAGGTGGAAATTTGTTTTCGGGGGGACTGGATTGCCATTCCGCTCGGCTGAGAGCAAAGGTGGGCTTCTCATCATCTTTATCGTCGTCAATTCCAAGTTCGGAGTGGGCAACCTGGGATTGAATTTCAACCTCAGGATCTGCATTGGCCTGGGACAGGATTTCATCTTCTTCCTTTTGATCAAAATCATCTCCTGGTGGATTGGGCAAGGAAGGAGAAGGAGGATTATCTGACGGCGTTGCTTGCAATTGTCGGCCATGCCATTTCTTTAGATTATCCACCACATCAGGAGGCACATTAACGAACCCATTGGTGCGTGTACCAAGAGAACTAGCCCATGATATATCAAGATCTATTAGTTCCTTCTGATCCTTTGGAATTTTAAGCAAATTGCTTGAGAATGGTTTGTGCTTCGTTACACTTGACATAGTCAAATGGCATGGAGACGATAGCTCTTGTTTAATCAATATTGGTTATTTCAATGGTTACAGCCTTCACCAAAGAGCTAACCAATATTGATTAACTTGATGAAGCTTTTCATGAAGCTTATGATGTTCAAAAGTCGAAAGTCGAAAGTCGAAAGTCGAAAGTTGAAAATCTAAAATGCAAAATTAGACTAGATCCAAATTTGCATTGGTGGAGAGGGAGAAAGAGATATAACCTAGAGATGATAGATGTAGAGAGAGTCAAGTGAATGAACAATGGATTAAGTGTTTAACGCGTGTGACGCGCGACAAAGGTTTCGTGGTGGGGGCAAACCGTTAAACGTCTTTGCACTTAATGCGAGTTCACGTGCTTCAGGTACGTACCTAATAGTTAACTACCTAGTACCTAGTACCTAGTACATATGTAATACCCACTGTGCAACACCAGTGACTGTTGACTCAATTGACTTCCAAGGTTGGGTTTGAAGCTTGGACCTTTTGCTGCCCAGTCCACCTTCAGCTGACTCTGCGGGGCTTTATCGTACATACCTAGGCTGTTGAACATTCAAGTCTTTTATTGGAAACCTTCTCTTACAGTTATCCTACTACGGATCGACCCGGAAGCTTCAATGTTGTTAGTCACAAAGACATTCGTAGGCAGAAATACATAACCTTAGCATCATAGTAGGCAAACCTGGAAGGTTTCATGGTGCTGTTGCGTACATACACATATCATTGATATCTATGTTGCGTATCGAACTCGGAGAAATCCCACCCACCCGCCTCTTAGATCGCATTTTATTTTCTTGTCTCGCACCTGGTCGGCTTAAAGTATTGATCATTGATATTATACCTTCATAAGTCTCCAAGGCCCTTGCTTCTCTAGTAAATGATTTCTAAGTACCCTAAGTACCTACCTATCTACATGTAGTAGGTAGCTTCACTTCTTCGCTTCACCTTTCAATGTTCGCATGGCGGTTATCGACATGCTTGGCTAATTACAATAAAACAATCTACGGAAGTAGACTTGTATGATTCAAGGTTCAAACATTGAAATCCTTTTCCAGCAGACATACATCATCACCAAATGACCAACACGCAAGAAGGCTTTCTTCCCCAGGCCAACACCACAAGCTACCAAAGGGAACGGGAGCAGCTATTAAGAAAGGTACCTACCTACCTACCTACTTAGACAACCTTAAGGTTATATATTTGAGAAGGTGTAGCAATAACATACAATAATACCGTTGACTACTACAACGAACAACTTTAATACCTACCGACCCTAACGCCTTGACGAATCTAGCTAATCCGCCCATGTCTCAATCTGATCGCCACCATGTCTGATAAGAAACCTCCCCCGACTCCCCTCTCTCCCTCGACTATCGCTTCTTCTGCTCCCAAATCTCGCGATGATTCCATCGCTTCTGCCTCCTTTATATCTCCCGAGATCGACAAAGATCAGCTTGCCCAGGCGCTTGACAAGATACATACCTCGGCCAAGGAAAAGCATGTCCTGACTACCTTCAACGATATCGCCCCACCTCCCGAATGTGCTACTGCTGTTGAAAGTAAAGGAATAGCGGGTGATATTATGCAAAATGGCTTAAGTGGTTTATATTCCAGATTCAAAGAGGTCGTTAGGGTTAGCGGAAAGGATAGGTCAGTTGGAACCACGGCCACCAAGGAGAGTCCTGATCCGAACGATGGAGATACTGCGTCGAGGAAGAGTTCAAGCACTACTGCTACAATCTCTAAGACCCCCGTCTCTTTGCTACGTCCAGATACGGGAACACCGAGTTCAACCTTCAATTCTAACTTATCCGACTCTATAACGTCCACTGTTGGATCATCATCAGGGGCGGCCCAGACAAGCGAAAGTCAATCCCAGCAACCCCAATCTACTATTGCTTCGTCCGTAACCAATCTTACCACTTCCAAGTCTGTGTCCTCGAGTAGACATAGCATACCGAACACCATGAAGGCAACCGCTGCTGTTGCGCCTGTGCACGTCAGCGCTTTTAAAGATGGGTCGCGTAGTTCGACTTCGAGGACTGAAGATGGCCAAAATAGGGGAATGAGTAGGAGGAGTATTAGCAAGGCGAATGATGGGCAGCCTGCCCTTCCAGTCGCAGAGACATCGGCACATTTTGAAGTTCCCGGGAAGAAGCGGGTGTCCACCCTGGATAAGATCACCATACCTACTCATTCCCGACGAGATGATGGGTTGAGTGGTGACGGAAATACGGATTCTCCTATAAGTCCTTTGAAGAGATCTAGTGTCGGCCCTCCCATCATCACAAGCCCTAAGTCGGCCCCATCGGATCCCCAACTACTCCCCCAAGCATCCCGGCTTTCCTCTAAGGATGCAGTGAGACGCCCGGTCTTAATTGACAGGATTAGCTTTTCTCGAACATCTGGTGATCTTTCGAGATCGTCGTCGCTTTCGCGAGGCACTACGGAGCACAGCCCTATAAGTACATCTGCGCATAACAACGTTCATCACGAGTCATTTACACATGTTCCCGGCTCCCAAAGAGCAAAGTCGAGAGACTTCAGGATCCCGGGTACAACTACTGACGAGGGTGCTCCTGAAATTGTCAATGCGAAACTGGCTTCGATGCGAAAGCAAGTGTTGAGTAAAGATTTCTGGATGGCTGACGAGACATGCAAGGAGTGCTTTTTGTGTGCGGCTCCATTTACTGCTTTCCGCCGTAAACACCATTGCAGAACCTGTGGGTGTATATTTGATAGCGGTTGCACGTCTATTATCTCAGGCCAAAGATTTGGTGTTCAGGGGACATTACGTGTGTGCAAACCATGCCTGAATATCATCCTCCAAAGACAGGATGGGGCACAATCAGATGATTCGGCCGACGATTCGTTTCTCCCAGCAATTTACCGCCATAGTCAATATAGGCGAGGGTATTCCCCCTTTTCAAAGGCCGACCGAGATGATGCTAGTATATCCGAGAGAACTGAAGATATAGAAGACGAGAGTAGGTCGTTGTCTGCACCAATGATGGCCATTCCTGCGGCAAGACGCATCGGAGAATCCTCGAATCGGAATTCAGCTGTATTGGAGATTGACGCACCACAACTGAGTAGACCAAGCTCGTCTAGGTCCTTGAAGTCTATTACCTCGGGGAGACCTCAGTCTTCCGGTCATAGGCGTCACCATTCGAAGCACAACTTGTGGAGTCGGCTCAAAGCTTCACCCGAGCAACGAGCGCCCTTTCGAAAATCCGCAAAGGAAGAAGCCACCCGAAAGACTGGCTTGCATGCCTTCCATGATGACAATGTCATTGATCCAGATTTGGCCCCTTTTATGTCAGACGAATCCAGTGGCGACGAACAGATGAGCATTGCAGGGGCGATGGCTGCATCTGATCTCCACGTTTCATCCGTCACGGACCCTGAGCGGTCAAATTTCGGAGCTTACCTTAGCACTGGGAGACGGTTGAGGAACCGAACACAGACAGACAAAAGCATCAGTGGCGTTAGTTTCACCAGCCGTGGCCTTGATGAACTACATCCAAAATCTTCTAGACGTCGAAATATGAGTATTGCCAGCGGTCACCACGTTCGCTCCCCTAGACCTAAATCATCGGCGTTGAGAGGACCAACCGGATCAAGTGAGACCCTTCCATTGTTTGATACTCCAGGTGGATCCGAAGTGCCGCGTCTTACAAGAAGTTCATCCATGAAAGGCGATAGACAGCCTCGGTTAGAACTCAACCCTGCGAGTTTATTGCACGTTCGGAAACTTTTAGCCCAGTTACTTCAAGACTCTAATGTACCGAACGCGACCGCGTGGGAGAAGGCCCTGGTACCGATTCTCCTAAAATGTACTTCGTCTGTGGACCCCGACATCGATAGGGGAGACGACATCGATATTCGTCATTATGTCAAACTCAAGAAGATACCGGGAGGTAGGCCTAGTGATACTTGCTACGTTTCCGGTGTCATTTTCACGAAAAAGCTCGCTTTGAAAAGTATGCCGCGACGAATGTCCCATCCTCGTGTCGTAATTGTATCCTTCCCAATTGAGTACCAGCGACATCAGCAACAGTTCATGAGCCTTCAACCAGTAATCGAACAAGAGCGGGAGTTCTTGAAGCAGTTGGTAAACAGAATCACAGCCCTACGACCTCAATTACTGCTAGCCGAGAAAAGTGTATCGGGTCTTGCATTGCAATTTTTGTCGGATGCGAAGATTTCTGTTGCTTACAACGTCAAACCTTCCGTACTGTCAGCTGTTTCTAGATGCCTAGAGACGGAAGTCATTTCATCTGTGGATATGTTAGCACTTCCTCCCCATCAATTCCAGCCAGGGAAGAGCACAGGCTACGAAGTAAAGACATTCGTTAACGAGGACCTTCCTGGTCGGAAGAAGACATACGTATTCTTGTCTAGTAACCAAGAAGAGCTTGGGTGCACAATCGCGCTCAGGGGCGCTTCGACTCCCATCCTGTCGAAGCTTAAGCGAATAACAGAGTTTATGGTATATGTGGTGTATAATCTCAAACTTGAGTCTTGCTTGATGCGAGACTCATATATCCAACTCCCCACCAGCGAAGATATTTCGAAAGATTCTAGCCAAGCTATTGACGCGAGTCTAGCCTCTCTCAGTACGAAGACATCCAATCCAGGCGATGACAAGCAGAGAAATACACCCACAATCCAAGACGATGTACCATCAACTCAGGAGAGCCATCCCTCTGAGATGGCTGACCTACCAATTGACGAAGTATCGCAAGATCAACTCATTTCACCATCGACTGAACCAACCGACCAGTTGGTTTGCTTTCATGAATCGCATTCCCAGACGACTCATGACAGCCCGGTCCCAGAAGATATCCCCATGCCGACTTTTTACAGTGATATGGTGGCTAAATATGAGACCAAAATTCTCTCCGCGTCTCCTTTTGTCAAATTTGCCCAGCCGTATCTGCTGATGAAGGCCCGCGAACAAGAGAGGAAGTTGGTACATCTTAAACGGTTGCGGGACCAGGATGTCATTGGCGATCGTCTCGACAGTGAGAAGCAAAATCCTCAGAAATTTCAACTTATAAAACCACGGATGGTACTCGAAACTGGCCACAAAGCCCCCCGGCAATTCATGGAAATACTTCATGCAGTTCACGACGCTGAATATGATAAAGCTCTCTATAATTATCAGACTCAGACACGCCAGTGGGAAAACTATATACAAGGAAATATTGGTCTATTCGAGCCGTATGCACATCAAAGTATTGTTGTATTGCATTCCATCATCTGTACTGACTCGAAGATACCTTGCCTGGAACCGACCTTGACTGCGATTGGGTTCTACGATGAACACGTGGAGAATAATAGTGGCGTAGAACCGGACTGCACCTTAGGTCAATACATCGAAGATATCTGTTACGGTGCTGATTCGATCTGCAAGGCAAATGGCTGTGAGAAGAAAATGTATGAACACCACCGAACCTATGTTCATGGGGAAGCACGCATCACAGTTTTCATTGAGGAGGATACTAGAGGTAGACTACGTGGCGATAATATCATGATGTGGAGCTACTGCAAGCTCTGCAAACGAGAGACTAGTGAGTTGGAAATGTCCAAAGGTACATGGAAATATTCATTTGGAAAATACCTTGAATTGTCATTTTGGAGCAGAGGCACCCGTTTAGTCAAAGACGAAGACGAAGATGGATGGAATTGCCCTCATGATCATCACCGCGACCACATACGCTACTTCGGATTGCATGACAAGGTTATTCGCGTGCACTACGATCCTATCGACCTGCTGGAGATTATTGTCCCTCGTGCCAGAATCACCTGGAATGTTGAGCATGACCTCAATATGAAAAATGAGATCTTCACCCATTCCCAAGACAGATGGACTCGGTTTACGACTTCAGTAAAGGCCAGGCTGAAAGCCATCAATATCGATAATATCCTTCCTGAAAAGGCTGAGGCATGTAAGGCGGAGATGGAGCGACTGTCGAAAAAGATCCAGGAGGATCATACCTCGCTCGTGCGGAAACTCCAAGACAGATATATGGAGTCTAAATATTACGAGGTCATTCCTTTCAACGTAATTCTTCGAGAAATGCTAGTAAAGGTGGGCGAATGGGACAGCGCTTTTGCGAAATTTGAGTCCGATTTCCTGCCATCAGATAAGGATATCCGGAGGTTGACTATCATTCACCTTAGAAAGATGTTCATGGATGAATCAAAAGAGTCTCTCTCAAGCAATGATGTCTCAAATGAGCCAGTTGAAGTTTTAGACGACAGTGTTACTGATGGTGATTCTAAGCTGGACTCGCAACCATCAGAAGCCGCATCTGATCCTTCTCAGCTTGATACGATCCAAGAAAAGTCACCCCTAGACGATCCACCTCAAGAATCCACTCTTTCTAGAGTCGAGCCACTGGACCTCGCAACGACAAACTCACCTAGGCACACCGCAATCCAACCTGATAACCACGATGCAGTTTCACAATTACCCCCAATAACGCAAGCTAGCCCAACTCCAGCGGCATCTCCCGACCTGACGCCAAAAACCACCACTACCACGATGCCTCCCATGTCGTTGACTGAGCAGGTCGAACAAATTCGCCGTCGGCAGCCGGCCGAGGGCACGGGTTCTACAGCCCCAGTTGGAAATGGGCAGTTCAAGATGACCGCAGATTCTCCGAGGGCAATAACAGAGCGTGGCTCTTCCCGTAGGATGGGTATGAACGTATCGCCGCCGATGATTCGCGCTCTATCACAGCCAGCGAATAGTATGCCGACCCTGCCTCGCATGCACTCTGCGGTAGGGAAGAAGATGTTCAGTACCAGTAAAGACAAAGAAAGAGCTGCACCCACTGAAGGGCCAGTTGGTCAGGAGCTGAAGAAGGCTTCAACAAATGAATCTACCAAAAGCGATAAGAAACTTTTTGGTAACCTTAGGTCTCACCGAAAGGGCAATACCTCCGCCATCCCACGGTTTGTTGGCAAGAAGGACTCGAGAGTTTCTACTATTCGTAAACATTTCGAGCAGCTTAGTCGGGAATTTGAAAAAGAGCGCGAGAAGGATCGCGAAAAAAGGAAACAGAAAATGTCACATTCAAGGCCTTTCCTTCAGCATTCATCAACTAAAGCCATAGTAGAAGTATATGAAGACGTGGACGAAGCGGTCCAGGAACCAGGCCCTGCCGAGGATGAACACCCCATCATAGCAGAATCTATGGGTTTTAAACAAAGTAGTCTAGCAGAACCGAGAGTAGGCCAAATAGCTGATGCAATCGTCCAAGAGCCACCTCAAACCTCACAAACCCCAAGAGATGATTCGCATCATCCTGATGAAGCCGGAACTGAGAACGACGACCACATCCACAACAACAGTTTAGGGACAACAGACGATGAACAAGGAGAAAGTGACACGGAGCACTCATTGATTGATGGCACTACACTGGAGGAAATTGCTGAATCATTTGATGCTAGCACGGAGATTCCAACCGAACTTCCCAAACAAGACAAAAACAATTTCATGAAAGTGCTCACCACCTTTTGGAACGAACGATCAGCCAGCCAGTGGCCACCCTTGGACTATCCTTTGAATGCAACAGACCACATCTTCATCGACTCCGACATTATTGTCCGAGAGGATGAGCCAAGTTCTCTGATTGCATTTGCCCTTAGTAGCGAAGATTACAAGGAGAAGCTTCGGACATTTTACCGCAAAAAGTACGCGGATAAGACAACAAGCTCGTTGGATTCAGAGGATGAGGCGCCATCGGATAATTACTCTGACCTTGGGGAAACCATCACCGAAGATCAACTAGAGACCAAACTCGTCCACACTACAAGTACTCATTACAAGTATCAAGTTACTGAAGGGACAGCAAGAATGCTAGTGAAGATATTTTACGCTGAACAATTTGATGCTCTACGTCGGAAATGCGGCGTTGCGGATCGGATTGTTGAATCCCTTTCCCGGTGTCTCAAGTGGGATTCGAAGGGTGGCAAGACGAAGTCGGTATTTTTGAAAACACAAGATGACCGCTTGGTCATGAAGGTAAGCACCCTCAAGAAAGAAAGAAGGGGGATATTGTCAGCGCCCATTGGGACATATGAACTAATGGATGTGTTAGTCCTTATCGCCGGTAGAAACTAACGCATTCTTGAAATTTGCACCGGCGTATTTTAGCTTAATGGCCGAGGCGCTTTTCCACGACTTACCGTCAGTCATCGCTAAGATGTTAGGGTTCTTTCAAGTCATCATAAAAAATCCAGTAACAAACACAGAAATCAAACTTGACTTGCTTCTCATGGAAAACCTATTCTACGACAGAGCTCCAACTAGGATTTTCGATCTCAAGGGTTCGATGAGGAACCGAAAAATCCATTCGACCGGTGAGCAAAACGAGGTGCTACTCGACGAGAACATGGTCGAGTACATTTACGAATCACCACTTTTCGCAAGGGAGCATTCGAAGAAGCTCCTGCGCGTCTCGGTATGGAATGATACACTTTTCTTGGCTCGCCAGAATGTCATGGACTACTCCCTTATGATCGCGGTGGACGAGGTCAAGAAGGAGTTAGTGGTAGGTATCATTGACTGCATTCGGACGTACACGTGGGACAAGAAACTGGAAAGCTGGATCAAAGACCGCGGTTTCGCAGGGGGCGGCCGCAACAGGCCCACTGTGACCAGTCCGAAAGAATACAAGTCGAGGTTCAGGGAGGCGATGGCGAGGTATGCTCTTCTCTGACCAAGTTCGGAGGATGAATTATTATTAACATTGGAACTAGATACATTCTCGAAGCACCAAATTGCTGGCACCAGTACAGTTCGCCCTTGCTGGCATCGAGGCCAACACGTGCAGTAGTTAGCATCAAAAGGGCTGATGAAACCGCTTCGATAGATGCAGGTCTAGCATAGATCTTGTCATTTACTCTCTGGGGCCTTTTCTTGTATGCCTAGGTGGTATTTTGTATGGGTAAAGTGTGCTGTGTGTTTTGAGGTTCTCACTGCGAAACGATTTTATGAGGCGTCTATAGAAGGGGGTGCAAAAGGAATTGGATGACCACAGGGCAACTTACCTAAGGTACTACCTACTACCTAGTACCTACTAGGTAATGCACCATGAGCTCACGAATGAAGGCATCAATCACGGTTAGGAATATGGAAGGGGGCAGGGTACCTGCTCAGAGTACCTGGCTTAGTACTTAAATAGTTAATTTCTTTGCTTTCTTCAGTAGCTCATAGATACCCCTATTATCACGATGAAGATGATTAAATAGTAATGAAGTCGTTTCCATGCTGTAGTTTATGCCCCTAAGGCATTTACCTTATGTACCTAGGTAGGTATAGTCAAATAGGGGCATGATTGGAGTTCGTTGGGAAAGAATGATGACATCTGGAATTATGAGGTGGGCACAGTGGGGTGGAAGCTAAAGTAGATCGTACCCCGCTAAACTTAAGCTTGGCCATGTTAAATATCAGCCCTGGACAGCCCTGGACAGCCCTGGGCTCCATGTCACTAACCTACTCCATTGTTCATCCCCAATAAAAACAAGGAAACACGTGCAACGGACAAGAAGTCTACAACTCTCAAGTAGAATGAAGCTACGAATACTGGGTACTATGTATACACTCATCTGTCAACGGTATTGAATTAAGATGAGGGGAATATTGGAGTATCATCATATAATCCATATACACCGCTACTGAAGCCAAGCCCTGGAACCTGGAAATATCATCATGTCAATAGACCTGAACTGGGAAACCCTGACGGGAGGTCCGGACGGCGCCGCACTCGCCGAGCACATCCGCGACTTCATCCACGTCAAATTCCAATCTGTCCCCCTGCCTCGTTTCATCAAATCCGTCACCGTGCACAACTTTGAATTCGGCACTATACCGCCTAGTGTCGTCTTGAAGGATATATGCGATCCGCTGCCAGACTTCTACGAGGAAAATCCTGATGTAGACGATGGTGACGACGATGATGAGGAGGATGAAGAGGAGGAGGAGCATGAGCAGGATAGAGGAGTACAAGGGTATGGTCACGCAGATGATGTGTCCGACGCTATTAGGGCTGCGGAACGTCGGAGGAGAGCAGACCAGATCCGGAGATTGGAGGGAAGAGGCGGAAATGGACGTAGGGGTAGAAGTGGTAGTGGCAATGGGAGTGGAGATCCTGGGTATGTCCCCGAGGGTCTAAATCCCCCGCATATCCACATCGCAGGCCTACGAAGCGCTCCTGGAACCCCGGACCTGGGTAACCCTTTTCTCGGACTTGGCGTCTCGACCCCCGGCGTTCCCGGCGGCACCGCGAACATGCACTATTTCCAATCCAAGTTGGCTACCGGTTGGTCCGGCACACAGACGCCATTGGCTGCCGTCGCGGGAGCCCAGCATCTGAACGGCTGGCTCGATATGGGAGTTTCGCATTCACCCTTACCCGGGCGGTATCAGGAGCCTCCTACCCGAAGCCGAAGTCGCGATCGTGAGCACAGCAGGCAACCGTCGCAAAGCTCAACCTCCGTTACAGACCCCCCGCCAACCCCGGCCGTGGCTTCGGCCTCCCTCGCACCCGCGCAACACCCGCTCCGAGAGAAACATAGCGTGTCGACTCTCGCGCCGACGTCTGCGGGTGCATCACGGCCGCCCACCCGAGACATGTCCGGGCCTTTACCTTCGCCTCTCACGGGGTTCCGGGGATTCAGCGATCGCTTCGGCCACGCGGGCGGGCCCACGTCCAACTCTAGAGGAGCAAACGAGGAGGAGTACGTGCAAATAGACGACGACGAAGAAGAAGAAGAGCCGAAAAAGTTCCGGGAGCCCAAGGTGGACGACCTGCAGGCCGTGTTCCGCATCAAGTACACGGGCGACGTCAAGCTCATGCTGACGGCGGAGATACTGCTCGACTACCCGATGCCCAGCTTCGTCGGGATACCCGTCAAGCTCAACATCACAGGTCTCACGTTCGATGGCGTCGGTGTGGTGGCGTATATCCGGAAGCGCGTGCACTTCTGCTTCCTGAGCCCCGAGGACGCGCTCGCGGCCGTGGGTCGTGACGACGAGGGCGATGACAAGAACGAGGATGAGCACGAGGACGAAGATGGCATGGGCGATAACCGCCCCAGCACGGCGACGAGCACGAATCCCGGCTTACAGCAGCATCATAGGGGCAGGCTGGGCAGCTTGCTGCAGGAGGTCAGGGTCGAGAGCGAGATCGGGCAACGGGAGGGCTCGAAGCAGAGCTTGAAGAATGTGGGGAAGGTGGAGAAGTTTGTGCTGGAGCAGGTTAGGAGGATCTTTGAGGAGGAGTTTGTGTATCCTAGTTTTTGGACGTTTTTGGTTTGAGGGGTGTTGTGGTGTTGTGGTGTGGTATGGCTAAGGTGAGGTAGATAGTTGGGGTGCCCTAGGGGAGGGAAGGGGGGGGCTTTGTAGCATTAGGTAGAATTATGAATTGCATGGAAATGGCTTAGAGCGGGGGTAGATTATCGATGAATAGATGGCACGCTCGACTTTGAATTAATGATCTGAGGCTATTAGGCATCTTGTGAAGATGATTTGTTTATTTCTTACTCGAGCAGAGTCGTTTACTTGGGCTGGTAACCGGTTCTTCCGCATTATATTCGACCTCATGATTCCCTACTTTATAAGTCCTGTTTACCTGTCCAGGTATGTACCTAGGCAGGTATGTCCTCGGCCTACTCGATACGTGGAAAGCTATGATGATCAGTATGACGGTTAGCTGCCTAGGTGTGATAGTTTGTGTCATCGATGACAATGAATATGGAGATAATCCCCTTGTTCAATACGGAACTCACATGCCGTCTTGCTCAGCTAAGGGGATGTGGAAAAACAATGACAGTTCGGGTTTTTGATAATCACGTAGCCTTGGTCTATTCAGATTAGGTAGACGATTCACAGCTTTGGTCAGATGGCTATCCTTTCACACGGGCGAAGAAATAAGAATAAATGCTGACAAAAACCATGAGTAGCAACTAAGGCCCGTGAGAAACCCACTTGGGCACGTATGAGTCTATAAGTGGCAAATATAGGTATAGTTTTCTTAAGTCACGATGGTGCATGTAGTACTCATATGCTGAAATTGAAATCAAACTAGAATCGCTCTCTTCTAAGAAAGCACCCCCCGTGCTATATCCCTTGCCTTCTGTACAATACATCTCCTATAACTCCACCCCCTAACTCCCTACTACAACAGTTCTCATAGTATCGATCGGCTCTGGTGCCTCACATCACGCTACAGCGCTCCTGGACTCTGTTAGCTCTGCAAAGCACCCCGTGCCGCTTATACCTGTCCTCATCACGACACCGCTCGCAGCAATAGAAGGCTGCGTTGCACTTGGGGCAAGGCGTGAGTTCGGAACGGCGGCGCACCAGTGGCCCGGGACACTGTTTTAGAAGCACACCTAGTTAGCATGAATCCTCCCAAACTAGAGAGGTACCTATATAGTAATGTAGATGCCTGTGTATATAGGTAGGCAGGCAGGGCGTCCAACTCACCCACAGATAACTACACCCCATCGCGCCCTCCTCTTCAACCCTGACCCTCCTCGCCTCCCCAAACCTCCCCTCCGCCTCCCTCAGCCTCGCCAGCGCCTCGCGCACCCTCACCACGTCCTCCGCGCCCCCGCGCTGTCTCTCGCGTATGCGCAGCGCCGTCTCCAGCGCGCGGCCCGCCGCCTCGAGCTGCCGCGCCTCGTGGCACGCGAGCCCGAGCTGGTGGTGCCGCGCCGCGATCGTCGGTGAGCACGGGTCGTGCGCCGTCAGCTCGCGCCGCAGCGCCTCCTGCTGCAGGTCGACGGCTTCCTGGAAGTGGCCGGCGGCGCGCGCGGCGTGCGCGGCGGACGTCAGCTTCGCGGCTTCGGCGGAGGTGCGCGCGGCGTGGGATTGTTGTTGGGGGTCCATTGTGCGAAGGTTGAGCGGTGGTGTGCTGGATAGGTAGGTAGGTAGGTAGGTTGGTAGGTACCTAAGGTTAGTTGGTTTGTCGGAGTTGAGTGGGAGATGTATCTAGGTAGGTAGGTAGGTTTTGCGGGAATTGTTAGAGATAATAGGTAGGTATGACTTGATGCCGGCTTGCTTGGTGAGGATGTAGGTAGGAGATTCGGGGGTTCTCCTTCGACTGCTGTTTCGGCGCATTTTATAGGTACATATTGCCTTGGCTGCTTCCGAGCACACTTGCTTGTTTGGTGAGTAAAGTTGGGTGACAAGATTTTTCTCTAAGGCTGGAAAATAGACGTGATTCATTAGAAGTACGTAGAGGCAAATAGAGCCTACAATCGCATCACTCCTTCCACTGCGTACTAGGGTCAGGTATAGTTGCTTGATTCATCTCATGTGAATCCCAGATTATTCGGTACGCACTCGCCCCTTCTCTAGTAAGTAAGTCAACGAGTCTTGGTTCCAGTTCCATGAATAAGTATTGATCACCTTTCAAAAGGCCCCGACTGAATTTGCTATCTAGGAAACGGTTGGGTAGATATACAGGATTTGTGACCACTCCCACTCCCTCCCTCACTTTCTTCTTCATCCTCATCTTCGTCATCGTCATCATCATACATGTTGAAAGTTTCCATTCAAGCAATACCCACCCCATTTCTCGTTCGTTGCATTCGCTTATTCGCTAGGTAATAGGTAGGTAGGTAGGGGGGGGGTATCAAAGTTTGGACTTGCTTTCCGAGACGTACGGCGGCGCCGAGGTGCCGTTCAGATGCTCGTCCAGCAGCTGGGCGACGACGTCCGCCAAGCCCCAGCTCAGCTCGTACCCGCGGCCGCCGAGGCCGTACGCGTGGATGATGCGCTTGTCGCCGTCGACCGTCTCGTTCTCGACGCGCATGCCGCCCTTGCGGGTGGGGCGCCGCCCGACGACGTCCTTCATGACGGTGAAGTTGCCGTTGCGGTCGAGGATCTGCGGGTACGTGGCCGCGAACTTGCGCAGCAGCTCCTTGCGCACCTCGATCGACGGGTTCGGGTCCCAGTTGTCCGGCTCCTTGGTCCCGCCGATGATGGTGCCGCCGTCGAACCCGCGCGGCACGCAGAACGTCCACGAGCCGTCTGCGTTTTGCCGCGTCACCGTTACGGAGCATGGGTTCGCCACGAGGCAGGTTTGACCTATCCCCAGTGTTAGGTCTTGAACAATCCAAACAAAGCGCCCCGTTAAGGACACCAAGCTTACCTCTCGTAATAAACATATTCTCGTCCCCAAATCCATTCCCCGACGCATTAATCAGCACGTCCACGGGCCCCGCCTCGAAATCCCAGGAGAAGACTTCCCTCGGGTCTCTTACCTCCCTGCGCAGGACGCTACCCCCAAGAATGGCGAAGCGGCGCAGGAGAAAGCTGCAGTAGACCATGGGATTGACGCACCAGGTGTCGTACTCGCAGCCCCAGTTGACGCCCTGGGGGAGGTCCCGTCGGCTCAGCAGCTTGAAGCCGAGCATGCCGAGCTGCTTGCGGGCCTTTTCCTCGGTGAGGGAGCGGTAGGCGTCGCTGGGGTTCTCGATGTACTCTATGCCCTTCATGAGGGTGATGCCGGCCTCGGGGTAGCGGGCCTGGATGGCGTACATGTAGTCGAAGGTGCGGACGCTCATGCCGTGCTCGCGGTCCTCGGCGGCGTTGGTCGGCGGCACCAGCCGGTTGTGGGCGCCGCCCCACGGCGACGTGTAGTTGATCTGGTTCTGCGCGTCGATGATCTCGGACCCCGACGGGAAGTCCCGCGCCACGATGGTCACGGCATGCCCCTGGGCTTGGACCCGCAGGGCGGAGCTAAGGCCGATGACTCCGGCGCTGTCGAAGAGGAAAGGTTAGGGTAAACGTTAGTCTAGGTTTTTTTTTTTGGTTTTGCGTTTTATAAATTATTATTAGGTAGGTATTATGATTTTGTTTCTCGTATTTTTGTGTAGGTTGTTCTTGGGTTTCATAGAAACGTGTATGCAGTGAAGGACGAAAAGGGGAACAAGGAGGAGGGGGGAGGAGGGGAGGGGGTGGTGGCGGGGTCGAGTGTGTGTGGTAATGTGGTGTGGGTGTGGGTGACGGTGAGATTTGTATGTACCCTAGCACGACTATGTGTGGCATAGCGAAGAAGAATTGAGCGTCGATAGGCTGATGGCTGTACTACTAGGTATGTCGTTGTATTGTACTATGTAAGGTAAAGGTAAGGTAAGCTTCGACTATGTCTCAACAAGAGATTAGCCCCGGGAGCGTTGCGGGTTGCGGGTATGAGATACGGGCCCTACCTACTTAGTAGACACCTATGACGAAGTTGTTTTCGTCGGTGTTTACGAATATATCATAGGTACGGATACTGGTACTGGTAATAGGTATGGGTATGGGTATTGGTACTGGTACTGGTACTGGATACCCAATTTAAACCAATTTTACTTGTTTCTGTCTGTCTGTCTGTCTGTCTGTCTGTCTGTATGTCTTTCTGTCTTTCTGTCTTTCTTTTTCTTCCCTTCCCTTGTTCTTTATACAAATATATTTTTCAAGGATTTTAGGGGTCAATAATGGGAATTCAAGGATCCAAAGCTACGATATAGTAGTAATTCGAGCACGGGATGATGGGATGGGATGGGATAAGGAAATGGGTTTGGATTACAAATGATGTTGATTCGTTCTATTTTGGTCACAAAAAAAAGCAAAGCAAAATGGACAGAAAATGAATTGAATTGAATTGTTTTGGGTTGAATGCGGCAAAAGCTCAGCTTGGGTGCGGCACTTGCGAGAATCGGAGAATTATTAGGATAAATTGGGGCTGTAATGGACCCGATTTGCTAAAAAATCCAAATCTCCAAGTCCTTTTCTTTGGAATCTCGTTTGTCCAATTTTTGTATCTTTGTTTACTATCGTGTGATATTGTATTTACTATACGGCGTATAAGTTATTTACCAACAAACACTCAAGAGATATTTTATACTTCGTAAAGCCCAACTTTAGTCTTTTATTAGTAATATCCAAATACCTACCTACTAAGAACCTAGGTATTATTAACTATATGCAAGTGCTTTTAATATTGGACATCGCTGGGTTCATATACATACTTACTATCTATGTATGTGGGTAGGTACATGTACATACATATGGTGGCCAATGAATTCAGGGGTCTTGGTATCACGATATCTCCGAAATAAAAAAAAAGAAGACAGAAAGAAAAACCCAAGACTGATTTGTAATGAACTCTTCAATAATTTAACCTGTTCACAGCTAAACCTAGGCGCCGACAACATTGCATTCCCATCACCAACTGCCGCTAACACGCACTACCACTGCCTCACAGTGGCTCACACGGAACATATGAAGTCCATTTGAAACAACTTACACCTTCAGCCAAGGCACGCCAAGCTGCCAAGACGACCCGACGAGTTCCTGCATCTTCGTTTTTTGATTCGCAGAACCTCCAACTTCTTCTCGGGATTTGTCTTTTTATCCCATGTCTCACATCACAGAAGAGATTACGACAGCTTTGTGGATCTGCGCAGCCATCGTGGGAAATCTTTTTGTGATGTGCTTCTAGGTAGTTACTATTAATTGTTGATCCAGCGGGATCTCCTGCCAGGGGAGATACCTAACCCGCCAAGCGAGCTGCATTAGGCCGCGCCGTGAGAAACGAGGACCGCAGATTCGTGGGCCAAGCTGTCAAGGAGCCTCACATCGCGAATGAAGTGGGGGGCTGTCGAACCACGTTTTCGCTCTATCTAGCTACCCTTCCCCAAGGTTTACCTACCTAGTGCTGTATACCTGGTACGCATTTCGGCTTTGATCGCCTCGGCGGCCTTGGTGTATCTAGTATATCTACCTAGGATCGACCGTATTCAGTCCTAGCCTCTAACACCCAGATTCGTATGCCCTCCCACATTGCCCTTTCCCGTATGGGTTTAGAAAGGCACGAAACGCTTTGATCAGACAAGATAAAGGGGACTCTGATACTCCACTTAGCGGTGGCATGGAAGTCCTGTCACGCCTAGACTTGCTGTGACTGTCAAGATTGTTCCTGAACTAAAGGGTGAGGCTAAGAGAGGCATTCTCTTGGTATACCAGAGATATATGAGCATGTCGCGCCCCGAATCCTGTGCCGTAGTCTTTACTCTTGATTTTGGTTGAATACTTTTTTTCTCCAACTATTCCATTCTTTTCCTACCATACCTCCTAGTGAGCAGATAGCCGTTGAACGGTCTTATAATCTTTTTTGCGCTTAATCTAATATCAGAGTCCAAGTATTCATAATTCGTTGCGCTATCCACTCGTTATTCATATATACCACAGTCCCTAGACTTCCCCCAGCAGAAAAGATGTTATTCCTCACCAGTTCCGTTCTCCTCGCCGCATCTGTAAGCGCGCTACCATCGCGGATGTTCAGAAGACAAGATGCTGCTATCGGTGACGACTTCAAGAGTATGTGCCAACCCCATTCAGAGGTCTACCTTACCTAGCACCCAACACTAACGTACAAAACAGTCCAAGCCGCGAACAGGATAATCCCCGTAGTGGTCGGCGGCCCGCAAGACACGTTCGTGCCGAACACGGTGACGGCCGCGGTGGGCGACATCATCCAGTTCCAGTTCAGCAACGGGAACCACACCGTGACGCAGAGCACCGACAACAACCCGTGCCAGCCGCTGCAGCTCAACGACCCGACCGCCATTCACAGCGGCCACATCCCCTTCGTCGACGGCCAGACCACCGTCGGCACCTTCAACATGCCCATCACCAAGGCCGACACCCTGTTCCTCTACTGCGCCACCGGCCCCCACTGCCAGAACGGTCAGGTCATGGTCGTGAATCCGTGAGTCTTCCCCCTTATTCCCTCCTCCTTTTCCTAAGTATACCTAGGTTGTATGCATGTGCAAAGGCCAAAACTAACAAACCCCCCAGCGTCGACGACCAACAAATCGTCAACTACGTCAAGGGCTCGATGGCCACCACCAAGAGCGGCGACGGCTCCGCCGTCTCCGGCGGCACCGTCGCCTCCATCCCCCTCGAAGCCGCCGCCTTCGTCCCCGCCCCCGTCAAAGACGCCGCTGCCGCCCCTCCCGCCGCCGCCGCCCCCCCTGCCGTGGCGGCCCCCGCGGTAGATGCTGCTGCGCCGGCACCCACACCGGCACCAGCAGACGCAGAGGCAGTGGCCGCGGGCCCGACGCTCCTCGACACCACGGTCCAAGCTGGCGCCACCATCACGCTCCCGCTGTTCAACGGCGTCGATGCGGTCCCCGGGACGACGACGGTCGTGGTCACGGTGCCCCCGCCGACGGCTACGGCGTAGAGGTGATGTGGTCGGTAACGGGTATTGTGCGGCAAGCGGTTTGGGAAGGGAGGTGATCTTTTTTTTTTATCGGTATAGGGTTATGTGTGTATGTATTCAATTCGATATTGGGTAGGTTGTGGTATAGGTATCTAGGTTAGATGGGTAGCTAGCTCAACGTATTATTTTTCTTTTGATGAACTAGGTTTATCGGAATGGATGGGAAGCCATCGTTTTACTTTTGGACAGACGCGGTGTTCTTCGTGCTTGTGAGGATGAGAGTGTTTGTGCTTGGTTTTGCGTGCTGTGTAGAGGTGTAGAGCATGTCTTGATCGCGAAGCAACGCCGTGAAATGGGTTTTTCGATGTTCACCCTGTTTTGGGATTCGATACTACCTAAAAAGCGAATTGAATATCTACCTAGGCTGTGTACCTAGGTAGCTATCAGTAACATGCTATAATAAGGGTTAGTTATCACATTATTCTAGATAATGATGTATAATGGAGTGTTTCTGAACTAGCCCCGTCAGATATGTCCCCCCCCCACTCCCCTCTCCGTATATACCTGTAGAGTGTCGTTGGTATGCATAGTGGGTAAGTGTAGTTGCCCGCGAAGAGTTGTAGTTATTTGGGGCAGCGACAAACTTATTGCGACACGTTTTGGTTTCGTCGTGGCAGATTTCGAGGAGATAAATCTTGGGAGGTTATTTCATCGCTTGAGAGACGTTCGTGCTTGGGAAATTGTCTTCGCAAAGACAGACTATCTAGGTACCTAACCTAGGTAGGCATGTGTGTTGGTTGGAAAGGAGTTTGTCCAAGGGGGGAATATTGTGATTGTATGCTTAGTAACCGTAGTGTTGTCGATAGAAACAATGATATGCTGATATCTATTAAGGGGTGAGGTGATGACTACTTTCTCATTGACACAGTGATCGAGAATTTTCTAAACAGATGTATTTCGGGGGAGGATAAACTTGCTGGGCGCATACCTATTAGGTACACAAATAATGTTCATTGTTATTCCAAGAAAAAATGCCTAGAAAAGACACTTCCTTCTGAGTCATTGACTACGACAAGTCTTCACTGATATCTTTTGCCCCCCAACTTCAACTTGCTCTCATAGACACTGGTCAAATGCGCCTGACAGCCATAGAAGCCACCTCCTGAAGTCTTGATAACGAGCGTAACGACACATGGATCACCACGGTCATGTGTTCGGTTGACAGCAACTGAAAGGCTCCACGGCCCAGCCAGACGGAGCGGAGATATGGCCCCTTGTAAACGTCCAGACCAACAATATGTTCTAGGCCTCCATGGATCTTAAAAAGGGTTCATTCGTCTCGTATCCACTCCTATATTTGGCCTCAAGAGCCTCACAAAGGACCCTGGAGCCCGACGACGAAAAGGGGGGGCCACCTGACTGATGTCCAAACTTTTTAATAAATGCATCCCAGCATATAGAACCTATGAGGAATTATGGAGGGAGGATGGAGGCAAAGTTGGTTCGGTTTGGATCGACGTGGATGGAAGTGCTTGGCTTGCTCGCTTTCTAAACAACGATGGTAGATATGCTTAGGTTAAGCCGTTGTTGGTATCAAACACAGTCAAGATATGAATAGCTCAAAGATGGCGGCTGATGATGCCAAATATTCCCGTCATTGTGTGTGGTTGTTCATCGTGCGTAGGAACATGTGGAAACTGGACGGTAGATCGGGTCCCAAGCGAACCGGGAGGCTCTAGCCGATGCAGTCGGGTCTGTCGGCTGACCACCACGGCCGTCTCGGGGAACTTGCCACGATGGAGCAGTAGGCTTTCGAAATTCGTTCAAAGCGACTGAAAGGTTGAAAAGGAAAGACAAAACACAATGTCTCAACAAAAAGGGTTGTATCAACGTGTTGAAAGTGAGACCTGCCAAGGAGGAAGCGTGCATATCTATAACCGTAGATATTGGGGACAGCGTTGGGCTTGGATGTTCTGGGAATGGAGACAGAGCCTTACATACAGGAGGCAATAAATTTTGACCAAGTATGATGAGACATGACAGTCCATTAGAATTCAAGGATTATCTAGGGATTGTAAGTTTAATCGTGGTATTAAGAGAGAAAGCTGTGTGCTTTCAAGCTCAGTTTAGATACCAGTCCCTGGGTCTGGATGGCACAACTTGTACCTTTCACAGGTATGCTCATGTAAATCGGCTCAACCAAAAAATTTACAAATTCACGATGGGTCCCAAATGGACAAAGCTCTTCACCCCCTTAGCCTGATAGCACTCCCTTGTTGGAACGCTATTGGATACCTAAGCATGATATGGATATTAATAGTTTAAGGGGGGTAGTGATTCTATACGATTCTTCTGTTCCCGGCGATTCACTCCCGGGCCCCAAAGCTAAGCATTGATGGGCGAAGTATTGACCAGTGACAGTTTATAAAATATATGCTTAAACCTTAAACCCACATTTCACAATGATTTTCCAATTGGAATATTCTATTATTCGCCCTTCTCTTTTAATTCCTACCCTTTTTTCTCTCTCTTTTTTTTGCCCACTTCTGCCAGACCTACTGGCTATTTTATTCCATTTATCTTAGGGTTTTCTTTCCGATTTGACCTACTTACCTAGGTACTTTTACCTAGTACTTACCAAAAACCATTCCTTTGGTCGGGGGAGTTTCCAGGGGACCGCACCGCATGAGCAACGTGTTGCTATATTTAGGGGTTCAGCTTGGGTGTCGAACAGTTCTGCCTACTCCTACCAATCTTTAACACCAGTACGTAAATAGAAAAGTGATCTTGCTAATAAGAACTAGGCTTGAACATAGATCTCGATGGGAATTGCTACCCTGAAATTTGGTAATTGCCGGTAGACACAGTACTGTAGTTGATACATCTCCTAACAAAAAGAACCCCTAACAATAGCCGGAATATCTTGATATCATTGAGCCAAGTACTTAGTTACTTAGTAAGCACCAGAGAAGTACTACATACGTACCTAATCAAACCTGGATAATTCAAGTTGGCATCTGGTATGTATCTCAGTGCAATATACGTACATACCTATCTAGGACACCTATCTGCCTACCACTCCATGCAAAAGTGGTTACTCATAGACGAGGCTCTACTGTAATACGAGTTCCTGTCACCTACGTAGCCCGCATTGCAAGTAATGTGAATGATAACACAGAGACCTACCACGCCGATGCCTACAGCTTGCCGATTCAGGTATTCTATATTAAGCAGCTATGACCGATTTGAGCATCACCTACGCCACCTCTACGCATCTTATAGAGGAACACTCGAGAGTAGGTTTATAAAAAAGATTTCCCAGATCTATTCGACCCAGCCTACTGGAGTCCTTGCAACGCGTGGGTGCCGATTTGTCGTGGCACGAATCGTACGCCTCGCCAACAGCGCCATGGGAACAACAACAACGTGGCTATCTAACTGTGCAAAAAAGAAAACTCGTCAAGCATTGCTGAATATCACGCCTAATTATTTCGTTATGCAGAAAGTTTGGGCATGGAAATCAAGGAAAATGGACTCCAGTGCTGGCACTTGGTAGCCCACCGATATGGGAAAACATGCTTGTTGAACAAAAGATGGGAATCGAAGGCATCTCAAACAACAGCCGCACACATACCTAGGTAGATAGGTAGGATATATAGGTTTGCCTATTTTGCTCATATATTTTATTTTCTCTCTCCTTCTTTCATTCCAAGTCTAGATTTCAGAGCCCAAAAGCAAGAATTTCACACAAATACTTTTTCAGCCTTTGTATTCTTTGCTCAATTCCTCATCCCCTTCCCCCATTTTATCACACCAAACACAAAAACAACAACAACAACAACAACAACAACAATCACCACCAACACAGCAGCGACTCTCCATAGTCGCGAATTGCTGCAATGCCGAGAATTCGCAAGCCCGTGAAGATGTCGGTGTCGGGACAAGCTTCGAGGGCCACATTCAGCTACTCACCGCCGACCCACGTGCGCGTCGGCGTGGACTTTTTCGTGAAGATCAAGGCGCCCGCCAACGACCACAACGGCGGATTCGCCGCGGTGACGCTGGTCCGCGTGCCCCTGGGCGGCGGCGAGACCTCGGGATTCAACGGGTCGGCGGCGCTGCTGGAGGGCAACCTGGTAGGGAATTGGAAGTCGGAGCCGGGGCGCAGCAGCAGCGGCCGCCAGTACCACTCGATCGAGTTCAACCCCGTCCGTGTCAACTCCACCGGCTGCTTCTTCCTCCGGGTCCAGATCTACAGCGCCCCGGCGCACAGGGACGACGGGAGCGCCGTGGTGGAACACGTCAGAGACCTGGAGAGCGATACGTTCTATGTGGAACCATGACAAGCACTGTTTTGTAGGAGGTATGTTTTTTTTTTTTTAACCAATCCCCAATCTCACTCCCCCCTTTATTTGTTAAGGAACTTGACAACTCACCGGTAATAGGACAATGGCGAAAAACGAAAAACAGAAGCAAAAATCAAAAAAGTCATAAAAACATCAAAGCTGAAAAAAGTTAAAACAAACAAGAAAAACAAAATTAAATGTACGAACTGCATGGGAAAAAAACGGGAATTTTATGATGGGAGGGAAATTTGGGATACTGTATTTGGAAAGGGAACGAGTAATGATTTATGAGCTGGTCTAATGACTGACGACGACACACTGCATACTGCATAGAATTGGGTTTCCTTCGTTGGTACGGATATTACTTACAACAAGTAAATTGGGGGTTGGTGATAGAGAGAGATGTATGGGAATCACATATTACGAGTCCATGTAATCTTGAAGAAGATCCGAATGATGAATAGTTACGGCTTATTGGCCATTCCATCATTGCCTTGCCTGCTTAAGGTAGTAAGGTAGTATGCGTCTTTCCACCCTTAATAAAATGATGCATCTTATAATATCCCCCGAGAATTCTTCTTCTGCCTGTGCCGAAATTTCGTTTCTGTCCATTCGCGTCCGTGGGATAAGGAGATCTCCTATAGATAGCCGTCAGCAACCTGCATAGTAGTACGCCCCGGGTTGCAAAAAAGTGCCCGGTTGGGTTCAGTGCCTGGTATGATGCATTTCAGGTCTATAAGAGAAAGCCCAGGAGGTCTAAACCCTGTAAGCTTCTTCCAAGATGATACCCAACTTTTTGCTTTCGCTGAAGCCAGACAGTCTGACAGACAGTCACCGGTGTCATAGGACTAATCAGAGTGTATATTCTGAATATATCCCAAACATCACGACACTTACCGACCTGCTGACAATGCACAATAGTACCTGTGTAGACACCAATCCACCTAGGTAAAGGCGTGTAACGTTGCAATTGTTGGGTTGACCTGCGCTGAGGCAAAGTTGACAGCGCATATGAGCAAAGACCTAACATTTACTTGACTTTCATCACACCGTAAGATGTAGGTACAAAGCACGACAAATAAGAAGATGTTTGGAAGATGTTAGCCTACTAGGTGGTACTTCGTACATAACACGAATGAGCTGAACTGCTGAAGAGGGTTAAATTTAGGTGTTGTGGGTTATGCAGTACTACTATGTATGTAGGTTAGGTCTGTACATATGCTGGAGTCTGGTAATACTACATGAAGTATATGTATGTATGTCATAGAGATTCATTAGAGAAGCATGAGGCAGGAGTCTAAAAAAAAAGGAAAAGTTGTAAAAGTTGTATAGGCGGTCTACATGTAGTAATGTACACATATGTCACTGGTGGTACGAATAGTTATCTCATCAACTCCAATTAATTAATTGTTAATTGCAGACCCACTTATCCTTATCTTATCATGGAATGGCTCCACTAAAAATTTCCATCGTCAACCATCACGAACGAACTTTGAACTGACAATCCCCCACTAACAACGACAACAACAGCAACAACGACACCTACTTCAATCATCATAATTACTAAGTACCTACTCCAATACCCGGTACTAGGTACTCACACGTCACCTCGACCAGAACACAACAAATTTCACTTGCAACCTCTCCCACAACCACCAGTTCAATCCCAAACCACCACATCACCAACAGATCGCATCGCCAACAACCACCAGCCATGTCCTCCATCCGCAACGCCGTGCAGCGGCGCGTGCACCGCGAGCGCGCGCAGCCCCTCGAGCGCTCCAAGCTCGGGCTCCTCGAAAAACACAAGGACTACTCCCTCCGCGCCAAGGACTTCAACAAGAAGAAAGCGCAGCTGCGCGCCCTGCGCGCCAAAGCCGCCGACCGCAACGAGGACGAGTTCTACTTCGGCATGATGTCGCGGAAAGGGCCCGGCGACCGCCTCTCCAAGGGGAAAAGCTGGACGGGGACGGTCGATGGGGATCGAGGAACTGGGAAGGTGCTGGATATGGACACGGTGAGGCTGCTGAAGACGCAGGATGTGGGGTATGTGCGTACGGTGAGGACGAGGGTGGCGAAGGAGGTGAAGGGGCTCGAGGAGAGGGTTGTTGGGTTGGGGGGGAGTTTGGAGGAGGTGGAAGCTGAGGATGAGGACGAGGACGAGGATGAGGAAATGGGAGAGGCTGGCTTGCGGCCGGCGAACAAGGCGCAGGCGAAGAAGATAGTGTTTGCGTCGGACGCGGACGAGCAGAACGAGATACTGCGACAAAAACACTCGAAGGAAGAAGACAACGACAACGACTCTTCCTCCTCCGGTAATATACAGAGCGCCCCAGACGGCGTAACACCCAAGAACCCCAAGAACTCCCAAAAAGCCCCAGCATCAACGCCACAAGAAGAACTCCTCCACCACGCCGAACAACAGGCAAAGCTCCTCGCGAAGCTCCAGCGACGCCTGCAGAACGCGCGGAAGAAGCTGCGCGTCCTCGCGCGCACCGAGCACCAGATGGAGCTGCAGCGAGCCAAGATGGGGAAGAGGATCACGTCTATGAACGGCGTGACCAAGGCTGGCAAAAAGTTCAAGGTACGGGAGCGGAAACGATGAGTATCTACTCCTGTTTATTGAAAATATATGTGTCACGGCCAACCATTATTAGAGAATAAAGAGGTGGGAGTTGAAAAGGAGGTGGAAGGGCTGAGATAATCAATGGAGCTTGTTCTTGAGTCTTTTATTCATTGCAGATGGCGTTTCGGCACCCCAGGGTGAGAGAAAAGGGGCCTTAGGCCTGTTAGAGCTAGCTAAACTACGCGATATCCCGAAAGGGATTTCACCCCTTCCTTCCAATATATACTCTTAGCATATACAAGTCTCAAAGAGCCCATTATCCATGCAGTGCCTTGAGTAACGGTAATGTACCTAGGCCTGCCTCCCTCACCGTTGCCGTGTTTGATATGTACCCGCAACCTTATATTACATCCCTTCGCTAGTGTCTGGGATGAAGCCGAAGAAGAGAAAAAAACGGCCCGCCTGCTGCATTAATATGGACTACCCAAAAGGGGTATATGACTACTAGGTAGATAGGTAGGTAGGTAGGTATCTGGCGTTGAGATTATATCCATCTCCGTAGACCCTCAACCATGAACCTACAAACCTACATAGTAGGTAGGTATCCAATCCAATTCTATCCCCCCACCCCCCCTTTCTTGTAGCCTACTCCCGCCTTTCCCCCCCAAAAAAAACGCCAATTAAAGCTTTTCACTCGTCAAACACTTGCTCAAGCCGACCACAATCGCCATGAGCGCCTTGAACGCCAGCGTGAGCGCCCAGATCACACACTTGAACCCGAAGCCCAGAAGCTTGAGCACCGTGCGCGCCGTCCCGGGGAGCCGCTCCTTGTCTTTGTCCTTGATGTTCAGCTTGCCGCCCAGGCTGCTCGCCTGGCTCTCCAGATCGAGCTCCAGCTCCTCGATGCGGCCGCGCTTCCTGCTCTGCTTCTTGCTGCTGCTGCTGCTGACGCCCAGGATCTTGCCGCTGAGCCGGCTGCTGCTGCTGCGGCGGAAGTCCGGGTTCGAGGTTGAGGATCGCAGGTGCGCGGGGGGCGGCGGCTCGAACTGCTCGACTAGCACGTTCCTCTCGTCGATGTTCGCGATGAGCAGGAGGGCACACACGGCGACGTCGAGGATGTAGTAGCTGTCGATGCGCCCGGCCACCAGCGTGTCGAGCTCCATCCACCCCTCGCCCGTGCCGTCCCGCGTTAGCTTTGCGATGTGGTGTGGTGACTCGATATGCTCGACGGTATACTCCGTGCGGCTCCAGGTCGGGTTGCGCTCTATCGTGATACAGAACGGTGTTGCGAGCGCCGGGTGTACTAAGAAGTAGTTCTGGATATCTTCGTCCCAGACCAAACGTGCGCATTCCCTTTCGGCTGCCATGACGGCTTGTATGTCGTCCGGTCTATCTAATGCTACCTTGCTCGCCGCGCTTGGATATAAAAGGGCGACTAAGCCGTCGTTCGGCGGTAAGCGACGGGATGGCTCTTCTAGCGTGGTGACCATAGCTTCTTGCCACGACTTTGTCTCGGACTCCCGGAGAGCTCCTAGAAAGCCACCCGATGACCTTGGGCTTGCGGCTGGATCTTTGTCTTTGCAAGGTTTACTTGGGTCGTGTCGGCTGAGTGTTACATAAGCAGATGCAGAGGTCGGATCTACTCGCATGTGATAGAGTGGTTGTGTGGTAGATGATGTTAGATTATAAATCGGCGTGTCCTTTTCTGGGATTAGTTTCATGCAAAAACACCGCCCTTCTAATGCAGAAGCCTTCCATCCATTGGCTACCTTCCAGAAGTCGCGAAGTTCCTCCGTTGTGTTCACTGCTGGAATTACAGGAGGGTCTTGAGGCCGTCTAGGCCATCGCTGCTGCGTCGAGTTAACGCTCATAGGGCTCCGTAATGGACTGAGCATTGGCGGGCTTCGACTCTCGGGAATATGAGATTGCCTATTGATTACAGTCCTTGGGATGTGAGTTGGACTTGTTTGGGTTGGGTAGTACTCTTGACGGTCAAACGGTAGAGTATGATCGTACTGTGGGAACATCGAGCGAATGCCTGGTTCTGCCACTGGCCGCGATGACGATGAATCGTCCAGGGGTCTCTTGGCGATTGAATTTCGTGACCGTCCACTTTCACTCCTCACCAACGTGCTTGTCCCTGAGAACGCTGTGTCTGTCCGTATTGGTACCTCTGACGCTGGAACTGGCCTCGATACTGACGGCCCGGCCTGGGCCTGATAATAGTATGGATTATTGGAAGCCAAACCTTCGTTAGCTCTAGAGGGTGAACCATCAATAACGAATTCGGACAGATCTTCTGGTGTATGCCGTCCATTTCTCGGGGGCGTCATCTCGAATGATGAGCCTTGCTCCCGATATGATTGTGGAGTGGCGGCGCGCGGTTTAGGAGTCGACTTCCGCGGCGGTGACTTAGTATTAGGGAAGAGGGAGAGTCCTCCAGAAGGCCCACTAGACGGCATTGTCTTGAAGCTATATATTTCTTTTCTTCCGTCTCAAACGAAGAATAGCCTAAAACACCAAGTTTCTATTTATGAATGAGGGTAGAAACATGAGCACTTGTCGAAATATTCACTCCAATGCAGCCCACTGCAGGGGCGCGATCCCGAGGTTCCTGGTAGGGCAGAAAATAGAGTATTCAGCGAGGTTGGACACGATCGTGCATACCCGTGTGTGTACAAGGAATTCGCTAGGAATTCAATGGTCGAAATTCGGCCCCGATTACCAACCAACAGAGGAGGTACAAATTCAAGGGTGCAAAAATGGAAAAGTTTCTTCAACATGTTGGATCGCGAAGCAAGGGAGGACACGAAAAGGTGTATATACTGCCTGCCTACCTACCTACCTACCAACAGCCATAGTGCATGTAGTGCGTATAGTGTGCATGCCACTCACATGGTGTGCATGAACTCGGAGCTACTACGTAGTGAAGCACCAAGACTATTGTGTTAAGCGCTGTGCACGCCGTTCGGGGTGGGGTGAGGCATCTCAACCAGCCACTGGAGAAGGGTCGGTTTAGAGGTCTGCAGTCCGGCAAGCACCCGTGGCTAGGATGTTAGACGAGGTGCCTGAAGAAAAATTGATGATTGATAGGAAGGAGGGGAGACAATCAGATCTGATTTGTGCATCCCAAAATAGAACAATTGCTCGCAGGTGAAAAGAAACAAGCGGACCAATGAGATAGAACATCACACCACATGTTAGCCGCCCAGCTTATGGACCTGAACGACCTGAACTAGCGAAAACGGCAACTAAACAGAGCCAAGATATTTGAAGCGCGCGGGGGTTGGCTCAACCGTGTCGATTTTTAGAGATTGGCTCCTGTCAATCTCACGGTAGGTCACGCATCTTAGGTTAGATCAATGATCTAGTATCTCGAGCCAAGCAAATATCGTTAATAAATCCGTAGATCTTAGGTCCAGGTCCAGACTTCCGTCACCATCCGCATCACTCCCACCATCATCGTCACCATCACCATCACCATCACAATGTGAAAGAATTCGGATGATGGATGAAATCATCAAACTATTGAAAAACTCCTACTACGAGATTAAGATCGGAGTTTATTTTTTCGGTATAGAATGTGATCAAGTAGAGGATTGGATAAGGTACGGTCGTGTTAGGAAATGAACTTTTAAGGTGAAGATGATTTTGCAGATGAATTTGCAGATGAGTAGGAAAGTTGATAAGCAGATGGAAATGGTGCAAATGATACAAATGGGGAATTAGATGGAAATATTCATTGGGCCCTTTTTACGATTTCATCTTGCACGTGATCTACCAATATTTACTGTAAGTTAGGTACTTCAACCTTGGAAGTTTGTACTTGGTACCCTATGCCCATACATACCTTGTCAGCTGCAAAATACTTCTACGCATTTATATATTAATATACCGGCCTACCAACTCAACCGCAAGGTCAGAGAAATATTCTATTATCTAGAATCCACAACATTGAAGTTCAATATGAAGACCTTGTTCTTTTTCTAGTTTTTCGTAAAAAGGGGGAGGAGGGGCCCGAGGGGGTAAGGGGAAGAATCTCGATATCATATATCAAAGTCACATTTATGCGGTGCTAGCCAACCAGTTACTCCAACATATAACTCGCCAGTAATATTTCTCTCCAACTAACACCATCTTGTTGCCCAGTGCATGTTCTATATGCCGGGTGTTAAGCCCCCAAACGAAAGGGGGCAGTTGCACAGAGATATGAATACAGAGATCGCGTTAGGACGTCTGACAAGGCTTATATAATAAAAGATATTTAAAGTAATACGAGATATGATTAGGTGGTGGCTTTTGCTACTGTACCTACATACTAAGTAATCAAGTTGACTTCGACGTTGAACTAAACTGCCAAGACAACCCCTTTTTCATCCAGTCCTCCTATCCTTTGACACTGCCCAATGTTTTCAATGATGCAATTCAATCTAGGGCTGTTTGATTATATGCTTAATGGGCATATGCATTAAACTCAGAGATATGATACAAGTTACCGCAATTTATTTGACTTCCCAGTAAGCACCTAACCTATAGCTTAGTCTTCCCGCCCCCAGTGCCGTGAACGTTCCACCATTGCCCCCGCGATATCTTATTCAGCCAAAAGGTATTTTATATCCCCTCCCCCTCCCCCTCCCAAAAAAACACTGTGCCTTTCTCAACTGTGCTCCAAAAGAACGCCGCAAACATAGGCAGGCTTTCGAAAGTGGCGTGTGAAAGGGCGGCCTGGATCCATCCTCGTGCTACCCCCCCCTTTCCACCTCCACATCCACCTCCAACCGCCCCCCCCCCCCCCCATCCGTTTTCCGAGACATACATATCGGGCTCAAACGGGCTCAATGAGCCGTGAAGCCGGGCCCGACGAGGAGGAGAAGAAGAGCGAAGAGACACTGGCCTCGGACAGACAGTGCGTGCAGAGGCGCTCGCAGGTAGACGTGAACAGGTATCCGCCTTCGTCGCCACAGCGCTTGCACGTCGACGTCCTGAGCGCGGCGTAGAGGGTGCGGCAGGTGATGCGCCGGCTGGTGTCGACGGCGAGCATGACGCACAGCGAGCTCTGGTAGTGCGTGGTGATGGCGCGGTATTCGCGGAGCGAGAGCGCTATCTCGGTGGCGCGCCTGTTGACGCTGCGGAAGCTGGTGAGGGAGCGCAGGTCGAGGTGGGAGACGACGTCTTGGAGCAGCTCGAGGGGGAGGATATCTAGGACGCCGACGTCGGTTTCTGCGGGTAGATGGAGGGCATCGTCGTCTTGCGACTGGGGAGCTGGATGGTCGTCGGCGTCTGCTACGTGCTCGCTGAGGCGCAGATGGCGGTAGAGCGGCTGGTGCATGGCGAGTGATAAGTGTTTGTTCTTTCAAGATTTCTGTTCCGTGTCGTAGGTCTAGGCAGGTATCCAGCAATCGATACACTAAGTGTTATTAGGAGAGGGAAAAGGCTTTGCCCTACCTACGCGTGAACTTGACGAAGTTATTGTTATCGGGCAATGGCACATTTACGATTACTGGGAATAATTGAAATTTGGATCGAAATACTCCGGGCTGAATTGACCAGAGTCCGAGGGGAATGTCCGGATGATATGCCCCCTAACTTGTTCCAAGCTCATCTTGGAGATTTCATTCTGGGGAAGAAGTGCAACAATGGAAGAAGCCATGTACATCATTACTATCTCCATCTCAGCTAAAGTTAGCCCCTCGGCATAGCACACACACACACACACCTCGTAGCTTGTAAAAATTATCAACGGAAGATGTAACTATTTTCATTTAAAGCTTGTTGCTGGTTTTTTTTTTTTTTTTTTTTTTTTTTTTTTAGTTCGTGATACATGTAGATGATCTAGAACTAGATCACGATAGTTCAAGAAGCAAAAATGTCTCGGAGCCTAAGCATTCTTTCTTCCAGGTACCTAACTACTATTAATATCAAACCTACCTCCACTTAGATGGTAGATTGCTAACTTGGGCCCTTTTGCGATCATTGCATACTATTATCATACTCTGTAAGTTAATACTCTGTAAGTTAATACTCTGTAAGTTAATACTCTGTAAGTTAATACTCTGTAAGTTAATACTCTGTAAGTTAAAGGTAGGCTGGGACAATTCAGCCTCGCTAGATTTAACCAGTTCCAAGTCATATCATCAATTAGAGTACAAACACCAGGCCAAAAAGCTAGGCAATGACTGAGTACCAAGTAGGCTACGCCTTTCACATGAATCATGTGCCTTCGGGTCTTTGCCGAGTACTTTGAGAAGAAAATAGTAAGAAACCAGGTCACGTGATACCCCTTAGAGCTACCACATCCGCTTATGAAACGGACAACATAAACTTCGTCCCTTCAAGCTCAACGTTCCCCAAGTCTGGCTGGTTCAACTTCATTATAACCTCAGCTCCAATAAATATTCTTCCAACCCTCTAGGCACTCACATAATGGACATATTTGTAATCAAACGTTGATTTATGAATGCTACTCCATGGCTATTGCGCTTCTGGTATACTGTCCGCTTTTAATGAGTTACGCAACTATTAAAGCATAATGTAATCGTGTCACTAATGGCTCTATAAGTAAATAATTAGGGTTAGGTTAGTTACTATTCAACGAATTATTTTACATTCGGCCCGGCCCCAGATTAGATGTGATATTCCGGGAAGGGCACGTGACGGCCCGGATTAAGCACGCGACAATAACACTTCCAACCATGCATTGAATCTCTTAGCCATCTAGGACATCCTGAAGCTATAAGTTGGCCAGTTCATCGATGGATTATTATTTCGATTAAGCCATGCAACTCTTCTAGGTACTTGCGATTTTATTTTATTTTATTTAGGTATGTGGCTTGATTTGCCAAAGGGTATGTCGTCTAGAGGAGCTCATAGCTAGCTCTTGGAGATCATCTTTCTAGTCTTTTCTCTGGTTCATCTCAAATCAAATATCTTGCTCAGCTAAGCAACACATACTTTGCTTTATAAAAAGGGGGGACAAGCCAATATCATGCCCATCAAGATGTTTTATCTTTTTTGTTTCATTCTTTCATTCTCTCTTTATTTTAGCATGCATGAAGTGTGAGTATCTCATTGATTCCTTCTAGATGCCGTAGACCACCTTGGTAACCAGCTTGATTATCCAATGAACCCAACCCATAGGCCCATAGAACCTCCCCCTCATCTGTGAGACTAGGTAATTTTCTTTCCATTCTATTTCCCCCTCCCCCCCTCCCTTAACCATCCACTTCATATCCATATTCCCTAACAATATTTCGGCGACTATAATACGACAAGTCAACACTTTCAGTTCAGATAGTTTGATTGATGGGCATTATTTTTTCTTACCAGGCTAAGAAATCATTTGTATACTCGAATCTCGCGAGTGACCAGCTTGGCTAGCGTCTCTGCAATTTCTCGCTTCTTTTTACAATAGACCGCTTCGAAGTATATATGTAGTTGGTAGTAGCCTGTCTCGTGTATAGCGAGATCGACAAGCTCGATTCGTGCAAGGTCCTCTATATTGTGGCCGGTCGGTTTGACGCCGAAACACATTACTTTTGACAGAGTTACGTTGGCGTTATCTCTGACCAGGACTTGGGAATTCACGCCACGATCTCTGGGGTCTCGGTAAATGGGGCATCCTGTTTCGTTGTTGACATCAATGCTTAGATCGAATCTTACCCCCCTGGTAGCATCGACTGGCGGTCCTTCGCATAGTAAGTCTGGTTGAGGAATAGGGAAGTCGGGTGCCAGAACTATGGTGTCCGGGCTCGTGACTTCTACAGCGGTCAGAGTTATTCTGAGCATTTTTGCTACCTTTTCGCGTTTGCTTTTTATTGGAGGGAAATTCTATTCGATAATCCGCCTCTAAGTTAATTGCTCTTGTGAATCGGTAAGGTGTTCCGGCTCTATAAATTAACTCTTCGCGGTATGTAATTTGAAAGATTGATAATTTGGCTTGAGATGAGGCCTGGAATAGATATGGGAGGTATGGTAGATAGAATAAATATCGAATATTGATGCTTTGGCCAATTTTCTGGGGCCTCCATAAACTGTCCTTATTTTCAATGTTATTCTAGACACGGCTTTTCAGCCGACATGCACTGTACTAACATAAGTTAATAATAAACCATCCTGACATCCATACTCACCCTTGTGACTCTTTAGGTGGCAATTTTCTCAATTGGTACTGTGGTCGTGGTCAATGGCTACTGCACCTAAGGCGGGTGACCTGGCAACCAAAGAATGTGGACAGCCGTTACTCAGGCTTCTCTGACGCCATCATAATCGTGTATGCCTATTTACACAGCGAAGAAGGAAGAGTGATCGAAAATACAGTATTCCATAGTAATAATCCGTATATAGGATGTAACAAGAAGATTTTCGAAGTTTGAAGCTTTATGTAACGTCTACCCAGTATGTAGACGAACCCCAAATTTTTGGCCCCTTTTTCACTAGCTTTATTGGATATATGGATATGATACAAATTCCATGGCAACCTGGAAGCTTAATGATAGTCTATTGTGCTGATAACATGCCCAGGCTCTGGTCTTCCCAATAGCAAATAAACCCTTAGATGCCTATTACCTATAGTTAGATAACCACCAAAGCATTGCTAAACGATACATAACATATTTAGGATCTTCAATGCTATATGGTTGTCTAGGTCTTACGTATATGTGTTAATTGAAATACATCATTCCCGTGAAAATTGCAATAAGCCGGTCTGAAGTCCTACCAATCCCAGCGTTACTCTTAGATCTAAGAAGCTTATTCCAACTTAGAACATGGATAATTTAACCTGGAGTCTTTGATACTGATGTCTCCTGATAATACTCCCACTCTTTCACAAATATTAATAACCTTGTTGTAGTCTTGTCCTGAAACTTCACATCCTCCATTTAGATGCATTGAACTTCAGGCTAGTAGGAATAGATTTCCACTAACATACAGGTATCCCAATTCTTCTCATATGCTGGAATAGAGACATGGTGAAAACTACATACAGCAAAACTGTTGTAAATAGAAAGTACTGTGACATAGCATGAAACACATTTCCAGCCGATATAGTAGCGATTACCTAGGAGACTGGGGCGGCATCAACAAACACCTTTTGTGAGACTCAGCTAAGCCAATCGGAACCGCAACATCGATATACTTAGTGAGTTGCGAAATCCACAGCCCATCCTCCGAGAAATGACAGAACCAGCATAGACGGTTCACGACTGCAGGCTGGCCTCGAAACTTGAACCACTGCTCCATGGCTGCGCTGCCCTTCCGCTGAACTGGGTCTACAACGATGCCCTTTACTCTAAACCAAGTGAACTGCAAGGCCTCCGTGAGCTCGGGGGAGGCAAACGTGTGGATGAAAGATTCTGGTGGGTTGAATTCGTTGCAGCTGGCTGTGAGCTTGGTATACACGGGGTGGTGGTTTTTTCTGTACGCGGCAATCTGATATTCTTCTAGAAAGCCCCTCAGCGTGCAGTGCATAATCACATGGAGTTCCTCGTTTGTGAATTCCATTGTCAGATAGTTTATTTCGCAACAAATGGTTGCTAGGAAACTTTGTGGAATTTTAGATAGATATAATGTTTTCGTTCTAGGCGGTGTCAATACCTATTTGAGGGAGGTTGTGTGTAGTGTTTATACTTCTACTATGTAGTCAGTCAGGGGTGAGCATCTATTTATATATTTTTCAACTCGTTCAGGGAAGACTTCGGAATGAAGCGTGATGCACTTGCACGTACGACTACGTGTGCCTAAAGTCATTCCTTCAACCATGGTATCACGGTGCAAGCCTAAGGGCATTGTTCATATACCTAAGACTAAAAGGAACCACTCTGTTCAAGCTCCATTCGGCCGCCGTCTAGGTCGACAACAGACAAAACAATATCATTATGACACAGTGGTCGCTCGACAGCACACGAATGCTGTGAGGCTCAGCTACAGGTGACTTATACTTTTACAAGCCTACGCTCAGGTGCTGTGCTGTTTTATATTGTAGTCTGTAGACAGTGTAGTACATAGTACCTACAAGGTGGATACCTACCTAGTAGTACCTACGTAGATAGTGTTCCTAAGTACCAAAAGTCCTAGGTTAAAATCTACAAATGACGTTCTCACTGATTGAACTCCTAAGGTTTGCTTCACCAGTTTTCACGTTCTGTAAGATCTCACTTGTTGCCTATCTGAGAAAGGCCACAATCCAAACAGCGCTGAGGCAAGCATCTCTACGCCCCTTTACAAACCCGTTGTACAGAGCTTATGTTCAATTGTCAAGCTTTGCAAGACATGACCACCTGATGGCCCTTCATGTCATGCTATGCATAGGTAGAGTCGACGTAGCTACGGATCTTCTCGAGCTTGTATTATAACACGCAGGTGGTTAACCCTCCTACTTAACGTGGGTTACCCATTTTTACATTTCTTACTTAGGAAATATCCTTATTGGAATGTCATGGTGAGCTCGAACTAGCAACGTTCCAACTGAAGTATGGAGCCAGTAAAGATAGGGGGGAGTGGATGACTAATCAAACTCAACTTCATATATGGGGAATCATTTAAAGGTTCATGTCACTCGACTCAATTGCGTGATAATTCTCAGGGAAGAGTTTTGATAATAAATTGCTGGTGAGTAGAGTGTAATCAACAGTGAAGAGGATTGAAAGGTAGAGGTTTGTCCTTCAACAAGATAAATATCCATTGGTGAAAAGGGGTGCTATAGATACGAGTGTATCTAGCGTATAAAATTATTTTTTTGTTTACAAAACCGCACCCATTAAAGTATGATTACTACAGTAGATCAAGGTAGGATAGTAGCAAATAAAGTGAAGCAATTGCAGTTCCCTTGTATGTACCTTGGAATAACACCCATGTTCGAAAGAAAAGGGGGGCAGACGCTTCGAAATTCGCAAGAACGGGCAGAAACTGGCCGTTTCCAGTAGTCACGAAGCTCTGCGAGCGTTCATTGGTGTTTAGCTGGTCAGGAGAGGGCCCTGTGGTGTTTGTATTCCACGCACTTTCCCTAGATATTCACCGTACAAAGCCAAGTACTGCGTACCTTCGCCCTCAGGTAAAACTTATAGGTCTAAAATTTGTGTCTATGTGCAAGCACCTATGGAGCAGAAGTTTAGCTCATTCTACTCCCAATTCGCCCTCATGGCGTAGTAGGAAATAGAAAGACCCGGGTGCGAATCCCGGTGGGTGCATCTTTTTTATCGGTTTGCGGAGGGTTCGATTCGGCCTCAACCTACCTAATGGATACCTCCACCACATCCCCCAGTCAGCCTAGAAGCCTAGCCTAGAACTGAGAATATTCACAACTACATCCATCACCTTCACGTAAAATAGCAAAGTGCTTCAATCAGGTGCATATGAGAATTCGTGAACTGTTAAATACCTGCTACCTACCATCGCAAAATATCTTCACCACTTTTGCTACTATGTACACATACCTTCACAATATCATCTACCGCACAAAAAGATGATCTACTTCATCATACCGCCGTTCATTGCTCTCCTCACCACTCTCCCCTATCCATCATCCATCGTACCTGAGCATCCAGGCAGTATCTAGTTATATACCAACCCATTCTATCTGCTGCAGGCAACTACAAACCGTTGTCCCCCACCACCCTACCCTCCTTGAATCCCTACCCATTTCTGCCACCATTCCCACCATCTAAATCTTTATCCCCATAACCGGGTACCTCACCTTCGCTCTTGCCGTTACCACGGTTTGAAAAAAACAAAAACCCTTACTTCCCACCTTCCAACATAGTAGTTACGTATGTCCGTGCGCGCCCCTATTGTACCTACCGCGCTTTCTCGAGGGGCCCACAAACCCACCACTGCTCTTTTACGCGTGCCTGCCGTCTACAGAGATGTTGCTGATGGAAGCAAATTCGTACTCGTCCCTGCCCTTTGAGTACATCATAGGGGAAGGTTCGTTACTTACCTAGGGTAGGGTGTGGGGAACATGACTGTGATAACTACATACCTACGTAGTACCTACCGAGGTACCTACATAGGTATCTAATACATACCTTCTTAGCTCTGGCAATTTACATTACTGCTTTCAGATTCTACCGCTATGCCAAACAGGTGAATAATTGATCTTTGATCATTTCTCCTTGGTTCGTGCCAGTATATAGGTACGACACGTCTGCTTCTACAATTCTCGTTCCTGACATTGAAGGTTAGGCAAATCCTAGGTCGTTTTCGTTTCTTTGAGATGGATCACTACTTTCACTATCTAGTACTTACCTAAGCTAGCCACCACAAAGCATTTGCAAAAAGCAGCGATTACTACCCAGGTAAGCAGTTAAGTATTATGGCGCGAATTTCAAAAGGGGTTGAGGATAGACGCATCTTACGAGAGACAGCATGGGAGGATCTAGTGAATGTCTTTGTATGGGGTGAACCACCGTATTATGTGTTAATCTGAAAGGTTCGAACATTCACTGAGATCTAAGAAATTGGATCCACGGAATCTTTGCTGATGGTGAGTGCCTGATCTAGCTTCGCATGGCATGTCGTGTATATATGCCTCCCTGACTACTACCCTCCATGTAGCTTGTGAAAGGTTCATCACGACGTCGTCGCTGATTTGGGATTATCTATCAGGTCATCTTAGGACGCAGGGAGGTTTGATACATCAACCTGAGGAGAATCATACTAGGGGTATTATGAACTATGCTAAATCAAGCCAACCCTAACGTGTGTTAATTTCTACAGTCTCACAGGCTTAGCATACCCAACATCTCGACTTTATAACGAAAAGATGGACCTATTGTCCAATTCCTCCAAGACATACTTATTCCCCAAGTCCAGGTCCCCGACTGTACCGGCTACTGTCCTTGAGATTCGTCATGTTTATGATCTAGGTACGTAATAGTTCGCAAATTTCTACCCCGAGCTACCCGTCAATCATTTTAGGTTCCTCCTTCGACCTCTGTATCGCCTGCTGAAGTCTTTCGTTCTCCTCGGCCCGAATGCGGCTTCGCGCGGCATCAAGTCTCTCAACACCAGCATTGATAGTCTCAATATGCACGCTCAGTGGTATATTTGCTGTGTCAGCTACTAACTGCGGGGCTGCTACCCGTTCACGTAGATCGCTGAGCTTCGTCTCAATGTCGCGGAGGTCGTGTACTAAGCTGGTTAGTCGGCGAACTGCCAAATGCCTCTGAGCATCGACCTGCTTCAATAGATGCATTTGCGACTCTAGGTTATGAAGTTGACGACCATTGGCCCCGACAAGTGTCCAAATATTCCAGTACACCTCGTCATGTTTCTCCTTGACGACGTTATTGGTCCGCTCGACATGGTCCTTGATGGTCGCAAGAGTCTCGTCAGCTATCTCGAATTGACGTATTATAGCCTGTGCTTCTATGACAAGTTTCAAGATCTTGTCCGAAACTAAGCCGGTGTGCTCCATGTATTTATCTACAAGGGCTTGCTCGTCAAAAACGGATACTTGGAAAGGTGAGAATATCCAGCCGCTGAAGCGAGATAACATATTATTATTCGCCTCTCGATTCATGGCAATCGAGTCGATATATCGCGACGTCCATCGGTTGATGCTAATCACGTTATCCACTGCACTGCCAACGCGAGTGTTAAACGTTTGCAAGTCATTAGCGCTAGAGCGAATTATTGTAACGTAGTTATCAAACTCGTGGACTAGTTCGGCGCGGCTTGGCAGTTCGCTGTGCTTGACCACTGTACGAAGATCGCGAACGGATGCCTCTGAACGCTTCATGTCCAAGGGAAGTGAAACTCCTTGAGCGGCATTCTCGAGTACCTCTTCAAATCGAGCTTGTACATTCATGAGTTCCTCAAATTCAACCGAGGACGAGCCGCGTCTTGGGCCCGAGTCTGACGAGGACTCTGGGCAAAAGGGGAGGTTGATCCATGACACAACGGGAATCTGGCACAATGGGGCGAACGGTGCCGATATGTGGCGAACAATTACGTTCTTTGCTGTCATGAACGTGCCGACCACTAGGTAGAGAGCAAGTAGGATGGCGATTGGGCGTTGTAAGTAGCGGAAAGCCATGAGGAGGGTGTTTATTACCCACGAAACCATCTCAAATAATAGCTCTGGGGCGGAAGTTGTAAACCGTTCAGAGAGAGAAGGTCTTTGGGGTTGCTCGTTTGGTTTAGGGTTAGGTTTAGGCCGAGTTGGTGAGCTGTCTTCCCGGCGGACAATCCTTCGCTTCACTGGCATTTGCCTGATCGTATTAGAATGAGCAGACCTGGTCTCATAACGATTGTCACCTCGTTGGTTGCTAACATCGACTGATGGCATTCGAAGTGCAGGCATCCGTAGTTCAGGCACGGGCGTTTTGTCTTGATCCAAGGAAATGCGCCTGGTTGAAGAAAGAGATGGTTGAAAGGGGGCGCGTAGTATAACCTGCTCGTCGTCTGCTTTCTCAGCAAAATCGTGAATGCTGTCCTGTGACCCTAACCTCATGCCCTGGGAAGACAAGGCTTGTGAGGACAAGGTTTGTTGTGATTGTTGCGATTGCTGCGACTGGCCATTATACGTGAAAGGATCGTCCTCAGGATCGTTGACTATGGACATGTCGAAGCTGTCATTATCACCTTCTTCCACCATGCGCCAGGACTCCTCCACAGAGAGGTCGGATCTCCGGGTGCGGGTCATATTTTGGGTATGTTTCGGAAATGTACAGTATGTGTCGTAGTTCAGGCCCTCATGATCTATTTGTAGTAAATTGGTGTGGTGCTTGGGAGTTTGATGTCCCCGATTCCAACGTCTCTGTTTATAACAAGTTTCGAATGTACAATTTTATCAAATTAATTAGACTGGGATGATATACCAGTTTTGTCACCAATTTCCCAGGCCACAGAGTGCAGGCAGACGTGAATGAAGAGTGAATCTGTCAATGTTATATATACTAGTGCCAAGATAGCAAGCTGTAGTGTCGATGTTGAACTTGACGAATAAGGGATCTTCGATTTTGGACTTGCAGTGACTCATACGGAAAGGTGCAGGGTCAAGAGGAAAGGTCAAACGAATTGTAGTAAGAGGTATCGGATTAATATGGTATCTATCTGTGTCACATTAAAATGTTTAATTTTAAGAGACAAACAGAAAAAAAGGACAGAGTGATGTTGGATGTATGTAGTTCCCTTATCGGATTTTGTAGGACATCACGTACTTACCTACTTGCTAATCGCGCGGGTGACTTGAAGTCACGGGTTGAACGTCGCAGCTTATGATTGGGTCTTGTATGAGTGACCGTACGACGTCAATACATTCTTGTAGCGTATCCAGTACGAGGATATAGGCTTCAGGGCCTACAAGATCCAGTAACAGACAAGTACAAGTACACCATCCATACAGCCTTGAGAAATAGCGTTAGGTAGCAACGGGCTACATGTACATAATTAGGGTGCGGATGGAAGATGCCAATCAATTTAATTCAATTGATTCGGACTAGCGCGTTAAGCTGCCTAGTATAAATCTTGAGCTCTAAGCCATGACCCCTGCCAAACATCAGCGGCAGCCTACTAGGGTCTAGATACTGTGGCAGGTGCCACCTACTGTAGATAAGATAAGAGGACATAGGTAAAAGGCCTATCCTGCAGGGATTGGTCTTAGACTTTTTCTTTTTTTTAAATAAATAATTTATTTAAAACTGGTAAATCTTTTTTAGTGATTTTATCCAAGTTATTTCTTAGTTTTAAATAAGTGTTATTTATTAATGTTTTATACGTTTTATTTAGATTTATCGTAAAAAATATTATTATGGTATTTTAAAAATGTTTTAATATTTTTAAATTAATTTTTATCGACCTTACTAAGCTTATTAATAATTATATTATTGTTAAAAATTATTTAATTTAATTTTATTTATATTTATATTTAAAGAGTCCTTAAATAAGTTATTTTATTAGTTTAATTTTTCCAACTAATTTATTAAAACTAATTATAATCCCCTTTTCTTTATTTTAATCTTTATTATTTTATTAATTATTTCTTCCCTTTTAGAATTTTTTATGTTTAAAATATTAAATCTTTAATTCTAATAACATTAATTTTATTAAACTAATTATTATACACTAATAAACTTATTTCTTATATTATTACTTATAAACCTTATTATAAACCTTATAAATTTATACATTAATAAAGAATTAAATACCGAAAACTTCATCTTATTTCCATTTTAAAATATTTTAACTAGTTTAATAATTACCTTATATTACTTTTAAGTTTTAAATTTGTTAGGATATAATTGTTTTAAAGGTGGCGAGTTAATAACGAGGTGATTAAACCGCTTAAAATGGCAGTTTTAACGTGTAAGGTATAATATTTCTTTTATTTTTAATATATTATAAACGATTAATATATAATATAAGGGCGAAGTTGCGATTTTTTTAAATAACAACTTAGCATTTAAAAAGGTACTTAATTAAGTCGAGAATAATATTGTCGTGTTAAAGGATTTTATAAATATTAAATAGGTTTTAAAAAATAGATTTTTAATAATGTTAATAAATAAGTTAAACGATTAATTTATATCCGATTTAAACGAGTTTATTTAAGGTAAGGATAAGATATTTGCCGTATATTATTTATAGGTATAAAATCTTTTAAAATATATAAAGGTTTAAAATTAACCTTAAAAGTAAATGTTATAAATAAATATATTATCGTTAGTTTTAACCACTTTTAAGATAAATATACTTAAAATAATTATTAGTTACTTTATTAATAACCTTTAAAATTAAGTTTTACAAGCCAAGTGTATAAATAAAAATGTTTAAAATTATAAGTTATTATGGTTAATATATAACGTTATTTAAAATTATTAATCGATAATTAAGGAAAAAGATAATATTACGAAGTTTTATCGGTTTAAAATTTAATAAAAAATGTTAAAAAAGATGGTTATTAATTAAATTAAAGTATTAATTAATTAAGCTTTAATAATATAATATTTTTAAATAATGGTATTAAGTATAATAATATTTATTATATTAACCTTTTTTTTATTTCTTTTATTAAGCCCCTTATATTTTTTTATATTAAGCTTTTTATTGTTTTTTATTATATATTAATCGATATAAGTATTATAAGGGATAACGGGATTACATTAGCCTTTTTTTAATTAAAGTGGTAAATATTAATATATTTTATTAAATATAAAAAGTCCTTTAATTGCTTTAATTTTTTCTAATTTTTTTAGCAGTTTTAACATTTTTTATATTATTATAATTATTATAATCTTATTTATTTTATTATTAACGTTTTTTTTACGAGATGTTTTATTTAGAAATTTAACTTATAACTAAAGCTATGTTAAATATAAAAAGATTTTATTAAAAAAAATATTAAAAAACCTAATAATAAATAAGTTATATTAATTAAAATTATTTAAAAAAGTATGCTTTTATTACGATAAGCTTAAATATATTTTTATAATATGTTTAATAATAAAGGAATAATAATTTCTTCCATGGGAAATTACAATATTAAAAGCGATTTTATTTCCTTAAAGAAATAATAATTAAGCTAAAATAGTTTAAAATTTTAACTTTTATAATACAATTTTTAATTTTAAGGAGGGGCTTAACCTTGGACGGGTATGAGGCGCATATAACTTAATTATTTTACGAATAAATTTAAGACTTTTCTCTTTAGCAGTTTTAAGAATAAAAATTAAATAAACTTAATCTTTATATATATTTTAAAGAGGATAAGCGTATGTGTTAAAAGGCTTAAGAAATATCATTCGACTTTAAGATTAATAATTTAAAAGCGTTAATTAAAAATAAATTTAAGTTATAATTTCTTATGTTAATTTTAAAAAAGAAAAGCTTTATATCTTTAAGTGGTTTTTTAGAAATAAAAAATAATTTATATAAGGAGGTTATTAAATTTATATCATACCTAAGCATAGTTTTATACGATAAGTTATTATTAAAATATTACTAAAACGGTTTTAAGGTTATTCTAATTATTATTAAAGGAGAAAAAAAAAGGAAAAAGATAAAACCACGAAAAAGCCTTTAATAAATTCATAATTTTAATAAAAAGGTGGTATTTAATTTTAAATCCTTAGTTAAAAAAATATAAGTTTTTTTAATGTTTATAAACTTTTTTTAAATCTCCTTTAAAACGTTTAAATAATTTAAGCATTTTTTAATATAAAAAAATGTAAAAATTAAAAAGTGAGTCGTGCGAAAGATAACCACTTTAAAAAGATTAAAGGTTATTAACTTATTAAGGTTAAAGGTAGCGAAAATTAAACGAATTATAATATTATTATAAACCGGTTCCTTAAAAATTTTAAATAATGTCACGTTTAAAAAGTACTAAGAAAAGAATAATAATTTATTATATAAGTTAATCCACTTTTTTTATTTAAATATAACATTACGTTTTAAAAGGGGAAATAAAATAATATTTACCATATTTCCACTTAAATTAATGTAAGTTAACTAAGGGAGCGACGTAAATATAATTTTTAATAAATTAATGTAATAATTTAATTTAAAGCAAAAATTATTTAAGGATTTTATTACGAGATTCTTTTATTTTTTAACCTTAAATAAAGGAAAATATAAGATTTATAAGTTTATATTATTAAATATCGGTGTATAAAGGATTTAACATTTTATATAAGTAATTATAAGGTTTAAAAGTTAATTTAAGGATTATTTACTTTTATTAAAAATTTCTTAATTTTAAGATATTTTAATTAAATTCGACATTTAAGTAAATATATTTACAATCGAGGATATTTATAATAGTGAGATATAAACCACTTTAATTAACCCTTTATTAGTTTTTATGAAATAATATCATATTACGTTTAATGCGATAAAATTAATTATTAATTTAATTAATTATTTATAAGTCCCGTTAATATTTAAGGAATAAGCTTAAAATTTAAAGGATTTAAACGATAAGTCGTTTAACTTAAATTTAATAAATAAGTTATTAAATTTAAAAAACTAAGTCGATTTAAACATATCAAGAAATTATATTAGAAAAGGTTATTTAACGGTAACAAGGATATAAATATCGTTAATATATACTATAATTAAGCTTTTTTTTATACGCCTTAACTTTTAACATCGGCCCCACTTAAAATGCGGTTTCAAGTAACGTTATCGTTTTATTTTATTTTTATGTTAATAAAAAAGGGTTATATGTTATTAATTAAGTAAAAAATGATACGAATTAAAATTAAGAAAAAAAAATAATTAAAAACAAATTACTTTAATAAAATGTCATTTTTTATAAAACGGCGTATTATTTACTTACCTTTAATATTTTAAGAAGAATTATTAAATGTAAATATGTTTAAATAATTAATAAAAACGAATGTTTATATTAAATTATTAATGTTAAATAAGTTATGTTTAAGGATAATTAAGGGGATATATATATATTATAAATTAAATATAAAATTTATCCTTAATATTTTACTTTTAAATTTATATTAATATCATATAAAATTAATAAAAAAAATAAAACCGTAAAACCGGTTAAAGCGGTAGCGATAAACTATCTTATAAAAATATTAGTTAAATTACTTAATTTAATTAAAGCTTAATATGGGAATATATAAATCCATGAAAATAATTAATAAAGTTTTTTTAAATTAATTTATTAAGTTTATTCTTATATTTAAAAATAAGGATAATTTAAATTTAAACCTTTAAATTAAACTATAATTAACGTTTAATTATTTAAATGTTAATAAAAACGTTTTAAATACAAATATTACGTTTTTATTAAATTTCCATATATATTTATTAAATCTTAATATTAAGTTATATTTAAAATTTAATTTAAAACATAAATACTAAGCTATTAAAGTTTATTTAAATAATTAATATTTATTTACATTCTTAATAACGGGGTTTTTATAATTATAACCGATAAGGATATTTTAAGGTTTATAAACGATAAGTTTTACATTTATAAAAATAATATATGTCGCATTCGAAAAAATTCTATTACTTTTATCGAAGTTATTTTTAATCTAATTAATAAAGCTAACATAAATTATAAATATAAGCTTTTATATCGATAATATATTTCTTACGTATTAAAATGTGAAAAAATAATAAGATTAAATTAAGGAATATTTCTTTTTTCGATTATTTTAAGCTTATTTACGGCTAATATATAAAAAAATCTATATAAGCTTTAAGGAGATTTTAATAATGGGGGTAATATATTATATAAGCGGCTACTTATTTATTAAATTAAAGCGTTATAAAAGGTTTTAAATGTGGCTGGTTTTTATGAAATAGTTTTATATTAAGGTTTTTATAGGTGTGATTAAACTATGTAAATAATAAATTAATAATTATACGAAGATTTTTAAGTTATTAATATAATTTTTAAAAAATATTAACTAAAAATAAGGCGAGGCGAAGGCGTTTACATTTATATTATTAAAAAACTTAATATTAACGATTATTAAAATATATGGTTTTATATTTAACTTTTTAATGAAGATATATTTTAATGTTTTTAAATAAGGTGTTAAGTGTTTTATAATATAATTAAAAAATAAAGCCTACGTTTTAATCGTGTATAATAACTTTATATTTACAAAAACTTAATAAAATTATAATATATATAAGCGGGAATTATATGCTATTATAAAGTTCTTACGACAATACGGTTTTATGTTTTAAATTTAAAAAATGTTAATTATTTATATTAATTATAAGCCTTTAACGTAATTCCTTAACTTAATAAATATAAATAAAATATATATTAAATAAGTGTTAAAGTTACGTATATTAAATGTAAAAATTATATACATTAAAAATAAGCAAAATTAAATAACTAATACATTATTAAAAATAATATTCCTAAGGGATAAATGTAACTAAATGAAATATTTAATGTCGTTTAATAAGAAAAAATTAAATAGCTTTTAAGTTTAAAAAAATAATATCGGCGGGTATTAAATCTTTTTTAAATTTATAAAAAAAAAAAAGAAAAAAAAATAATAAACGATATTTTTAATTTATATAAACAAGATTTAATGAATATTATTTTACGATTTATTAAATTAGTAAAAAGTGATAAATCTAAGTTTATTATTCGTTAATAATAAAAATAAAATAATAATAAAAATAAGTATAAAGCGTTATTAAAGTTATTAAAAGGTTTAATATTAACTTTATAATTAATAAAGTTTAAAACATTTTTTAAATATATTTAAAATAATTAATATATAAATATATACTAAATATTTATAAAAAAGATTATCAACTTATTAAATTATATAAAATTATATTTTTTATAAAATAAAATAAAATATTATAAACTTTAAAATAATAAATTATAACATAAATATAAAAGCTATTAATAAAAGTATTTTTATTAAGAAAAAATAGTTAAGATATTTTAAATAATTTATAATATAAGTAGATATTTTTTTAAGATAATTACATTAAAATAATTAAATTAATTTATATATTAATTTTATATAACTTAAGATAAAATTTCTCTAACCTTTTTTCAAAAAAAAATATCTAAAAATAATTTATTAGCTTATAGCCTTTTACAAACTTTAAAATAAACCTTTAAATCATTTTTAGATATTTTTTTTTTTAGGAACCGTTACACTAATTAGAGAAATTTTACTCGTTTAATTAAAAAACTATTTTAAAAAGTTAAAAAAGGGTTAAAAATTAAGAATAAATAACGGAAAAAAGGTGTAATTATTTAAAAGATATAGTTTAATAAGTTATAATAATAGTAACTATAAAAATACCCACATGGTAATAGTTATAAATAACCATAACAATAATAACCATAAAAATACCCATATAATAATAACTATAAATAACTACGGGAATAATTATCCACATCTTAGCTAGAAAACATATAACTAAAACATTTAATTTTTAATTTCTTTAACCGATAAAATCCTTCAATTCTTAATTATTTTATAACCATTTAACATAATTATCCTAAAAACATTATTCCCTTTATATTTTTATCCTTATATATTAATAAAGCCGTAAAAACCTTAACATATAAGCCATTAATAAAGCCTTAAATAATTTAACCATTAAAACCACATATATCCCGTTAAAAGGATTATTTAAAATCGTTTTAATTAAAGCAATATAAGTTAGTTTAAAAATTAATATTAAGGATTAATATATATATGTATATATATTAAATTTAAATAATGTAAACGTTATTTTTTCTATTAAAAAAGGGGTAATGTTAAAATATAATTTAATAAGTGTTAAATTAACGTTAGATATGTTAAAATAAATTAATATATTTATAAGGGTTAATTAGATTGAAAAAAGGTAAAAAAAAGGTATTAATATAATAATAAATATTAAATATAATTAACAAATAAAGATATAATTAATGAATAAAAATAAGATATAAATAAGGATATAATTAATAAATAAGGATAGGCAAATAAGGATATAATTAATGAATAAGGATAAGTAAATAAGGATATAGTTAATGGATAAGGATAGTATAAGGGTTGGAGGTCTTTATAATAATTGCTAGGCTAAAGTGATTGCTAGGATATATTTAATTAAAAGCGTTAAAAGAAACGCAAGGCTATGGTTGACAAAGTTTAAGACAACTAGCATAAAGGGATACAGCTAATAAAAAACCTTTGCTTTAAAGGAATACAGCCAATGAAAAGCTTTTAAAAAAAACGCACGGTTATTAAGCAGTTAACGCTAAAAACAATCTAACCAATCCTAATTTTCCTACACGGGTTTTTAAGAATTACAGGGGTATTTGATGACGTAATTAATTTAATAATTTCCTATAATAATTTCCCATAATAATTTCCCATAGTAATTTCCCATAATAATTTTCTAAAAAAGTTTTAACATAAAAATATCCTTTAAATAAATAATTAATTATATTAAAAGTTACTTTTCTTATACGTATTATAAGCCGTTTTAACCTTTAATATCCTTGTAATTTATTATTATATATATATTTTTATAAATTTTAACCGCTAATTTTATTAAGCTATTTTTAATAATATTATATAAAATACGATATATTTTAATCATTATATATTACTTTAATTAATATAGTTAAATTATTTCAATTAAAAGAGTTATATTAATAAACACGTTAAAGGGATTTAATTTATAAGTCGTAAATATAAGGATAAGATTTTTAACCTTTTATTTTAATTTTAAGTTTACGTTTATATTAATGGAAATAATAGTTAAAATAAAATCGATAAAAATTATAATAATCCATAAATTTTTAAGCTTATATATTAATATAAACCTCGTTAAAATGTTTAATAAAATCTTTTAAATTATGTTAAAAAAAATTATTAATTTATTATTAATAAAAATATTAATAAAGTTTATAAATTAAGTGTTTTAATTAGCAAAAGTAATGATAAATATAAATTATTAACATATAAAAAATATTAAATTCTTACCATATAAAATCCTTTATAAAAACTTGCTAATTAAAATATTTAAGCAAAAATACCCCTTAAAAAACTTAAACTTATTAATATATTATTTATAAAACAATAAAGTGGAATTCCTCTTAATTAAAGATTAATTTAATAACTTAATAATAAATTATTTAACAAAGTTTTAACATTATTAAAAAATAGTTTTTTAATTAAGAAAAGAAAAACGATTAACACGTAATTATATATATATTTTTTATATACTTTAAATGAAAAAGAATAATTTAATAATAATTTATTAAAAAAATAAAACCTTAAAGCTTTAAAAAAAATAAATAAAACCTTTTATTATAAAAATATAAATTAAACGATTCTTATATTAACTTTATAATTTAAACGGATTTATTATTAAAAAAATAACATATTATAAAAATTATCTTAAACATTTTTTCTTTTAAATAAATTATCTTTAAATAAATAATAAGTTAACCTTACTTTTATAATTACAATTATAAAGGAAAAAGTTAAAAAGAAAAAAAAATAAATAAGTGTAAAAAAGGAAAAAAACATATTTATATCCTTATATTTCCTTTATAATTACATCTTTATAATTTTCCCTTATTTATTTTTTCCTTTATTAATAATTTCATTTATTTATATTTTTACCTCTTTTTTTTTCTTTTATTATAATCTCCTTTATTACCATTTTATTTGTTAAGGTTTCCTTTATTAACGTTTTATTTTTTTTTTTTTAAGACTTTTATTATTTTCTTTTATTTTTTTCCTTTTTATTAAAAATTGCGAGATTTTCTTTAAGGGTATTAAGCTTTATTATATGGTTTAAAGACTTTTCTTATTATACTATTACAACATTATACCTTAAAAAGCGGGCTGCTTACCTAACTTATGTCCCCTTTAATAAATACTATGACAGATGTTACCTACTATAGATAAGATAAGAGGATATAAGTAAAAAACCTGTCCTGCAGGGATTGGTTTTAGATCTTTTCTCTTTTTTAAATAGACAGTTTGTTTAAAACTGGTAGATCTTTTCTGGTCTATATGTACATACCCTGGTGCAATAGGTACAATTGATATACTATAGGTAATTCTTTCAAGCCTGTTTTCTTTTGATGCTTTTTAAAATGCTTGTCATGATTTTACAGTGACATTTTTACTGGCGACATGTTCGCACAAAGGGCTGCGAGGATACGCCTTCAAGTATTATTGTCGAGATGTGCGCCTCTAACTCGAACCACCGAGTCATTCCCTCCTAAGCATCTATGGCGCAGAAACTGTTCATCGCATGCCACATCCGAACCCCCACCGAAACCGCTCGCGGACCATCGACAACTAGGCATCCAACAGGAGCTTTTCACAACATCAATCTATAGTCCCGGTTCGCCTATTCTACTACCCCACGGCGCGCGGATCTACAATCGCCTTGTCGAGTTTTTGCGGAAGCAATATGTACGATATGGATTCGACGAGGTCATCACCCCCACCATCTACAAGAAATCCTTGTGGGAGAAGTCGGGCCACCTAGAAAACTACGCCGATGATATGTTTACGGTGACCAGCATGTCACATTCGCGAAGCGATAGTACCGAACCAAATGACGGGGAGGACGAATATGGGCTTAAACCCATGAATTGCCCAGGTCACTGCCTAATATTTGCATCCCAGAAACGAAGCTACCGACAGTTGCCTATTCGATACGCCGACTTCTCCCCATTGCATCGAAACGAAGTATCTGGAGCATTAAGTGGATTGACAAGAGTACGACAGTTTCACCAAGACGACGGTCACATTTTCTGTCGACCCATACAAATCGAAGAGGAAATCCGAAAGACACTGGACTTTGTGCGTGTAGTCTACTCCACCTTCAAATTAGGCCCTTATCGTTTGGCTTTATCGACGCGCCCGGCGGAGCACTACATTGGAACTATTGAGGATTGGGAGGGCGCCGAGGGTGCACTCAAGAGGGCATTGGATGCGTCCGGTCAAGAATGGGTTATAAATGAAGGCGATGGCGCCTTCTACGGACCCAAGATCGACATCATTTTGAGAGACTCGAACGGAAAGGAACATCAAACCGCCACGATACAGCTAGACTTCCAGCTGCCAAAACGATTCCAGTTGGAATATGTAGCGCCAGCGCCTGAATTCGAGCGACGTGGAGAAACTACAACGGACCCGGACAAACTAGGAGTTGTTGGGTCGGTAACCCCTGTTCTAATTCACAGGGCCGTGTTAGGCTCAGTAGAGAGGCTTATGGCCTTGCTCATTGAACACTACGACGGCAAGTGGCCGTTCTGGCTAAATCCAAGACAGGTAATGATAGTAACGGTCAACGACAGTGAGCCAGTAGTGGAATTTGCTAGATCAACCCAAGATATCCTGATGGGCCGGGATGGGTCAGCTGACGACCCGGTCACCACGCCCTCCCAACTCCTGGTTGACATTGACGATGCCCCAAGAAGCCTTGCGCTCAAAGTGCGCCAAGCTAAATTGAAGGGATACAGCGTCATTGTGACCGTTGGTCCGAAGCAGTTACCGCAGGGTTTGATAACGGTCGACATGTCACGATTCGAGGACGAGGAAAGTTCGAAGATCAATATGCAACAGATGGCGCCTAAAGCTTTACTCGAACTCCTCAAAACTAAGGCTGATTCGTATCACTGATGGAGGGTATAATCTCTATAGCAATAACCAAATTCACTTCCAGTCGGAATTATTGCCTACCCATCTTGTAAATCTTCCGCTAGATCTCCCCTCTTCCCTAACTATCATCATCTAGATCATGACTCCTTGCATTTCCGCGCATTTCCTTCTGTCGTACTTCTTCTCTTTCTAAAACCCTAACTGGCCTAGAATATCGAATTGGTAAGCATTGCACAATGGTCGAGACAACCTAACCTAGTAGGGAATAAGGCACAAGAGAGAAAGGACAGCTTACTCTTTAAGATGTTCTGGTACCGTGACTCCTCGCGCCTCAGCGGCTTCGACCAGTTCACGACGCCGGGCCAATTGTTCTCTCACATATTTGACCGTCTCCTTGAGAACAAAGCCCTCGGAACGGCCATGTCCCTCCAAGCCAGGAACGAGGTCACATAGACGGTCGAACCCAGCTCTGATTGCTTCTCTACGCTTTTGTTCTATGCCATAACCGTCAGTTTTATGTCAAATGATGAAAAACAGGTATAAAAATTTACCTGATGCGATATGATTCTGCTTCTTTTCCTCCTCGGTCAGGCGGGGCTTGTCGTCCTGTGCTCCCGAAGATCCACCATTCTCTCCATCCTGGGGAGATTTCGACCTTGACTCGGACATGATGAAAACGCGAAAGACAAGATTGATTATTGGACGGGTCCTCCCTATAGAATATATGCCCGTATATACGCCTGTATATTGTGTATAGTGTATATAAAATATGATGTATACGCAGTTGTTTTTTGTGTTAAATTCAATGTTCCCCTCGGCTTTTAGCTACAAATTCGAGGTCCCAACAAACTCTGCTCGTACAAACTCTCTACCCCCAATATCTGAAGACATGAGACAAGTATTGGTGAATACTACTAGTAGTAGGACGAGATGCTGCTGCTGCTGGCGTGTGGTTACAGATAAGAGTAAAGATGCGTGATACGCACATCTTATAGGAAGGAGAGAAACGAATGGATAGGTAAGTACCTAGGTAGGTAGATGCTCAACTTTTAGAAGCACTGGTTGTTAACTCGTCCAGGGTTTCGCCATGTCATTTAGAAAAAGAGAAAAAAGAGGCAAGTTTAAATCCAATAGAATTTAATGTTTTTAGGACTTACGGCGTACATACATGTACAACAAATGGCATCGCACTTGAGAAAGCGCATGTGACACTCGGCCCCATTATTTAATGACGGCACAAAAACCCCTGTCTATCATTACAACATTAGACTTGCCTAGGTTAAGTTAGTTCATTGATGGCAGCGCTGCTGTGCTGACTGCCATGTGTGCACTATAATTCCAGCCCCAGCTGAGCCACGATCAGCTACATAGGTACTCCATGTAGTAAGTACCTAGGTAGTCAATAGACTAAAAGTACTCCGTCCATTGCGTTTACCCCTCCCACGATAAAGCTTGTGACGCAACTTCCCCTGGACCTGCATTCTGGACCCCACCAACCATTTCAAACTTCCCATTGACTTACCACACCGCACTACATTCTTACATCTACCTAACCTTAGATACATACATACACTACCTAGGTACACATAATACCAAGAGCAGCTTTCTCGTAAGCTCCAAAGATTCTTGTAGCTCTCACAAAGCTCAACGCTAGCTTCACTTCTCCTATCTCTCAGCTCTCTACGCTCTCCTCCAGTACACACTTGGCACCTTACCGTTCAAGACCAACACCTACATCTGCCAATACTCGACACAATGGACGAAAAGAAACCCCTCCTCACACAACCCACCCCTTCCGACCCGCCACCAGACTACACCACATCCGCCCTCGAGCACGGGCAAACCTCCACCCTCCCCATCCGGGAAAAGCCACCGCACCAGCCAACCCGCAGCGGCCGACCGCCCCCACCCCCCGGCGCCCTCCTCGACCTCCCCATCCTCAAGTACATGCGCACGAACCGCGTGATCCTCGCCTCCGCCTCCCCGCGTCGGCGCGCCCTACTCGCCCAGCTCGGCCTCCCCAACATCGAGGTGCGCCCCAGCACCAAGCCCGAGGACCTCAGCAAAGCGGACCTCGGCCCCTGGGAGTACGTCGCAGCGACCGCGCAGCAAAAGGCCCTCGACGTCTACGCGGCGCTCATCGAGGAGGCCGCCGCCAAGCAATCCGAGCCTTTACCGCCGGCGCCCCCCAGCCACAGCGATGATACCGCGCCGGAGCTGCGGGCGGCCGTGGACCTGAACGAGGCGCGGCGGCGAAAGGATCCGGACCTGGTGATCGCCGCGGACACGGTGGTGGTGACGCGCGACGGCGCGGTGCTGGAGAAGCCCGCGTCCGAGGCCGCGCACGTGCGAATGCTGCGCCTGCTCCGCGACACGCGCGCCCACCGCGTGCTCACTGCCGTATGCTGCGTTGCCCCGCGCCCCGACGCCCAGCACCCCGGCTACGCCATCGCTGCGCACGTCGAGGAGACCAAGGTCCACTTTGCCCGCGAGCGCGACGGCCTTCCCGACGACGTCATCGATTCCTACGTCCGCACTCGTGAAGGTGCTGATAAGGCTGGTGGCTACGCTGTCCAGGGGCTTGGCGGGATTCTGCTCGTTGAGAAGGTTGATGGTAGTGTTGATAATGTGATTGGGCTCCCCGTGCGCAAGTGTCTACAGCTCTGTGAAAAGGTAGTGTTTCGCCAGGATGAGGTCAGTGATGAGGAGGAGGATGAAGTTGATGAATAAATGAAAGAATGAACGAATGAAATCGGGCCAGAATCGGGCCAGCGAGTCAAAATAGGGGGGTCGATAAGACACAAAATCCATCAATTTGGCACGGAGGTAGAATCCGATCTTGGACTTTTAGGTTGGGAATAAAAAAAGGAGAGGAAGAAACATAACGAGCAAGCATAACTGGGTGGTACCTATTGTTAACATGTGGTTTATTGGTATCTAAACTGGTAGCTAAAAGAAAATGGCATGAATTGATAGATTTTAATGCATTAGGGACCAAACCATGAACCGAGATTGGTAGATTGGTAGTAAGGACAAGAATTACCCCTTGAATGAGAACGGAAAGTGCTCGTAACATTTATTTGTAGGTACCCAGGTAGCTGGTCAGCCTAGATGTAGTCTTGTCCTAGTATGAGTCCTACTAATACTACTAGTCTTGGGAGGTGGTGGCTTGGCCCCCTATTAGATGTATGTACTCAACGTAACCAAATAGCTAGGTCAATGTCGATCATATGTATCTCCAACTACTTGAACATCTATCTATCTGTCTATCTATCTATCATCGACTGACTTGCCGCCGCCGTCGACGACGACTAGGCTGAACTCATCGTTGGCGATAGGTATATACATACTGTCAGGACAAGGTCATGTGATTTCCGGTTGATCACGTTGATACCCTCCCTAATGGGTGGTGCGTTTGCATTTAATTTACAGTACATGCATCTGTCAAATTGTCGAGCTGCTTCCATTTCCACATCTTCTGTTGTATTGGGGTCTGGTTACAACGCTCTTCTGTTCTTGGTCGTACTCTTTTTTTTTTTTTCTTTTTTTTTTACTTCTCTGAATAAAGCTAGGTCGGTGTTGAACTGTTGCATTTATATTCCATTCAAGCTGGTAGAGTTGACGGATCCAAAACGATCCTGTCTTCCGGTATAGTGCCAGATTGGAGGGTTTACTGGTTTTATTAACCATGTGTACCTGGGGTTTAGGACTATACCGGAGGACGGGATCGTTTTTTTAGATCTGTCAACTCTACCAGCTTGAATGGAATACAGACGCAACAGTTCAACACCGACCTAGCTTTGTTCAAAGAAGAAGAAGAAAAAAAGAGTACAACCAAGAACAGAAGAGCGTTGTAGAACTCAGAAACTCATGACACAAAACAGTGGCCCCAAGCTATCTCAAGACGACATGCAGACCAGACACGGGGAATGCGCGAATGGTATTCGGAACTTCAGAAGTCAGTACCTAGTAGGCACACTCAAACGGGATCAGGTACTACCTACCGGTAAACATGCCGGACCATGAAGAATCGACCCCAATGCTCAAAGGAGCAAACCTGAAATCACATGACCTTGTTCTTGTTCTGGCATATACCTAGCCAGCCACGGCTTCGACCAATCAACCCCCCTTTACCCCTCCCCCCTATTCACCCAACAAGCCAGGCCACCACGAAAGCAGCAATGATGAAGCTAGGGGTACCTGAGTAGGGTTAAAAGCTAAAGCATTTAACTACTGGGCATCAGAGGTATTGGCGATATATGCAATGCTGATATTGATAGTACTAGGTATATGGAAACAGACAACAGGGAGGAATCACTTAGTACCTACCATTCGAAAGAGTCTAATGTGTGTCTTGGGGGGGAGCTACTCATACCTACGTAAGGTAGGCAATCCATCGCCACCTCTTTGCAGAAGCCTGTGCTTGACTTTGTGTGAATTTCTACCTACCTTTGCCTAATCCCACCTCCCATACACTACTACGCCAAACGAAAAAGCGAGTGGGTATGTGGGCAAAAAAAAAAAGAAAAAAAGAAAAAAAAAGAATCAATCAGAGAACTCCAGAAAAGCAAAATTATTCTATTATACTATTAATCGGTAGTAGTAACTACAGCCCCTTTTGTTTTATACTAGTAGGTACTTGGGTATTCGTGTTTCCGATAACCAGTACTGTTGTCTCCTGTCCCATTCCTGTCTTGTTCCTGTACATCTTCTACTAAGTGCCTAGCTACCTACCTAGCCAGCACATGTATGTAACGCATGTATGTTGTATACCGCACATGTTCATCAGCTCTGATCTCCGATCTATAATCCAACAAAACCGGCTTTGACAACCCAAACGCCTAATGGTAAAAAGTAGTAGAAACGATAAATAGGGGGTATATGTCAAAAAGAGGGAACTAGGAAAGAAGTCCCGGAAGGGAAAAGGGGTCAAGGGGAAAATAAGTGAAAAAATGGCCTTGGCGATAGTTAGGGTATCCGTCGGCAAAAGTTCCACGTAAACGTAGGTATCATGTAGTCTATATTTGGTTTGGCCATTGTGTGCCGAGAGAATTGAGATGTTTTGATCAGAGGTTGTTGCACATGATGTCTTATTGATGTTGTGATGATAGGTGGGAATTGTAGGAGATATTGCATATATGAGGTTGAGTGTGAGTAAGACATGCTATGTATGGTTATGTAGTTGGTTATTTTCAATAAGGTGTAATTTGCACCTCAGGGTGACGGACGATATATGCTACTCTACTAGCTGCTCGAGGGTCCGGGCTGCTGCGGAATCTGCGAGGCCCAGAATTCTCTGCCATTTCCAGGCAGGGTTGTGCCGTGGACACTCTTACAGTGGGTTCGGATATTGTCAGTACGTGTGTGGTTGAAGACCTTCCCACAGATAGGACATGACGTGTTTGAATTTTGATGAGATCGCTTATGGCGCGATAGATGAGATCCAGCATTTTTGCCCTTGTACGTCTTGCCACACTCGCACTGTACCGTGCTGGTAATAGAAGGTGCCGTGTCGTAAGAGCCAGGTACGGTATTGCTGTGATCGAAAATACTTCGCCCCGCTGTCCCATCCGACGAGTCAACGATGGATGAGGTGAGATGACTGCTGCTTGTCTGAGAGGGGAGAGTAGGCTGTCTAGCTTGTTGCATCCGACAATCCCCTGGACGAGGACCTTGTGATCGAAAGAGGTGCACAGGATAATACACCCCGCGGAATTCCCTTGTTATCTCATCCAAGTACTGTTCGACACACGCGCTTTGCCCCTGGATCAGGCCTCGAATGCTTATGAATTGTTTATATCTATTCTGTATAGAAGACCCAGGCACAGCCTGCAACAACACAATCCGTAGGAAGTTGCGATAGGATTGGGGGTTTGGTAGTAGGTTCTAGTACAGGCCAGTCAGTATTGGCTAAAAATAAAAATTACTATTGACATACAATACTCAAGTGAACCATATAGTCTGCCATTCTTGCCAAGGATGTCACTCCACCAAGCAACGCCAACGATCGTGTGGTTGAAATCATCGCTTGTATTAATGGGTCCTGAATTGATGGCGAATTCTCTAAAGGGCTAAAGAGAGATCGTTCGGCTTTTAGTAGCAACTCGCTTCCGACAGCTAGGGCGTTGTAGGTAGTTGGCAGGCCAATCCAACGGATCGGGTCCTTGTCTACGTGAGAGAAAAGATGAAGTAGGTCGCCGCGCTCGACAAAGTCTATTGGCTTGTAAGTGGTGAGATTCGGCTGAGATTTAAGACAGACCTACCATTTAGGAAGTTGATAAAGTTTAGGAAGGACATCGATTGACCTAAGTCGGCCATATCTATTGGTGTCTCGAATTGATGATAGGATCGGGATGGATTGTACGGCAGGTTCGGGCTACGTGGTTGGGGGTATGTCGAGAAACTCTGAAAATTATATTCCATACCCATCCCCGAAGAGGACACAAAGTTTTCAGATACGCCTGGAATATAAGGACTTGATGGTTGAGGTTTGTTCGGAGGATTAGAAGTCGGATATTCTGCACCAGGTATGAAACTAAGTAAGGGCGAGGACCACCCATTCACGTCTATATCGTAGTTCTGGGAGCCGTACGGAGGCGGGTCAGACAAAGAGGTCTCATTCATGACCGGCGGGTAATAAGGCGGCGGACGTGTGAACTTAGTTCCAGTTCCTTCAAGGCGTGTGTTCAAAAGGGTTTGAGGCCAGTCTGGTTGAGCGTCTGGCCGCAACAGATCGTATGATCTATTTAGTTGCTCGAATAGATAGTCGAGGGCTTCTCGGTTAGCCTGGGTTAGTGATCTTACGTCTTTCCACCTTGCGAATGCAGACTTAACACCTCCATCGAACTGATTTCCCTTGGTGAAATTAAGGGTGGCATGTAGAACGATTACAGCGCACAGAGCAGCATCAAAATCGATGGGAGAGTTTTTGAGCAAGATATCCCCTAGTGTGCGAAGACCGACTTTTCTAACCTTCCCTGACGAGCGGTACTTCTCCAACCAGTTCTTCAAATCAGCTGGCACATCCTGACCACGGCATTTTTGGAGCCCCTGGTGATAGCCATCAATCTTCTGGATAAGCCACTGGAGCGACTGCCATTGCGATTGACGCTCCTTTTCTCGAGGGTAAGGCTCCCGGTTGGGATTCCAAGGGCCCGGATGATCCCCTGCTAGTTGATGGTGCGGTGTTGAAAGAGTAGAAGGGGATAAATCGGGCGTTGTGATAACTATAGCGAACCATCCCGTTAGCCAACCGTCCCTGATTACCAATAGCCCATCAATCAGATATGTATTTACCCTCTAACACGTTAGCCTTGACAGATAAGGTGTCTAGAAAATCGCAGGTGAGATTGATTGTGTTGATATTGCCCAAAACAACAGCGCCGAGGTCGCGGTCGTGAGGCCCGTATGACAACACGGAATCATGATAGGCTCCCATGGCGCGATTCTTCGAGGGACTTTGCGGTGACGCCATTGAATAGCTAGGTGGTTGTGACAAGACGAGAGGCCTATGTTAGACGAATGTGACTAACAGTGGTAGAAACAAGAGTGAGAGGGAAGCCGTAGAGGAGTACTACTGCCTTCTACTCTTAAATAATTTAGGGAATCCAAAAAAGGGTCACTCTCTCAATCATTCTCAGTTGGGCGAATGTCATTGTAAAAAAGATAAAGTGAAAAGTACGTATTGTGTATCCAATTCAGATGGAGGGAAAATAATTTGTCCTAATGCTCAACATATGAAGATGAGTTGGTAATAGCATCAGGCTGTCCTGCATTTGTCCTTGCCAGCTCTGAACCCTAGCCACAATGGACCGAACCCCAAAATGTACAAGGGAAGTGAGATCCCCATTGCCCTGGGCAGGGAGTAAGCGGTCAGAGGCTAAGAACCGCAGCCTCGTTATGGCGTCAATTCTTCCAGTTACCAGAATGCAGAATAAGGATTAAGGGAATACATGTAATAGGAATTGTATAGATATACTCGACTCTGTTTAACGAGAAGCGGGGTAGGTAGGTAGGCAGGTTGCTTAAGTTGTGTGTGCTGAGTGGCTTATCATTTTGCCTGTACCGTACCGTGGACGAGGTGTATGCATAGAAATGTACTCGAGCTTACCTAGAAGTACAAGTTCTAGTTGATACCTACTCGCTCCTACATACATCATGGACGTACATAATGTATGGCTAGTAAAAAGATGCATGTGCGAACATGTGTACTTTACCTATATATGGAAGGTAGGTATATTTCACCCACAGCCTCTCATGATTGAAATGTCATGCGTCACATCGTCAACCATAAAAGCTCGGGTCCGAGTCAAATCAAGATGAATCTCCAGCAACCAGTTCATCCGGATACTTGGAAGTACCACAAAAGCCCAGAGAACACACCTCGGGTTCCGTAAAGAGCCGCAGGGTACCCTAGGTACATAAGTACCCAAAGAAGGTGGTGCCAATCAGGCCGTAGAGCAGGGGCGGGGGATGCTTTTAGGTAGGAATGCGGAAAAGTCATGATTGGGCCGACCAGCAGTCAATGTAGGTGCAAATCGTGTATTGAACGAAGAGCCAACGCCCGTCTCTTGTGCTGAGATCGTCAAGGTGAGTAGGTAAGAGTATATCCTTACCCACTCACTGTCAGAGGCGGTCAGCTTGTAGGATCATTGACCAGCAATTGAAGATGGAGTTGTAGATTCGATACCTGGTTGAATGTGTTTGGGTATCGAAGGCAGCACTAGGAGCTTCTTGAGGTCGTAGCCACAGTCTGCATGGTTTTGCGGCGCAATGGGTGTCCTATGTCGGCCGGCGCTCGACGACGTGTAACTGTGACAACTGGTCTCATAGGATAACAAGAAAACGACCCTGGTCTTTCCCAAGCCATGAAAATAGTATATAAGGACAATAGATTCACGGTCCAAAGCGGTGTAATAGGGAGGAAAATATGAGAGCATTTGCCACCCTGTACATATGTAGGTAAAGCACGACAAAATATGCAGAGGCTGATGAGAGGCAGACTTTGCTTAGACTTTGCTTGAGTTTCGTTCAGATAATTACCACCTACCCGGGAGACAGCTTAGCTTTGGTGGCTATGCTTTGCTGCAGCACCGTTGACGTGATTATCCATGTAGTATTATACTTGACAACACATAAGAGTATACGGCATGAAGACTCGAAGGCTATAAAAAGAACGGAGATGGCATGGGATGCGTTGAGGTTGTGGTTGAATTAGAATTACAGACTTGTAGTTATCATGTGGATGACACTGGATGTGAGTTTAAAGACAAAGACTGCTAGCGTAGTAGCCCGTATGATATCCACTAAGTCAGGCACTGGGCACTAACTATTACAGAGGGCAGGTGCCAGGTGCTACCATATCTCCTTAGTACTAGCCTAACCTAGAGTACGGTAATGGAGTACTATGCGCATTGCGCAGTAACTATAGGGTAGGGGTAGCAGGGCTACAAATGGATATCTTAGTACTAGTTAGTAGTACTATCATACTATGTCATGTATTGTACATAGTTATGTGGTATTTATTAGCTTGAGGTAACTATTATGTATGGATGTAAACCAACTAACTTTAATGAATCCTCGGTACCGAAGCCTTCAATGTTTGACTTGCTAGGTACTAGGCAAGTACTACATACCTATTACCTAGTACCTACATGTAGGGTAGATCATGCAAGGCCTCCAAACGGGTGCTCCCCGCCCGGCCAAACCGGATGTTTTACGGGAAGATCTAGAAGTAAAACATCGAATTTGATATATCAGTCAGGCAATAATTGACCAGGGCCAGCAACTTTTTTCTTTTCTTTTCCGCATATTCCCATTGGCCTTCGATGGCCCACATCGCAATGTATGTAAGTATGCTTCATCTAGTCAATATGCAAGACAAGACAGGTATGTATATTTTCATCACCTCCTCCCCATACGTGTAATACTAATACTCGCGTTAGGCTAGGTGAGTCACCAACCATGTCAAGTAGCTCTGCTGGCTTTCATGTCCTTGTGGAAATTAGATGTAGGCAATGTAGGTAGGTAGTTGTGCTTCCTGCCAACACAGGAGGGGAGAGGGGAAGGGAGAGGGGAAGGAAGAGGGGAAGGGAGAGGGGAGGGGAGAGGGGAGGGGAGAATATGGGGGGAAGAGGCGAACAGGAGGGGTAACACGTTCACTACTTATTTTACTTTTCCCTCCCATTTCTCCTACTACGTAATGCCTACTAGATAGATGCTTGGTTCTCAATGAGCTGACTGGAGTGACTCGCGGGGCATTATTATCATTAAATCTATCGTGGCAGTGTTGTCTATCTTCAGCTGCACTCCATCCCCTATATGGTCCTGATCATAAGTCATATGCCACTATCACTCCGAGATATATGTACAAGATTAGACTTCGATATTATATGCGCCTACCAGCGCGTCTTAAGAGCATCCCACAAGCTCTATTTGTAGATATGCCCCATGACATGAACCAAGCGCTTCATCGCTAATCTGTCTAGGCACGATGCCTTCAATCCTTCATCGAGGGCGCTTCAAAGGATGCGCTTCCGTGTTGAGAACGTATTCGTCTAAATTGATGAGATCAGGCGAAGAAAAGATTAAGTAAAAATATCTGAGGGTCTCGGCCAACCAGAAACTCTATCATCATGTTAGTCGAAAGCATAAAGACCGGTGCAATAGCATAAACTTACCTCCATAGAATCAGACTTAACAGTAACGACATCCCTAACGGATTCAATGGAAGAAAATGCCAAGTCTGTCTCGGTTGCTTTTCGAATTGCTTGAAACATCCTCCACGCCATTTCTTGATACTCCGGATTTCCCGTCATCCGATACATCAAGAAGACACTCTCGATAGCCTCTGGTCTTAGAAGATAACGCGGGTCACGCGCATTTTGAAATCCTCTTTTCAGCTGCGTATCAGCTGTGTCTTGCCAGCCCGACTCGTCCCATTCGCACGGATCTAGCGTCTCACATTTAAGGAGATCAAATATCTCAGGCATGATGCCAGTGGGCATGGCGTCGTAAGCCCACACGCAACCTCTAGTGATCTTCTCACCGATCTCGAGGTGTTCGGGGATATGGAAAAGTTTGCCTCCGAGCCCAAACATTCCACCCACGAAACACCCGAGATGTTGCGCTTCGGCGGTTAGGTGGGGTCCGGTATCCGAAACGTAAACGTTTCCGGAGAACAATATGTCATCTTGGTCGGGTGTATTGGGCCGAAACAATAAATTCTTGATGACAGTGTCCATCGCCCCCCGATACAGCTTTTCATATACGGGCTCTAGTCCACCGAGGATGGCATACGTCTTTGGTAAATATTCATAAAGACTATCTGCCAGAGCACCAAGCGTAAAGCTGCTGTCGCTATCTAGTTGTAATTGCGCGAAGTCAAAGGATGTCGGCCACATGCCGGGTAATGTCGTCCTGTTCTGCCAGTCATCCAGGACCAACGTCACTCTATTAATCGCATCGTAATATTTATTGTCTCCGGTAAGCTGCGCTAGTCTTGTAAACTCGAGAGATGACGATGTGACGGAGGCTGATGGGTCATGGTACCCGGCTACTTGAGAGCCCCTTTTCGCGTCGGAGAAGTCGAGCCAGAACGGGGGCATATGGTTCGGTGTGTCATAGGCCATATACAGCATATCCCCAAGCTCAATGGCTTTTTCCAGCAATGCAGTTTCTAAGCTTAAATCGTATGCGCCCAAGAGCCCACCTAAGTGTCGGATGGTAGTTTCGAAGAAGTTGCATGACGTGTCTCTCGTACGGGCCCAGTCAATGGTTACGGCTGCAGCGGCTGCTTCGTAGAATTCGTCCTTGAGGCCCATAATCCAAAGAGTGGAAAGAGAATCGACTAGGGTGGCTCCCCATCCCCCGAAGCCAGGCGCATCCCTCCCCTTCCCGGATACGGGCATCAGTTCGTCATAACCAAATCCGATATTTCTATAGCTAGTCCAACTCTTGACAAACGCATTCTTCACCTCAGCGCGGCGACTGGCCAAGACTTCCTCTCGTGCGATGCCGTCGGGACTCGTATCGGTAGTGAATGCATATTGAACCTTGGGCAAGGTGAGAGGCCTACCGGTTGGTAAGGGTGTGTAATCAGTTATGGGATAGTGGAATGGCTGCTTAGACCAGTCGTAGCTGGATCTAACATAGGTGAAGCCGAAGAGGGTATCGTTGTGTTCTGGGATGAGCCCGACTAAGAGATATAAAAGAAGAACCAGAAATAGGGCGATGGCGACGCGTGTCTTTCTTCGAAATATAGCAAGCATGGCGTGGTGAGGTTGTTGACGAACCTGCCATTCTACATTTTCGATGAACATGGAGAGATGATGGCTGTCTCTCGTGTCGTCGACCGGTAAAAATAACGAGAAGGATACATTACCAACCAACTACCTAGTTATTATAAAATAGCAAACAAGACGATAACTAATACCAGTGACCTACGTAGTGGCAGATAATCGTTGGCTGGATCTGAGGATATGCAGTAAGATTTGCATTAGTGAAACAGATAAATAACAGAATTACCGTAGGTAGTATAGTAAGGAAATATATATGTGTCAGGAATTGGAAAGGTGGTTCTTAGGTTGTTCCTCATTCTTGGTCATTTCAAGTTGACTGGGGATCGACGTCGACCTTATTTAAATCAAACCCCGGCAACTCGGCACTAAATTTGTATTTTATCTTGATGCATCCATGCGGCATGCCACCTGCCATGTTAGTTACGGGCTGGCGGGTAGGTACCTACAAGCTCTATTATATACATGATACATTATCCGCTGTAGCTCTGAAGCTTACAGCTGCTTACTCTATTATAGGTAGTACACAGCACTAAGATGCTCCACTATACTACATATGTAGGTACTAGTAGTATGGTACGTACGTGCTTAGATCAATGATAGATGATAGATCCCGTCTTTACGTGCTTTATCTAATGTTGTTTAAGGTTACCAGGCATATGCGTGCTTGTCATTCAATGTTTAACTTTCTATCATCTCTTACAGGAACAGTATCACGAGCCCTTCAAGTAAACTTACATATACATATGTACATGTAGCATATTGTTGTTAACAAAGTCTCCGTATTTCGTACATACCCTAGGTATCCTACAACTCTAATAGTTAAGTACCATGTACCGAATTTCGTATATTCGCGATATCAATTGATATCTTCATTCAGATGACTAAGATACATATAACTAATAACTAGTAGCTAACAGGCTGTAGTTAGTAACAGCAAAGCTTTACATAAAATTATCCATAATAGCCGCCCTTATCGCGTGATTGAGACTTTATATGTTGCAATTTTTCACTTTTTTCTCGCCCATTTTACGTCGGAACCGTAGCTCAGTGGTAGAGCAGCGGACTGCAGTTCCGAAGGTCACTGGTTCAATTCCGGTCGGTTCCTTTTTGGCTACCTAATTTTGTCACCATCGGATACCAGTATATCTTCTTTGTGCATCACTTATAACTAACTATTGCTTTCTTTCTCATTTCTCCTTTCTGCAAGTTAATCACCAATTTAAGCCCTATACAATAACCCCCCTCAAACTCGAGTATAGGGATGCTACTATGTAAGTAGTGAGTCGCCAACGATAGCTCCAAATGTAAGCTCTGATCGGGGCGGTATCGTCAGCCGTTTACCTACCGGATAGCCTTCGCCGTCTCAAAGTCGGCCAAGGGCACATTGTGTCCACGTCGCACGAGATTTGGCGCCTATTGATACCTTCGGCTTGATGTCAAGGGCATGCGATTACTCCGAGGCCATCTTGCATTGTACACCTAATCTACGATGTAACTAACTACTGTTCCGTTTTTTTCCCTCGGTAAGATGGCCGAGAAACTTGGGGCCGGTATCGTGGCCATTGAGACATCAATCCATCAAGAGGCCGTTCTTTTGGCCTCTGGGTAAGTGATCCGCCATCTCCTTCTTGACGAAAGCCGCCTCTTCCGTTTCAGGGCTCTTGGCCACATGGCCATTGTTCCATAATCACGTATATAGAAAGAGTTTGCTCAGCGGGATAGGCCGAAAGGTACTTACGATCCCCGGACTCACGAATCATTACCGCGGGGGAAGAGGAATAGGGGGGGAGGGTAGGAGCCCAACCTTCGCCCTTTGTTCCACCAACTGGATGCCTCGACTCATAAGTCCCGTATTCGACACAGGTTAATTCGTGCAAGCCTCTAAATGTACTTACAGGTACATAAGTAATGCAGTACTATTCCGGTCAGATTCGAGTAGCGTGCATGAATCTGCCACAAGTTCTTGGCATTTCCGTCACTGGCCCATACGTCGCTCGCTCTTTATGCCAGTATATCTTCAAGTGTGAATTTTATACTAAGATGCTTCGCGTCTAATCTCCTCTCCTTGTGACAGCCAAGGCAGCAAAAGTCACCACCAGTAGGCTTGCCGGTCACCATTGAGAATATAGCATGGTGAGGATGGTCATGAAACGCCGAGGTTCCTTGGTTGTCTTGTCCAGCCCTTGAAGTACGAAGACATGGAGCATTGGCTGGTTCTAAGATTTCTATACCAAGTAACGCCGTCAAAGGCGCATGCCCAAGTATTGAGAGTGGCACGTAGGATGTTAGTACATTGCTTACCAAGGGGGGCATACTAGAGGAGCGAATCGACGAGCTTTATCGTACGGCGCTTAACACGAAGGGAGCAAATTAGCGACGTGGTGTTGAAGTAGTTGCAGTAAGATCTAGACCAGAAGCTCTGCTAAGAGTTGATCACTTTAGCCGGCGAGATTCCACGGGCTTTGACACAAGTTTCGCGATATTGTAATACTACACTTCACCGGGGTAGATATTCTCATAAGAGACAGCACCAATAAGTGATGACTTGCCTAAGTACATTTCTGGGTATCAAGACTACAACAGCAACAATAACTTGCTCACAGTCATCCATTTCTTCTACCCAATTTATCAAGCAACACCCCAACAGTCTCACCACATTCTCTCCTCCTCTTTTTCCTCTTCTTCGTCTTACCCTGTCCCTCTCCATTTCCCGCCCCCTTTCCTGTCCCCGTTCCGTCTCCCACTCCCATTGCCACTTCCGCTCCCTCCCCATACTCCCGCCTCACCGTCTCATCCTCATCCCCTTCCCCCTCCCCTCCCTCCTCACACCCCAACACCCACAAAACCTCCCGCACCACCACATCTGGGCGATCCCTCACAACATGGTGTCCGCACTCCGCCACCCTAACGAACCTCTTCCTCGCCTCTTTCCTCGAAAGCATCAGCTGTCTCTTCTTCAACCTCTCGTCCTCTCCGTCCCAAGTCCTTAGCATCTCCCTCCGCATCCTCAGATCCGCCTTCGCCACCTCTTTTCCCCCGTCATTTCTGTTCCCCTCTCCCCCCTCCACAACCTCGACAGCCTCGACAGCCTCCAACCCCTTCCTCGCCGCAATAAACGAATCCCCCTTCACCACACTCAGCAACCTCATCCCCAACACCCTATCCCTGTACTGCCTCTCCTCCCCTTCCCCCCCCACCCCGCCCTCCTGCCCCGTCTCCACCATCACCATACCCCCCACCTGCCCTTCCGTAGCCCTCTCCAGAAACATCCTTGCAAACGCACCGCCATACGAGTGCGCGACCAGCACATACGGCCCCGCCAACCCTTCCCTCCTCAGATAAGCGCACAGCCCCGCCGTAGCTTGCGGCGGCTTTGGATTTTCCTCGCCGCGGTCATAGAGGAGGACGCGGAGGCGATGGGGTGGTGATGAGAGAGAGTGCGCCAGTGCGTCCCAGGAGGGCGAGCACGACTCGCCGGATCCGTGGAAGCAGATGATGAGGGGTGACTTCTTTTCCGAGTCCGGATCAGTTTGGGCTTCTGGGTCCGGGTCTGGGATTAAGAGTCTGTGTTTGGAATGCGACGGCGACGATGTTGTGCCTGTAATCATGGCTGTTGTTGGTGACGCTTCATCATTGGCCATTTTGCGCCTATGGTTCGGCAGGGCGCATATTTATGGATGTATCTTCACAATATGTAAGCTTGACGATACTTGGTAGGTACATATAGGCAACCACTCATTGGATCTAGGCTATAAATGCACGGACCAAATAATTCATGTAGCTCTCATATCAAGTTATGTCCAGCCCACTTACTTGTGGTCGCATGTAGTTGAACTTGGTAGAAGCAATCGACGAAGGTGTGAGTATTTTGACATCCTGTAGACGTACGTACTATATAATATCATGATCTTTCTTTTCTCTTTTCTTGCATTCCTACGAAACATACTGGTCTCGTTAAATCTGGGTATATCCTAGCAGTCTTCATATGCAGTCCCATTCCCCTAACAACCAAGACCACCAGCCTCCAACCAGTAAATAAGACGCCATGAGTATTGTGAAAGATAACACCCCTTGTTAACGCCCTGGATACGATCCATTAATATAAGTCCGAATAGATATGCTTGCCCACTCAATCAAACGCCAACCAAATGCTAACACATGCTGTAACCCCTCAAGTATAATATCAGACCGCCAAGAAGAACCTTCATCTGAACCCTGGAAAAACTTTAAGAGCTGCGCGTTTCCCTATTGATTGGTCAGTTTCTTGTCCCGCGGTTACAACCGGTAGACTTGCATTGAGGTCGCCCGTCATCACTGTTCGTCTCGTCTACGGGCACAACAAGGTCCTGCATGCGATCTCGCGTTGTTTCCACAGGGCTCAGCCTGTCACCTCTTGGTTGTTCTTCTAGGTCAACCGCCTCCTCTGGCTTGGGAGACGACACGGGGAAGATATGTTTCTTCACAGAGCTGCTCCATGAAGATAACCTGCGACGACCTCCTTCGACGTCAACATGTATTATGGTGCCGCTTGATCTCAATCTCCGAGTGCCAAATTCTCTGCGTACCATAGAGTTGGTGATCTTAGGGCAGTAGCCAGCCGGAAGCATTGAACTCTTGCAGGAAGGGCATAGCGAACTAAGTTGGCTCAAAAATTCGTCGATGCATTCGGGGTGGTAGATATGGCCGCAAGGTAATTCGCGAATGATGGTCTTCCTCGACTCGAAATCTTCTAAGCAGATAATACACGTGGGCTGGTAATTAATGGCGGTTTCATTTGTTTCATTCCTTGCGTCATTTCTTGGGCTTGAAGGCCCTTGACTAGCGTCGGATAATGCCCGCCCTTTCTTTGGCAGAACGTTGGTTGATGTGGGTGATGATGGTAATGGCGGGTCGTAATTATAGGTAAATAGCGGAAAAGTTTCGATATGATCCCTCGGTACCGGCAGTCGTTTGATACCTAAAGCTTCCAAATTCACTTCCCCCCGCGTGACACGCCGGCGAAGTGAAGCCCGGCGACGACTCTGAACGAGGTGCATTAGCATTGACGTAGTGCCAATAACAATCACTATAACACCGAAAATAATGAGAATGAAAGCCCAAAGTGGGAGCGTTGTCGATACCGTAGCCACTGTCAGTTCCGTCCACACGCGTACGTAATCTGCTGGGTTTGGCGAATATATCGACATAATCTGGTTGCTAAAAGGAACTTGTGACAAATCGCCAGAATAAAGACTAAGCTGTCGCATCATCTCTGCTCCAGAGGCCCCAGGGATTGCGTAGATCGGATACCGATTGGTTGTCCTCCAGGCTCCTCCATCTCCCAGATCCCAGGCTTGGTCGTCCACGGCTGGTGGCTGGCTGGTGCTATTATCTGGAAGGTAGACCAACATGCCCCGGATAGGATCCAACCTAGCCGAGGCAAGAAATGACTGAGTACAATCGGCATTGATCCATGGTGCGAGAGCGATAAGATTGTAACTTGTCGTCGGTAAATTCACTTGTCGTGTAACATTTTGTGGGATGTAGGGTTCCGCTAAAGCCTGGCACGAGTCGTTGACACCGAGGTCCGGTACATACAATAGACCTTGGACAACACCATTTGATGTGGTTACCGATGTGGTTGAGAGGGTAGTGATATTTCCAAGCAGATCTTCGGAATATGCTATCTGGCTCTAGCGAGGTGTGAGTAGGGAGGCAATATAATATTTGAAAAAGAAAAAAATTTTTATGGATGTTTCTCCTGTTACCGCAGGCTCGGAACATACAGATAGGGCAGTAATATTTCTGAGGATAGTACTGGGGACGGAATGGCCATCCGTCCAGCTAGGGTTGCTGAATAACAATCTAATGCGCGTTAGTATGCGACTAGAAACAACATCAAATATAGGTAGTAGCCGATTGAATGGGTCAAGCAAGCACTAGGTAATTAGTTAAGCAGACGAGAATGTCAAGAATATCAGGGTATGCGGTGATGATGTTGTAGCAATTGCCAAGCAAGATGAGGTGGAAAGAAGCACTTCTGTATGGTGTAAAGTGACGTCGCACAAGATGCAAAGCGACGCAACAATCGCAGATGCATCGGAAACGCAACTCGACAAAGTGTGATCTCATCACCCATCTGAATCCATCGCGCACAATCAATCAATCAAGCATTTCGAATTTAACCAACCAACAACCACTAAAGTCATTAAGCTTTTCTTAACAACCCAGTACCTGCTTGGCAGTGTCCATCAGGTCGGGGAAGATAAACAAAGAAAAAGTTTTCTTGGCGACATACACGACATTGCGGACGGCTTGGAGTGCTGTAAATGAACGTCAGCTGCCGTCGCCAAGGCATCCTAAGAGGCTCGGCTGGTGCCAAGAAGATCAATCGCAACAACAGACAGCTCTCGGCAGCGGGGAAAAAATGACCAAGAAAAGACCGAGTTAACTGGAGTAGACGATAAAAATAGGGTCCAAGACATACACATGCTCTTGTAATCATATTACTATTCCAATGATCGTCGAGACATTACGGTTGATGGTAACAACGAAAAGAGAAACAGATTTCTCAGGAAAATGTGACAAGGTGAGGTGAGGTGAGGTGAGGCGAGATAAGGCGATGCAAGGCAAAGCAAGGCAAGGCAAGAATAAAAGGGATGGGATAGTAAAATAAAATAAAACCCACAGTCGATAAATGGGTTAAGAGGAAAAGGACGAAAATGATGTTCTTGGCAAGTTTGGGGGTTTAGGATATTTTGGGGGGGAAAGAGGGAAAAGAGACAATAAGGGGGTTAGGGAATATCAGGTAAGGATGGGGAAGGGGGGAGACCCCATCATTATCAGCTGAGTGAAGGAACGGGACGCGAATTACAGGTACTACTTCAATATTCAAAAGTCTTCAAGTAACTTGCAGTTACCTAGGGTAGGTACGATGCAATTATGTGCAGGTCAGTACTATGTACGGATAATACAGTTGTACCTACATATAAACGGTATGTATTTGTACAGACATGATGCTCATGTACGAAGTTCAAATGTTGTAATACAATCAATCACTTGTTGCATTTGGTGATGCACACACACAAGACGGGGCCCTTTTTGATTCGATTTTTGGCCGTTACGCTGCCCTACCTAGCGGTAAAGCGGTTCAAATGTTCGCTGTTTAGTGGGCAAGACGTTAGAGTCAAGTGGCTGTGTTGCTCTGTGCGATGCGGTCTGATATTGAGAAACTCAAGTGTGAGGTACCCGTATCGTGCCATATCAGGTAAGGTGTAATAAGCATGGATTTGATCTAATACTTGAACAAGTTAGACCCTTAACTTGCGATCAACTAGTGTGCTTATTCCAGGGAGCACAGACTGGGGCAGATAACCAGGGACGATGCACAACAGCATTAGGGTCGTGTACGTGTGCGTATCTAGTAGCTCTGTATGCACCTCGATATTACTAACATTGGAGTTCAATTTCAAGTACGACTACCTAGGGTAGGTACCTACATATGTAGTATTTGTCTGTATTTGTCTGTATTTGTCTGTATTATTTGAGAGATTAAAGAGCACTTTATGTATGTACATAAGTTCAGCATTCAAGAGTTCAAAGGTTCAAAGTTACAAGTATCTGTAAGAGACTCAAGCCAATAAGAAATCTCATTTGTTATCCATAACTATAATGATATCATGGAGGTTCTTTGATACAGTCTACTCCAATAATAATAGCAATAATACGTTCAGAACAAACAAAACCGAAACAAACGTGGGAAGAAGGCCCTGATCTGCACCCCATCGAATCAACCCCCTGTCGAACACGTTACTAGCTAGCCTACCGAATGGGACACCTTCCTACAAAGAGACCTTTACGACGTTTACGACCATCAACCGCAATTAAAACGTGGAAACTCAATTCTACTATCTAATTACATACATCATTATAGCCTACTCATATCAATATTAGATACTATGTATGCAAGAAACTTGATCCATACTTAATACCGAGGCAATAATGCACAATAGCATTGGCTTGACAATTGTCTAACCCAGCTGTCTCGTCAATCATCAAAATTAGATGTACATAAGTAACTAAGTGGGTTTTTCTTTTTCAACTCTTAACCCGAGATAGACTGGTCCAGACCCCGGTAAAAAAAAAGCTTGTCGCGCTGGACGCCTTAAAAAAGCTTGTCTTGCCTCGTGCATAAATGAACCGACCCACCGTTGCATTCAACCAACCAGCGTTGGCTTCTCCGCCCAGGGGACTAAGAATGTAGTACCTACATGTATTTACGTAGCGTCAAAATGATGACATTTCATCTACATATATGTACGTATCAAATTAACTTCATTGAACGTTATTAAATGTCAACGGAAATCTACATACATACCCTTACCTTACCTGCATTGTAGGGTAGTAGTTACCTAATCTCTGCTTCAGGGACATGCCTCCAAATAATATTGTGCTTATGTTGGTGACACCAGCCTCTCTTTCTCCAAGACAACAACGTTGAGGAGGCTTGCATATCCAAAACCACACAAGAACACCTAATGTCCATTGGCTTATAGACATACGGACATTGTCTCGGATACTTGCGCGCTCTAGATTTTTCCGGACCTTCCGATTCTGAGACAAATATATGTAATTACACCTAGTGTGAACCATCCTGGGTAAGTTAGGTATCAATACATAGTATAATACATAGTATAAATTGCCAGTCGCTGACTACCTTCTTACACAGCACATAGCATATTGCACATTGCATGGAAGAGATTCTGATACCATCTCCATCTTTGGTACATGCATCTATTCCCCAGATATATATGCCTATCATTCGGTTCCCTACAATAATATCCGTGGTTGTGACTCTTAATCGTCTCTCGTCAACACAAATTATGTAATCATCGCCATGCAGTACCCTCAAATTACGTATGCAGTATTATGACACATCTGCGGTGCGGGTATCCGGAGTGGGAAATGGAGATTTGGGGAACCAACTAATATCACGGTTCTGTAACGTATCGCGAGTGAAGACATGATGCAAGGACGAAGGCAAAGTATGTCACTCGGTAGCGTCTCCGATTGTTTCCCACCCATTTCCTTGGGGTTACACTCCTCGTTGGCTCATTTCCCGAGAACTCCGGCGGGAACATAACGGGGGAGTCAAAGAAAGGGATGAAGTAAAAAAAGGCCTCAACACCAACTTACTGTCCGTGAGTAACAGAGCCAGCCCCCGCCCGTCAAATTTGTTATGCCTCAGCAGCCTTCGCGAGGCTTTTGCTTTATAGAAGTTTTACTCTCTGCCATGTATGTAGGACGGCCATGTTGCTTTTGGGGGAGTATCGGAAATAGAACTCTTGTGGAGTAGCCCAAGTCCGGCCGCCTGCTCACGTGTTAATGCATAGGTACCGAGGTAAGTATAGTATCTTACGAAGATGCATTTTAGTACTTCAGTTTGCTAGACTACCTATATACACTTGGTAGTTGCGAGGGGTAACATTTGTAATACTTACTAACTGCATACTCAAGATATACTATGTTATCTGAGACTGGGGCACCACTGGATGTCGTAGGTCACTTGATCTTGTCTCCCATTCACCACCCAGAGCGCAAGTGCAAATTCAAATAAGGCGAGCTAGCCAACCTAAGGGGGTTATCTCAAGTAAGGCTCACTTCTTTCATAGATGATGCTGGACTTTTCCTTGTTATACCTGATACTCAGGACTCTACGAGTCTTAAAAGTAGACTCCTCCAACCATTTTTTCCAGTCTTCAAGCTGACACATGCTCAATGCTCACAATCTTGAGGACTTTCAAACCATCTTATCCCCCATCGTTCAAGCTATAAGCATTATCATGCCCCTCGATGTTGGTTGAAGCCCCGCTTTGGAGTATCCAACTATCCCTCATTCCAATGTTGCCAGCCAACCTTTTTCTGGGGCTCCTCACGTCCAGTAAGAGGCCGACTAGGATCTAGAATAGACTTGACCGGATTGGAGCGGCTGTTTCCCCTACAGTTGCCCTTTATTTTTGACTAGAAACTCTGGAGTACATGTGATTCAATCACATGAACGCGCATGAATCTAGTTAGAAAGGTTGGAGTCGAGCAGAGGATAAGTGCAACGTTCATCTCGACGAGGCTGGTGGAACGTATCACGATGGCCAGCGCTCTCTTTTAACCTAGATATGAAAGAGCTCTCTTCAAGATTAAGTGTAGAGAGAAGGCACTTACTTGCCAATAATTATCTCGCAGGCATTGTACATAGTGTCGGCACTGGGACCTTGGGTTGACATCACTCTATGGGCCAGAGATATCAAACTAGCTACAACACCCCTACAAAAGAATTCATGGCTTGAGGTACGAATTGCATAAGGAAAAATCGATATAGAATTGTTCTTTGGGGTAAAGGTAGGGCGAATAATGCCATTAGCTGCAGCTTTCTCTTCTTTGGCATGTTAGTGGGTACTCTTGTTGCTAGAAAGGGGTAAGTTGGGTGGGAGCTGGGTAACCTAGTGAGTTCTTTTTCTTCGAACCCCAGATATCAGTTCAGTAACTGTAACAGGAGTGATATATTGATGTAATACGTAGGTAGTTAGCTGTACCATAGTTGTTGTATTGCTCAAGTTACTAACCTTGGAACATACAGCTCCAGATGGAGTTGCCCCTTGAGACGGAGGGCGATATTCAAGCCATTATTGGCCAGCCTGTAATCTGATATCGAATTTACAGCCCCTTAACGATGTCCCACAAAGTGTACCTGTGTGCGTCTCTTTGGATCAAAAAGCCACGCCATACCCACTCCAGCCTCGCCCTTATCCTCCCAGCTTGCCGATAACCTAGTTTTATTCATGCTAGATGGTTGGGTTCGATCACAGACCGCACTCGGAAGCTGAATTCAATGTAGCAATTACTGTCCATTAAAAGCAATTATCTGAATAAGCAACTTATCACTATCACCGCAGTTTAATAAATTGAGTTGTGGAAAGTTATAGCAAGCTAAGATGTAAAGATACAAATATCACGAGGCGAATCTACGAGGCAGTCACAAAGCGAGCAGAATTCACGGCACCATGAGCTTTTTTTACTAATAAGTAAGTAGCGTATTGCCTTTCATTATGATTTGGACTATAGCAGCAATAGAGATATATAATACCTAGTCTGCACACAACCTCTACACTCTAACACCAATCGTCTCTAGACACACCTCCACCAATCCGCTAGCTAGAAAAGCGCTTATGGAGCCGGGGTACCGCTAGGGGGAGGGAACGGCGGGAAAGTGCCGTTGGGCCCACCCGGACCACCTGGGCCTCCGGGACCGCCTGGGCCACCAGGGTTAGCAACACCGCCTCCCTCATAGTAGTGAGCAGCAGCATGCGCGTACGCGGTCTGGTTGGCGGTGGTGTCGACGAAGACGGTGAGGTAGGCGAGGAGGCCGTCCTGGAGGGAGTCGCCGAGGAGGACGTAGTCGGCGAAGGGGTCGTACTCGGGGGTGGAGGTCTGGGCGTCGATGCCGTCGTCCTCGTTGAGGGTGAGGGGCTGGGTGTTGGTGCTGTAGGGCTCGAGCAGCTCGACCGCGTTGATCAGGCTCTGGTCGAAGAAGAGCTGCCCGATGTGGTTCGGCTTGCCGTCCGTCAGGTACGTGTTGTTCGGCAGCACCGTCGCGTTCTCCGTGCTCATCAGGTGGATGTGCGGCGTCCGTCCCGTGTAGTGCCCCGGGAACACCGTGTCGAACTGCGTCACGCCGTCTTCGTCGGTTGGCTGGATACCGCGCCCGTGGATCGTGTTGAGACCGCCCTGGCCCATCGAGGAGATGCCCGAGTAGACGCCCGTGGCGTTGCAGTGCCAGATGTCGATCAGCATGTTGGGGATCGCTTCGCAGGTGTTGACATCTATGAACTGCAAGTCAAGGTGGAGGGGAACTCCAGCCTGGCTATCGGTCAAGTCAGTCTGTAAGGAGGAGAGTTAGTAGTGTCACTCGAGGAATTCGGATATCATAAGGGGGGGTTGGGTTCTTAATATGAAGGATGATGGTGCTTACCCTGATCAACTCGCCGGCAACCCAGTACGGTCCGATGGTGACCTCGGGAACGAGAGCAGCGGTCGCGTTAGAGTCGAAGATGACATCTAGAGGGGTATCCAAGGTGTAGCCCAACTCCGAATTGTCGTGGGAGATATCCAAGTATTTCTCAAGATCTGCCTGGTCTCTCTTAGACTTCATGCGCTCTAACAAAGGGTCAGTATGAACTACCTAGAGAATGTTTAGGATAACTCACTATCAGAGAGGCCACGTTTCTCACGAAGTCTCTCGGCAGTAGCAGCACGGCGAGCAACCGAACGAGCCTTCAGAGCGGCGGCGTTAGTGCTCACGGCGCAAGCGGCGATGGCACGACGAGCCTCAGCCTGGGCATAGTTGTGCAAAGATCTTTCGTGCGCCTTCACCTCCGCGCTGTCGCCAGGGTGTGCAACTGCGGATCCGATGAAGGAGGAAACCGCCAAGGCGGCGATCGTGTACATATTAACCATGGTGCCTCGAGACTTTGTAAGAGTGAAGGTGGATGGCAGAGAACGAATGGTCTGGTTGAGGTAAAGACCGACATGATGGAGAGATCTCGACAGCTTTATATTCACATCTGTTTAAGCTCAGCGATCGACATTGTCTATCTGTAGCCGCCCATTCCAAAAATCTTAACACGATTCTTATCACGCCAGGACGTTGCGATGCCCTCCTCTTCCTCTTCTTCCTCCTCCGCCCCTAATGGCACTCTCCTAAATTAGCCTTTCCGGGGACACCCCTCCCGCAAACCCCTAGGATCTACATAGATTCACACAGGGATTTGATGTCGAATCAGATCAGGGGGGCCAACCCACTTCGGCTAGTACCCAAAAGCGGTAGGTCTTTATAGCCAATGGGCGTTTCCCGGTTGAAAACATCTTCAATGCCAAAGGTTAGTCCAAACCAGAACCGACGTCAGGACCTAGTAGGGATTTGGCGGGCGGTATTTGAGAACCGCCTGTGATAGGTTACATGTTCCAAATGAGTTCAGACGTTTCTACGGAGTCACCTCACCTTCAGTGAATATAGAAAACCTCCTCTATCAAGCTACATCAGTTATATGTAAGTCGTATGTTTCTATATAATTACCTACCGAGGCATATATACTATCTTCACTTAGTAGTCGTTGGAAAACCGATCTTTTACTACCTATGATGACGATGCTTGTTTACTTTTAACCTTATCAATTCAATATTACGTGCCTAGTTATAATACCCACGATAATGAAGGGACATATACGCTAGGAAACTTGTTGGCTGGGCGGTAGAGACGAGTTTCCCTATTAGTCCACGCCAAGCGTTGATCTCTTCGCTTTTTTCTTTCACTTGGTAAAATTTTCTTCCATTCAAACCTCGTGAAATCCAAATCGAAAACTTCCTAGAAAATCACATCAGATTAAGCATCAGGTATAGTCTCGGTATAAAACCCAGGCCCAATGTAACGCGGACGCGCGGCTCTCCTCAACTGCCCAATATAAGAAGGGCGCCAAGAAGTCGCATTTGCCGTCAGGAGTCGTGCTCCTGTGAGTGCAAGGCTCGTTACGCACTAGAGCTATCTCTGGTTTCTCTTGCATCTCGCAGCCCTACCTTTGAGTATCTTGATAGGCACGGATATTCCCATGCAGAACCTATTACCTGGATCTCGTGGGAAGCAATATGATAACTCATAGGTACCCACTACTTCCCCCCCCCTTGGAAGGTTCTTAGCCAAGACCTCCTGATACATAGCTAACCCCACTCTATCTGTCGTCACCCTGGTATACGGACAATAGAACCAGAGTACTAAGTATGAATCAGTTAATGAGAGACTCCGTGATGGTAAGCGGAGTTGGATCCTAAAGGAAGGTGAATGAGATGTCGGAAGTAAACAAGAGTAGCCTCGCTCTGATGGGCCGAATACCTAGTATAGGTACTACTAGTAGGTAGTACCTATCCAGCAAGAAACATATCTACCTACCGCTTCCGCCTACCCTTCCTCATACATGAGGTGGAGACAAGCACTTCATAGCTTACCATTCTGATGATTTGTGACCGTTGCATCATGTCTGTTAGATAAAGAGTATACGCGGCTTAGTTGTATCGATTTGATCGAAGGAATGTCTGGATACATGTGAAATCCCTTTTTAACAACCTCATATTGGCGGTGTGTGAAGGCAAGTGATATACCACAAAAGAAAGAAATGTGTACAAGCGCCTTTGGCGGGTTTGGTGTTCTATTATGAGCAGTTCATGGGTACCTAGGTAGGCGTATTACCTACCCCTATTTGAATCTCATTTTCATCAAACTTAAGCAGAGCTCTGAAAGCCAAAGGTTATATTCATAGATACCTCCATGTGTTAGTGTATGGCACATGTAGAGTCTGGATCATAGTTTTCTCAGTTCACCAATGGTAAAAGGTATATGCCTAACTCAGTAACCTTCTCCCGTAAGTCTATGTCACGGGGTGGAACCTAGTGGATGGATAACAACATCATTGTTGCGCGGGGATCTCTAACATCTCCCCGGAGGCTGTGGAAGCTACATCCAAATGCAAGCTGCCTTTGTTCTATCTGCCCCCACAGGTAGGCCCTATGTAGGCCCTTGACAGTCTGAACGAGAAGTTCGGACCGTATCTTGTGGCTAGAAGCGTTGAAGGTTTGATCCTTAATAGTTCGCCACCATGGTGCTGTCTTCTAGATGGATCGAGATTTATGTTACATGCTATGTCTAGGTAGTATCTGTTAGTTAAAAGATTGACCGTAACGAGAAAGGGAAGGGTATCCGGTACTGAGATAGGTCAAGGCTGTCTAATCGAGGCATTCGTTGCGCAGCTAGGGATTCGCGTTAGAGATTGCATCTTTATGAGAAAGATATCTATTATGTATGTATTACAGCTGGGTGAAGCAGCTGGGCTGTCACTCTATATTTTGCCTTGGAACTGTGACAAGACATGCTAGTATGACAGCTTATACGGTTGTCGCAACTTTTGGTCCCCGATGTGATCAAGATAGGGGCTTTCACATCTCCATGATACATGTATGAGGATTAGAATCCTATGAATGATGGATGGAACAATTCCCTACAAAATATCAGAATGGAAACATCAATTTCTCTGTTAGGGCTCGGAGAGGTACGTAATCTTCAGCATTGGCATTCTTTATTAACTCATGTTTTTTATTTCGAATGTAACCGATTCGTGGTCCAATGGGACTCAACGGCGTAAAACATATGATTCTAACGGATTAAGAAATTCATACATACAATAGACCAGAAAGCCTCTTTTAGCCATAGCCATAGCCAGGGATGTTTCTGCTCCAGCCGTCCTGCTCGGTTGATCCGCATCATAAGATCAAGTACTTGCTCTGAACATAGTCCTTCCAACAATGGGATTGAAACGTATTGCAAGACGTAAGCTTTCTTCTTGTAGTAGGTATCCGGTTCCACGTGTCTGAAATTATCGAACGTAGACCAGAAGCTTACTACTGTTTGACATATATTGAAACTAATGTTACACACAATGTTCTCTCAAGACAAGCTCACGACGAGCCGCATCACGGTAGTAGTAGGTCTAGAGTATGGTAGATTTATATTAGCCGACAGCCTTCCGCCGTACACGTAATCTTCTTCCTATTGTCGTTAGCGTTATGCGGCGTGGTCCTGGGAGTGACCCCGACCCCTGAAGTATGTCCTAAAAGAAGCATTCTTCTTACCTTAGGCAGGTAGATCCGGTAATTGAACGCTATTTGAGATACGATTTGTGGGGTAGAAAAATGTTGTAGACTTTTAAATATGTAAATGTCCTGCCTTGCGGAGCGAAGCTCGGTTTCTCCTATCTTGTGGTTTATGTACGGCACGTGACTACCCCAGATGTGACAACCTATACATCATCACAGCGTGTATCCCGCATATTGAGACTCAGGGATTACCGACATCGTTTCTAGGATTTAACTGTCTACCTACCTGTTATACTAGTAAGCCATACGCAATACAGTATCAGAGAGGAGTTTAGCATACGCAAACACGATAAGTACCTACTACTTAGGTCAAACCTAGTGGGTAATACCTGTGGTCAAGGGCACTTACATTTCGTTCAAGCGAGATGATAACATCTACATAAATGCTGGATGATTATATCAAGACCAGTCTGAGAATAACGCTTAAGAAGGTATTATGGCCCTGCCCCTGAAAAGCGAAACGGCATGACATTAAATTGATGAACAGGCCTCTAGATAGGGGCTGATGGCCAGGTTTTCACTCGATAACCACTAGTACCAGTTCCAAATCCGGCCACCAACGGTACCTTAAAGTGCTGGTGCGTGAGGATCGAAAATAGTTCGCCGACAAAGTCCGGCAGAAGAAGCTGTTAATAGAATGAGATGTCTTTCACGTTCCATCGTTGGCAAGGCCAAACATACCCAACTAAATAGGGGACGCGGCCCTCCTTGTTTAGGTATCAAATATATACCTACCTAATTAAGTTAATTACCACGCCATCCATTGTTTTTCATTGTACCAGAGGCCTTGGAAACGGCTGATGCCTGTCAACACTAAGTCGTCCCTACACTGGTGTAAACTCATAACTGACAAAGTACTTTAAGTTATATCATTCATAATTGCTTGGCCTACTGCTATTCTACCTCATCTACCTACAGCAACTCAAGATCCGCAACCACAGCCCTATGGTCACTAATAAACACCTCATCAATATCATTATCCAGAATCTCATACTGCACCGCCTCATACCTACTCTCACCCACCGGCCCAAGCCACACAAAATCAATACGACTCTTCTCCTCCGTCGAGAACCCCGTGTACGTCAACTCATTCGTGCCCAGCTTCTTCGCGCCCGACGTCCACAGCTCGGCCAGGAACCCCATGTCCTCTAGCGTGGTATACGCCTCCTCGCCGGGCTCGGAGTTGAAGTCGCCCGTCAGCGTGACGCCCAGCCCCCCGTATTGCTCCAGCACGGCGCGGATGCGCGCGACCACGACTTTTACCCCCTCGGTGCGCGCTCGCGCGCTCACGTTGTCGAGGTGCGTGTTCGCGTGCAGGAACCGCTTCCCGGTAGCAGCATGCTCGAAGACGCCGATGACGACGACGCGGCGGCTGCCGGCGTCCCAGCCGAAGGAGGGCTCGTCGGGCGTCGGGGACAGCCACTTCATCTCGCTGTGCACGAGCCTGAGGACGTCGGGCCGGTAGATGATGGGGTTGTACTCGCCCTTTGTCGCGCCGTCGTCGCGCCCGAAGCCGATGTGCGTCCAGGTGTCCGACCCTAGGCCGTCTAGGATGTCGCTGAGCTGGTTGTCGAGGACCTCTTGTAGTCCCAGCACGGAGACCGCGCCGTCGGATGTGGCGTTGGCTGTCACCCCCGAAAGCTGGTTGATCAGGCCGGTGCGCCGGTCCTCCCACGGCAGTTCGTTCTTGTCGAGGTTTGTCGCCGCGTAGCGGATGTTAAACGTAACGATCCGTATGGGCAGGTTCGCTGCCATTACTACGCCGGCAACGACCAGGAAGTGGGAGAAGAGGGCCGTGAGCTGCATTTTGAGACACCGATGAAGGCAGGTTAGGTAAGTTCCGATGCCACGCAATTCTGTATACTACTACCTGGTACTTATAGAGACTCTCTGATGACCCGGAAACTCACCTGGTAATTTTATAGTCGCCAAGTCGACTATTTATAAACGGCCGATTACCTATACAAATCCAGGTATCATGAGTAAGACACGGGAGGATCAAGCAAATCCCATGAGCCAAATGGCCCGGATTCCGGACTTGCATTTGGGGTACACCACATGACTATCAACTTCCTGTCGAGGATAGTTTTCGAAGCTCGGTTAGCCTACCGCGGGATCTGAAAGAACCCACGTGGGGTGGCATCAGATCTCAAAAATAGCTTGATATGCGGGTCGCAAATTGATTCCATGGGTACCAGATTGGGCGACATTACGATACGATGGTAATCAGGTGGCGCAGAAGCAGTGATGATGGATACTACCCAGGTACATAAGTCCCAGTGACGTACTTTGAGTCCATACTTATGGGGGTGTAAGAATTTAAGACGATCCTTCTGGTGATATGAATTTAATTACAATATATACAATATAAGATGGACGCGTTTCAAGGTTACCTAGTAATGGGGCTGAAAGTAACGTTCTTATGGCCTCTGGGCAAATGCCGTGTTGAATTAATTTATAGATGTTTATTCAGCTCCTAAGGAGCTATATTAATGACTGAGAACCCGAACGTCCCCCGACAAAGACAGGGTAGAATTACCCGTGGGCGAAAACAAGCAGGAAAAAGCTATAAACAATCACATACTAGGTACCTGACGTCAAGATTATAGAAAGTACTCTCAAATTTATAAAGTAGGTAACAGCAGAATGTTAAGATCGTCACAATATAGCAAACTTGGATAGGAGGTAAATAACTAGTGACGCGCGCAGTTGAATACTTACGGGAGACCGGAAGTTTAGGTCTGGCCTAAAGGGAAGGGAAGGAAGGGCATGAGAGATATCGAGTAAAATGGCAAACAACCATTTCCGACCCACGAGAACGGTCAAGACTCCCAAATTATGCAACAAGTGCTTTTCCCAAGGCAATATGTGCGTACCTATATAAGCTTTTATGTATATACAAGCTAACCCCGTCGCGACATCTACCTATATACACTCGTCCTCCAGTCGTCGCCATCTATCCCCTATCCCACCATCCTCCTACTCATCGCTTATCCACTGCTCCGCTGGCATCCACTCTTCGCGACGATCTCCGCGGGGCACGTAACCTGCTTGAAGGAGACGCCCGGGTTGTCGGCGCCGCCGAACCAGTCGAAGCGCCAGTAGCAGCCCTCCTTGAGGGCAGCGGGGAAGCTGTCGCAGGCGGCGCGCGAGCTGACGCCGCCGTACCGCTCGCCCCAGCCGTTGGAGGGCGCGCCGTATTGCTCCGTGCAGGCGTTGAAGATGCCTACGCCGCCGCCGGGGATCTAGTTGTTGGGTGGAGTTATTAGTGGTATTTTTTTTCATTTTTTTTTTTTTTTTTTTTGGTGGAGAAGGGAAAGAGGGAGAACGGGATGATGTGTCTTCTCGTGAGAAATGACAGGAAATGAAAAGCGAATAAATCCCCAAGACGTGAGATGGAGAAGTAGGATAAGCCATCAACATACCGCAAGATCAAAATGATTCTGCCCCAAATCGCCCCCCGTATTACTCGCCTGCACAATCATCTTCTTGCCGCTGACCGGTCCACTCGTGAACGTGAGCTCGTAGCACGCGCAGCACCAAGTCGTCTCGGTCTGGCCGCTGATGCGGACGGCGGCCCAGCCGTAGGCCATGGTGTCGTTGACGGCCCAGGGGCTCTGGTTGGAGCACATGAAGGCGCCGCCGCCGCTGTCGCAGCCGCTCTTGGTCGCGCCGTTGTCGTTCAGCGGCTTGTCGTCCTTGCTGCACGTGCCCACCAGCTTGCCGCTGTCCGTCTTCGCCGACCACCCGCAGCTCGGCTTGCAGCAGTCCCAGTACCGCGTCGTCTCCCCCGAGCCCGAGGCTTGGGCCGATACCCCGGACAGCTGGAGCAGGGCCGCGAGGGCTAGGCCGGTTTTTTTGAGCTGCATCTTGTCTTTTGTTGCTCCTTTTTCTCTCTACGTGTGATGGGTTTAAGTATAGTTCGTGGCTGCTCTAAGGAGAAAAGAAGATAGAGAATTAGAACAGGAAACAATAAAGCACGCCATCAGGAAACCACGAGGCTTTTAAACCAGATAAAAGGAAGCCATGATTCATTCGTGCCGAGCCATAATTCCATAAACCATTGACCGCATCTCCCCTCCCCCCTCAATATAACCCACCGGGAAGTGCTAATCTCTTTCCACTATCATGAACCTGGACTACCATGGCGAGCCGCCGTAGTGGGATCTTGCATGGCACTAAAATAAGGAGATATATGGGGGATCAGCGCGGGTAGGGCTTTGTTGATGGAACGGAACCTGGGTGAGTGGAGTAAGGGAGCTGGCAAAATAGGAAGAGCTATCTGGAAAAAGACCCCGTGTCCAATAGCCGACGGGAATCTGGTTCCGTGAGGTCATGCACATATGTAGCTAGGGACGACACCCCGACAATGCTACCGTACCTGGGAGATCCAATTTGCCCCCCCCCCCCCCCACATATTGTCATGCGGAGAAGAAGCAGGTTACCTATGTAGGTAGGTATCCATCAAGATTTCAGGTATTAGGTATGTAGGCCAGGCACATAGCCAGGAACCAAGTACTGGGTAGGTCTAGATCTTGTGTGGTCGCTACATGTATTTTAAATGCAAATCACTACAATAATACAGACATTCTTGAGACCGTCTTAGGTATTCATGTAGAAAAGTAACTAATAGGAAGCATAAAGCCTGCAAGACTGCAAGCTCACCTACGTCGTAGGTAACTTTTGGGAGTATCTTCAACGTAACACACACCGAAACACTCCTAAACCAACCTTCCCGCATTCAAAGACCCCTAGCTGACACCAACAGCCTCATGCAAAGACGTATCTCATATTTATAGGCAATTTTCTTTAGAATCCCCATCCACTACCCCCCCTATCATCCCGACGACGACCGCCCTCATCAAGAGCGTCGCCGACACGGTTGATAACCTGATCCAGGAAGCCGCCTGATCCTGACTCTTCATCACGGCGTTCATCGCGTCGATCATCGCGCTCATAATCAGAGCGTTCCTCGCGGCTGTAATCAGAGCGCTCCTCGCGGCCGTAATCGGAGGATTCCTCACGACGACTGTAGCTTTCTTCGCGACTATCGCCGCCATAAGAGCGCTCCTCACGACGGCCGCCATACTCGTCACCGCCGCCATCACGTTCCTGGCGTCCACCACCATAGTTATCCTCATCTCTGCGTTGGTTCCAGCCGCTGGATTCTTGGTAGCTCTCTTCATTGCTTTCATACCGACGCTCTGTACGTTCTTCGTAGCCGCCGCCGTAGCTCGGGCGCGAGTCGGTACGTTCTTCATAGCCGCGGCCATGACCACGGTCGTCTTGTTCGTAACGACTATATTCTCTGCTCTCTCCTCCGCCGGAGTATTGGGTTTCCGAGTATTCGGCCTGGCCATATCGGCTTCCAGAACGTCCGTACTCCTCGCGGCTCTCAGTGCGCGATCCATCATCATCCTCGCGCCGACTACTGAACGATTCTGTCTCATTGTTTTTGAATGCCCCTCCGAGAAGAGAGCTACCGATAGCTCCGAGGAATCCTCCTCCAGAGCTGCTAGACTGCTGCCCTCCAGAGGTGGGTAAGTTGATTTGTCCACCAGATTGAGCCTTGACGAATTCAGAGATGCCTCCTGTGACACCTTCGACGATGGCACCGCTAGCGGCACCCGCAATACGATCTTCCATGGTCCCACCCTCTGCGAAGTTCTTGTGCATGCCGAGAGGTTTTCCGCATCCGTGTCCACAGTCTTCAACGCCCTCTTTGTGGTTCTCGCCATTCTCAACACCATTACGGGAAAGCTTCTGACGATAGTCATCTTTTGCGCTATCGTCCATCTCGTTCCACCATTCCTCAACGGAACGGAACATGATTTTGCGGCCATCGCGGGCGCCATCCTCTCCCATGTCGCGCTGAGCCGGATGGTGTAGAACACCGTTGATGATACGGTTCATCAGGCGGTCCACGTCGGCGCCCTCATCGTCCCAGGCATCCATGATTTGAGGAACAACCCAGTTGACAACCTTGCTGGCGGTCTTGCCGGCAATTTCGTTAAGGATCTGCGATTGGTTAGCCATGAAAATGCGCAAACTAGGCAAAAGTCACTTACGTTAGAAAAGTGATCCTTTGACAGCATAGAGTGCGTTGGGTCGCTGCAATCGTCGTCGTCGAACACCACATGTTGCTCATTCTTGCTGCTTTCAATGATCTCCGACGATCCAGTGCGTAGCTCATTTTTTACTTGTTGAATGAGGGGAACGACGAAAGGTGCCATGATGGAGAAAACCCACATCGACATCTGTTCCTCAAGTTGTTCTACGATCTTAGGTAAGATAGGGATCTTCTCGATAGCCTCGCTAATGCCCTTCATAAGCTCGTCATGGAATTCAATGGCGGGCATAATCTGAGCAAAGACTTGCTGAATGTATTGGGTAAACTCTTCCGGATCCCTCGGAGAAATGGACGTGTTGGCCATTTGCGCATCGTTGGCATTGCTCTGAATAGTTTCCAGCTTCTGCTTCTTGTTATCGCCACCGAAGATGCCATCCGGGATCTTGTCGATAAGTCCCTCGAGGATGCTAGTATCGTTCTTCCTCGCATTTTCCTGAAGAGTGCCCTCAAGCTCCTGGATCTCGTTCTGCGTCAATTTGTCCGAAACTGTTTAAGTGTTAACGCTATTTCATGCAGGCCATGGATGAATGACATCACGAACCTTCTCCTGTGACTGAGTGAAGGAAGTCGACACCTCCAAAGGTACCGGTGATGCAAGGGTAGACACGATGGCGAGCACCAGAGATCTGGATCTGGGTGTTTCTGCCCACATGGGGGAAAATATCACGTTCACCTAGTTCAATGAGAGCTAATTCGGTATAATTGCTGTGAGCTAGGAAATCTATTCGGGATAAGAGTTAGCATGATGAGGTTTGTAAGCTTGAGAAAGAGTTGAACCTCGGAGGTCGGGGCATTACCTTCTAGACAGTGTAGACCGGTACCGAGCAGACGCAAAGCTTCGTAGAGATCACTCTTCCTGTTATTACGTTTGTAGTTTCGGCCGAGCTCGACGCAGCGGGTGAAGAGCTTCCTAACGTGAAGGGCCGAAGTCATGATATTAGCCCGTTCATTAGCAATGTAGTTCTTCATGCCTGTCTCCGGGTCGATAGCAAGCTCGACTCCCTCATCAACGGGGCCGCGTAGTCTTCGTTCATACTGGCGGGCATCCTCGTTGTCGGCATAGTTCTTGGGGTTGTCAATGTGGTCTTCAGGTCGATAGCAGCCGAGGCGGTCTGCGGTAACCTCAAACTCCTGAGAGCCAAAGCCAAAAGTTAAGAAGCCGAGAACGCAAAGGAGTAGCCGGATAGCTTCAGCCGAGACTGCCTTAACAGTTCCAACATCAATGGCTTGGGAATAATCTCGAAGCCAGTTGCCAAAGTAGACACGAGAAACCATAAGCTTGTTGAACTTTTTGCCTCCGACAGCGCGAGCCATTACAAGGGTAAGAAGAGTGTCTTCGATGTCGCCATGACGCCCTAAATAGATTATCGTATTAGAGATATTCGGAGTTTCGGGATTTATTTTACCCAAATATCTTGAGGGGAACACTTACAATTCTGTCCTTCAACTTTAGAGATACCTATCACGATGAAGTCAGTTTATTAGTTCGTATATAAAGTATTAGGGATGGTAAAGCATACCTGCGATGTTACCAGCACCGAAAGCGAGAGCTGGTCGCGCGAACGCAAAGAGGAAAACCAATCCCAACAGGACAGGGAAAGGCCTAAGGGTAATCATGATGAATCTCCCTTATTGAGGTTTATTGATGTAAGGGTGGTGATATTGTTATTGAGATTAATGATGGTGAGGATAGTTGTGAGGGAGTTGACCTCAGACTAGGTAGATAAGGAAACTCAATTAGATTTTATTTCTTTCGTCCTGGATTCCTGGGATATAATGAAACAACGATAATAATCAGCTTAGGTTGGGGTGATGGCAAGGAGGAGAAAGGAGGGGGAGGGGTAGCAAGCAGTCTAGCAGAAGCTTCAGCTGCAAATGCTGCTACATAGCCTAGGTATCCGGTATCCCAGATACCCTACCCTAGATACCTACCTAGTTAATAGATAGATACCTTATTAGTTGTAGTTACGTGATCCTGGCGCTGGTGTAACGAATCATCCAATATGGAGGGGTCGTTGGAGGGGTTTGGGTTATCTGAGTGGCTCGTGTTTCGACTTGGTCGGCTTGTGAAGCTTTTACACCCGTATGCCAAGCCCAAGATACAGGTTTTAAGTGGATTGGATTTGATCATATTTGAAACCATTTAATGCCGGCGCCAAAGGAGGGTCGATTCTACGAGTACTCTACACTTCGTCTTACTAGCAAAGTCGTACAGAAATTGTAGTACTAGGTACGAGCAGTAGGCATAGTGATCCACAATATGCCCTATTCATAACAGCAGGGTTTAATTAACATTGAATGGTACCGATGTTCTTATGTGCGTAGTTGTATGCGAATAGAGCTTGACTTTCTACAACACCTTGGTAGATTATATGTAGGACATCATGTCACTGGTGTAACGTCAATGATATCAATAACAACAACAACAACAACAACAACAACAGTCATATAAGATTTATGATTGATAACCATAGAAAGCAAATATGTATTTAACAGATCAGAACAACTCGATATGCCTCTGATTTGCTGTGTGTTAAAAGACTAAATCTCAGCCAGCGTAACTATCCAATTGCTTCAGCTCAGGATGACTGGCAGTGATGATTGACAGCTGGCCCGTGCTACATCCGGCACCTCCTTGCCGCGTTGGAAGCCCACCGGTGAGTGGGCCCCGGATTCTACCCTGTATGGACCAGAAGAATTAATGAATGATAAATCTCGATAGCAACTTTTGAACTTGAAATCACTGGGCAGCTAGTGTGACCTAGACAATTGCGGGACCTATACGAATGTTACCTAGTAGTTAGTTAGTAGGCAGCTAGGTAATTTATGTGTCTGCGAAAAAAGAGAAAATAGTTCCATGTTTTCGTAATCGTGATACGTGTTGAACCTGATCACAATGATTTTTCTTTCCCGTATGAGAGGGTCTACTCGTCTGATATGGGCTTCTAGAAGTGTTGCTGTTGCTGCAAGCTTCCGCCTCCCCTTATGGATGACAAGTAATAAATAGGTTCCGAAATCTACCTGGGTAGGTAGATACCTGGCAAGTTGACGCGATTCTGTCAAATAGCTCTATGCTATTTTTACTTACTAATATTATGTTGAACCCTCGCAGTGATTGTTGCTTGCCTCTAATAGGTACCTAGTTTTAATTATGGCGTAAGCAGTGAGCACTCGATAAAAAAAAGAGAAAACATGAGAAGGTAGCCTGCGTGCATCGAGTGTGTGTGTCAGTTGACGAGGGTGGCATGAGCTGAAGTGAGGGGTAACACTAGTTGTTCCAAATGTCAACAACATTCGTTTAAACTGCTAGGCTGGGTAGGTACTTTGTACTGTTTGTGTACCCCAGTAGGTTAGGTATCTCAGACTGAGATTCTCAGTCATAGTTAGGTTGGATAGAGGGGATTTTGAGAGAAGATCTTATAATCACGACGATACGTAAGTGTACTATGTAGTCACTTAGCTACTGCATGCACTTAGTAATTCCTGAAATAACATGTTGAATGAACTTCCGGAATGCTGGCCGTTTAATGGCGCTGGAGAAGTGATGTCTGAAAAACAAGACTTATTAGGCAAGGATATCTTCGACACCTATATAGACTTAGGTATCAAGGCGAGGCTGACCTACTGTACTTGGAACCAAGGCGGCCTCGAATGCATGGGCTTAACAATAGTGCTGTGATGGGTATACATCAGTAACATTGCTGAGGACTTGACAGTAACAAGGACCTAGCGAAGCCGGGGCACTGAGGCAAATGCAAAAGGCAGTGAAGAGTTCCCAGAGCGTGAAGTATAGCAACAAATACTAGCCAAAGCGATGCCTTGATCAAATTTAGATATGCTTCAAGTCTTTACATAGATGATTTACAGGTACGAGCGGCTCATGGAGGCAAAGAAACAAGATATGTAGCTTAAAGTTAAGTATGTGAGTTGAATTTGTATGTGTTTAGATGAATCTAACGTCATGGCAGCAATACTTTGTAGTTACCAACTGACCTCAAATACTCCTAAGCTTTATAGGAAATGGAGGGGTTACAGCTTAGTATGTATGGCATCAGGAGACTTGACGTAAGGGAACTCCTACGATATGGCGCAAGTATGAATATAACGATTGCTGGGGGCAGGGCTTTGACAGAAGCAGACACTCTAGGGCTGTTGGATGGATGGTTCGGGGTTATGGCAACAGGCGCGTGAGTTGAGATAATTACCTTACTGATCTCTACCTAGGTAGACACCAAAGGCAGGCAGGTAGGCATTGGTTTAGTCTCTAAATGGGCTTCTAAGGGACCATAGGCACAATTTAAACAGTAACAGCTTATTGTCCGAGTTACCCAGGTGCAGAACGAGTAAGTGTGCTATTATTTAGTGACGATGTGTAAAATTCAGTGATGAGATTGCTTTGCCGGTGACTTCGGCGAGTTGTTAGATGCGCTACAAAACGAAGGGGTTGCGGGGTAAGGTAAGTAGGTAGAGAGGATGTAGAATGAGATGGGATGGCAGGTGGTGGTAGATGATGAAATGGAACGTAATGGATTCAATGATTATAAGCACTGGAGTCCTCTAAAGTCTAGGTGTTCTTTTAATTTTGATCGTTCTAAAAGGGTCCGGGTGGGCTACAATAAGTTTGAAGTGTGCACATGCGAGGTGTAAAAGATCAAAAGCTTGGTGTGGATAGACTGACAGCTTAGAAAGGACGGAGGAAGGTAGAAGGGAAAGGGTGCTAAAGTGTAGGAGTGTGTAGGAGTGTGCATACCTGGAGCGACAACTGAATTGATGGTTGGGGGGAAGGTGTCGGGGGAGTTGGTTTGACCCTGAAAAATCTGTAGGTGATAAAAAGAGAGAGACCGGCAATTGCCGCTGCTTTAGGCGTCTAAGGACGCGCTGATGTGATTTGGTGGGCTTCAGGTGCACCATTTTCACCGAGCCAATGGATTGGCGGCTTTACACTAGGCGGGTGCAACCATCTAATTGAGAAGTTGGCAGTCACTGACAACACCAAATCACCAGCAGGTGCCCAGTACTTCCAGTCTCCCTCAGTGTACCTACGTACCTAATCCAGTGATGATTTTTTTTTAGAAGTCATTCTCTAAAAAAGTCCAAAACTTCTAAACGGCTTTAGAACATGAGCACGAGCCGTCAACACCATTAAAAAGCGCCGAGCTTATGAGAAATATCTACTTTATCTTTGCATCATGAAAAGGGAATATGCGGTAAGGTTTATATGCTATAAATTCGCATTGTATGGCGAGGAGTTGTTAAGAAGTGACTTGAAAAGAATAACAAATTGATGTAAAGTAGAAGTAGTTAACAGAATCGCAAAAATTCTCTAGGTTAGTTTGGTATGGTTCCATCTGTACTTGCTGATTCTGATTATTATGATTATTATTATCTTTTTTTTTTTTTCCTTTTTTTTCGCGCGCTTCCTTCTACGGGTAACGGGGCTTGGTGCCTGGGGGGCCTGGGCTGATTTCGATTCTCCCCTCCCAAAAATTATGTAAATGGGACCTGTCTTCCTCGGTTCACACTACTAGATGCGTTGTAAACTTGATAGGGAGAATCTACATAAAACACTTAAAATTTAAGTGGTTGTAGTGCAAGTTACATGGAATAATTGATATGAGTTTTCTAGTCATACTGAATTATTTTAATTGAATTGCATTGGTAGAATTGAATCAATTAAATGGTTGTATTTTCGAGAAGGTCGAGTACCTAGTACCTATGTACCTAGTAGTACTGTCAGAAGTACTGTCACAAGTACTGTTACAAGTACCTAGTAGGTACCAAAAGGCGTCGCTGCTGCAGGAAAACAGCAGCTAGTCCACCAAAGGTTGCAGACTGCCCAGGTGGACATCAATTGATCTGTGGATTTTGGGACCCCCCCGGAACACCCCTCCCCTCCTTCAGTGATCAGTGATTTGGGAAATCAGCAAGCCTGAGCCTCGCCGTATTTAGAGGGTGCCCCGCCCCTCCCAACTCAGTGCCCTGCCCTAAACTTTCTTTCCCCCAAAAATTTGTTCTTTCTGCCCTTTCCTTCACTGTCCTCCAGTGGTCACTCACACTATCACCCACCACCAATCCGCACCAAATAGGCTGCATTCTTTTTAAGAATCAAAATTGTCCACCTTACTTTACTGCCTATTACCTATTAGTAGTTAGGCAAGACAGCCAATCCGATTAATCCAATCAATTCTTACACGAAGCACTGGAAAAAAAGGAGATACAAGGCCAAAGGCATTTGTTAACCGGTAACAACAAGCACCATTCACCGGTACCAGCAATTATAAGGCCGACCAGCAGTACAGTACCTAGTACTCAGTGCCCCCAATAGCTAATAACAATTGATACCAACAACGATAACCACTAAGGCAATCAAATCATAATGCCTCGCCCTAAAAAGACAGACCCCTCCAAGCAGCCTGCAGCTGTTGCACCCGCGCCAGCCATGATGCCTATGGCCATGCAGCCTATGCCTGGCCAGATTCCCGTTCAGCCTCAGCCTCTTGCTGCAGGTCCTGCAGTCCAACCTCAACGAACAATTGGAATTGAGGAATTTATTCGAGTTCGCGACAGTGTAAGTAACTCAACATTATTAATATACCTTTTTATTCTACCCATCCTGTTTCTCTGTCTCATACCCACTCCTATCGCCTTGCACACATAAGATATACACACTTGCCTACGTGGGTTGTTTGTTATTATGTGATGTGCAGGCAGACAGGCAGTTATAGATAGTGAAAGAGATGGGAACATGGAAATGGATATAGATCGTTATATTCAGCAAACATTCTAGACTTGTATTCCAGCCCTTGATGAGATACTTGATCTGCAGCATATTGTCTATGTAAACTAGCACACATATTATTTTACTTATACCTCTTGCTTTTAACATACTTTTTAGTAGTATTTATGACTAGATATCTCATACTGACAAATATACCAGGTCCATGCTCGGTTCAACACTATCACAGGACTCATGAAGAGTTTCTCAGATGACTTTCTTCGTCAGACCAACCTCTTGATTGGAGAGCCTGCTCCGTTTGACAATGGTGGTGGCCATATGCAGAATCTTATCGCGAATCTCGATGGCATGGCTCAACTGGCAGGATTTGGCGAGCACGTTGAGGAGAAGAAGGAACGCAAGAAGCGTACTCACGATCCCAATGCTCCCAAGCGTCCCCTGACACCATACTTCCTCTACATGCAGACCGCCCGCCCCATCATTGCCAATGACCTTGGGCAAGATGCGCCGAAAGGTGCCGTCCAGGAAGAAGGTCAGCGCCGATGGGCCTCGATGACGCCGGCTGAGAAAAATGTGAGTGAACCTTGGAATACCTGAAGAACAACCCACTGTTCCCTCTTACTAACAATACTAGGCCTGGAATAATGCTTATCAGTTCAACCTCCGCCTTTACAATGCACGAGTCCACTCATACAAGGCCGGCAACCCCGATGCCCGAAATATGACTGATCCCGATGCCCTTTCGTACGCTGATGCGAATGGTATCCCTCAGCCCGTCCTGTCAGGCGAGGATGCTTACGCCCCTAATGATCAAGATGCCATTGCCGAACAACTTCAAATGGCTGTAGCACCAGCGATTGAGGAAACGCCCAAGACCAAGAACACTCGCAAGCGCAAGAGCACTGTTGCCGAAGTCGAGGAGCCTGACGTGAGCGCGGTTAAGAACGCGGCGCCAGCCAGCCCCGACAAGAAGCGCAAGAGAGCCTCTAAAGTGGCTGACACACCAGAGGAGCCCAAGAAGTCCAGCCGCAAGAAGAAGGCTACCTAGGTTGGTTCACTCTATTCATAGACGGCGGCTCCTCGTCTTCGTGTATGAGATTGCACTTGTATTGCGGCTTAACGACTCGAGACGAATCTTTACCACGCAGAATATGCATGGTGAAGCTATAGCCACAGAGGGAACAGGTAGTGGAAGGCGGGCATGTTTCGAGGTGGATAAGGACCGACTCGTTTTGAGCCGGCTTTTAATGACAATGCCAGCATGGGGATGATGAGAGGCTATTGCTGCTACTACTGCTCTTCTAACTACGACGACTGTTGGAAGGGAGGGAAGGACCCTCACCTTCACTATGAAAGAGGGCAAAATATATCCTCTTTTTTTCCGACGTTTGTATTATGAATGATGAGAAATCCTACAGTTGCCCCGCGGCCATAGGGGATTTACCGGGATTACCGGGAAGGGTCTGTTGGCGATACACAATAGGTGTTATTGCCGGATAGGGCGGAAAGGAGTTCTTATTTCCAAAGGGAACTTGACTGAACTGAACTGAGCTGATGGAGGGAAGAGGAAGATGAAGAAAGAAGAAGTACATACCTCTTACACTCTCAAGAACATACAAAGTCGAGGTGCCTTACTTTATTTATGTACGAAGAACAAACAAAAAGTACTTGTCAAGTACTGTGTTTGTACCGGGTCCTCTCATGGTGTCTGGTTCGAGGCTATGTGTATGTACGTCAATCATGTGTATTTATGGCGGCTTTGGTTTTGGTCTGGCTTGAAGGGCAACGCAATTCGTTTTCCGTTTATTTTCTCCACTTGATGGCTTTCCAGTGCTGTTGTTCTTGCTGCATGTTTCGTTTTCTCTTGGAGTTTTTTTTTGGTGCGTGTAATGAATGATACGTTAGTATGAGTGAAAGTAATGATACGCAACTGATGATTGTTTCCTTCTAACCTGCAGACTTTATTATTATTAAGATCCCCTAATAACTATGCCTAACCTACAATGCAATGCAATGTAGTTGCTAGCCCTGGAGGTATGTAAGTATAGCACATACGAATACGGACCCCGAACCTAAAGAGCTCACTGTAAGTAAAAGGTAGGTAGGTACCTAACCTACCTACCTACCTAACCTCGTATAACTAATAGCCAGAAGACACCTTTTTATGGCATTTGCCCACCGCGTAGTTATCCTCCAATGTGGCCAGCCAATCAACTTACACCGTTCTTCAGCTCTCCAGCCACAGCTCGGTATTTACTCGGCGCCCTGACTGACCTGACACCTGGGAGATGCAAGAAAATCAGAGCTATGTATTGTATTGTATTGTATTGTATTGTATTGTATTGTATTGTATTGTACATAACTAGTAAGTTCCAGGGCTGTTACAGTATGCTCATAGCACACCCAAACCAGATACTGCCTGCATGTACAATACCTACCAAACACCTCCTCCTGAGCACAATGCGCTATGGAAGGTATGTAAAGCTACTTATGTGCACCTACTTAGCGAAGTACCTACCTAGTGGTGTTAAAACAATGGTACTTGTACTTCATCTTTCACATAGGTAGGTACCTAGCTAACCTAGGTAGCGCCTATCCCTCATAAGTATTCAGACGAACATATCCGAGACTTTGAACCCTAAGTTATAGGGGCTATACCTGCCTACACTGCTAGATTGGCACCTCCAAGGTTTCCTTTCATATTTTCCCCCTAGGTCAGGTAATTTGCCTTCTGAGCGACATTTGATCCATGCCTACGTAGGTGCATACATATGTAGGTAACAACCAGGTAACACTCCAACATCCATCTCAAATCCCATATACCGTACCCCCCAAGCTATATAGCCTACCACTTCCACTCCCATTTTCTCTCAATCTCCCCCCTAACACCCCCCTAATAAACAAACCAGGCCTGCGTAAGCGGCAGCACCTCCGCCGGCGCCGCCGTGCACAGCACGCCATCAGCCTCGACCGTGTACCTCTCGGGGTCAACGCGCATCTTGGGCATCGCATCGTTGAAGCGCATGTCCTTTTTACTAACACCACGACAATTACGCACGGCCTCGATGCGCTTGCGGAGGCCGTAGGTAGCCGTCACGTGTGGGAGACTAGCCTGCGAGACGAAGAGGAGGCTGGACTGGGGGACGAGGGGCGCGAACATGGGGCGCGCGAGGACGGGCTGTACGGTGGGGATGGAGGCGTTGGGGTCGCCCTGGGAGAGTTAGTATAGGTTGGGCTAAGATTTGGCGGTGGTGGTGTCCGTTATCTGTTGCTTTCGTGGGGAGGAAGGGGAGAGCAGAAAGTACAAGGAAACTCACCATCTGCGCATACGCAATCAACCCGCTCTTCACAACCAGCGCGGGCTTCGCGCCGAACCACGCCGGGTCCCAAAGTACGAGATCCGCCAGCTTACCGACCTCGATGCTCCCCACAATGTGGCCCATGCCCTGTGCCAGGGCCGGGTTGATCGTGTACTTGCTGACGTAGCGCTTGACTCTGTAATTATCGGCGCCCGTGCCCTCATCCTCCGACAGGAAACCTCGCTGGACCTTGTTCTTGTGCGCTGTGTTCCAGGTGCGTAGGATGACCTCGCCACAGCGGCCCATGGCCTGCGAGTCTGAACTCATCATCGATATGGCTCCGAGGTCGTGCAACACGTCTTCAGCGGCGATGGTCTCGGCGCGGATCCGTGACTCGGCGAACGCGACGTCCTCTGGGATGTTTCGGGATAGATGGTGGCACACCATGAGCATGTCTAGATGTTCGTCGAGGGTGTTTTTTGTGTAGGGCCTTGTAGGGTTCGTTGAAGACGGCAGCACATTCTCGTTCTCGACCACTCTAATGATATCTGGAGCGTGTCCACCTCCGGCACCTTCTGTATGGTATGTGTGGATGGTGCGGCCCTTGAAGGCGGCGATTGTTGTTTCTACATACCCTGACTCGTTAAGAGTATCCGTGTGAATTAGGCATTGCACATCTAGTTCATCGCACACGCTTAGACAAGAGTCTATGGCCGCGGGAGTTGTGCCCCAGTCTTCGTGAAGCTTTAAACCACAGGCGCCTGCTTGAACCTGTTCCCTGAGTGCTCGAGGGTCGCTGTCATTACCTTTTCCTGTGATGCCTATGTTGACGGGTAGCGTGTCGCACGCTTGCAGCATTTGCCGCATATAGTTGGCTCCAGGGGTGCAAGTGGTAGCATTGGTGCCAGCGCTGATAAAGGTTTAGGTACATTAGTAAATAACGTAACAAGCGGGTTGGAATATGAGCGACGACACTCATCAAAGAAAAAAAAGGGGGGGGAGAGAGAATTCTTTACCTGGGCCCAGTTCCACCACCCAACATCGTCGTAATGCCTGAAGCAATAGACTCATAAGCCTGCTGGGGGCAAATAAGATGGATATGCGTATCCAAGCCACCGGCCGTGACGATCTTCCCCTCTCCCGCAATGACGTCCGTACAGCTCCCCACAATCATACCCTCCGTGACACCATGCATAACATCCGGGTTACCCGCTTTCCCAATCGCCGTAATTATGCCGTCCTTGACCCCGATATCCGCCTTGTAGATCCCGGTGTGATCCACGATCAACGCATTCGTCACAACCATGTCCAGACAATCGGCGTCCGGACATCCCGTCATCTGTCCCATTCCCTCGCGCAGCGTCTTGCCGCCTCCGAATTTGCACTCGTCGCCGTACGTCGCCAAGTCCTTTTCCACCTTAACCCACAGGTCCGTCGCACCGAGACGCACCAAATCCCCCGTCGTTGGGCCAAACATTGTGCGATAAGCAGCGCGGTCAATAGAGCATGCATCGATGAACGCCATGTCGCCCGCAGGCTGCGGCGCATGCGCAAACCCTGCCTCGCGCAACGCGCTCACGATAGCGTCGACGCGGGAGAGGTCAACGGGGCCGGAGGCGAGGGAATTGCCGCCGCGGATAACACGGTTACCGCCAATGGCAACGAGGGAGACGGTCTTGGTGTCGCCGGGCTCGAAGCGCACGGAGGTGCCGGCGGGGATGTCGAGGCGAAAGCCGTACGCAGCGGTACGGTCGAACTCGAGGCGGGCGTTCGTCTCGATAAAGTGGTAGTGGCTGCCCACCTGGATCGGGCGGTCGCCCTTGCTCGTCACCTGGAGCCGGATGCGCTGGCGGTCCGCGTTTAGCGTGATCCGCCCCTTAACCGCAACGACGGCGCCGGGCTGTGCGGTGGGAGCGTAGGCGCTGGCGTCGGCGAGCGGGAAGTCATCCTGACTGGGTATCGGAAGGAAGCTGCCGTACAGGGCCTTGGCTAGGTCACCGTCGTCGGTGGCGATGGGATCATGTACAGTGACAAGGTAGGTGCCACAGGGGAAGGTGCCCTCGACCTGGATCTCATGAAGGGTACTGACAACGGATGGTAAGACATGTCTACGGCCTAACATGGTGGAGCCGATGGCCATGAGATCGGCGACGCTGTGCTGGCCATCGCGGATGAGTTCCTGGAGGTTATTTGCGATGAGAGCCTGCGACAGAGTTTAGCTTTCGCCCAGCTGATGGTGAGCCAGAATATCATCTTCATATATCCATCCCCAAATAGAAAATCATATTCCATTGAATTCAAAGAGAAACCTACAGTGGCCTCGGTGTGGTTAAGCTTGACACCTCTAGCCAATCTCCTCTGGGCTAAGAGGCCCAGTTGCGAGATGACGAGCTTATCGAGCTAGAATAATATTTTATTAGCATCTTTATGTCAAGAAACATAGACTAACATGTACCTCTTTAGGGATTAGATGCATTATTATTGTAGTAGGGCCTATTTATAACGTGGCTCTCATAGGTTTTTTTCTAAAGTGACATTCTTCTATTTGAGCTTCAGTTTATAGAAAGTAAATACTTCCAGGTTCAATGTTCATGTTACATACTATGCTAATATCCAGTGAGATCATTCCACCTTCCCTTCCTCCTTCCCGCTTGTATGTAATACACCTACATAATCCAATCCATTTCTTTCCCAGCCCTAACCTGGAAACCCACGGCACCTTATCTACGTGGGGCCTATCCGACTGTATGTATGTGTGTAGCTCGGGGCTTCCCATCCACTGCATTGGGTATTGGATTAAATCTCTAAATACATGTATACCCCGCAACTTGGACTAAGACCCCTGTGCAGTTGGAGATAAAAGGGCGATCGGGGAAGCTGCCTACATGTGATGTAGCCCAATGATACACGGCCTATCAACTGCTTACAGGTACCTAGGTATCTTTAGTATGTAGCTGAGAAGAGGGGGACCGAAGCATTCATATCAATACCTACATGTACTACCTAGTAGGTAGTGGTACTACTAGACGTTATGTGCGGCATATGTATCCTGCAATGTCACAATAAAGTACATTATGTAGAGAAGTAATGCCTTCAATCTTTCAATGTTGGAATTGAATCGTTCAATATTTACGTACCATCCTAGCTACCTACCATAGTATGCAAGTAGACGAGGACTTGATGTGTGACACAGCCGATTTGCAGCAGTAGCTCACACCAACAGTCCATAGTAATTCGATCACAATCGTTTTGAATCAATTCCCATGCATACCTACACGATCCGCCAACTCCATCCAGACCAATAAGCTCCTAACTATACTGGTCAAGGTAAGTTCTGGAGGGCATGGCACAGCATCACATTCGTCTCAAAACAACCCATAAAACCCTCAAGCCTAACGCCCCATTTTGGTATCGCGAAACATGAACCAGCCAACCCTTTCTCGTGATGCATTCGTTGCTTTAGGAGCTCTTATTCCTCTTCTACTTCCTCGTCCCACACTAGACGTTCTTTCTTCATGAGATCCGACATCATCTCAGGCTTGAAGATCGTGCTGCCGGGGTTTGTGGAACGGGGTACCTTGCCGAGGTTAGGGTCGTCGAATACTGTTCCTATGCTTTCGATCCACCTTCGTCGACGTTCCATCAACGTCTTCGTCACATCGCCGATGCCCGGTCGGGCCATTCCTGCCGCCGCGCTTCCCGCTGCGTGGCTTCCTCCACCCGCGCCGCCCGGTCGCTTCGCCTTCTTGCTCTTGCCCATCGTACGCGTCCGCTTGAGATACGCTCCCTGGACTTGGGTATCGAGGTCTTCCAGAATGGTCTGGTATTCTTGATGGGCCATTCTTTCCTTGACCAGGTCCGTAAGTCGGGCCTTGCGCGCTCCGTTGATGAGCATCTGCTCGCGCAGTCGGTCTTGCAAGAGGCGCAAACGGGCGGCAACTTCGTCATCAAAGTGTCCATCGTAATCGCCGTCGAAACTATCCTGAGGGAGGAAGCCAATGTGGCGTAGTTCTTGCTTGATACGTTCGTCCACTTGTAAGTAGTCCAATTTGGGATGTGTAGCTTTCTTCCACGCCTCGGTCGATGATTCCGTCATGAAGGCGGCTGGCGGAATACTCTTGCTTTCTTCACCTGTCGCGCCGGGGCCAGAATCGCCATTCGCCTCCTCCTTAATCTCCGCATCTCCGTTGATTCCATTCGTCATCGGCTTATCTTCGCTGAGCTGGGCTCGTGCCTCAGGGCGCATAGCTTCCAGTAGTCGCGATAGGACAGGCCCGACTGACAACTTATCCGTTTCTGCGACGTCGTCCTCCATATTATCAATATTGCCTCGTGCCTGGTTAGGTGCGAGCTTGTCTCTTCCCGGTAGAGTTGAGTCAATAGCCATAGCTCCATCTTCCTCTGCCCAAATCTCTGTGTAATGTTTCTTGCCTCGTTTGGGCATGACAAAGGGCGTGACTCGGTCGCCACGTTCACGCAAAAAGGCGAGATCTTCCTCGGCGAATTGACGGAAGTATGGCTCAATGTAGGTAGAGAAAGTGCTAAAGCTGATCTGGTTCGAAGGTTTCGCACTACTGAAATCCTTATCCGGCGGATCACCAGCAATCATGTCGGCGAGATCTGACTTGGGAAAGACGGCAACGGAATACAACTCCTGTAGTTCCTCCTCAGTCATCGTCGGCTTGACTGGGCGGATTTCGTAGACAGTGGGGTCTGGGAAAGTGGACGGGTCTTCACCGAAAGTCTGGTGTTGAGGTGCTTCTCGGCGGGGAGGGGCGCCTTCATCCTCGGACTCCTCCTCGACGACTTTATTGTCGCCTTTCGATTTTTCGTCTACTTCCATTACGCTAGGGGTTGCGACTGCGACTGGGGAAAGCGAAGAGCTGACTGAATCGTGTTCTCGGGACGGTTTTCGGGACTTGCTAGGGTCGCGTAGAGGGGAGGAGCGTTCTGAATGGAAAAGATTAGTCCAAATCCGCCATCAGAGCTATTAGATAGATGAGAGAAGAAATAGAATAGCAACAGTCATCTTTCAAACTAAGATTGTGGGTTTGATAAAATAAATAAATAGAAAAAACCACTAGGGCGCCATAGACGCGTTTATTAGGATAAATAAGGAATTCAAATCCTAATCCACCACTGTGCGAAGGTTCTCTGCGCAACAGTAGACCGACGTCAAACTCCACGGAACGAATTATGAGTGCGGCGTAATTTAGACCAAAGTAAAAAAATAGGGAGAGGTATAATAGAAGTACTGGTATTTGCTTACCAGTAAGCGCATCCGCAGGAGCAAGATTGTCGTTCGCCTTTCGCTTCTTCTTGTTCGTTCTCTTCTCTGAATCTTCGTCCCCCTCTTTGCGGATGTCGTCTTTTCTACTAGGCGGGGGCGCTTCGTCGTAATGGCTCTTTCTCTGAGCAGCTACAAGACGCATTCCCTTGTCACACCAAGTACCTCGTCGTTCTATTATCTCATTCAACTTTCCGAGTCGTATGATGAGGCCATCGAGGCTTTTAGAATCAGGAATTACAACGTTGGAAGCACTGAGGTCAATCAAGTCGTCAAATGATATATTGCGAACTGAATCTAATCGAAGGTCGAGGAACTCGGTCTCGATAACATCGACAGGTGGAATACTAGCGGTAGATGATGGAATATTAGACATGGGCGTCGTGTTGCGACTGCGCTTCCCCATCACACCGGCATTCTTCTTGCCAGTGCCCTTCTGGCTAGGCACTGGAGGCATGCTTGTGATATTTCAGTAAGTTTGATGCGTTTGATATTCAATTGTAGAATAGCAAATCAATGAAGAAATAAAAAGCCGTTGGGATGCGTAAAGGAAGTTGACGAAATGTTGCGGTTTATGATGAATGATAGTAAATTAGGTAAATCAACGTTGAATGTTGTCGTCGGAGAAAGTAAGGTAATAATCGAGGTACCGGCCTAATAACTAATAATACGTACATTGGCTTCTTGGCTTCGCATCCCTGCAGTATATGTACCTAGTACTGCTGGTAACCTTGGGTACCTAGGTACATATGTAGGTAGTTACTAGGTACCTAGTACCTAGTGATGTGTGCAGATGTGGGGTTAAGTTTTAACTATTTGGACAGGATGCATGACGTTGAAGTTGAACATTAACCTTCAAGGACGGGCTTAGCTTATCATGGATAGGTACATTCATGGATAGATATTCTTATACCAAGTACGAAGTATATCCACCTGAGGTTCTCCTCTTACATAGTGCATCTTTCACCTCAACTTCCATCTTTCCATCTTCCCATCTTCCCATCTTTCACTTAATATTGACATTCTCATTTGAAACAATGCAACAAGAGCTCAATCACATAGTACCTAGTATACCTAGGGTACTAGGTACTATTAGGTAGGTACCTAGGTAATGTGCCATAACGAATACGGAGCACACCTACTCAATATGGCTTTTCTCTTTTCTATATACACGCCACCATCCATTGTTGCGAAGCTTTACATTCATACATCAGTATCGACTGCACAGCCTCAGTGCCTAGCACCCCGAGATTGCCTCAGAGCATACCTCCAGAAATATATTGCCTAACCCAAGGTTATCCACTCAAGCATCAAACTATTCAAATGGCCCGACGATTATATTCTCGCTGCTCTCTGTGCCCTACTCATGTATTGACTTCCCTTGATGGCAATTGCCTCCGGAACTGGCAGTCCATTGATAATCTTAATCGAAGTGCGGAGGCCAGTTGTGCCCTATGCAGCATATGCAGGCAATATCTCGCTATTTTCTTGTCTTTCGAAAAGCTTCATCGATTCAGCGGCAAAATCACGCTCTATGGCTACAAGTCTCACTGGGCATTAAATTGCGATGCCTTCCATGGTACCATCAACTTGCCCCTACTTGATTGACTTGATTCATGGTGGCATCATAAAGGTTATCAATTCCCAAGACATGCTTAGAACCGAAATATGTAATAATGAAGATGTCAGGTACTGTACGTTGAGCTATCGTTGGGGAGAGACTTCCCATTCTTGTGTTCTCGCCAAGCCTTTCGATACCACACTTGAGTTCACCCTCGACTCCATACCAGAGACATTTCAAGATGCAGTCAAAGTCACACGAGAGCTTGGGATTCGGTATCTCTGGATAGACGCTCTTTGTATTTTACAGCCAACTTTGGAAGACAGAACAGAGTGGCTAGATGAGGGATCCCGCATGGGAATCATTTACCAGAATGCTGTCTGTCCCATAGCTGCTACCACATCACTCTACGCCGACGAGGGGTTTCTGAAGAAGACTGGGCGAAGTATCTTTCCTGGAGAACCTGTGGTCATCTTCGGGATAGTGCCCCTAAAGCAATATTATATTCCCTTTAGCGTTCCTCGATTATACGATTGTATACACTGCTCTCCCCTCAACGCTCGGGGTTGGGTGGTACAAGAGAGAGCTCTCTCGACTAGAATTATCCACTTTACCGAGCAGGGCATATTTTAGGAGTGTGGCACTCTCAAAGCTCACAACCTTCACGGCGTCCTTCAAAGTCACGACGACTTCCCTTCACGTCGATCTAAGGAAACTCTGCTAAGCGTTACTCGCACGCGATGCCTTCGTCATCTTTGTCCCGTTGAGTGGTTTCACTTTACAAAGACGTACTCATATACCGAATTCACGAACCCTGAAGATAGGCTTCTCGCCATTTCTTCAGTTGCTAGAGCCGTGAAACCATACATAGGCGGACATGATTACATTGCTGGACTATGGACCAACGATATAATCCGTGGCCTGGCTTGGGAATGTTACCCAAAATCGGGACCTTTGCAAAAATTCAATTCCGGTATACCGTCATGGAGTTGGGCCTCGGCAGCAGGAGGCATAGATCTGGCTGTCCTTTCTATTAGGCTTTATAAATTCGATCTCGTCGAGGTGCTTGCAATATCAGCAACACCATTGTTGGAATCAAACCCTTACGGAGACTTGAAACACGGTTCTAACACACTATTTGGGCGACTTTCGTCTCAAATTCTTACTCGAATGGTTCATTGGGATCCTAATGGAGATGTGTCAGTTTATAAGAGTACGTTGAGTGCAGCCCTAGAGATATCATACACATAAGTTCACACTATTCAAAGATATGAACTTAATAAGAGGGGTGGGCTGTGAGCTCCCACAAACCCATTTCTTCTGGTTTCCTTGCCTCATATATACAAGCCAACCGCATTTCTACCAATACTTTTTGCTTAAATATACGAAGTATATAAGTCTACCTACTTTAGCCATGTAGGGTCCCAGCATCAGACACGTTGAATCGTCCAACCTGCCATGGATATGCTCCCCAAGTCCTACCGCCAATATATGCCCCTACCGGTTACAAAAGCATCTCATCCCTTCCTCTATGCTCTATGATAGGCGGAGAAGAGTAGGCTAGAACAAGGTAGGTAGGTATCTAATTGAACATTTTCCAACCAACGAACCGACAGACAAACGCCGACCTAGGTAATAAAACAACACTTGAGGGGAGATCTATATATAACACAATGTTAGATAAAACGGCTCGTCATATATCCTTGGTGCTCTGCTCTGCTCTCCAAGCCTTCCGCCCATTTTTGTACAAGTCTGTCTGCATCATCATGAAACCATGCGTATCGTATAGTTCCTATGCCTGCTCCGCCTTCTTTTTCTCTTCCTTGTCGTGTTCTTCTACTTCCGGTTCCGAGGTCGTGGTCTCGTCTGCTTCTGCTTTCGGCTCTTCCTCGCCCTTTTGCTCCGCCACCCCTTCTTCCCTTTCCTCATTCTCACTCTCAGCCTTCTTCTCATTCCCATCTTGCTCTGCCGCTACCTCCGTCGTAACTTCACTCTCTTGCTCTGCTGTCACCTCGACCGTGTTGTCACTCTCTTGTTCTTCCACCTCGGTCGTGCTCTCACTCTCTTGCTCCGTCGCGGCTTGTTCCTTTTCCTCGTTCTCATTCGCGGTTTGATCTGCCGCCACCTCCTCCGCCGTAACTTCACTCTCCTGGTCTGCCGCCACCTCCGTCGTGCTTTCCTCCTTTCCTTCCTTTACCTCTCCCTCCTTCTGGCTACTACTTGCCTCATCTCCGCCCTCGGCAGTCTTCGCCACTTCGCCTTCTTTTTCGCCGCTCTCCTCACCCTCCGTCGGCTCCCAATTGTAGTCCCTCATAACGTCTTCGTATTTCTTCAACAACGCCTCCAGCTCTTCCCCACTTTCCGCGTTATTCAGCATTTCAATCACTTCCGCCTGCTGCTTCTCACGCTCCTCCTTGGTCATACTCTCATCCACGCTCTCAGTCTCAGTCTCCACGAGCATGTTGTCCACGGGCTTGCTGTATTCCATATCCTCGAGGAGGTTTGTAAACTCTTCGTCTTCCTTTGATACATCTCTTGTTCCATGGATCTTTAGCTCTCTCACCTCATGTCGTTTCTGGCGCCACATCTTCTGTTAAAGGAGAAAGTCCACGTTAGCAAAATATACTTCTCTCTACACGTTAAAGCTAGAGGGAGGTTTTTTTTTTCCCGGGTCGGTGTAAGGATAGGTTAGGAAGATGGATACTGTATATATATCCATCTAACGTGAGGGGACTTACCAAATGCTTATCAACTTGGTCGGTCACCACCGTTTTTAGTTGCTTGTTACTTGATACTGTGCCTTCCTGCACATAAAGCGAAGCATCCAAGTCTTTGTAGAATCTGATCTTTTCCTTTCTTGGCCGCCCCGACAGGGATTTCCAGTTGTGTAGCTTGAACGACGAGCGAGCGTTGATTATTGCTTGCCTGACGTATTCTTGGAACTCGTCTTTGATGCCTTTTACTCTTTCCCCTTTTGTTTTCTTCTCAAGTATAGCATTCGTTATTCTTTCCTCTTCGTCAGCTTCTTCCCGTTCTACCTGTTCCTCCAATTCTCTTTGCCATTCTCTCTCCCATTCTTGTAGTTTATATTCATTTTGTTGTTCCGTCTCGGGCTCCGCCTTGCCCTTGCGGTCTGCCTTACGTTCCGCCCTACGTGTCGTTATTTTCCCACTGCTTTTGGCGCCGCCCGGGATGAACATAGGGACAGTATCGATATTATTATCTGTCGTAGTATTCATGGACGGATCTGAAGCCATGATACTCTTACCACCGTCTGCAGAGAAGCGCTTGCGGATTTGGATATTGATATAGCCATCGTTGAGTGGGCTCACTTGCTTGGTGCCATCGACAGATACGACGTCCATTTGCGCTGTCGGGCAAAAGACTAGCGCGTGTCCTGTACGAAGACTAACGATCTTACGGAAGAGCGAATTTCTCTTACCAGGGTCCTGTGTGTTGGCTCCAGCCAGGTGGCCCTTGAGTACTTCATACCAATTCGGGGAGAGGAAACGGTGAACAAAGGTTGCGTTAGCCAAATCAATGAGCTTGGGCGATAGTGTAGGTTCCTGGGTAGCCACTAATACGCGAGTGCCGGTGTGTCTCTGTTGGCGAATGATCGAAACAAGCTCATTTGTAAGGGTACGTGCTTCTCCGGTTTGCGTAAGAAACTAGCCACGATTAGTTTTTCTATACTTTACCTCTCACGTCTTCATGATGTTCATTCCAACTAATAGGGTCTACTTACCTTGTGAGCTTCGTCCATTGCCACTATATGTCCGCATTTACTCCGATTCTCGAGGAATATTGAAAGACAAATTGAAAACAACGTGCAGGCCTCATCAGAGCTAACGAATGGGTCACTCAGATCGACTATAGTCAGCGAGCCTGGCTCAAACGACCATATGTTTTCTGTAGACTTTGCCGGGCGAGGAGACTTTGTCAACGGTGAGGGCGCGATGAAGCTATCCAGGAGCTGAAGGCGAAGATTCAGAGGCATCTCTTGTCCCTGTAGCCAAGATGTTTTATCAATACGCTTGCGGAAATGAGAGTATGTGAATTCCCCCCCCTCCATTGCGATCTCACGGATGATGTTCATTATAATTTCCATATACAGTGGGGGCTTGTCGGCTGTTGGGTCGACGGCCATGAGCTTTAAGATTCTCGATACATCCAGTTGGTGTTCATCAAGATACAGAGGCATGACCTTTGGCCGTGGGCTACCAGGTGGTAAGCCTGGTAGGTTGCTGTACTTTTCCTTCATGGCCCAGATGTTGGATGGTGAAACAAGGATGTTAACAGGGATGCCCGACGAGCATAGGTAAGCCGCTTCGCATACCTGGGTCGAGGTACGGCTGGAGTAATTGTCGTAGTGCATTACCATTCCAGATAAGGGGTGGGGAAGAGCGCCGGCAGTGTTGCCAGTGGCGAGAGCATTCTCCAATAGACAGCAAAGCGTATGACTTTTCCCTGCTCCTTGGGAACCGCAAATAAAGGCGGACCAAGGCATGTTGACATTGCCTATAACGAGGTCATCGTCACTTAGAGCCTCGCCAGAATCCTGGCGTGCACCGATCAGCCCGTACTGGGGAATTAGGTCCACCGCCTCTTCCCCGAAGGTTGACTGCATAAATTTATCGACGGCTCCAGTGAACATAGGGGTATTTTTGAAATTTTGAGCCACCTGTTGGCGATACCGTTCAGGGTTTTCTGGGGCATAGTGACTTGGTTCTTCCATAAAAGATTTCAGATGGGAAAACCTGGATGGTTTGGCGTCTATAGTCTCATCAGGAGACGTAGAATCCTTCTTGGCTTCATCGACCTTTGAGGATGAAGTTACAAAGCTCCATATATGTCTGGTGAGCAGCCTTTGGTGATAAATTGCCCGTGATCTATTGGCAATCCTCAAATTTGAGGACCACATTCGGGGTAACATTTTGGATAAGGAATTGCTGTAATATCGGGACTGGCGTTGCAAAGGGGACCAACTCTTATCGACCCAGCCAAGTAGACGCTACCTCCTAATAACTGATGGTTACGAGTGTGAGTACGTTTTTGAAGCCATTGAAAGAGTTAAAAATGATTTTTCAAGAGGGGTGATATGGATGGCTAGTAGGTAATACTACCTCCGGAGTATACCACGTTGGACGAATCCGAATAAATAAATTAGTGAAATAATGAAATTGAATATGAGGGTGAAGTGTATAAAAAGTTGAATTTTTCATATCATCGAATTCTTTTTTTTTTGCTGTGGAGACTGTAACTACCATGCTGTGGCTTGCAAATTGACAGGGGTTAAAAATAAGGTTGCGGCCGTGCAAGTGGAGATATGCATGCGTAGTCTACCTATATAATGCATATATACACATATCCAGTGTATTACATATGTACTATATTCCTGGATACATGGCAAACTGTAAGCTGTAAACTGTAAACTGTACATCTTAGTGACAACTCTTTTTTCCCTATTTACCAAGTTGCTTTACATTCTGTGCTCATAGCTAGTCCTTAATGAGGCATTATGTCAAGATGTCTGGCACTTGTAAGTAAAAGCTACTGTGTAAATGCTCATATATAGGGATCGGATCACATCTATGCAGATTTGCTCTACCTTATCAGGCACTCACTCTCCCTTATAAACGAGATGAGTTTCCTTTCTCCGCGATAGATTTTACAGGAACTACTACAGCTGTGGGCATCTTCGCCAGATTCTTATCTCACGGCGTTGATCAGATAAGTACAAATCAGAAGCATGGCCGAAAAGTAATATCGTTGACTATAACTCTATTATTCCGAAGTTGGAGTGATTAAGGAAGTGATTAAGATGTTGTTTTCACTCAAGAAGAGAGATATATTACATAGGTATGTATAGGCGTATATGGAAGTATCTTTATGGTGGAGTGATTCCCCCTTAATACACAAAAGAACGACTTGCTTGCTTACTACCTGGTAGGTACAGACACAGTTATCTTACAGAGGAATCGAGTACGTACCAAACAGTCCGTAAATATTTCACGTGACTACGCGGGCGTAATTCACCCCTATTTATTTTGAAGTCGCGTATCATATATCGAGTCGCGTCCTAGCCTGTCACTCTATGGTTTCTAAATCTCTAATGTCTAATCCCTTCTTCGTGATAAGTCAACATACTTTTTGGTTATATCATATTACCTGGAGGTCGTAATCAGGGGTAGCAGAGTCATCAGCACCAATACTCACACTTTACATTCTCCCCTTAGAGTTTGCCCATCTCATCATGGCCAAATCCCGCTTTCAGTGGGAGAAGTCACTGGATGGTTTCTGGAGCAGGGACATTGACGAATGCGAGTTGTTCTATCGATCCTGTTCCAGGAAAGATAACAATTGTTACCCCGTTACTGCTTGTGCATCCTTCATCATCAACGCTGAGACGTCCAAAAGCAATGAAAATGATAGCCAAATAGAACAGCACGTTGAAGACGCCTTTCACAAGGCCTGGATGAATCTCAACTACAATCACCCAAGTTTACGTTCCCTAGTTCAACATGTCGAGGATAGCGGCCAACCAAAGAGGGTGTATTCAACCTTCCAGGACAAGAACGACGAGAAACGTTGGTTGAACGAGACCTTCCATGTCGTCAATGTTGATGTTGACCTAACACAATGGTTCAACATGAACTCACCAACCTTCGAGATATCCACCGTTTTTCTTGTCAGGTCCAGGCAAGGAGACACGTCTGACTGTAGCGTCTTCCTACGATGTCCGCATGATATAACTGACGGCATTGGCGTTTTACAGCTACTTGACCAACTTTTCACCGAAGCTGCTCTTTCTTACACACAAGGATCCAAGTATACCTTGCCAGAATGGGGCAATGAGCACTTGAACCTTTCCCCTTGTCTACGGGTTGCCGCCGCCATTCCAGAGACCTTCTCCGAGTCCGATATCAGCCGTTTCGAGGATATCCAGGCTCAAAACAGGACCGCATACAACCATCCTAGTTTTCTTAGTCTCCCCCCAAGCTCTAAAACTGCCACTCTAACACATGGCACGAGGCAGCGCCTCCCGCTTCTAATACCCAGGGAGGTGACTGCGCAGATCCTCCAGAACAGCAAGGCCATCGCCCCCGGCGTCAACGTGACCCACGTTTTCATGTCCGCGCTAGCCATCGCTCTTGCTGAGTTACAGCCGCGCCAGGAGGAGCCCTACCCCGTCCGCTACGCCAACCACAGCATGATGAACCTGCGGCCGTACTGCCGCGACCCCTACCCCGGCCCCGCGCACGCCGCTGCCGCGTACCACACCATATCCGCGCAAGCGCTCAGCATCGACTTGATTGTGTCTGGCACGGATAACGTAGACCAGGGCGAGGCAAACCAGCTACCGCAGATCGCAACTAGCGTGCGGGGCTTCTACCACACCGCCCGCCCGACCTCCTCCTCCTCCTCCGACCAGGTCGTCCACTCCCCGCTAACCTTCCAGGCCTTCACGCCGCCGTCCGGCACGGACCCCCATCTCGTTTCGGAACCCTCCTGTTGCCCGGTCGCGCTCTCCTCGATCGGCAACGTGTCGTCGATAGTGGACGCCCACCACGGCCCATTCCAGCTCACGAGGGTCTGGGCCGCGAGCGAGCCGATCGGGGCGGGCGTCGCGGTGTTCCTGGGCACTTGGGATGGGCGGATTGAGCTCTCGGGTGTGTTTGATACGCGGTATCATGATGGCGGGTACATCGAAGGTTTCTTGGAGCGGATCGTGAAGTGTGTTTGTCGAGGCTTGGGTATTGGTGAGCTTCCCGCTCGAGAGTGAGTTACCTATATGATCTTTTGGATGTTGAGGGAATAGGGGGTGGAAATGGGAATATGAGTAATTTCGATGACTAAAATATGAATAGGAGTTAACCTAGTTGAATGTGTGGATAGTATGATTGGGCTTCAAAAAGGGGGAGGCTTTTTATGTCCATAATCAGCTTTGGGACACTGGACCCCTGTCTTTAATCCAGGAGACCTGGAATCTAACTACCGGTTAGGCAGGTATATTTTTTAGAGGGTAAATTGATCTAAATAGCTGGTTGTTATGTTTATAGTATGTCTAACGATAAGAAGTAGGATGGGCTTAGAAATATTCGTATTTGACAACTTACTTGGTAGATAGTTGATAAACTTTAGAAGTATTTCTTTTCGTAGTGACTATTCTCAGTAAGTAGGCTCTTCAGACCAGAAATACTAATGATGAGTTCTTCTAACGTAGCTAGAGACGGTACAAGGCATCACCTAGGTACTTACCTACCTAGTAGGTAGGTAGGTAGGTAGGCAATTTTTACGCATCCTTAGAGCAAGCGGGCCCAAGATTGTAAGCATTCACATGTCACAGTTGTTACTAAATAAGTCAAGTTTTCAATTTTCTATATGCGCCTGTAGGTACTCCCCAAACTCCAACTACTGTCCCTCCATCAAAATCTCAATTTCTAAAAGTCCCCTGTAGCCCCTTAACTCCAGCTCCCATATGAGTACCTAAAACCTCGACCACCCGTCCACCCGAGCTCAAGGAAAGCCTACCTATCCACCTAGGTACCTAGGTTAGGCACTTCCGAGCAAACCCTCACCGTCCATCTAACCGAAGACCTCCTTGTTTTTGGGGTCACAGGTGTGCTCTTCGCCCTTGGCAGCGAGCCACATGTTGCATTCCTCGCACTGGTAAATGGTGCTTTTTGACTCCTCCTCCTTCTTATCCTCTTCCTCTTTCTTGGAGTCGTCGTCTGTCTTGTAAGGAGGAGGGCTCTGGTCCTCCTCCTTCTTCACCTCCTCGTCTTTCTTGGGCTCGGAGCGTAGAGACATCATGGCTATGCTTTGCCTGTCAAGTTCTAGGACCGAAAGAGCGAAATAAGATAGCTGTTGGAAGCTCTCTGGTAATCTTGGAAGATTTGGTGTTTTTTGTTGCTCTCTCGAGGAGTAGCCGATATAATAAGTAAGGTTTGTTGCGGCGTAGTATCCGCCGTGTATCAAAGTGAAGAAAGTGAAATCCTTTCGGATGTTATCGAGTATATCAGAACCTTGGCAGGTTTGAGAATCTTTCGTTGTTTTGGTTGTATTATGGTTGGCGTAGTGTTGATGCCCAAAACTGGTGGGAAGGGCTTCTTTAAATATTGTCGTAGACTGATGGTTCCACAACATAGCTCGATGAGGTAGCCATTCGGCGAACCGTGAGACATGACCGGTTCTTGTCATGCCATAACTCATCTCTAAATTGGAGATGAGTGTATTCGGTTGGGATGGCACTGGAAATGTACGAACCGATTCAGGGGTAGTCCTCAGGTGGAAAATGCGATTATGACTTATGGCTTTCTCTTATATTGTGAAAGTTGGTCCGAACCCTGGTTGGGGCTCATGGTGATGCTCTAGCTATCCCCGTCATATTTCTAAGTAAGCTCGTGTCTAGTTCACGTCTTTCGAGGGTGAGTACTTGACCACCGTTGGCTCCTCTCATCATTCTGTGCCAAGCCGAGGGGCCTTGGGTCATGTATATTTAACATTAGGCGCTATATGTCGTGAGAACTGGGGGAAATGAAAAGAGTTGGGCTTGTCAGAATACACCTGGACATTAAGAATGTTTGGAAGACAGGTTTAAGCCCCTGACTACTATGTCATGGCGACAGGTAGAAACACCAGGTCTTATGCCTGTATTATGGGGGCATGTGGCCATAAGCGTAGATGAGGATTGAAGACTTAGGTAGAGTTGGATACAACATGTATTATTGAGTAGCAACCGGCCACCCACCAGTCACTTGTCTGTGCATATGGAAAGGGCTTCGGCCCCCTTCGAGTACGTGCCTGTTGTCCCCTTTACACGTCTAGTTCTTAACACTAGCTGGGTTATCTCTGCCTAAAACCACAGGAAACTATGCTCACAAGATCCTCCCCTTATATTCATTCAACCAACACTACCTTAGACTCTTCAGTATCCCTGATTGAGAAGCGTCTTGCTCGCCACTGCGTAAAATCGAGAGCTCCCCGAAAGGACGCTCACTACCTAGTCACCAACGTAGTTGTGTATAATGTGACGGGCTGAGTTATTTTTCCATCCTTAACTATCTTTCTCGCCATCAGAGATACGCCCCCTTATTATGGGATCGCTTGCAGTACTAGTCCACATATTATCGAACACTGTATATATACCTGCCATAAATTCTGCCAAGTTTAGGGCATCATACTTATACCTCCCTCGATGATTCTCGTCTACCTACGTATGATCTCTCCTTTTTATGACCCACAGCACAGACGGCGCAGAGCAGCAGCAGTGTATCAGAACCCATTCCCTAGCGGGCTTTTAAAACAGAAAAAAAGTAAAAAAAAAAAAATGAGAGGAAAAAAAGCCATCATAGTATCATAAACCCGCCGTGAAAACGCCAGAGATGCATACGGCACGGTACCTAATCCACCCCCAACCCCTATCCCCTTTATGTCTTCCATGCTGTACCTAGTACCTGCCTATCTTCACCAACCCCAAATCCCCATATCACCTCCCCTCCCCATCCGCACCACCACCCGGCCGTCTCGCCGTCATCCCACCCACCCTCTCCGCCCTCTCCAACTTCTCCAGCTCCTTCTTGATCTCCTCTGGGTCGCGCTGCGGGATACCCCACCACTCCCTGTGGAACGCCTCCTGCTCGATCTTCCTCCTCTCCTTCGCCTCTCTTTCCTTGGCGCGCTGCTGGCGCTGGGCGAACCACTGCTCGCGCGCGCGGTCGTGCTCCTCGGGCGTCGAGTGCGCGAGCATGCAGCTGTTCATGCGGTGCGAGAGGTCGCGGCAGGCGAAGGGGATCGTGAAGGTGCGCGTGCGGGCGCAGTCTGCGAAGGCTGTTTTATTCTCCCCAATGAACGTTAGTGTTTGCGCTGAGTTGCAGTGGGGAAGGGGAGGGAAGGACAGCGGGCAACGAACCTTTAATCTCATCCGCACACGAGCTCCGCACGCGCGCATTGAACACCTCCCGGACCTGGGCCTCCTGGCTCGCCGACAGTGGTATCGGGTTGCGCGAGGGCACACCTAGTCCACCTCCTTCCGCCCCCCTCTCATTATTGTCTCTCCTGCTATTACTACTACTACTGCTACCGCCGGCCGGGGGTATCGGAGATTGTTGAGCCGCCATCGTGGCCATGGGTTTTAGATTTTCACCCACTTATTACAAGTCGGCGAAATAAGGGACAATGTGTTGTTGATTTCTTTTACTGCTTTCTTGGTTACTATAATATCTCCATGTGATGTAATATTATGAGCGTGGGGTTCGTTCGCATGTATGATCGTTGGAAAGTTCATTAGTTGGTTGTTGGTGGGATGGGACGTTTGAGATCACCGCACCGTCCATCGGCGAAGCTCCCGAAGCTTTGACATCCCCACTATAATCCCCATAATCGCAATTGACTATTTTTGCCAAACTTCACCGCCTACTTAATTGATTTACCGGGGGAATTCTAATACTGTATAATCTTGAACTAGACTACAACTATGCAGGTATTCCATATAAAACCCCCTTTTAGTCTAGATAATAGGTAAATTGTTATCGAGATAGAATGTCGCTCCTATTCATATTGAATAGGTACTACACTGCCTAATACCTGCTTACGCTTTCGCTACTTATGTGCTACTATATGTACGCGTTATATGTAGTTGCTTTCGCTCAAGCTTCACTTACTTTTCCTCAAACGTAGCCGTGCTAGCTGTTGACTCTTCCCTCTCCAGGTCTAAGCTTTCCTTTTCTTTTCCGACCTTCTTCTTTATCGCGAACCTAGAGCCCCAGCTGACCGACTTGTCCTTGGCACTTCTAGCTGCGCTCGTGGGGCCTAAAGACGGACTACTGTGTAGGCTTTCATAACTACGGCCCAGTGCGAGGCCACCGCCACCACCGTTGCTGTCCTCTGCGTACTCGTCGAAACTGCTACGTTCAACAGACGCGTTCTTGTCAGAGTTCGTAACGCTGCCTGGTCCTTTCTTCCCCCCGAGACCCCGAACAGAAGTAAAGCTGAACTTGGAAGAGCTCCCCTTGCGTAGTAGTTTGCGGAGACCGCTCTCCTGTTCCTTGCTTCCAATACCTGGCGTTGCCTGGTCTGACGGTGTATTGGAGACGGACTGATCTAGAGCAAGCGATTCGCGCGACTCGGTGAGCGACGGTGTGCCGATGGAATATATGTCCCGAGACTTGCGATGCTCCAACGGCGACTCTTCCGTAGAAGGAGCTGCCGTCTCCGAAACGGATGAAAGAGAAACTCGCGGTTTCTTCTCTTTATCTTTGCCTTTGTTTCTACTTTTATCTCTGATATCCCTCTGCTCTCTGTCCGCCTCCTTCTCGAGTTTGGTACGAAACAGTCCTGCCATGAAACTAGGGGCAGCAGGATTGAGGCGTTGACTGAGCGTCTTGGATGAAGGCTTGGTCCCAATAACACCAACCTGACTAGGCGATGCGTGTAGCAACTCGGAGTCGTCTAGAATTTCGTCATCGGCGTCAGCCAGTGTAGTCTTCAATGCCGAGGGCGAGCCGTGAATGGAAGGTCGCCTAGACGGATTTCGCGATGGCGCCCAAGGGTTTTCATCTGCAGACCAAATTCGGCCAGGCGGCGGCGGTGCTCGAGCCCAGATGGAGCCACTCTCGGTAGAGGGACGGGGTAATTCGGAGGATGCAATAGAAACAGGTCTGGGACTGCTTGGGTCGCGCTCGGAGAAGATGTTGCTACCCATACTGTTGGCGTTTGTAACAAGACCTAGCCTACGTGAAGGTAGACCTCTAGCGTTAGGACTGCCGGCATCTAGGATTTCTGGGCCTGCAGAATTGCGGTTGAACACGTTCCAATTGCTCGAGAAACTGATTCGACGCTTATTTGAACCAAGGTCTCCGTCTTCGGCCTGGCGAGGCAAAGATTGACTTTGACTAGATTTTAGTGACCCTAGAGCTGGAGGTTCATCAACAGCTTTAGGGGCACGATGAAGCCATGGCAAGAAGCTTCGTCTACTGGTACCTTGATTCTGCGGCGCAATTGGGGATGATGCAAGATCTCCTCTAAGCCCCTTGAGTGAACGACGTTCACTATTTTCTCCAGTATATTGCGAGAATGGTAAGTGTTGGGACGAGTTTTGTGGGCTGGAAAAAATACTAATAGATCGAGCCGAAGACGCTGGTGACTGAGGATCGTTTTCAGGAGAAAAGGCGGACCCGAAAGTATTGTGACGAGCTCGTCGAGAGCCAGGACTAGGTGGCTCATCATCTAGAAGATCATCAAGCATTCCGGCAGGTAAAAGAGATGTTGCCGTAGGACTAAGTGGTGCACCGACGCTAGGGTGTCGCATGCCATCGTCCTCAAGCAAGCTGGCAAAATCAGGGTTGTGTTCCATAAAAGGCCCTGGGACGAAGCCAGGAGGAATAGTAGGAGGACGAGGGGGGCCAAATGCTGCTGAAGGGCCATAGGATCGGTCGGCTATTGAGTATGACTGTACCGGCGATGGAATAACCACGTTAGAAAGAGAATTGCTGTTTCTACTCCGTCGCTTGAGCTGGTTTTGCGCCCCGACATCAAAATCGACCCCCGATGAGTTCGCCTGATTGTACATGAAGAGACCCGATTGTTGTGTAGTCGCTAGTTGGGCCTGTAACACAGTTTCGTAGTCGCTCACCATCCGTAGTTTTCTGTTGGCGGAAAAGAGACGTCGCTGCAGGTCCCTAGCCCTGATATCCCAATCTCTCTTGATCTGACGATCCATCTCGCGCCATTCTTCGCTTTCCTCCCCGCCAGGTAGTTTCTTGCGTTGCTCCTCGGCGTCTTTGAGCTCTTTACTCTTCTCCTTGAGTTCCATCTCCTCCTGTGCTAGACTTGCCTGCGCCAGGGCAATCTCACTACGCAGTTCCTCGGCTCGGGCATCGGCACTCTTTTGGCAAGAATTCTTGTCTTTCTCGAAACCATTTTGGCGCTTTAGCATTGACGCCATATCTTTCTCCCACTTTGCCATATCGTCTCGTAGCTTTTGTCGCTCCGCTTGCTTTTCCCTTAATAACTTTTCTTTTTGCGTCTTCCGCTGTTGCGCGCTCCTCATAGCTCTTTCCGTTGAGCCCATTTCCCTCTTCAGCTTTTCTGTAGTGTCGTCCTTTTCCTTCTGTATGCGCCTCTTCGTCTTTTTTTCCTCTGCTAACTCGGCCATCAACTCTTTGTGCTCCTTTTCATCCCTAGAGATTTGCGCCTGCATATCATCTATCTCTCTCCGGATACTCTCGAATTTCTCCCCTAGCTCCTGTAACGATTCCTCCGAGTCTTTGCTTAATGCATCCTTCACTGACTGATCCATACTTGTCGTCGAGGGTGAATGCTTCCGCGTCAGAGTGTTCCGTCTGGGGCCAGTAATGCTAACTTCGCGTGCTGATACCCCGGAGCTCTCGGGGATCGTAGCGGTCTCAACCCCAGCAGCCGAGCTCCTGGACCCTCCATCTTCATCCCCATGGTTACTAGGTAGGGCAAGTTGCTGCTCCTCCGGTACGAAGTTGGATGGCAGGCGGCTATCGCCAAGCTGGGGACGGCCATCTCGGGCATATGTTCGTAGGCGTATGACACGACTACCTGCCTGGAAGTTATTGTATCCGACTGCGATAACTCGAATGTTATAAAAATGATTTGGCTTTAGGCCGGTCACGGTAATAGCTGTCTCCTGGTTCGCCGAATCGCCAACTAAAATAAATAAAAAAAACATCAAGGATTAATATTTTTGCGCGCAGCTGCCACCGGTAGCCCACCATCACTCACCATTAACGCCATTAACTTGTATGGTAAATCTCGCGACAGGTCGGGTTGGTAGGGGGCGTGTCCAGTTTAGGGTAGCGGCATCGGCACGAATACCGGCAAGAGAGACATCGGGAGCATCGGGTACTTCGACGCCAAGAACACCGATAAGTTCATTGACAGACTTCCTCAACGTTTGTACGGCTCGGTGGGCTAACCTATGATGTTGCGATGGCGTCAGAGATATATGGGGAAGAATGAATCGCGACGCGGAAAGGGAACATACCAGACAACAGCAAGGCCGGTGACGAGCATATTGGCATGATATAAAACTAAGGCGTCGAGTCGTAATATTTTAGCAGCATGTACGGAGAATTGGTAGATTTGGTATGGTGTCGCCTGAGCTAATTCGGGAGCTACAGCCCAGTAAAAGAGGACACAGCCGACAACAACGATGAAGTTCAAATGTGTCGTTTTAGGCTCAATAAACCACCAAGCTAGCAAAGCGCACACGAAGAGGATGGTAGGGACAGACGTCGGCCATGGGGTCCATAACATATCGCCGTGGTCGGGAAGCCAAAAAGTATGAACAAAGAAAAAAAGAACAGGGGAATAAAAAAAAAGGGAAGAAATGGCCAGGAAAGGAAGAGGGGGAGGGGAGGGAAAGGAAGGGAAGGATTAAGAGAGGGAACGGGAAAACTGGCAACGTTTGTTTAAAATAAAATAAAAAAAAGATACATATTGAGCATAGAAAAAAACATAGTGTACATAACGAAAAGATTGTAAAATGTTTCCTCTCCTCACGCAGAGCTACCAGGGTTCCCTACCTTAGTAGCCAAAGGTAAGCCTTTCATTGAATTGCCTCCTCTAAATTTGTGGGGACCTCCAGGTCATTTTGTCATTTTTGTCCAGCTCTGCAGCCTCTGCTTAGGTGAATGTTGTGAATATTGGGGAAACCGTTTTTAGACATAACTTTAGTATTCATTAGCGTTAAAAAATTGAATTTAGCACCTGTAACTGGGTATACCCAAGGCACCTAACCCAGCTCATCATTGAATATTTCAGGGTAGTTTTGGTGATACGGATGCACGTGCATATCCTGTTACCTGTCTCTCAGCTAGTGAAAACGGGCGGTAGCGCGCTAGGTCTTTTTGCTTAGGTAAATCAAAACGGTATCGGAGAAAACGGAGTCTACGAGATATTCAAAAAGTTAGATTTTCAACCCCTTTTCCTAATTCTCAGTCGAAGCTATTCGCAATTCACGCCTACACATCTAGCTAGAGACTACAGCTTCCTCATAGCTTACGGTTATACACGGTTTATATTCTGCACAATATACTAAGAATAGGAGAACCTCGGTAGGTAAAGCCAGTCAAAGTCCAATACATATAGGTATTCCGACGAGACTCATTCCGATAACTAAGTCCAAAGCACCAATCAAGAGTCACCTAGTGATATCACAGAACAACTATGTAGGTAGGAGATTGCCAGTGTAAATGTGTCATAGCAAAATCCACTTAACGTAACTCCTAAGTTGCTTGTATGTATGCGTTGCAGTGGTCTTTGTACTCAGAAGGAGGAATTCGTGTATCCAATACCCCCTTGTCTTCAAAATGGTTTACCAGTAAAATTTCCCCCCTTCTCACCTTCTCACTTTCATTTTCATTCTCTTCCTCTGCCACTGCCTCTTCGTCCTCTTCCGCTACCAACATTTCTGTATGATATGCCATGGCCTGTTCACTTCTTTGTTAATTATGCCCTATCTTGTTGACACCTTCACTCCAAAAGCTCCTTTCTAATCAAGGGCTCGGATCTAAAGTATCCTCGTTCATGACCATGTCCATCCATTCCTCGTGTAATAGCACCTCCCAGGAGATTTCTTCGAAGTGAGGCAACATCATGACGCGAGCTTGCTCCAGATACAGCCGCTATCCTAGCAGTCCCTGATTGTCCAGGTAATGTTGTAGGTAAGAAGAAAGTAGTTTGAAGGACCATATGAGGTTGAAATTTCGGTCCTCGGTGGACCTTTTTCTTGCAGAGTCCGTAATCTGTTGTGTTTCAAGGTCTGTCTCTACGAACTGTTCACGCTCCGAGAAGTAGTCATCTGCGTTCCTGTCACGCGATTGCAACTGGGGCGGGGCACATCACCGTGTATGAGGATAGAAAATAAAGAAGCTCTGTAATAGGTGAGAGCTACGTGCATAAGGGGAATCGAGAAGGCCTTAGATAGGGCTAGCCTCAGGCTACCGTAACAGCTACTGAATGATCTTTTTGGTCGTCGAGCGGAAGCTGGTAGATATCGCAACCACGTTCATGTCGTAGATCGATCACGGGGTGGCGACAGCTTATTCGCTAGATGTAGCGTCATTAGAAACAGCATGATGCGCACGACGTCTTCCTGAACGTTAAGGCGCCAGTAGAAAATCGGCACGATACTCATAAATGAAGGAGGAGAGTGCTTAACCATTCGATCTAGATTCAGGATACTAGAGGCGAAATAACCAGAATCTTCCCTGTTCTCGGCAGGTTTTCAGCAAAATAGGAGCGAGCATCTCGCCTTCCATATATTCCTCGATCGGAGCCGGGCCTATATGCGCTAGTCTCTCTACTGTAAACCCTTAGTTGCTGTAGATAGGTAGTAGATACACTTGTGCTCTTAGGCAGAGTTGCATTCACGTGCCATGATCTCCCCTTTCATAATTTTGTCATGCCACGGCTGATACACTTGCAGTAGAATCGGGGACTGAATGAGGACTCGTTCGCCCTCACGTGATTAGGTACTGACACCAAGGCGACGGTTGAGGGAGCCTCTGAAAGAGCCATGCCTCTCCAGCATTTTCTATAGATGCCAACAAACGAAACGATATCTTTCTACAATCTCGAGTCTACGAGTAGCTGTTCTCTGTATTCGGTAGCGTCCATCCCAGCGACGAAGTCGGAAGGGGTCGACATATTGTAGGTATTTAGAAAAAGAGAAAAGGAACCCCCATGTAGGAGTACGGGAGTAGAGCACAAATAGAATAAAACTCTTGTTGAGATCAGAATTGTTCTGGTCTGACTTTGGTGGGAAGGTGTTTCTAGGTTATGAACCTAGGTTGAAAATCCGTTCGGGCGAGCCCTTTATGTATAGCTCAGTTACCATTGCAGCCTTATTGTGGTTTCTTGAAGAGCAAACCCTTATTAAATTTCGAATGTGCCCTCCTCTCCCCTATTCTAGGCGCAGCGGACTGCCTTCGGGTATCATTGCCTAGGTATGTTAGAATCATGGGATATAACTTATAGTAGCATACTACTATGCGAGATTGTACATTCTACTTGCCTAGTTGCATAGAAATATGCAATTCACATCATACTCCTGTATCTCTGTAGCTATTTGCTGCAGGAGTTGATGCATCTGCTTAAGTTTCCTCACTGGATGATCAGGAAGTCCTTGCATGTGCGCCTGTCCGAGAAACAATCTCTCGATCGTAAGAAAGACTTAGATTCAAGGTTAAGAGTATCTATATATCACAGACAGATTGCTATCTGAATGTAAACTTAGGCGAGTATAGCTTCCATTGTTGAAGAAATATTGACCCTGAAAGTAGAAGCGTGGTATCTGGTAATCAGGGTCACGTGAGTACCCTGAGCTAACACATGACGAAGTCCTGTCTTGAAACTTGACATCTCGAAAACTATAGCAGCTTAAATTGCTGACAAGAGACCAAAGAGCTACGGAGGTAATTTGAATGGGACCTCTTAAATTGATTTACGCTTGGACTAAGCAGTTGCGGTGTATCTACCCCTTTATTGGTGATTTCTTATGTCGGTACGGTAGTGTGTATCCTAACGGCAACTTTACAAATGCATGAAACGGTCGTGGGAGATAACCATGATACCTAGGGCTGTCTTATTGGAATACAACAGCTTGGTGATAGTTACTTACAGGAAGATTACATAGAGAGTTACAAATAAGATAGGTATACATAAGTACCTTCACAAGCATCTTTTGCTTAACCATAATTACTAGGTGCCTATTTGCCAAAATAGCAACATACTGTAGATGGTGACATGTTATGACTGTAAGACAAGCAACGTGATTGAAACGGGCTTTCTCAGTATGGTACCTAGGTAACTATGGGACTGCTGTTAACTACATACATGTATGTACAATACCTTCGGCTAAGCTCCGGGCAGCCTTTGGTTTAAAGCGGCGCGGCTCAGGGACGTTTATATTGATGTGAGTGCACGCGTAGGGATGCACATGTGCATATATAGACCCAAGGCATTCATTCAGAATATTGGGTTCACAAGATAAATGAAAAACAGACACATCGATACATATATCAGCTTCTTAGAGGTCAGCTTTGGAACGCACAGATGTATTATTGCATCTATATGGATGTACTATGTAGGTAAGCACCTCGGTCGACATGTCACATTACTTATTCGTGCCAGGCGATTGGTGCAGTTGGGTAGATACCTAGGTATGCTAAGTATGCATATGTAGGCAGACTCACATGCAGTCGGCAGCCTCGCCCAATCGAACACACCAGTCCGGCACTGCAAGTTGGCGCTAATAGATGGCATGCAGACGTACCTCCGATCTCAACATAGATAACTCCGCTGTGTCGGCCTGGGTGGTGAAAAAACAAGATCGACCTATTCCGGTTCTTTTTAAGGGTCCACTCTCTAAATCGCTCAATATTCCTTTATCCCGCTGTCTACAACTATACGTAACAATGGCTGGGTATATTGGATTTGTACATATTACAGAGTACGAGGCATCGATACTAATGTGCCCATACACCCACAATCTTTAGATATTCTCCTCATTAATATTCTCCTCATTATTACTTAAAGCATCTGTTCGTTTATCTTTTGTCAAATAGGAGCCGAGCCCGCAGTGGAGAGATCTAAGAATTTGCAGATATTTATTGATGGCCTGATGGTTCGTATTGGTTGAGTGGGAAGACTTTAGGTTAATTACCAACCCTAGGTAAGCTCAGTACCCTTGACTACGAACTAAAGACTAAAAGGGGTAAGAAATCTACATCTGCCATTCATTTCAGCCTTTGGCCTCACCATTTTCCCCCTATTCCCCCTGGATGTTTACGGCTTCCTAGCTTTTGCAATGAAGAAAGTCATATCTACACCGCCCTTCACTTTCGCGACCGACTCGGGAATATGGCTTGTCTCTTTGTAGGGACGGAAGCCAACGGTGTCCGGGTTGCAACCCGCGCCCGAAAAGAGCTGCTTCATGTCGCCGGCCGAAAAGCTGGATTTGCTGATGGTATGACTGGCATCAGAGTTACCCATAATATCATGGCCGTGTGCATGCGAAGATGCGCCTGCTGCATGGCCTGATGCAGAGTCCGCCCAATCAAGCATCACCAGCACCCCGTTACTCCGCAGACGATCAACCATCTTGGAGAGCATGGCTTGCGGATCTCCGCAATGATGCAGGGCCATGGACATGATGATGGCGTCCGCCTCGTAAAAGTCGGGCCCTGCAATGGCATCGTTGTGGCCGGAATCGAGGAAATTGCCGCAGACAGCGTGCATGCGTTCAGGGGAAATGCCAGATTGGCGCCTCAGATCGTTGTACTGGTCGACCATGGCATCTGAGACATCAACGCCACGGATAACGTCAGCGAAGTCGACGAGAGTCCGCGAAACTAAGCCGTTGCCGCAGGCGTAGTCGATTATCTTGACCGGCGTCTCATTGCTGGACGATTTACGAATATCTATCCAGTCGATGCTCGATAGAAGACAGTCACGCAGTTGCTCCGATAGCGCGAGGGCCCATTCCTGGGTGAAGGCACTCTTTGCATTTTTGCTTTTATTTTCAGTGTTAGTTTCTACTGGCTAGAATGGGACAGAGGAGGAGCAGAACTGGGCAAGCGGCAATGCGCCAGGGAAAGCACCTACTTCCAAAAATGGCGGTTGGTATCACCAAAGGAATCTGTTGCCATTTCTCTAATTTCGACGAAGTAGATGGGGTGGGATTAGTGATAGCCGTGATCGTAGAATATTACCTAACGATGAGGGTGTATAGATGCTAGCCATATTCGAGAAAAACTGGTAGGAAAACAGCTAGAAAGATAGGTATGATATATGCGTAGTACGGAGACATTCACGGATACATTCGCGGAGACATTCCTGGAGACATATGATATCAGCAGTATGATGTTGAGCTAGTTATAAGCAATATTCTCTCATGCTTGAAGTCGCCCCGTTTTGGTAGCTGAATCATCCTTATTCTCTTCATACCCCTCCACGGCATCTCTTCTACCTACTTGACGCTATAAAACATGGCAGTTCTGTATTCAGGTTGTGTTAGAGATGGCAGTACATATCACAGTGAAGGATGTCAGTTTATTAACTGGAAGCTTCGGCAAAATTATCCGGACATCTGACTTGAACTTTGGCAGTCCGGTGCTTTGATGTATTAGATACCTAGACTTGGCTGTAACTTCAATGGCGATATTCCGTTGCCACCTCGATACAGGTGGTAAGCTTGTTGTAAAAGTCCAGATGCATTGACAACTGGCACTGAGCTGTGTCCAATATATGCTTGGGCAGCATATGTATGTAACTTGGGTAGGTGTGTAATATATATGTATATGCATGTATGTAGGTTACATATTTCCAAGTTGCATCGATACCGAGGGATTGGAACTTGGCTTACGGCGGTCGACGAATTAATGCTACAAAATAAATCAGCTGCATCGGTCTAGGGAAGCCTAGATGGTTAAATAAAATCTGGTAAATGAAAGACTTGAAATATGAAATAAGTAAATCAGCTGCTGTACTGCATGTGATAGGCTATCCCATGTGGCATTGGGGGTTTTCAATGTTTTGTTCTTTGTAAAGTTCTAAGGTTCCAGGGCTATTTTGAGATGGAAAGCCTTAACGTTTTAGCGTGAGGAGCCTGTACTACGGTACTACTACCTAGGGTAGGCTACTAGCCTAGTACTAGGTATTAAAGTGTAGCGCGTGGTGACTCTGCATGCTTAATAGGACCGTATTGATATCCACTTTCTATTGAAGCATGTGTCATCCATGGTTTTAACCCGCGGCTTGGATTGGGGTGGCTCGGCTTCAACTAAAATTCTCAAACTTTACTATACCTACATAGTACAAGTTAAACCCGCCAAATAAAACTCAACAAGCTCGCTGTACCATGTGCATGCAGCGCTGCACCATAACCACCCATCACATTGTATTACTTAGTACAAAGGTATTAATCATGTTACCACTAAGACCAATGTAAGTAGACTTTGGACTATCAACCAACCCTCGGCAACTTTATCTTTTCTTCTCTTTTTACTTCTTACTACATCCATTCGTTCGTTCATCTATCGAAAAGAAAATGCCACGATAAAAGTTTCAATTGTAAATATCATACACACATGCTTACCCTACTATCCCGTATAGATCTTGTTGATATTCTCGAGACCCATACATGCACTATTAAGTACCCATATACCTAGTCTGTGCATATGTATGTACATAACTAAAGGTACGTAACTACGTCACTATAGAGCAACGGACCCAAGGAATCGGATCCTCCCAATCCTTTCCTTCATCCAGCTTCGTTCAAACCCCAGCAATAATAATACTCTCCTAAACCTCTATCTAATTAATACCAACATCACCACCAGCCTCTCAACAAACCACGATTCAATACACTGCAGCTTGCATATAAACGCTTTCGTTTAATCAGCTCCTAAATATCTATAACTTTCAAGTTAGAACATTCGCTTGAGCTTACCATCTTGTTTGGTTATTATCCCTTACCCCGGTCCTAGGACCGATCTACCCCCCTTAGCTACGATAGCTGCGAAAGGAGTCGACCATATTCCCCTCCCTCCCATATCCCTCGTCGACAATGCAGTACGTACGAAATATCAGCGATTCGGTATCTACCGCTTGGAACTCGATTAACCCGGCTACCTTGAGCGGCGCCATCGATGTAATTGTGGTCCAACACGAGGATGGCACCTTGTGTTGCTCCCCTTTTCATGTCCGTTTCGGGAAGTTCTCCTTACTACGACCCTACGAAAAGAAGGTCGAATTTAGGGTCAATGGATTCAAGCAGGATTATGCCATGAAGCTAGGCGAAGGGGGCGAGGCCTTCTTCGTTTTCGAGACGAACGATAATATACCCAAGAGCCTCCAGACTTCGCCTCTCAGCTCTCCGGCCTCTAGTCCACCCCTTGGGCCTAACAGAACCTATTCGTCCGGTGAACTCCAAGAGCCCGACTTTTTGCAGTTGGATAGCGATTCTAGGCAACCGCGCTCCATGGCTCTATCACGACCTAAGGCTAATGTCCTTCCATCTCAGACCCCTCGTCCAGGTTCGTTATTATATGCCTTACATGTAACATTTAAAGAACTTCTAATAATGATGAAATAGGCGTGATAGAACCTCTTGCATCCTCTCCTGAGCTAGGTACTAGCAGACTAGATTCAAGAGGGTGGGCCGGTTCTTCTGCTCGAGCCTCATACAGTGAGGAGCTTCTACCGGGCACCACTCAAGTCGATACTGAACTCGACGAGTCGACTGTCGATTCACAAGAATCAGATAGCCAAGACGCTACCCAAAGATCACGAAGCCCCCCTCCGTTGGCTCCTCGGGAAGCGATTCGACGAGCTATGACCTTATCGAAAGAGTTATCAGCCGTAAATATACCTAGCCGAGTGACAGACACGGGTGACCTCATGCTGGATATGACAGGATACAAGGCCAGTGAAGAGGATGCAATCAAAGCCGAAATCCTAGCTCGTAAGATATTATCGGAAGAGCTACAAGGCGACTATGATATCGGCGCTCTGTTTGGGATGGATGAAGAGGGAAACCTTTGGATCTACAGTAGCGAGGATGCGAAAGAAGCAGCCATGAAAAAGACAGTGGCATCTTTAAGACCATCTCCTACAGTCCCAATCGACGCTGTTTCAGACCCTGGGTACCAAAGTGACGATTCGACTACGTCTACACAGGCCCCTTCCCACAGGAGAAGCGAATCCGACGTCGGCCAAGGTGCGATCCACACTCCACCGACAACCCCAGGGTCATCGTCCGCGGGAAATCCTAACAGGAACTACGCCAAGACCCTTCGTCTGACCAGTGACCAGCTGAAGGCGTTGGACTTGAAACCTGGTGAGAACTCGATGAGCTTCACTGTGAACCGGGCGACATGTCACGCGTACATGTACCTCTGGAAGTATGATGTCCCAGTTGTCATTTCTGATATCGATGGCACCATAACCAAATCGGATGCTTTGGGTCATGTATTAAACATGATTGGTCGGGACTGGACTCACGCAGGTGTTGCGAAGCTTTACAGCGATATTGTGGAAAATGGATACAACATTATGTACCTCACGAGCCGCTCTGTTGGCCAGTCTGACACGACGAGGGCTTATCTATATGGCATTGCCCAGGACGGCTACCGTCTGCCTAGGGGTCCGACAATTCTATCACCTGACCGGACAATGGCTGCCCTTAGGCGCGAGATATACCTTCGTAAACCACACGTATTCAAGATGGCAACCCTACGAGACATCCGAAGCTTGTATGGCCCTGAAAATCATTGTTTCTACGCCGGCTTTGGAAACCGTCTCACAGATCAGATCTCGTACCGAACCGTCGACGTCCCCCGACATCGCATATTTACCATCAACTCCAATGCCGAGGTCTCATTGGATTTATTGAGTTTAAACAAGCTAAAACTCAGTTATGTCAACATGGGCGAAGTCGTTAACCACTACTTCCCTCCCGTAAGCACGCTTGTCAAAGGTGGCGGTGTTGAGTACACGGATTTCACATATTGGCGCGACACCCCTCTAGATTTAGATGAGTTTTCAGCTAGCGAGTCATCGGAACATGGAGGGGCGAGTTCGGCGGAAGAAGAAGAAGACGACGAGGATGTTGGTAATATGGGTGACAGTTATATCTCCAGAGGTGATGAATACGAGGAAGATGAGGACGTGGAAGGCGGTGGAAGCGTGTTTAGTGGCGAATACGAGGGCGAGGAGCATATGATTGGATCATTGATTGAGGACCAGTCCGACGACGCCGACGACGAAGAAGGATATCTGGACGAAGACGACCAGGTCGAAGAGGAAGACGAAGATGATAGGCAAGAACCACCGGCCAACCCTGTGCCCAAGACCGAACCAGCAGTCGCGTTTCACGATCTTGATGCTGAAATCATTACGGGTGTGGAAAATCTCGGCGTTGATAAAGAAACGCACGATACAACGAATGCTTAAGACAACTGTAAAAAGCTGTCTGTATGAAACCTCCTGCCACCAGATAATATGCTACAGTAAATCTACTGTATAGCACACCGTCGGTTGTCTAGTCATTCCATTCGGCCATTCAGCCACGGATGGCCCGGGCTCATTTGTCGCCTGGCAACCAGGTCGTTACCGAAGTAACCCGGGTACCTAGGTAGTTCAGCATTACCAAAGGATAAAAAGTTGGTTATTATTATAATTGTTGTAACTCATGCCACTACTAGGAAACTCAGAAATAATAAAAGAACGAAAGAAAGAAAGAAAGAGAAAATCAATAGCTGGCGTATATTGGTCCGCATAGCATCAGGCGTTTCTATAGAACGGAGCAAAGGGCAAATGGATCGGTTGATGGATTGGATTGGATTGGATTGGATTGGATTGGATCGGATCGGATCGGATGGAAGGGAATTCAATTGGACGGCGAAATTCTGTTACTTTTATTCCTTCCATCTTATTGACTATTACCTCTTTATTATCTATCACCTTGATTCTTGGATGGCTGGGAGTTTGTTTTTTTTTTTAATTTTTTGAGGTGGAAAATGTACGATATTTATTGCCTAACACCTACCTACATCTCAACTTATTTAGTACTGAGTTGTTTTGTTCTTGATGTTCTGTTTCGCTTCGTTCCTTCCTATCTTCCTCCCTTCAAAGAAGGGCTTCTTCTTACATGCTTATGAAACTACGTTCGCTTCTGTCGTGTCTGTTGGTGGGCTGTTTTACTGGCTGGAAGGTACATGTGTAGGTAGGTACTACATGTAGGCAGCCGCGGATGTATGTAGATATGTTCATTGATAGCTACGTATACCGCCTTACTTGCCTCAACACTTACATACTCAAGCAAGCACTACACATAGCCTACTGGAATTAGACACGTAGGCATCTATCTAGTTCGACATGTCATAGGCAGAACATTTCACGAGCACATTCAAAAAAAGTCTAAGACTGAGTAGTTAGGTAATCCAGAAGGTAAAGAGACGTCTACCCCAATCTGTGTGAGATGGGGGCTCGCCGTATAGTGTATTGGTGTTTACACCTCGGCTGAGATGGGTATCAAGTGTAAGCTAGGTATGCAGTAAACTGTACACGTAAAAAGTGTTCGTACATATATGTGTGTCTTGTAGACGACTGTATCGAAACCCTTTCATCCATCCGTAAACGCCATAAACGCCTTTCCTTCCCTCTAAAAAAATGGCCTGCCTTCATAGCAGACTCTCATAATCCATCGTCGCCCACGGGTATCGCTGTTGTCCACTGGGGAGCACAAGATTGGAGTTGGTGTGTGTGTATGTACGAGTGTACGAGTTGTTCGCTTATTCCATCTCATCCATGTCTTGATCCACCATATCATCACCGAGAAGTTCGTCTAGGCCCCCTTCTTCGCCTGTTTGACTCGTCTCCGTGATCGTGTGTTTCCGGGGGTTGATTCCGTCATCTTCCATGATGTCGTCATCATTCTCGTCGCTTTCATCTTCATCCATTTCTGCTTCCCAGTGATCTTTCAGATCCCAGCCCATGCCGCTGTGAACAAAACGCTCGTTCGGGAGCCGTACACCCCATTCGTTGGCAAGTACGCGGGGTAGCGCGATCTTGTTTCGCTCGCGGGCAAGGTCTTGGAGCCAATCTTTGCTCGCGCCTCCTGCGCCACCGCCGGCGCCACCGCGGAATTGGAAGGCTTGTCGTGAGGCGATGGCCAGATTGATGGCAGAAGTTGTAACATTGGCATCGGAGGCGGAAGGAGCGCTGGGAGCGGCACCGGAAGAACCGCTGGGCTTTGCGCCGGCGTGGGAGACGTACGGATCTGTAGTAAGATGTATCGCGTCTTGTAAAATGGCAGAAGTGTGTCGATAAGCGAAATCAAGAAGGAGAAGCGGGACTCGGTGGTCAAATGAGTTTACGCCTTGAGATGTAAGGAGGAGTTCGATAATCCGCGAGTCTCGTGGCCGAGAAAGATGGGCGGGGGTAGATGAATTTGGCTGTTGTCCAGCTGCTGATGATCCTGCTTGCGCGGAAGCTCCCACTCCTCCGTTGATAGCGTTGCTGCTGCTCCCCATTCCGGCGGCTGTTGATGAAGATGCGCCAGTAGCCTGACTGTTTTGTACGGTGGCCGAGGTCATTGAGGTATTCGGGGTTGGTTGTGAAGCCGATTGTGATAGGCCTGTCGCCTGAGAAGCGGGGTTGATGCCGTTTGATAGAGATTGAGATGCGGATGCCATGATTTCAATCGGCTGATGAGAGCGAGAGTTGGAACGGATGGATAATGATAGATGGACTCGAGGTGGATTTTATCGAGATCGCAACGTAAGTCGCGAGAATTGGATGCTAGACTTCAGATAGGTTAGAAATTGAGCAGAGGAAGATGCGAAGAAAGGTTGACTCGACGTACGCGATGAGATGAAGCTCGACGCGAGAATTGATACAATTGAGTGATCTAGATTGATGTTGCTTTCTGGTTTGAGTAGACGCGACAGCTAGAGACTCGAAGACAGCGAGTAAAGACGCGAATTTCTTGTGTGAAAAGCGGTTAGCGAAAGATGTGAGGAGAATCTTGCGTGGTCAAGTTTAGATTTTTTACTCTGTCAGAGGAATGAGAAGATTCCAATGTCAGGTGTAGAAGTGTTGAAATGTAGAAACACAATTAGGTCTGGAAGAATGGAAGACAGTAAATGTTCTCGTGAGCAAGTTGGCAGTTGAGAGAGCTTGAGCTGGTTACCAGAATTAAACTTCACGCTAATTGACAGTGCAGCCTGTACAGGTACTGGATAGGTACCTATGAAGATGCATTTAAGCCTCATCAAATAAGTGGATTCGGGAGGCTGGGTGGGGTTTGTAAACTTGAGGCACTCACAGCCTACAGGACAATGGCGCTAGTAGGGATGTATAGGGCTAGCTGTAGTAGATAAAAGTTTCCACATGGAGGGGTAAATTCTCGTAATACCCCTCCATCATTGGCCCAGCACATTTGTCGTCGCCCGGTTCGGAACGTCATTGTGAATAATTTTATTTTGCATTTCTTCCCTTACTTACCTACTTACTTCCCTACTTGTCCAGTCTCCTACTATCCTACTAGCAGATGGATATTCAGTCAATTTAACCCTTCCTACCATACAATACCAGACCATACCGAGCTGAAGTCTATCTGTATATCATCTCAATTACATTTGACGAGTCACAGGTAGTCGAGCTATGGAGACTACACTACCACTGCCCTTTCTCATTTCCGTGCCTATCCCACATGGCTGGGCCTCAAGTGAGGAGGTAACGGGTTTGAGTCGAGAGGAGGTCTCATGTTTGGGTTGTGTGTTCTTCGATGTGACTCAGCAAAATTTCCAGGAACTTCTCATTCAGCTCCAACAACTCAACCCCGCTGCGCTTCATACATTCTTCGATGCTACCGGTCTTGAATCAAAAGACGATGTAATCACTTTGCTGGATCACGGTGCGCGGAAGATCTTCGTACAACCTGAGAGGCTATCTGAGTTCGCCGAGTATGGCCGTCGAGTAGCTCCTGCTGTGAACCAGTTAAATCACTTACCCTCGGACACACAATATGGCCTCTTAATTAAAGACTTCGACCAGAGAGGGTGTGATGTAGCTGGCTTTATGGAGTCTAACAAGGCTACCAAGTTGCCTCCTCTATACATCAAGCCTATTCAAGACACCATCTATGAGCATTTTGTCGATATATGCTCGCAAATATCTGCTATCCCCATCATTCCTTCTACGGAAATGACTGCCAAAAAGGAAGAAGCAGAAAAGAAGCTTTATGTACCAAAGCTGTTCTCTGCTGCGTGGAAATCAGATAGACCAGATAAGCTTCTTCCCACGGTTGTATGCGACGAGGGTGGAGTAGCACTTGGATTGGTGTATAGTAGCGAAGAAAGCGTTGCAGAGTCCCTCAAGACGAAGACGGGAGTATATCAAAGTCGAAAACGAGGGCTCTGGTACAAGGGTGCTACATCCGGAGACACGCAAGAGCTGGTAAGAATCTCGATGGATTGTGACAACGATGCATTAAGGTTCGTCGTGAAGCAGAAGGGAAAGTTCTGCCATCTTGATCAGTACGGATGCTTTGGTAATCTCAAGGGAATTCCAAAACTCGAACAGACCTTGATTTCGAGAAAACAGTCAGCTCCTGAAGGTTCATACACGAAACGACTATTCTCAGACGATAAGCTTCTGCGGGCCAAGATAATGGAAGAGGCCGAAGAGCTTTGCAACGCGAAAACTACCGATGAAGTCGCCTTTGAAGCGGCCGATCTGATATACTTCGCTTTGTCCAAGGCTGTGGGTGCTGGGGTTAGTCTTGCGGACATCGAAAAGAATCTTGATGCCAAGAGTTTGAAGGTTAAGAGAAGACCTGGAAACGCTAAGGGCCAGTGGGCCCAAAAAGAAGGCATTACAGATAGTGCGGCAGAGAAAACAAAAGAGGCTTCCAAAGGTGACGCAGCCCCAGATGCCGAGAGGATAACCATGAAGAGAGTAGATGTCAGCCAGACCAGTGCGGCCGAAGTTTCGGAAGCTCTGAGACGACCGTCTCAGAAATCGGCCGATGCTATCATGAATATTGTTACACCTATCATCAACGACATTCGAAAGGACGGAGATAAGGCGTTACTCTCCTATACGCACAAATTTGAGAAGGCAACTTCTTTAACGTCGCCTGTTCTCAAAGCTCCATTCCCCCAATCGCTCATGAACCTTCCCCCGGAGACTATCAAGGCTATCGACGTATCGTTCGAGAATATCCGAAAGTTTCATGCTGCACAAGAGGAGCAGCCCCTGAAAGTGGAGACCATGCCAGGTGTGGTGTGCAGCAGATTCTCCAGACCAATCGAGCGAGTTGGCTTGTATGTGCCAGGTGGTACCGCTGTTTTACCCAGCACTGCTCTCATGTTAGGAGTCCCTGCTATGGTGGCTGGCTGCAAGAAAATCGTCATCGCATCCCCGCCCCGTGCTGATGGCAGCATCACGCCAGAGATCGTATATGTTGCTCATAAAGTTGGGGCGGAGAGCATTGTACTAGCCGGTGGTGCGCAAGCGGTTGCAGCCATGGCATACGGCACAGAGAGCGTTAGCAAAGTAGACAAAATTCTTGGGCCCGGGAATCAATTTGTGACTGCGGCCAAGATGTTTGTCAGTAATGATACCAACGCTGGTGTGAGCATCGATATGCCGGCCGGCCCATCCGAAGTGCTGGTGGTGGCAGACAAGGATGCAAACCCAGCTTTTGTCGCTTCGGATCTTTTATCACAAGCCGAGCATGGTGTAGATAGCCAGGTCATCTGCATTGCGGTTGACCTTGACGAACAGCAGGTGCAAGCAATCGAAGATGAAGTTCACAAGCAGGCCATGGCCCTTCCGCGAGTGGATATTGTCCGGGGTGCTATCAATCACTCGGTTACATTCATCGTCAAGGATGTAGAAGAGGCGATGAGGATCAGCAACGACTATGCTCCTGAGCACCTGATCCTGCAAATAAAAGATGCGGAGAAGGTTGTAGACCAAGTTATGAACGCCGGTAGTGTCTTCATTGGGCAGTGGACACCCGAGAGTGTTGGTGACTACTCGGCTGGTGTAAACCACTCATTACGTGAGTTTTTCTCATTCATTGTATCTTTACTTGATATGCTGACTAATGATGTGATGATATATAGCTACATATGGGTATGCAAAACAATACTCGGGAGTAAATCTGGGCTCGTTCCTCAAGCATATCACAAGCTCGAACTTGACAGCCGAGGGTCTACAAAATGTGGGTGGTGCAGTCATGCAGCTAGCAAAGGTTGAGGAACTTGAAGCGCACAGAAGGGCCGTGAGCATCCGCCTGAGCACTCTTAGAGGAGGTGAGGCTTAAGTCCGCATTGCGTTGCAAGATGTTACACCTTATGGAGAGGGGAATACGATCACAAGGTCGGAGGGGTTGCAATGTAATAGTCACATGAAAATGACGTTGCCGCGGTTAACTGGGCGATAGTCGGGTATGTCACAGGTGACAAGTTGCAAAAGAAAATAGTAAATGACGGTGACGGTGACGTATGGTAGTATTATGTTTCTTAGTTATGTAAGTATGGTGCATAGGTTTGTACATGTGTTAGGTAAAAGGGGGTGGAGGGGATTGTTTTCAATAAATCAGATATACATAAATGGTGCCAGCCAAGATTATTCAGATATCTACTACATCCTATGTACTATGTACTATTTATTCCTATCTACTAGGTAAAGAGATCTAACATATGCATTCATGTAGATTCAGGATCATATAGTTCGTCTTAAAGCTTAGGTAGAGAGATGGCACAGTTAAAATGATAATTTAAGCTTAGATAGCAAGTTGCCTAACTAATAACTAGTAGTATCAACATTGGACGTTTGGATAATAAGCCTAATAAGCCCAATGGTCATTGTTTTGGATTTGATACGGCCTGTCTCAAGCCACTACAGAGCAGCCAAGAAGTGCATCCTTCTATTTCTTCCCGCTGTGTATTTACCTACAACTCGTACTCATATGAACCGCAAACCTATATGGATGAAACATTGACGCGTATGCCAAACTTCATTGCATGGAAGACACTGATATTTTTTGTTTGCTTGTGATTGTCAGCATGTTTGAGTATGCAGTAGGATGGTGTACGAAGGATAAAGATATTTGTACAGACAAAAGATTGATACTTTATCGGCGCCGAATTACGGGCGGGGTGTGGGGCTAAAGTCCGGCGTCCGGGCGTTACCCCAAACTCTATAAAGTCCTCAATCTCCTAATTTAAGGTAATTTGGTACTTGTACAGTTGTATCGATCCCTAACTCTCTCTTGGCCCCCTTGGCAACAAGTAACAAGGACCCTTAGTTATACCACACAATATTCCATCAAATCTTGATATTCCATAATACTACACTACTAGATCGATTAGGATGTAAGTGCTTACGGTAGTGTATCAACAAATACCAAGGGATAGGGATATATATACTAATATCTGCATGTGTTAAGACGGCGTAAGTACGACGACGCCGCCCGACCCCCCAGCCGATTTCAGATCCTACCCTTCCCACCATCTGCCAACCTGATTTGTTGGCGAGTACCGAATTAGAACCTTGCCAAGCATTCCCGCCAAGGGTGGACTATTCCTTGCATGCAGCATTTGACCAGGGACCCCCGTAAAAATCACCAATAACGAACAACGGTCCATCCAGCAATTCAACGTCTGCTCTCTCTTCAACAATAACTAGGGTTACTACCCGTGCCGTACAGTTGCATACAAATCTGGTTGAGAAGAAAATAAAAAAAACCTGGTACACACACGTAAGCAAAGATAAACACAAAACGATCATGGAGATGCCGGGTGACAAGGTTGGTGGCGGCGATAAGAATGAGGTCTTCTACTTCGCTTACGGCTCCAATCTCTCTTCAACCCAGATGCGCGCCCGATGTCCCAGTGCTGAAGCTGTCGGCCTTGCGTTCTTGCCAAGTTGGTCGTGGCTTATAAATGAGAGGGGGTACGCCAATATCGTGCCGCTGTTACCCTCTTCTTCAGCTTCTCGTATTTTTCTTTCTTCGCCACCTTCACCTTCACTTACATCATCAGCTGTTGCTAAAGAGGGGGTAGGTGAAGAAGGCGTATACGGTGTTTTGTACCGTCTACCTTTCCACGACGAGAAAACTCTAGATCGCTATGAAGGCGTGCCGTGGGCATATGAGAAGCTGTATCTTGACGCTGCTTTGATTACGAAGCTAACTGTTGCCGGCGCATCAGACGGAGAACAAAAAACGAACACGGTTCGCATCCTTGCGTATGTTGACAGGAAGAGAATATCACCAGGTACTCCGAACTTGGAGTACGTCGGCCGTATGAATCTCGGCATTAAGGAGGCCACGGAAGAATGGGACCTACCACAGAAATTTGTCGATGAGGTTATAAGGCCCTTTATTCCCGCGTAGCACAGAAATATTTCAAGACGAGAAATTACTCAGCTAGAACGTAGATACCTAGATAGAACAGGATAAGGCATCATAGTTTGACTGACGAGGCAAAATCACTTGCAATAGCATCATAGAGTACCTAACGATAAAATGAGTTATCTGATTCCACCCATCTAAGCATAGGCATCCGAATGGTGCGTTATCTCGCACGAGTGCGCCTATATCTCTCTATGTACAATCCCGTACCTGTGTAGCTTTAAATGACAACCCAATGAAAATCCCGCTAAAAAACCACCCTGTGAACCCGGTCCCATTAAATGCTATTCTCGCCCCTTCTCTCTCTCCCATGACTGATACCTAGTAAATAAAAAAATAAAAACGTTTGTAAATAGGGGGATCCATGCCTCCTATTTTCATAATTTCTTCTTTTTATACAAAGATACAAGAGTTTCTTAAAGGTATAGGGGGTTGTTGGTGTGTAAACAAATACAATAGCCCCGGAATACACCCCTAAAAACATTTCAAAGTTGTTGCAGTGCAGCAAGAGTTAACCATGTAGCCTTTAACCGATTTTTTTCCCAGACGCGATTCCCGATCGTAGTAGTGGAGGTGGGTAGGTATAATAAGTATATGTATGTATACCTAAGTCGTATACGCCGCAAGGCTTAATACTGGTAGTAGAAATCTATAAGTGGGGAAGGGGGTTAGTTCTAGCGGTACTTTTTTTTAAAAATAGCATGGCAGGGCAGGGCCTGCTGGAAGGAAGCAAGGGAGGTAATTCATAAAGAAGGAGCTGTTAACATACCAGGATGGTGGTCGCCAATTTCCTCGATGCTCTTCTGCCTCATCTCGATGGCTTGCTGCGAGTACTGGTTCGCGCGCTTCTTGTTGTTCAGGAAGTTCAGGTACCAGCGCAGGACGAGCGAGCACACGAACATCATGATGACCATCACCAGGGCGATACCGTTGCCCAGGCCATCTGTAGGACAAATTGTGTTAGCATGGTATGATATGGTTCACAAGCCGGGTGCTTGATAGGTTTACTTACAATAGGGAGGGTCTTGGTAGGCCTGCGTTCCGGAAATGGCAAAGATGTGCGAGAACACGTTGACGAGCGCCAGCACGGAGCCTCTGTTTTCCCAAGTAAGTCAGTAAATGTGTACCTAATGAGTTGCCAAAACGGGAGAAAAGAAGTGGATCTCTCTATAAGCAAAGGAGAGGCACGGGGGGCGGGAGAAAAAAGAAACATACCTTCGGGTGTAGCCAACGAAGCACATCGTAGACCAAGTCAACTGCAGCACGCTGTAGGGGAAGATGGAGAAGGCAACGAGGCAGGTGGCGGCGAATCGGACGTTGCGGTTCTGGACCCAGATCAGGATGGCGTAGCCAATGACGCCGAAGACGGTAGAGGCGGCCAGCGTCAGGGCTCGGGCGTTCGTCTTGTCGGCGATTCGGCTGAAGAGGATGATGCCGACGCAGCCGCACACGTAGACGATGGCCGTGAAGAGCTGGGCTTGCACGTCGTCGTATCCGAAGCCCTAATATTTTGTTAGTGTCAACTCAGTAAAAGAATGACAATAAGAGTAACCATGTAGCAAGCCACGTGGGTGGATAGGTAGTCTTGGTACTAAGGTAGGGATACATACATGGATGATGTCGGGCAGAAAGTTCGACAGGGACGACTGGCAGAAGGCGCCGCCGCAGCTGATGAGGATGAAGAGCCAGAAGTGGAGGTCGCACATGGGCTTCGCGATCTGCTTGTAGTCCATCTTGGGCTCGGCGGTGTTGTGGGCGCGCGCGCTGCGCTGCATGATGTGGCGCTTCTCGGCCTCGCTGAAGCCCCAGGTGAGGGTGCTCGGGCTGCTGGGCAGGCAGAACAGGACGACGAAGGAGAAGGCCATCGGCACGATGCCCTCGATCAGGAAGATCCACTTCCACGCCCGCCACCCGTTGGCCCCGTCCAGATTCATCGTGATCGCGTACGCGATCAGCCCGTTGAAGGCCCCTGCGAGCGTCGACATTGACGACACGATGGCGCCGCGCGTCGCGTACTCCGAGTATTGGTACCAGAAGGAGAGATCTAGAGATAGTATGAGCATGGGTGATCCGCCATGATGACGAGGGGTGAATCTCTTCACGAGAAGAGATTCGCCCCCATCCACAAGGTGTGGTGGGGAATTGATGATGATGGGGGTTTGAACATACAGAAGACACCACCCTGGACGAAGGCTTCAGCTCCACCGATGAGGAAGCGTAGACCAAGCAGTCCTCCGGAGTTCTTCACTAGCACGGTGAGAACGGTCAAGATACCCCACTACGAAATAATCCTCGTTAGTCGATCTCTAAGCTAAAAATATGACGATGTTTGTCTGTTTGCTTGTTTGGAGGGGGGGCTTTTTTTTCTCTTTGGGGACATATGACTTACAAACATCATCGCACCAGCGAACTGTCTGTTCGGGGTCAGTTTCTTGATCAGCAGCGTACCCGGTAGCTGGAATATCACGTTGGCGACGAGAAACATGGTCGCCGCATTGGAGTAGTCGGCCGGGGTCAGAGTCAGTTCTTCTGTGAGACCTGCGATTTTGGCATTGCCCAGATCGGATTTGCCCTATATTGTGGTAAGCATTATACGCCGCCGTCGACAAGGGGGGCCAGATCCAAATAGAAATTGCCCTAGAGCGGCGCATCACTAACCATGGTGGCAAAGAAGTAGACACTGGCCATGAGCGGCAGGATAAACAAGTCGAGCTTCCATAGCACCCTCCGGGCGAACTTGGGATCGACATCTTCGGCCTCGTTTGCGTCGGTTTTTCCAAGGTCTTCTTGAGAACCAGGGGTTGGTGTCTGTTCTAACAAGATAGTCGGATCGCGGTACTCATCCGGTTCGACGACCGCGTGATATGAAGTTCTGCTGGTAGCCATATTGCGTAGCGTTCCTTGAAATGTGTAGTGAAAAGGAAATAATCAAGGTTGGTTTTCTGAATTTTAGAAGTTAAGAAATATGAAAAGAAATAAAAATAAAACAAACAACTATAATAATGAATCTAGAATATTTCTAGAACAAAGGTGAACTTGATGATTAGGCTAAGGTAGATATTCAACCTACTACTACCACTACTCTTATATCTTAATTCTTATTTTCTGGAGGAATTAAAGATACTGTTTCATAGCCTCTTTGCCAATTCAAGCACCGCTGTATTCGGCAGGGGTCAATCTTAAGTATGCGGAGGCTTAGTTACGAGTATCCTGGTGCGTAGGTACGTGTGGTATATGCATGCTTGCTTCTCTCGTGGATAAGTACCCAGTTCCCAAGATAGTGGATACAAGGTACGATACATACAGGTGGTGGATGGTGGGTAATATCTCGAAGTGTGAAGGGACTGGGACTTACACAAACATACATACTCTACTTACTTGTTGTACATACATACAAACAAACAATACATAGTACACTGGTGACTGTTCCCAATTCATGTGTGTGTGTGTGTGGCCAGGTCAGGGGTAAATGGGGTAAGGTAGGTATGTAAGAACCCCATTCAACTACAAAAGGTTACATATGTAATACCTATGTAGCATCACGAGAATCCGTCGATAAAGCGTGCATCGGGCTTTACGCCGGCAGTAGGCACTAGATTAGCGTCATGATGCGTTCGATAGATTCGCTAGATTCGATATGGATCTTCAAAATGAAACGAAATCTAATCGGTTTAGACTCAGCCTGTTTCCAAAAATTGTCCTTTGAACCAGGGGAAGGGGGGGGATGGGGTGTGGGAAAGAGAGCACTGCCTAAGAGCGAATTTCGCTTTTGAGTGCCGGCTGGGGAGATCTGCATTGGCCGAGCGAATTTCGCTCTATGCGGTCTACTTGAACCACGTCGGACTCGGTGGACATGTCAAATCACCGCTTGGCTACAAAAACTACTACAAAGAATCCCGTAAGTAGAAGGAGAGGGTGACACACTTACGTACGTCAATCTATTTCCCCATAGGGCCCATAACGTCTTCTTGTCCTCCCTCTTGGCATCAAAAACTGCCGTAAAGAACCAATAGAACCAATAGAACCAATGGAAGGACACGTGAACAGGTTATTATCAACCACGGAGGTTCCCCCACGGTTCCTCAACAGCGCGCTTCTCGTCGGCCACATTCCCCACAAGGCCTTAGCTTCCGATTCTCGCGTGTCCTACTCGCTCTACGTCCCACCCCGGCACTATGGCTTCGACGCAGGGCTCGTCTCGGCGCCCGCCAAGCTTCCTCTCTTAATCAGCGTGCACGGCACCCGACGCTACTTTAACGATATAAAGGATCTAGTGCCATTCGCCGAGTCCACGCCGTGCGCCATCCTCACGCCGCTATTCCCGACCGGGCTCGACAGCCCCATGGACATCGACTCCTACAAGGTGCTCAAATCCAGGACCCTGCGCTCGGATCTCGCGTTGCTGTCCATGCTCGACGAGGTCGCCTACCGCTGGCCCGGGATCGACACGGACAAGGTCTTCCTCATGGGGTTTAGCGGCGGCGGCCAGTTCGTCCACCGTTTCCTGTACCTGTACCCGGAGCGGCTCGCGGCTGCCAGTGTTGGCGCGCCGGGGCGCGTCACTCATCTCGACGGCGAGAAGAATTGGCCGAACGGCATCAAAGACGTCGAGACCGTCTTAGGGAAAGCCGTCGACACGGAATTGATCAAGCAGGTCCCCATCCAGCTCGTCATCGGCGGCGAGGACTACAAGATCCCCGGCGGCGACGAGTTCTGGCAGTGGGTGCGCGAGCTCAAAGCCCAACGCACGGGGAAGGTGGCCGATGGGACAGCGCCGGATGGCCTGCAGCCGCTGGTTGACCAAGGCAGAACCGATACGTTGAGGGAATTGAGGGACTCGTGGAAGGCGCTGGGGATCGAGGCGCAGTTGGACGTTGTTCCTGGTGTTGAGCATGATTCCGGCGGAGTTCGCGAGTGCGTGCTGGCGTTCTTGCTGCCTTTGATACAGAAGCGCCTAAAAGGTTCAACTTCTTGAGTGGAAGAGTGCTAGTTTCCTTTTTTATACCCTTCCTTACAGTTATCATGTTGGCTATTAGGTGGTAGGTTGGTAGGTACCTGAGTAGGTAGATGATTGGAATGTTCTGCTTACCTCTTGTATCATAGCCTTCCGAAGTATCTCTACAGCAATGGAGATGAAGCGGTTTTGCTACCGAGATAAGGACTTGTACAAATACCATTAGGTTAGATACCTACCCATAAAGATTTGCGAAGCTAAGTAGGCGTTGTGGGTTGCATAGTCAAATGATGAAGAATGATACCTCCCTTCATTTGCCATGGAATTCAGATGTTCATGTTTACTAGGTGCCTACTGTACTAATAGTAGGTAGCCTTCCTTTCCGGTCAAATACAGTGCCCACTGATGCCATCTCTTCGTTAGGCCCCGCTATTTACCGAGCACCCTTATTTCTCAGGCAGCAAGTGGGGCATCACAAACCTCACCGGCGATACGATATTCCCCTTGTACCCTAGGTACGTATCTACCTACCTCCCCTCCGAAGTTAAACTTATAAGGCCCCGGAAAGCAACATCTACTACTTCCTGGGTGAGAACTCAGAACGTGGGCTTTCACCCATGTTGGCTCAGTGGTAAGGTGCGAAAACCACCAGGGGCGCTCCTTTAAAGTGCGGGTTCAGAACGAAAACCACTGCGGAATGCCCGAGGGTGCGGGTTCAATCCTGCCACAAACCTTTTGCTTTTTTTTCATTTTCTTTTCTTCATTTTTCTTTCTTCGTTTTTCTTTTCTTCATTTTTGTTTCTTCATTTTCTTTAACCGCACTTCCCTTTCCCTACATTCTGTTGTTTTTTCTTCTTTTCTTTCATTTTTTGTACGTACTTACCTACTAGCTGCCCACCAATGCGTTTAAAGTGAAGCTGTTCGTACTTAAGTCTTCTCTTGTTCAGTTAAGTTTTGGATCTTGTGGCCGCTGAACGACTTCAAAACCGAAGCCTACCTATCCACTACAAGCCTCCGTTGGTTTTCTATGTTCCGTACCGATCTGATGCGTAGCTAATTAGCTAGTCATCGAAGGTCAAAATATTGCTATTCATCATTGATCTTCGAAAGCTATAATTGCTAGTAATAACTTTAAGGGCGTGTCATCGCTGCTTTATCAAAGTGCCGATATTTGTCAAAGAACACAGGGAAATCTGCTATAGCTTCTCCTGGATCGCGCACTTGCAACGTCTAAATGAGACACGAACTGAAATGACAAATCAAAGTTTATATACTGCCTTGCTCCATCAAATAAGACTTACCAAAGGTATCTATCGTTGGAATATTAGAACGGGAGCAGATCTGAATCCCCATACAAGAATCCTTCTATGAGAAAGGGGAAAGGGGTTTTCCAAGACTAATTTCTTTGGTGATATATCTACCTAGCCTAAATAGTTTTCATCTCCTTTGTGAAGGTGCAATCAATTAGGTTTTCGTGTCGTTTGTTCCAAGCTAAAGACCCAACCGTCATTCATTTGTTCCTCATTTGGGATGATATAGTTAACTCTTAGAGCACACTGGGTAGGTAGGTACCATAGTGTATAATTCCCTTCTTTCGTCTAATCTAGATTCATCCGTTGAAACAACGACCCTATTCCCAGCTGAAGCTGCTCATCATAAAGGTCACATATCGATACTTACCGTGTCATTTGCTAAAGGAGTTCTTCTGAATCAAAAGCTACTCCACCCAATTATTGGGTACTTGTTCCCAATCATTGCGGTAAGTATTACACAACAAGGCCACATAGCATACCTCCTCTTCATATACAAGTAAAGTTGACTAGGGGATAGGTAGTATTTGCTATTTTCCCTCCAATTGCAGACAATTTCCCCGAGCATGTTCATGAGTCAGGCTATCCTATGTTTGATCATAACATAGCATCAGTCACTAATCTCTGACGAAGAAATGTGTATGCCATCATCAAACCACGTCCGTCTCGTACTATAGATGATCTACAGCAGATGATGAACTTTGACTATGGGTCGGTCATAGTCCTGCTACAAAATAATATATATATAACAGTAAATCCTGCCCTGCTCGAGATTTCAACTTGCAATTTCCAAAACTTGACATTCCACAACACCTTATAAATTTCCTAAGATACACCGTATCAAATACGATCCCCCAAACCACAACCTTTTATTCTCTTCCCACAGGAGTTTATTCTCTAGAGGCGAAGGCAAAAGACCGTCCTTTGACAGCAATATAAGTAAAACGTCAAGATCATTATGTCTTCCGATAAACGAGTCGAAGATATGGTTGAGAGTGGAAAGACGGAATCAAGTAATGGGTTAAACGAAGAGTTCGTTACTGTAGAAATCAGTAGCGCGGAAGTAACCTGCCAGCGACTTAAAGAATACCTCGAAAAGAAGTATCCCGGCCGGTATGATGTTGAAGTAAGAAAGGCAACATAACTCCGTATGGTGTTGATATACGCGAGGCTAACTACTTCGAAGTTAATAGGCAATACCTTCACAGTTACGATCAAGAAATAGCTGTAGGCACTATACTATGACCGATGACAACCACCACCCTCGAGAACCACGATAGAGTATAGACATTAATAAAGGAGGGGGGGGAGCCGGTGATATATTTGATTTCTCTCGCTTCCGTACTTTAGACGTACTCATATAAACACACTATTACCATCATCTTTGATCCTTCCAAGTGCCTTTTTATTTTTAATGTCCAATAGACATTACAATATAGTTCAAGAATCTGGGCGAGATCCAACATGAGTAGCTTCAACTCCCCGAGTGCTCGCCGTCATGGGGGCGAATCAGAAGTCAAGTGTGTAGAAGTTAGACCTGTAGTTCGTGACAATCATTGCCGATGGTTTATTCGCGTATATATTATTTTGTGTGCCTTATACTTCGTCGCCTAGGGAACTTCTCGGGCCGGCGACTCTAGTTACCTCCGGCTATCTACCGAAACTTCACTCAGGCAAGAACACAGTAAGTAAAACAAACCGTGAAAAGTTTTTTTTTCTTTTCAATGAGCTCTTTCCTACTAGCTACCCTTATACTAAAGCCAAACCTGCTCATCGCGCTTGCAGCCTGAGGAATCTAGGGTTTCTGAGCGCACTATATAAAGTCACTGCCGTCGCCGATTATCCTTCCCTTTCCTTCCTACCTTTCATCATTACTGTCGCAACAAAAGTAAAATAAAACTTTTGCAAGACTCACTGACCACGGTCTACCACCAACATACAGCAGACACCATACAACACTATATAAATACACATTCACAACCCATCCTTTCTTTCTTTCTTTCCTTACACTCCACCACCTTACATCGTCTACCTAGAAACATCTAGGTTCACGATAACACACTCAACCGTAAGACATCCAAATCGACATTAACATAACGAAATGTCTTCCCCTCAAGAGTTTCACAGATTCTCCCAATTGCCAGGCGAGCTGCGAACGGCGATATGGTAAGTCATTTTCTTAGTTTGTGCGGCCCATTGCGTCTTTACTACTGGGGGTACCTACCCATATGGATGGCACTTCTAGTACTAGTCACAGAGCCCTAGATACTATCGAGACAACTCCCACCATCGTGATATATCCCAAGCTAACATACTAATTTAGGGAGATCGCCTCTATCCCCGAGCCTGTCATCTTGAGCTACATGCCTCCAGCCCAGGCCCCAGTCGAAAACGATGATGGGGGCGAGGAAAATGAGAGTAGCAGTGATAGTGACAGCACTGACTCGGAAGCTAGCTCTGACACCGACCCAGACTCCGACCCTGATGAAGAAGATGAGGCACCGGAAATAATCATCGATAACCTTAATGAGGTGACACTGCCGTATCCAGCACTTATGCACACAAACGGAGAATCGCGGTATGTGATGCAAGAGTCGCCGATCGTCAATTTTGACGTTGACAACAATGGTGCATGGTTGCGGCCTCATCGGGTTTTCGATCCATACTCAGATGTCATCATGGTTCAATTCGATGACTTTCTCGGGCACATGGACGATTTCCTCAGACTCAGCCCCAACTTCCGTCCACTGGTAAACCAGCTGCCGCACAACCACGCGGGGGATCTACACACCCCCGAATGCCCGAGGTGCCGGTACATCTGGGACCAGTGGATGCAGACACTCAATGGCGAAATGATGCGAATGTGGCATGAGTATTCCGACGAAAGAAGGAGCTCACGACGGACGGCCAACATTCACGTTCTATTTCAGAGAATGTCTGGAGAGTCCCCTAATGATGCTGCGGTTCTAACATCTATGAGGATGGTGTGTCTACACCCCAATTTACACATCCTTCAAGAGATGAGAACGCCGGCGGCAGTCTTCTTGGGCGGTGAGGACTGCGGGTTCACCTTTGTAATTCCCAATGCGCAATATCGCGTAATCTACGCTTGGGAGTGGCCCGCATAGCCTTTTCGCCGCTGAGGTGACACCCCATTTCAGTGGGGAGGGGGGCTCTTGAATGTCAATGGGATGTCGGATGTCGGATGTCAACGGGGTATTGAGTGTCAACAGGGTGTCGGATATCAACAGGTTATTAAGTGTCATTGGGATATCAATCAACATGAGGTATTGAATGTCTAGGTTATGAGATGTCGAATGTGGCCCTCATGGGCTTCCGAAATTCCTCCGCTTTCGCGCAGCGCTTCATGGACCATAGACTACATCATATGAAAGCCTTCCGCCAGGCATTCATCGATGATGCTTGTATCTTCAGCAAAACTAAAAAAGACCATATCGAGCATCTCCGCCAATTATTCACAACCTGCCAAAAGATTGGATTGGCAATCAACCCCAAGAAATGTTTTCTGGGATATCCGTCAATCAAGCTCTTGGGTTGCACTGTGAATGGAAGCGGCGTCTCAATCCCAGACGAAAGAGTCGAAGCGATTAAGAAAATCAAAATGCCCAACACATTGGGCCATCTATTTACGTACGGGCTTGTCTACTTTCTTGTATCTAGTGGTTGAAATTTGGGATTGGATAACAGACACCTCATCTTCTGGATCGGTTCAAAATTTATTTCCTGAACTCTCTTTGTGATATTCTCATCTTTCGAGATTGCAATGTTGTGAAATTTGTCTGTGAATTCATCTGGCACTTAAGCACAGTGTCGCCCATTTCTTTACAGCTTTGAGAATTCATGATGATGATTATAACAACAACTCATGAACTTCAATGATGTTCATACATACATATATGTGAACATTGAAGGTACCAATGTACACGAGGCAGGTCACGTCTTATTCGATGATGTCGCTATTGGATCGGGTTCCTGCATGACGCGAGTCCATTTTTAATCTTCGGTATGTCCACATTGACGTAAAAGACGCAGGTACCGCATGCCGTACCACATGCCGCAAGTCAGGCACGCAAAGGTACATTTGTGTGGATTTTCTGTTGCGAAATCAGGGGTATCGGTTAGCGAATCTAGCCAAGAGTGGCTAGATGTGGTGCTACCGTATCTCGTTTAGCGTGGCTAACGTGCTGCAAGTAAGGGGAAGTGACCAATTGCTCCAGTTGTACCAGTTGTACCAGTTGCTTATTCCCGTTCTAGGTAGGTAAAGTGCTTAGGGTACCTCTGTACTTGCAATCTTTCAGTGCTGTAAAGTTTACATACCTCGACATCCATGTCCATGTCCATGTCCATGTCCATGTCCATGCCTACACTCGGAACTAGTTAATAATTGTTTTCCTTTTCTCAAGCATTTCTCTCTCCTTCTTACATAGCATTGGCAGGAATAGTTACCAGCTTCATTCTCTCCATCTTGTCTTGTCTAAGCTCTCCTTTCGTTCTTTTTGGTGGTTTATAGAGTAAGTAAATATTTCATCGAAAGATTTTCTCTAAATTTACTTTTTAACTAATCACTCCCTAGTAGGCAGTGAACTCGACTTGATTTTCGGAACACGATAATGCACGCGTCTACCTCGGTTGCTACGGCAGCAACAGTGCTGTTCTCTTTGGCTTCTGCCGCGCCCAATCTTCGTCCTAGGCAGACAGACTCTGCTCTTGCGCCATGGGTCACTGTCAATGAAGATGGAAACCCAAGCACTGTCACGCCTGTTCTGAGCACCATCAGCGGAACTCCTACCGTCATATCCGGCGCTCCTCACGATTTGACTGCCACCGTCTTTACCGAAACCAACTATGGAAAGGTATCTACAAGCACAGGCACTGGCCCAAGTCCCACCGCAACCGGTAGTGAAGGTGCTGGGTCGTTCCCAATCTGCCACAACAAAGATGGCGCCAATGCTCCATGGTGCTTGCCAGCCGAGGGTACCGATTTGTACCCCGGTACTACGTATTATTGTATGTCACCACGTCTACTTTCCGGGGTTGAACGTCTTCAGTTGCAAACCTTCCTAACTTGTTTATAGTCACTTGGGACACTTCCTACTTTACGGCTCCTAATACGACCATCCTAGTTCAGGGCAACTACTTGAACGAGACCACAGGTGAAATAACAGATCAGGCTTTTGAATCCCCCAAGTGGACTGCTTCTTGGGGCTTCTGGAGCTACAAGATTGACGCCAGCTTGATGAAGTACCAATCAGCCAAGAACATCACCTTGCAGCTCGCTACATTGTCCGCGAACGGTAACTCGAGTCAAATCATTAAGGGACCTAGGATTCAGGTCACACAGGTCCCTGGTCCTCAGCCAGACCCGGGCAAAATCCCTGATGCGAAAGCACTGTACATTGCTTTGCCGACTGTGCTTGGTTTCATTGCCCTCTGCGTCGTTGGAACTTGTCTCTGGAACAGAAGGGCCCGTAAGATCGAGATTGGAAACATCATGTCGCGTAGCAGAAACGGATATGGTGTGGGCAAGAGCGCGAAATCACGAATGGGTCTTGGCAAGAAGAACAAGGCTAACGAGCGCATTCAACTGATGCAACGTGAGGTCGAGGCTGAGGGTGGTGAGGTTTACCATGATGAGCCAGGCCGTCCCAGACGTGATAGCGATGCTCTCGGCAGTTTGGCTGGGACCCCAACCGATGACCACCGTATGGACTTTGATGGGCTTGACTCGCGAGACCACTATCAGGGAGACAGAAATGTGTTCCGGGAAGAAGTAAGGAGACAGCATGATGGGAGGTTTTAGAGAATCCTCTGGAAGCCTATACTTGGAGAGCCACAACTCAAAATAAGTTATCGTCGGATCTGATAACTTGGCTGACACCCCTATTTTTTGATTAACGAAAGACACGCATGTCACACAGTACACGATATATATTTTATCTTCTACTTGTAGATCCGTCTTGTCTAGGTTTACGATATTGTTATGGAAGCAAATGGCGAAGAAGTACTACGATTAGCTTATGGTTTTACGTTAGACAAAGGAACAGATAGAATAAAATGAAGATTTTCACGGGTTATCATGGCTTTATGAACTCTTTAACCCTACTGAATGGCACCAATTGAGGGATACGCATTGAGCGCCAGCTGTCCTCCCAAGTGCGCATACAGCACATTGCTCCCTTCCTTGATCTCGCCCTTGCGAATCAAATCCATCATCCCCGCCAAACTCTTACCCTCATACACAGGATCCGTAATAAACGCCTCCGTGCTAGCACCAAACCGAATCGCCTCCAACGTCTTCTCGTCCGCCTTCCCGTACACACCAGCATGGTACCTATCATCGAGCTCGATATCCTCAGCCGTGATATCCCCCTCCTCCAGCCCAATCTTGGCCGCCGTCACCTTGGCGATCCTCAGCACCTGGTCGAACGTCTGCTTCACCGTCGCCGACGCGTCGATGCCGATCACCCGCCTCGGCCTCGACCCCAGCTTCTTCTGCGCGAGCTTGAACCCCGCGACGATGCCCGCGAACGTCGACCCCGTCACCGCGCACACGACCACCGTGTCGTAGAAGATGCCGGACGCGCGCTCCTGCGCCTCGACCTCGAGGGCCCAACGCGCGAACCCGAGACCGCCGAGGGGGTGGTCGGAGGCGCCGGCGGGTATGTAGTAGGGCTTGCGCCCTTGCGCGACGAGCTCGGACTCGAGGGAGGCGAGCGTGGGCTTGTGCTCGATGCCGAAGGTGGTGGCCGGCTCGAGGCGCGAGTCGGCGCCCATGAGGCGGGACAGCTGGATGTTGCCTACGGCGGCGTAGTGGGCTTCTGCGTTGGCGGCGGCGATGGTGGTGGTGGTGGGTTCAGAGGGGGATGGGGAGGAGACGTCGACCCATCGCTCCTGCACCAGGGCGCTCTTGAGGCCGAGGGCGGCGGCGACGGCGGCGACGGCGCGCGTGTGGTTCGATTGCACGCCGCCGATGGAGACGAGGGTGTCGGAGCCTTTGGAGAGGGCTTCGGCTGCGAGGTATCTGGAGGGGGGGGTTGTTAGTGATTTCTCTCTTGGGGGACAGAAAGAGGGGGGCAGGATGGCGCAATGCTTACTCAAGCTTCCGCACCTTGTTGCCTCCGAAGGCAAGGCCCGAGTTGCAGTCCTCGCGCTTGGCGTAAACTTGGACCTTCCCGCCCAGGGCGGCGGATATACGCGGCAGATGCTGGATGGGAGACGGCCCGAAGAGGAAGGATTCCCTAGGGATGCTGGCGAAGGGCTCGGGGAGGCGGAGGTCGAGGTCGGCCATCTTGGTTTTGGTTTTGGTTTTTGTTAAAGGGGGGAATGGGGGTTGGAGTAAAGTTGGTTGAGTTTGCTAGCAAATAGTCAGTTGGTGATTGGTATCGACCTTACTCTTATTATATATCCAAACCCATCACTATCACATCACACAGGCATTTAGTAACTGGATATCGTTGACTAACATCCGTATCCCCGAAGTCGGGGGTCGTAGTGGGTATAAGACGGAGCGGAGAGAAGCCAAGCTTCGAGCAGCTAGACCAACTACGGTTGAGTTAATGACACTTCAAGTATAGCTAGTTCTGTGTGCGCGGTATATGAATGCGGATGCAGCTTGTTTGCTTATCTTCTCCTCCTCCATGATGGGATTTCTTAGGAATAGGTATTAAATATCAAATAGGAGGGGGACTTACTGACTCAGGGGTATGTAGGTACCTAGGTACTTAATAGCCCCCTAAGGCACATCTAAACTACTAGGTAGTAATGCTTAGTAAGAAACTTCATATCCAAGAACTCACATCCACCACACTGCAGTAGTAAACGTAGGGAGTAAATTCAATGAATATTTCTAGAAATACAAAGTAAGCCTCCTAGGTACCTAATCTACCGGAAGTACGTTTGACCGTTTAGACAGTTTGCAATACGCACGTTGAAGACCCACTTGTATAAACGACAATAAACATATTTTGGGAAGGCACCTAAGCTATATATAGGAGTAAATGGGCTTGTGGAGGCTCAACTACCCGGGCGACTTCCAAAATACTGCCCAGTGTATATAACAATATATATACATGAAGTTATGTTAAGGCAGGCACGACAAACAGCGTTTTTCCTACATGTAACTTAGGTACTTGCCATATTCCAGACATGGGATGATAGGGGGGGGATTTAAAAAAAATCAGAGGCCATGTCCTATCTGCTAGTCTACCATGAACATGGTTAAGAGACGGAATAATATTCTTTTTATTTCAATATTTAGGTACAATTCTACTCTTATCCTCCATCGTATTTTACAAGTCAGTGTACAACCAGTCTGTAGGTACAAAGCGGTCCTAGAATTTCAGGCCCCTACAAAACGCGTTAATACAACGAGTCAGTGTAGCCATCACTACACTACTCGTCGGCTACCCAACTTACAAAACGAAACAAGAACATAACAACCGAGTCACAAAGTTACCACAACCTCAACTTCATTTATTTCTAACACTCTTCGCGGCGACATTATCAAAATTATCACAACAGTGAACTGTACATCATTACCTTTCTTTCTACATTGTTAAACCCATTACTTACATCACTTACATCTCGTCATCGTCAATCATTCATTCATTTTACAATTAACCAGGTGAACAACAATTGACAAAATGGAATATGTAAGTCACCGCCGTCTATCAATCTTCTACACTTATGATGAATCGATATACTAATCAAATTAAATCAAAGTCGTCGTTGCCGCTCCTCGTCGAGCCCAACCAATATCCTGAGCTCATCACCCATGAGTAAGTATTCCAATCACAGAACACATTGCTCACCTTCCAATTCCCTCTCGCTTCTCTTCTAAGAGATCACAGCTGACAAAATTTCAACAGGATCATTCTGGTTCACGGGTTCCATGGCCAAGCAGGTAAAGAGAACCGTACCGCTAAGTGCCGACGAGTTCTAGAGACCTGGGTCATATGCTCGACGGCCGCGATCCGTGAGGTTGCCAATATTCGCAGCTTCGCGTTTGACAGCTCTGAAATCCTGCAGCATGGACGACCCGCTCTTTCAGAAGTAACCTTTGAGTTCCAAAAGAGCCTTCAAGAGACTTGCAAGGACCCAAACTCTCCATTGTTCTGCCCCGAAGCAATTCAGAATGGTGAAGAAATCCCAGTCCGTCCCCGCGTCGTTATATTCATTGCCCATGGCGTTGGTTCGTGGGTAGTTAAGGACTTGTTGATCCTCATGAAAGATGAGGATAATCAACTCGACCCCGCTGGCATATTGTTCATTGATTCGCCTGAGTCATATTCCGTCACCCAACCCGTCGGCGTGGTTGCGAATACTGTTGTGACACAGTACCTTACCAAGCTCATTGATACATTCAAGCTCAAGGCCCTAGGACAACAAGACCTTCTTGAGGACTTTCAGACGATAGATATAAGGTTTCGAGCTTTAGCTATTGCGAGGTTCGTAACCAAGGATATCTCTAACCTGGGCCCATACAATGATGCATATTACATGAAGATATGGAGCCACAGCATTTGGCTATCTGATAGACCATTGATCAAGTCTCCATCAGTATGTCTCTTTTCATTTATTTCTATTTTCTACACCACTTCTCTTCTTGCTTTACCTACCTACCTTTTCCCACCTTCCCACCTCCCCCCTCTCCTACCTCTCCCATCCTCCTCCTTCACACCCACATTCTAACAGACTTGCCTAGACCAGCAGCAAACTCCGACGAGCCCTCTCCTTGCATTTCCTTAGTGATCAATCCAACATGGATGCCAAGCTGGAGAAGCTCACCCAATTGAACCTCCGGGACAAGCTCATGGAGGCGATTCAGACCTCGAAGCGCCGCAATCCCTATGTTCCGGAGTGGCAAGCGGCCCGCGCCTCTGGCAGCAAGGAGCCCGCCTACGGGCTTTGGGGTTACGAGACTGAGGAGGGCACCGCACTTTCTCCGGACATGGAGGAACCCCATCACGGCTATTCGTACAATGGCGAGTCCAGCCAGAGCGCCGACCGGAAAGGAAAAGGTACGTTTATCAAATAATACAAGAGTCCCCCTAAATCAATCGAGCTTTATCCTCTAAAAAAAAATAAACCACAGGCAAAGAGACGAGGCCGCTGCGCCGAGCATCATCCTGCAGATTCCTCACCGACCCGCTGCCGCGCATCATCGAGGTCCCCGACGCCGAGGAGCACCAGTCAGACTTCGGCAGCACGAAGCGGTTTATCTCGGACCACGCCGACGCCGACACGGACGAGAAGAAGCCCCTCTCGGACGAGGAAGTGCTCGACTTCGACTCGGCGATCCGGCAGCGCAACGCGGCCGCGCTGAGCAACGACTCGGGCGAGCTGAGCGCCGCGCAGCAGCGGCTGGAGCTGATCCTGTGGAACCAGAAGGAGACGCTGGGGATGAGCGACGCGCGCACGCTGGTGACGCAGCGCGAGCTGGTGACGACGAGCGTCGCCAACGGCCTCTGGAACGGTAAGACCCTCGACACGTGGACCGAGCAGGAGCTCGTCGCCGTCGGCAACGGCATGCGCCAGGCGTACGACGGGCTCGAGAAGACCCTGGGACCTGCCAACCCCGACACCGTTGAGGCGTTGGCTCTGCTGCTGGGCCTGCGCGTCTCGCTGCTGGACAAGGACTCGATCCCGCTGGTTGCGATGACGGCGCTTCTGGACACGCTTCAGGAGAGGTGCGGGGGGGAGGAGGAGAAGCCGACGACGCTGCAGGGGTGCATCAAGACTATTCAGGCTACGTACAAGGTAAACATTCCATCTTTACATGCATTTTCTGTTCCTTTTAGCTCTGTGTAGAGCTGCTACCATGAGACTGTCTACTTGACACAGAGTACTAACTCGTCTACAGGAACTCTGGGGCAAGCTCTCGAACCTGAAGTAAAAAAACAAAAACGCAGCTACGGAGCAGAGAGGAAACGAACCAACAACCGTGTATTACTTAACGAGCAAATTGAACGACCCGACTGAACGAACGATACACGATCCATGATAGATACTACCTAGCTGCACTAATACCCACGACGAAGAAAATTGGCAGGGAGCAATCCCGTATGAGAGGACAGGAAAAAAGAAGATGGAATGTGTGTATACATAGGTATGCGTGTAAATGTGTGAGGAAGTAATGTACAAACCTTCTTTTTAACTGCACCTATGGGGGATATCAAAAGGAGTTCTGGCTGGATGGATTGCAACACTACTTAGCATCCATGATTTTCTTTTCTCTTTTCAGTTCCAAGGGGGGCTTCGCTTCGGAAATTTCTAAGTCATGGTGGAGGGTATCACAAGATACTTCGACTGACTGGCTTTTAATAATAGGAGGATCTAGGTTATGGTCTTCTCGGTTTGAAAGGGGGCTTTGCTTTCGGCAATAGGTGTTATGCTGGGTACATGGCTGATTAATGGCGTCTACGGGATCATGGCCTAACTAATTGCTTTAAATTACTATATCATTAACCAAACTCTTCTTCACCCTTTTCTCTGCGTGAAGAATAGATTCTGCTGCTTACTTTAAGCATTTAGTTTACCTCCATATTAGGTACCTACCAGGTAGGTATGAATCAATATTAACTTCTAGGGATGAAAAGAGAAAAAGTCCAATTCTTTTCTACAGTAACTACCTTCATATGCTTACCTTTAGTGATCATCTACCAGTGATGTATGGAGTACGGCAGAGGAGCTGGATATATTGAAATTCGGCATGGAATATAGTATCATTAACACTACCTGTTTGCCGTCTTTAACTACGTGAACGCAACGCCTGCAACTTCTTCCCTTCATCCGTCAAAAGCAACGCACATGGTTTAAGAATCATAACTACTCCCGAGGCTCATGAATGATGTTTCAACTCGGTCTGGCCCCCTTAAGATACTACCTCTCCATGGTTTCTAGTGAAGGTGCATCTTGATACTGTCCCTGGGAGCTTTCATAGCTCGCCTGAGTGATCAGTATAGACGAGACTCTTACTTTTTGCCGCTACCACCGCCGGAGCTGCTACCACTGCCGGAGCTGCTGCCTCCATAGTTGGAATATTGGGTGCCAGATGGAGAGGTGTATGTTGATCCGCCTTGACCATTGTTGTAGTAAGTGCTACCACTGGGGTTGGAATAGTAGTACGAGCCATCGCTACACATTCCTATCAGCGCCAAGCTCGTTGTCTTTACAAGGTTTAAGATATGCTTGCTTATAGTTGGGAATATTGATAGATGCTTTGATAGAAGATACAAGAGGGACAAGTAGACTTACGAGTTGGAGTAGTGGTAGGAGTTCGAGTTGGCAGCACTACTACCGTAGTCCCGAGCGCAGTAATGGTTGCCCTAATCATATCATTAGTCTTCCAATGTCATTTTTTGGAGCACGCGGTATATAGTGTGGTTCATAGTAGTATTGAACGGCATGAATATCCATGCAAGTTCATAGGGGGAACTACAAGCTTACCTGGCTGTTGGTGCCACTGCTCTTGTACGAGTAACCACGGCCGCTCATTGTGACGAAGGGTGAGATAAAGTGTATGAGTAGTAGAATCTGATGAAGTTTCAATGACCCGAAAGTCCCAAGCAGTTACTAGCGTACTTAGTAGGTTTTGGAGGCCGAGAATGGAGAGGATTGATTGGGAGTGGAAGAGGGAAAAGATGGGAAAGATGAAGGGCAAGGACAGTCAGGTATTAATACACTTGGTGTGGTGTGGGGAAACTTTCATTATCTTCATCGCAGCATCGCAGTTGCCGTCGATGTTGGTACTACTTGGTAGCAAATAACTAGATGGTAACAAGGTTATCCTGGTGCTTTACCACTACCGCGCTTGCCAAGTATCCATCTACCAGAATTCTACCTACCTAGGCACCTAAAGCATACATATTAAATATGTAGAGTTACAGCATCTACATGTAGTTATGTACTAAACTGCATAGAAGTTAGAACACCATTACATAGTAGATGCAAAATTAAAATTAACGGCGCCAATCATGGCGATTGATATGGCGGTCTACGAAGTAATACATGATACTTATGTAGCAGTTGGTAAGTCAAATGACACTCCCCCTGACCAGCCACTTGGTATAATAGTACGGGAAGCTACAGGCTAGTGAATATCACCCATGGGCCGTGCCATCTTGTACACATCCGCTTGGGTACCAAATCCAAGACAATATGGGAAGTTACGAGGCAATTCTAGGTGCAAGCAAGATGCATACATATGTATTATTGTGTAGGTGACGTGGTCCAGAGAGAGCAGTGACTGCCCGCATGCGCACCTGACCATTTAGCAATAAGCTTTTGGCTAGAATATGGGCTGTTGCAGGACGTCAAGAATAGCCGTTGGAAAGATAACACTAAGATATATAGGCTGGGGAAGGAGAGATCTGAGCAGCCATGTCTACCCTAGGTACGTACTATAGCACCTGGGACAGTTACACATGTAGGATAGGATCATACGACGTACATGTATGTATTTAATGTGATCCAATATGCAATGCTTCTCATATGGATTCATGCTTGCACCAATGATACGGATACATGTATCAACCAATCAATCCATTTGGGCTTGAGCTGAGTAACTTCTCTAGGTCTGTCTATTTTGTATTTGTCTATCTTAGGTATCAGAGGAAGGCCAACAAACACGCTGACGCATAATTCTATATCATAGCAGCGATGACAATCTTGCTGTGATCAGTTTCAATGGCTATTCGGATTTGCCCTCAGCTGCCCCTTCCCTTTGGTCTAGCTCGTGTTCGGCAAGGAACTTCTCCGCATCCATGGCAGCCATGCAGCCGGTACCTATCGTGCATTATCATTAGCATCAGATCTACATGCAATATTGTTAAGAAAGACGTGGGGTGATGGGGTATCATACCTGCGCTAGTAATAGCCTGTCTGTACCTCTTATCCTGCACATCACCGGCAGCAAACACACCCTCAATACTGGTCAACGGTGTTCCAGGCTTCGTGATGATGTAGCCCTCAGAATCAATATCCAATTGCCCCTTGACCAAGCTCGTGGCGGGGTCGTGGCCAACAGCGTAGAAGAGTCCGCTGGCCTCAAGGAGCTGTCGCTTGTGGGTCACTGTGTTTTCGATAACCAGACCGGTCATGACTTTGTCGTCACCCTTAACTTCGATACCTCGGGTGTTGAACAGGACAGTAACCTTGGGGTGGTTCAAGAGCCGCTGTGCCATAATGCTGCTGGCGCGTAATTGATCCTTTCGTACCAAGACCGTCACGTGGCTGCCGTATTTCGTCAAGAAAGTCGCTTCCTCCGCGGCACTGTCTCCGCCACCGATGACCACCAAGGGCTTATTACGGAATATTGGGACAGCACCGTCGCATACAGCGCAGGCGCTGATACCACTTTGCCAGTATTTGTCCTCCCCTAAAAGGCCCAACCGCCTGGCCGAGGCTCCTGTGGCAAGAATGACGGCATCTGCGGTGTGTACCTCACCAGGCGACCATTCTGTCTCGTATTTAAACGGTCTCGCGGAAAGGTCGAGCTTGGCAACGGTCTCCGTGATGATCTTGGTCCCGAATCGCTCCGATTGCTGTCTCATAGCATCCTGTGGTAACGCATATGGTCAGAATACAAGAACATGAACATTCTTCTTTGAGGCACAACAAACTCACCATGATCTCGCTACCCATGATACCCTTGGGGAATCCAGGGAAATTCTCGATATCGGTAGTCGTTGTCAACTGGCCACCGGCGGCAATGCCATTTGCCATGAACCCCTCGTATAGAACCGGGTTAAGCTCGGCACGGGCAAGGTAGATGGCGGCTGTGTGGGCAGCAGGGCCCGAACCGATAACAACGACCTTGCTATGCATTTTCCTGACGGCTACTTTGGGAATCTGGTTCGTCTGTCCGGAGTACTTCTGAAATCCAGCGGAAGCAAGTGCTGCGACTGAGATTCCGGATGCGCCTGCGCCGAATGTTCTCCTTACTGCCCGAGAAAACAGTTTGACTGGCTTCCTTGGTAGGTTGAGTAAAAGTCGTTATGATAATTTCTGTAGAGTATCTAGCTGGGTAGGTTGTAGAAAACAAGGAATCGAAGCGCGATAAGACACTTCAAATATTAAATTGTTCGGGGGATGCTCGGAGAGGCCGGTATGGGCTAGTGTTAAGGGTGTCGCTATCCTGTTTATGACATAGGCAAGTTACGAAAAGGCGAGTTACAAATGCTCGATTTTAGTAAGACACGCTGGAAAGTGCTGATAAATTATGAATGCGGCTCTACATGTAGTTCCGAAAATAGATATAAATTTGGAATTATGTATCGCTTTTACAAAATCTTCAGATGTTTCATGTTCCTGTTTTTGACGTTGCTGACATCCAAAAGTTTCTTAGAAAGCGCAGCAAAAAAAGACAAACACCCCGCATTATTCAGCAATATCTAGACCCTGATGGCGTGAATGGCGTGGAGAGGACCGTCAGAGGAGGGCCCTGGTTATCGATTGAGTCCGGACCGGAGCTGCATGTGGCTTAAACTAGTCTAGTGACCCCGCCAATGGAAAGTCTCCAATGATTCCAATTTATGCAATTTGCATAACGTGCCACTGATGCTGATAGATACATTTTTGCGTTAAAGCCGTTGTAAGCAAGCCTTTTCTTATCAGATCATCAGATCAAGCAAGTTGCCCCTATTCGGATGAGGCTCTGATGCAAAACCTAACCTACCTATGCGTATGTAGTTGTAGGTGAAGTACGGTGTTAGCTACGTTGATAAATCCCGTGCTGGTACCTGACTTATCTAGATAACCTAACCCCTTACGTTAGTTGGTTCTTTCGCGTGGCCGGGAATAATCAATGACTACGACGTCACAGATCCCAGTTCCGTCACCGGGTGCCGCTACGCCCTTTTCGTAGGTAATTACTAAGAGTAGACGGATTGACCGATGAGAGCCGTAGGTTTTAGTTAATTATTTATGTAGGTAAGGTATCGAGATCTCGATATATTTTTTTTTCGTGTGTGTAAGTATGTACCTATATACCACTCCTTCAACAAGACAGTCATTACCTATTATACAGGTTTACTTTAGTAGTGCATGAAGTTCAAGTTGTAAGCAACCTTAGCTTTGGTCGTTTGAGACTTTTAGGTTCAACCCGTTTTCGCTTTATATTTTCACCCATGACCCAGTTTTGCCTACCTAACCTAGGCCTTCTCAACAACACCAACACATACCTCGGCTCGGGTTTCTTCAGCCATCTAACTAGCCTTCGCCGAACACATTAATCTGCGAACAATGGCACCGCAGCAGGAGATTCCAGTTGCGGCCAATGTTCTAGGTGTAAGTCACATCCTCTTCACCCCCCCATTTTTAGAAATAGATCCCGTTAGCTCATGTATGCAAACTTTTAGACAATCGGCACCATCCTCTGGTGTGTGCAGACGATACCCCAGATATGGACCAACTGGCGAACCAAAAGCACCGAGGGTCTGCCCGGCTCCATGATGTATCTCTGGGCTTTATGTAAGCACCCCCTTGCTTATCCCTCAGTTGTCTGCCTAGGTAGGTAGCAGGTCCAAGATGTACTGACATCCCTCTGCCTAGGCGGCGTACCGTTGGGGGCCTACAATATCGCGCAGCGATTCAACTACCCCTTGCAAGTACAGCCGCAATGTTTCATGGCACTCTGTATCGTCAACTGGTGCCAGATCCTGTTGTACGGCAGTAGATGGAAGCTCTGGCAGGTGATACTCATCGGGTTGGCGAATGCCGCCGTCTTCGCCGGCGTTCAGGCGGCTTTGATTCTCACGCTCCAGGTAAGTCCTACGGCAGCAGTAGTAGCATTGCTGTCTTCAACCGAAGGCCTCCTCCATATTATCATAATTTGCTAATTGGCGATTAGCCCCTGTACGACGCCGGCAACCCCACGGGAGTTCTGGTAGTTGGCATAGTCGCCAATGTATTGCTAGCCTTGGGCCTCCTACCACCGTACGGTGAGATATGGAAGCGGAGGGGCAGGGTTATTGGCATCAACTTCATCTTTCTCGCGATGGACTTCTTTGGCGCATTATTCTCTCTCCTGTCACTAGGTACGCATGACCCCTAAGCAGCCCCTCTAGAATCGTCTTGTTGCTAACCTCAATACAGCGGCTCAACATACTTTTGACATTCTGGGTGGTGTGATATATATCGTATGGTAAGTACCTCAGCAGTTAGTTATGAGACCTCTATGGACTGGGCTCTTGATCGCAAACGCCACATATCACCTACCTACTAATTCACACCACAGCATTATCTTAGAAACCGGCATATTCCTCTCTCATCTGATATGGATGTTCCGCACGAGGAAGATAAGAAAAGAAGCAGCAACAAGAGAGAAGACTTTCGACGATATAGCGGCAGAGCATGAGGAGCGGGGTTTACCTTTTAAATTCGCAGAGCGTAAGTCCTCGAAACAGAGGAAGGATGCTGAGGCGGGTGAAGGTGGACAAGAACAAGACCCTTCTAGGGATATAGGTACCCAATAAGGTCGCACCGGGGCCTAGCACAGAGCGTATATAACTCAACACTTCTGGGTTAAAATTAGGGAGAGATGAGGGTATTGGATTTTTTGTATAACCCATTGATAGATTAAAACGGAGCGCAAGCTACAGTGGTGAGATATCTTGTGGTCTAGTAAATCAAATGCAAACTTTCATGCCTCATTACCGTCATTCCCCATTATTACCTCCGCTGCTAGTCAATTGTTGATTGACTAGCCACCAACTATCATTACTAGAATCGCGAAATACTGCCATCGTCCGATGTGAAGTCAACGATTTATTCGATGAGGGGTTCCTTCCCCTGGTCCTTTAGATCCACGCCTTTGCCGCCGTATTCAGCCGGCAGCTTCTCGCCGAGGCCGGGAACCTTGGTTTCGGTGAATTCTTTGGCCAGATTGCCACCATTGGACATGGGGTGAAACTTCTTGATGGTCTTGGGGGCGACGAAGAGCTTCATCACGCCGTACATGAAGCCCATTATGGCGGGAACGTTAACAAAGAACTTTTCTTTGAGCAGTTCCGGGTACGCCGTGGCGAAAACCTTAATTGTCTCAGTGCTAGCGGCTTTCACAGCAGGCGACTGTCGCAGGAAGCTGATGGACTTGTAGTCATGCACTTGGAAGATCTTATAGGGATCCCAGCTAGCCGTGATAGGCTTGGTAGCAGTAGGGAGCGACAACTCTTGCACGGCTAGCTCCATAAGGGCGACGCGCCAGCCAATGAATCTTTTCAACTTGTTAGTCGGTTTTTTGGTATATATATCTTATGGGTAGAAGTGATAGGTAAGGCTTACTCATCGAGGTTGCCGAATGTCTCATCAATAGACTTGACACCACCGTAGATGTTCCAGGTGAAGATTTCGCGAGTCTCGGGGTCGTTCTGGGCGGTCTTCTCATCTGAGCTTGCATATTTGGTAACATAGCCGAGGCCCTCGAACTTGGTCTTGCTATAACTCTTCTTGATAAGTTCCAGAGGCTGCAACTTAGCACGCCAGTCAAGAGTTTTAGTGAGCTGATCCTGGGCCTTCACCACGTCGCCATCATTAGCGTTAAGGTATTTCTGTAGGACAATCTGACTGGGAATATGGCTGGCTGGGTCGGCTAAGGTGACGCCCCAGACCTCGGGATGGGAATGGGCTTTCGCAGTTGTCCAGAGCTCTTGAATGGGCGTGGTAGGCTCATCCGGCTTAAGAGTTTCGGGTTTATCGGCCTCGGGCTTAGATCCTTGAACTTCGGCCATTGTCTTAGGATCTTAGTATTAAGTAAGGAATAATTCTATGGATATTGTAAATTATGTTATGTTTCCCTAAATTTGGAACATGTATCACTCTAAATCTGAATGATGAGATAAGATGAAAATGAGAATGATGAGATTAAAAGTTTGTTTTGTTTTCTGTTCATGACAAGAAGCGACTTCCGAAGTAGTTGATAGAAGCTTCCCTAATCGAGACAAGCAGCGTCATTCTGTAACAGCCGGCATTTAGCCGGTCCACCTACACTTAATGCAGGTATTGACCCTCCATGTCCCTGAAAGTTCAACAGTTCAAGTTCACATGGGCATTGTCCAAACGTTGAAACTTCAATAACCTATCAAGATACCGCATCGAGTGTAGCTTGAGGGCCATATGCATTCAACCACACAAGGTTTTTGCCAATAACACGGACTCTTGAGTGAGATACACCATGATCACTCTAAGTTTTGTACTATCATCATCTTGTGTGTGAACACTTTGAAATGTAGTCGCCCTGGATAATACTACCTATCGTTAGATTGCACGTCATGGTCTCATAAATACCATCAAGAGACAAGATGATCCAAGGCATATTTTACGCCAGGTTCCTGCCACAGGAAGGTATGTTCATAAACCATAGGTATCAATAAATTCGTCTTACATCATCACAGGAACCAAAATCGTAGCGCAATCGCCTCCAGGATGTATCGTGGCCACCACCTATGCGCCACATCTGAAGCCTCCATTGGTGGACTTTGACATAATTCAGGAGTATATCATCCCTCGCAAAGCCTTCTTCAATCGATTCATGACGGTAAACTCTCCGGATAATAAATACAGCATCCTTGGATTTCCTGTATCAATCCCGAATGAGAGATATCATAGAAATGAATTCATCTTCAATTTCGGGCTAGTAGTGGAATCAGATGCCGATCAAATTCCCTATGAGCGCCTCGTTAGGCGACTAGCTGTGACCTTCGCTGAGATGGAACGCCAGCACGACTATTTAAGCTCTGAAGGGTGCGTTGATGACGGGAGGCGCCCGATAGAGAGCTTGCTAGAAATTGTAAAGGAGGACCTGAACAATTACGGCGAATGCATGATCCCCGTTGACGATGCCAACACCCTCAACATGAAGCTTTTCCCCTATCACCCTCCACCTGCCCCTGTTCGTGGATGGCACGTTCCCGTCGCAAAGATGAAGCTCGCCGAAATTGTCGACCCGACGTGGGACCTTACTCTACAAAAGATTATCCCCCATATAGACGGTGTTAACGATGTGCGTCGCATCGCATGGCTAGCCGATGTGTCGCTGCCATTGACACAGATTGCGCTGCAGCATCTCCTATACTATGACACAATTCTTCTACTGGACATGTTCTTCTTCGGAAGCTGCTACGCGCCTAGGCCAGGTGTACACGATTTCATCGTCAACCGAGACGGAGTTGTCGATGAGTGTGCGGGTTATGTTTGCGTTAGTAGCCACGTGCCTGGCAGTAGCAGCGATCCGCCCACTGCCGGCGCTTCTGGAAATACTACCAAGGACCCAATCATTGAAAATAGCACCGAACAGCAAGAGCAACAACAGCAGAACTTGTCCAATTACCAACTCATCAAATTGATGACCACTTTTTGTGCCGGGCGTAGCGTCATGGAGTGGATCAAACTACACCAGGACGCCGGCTTCGACGTTCTCCGGCACGTGGATGTGCGGCGCCTCGTGCAATTCGGCGTCATAAAAGGTTTTCTATACCGCGTGCACAAGTACGTCGTATCGAAACAGTACCTCGAAAGCCTAGCGGCCGGAAGGCGCGAGGTAAGAAGCGAAGACGAAGAAGAAGACGTACTACTCAGATATGCCGACGGCTGCCACTGCTTCGACCAGATCATCACCGAACAGAACATGACGGATGGCGAGATCATGAGAAAACTCCGGAGCTTGGAGCCTGGAGACCGTACGGTGTTTTATCGTTAGAATTTACGCAGACATGGGATGGTTTGCTACTGCTATTGCTAGGGGGTAAACATAGCGGCATGGAGGGCTAAGCAAGGTTATTTCTCTACCTAATAGGTAGCTGTGGTTTCTATTATCCTCATCAAAGGGTTTGGCGATGACGAGATACTGAATAACGTGTTAGATTCTAGGGTATAAGTAGTTAATCCTAATACTACCAAACACCCCCATTGGCGATGAAATGTTCCCGAGCACATTTTACATTTCAACATAACTAATAGGGGTAGCCACCTAAGCACCTAGGTTCGACCAAGTGAAACACATGCACAAAAGTCTTAAGAGCGAAAACGTTTGGTATAATATTCATATGATACACGTACTCTACACTTAATCCGTCTTGATGCGGGTGAAGCTCGCCCTCTTTCCGCTCTGTCCGCTCTTCGGCGCCGGTGTAATGTCACTGGAAACCATAGTATCCTTTTCCAGCGCCTCGAGATCTACCCGCGCGGACGCGAGCACCTCATCGATGGCCATGGTCTTGAGCTTGGCGGAGCGGGGCCCCTCTTCCTGGTAATAGGAGAAGGCGTGCTTGAGGATCTGGCGCGCGCGGTTGGGCGGGACGCCCTTCTCGAGCTCCTTGAACTTGCCCGCGTTGAGCTGCTCCGCGTAGATCGTCTCGGCGCCGTCGAGGAGCTTCTTGCGCTGTTCTGGGGAGTGCATCTTTATGCTGTTGTCGCCCATGGCTTTTCGAAGGGCTGTGCGCAGCAGGCGGACGCGTCCCATGCCGGGCTCTCCGGGGTAGGTTAGGCCGGAGGCGGCCCATTCCTCGTCGCTGACCATCTCCACGACGCGGATGAAGTGCTTGCCTCGTCGGAGGATGAGGAGCTTGCCGTCGATGAGGAAGTTCTTGGTATCTTGCGTGAACCAGGACTTGACGGGCGTGAACATGAGCTGGTCGTAGCGCATGCCTACGTTGGTGGCCGCGGGTTGTCCCGGGGAGCCGCCGATGTAGGCACCTTGTTGCTGTGTCAGCCGGCTGCCGTCGGTGACGCTGTCCGCGAGGCCGGCAGCATAGAGAATGCGACTTATGTGTTTGCCTAGGACTAGTGATTTGGGGAGCTTGATGTCAATCTGGAAGTTCAACGCTCGATCGGATGTCAACGCCCCCTCGTTTAAGGACATGCGTTCCTCTTCGGGGTCAATCTTTTTTCTTGCGTAAAGTCCTAGGTGTTGATTTTGAGTGTTCGTTGCTTCCTGGAACCCATGCACTAATGAGAGCACTTCGAAAGCTAGGGCGTGATGAGGAATACGCTTGGAAGGGTTCTCTTCGTGCTTCGCCATAAGGTCCTTAATGGTTTCCATGGGAAAGAACGTGAGTAGTTTGAGTAATTTCTCGATTTCGGTGTCGGGTCGTCGCACGAAGTAGCCATATAGATCAAATGAGCTCGTCTTGAACGGGTCAAGCCAGATGGCATTGTCGGCGCTCTTGCCAAACTTAACGCCGGCCGAATCAGTAAGAAGAGGGACAGTAAACCCGACAGGTGTGTGCAAAAAATCGCTAGGAACCTTCTCGCTGTCGTTTACTTCATGGTCTCGCATGTATTTGACGCTGTCCACACCAGCGACGATGTTTCCGTATTGATCAGACCCACCAATCTGCATGAGCACGCCTTGTTTACGGAACAAATACCACCAATCCCATGCCTGCATCAGAGGATATACGAATTCATCCAGACCCATGCCTTCGCCTGTCTCCATCCTCCGCTTAACAGTGTCGCGAGACAGCATGGGGCCTAGGCGCATTCCCTTGAATAAGCGAGCGACAACCTCTATAAATGGAACAGTGTTATACCATTGGCTGTTGTTCAATACTGCACGAGACCATACCCTTTTTTCCTTCTCATAGCCGTAGCGCCTCCCTTGCGCTTCGACATTCAGCCATATGCGCTTCAGTTGATAGTGCATCTTCGTGATATTCATGGTCATATCGGCCCTTTTCATCGGTTTGCGACTTTGTAAACGATCTGTGGGATCCCCAACTTTGGCCGTCGCACCGCCAAGGACACTCACAGCCTTAAAGCCGTGTATGTACATCCAGAAAAGAGGCATCAAGGTTATTAAATGGCCAACGTGAAGAGAAGGGGCGGTAGGATCGATTCCGACATAAGCGCCTATCCTTTTCTTCAGCATCAATTCTCTGATTTGTTCTTCGGTTCCGGCAGTGTCCTTCACATATCCACGCTCCTTGAGAATGTCCCAAGGGTGCGGCCTCAACCCCTCCTTGATCTCTACGGCTTGAAGGTCCCATTGCCGTTTTGACTCCGCCTGTTTCGCCAGCCACGAAGTGGAAATGTGCCGTGTCTGTGGCCGTCTAGCGTATAAGGATCGTAAAATACATCTTCGGCAGAGAGTCGAGGGCGCATTGTAGGCACTAGGGGAGAACCCTCCGCGCAACATTATAGACATCGTATAATGTCTTTGGAGGACTTTGAATTAGGGATTCAAAATATGGAGGTTAGATATAAGGGGAAACTCCCACGAGTCTCTATATGTTTTTACATATATAGCCCATGGCCCTTTATATTCTGATTTGTCAATGGGGGAAGTTCGTAAGATATTCAGCTTTCTTTTTCTTCGATTTGGCTGTTGAAGTTTAAAAAAATCAATTAATTAGTGCACATGCAGCGCGCAAATCTGGAAAAAGTTTTAGCGGGGCCAGTGTTAAGAAACTTCGAGGTATTCCACTATTAGTGTTACTGCCGTCACACACCGCTATCCATGTTAGTGGGCTGGCGGGGTGATCCCAGGTAACTAACATTGAGTGAGTGATCTTACGGCGTATAGTAGTTATGTATATTTCAAATCTTGAATGTTGTTTCCTCCTTCTATCCTCCAGATCCTCCAGCTCTCTGCTGTGAAGTTGCGCACCCCAAGGAACCATATGGTCACTCAATCGTCGATTAGGTACATAACCTAGGTATTTTCCATCTTTTGCACTGATATAGTTATGTAACTACCTCTTAATGCGCTAAGGTGTAAAGCAAGAGTCTTGAATATCGACAATACCCCAATCCAAAATATTAGTACAAAAGGATAGTTAGATGAAGTGTTATATATTCAAGCGAGAGATCGGAACGTCGAACACAAGCCATGTAAATCTGATAGCTGAAAGCTGAGCTTTGTTTCTGTAGGTTCGTTCTAATAAAATTGAAGGTAACACACAAGATCCATCAGGTCGGGTTGGAGCTAAGAGGCATTTAAGCGCACATGTGCACTGTGCGTGCCGTTGAGGATTCAATGTTAGATATTAGGTACGTACAATACCTCAGGTAGATTGAGGGGCATTTGGAATTTTGGAGGGGCTAAGGGGACGATTATATGCCGCCAGAAGACAATGGACGTCAAAGGAAGCAGTGACAGGTTACAGTGGAGGCCTATGTATGTACCTAGTATTTCCAGTATCGTCAACTTCAATGTTTGAGTTGACTCTAAATGAGGGGCTGTCCGCGAGGCTGACGGGGATGCTGTTTTATCATGAGATACATCAGTATTACTGAGATATACATGTGATATCTTATTATTTAGGGATGATTTAAAGTACTTTCTTTGCTCTTATCTAGTATCTTCTGGTAAGCTCACCTACTAGCGTTGTAGCCGATTGTCCCACGTTGAACTTAAAAATGTGAGTAGATACCTAGTACTACATATGTAGGTACTGTGTATGTAGGGGTGTATGTACAACTTAGGTACTATTATGTACCTACATAGGTTAGTTAGTCCCTAAATAATAACATTTGAACTGCCTAGAACAAAATACTAACCTTAGTAGTGTTAACTAACATTCATCCAACCATTTCCCATTTCAACAACATCATATCACCAATCATCCGTCGCCGGAAACCAAACTCATTGTCGCCTCCATCGATATTATATTGATCACGCTTTCCTTTTTCTTTTCTTTCTCTTTTCCTACTTCTATTTCTTTGCGACGAAAGTAATACTGGTCAACATCCCCCTCTTTTTATCGTTACCATTATCATTACCATCTATCATCTACCGTCGTATCAGGCCATCAATTACTACGTAGTTATCGCCTCAATTCACGTCCACCTCCAAACATGGCCGACTCAGCCGAGGGTAACTCTGACCCTCAGGTCACCTTCAAGGTGAAGACATCGGGTGACACTCAGCACACCATCACTATTTCCGAGACTGCCACCGTCAACGATCTGAAAACCAAGCTTGCTGGTGCCGAGTTCGAGAATATTCCTGTCGATCGACAACGTTTGATCTATTCTGGTCGTGTTATGAAGAATGAGGAGCCTTTGAGCACCTACAAGATCAAGAATGGCAACACTGTTCATCTAGTCAAGAGCGCTGCTAGCAACCCAACCCCTGCCGCGACCTCTTCGTCGACATCATCTACTACACCCGCTGCTCCTCAGATTCCCCATAACATGGCTGCCGGTACCGCAAACAACCCCCTCGCTGGTTTGACTGGCGCACGATATGCCGGCCTGACCGGTCTTCCTTCGGCAGATATGTTTGGACCCGATGGAGGAGTAAGTTGACACAAATATCTACCCACCATTATCTTTACCTAGGGATGAGGAATTTAAGGCTAACTCTCGCTTGCGCAGATGGTCGGTTCTATGATGGACGAGGACCAGCTAGCTAATATGCTTAGCAACCCGCATGTAGCCCAGCAGATGAACGAGATGATGAACAACGACACATTCATTGACATGATGATTCAATCGAACCCAATGCTGCGAAATAACCCTAACGCTCGTGACATCGTGCGATCACCTCTTTTCCGTCAAATGATGACTAGCCCCGATGCCTTGCGAGGTGCTGCCAGATTGCAGCGAGCTATGGGTGGTCGTCAAGCAGCACAGAATGCGTTTCCCATGCCCGGTGTGACTGACAATACTCCCGGTGACGCGGCTGCAGGAGGCAACACTAGCGACGGCAGTGGCCAACCCACTGGCGCATCTCCTGGCCAACCTCCAGCAGGCGCATACAACCCATTTGACCCAACTACCTGGAGCAACATCAATGTTCCTGGTGCTGCTGGCGGTAACGCTGCTAGTAACCCATTTGGTGCTTTCTTTAACCCCTTTGGCGTAGGCCAACCGGGTCAGGCTGCACCTACCTCAGGCGCAACTCCAGCAGCAAGCGGCGCACAGGCCGAGGGTGGCGGTGTCAATACCAGCCAGGGTACAGGAGCTAGCACCCAGAGCCCTTCAAGCCCCCCTCCGAACCCATTTGCCAGCCTGTTCGGTGCTTCGGGTCCTTTTGGAGCACCGGGAGCAGCAGGAGCCGACCCTACAGCTGCGGCTGGACTTGGAGCTGGAGCAAACCCGTTCGGTGGCGCTGCTGGCATGTCACCCGAGCTTCTGCAGCAAATGATGCAGATGCTAGGTGTAGGATCGCCGGCCGGCTCCCCGGCCCCACAAGATAACCGCCCCCCAGAGGAACGCTGGTCGGAACAGCTGCTACAATTGAACGAGATGGGCTTCTATGATTTCGATCGAAATGTTGAGGCGCTACGACGAAGCGGGGGCAGTATACAAGGAGCGATCGAGTATCTGCTGAGTTCGTAATGAAGCTGTGGAATGGCTCCTTCGTCTTACTACTTTTCCGTGTCTCACGTGCGAAGGATGATTATTCAGGAGTCTATTAAAGTATGCGATTTGGCATGTGTGGCGAACACACTCGTCATGAAGAAAGAAAAAATCAAGCAAGTAGGCTGGACAACCAATTGGTTTGACGAAGTAAGATGCTGTGGATGACATGATGATGAAATATCCCTTCCTAGGCAAGTCTCCTTGCCGATTCAACGGGGGCTCGGTCAGGCTTTTTACCCACACATGAGATTATGGACAGGAGGGGCTTCTTCTCTACGTTTGTAACTTTCTATAATAGTAAGAGAGGCAAAGCAATCAACTACATTGTTATACCGTACCTATGATATGTGTCATTGGTTGTTGTATTAATGCTAAAAGACTAGTCAGCTTGTGTGGATCGTACTACGTTAAGTAGGTAGGTAGGTAATCATAAATTGATGCTTAAGTACCTAGAGAAGCATTGTGATGACTCCTTATACGTGTGCTACGGCTTTGGCGGGGCTGTAGGATAGGCGCCCCTTTTTTCTCCTTAGTGAAGTTTAAGCTATTAGAGAGAGTGCTGATATTCGAGAGAATTATTCTTAGTCTTGTAATAATTCCTCTCAATTTCTATCGATCTAGTGCATGGATTCATTCCTAGGTAAACGTAGTAGTTCTTAGGCACCCAGTTTCTGAACTGGGCGCCTTATGCTTCCGATGGCGGTTTAAGAGAGACATCCGTCTTTCTCTTTACTCGCTATGTTTTTTTTTTTTTTTTCATTCTACTTCATTTCTTCAGTACATGGTTCCCGTCATGCTTGTAGGTCATCGTTTATTCACCACTAAAGTTCTTAAGTAAATGATAGGGGTTAAACCTCTGGATATAGCTCTGGTCTCAAACCTGGACTAGGGGGGTTTAAGGAATGAGATACTATTCTGCTTGAGTCGCTATCTTGATTAGGTATTACATGAGTATCAAGAGACGTAGTTAGTAGATTTTATCTGTCTGTTTGTATAACTGAAGTTTTTGACCCCTTTTCTGTCAGTATTTGAAACCTTGTATCGCTGTTATTTCTTTTTATCTTCTGTATGATCCCTGGGTGTTTTTGAATCACGAAACGCTGCTTCTCTAGTCTTCTTGGTCATTGTCGGGGGTGTACCTGGGAGCACATGGGGGTTCACATGGAACAAGGACGACTTACGTGTATATGTAGCTTCCGTAGTCTCCGAGAGATGTTAGAGATCCCCGCGCAATAACGATGTTGTTCTGCGTCTTCTAGGTTCCATCTCGTGACAGGCATCACATAAGATACCTATTTATATGGCGTATCATAAGCTTCTGTTATTAGCGTACCTAGTCTTTATCTTTCTTCCTTCCTTTCCATGTGTTGCAGGTGCCTCAGGCACCTTTAGGCTCCACTAGAGCCATATGGCCCTTATGGCCATATATTGGCACTCCGCCATTGTAGTTAGGAATAAAGCAAGCTTTCTTCCTTCCATCTTCCTTCTTCTTGATTGCAGTTATACTACAACACCATGTTTCCTTTCCTCCCCTCTATCACATTTATATTGCCCAGCAGCCCAACTAGTAGTTTTAGGTATGTGGCATATATGTACTTACATATTAGCTATTATTGATGATGTATAAAGCTAGCTTTTTCACAGTTACTTTTTATAAGGGCCTTGATCCCTTCCTGTTAGCCGAGTAGGGGGCACTATTTTTGCTATAAGCCTTCTGATGAACTTGTGTTTCTATGCTAAATATCTAGCCAGTACTCCATGCCTAGAGACATGTTGTTCTTTGTATATCAATGTATCTTCCAAGCCTTTGAGTTTACCTAGTCTCGTAGCATAAACCTCGTGGGAGTGCTGCCTTCTGCGAAGAACACTGGATGGGGGTAGACTCTTAAACCAAATCAAGGCTTACTGTATCTGACACCGCGTGCTCTGTACTAGCAGAGCTTGATGTGGAATGGAGTAGCCCAACGAATGTTCGATCTATGTTGGTGCTAGGTACGTTTCAGCTAAGCTCACGTATTCGGGTTGAAAGCCCCTAGGTTAGCATATTGCTATGACTAGGTGGGCTGGCATTGACAGAGACGGCAGAGACTCGTCCTTAAAAGGTTGTTTCCAACTTTTGCTGGCTAGTATTCATATTCGAGGTAAATCCGTATCATAATTGCGGACTCGCCATCGGTACTGAGCAAAGGATGTGTAGGATTCAGCATCCTATATCGATTACATAGAGGAATGGGAGGATTCATCACTCTATTAATAGTTAATTATTATTAAATAACCCACATGAAAAAGAAACAGATATACTCAGAGGAATATACGGCTATATATATCAGTTATGAGTTCGCTGTCCCTTTGATATTCGACATATCGCCGGCTCTCTTAGTGTATAATAGGTAGGCTTAACCGAGATCGAAATGTTTGATTTGTTCCAGTCTTAGCTCCAAGACTCTCTGGACCCAACTGATGATCGGTTGGGTACTATATACGATACCAGTGGCACAATATTCCAACTGTCTTATAATTGGACAGACGGACGACCTCGATTTTCCCACCGAGGCTGTTTTCTTACATTACTTGGCCCCGTAGTTCCAGTCTTCGAAGAGTCGGCAACTCGTAGCGACCCGAAAACGACCACGGCCCCAAATGTTGGTGGATTTACCTGACGATCATTATGTCTCGATGCCACTTAAGTAAGGCTTGCCTCGCTGTCCCCTCACTCAGCTCGCAGATAGGCACTAATAGAGATGATATTATGTTGTCAACAATTAGCGTATCCCTAGGTAGACATCGACGGCATATAGAACTCATCAAAACATATTCACCTACCTAGGTAGGTAACTACTACATAGATAAAACTATAGTCACGTAATAATAATCGTTACTTGATGTCACAACCAATCAAGAGATACGCTCGGTATATGTTAATCCGTGCGAGCCAATATCTTGGTAACATCTTCTTCATATATAGGTACCAATCTTCTATTCCTCTGGTGGTATTCGGTTCGATTTATTTCTATCCACATGGCCACTTGAAGTCAACGCAACAGTGACCGCGTATGCGACCAGACGGAGTAGGAATACGTATAGTAGGCCTGTGGGCGGAAGCTCGGAAATTTGACGGCTGCAACCTACGGCAGCTCGGCGGAACAAGACGCATCCGTTATGACTACCCAGCCTGTACCCAGGTATGTGCATTACTGAGTACCTAACCTAGACAACTGTATTGTTCCCTAACTCTCCTGGCACAATTTAATGGGATCTTCGATAAAACAAAACCAAGACCAGCAAAGACAGAAATCTGCCGGGCGTTGGTGATGGTGACACAGCTACAAATATGCCCATAAGTAGTATATTTTCGACCCAAGCCTTTAACCCAGCCAATAGCCAGATCGCGCTTCTTTGTGGAGGCTCAACAAATACGGCTAGGCTCGGACAGTGTTCGTTCCATCGCTTGCGTTAGCGCCTGTCTATTCCATGGGCGGCCGATCTCTGTCTTCGGTAGTCCCCGGCACAAGGGTTCTGGTGAACTTCTTCATGTGGTAACTACTTACATGCCTAGCCAGGTATATGTAGTAGCCTGCAGCCCAATGCCTACCTAGGTACATGTAAGGTAGGTATGTTTCCTGTAATGGTAGATTTACTTATGGTGTCATAGGTAAAGGGCAACGCTTGATTTAGTGGTGACTGGAGGGCCCATCTGGCATGCCAAGGCGCCTACGGAGAAATAGGGGTGACGCCAGGCCACAGTCATATCTGGCGATGCTTCAAGCCCAAGCAGTCCAAAATCAAAAAAAATAAAGTAGCAAACTTGAGAAACCACAGGTGATCTTGCGCCGCAACACTCAAATGATAGGCTCAACAGCCTAAGATAAGTTAGGTATCTAGCTCGTTGTTGTGCTGCAATGTTACGGTACTATGCAAAAGTGTCACCACCTCAGCATATTCCTACCATAGTACTAAATTGCTAACTTAGGTATGTGTGTGAAAAAGTTGTTCGGGTATTAATAACTTGGGTTGATAGGATATTACAATGGGAATAGTCCTGGCGTTCGGACATTCTCGACCTCGCTGCCCAGACAATGCGAATATCAATGGGTCTAAGTGGATCTATCCTTCTTTAGTCTAGACAAGGCGCCAGGTCGCCAGCACGTCCGTTAGTTGATGAAACCGACAACCCTTTCAAAAGCTCGGTGAGGCTTCTGGAGCTACGACCAGTAGCTTGATTCAACGGTGTATCTGACAAGTCACATCTTTTCATCTGGAACGGGTAGTTTATGGATTAGCGTGGCACGGAGACGTCCCAGTATTCTGGAAATAGAGCTGAGGGATGCCAAGCGGATTCAGATCGTGGTCGTCGAAGGGTTGAGTGGTAACCACCTATTTACTACGTAGTTACTGTTTACTTATACTCACCGCATTGTCTTTTATTGTTATTTATATCACCACTTACACGTCCTTCGTCTAGGTATACTGGCCTCTTTCGCTCCAAAGAGTTTCTTGTCCGCCGTGCACTGCAAACCTTGGAAATGAAGCCTAGTATCACCACCCGATATTCCCCAGAAATGATGTTCACCACAACTGCCAATTCTATCTTGCGCCGGGATGAAATCCCCACAAGGTGAGAACCGGAACCACTCATGTTATGTAATTCTACTCTTCTGATGACAAGTTCTCATTGATCTGACAAGCTGTCAACTGGTTTTTGCGCGTTCGGGCCGCTTCGTCGGCATCTGCAGGTTAGAGGTTCCCACTGTTCGTACGTACGCATGTGTACTAGGTAGGCAGTATACTGAGCTCGGAGGAGAATTACTTCACAGAGATCAGATTTCCTCATCTCGGGTGTGCCGAATTGGTTCTAATGTACCCCGGATGCGTCATTTGGATCACCCACATCTGGGTCTGCTGGGCCTGATACTTGAACTCGCCAGAAGGAGTTGAAGATCGCGTACGGTGTTACCAATCAGAACCAAGTGATAATCTCCCGGACCGAGACAGCAGGGTATAACTTGTCTAAGATTATTCCTTGACCTAGACAATCCCCCCCCCCCTAAACATACATGTACATTACAGCTAACCTAGAAGGAAGCGGGGCAACCTTCTCGAAGCTTTCGATACGCAGCGTAATGGTATTCCAAAATCATCGTGAGGATCAAAACTGAGACATTGGATACTGACTCAAATAGGCAAGTCAGAGCTATTGGCTCATCGAGGTGCCCAAAAGGGGCCCTATCACGTCCGTTCGAATATGCATATATTTCACCGTGCCGTCGCCTCGTGTAACAGGCCCATAATACATCCATGGACCGATCTGGCCCCTCCCCATGTGAGAATATGTTGGGAAGGAGTCTCGACAAGTTCGTAGGATATTGGTTAACATGACCTAATATATCACCAACGCTCTCCTCTGTGCTGTGTCCAGCCCCTCTTTCTAACATTGCATACCTACTTGGACCTATGTAATCAGGCTGAACCAGAGCCTCGACACATGGCAACCCGGTTTTCATCCATAGCGGCTAGCCCACTAAGGGAACTGTACCCAATATATCTCTATCCCTACCTACCTAGGTTACCTGCTAGGTAGGGTAGGTTAGTCAAGGGACCCCTAGGTTGATTGGTGACACTTGAAGTAAGAAGTTACGATTACGACCTCCTATCTGTGCCTAGGTATGTATGTAAGAGTCGGGCAGTCAAGAAGGCATCATCTTGGTTTCCTACTTCGGGCTGCCTCGCCTTTGAACCTCTCTTGGCCGACCATCCGCACTCTATTCCTCGGGCGCGATACCAATACATAGTCTAGCCTAGTATCTGGGAGCAGGGTTTTACGAGAATTCACCGGCATCCCGGTCCGCATTCTGTGTATCGACTTTCCCACACTGAACTGATAATGGAGACAAAGGGAAGTCGGTCGGTCGAGAGTAGGTACATTACTGCAGCTATGGGGCCTGATATACATCACACCCGCTTCGTCAAAGTGCATCATCGTACGTTCTTGGCAGCCCGAGGCTTCTAACCAAGCGTCTGACGGCATGGAATACTTACCTTTTCCATACCTATTCACAAAATCGACCGGGCCATCTTCCTCGGTACTTCGATGAATCCTCTCATCATAAAAAATCCGCCTAAACGTTTTATACCACGTTGTAGAGAAAAAGACTTTTTGTACCTACCTATCCATCCCGCGCCCCACAGGACATCCTGCTCCGACTGGCAAAGGAAAGGTCGGGCTAGTTGGGCGGATTTGAAAAAAAAAAAAAAATCCAAAACGGAAGATTCGAGACCAACAAACAAACCGTCCGAGTAAGCAATCCGGCCTGCAGGAGATTGGCTGGCCGTCCCATGGATCAGGTATTGAAGTCGTGGCACACATTTCTACCACAGTGACCGATGCCCTCGCATCCTTGGAGAAGGTCATGATCGGCCGGGCTTCCGCCAAGGAGAAGCCACCGCGTTTGTTGCTTGCTTTGGCTCTGGCTTTTGTGCTGTACAATACATACGTACGGAATATGCAGCGATGCCCGCTGAATGTGTAACGAGCTACACATCTACCTACTAGGTATCTATCTACTTTACCTGGGTTACTTACTCGCTTTGCCTTACGTAGTAGGAGACAGTGCCAACTCCGATGTCCCCCCCCTCTCCCCCTTGGAGGTTTGACAACGATATTTTGATAGACCCAATATATCGGATGTCTATTGACATCGTCAGCCCGAACGACAACCGCTAATTCCTCCCTTTCGAGACTGGTAATCTAACCCAAAGGACCCTACTACTACCTATACTCTACGCCGATGCTAGTTCTGGCCAAGGCGTTACGCATGCGCCAGCCCGCGACAGAGCTGGCCCATATCTTTTTTCGGGGGGTTTTTTTCTTTATTTCTTTTATCGTATTCTCTTCTAAATGCATCCCCCTTTCCCCTCCTGCTCCTATCAAGGTACTTGTATGTACTGTGCACTTGCGTGCCTAATATGATGTACCTTACCAAAGTTAACTTCCCAAGCCAATCTTCTTCCGCGATCTGGCGAGCTGACGAAGGAAATGAGCCCCTCACCTTCTCCCCCCCAATCCCGCTCTCTGCTTCCCCATCCGTGCCTTGCCAGGCTGGCACATGTTTACTAGTGGCTGGCCCTCCTTGGCCTGAGCTGGCCAAAGAGAGATCCCTTATCTGTAATAATCCCCGTAGCAATTATGTCATGCATAAGGACCGCAGGGAGCGATCGCCTCCAAGGTATCCAAGTACATATTTCTCTCTCTCTCTCTCTACCTGGATGGTCGGTGGCCTTGAGGCGAAAACTTTCTGATGATGTCGCGCCTTTGCTCCACCGGGCGCGACCTTTTTGGGGGGGAGAGAGAGGGGGATGGATCATCGAGACTTCCTAAGCCTCTCATTATACAGTACACATCCCAAGTTTCACACGCAAGGTTTCTTGGTCGCCTTTTGGGCTTTAATAATAGTGGCTTTTTAAGACAACGAATGGACGCTCGTAATACTTCATAATTCGCCGAGCACCTTCCATCTTATACCACGGCAGAGGGCAAGCTCAACATGTGCCAGCCCGAGCCCGAGCATCCCTTTAGTCATTGGCCCTTTCTGCCCGCTGCTGTCTGCCTTAAAACGGATCCTTCCTTCTAACTCTCTCGGGACAACCTCTTTCTGTCAGGCTACGCTTCAAGGCCGAACTCAGCTTGCCCTCCTTCGTGCTAACCTCGCCACCTCGCCTCGACTCGCCGTCCTTGCTTGTCCCCACCACACCATCATGAGTTTCTCTTCGGCCCGGAGGCGGAGGGCCGCTAGCATCTCTAACGTCATGTACACCAACGCCGTCTACTTCCCTAACTACAAGATCTATAGCGGTGCGACGCCGGGGATGATGAACTACAGCTGCGTCAATCACGTGTATTATGCCTTCGCCCACGTTGCGGCAGATGGAACCGTGTTTGTGAGTTGCGACCATGTTTACTTATAAGCTGCAGCAGAAACAACTTCGCAGTTACGTCATATAAATAGTCTCCACGATACTAATATGCCCGGTATAGTTAAGCGACGAGTGGGCGGATACTCAGGCCCCCTGCGACGGTGTTCAGGGCGGTCTCGGATCTCTGATGCATCTTAAGCAGAAGCACCCGCATCTGCAAGTTATCATGTCGATTGGCGGCGGGACGTCGACTGAGACGTTCCCCATAGTCGCCTCCGACACCCTGCTGCGGGACAATTTCGCAAGATCTGCGCGGGGGCTCGTGGAAGCTTCTGGTTTGGACGGTATCGACAGTAAGAAAAGATGCCCTTATTCTCTCCATGCTACTTAGCACCCTCACTCCAACTATCTACATGGGTTTCCCACTCAGATACTAGATATTACGTAAATAGGTGACTAACAACCATTACAACTAGTTAACTGGGAATACCCCATAGACCTTCAACAAGGCGCCGACTTCGTTGCGCTCCTGGCCGCAGTGCGGATTCACCTTCCTGAAGAGCAATTTTTCGTGACAGCGGCATTACCGGCAAGCCGTCCGATTCTACAAAATATCGATATCGCGCAAGCTGCCGCATATCTCGACTTTGTGAACCTCGCCGCGTATGACTTCTACGGGCCGTGGTCGCACCGGAGCGGGCACCACGCGCAGCTGTATTCGATGAACAAGGACGAGACCTCGGGGTCTTCCGGCGTTTCTTACCTTCTAAGCCACGGCTGTCCGTCGAGAAAAATATTGCTGGGCATTCCGCTTTACGGACGAAGCTTTCTTGGCGTCAGTAGCCCTGGACACCGACACAAAGGCGCTGGAGGTGAGGATGGTGCATTTGAATACAATATGTTGCCAAGAAAACACGCGAAAGAAATGACCGACAAGCGAGTAGGGGCTGCGAGTTGTGTCGGAGGTGACGGAGGTTTCGTGAGTTACGATAATCCGGATACGGTAAAGATGAAGGCGGCGTACTGCAAACAAAAGGGACTCGGCGTAAGTTTTGTTTATTTTTTTCCTTGATTTTCTATCAACCCCCCTTTTCCAACTTGATTAAGGCCTTCTCTTCTGACTTGAAAATATTAGGGCTTATTTTATTGGACCGGCCCCGCCGATGCCCGAGAGAAACACCGAAGCCTGATTGCGGCCGGGTTCCGTGCCCTGCATAGTTCATGATTTTTTCCGCACAGGCGAGCTCGAGATCGACATGTTCAACAAATGGAGTTTGGATTGTTTCGCGGCTGCATTTTCATGGAGTTTGAAGTTGGGCTAGGGGTTTAGGGGTATATATACGTTACCGTTTGTTTTCGCTATCACATGCTCGCATCCGCAACTCGGCATAACACACCACTCACCAAACACCACATCCCTCCCAACTACTCAAATTTTTGTTGACTTTTCTTGCATTTTTGATTTGGGAGATATTGGAAGCCAGACCATAAAAAGAAGGGGAAAAGGCGTGGAAAAGGTGGACTAGGTGAACATACCAAAAACAGAACAAACTGCTCTGCTTACGACAAGAGTCATGAGATCAAGACGGTTAGATAGGCTCAAAGTTCAGACCAAGGGGTTTTGCATGTTCTTGGATATAGGATGGGAGCGTTTAGAGATAGGCGACTTGATTTAGGCTTTGGTTAGGCTTTATGAGGATATAAACGATATATGAAGTAAATACATTTTGATATCATGTTCAAAAAGAAAATCTATTCAAAAGATAAAAACATAACTATTTGTGAGTAGGAAACATCATGAATGCGTACCAAGTGGGTTAGGCATTGAACTTTTCGGTGAAGGGAGCGCTCACCGAAAAGTAAAAATGAGGAAAATGAAGTTAAGAAAGTTGAAAAAGGATGCAAAGTTTATTGATTCGATTGATTGGGTCGGATGCTGCCGCTCTTGGATGGGTGGAGACTAATGGAGGCCATGTGGAGACCGGTGAACGAAGGTGAAGTGCTATGCTATCGATAAACACATAGCTAGCTAAGTAGTATTGACACGTGATTAACTTCGCTCAGCTTAGATGCATAATTGTGCATATCCATGTGAAACGTCATCTTCTATCTCAATTTAGACTTACATGCATCTATCTAATATCTACACCTATCACCTACATACTTGAGCCTGCATAGGCACAACGATCAACTATCACCTTTCTATACATTGAACTCTACAGAACTTCATAAACTGAAAAAAGAGAGGAACAAAAAGAAGAAGGGCAAAGATAACTTAATAGCTAAGACCTAATGTCACGGTCACAGCACAAATCCCCCTTGCGCTACCGAAGATGAACGGCGTTGCAGCAAATGAGCCGCCGTCTTTAGACGCTGGTAAGCTGGTTCATTCCCTCCCCCCTAAGCTTCTTCATCTTTCAAATCGAATTATCATATAAAAAGGGGAGGACTCGACTGTAACTAACACAAGATTAGCTGACTACGACCCAATACAGCACCTTAACCTCCTCTTCTCTCATCCCTCCACCGTATCCTCTGTAGGCAACGTATCCTCTACTCTACAATCCCGTCACAATGAGCTTTCCGCCGAAATTTCAACTCTCCAGATGGCCCAGGCCTATGGACCCGATTCCTCCCTCGAACGCATGCAATCCGCCCAGGCCGAGCTAGCGAGCCTTTTCAAAAAGATCGAGACTGTGCGCTCGCGTGCCATTCAAACCGAGCAGAATATCACTTCTATGACAGCTGATATCAAGCGACTGGATGGCACGAAACGAAACCTCACCCTCTCCATGACAGCCCTCAAGCGACTGCAAATGTTGACTACCGCCTACGAACAGCTGAGAGGCTTAGCGAAAACGAGACAGTATAGGGATTGCGCTAGTTTGCTACAGGCTGTGCTGCAGCTTATGCGCCACTTTAATAGCTACAGAAGCATTGACCAGATTGCTACACTTAGTCGCGGCGTCGGCGAGCTTCAGAGGGAGTTGCTCGAACAAGTTTGCGAAGACTTTGAGATAGCCTTCGCCAAGGGTGAAGTTGGGGCGAGGAAAGCGACGCTGGTGGAGGCTTGTGGAGTCATGGATGCGCTCGGAGATAGCGCGAGAACGAGGCTAGTCGCGTGGTACGTGAATACCGAACTAAGAGAGTACCGCCAGGTTTTCAGGGGCAACGACGAGGCCGGCAGCTTGGATAATATTGGAAGACGTTATGCATGGTTTAAAAGAATGGTAAAAGGGTACGAGGAAGAACGTGCGGCCATCTTCCCGCCTCACTGGAGGGTTGGCGAGACGCTTGCCATGGCTTTCTGTGACGGCACGAAAGACGATTATAAGGGTATCCTGGAGAAGAGCATGAGGAAAGTGGACGGCGCCAAGGTTGATGTCAATCTTCTACTGAGCTGCCTACAGGAGACGATGGATTTCGAACAAACCCTTGAACGACGGTTTTCCAGCGAATCGAGAGCAAGCATCGATACGCTTAGTTCCGCAGACGAGAGGACACACACCTTTAATGGGTCGATATCCGTTGCGTTTGAGCCGTATCTAAGTCTCTGGGTTGAGTCACAAGATAAGGCACTAGCATCTATGATTCCTAAATACAAAAACCAACCTTTACTACCGACCGACGAAGAATTTTCCCCTCAGGCCGTTATAACCTCCGCCATCGAACTCTTCCACTTCTATAAACTCACATTATCACAATGCGCCAAACTATCTACAAGCGAACGACTACTCGACCTAACAGGGACGTTGGCCAAATACCTAGACGAGTATGCCCAACAAGTACTGCTTTCTATCTTACAGAAACCTGGTCAGACGGGGCCGTCTCTCGAAGATGTAGTTCTTGTGCTTAACACCGCGGACTTCTGGCATGCTAACACGGAGCAACTGGAAGAGAATATAAAAAAGCGCATCGACAATGATCTCATGTCTAAAGTGGACTTATCATCCCAAGCCGATGCATTTCTGGGTGTTGCCAGCGCCGCCGTTATAGCGCTAGTGAACAAAGTTGAGGCAGACTGTGAAGGGGCCTGGCGTGAGATGAAGAACACGAACTGGAGCAAGATGGAAAGTGTCGGGGACCAGAGCTCTTATGTGGGGGAGCTAGTATCTCATGTCAACTCCAAGGCACAGGAGATCCTCACCGTAGTGGTAAAGCAGCAGTACGCGCGCGCCTTCGCCGACAAGCTCGTCGAGCACATCGCCAACACATACGTTTTCACCGTCGTTCAGTGCCGTCCCATTTCCGAGGTTGGCGCCGAGCAGATGCTGCTAGATAAATACGTGCTCACCAAGGCTCTCGAGAGCCTGCTGTCTCACCACAATGCGCCTGGGGCCTCCCAGCAGCAACCGCACGCACCACCATCCAGCTTCGTCAAGCGTGTGAACGCCACCATGACACGCTTTGACCCCCTCCTCAAAACCCTTCAAGTGCGGCCCTCGCCTCCGGAAGGCCTGGTTCAAGCATATCTCATCCACATCGGCGACCGATCCGACACCAACTTCCGCAAAATCCTCGAACTCAAGGGGATCCGGAAGCAGGACCAGGGCCACCTAATAGAACTTTTCGCAATCCACCGCGATGGTCCCGCTGCTGGCTCCAAACTCGTAGCGCAGAGCCCACTGTTAACGCCGCTCATGAACGCACCGGGGATTTCGGGCGTCGGCGTAGGAATGGGATCAAACAACCTAAACATAGGACTCGGCATCAGCAGTCTCACGGGCGGACCGGGCGGCGCACAGGGCGCGCCTCGCTTCGACGCAGCGTCGCTAGGCGAGAAGCTTCTCAACGCCGCGCGCGACGGCGTCGAAAGGATGGGGACACCCGGGATGCACGAGCCGATGCAGTTGCCGGGGAACGGCGGCAGCAGCGGAGGTAATGGCAGTAGCGCGAGTGGCGGGAGCGGCCAGAACAACAATAATGCGGTGAGCATCAATGAGAACCTGAAGAGCTTTGGGAAGTTCTTCCGAAGGGATATTGGGGGGCTGGGGGTTAGGTTCGGGAAGAGGGATGGCAGTGTGGATGACGCGCAGGGGAGGGCGAAGTGAGTCCGTATATATATATATACCTAGTAACTTGAAGCAGCTGCCTAGGCACGTGGATGCGGCGGGGGAAAGGGGTGAAGCGATGAAGTTAGATAAGGTATATAGATGCCTACCTCTGTACACCAATACTATACCACAAGCCATCCTGCCTACTTTGTAAACGTCATTATCACTCAATAATAGCTGCATGTGATTGAACATGTATATACTGAATTAGTACTGGATACACGAGCGAAGCAGCATCATCTGCAGTTTTTTTTTTTCCTTCCGAGGGTCTCACCATTGCCTACCAGTTAGCTCCGATGAGACGAAGAAAGACAAAAACAATTCATCTCATTTCTTGCAAAAACGAATCCATGGCAATTAGGTACGTCAAGTCACCGTAGCCAACAGCTTGTCCATGTTTGATCTTCAGCCTGTCTATCCTTAGGTAGGTGCCTAACCCTTCTCCTGGCCGGTTAAGTCGTCCTAGTGATCAATCAAAACTAGAGGTACCTATCCAGGTAGACCTTTCTTTCCTTGCAGCAAAGTGATACGAAGTGGTGCAATTATCGCTAATTCCTCTACTGCGGCGAAGCCTTCCAGATCCTCTTGACGGCCTCGGTCAAGCCGACGTCGTTGGTCTCGAACTCGTACAGGCCGATGCCGACGAGGATGGTGGCGCTGTTGAGGAGCCACATGGACGCCTTGCGGGACTTGGGGTACTCGCGCGTGGGGACGTAGTCGACGATGACGGACTGGATGCCGAGGTGGCAGTGGACGAGCAGCAGCGAGCACAGGATGGCGTCGAGCCCCGGGTTCAGGGAGCTGCCCGCGAGGGGGGACAGGGTTAGCGGGATGATGCCGGCGGCGACGAGGCGCTCGAAGGTCCAGTGGTACGAGCCGTGCGTCGAGCTGGTGGGGGGGACGGGGGCTGGGTCGTTGACTGGTGGGAGTGTGTGTGGTTAGTATGTCTTGTCTTTAATGCCATACTACTCTAAGGCTGCATGAAATTTGGCATTTCGTAGTGGGGGAATAGAAAGGCAAGTCGCATACCGGATCCTTTGATAACCTCTGTGATAGTCGCGATATGTTAGCATGCCATACCCAAAGCAATATAATGGTGAGTAAAGTAAATAACTAACGTGGCCCAGGAGGTAATAGACTTCTCCGACTAGAAGCGTGAAAGCCAGCAACGCGCGCAGCGTCCTTTGCGATCGTCGGCCGGATCAGCTGCTGTCTTGTGAAAGTGGCCGTTGCGGCTCGTCGGGTGGAAGCGGCCAGGGCCGTCTGCCGCAGCAATGCTGGACGGATTATGGAAGCCATTGAGACGGAGACTGTGAAGAAAGGCTGTTGATACAAGTTCGGTTATGGGGGGATTGTACTATTAGCTGGTAGCCTCCCAGTTGCCTAACAAAACAGAATAAAAGAAAATGGTTGAATTGAATTGAATTGAATTTGAGACCGGCGATGATGCATTGGACATTGCCGAGGACCAAAAAGAATTACCTCTCGTTTGATTGGTTGGGCTTCGTCCGGGAAATGCCAGGCTTGGGATTACATAATACAGATCGGCGTCGGCCGTTTATCCAGGTACGACTCAATACTTGCATATCAGTACTTTAGGAATATTCTTGATATCGAAATAATCGAATTAGTTATCTTGTACTGGTTATTAGAACAGAGTCACTTTACAACTTTCAACTTACATCAACCCGAAATAGATGGCATAGTTAGTAGGCAAATGGTAGGTACACAACATGAAAACCATGTACGGCGGTATGACAAAGTTTACCTTGGATTATACCCACCCCAAGTCTTGAAGTTCTCTCGATAATTCAACCATCGAATACACTGAACCGGCTCCATACCCTGCTATTTGAACTTCTTTGTCTGTCAAAGAAACCCCGAAGGCGGTCAGAGCTGCCAGAAATCGGGAATTAACCAACGATGGTAGGGATTTGACAAGCCCCTGTCATGCTTACTGATGTAGCCAATCATCATTATACCGAGGTTCCCCATGGGCAATGATGAAGTTCAAAGACTAAGACAATGTAAGGAGGTACTACTATACATATTTACATATTATCACATATTCGCCCTCATCTCATCAATACCGTGTTCTTTACCGGTTACTCTGATCTTGAATTTTACCAAAAATTTGCAAAATTTGCAAAATTTCCAAGAATAGCCGAAATCATATAATACCATCGTAACTCACTCACTAGAAACTTACTCGTAACAGTTTCGAATCACTGCATAGTAATCAGGATATAAAACGAAGTAATCATGCGGGGCATCCAAATCACAGAATATGTCAAGGTGAGACGAAACTTGAAGCTGCGGTTGAGTAGCACGACAGTAAGATAATCAAAATATGTACTAACGTAGGTTTACCTACTCCTAGGGCCCGAAAGAGCTCAAGGTCTCAGAGCTCCCGGACCCGACGCCGAAGCCGGATCAGTACCTCGTCGAGGTTCACGCCGCGGCGACCAACTTCTTCGACATCCTGCAGATCCAGGGAAAATACCAAAATCAACCTCGTATGTTCGTACCCTAGGTACGCGAATATCACGGCTGACTAACCTATCTTAAATTAGCCTTCCCCTGGGTCTCCGGCGCCGAGTTCTCCGGCATCGTCCGCGCAACCCCCTCCAACGCCAAGTCCCCCCCTAAGTACCCCGTCGGCAGCCGCGTCTTCGGCGCCAGCGCAGGCGCGTACGCGACGCTCGTGTGCCCGGCAGAGCACGAACTACTGCCTGTGCCAAAGGGGTGGTCCTTCGTCGACGCAGCCGGGCTCTTCGTAACCGCGCCGACAAGCTACGGCGCACTAGTGCAGCGCGCAGGCATCAAAGCCGGCGACTGGGTGCTCGTGCACGCCGCAGCCGGCGGCGTCGGGCTCGCCGCCGTGCAAGTCGCCAAAGCCTTCGGCGCGACCGTGATCGCGACGGCCGGGACCCCGCGCAAGCTCGAGGTGGCCAAGCAGTTCGGCGCGGACCACGTCGTCGACTACCGCGATCCTGCGTGGCCGGACCTCGTGAAGAAGCTTACCCCGAAAGGCCGAGGCGTCGACATCGTCTACGACCCCGTCGGCCTCGTCGACAAGAGCACCAAGTGCATCGCGTGGAACGGCCGCATCCTCGTCGTCGGCTTCGCCGCGGGACAGATCGAGAAGCTGGCCATGAACAAGGTGCTGCTGAAGAACATCAGCATCGTCGGCATCCACTGGGGCGCGTACGCGCGCTTCGAGCGGGAGACGATACCCGTTGTTTGGGAGGGGATTGGAAAGCTGATCGAGGAAGGGAAATTTAGGGGCACGGTGTTCGCGGATAAGGAGTTTGTGGGGCTCGAGAGCATCCCGGATGCGCTGTTGGCGTTGGGAGGGAGGGAGACGTGGGGGAAGGTTGTGGTGAAGATCCCGCAGTCGGGGGAGAATAAGTTGTGAGGAAGGGGGGAGATATTTGTAGGTTAGGTAGGTACTCAGGGCACACGTCTTTAGCATTGGGTCTTTGGTTTTGGTTTTGGTTTTGGTCTTGGTGATTTAACATGGCCTGTGTACTTTTTTCATGTGCAAGCATAGGCTAGGCTAGGTAGATATGTTCTTGTGTCTAGATATATACATGTAGGTACAGAAGTGAAGAAGCATTCAACGAAGAAATTAGATGATACCCGTTTTAATAATGACGGCTTGAGTTATTCGGATGTCTTGAACATGATTTGGATGGATTCCTGTCTTTTCTTTTTTTGTGTTGCTTCAGTCCACGGTAGCATTTAAGAAGCCATGCTCGGCATGTCCCATGTACCTAATCTGAATCTGCATGCTCTCTAATACTCTGCGCTTCATCTCCGATACCGTCTTGACGATATCCATCTGCGGGAAGGCCCCGTGCGTGCTGCTGAAGTCGTGCTTCCCGAGTATCTCCCACATCTTCTCCAGCTCGTGCGGAGGCAGCGGGATCATATTCGGGATGCTCCACATGAAGGAGAAGCTGTTCATTCCTTGTGGTCGTTGGTTCCGAGTATTCCCCACCGCGTCCGTCTCCCAGCTGCCGAGTCCCGAGGGAGTGGTGACCAGCGTGTCGGCGACGAGGAGCCGTCCTTCATACAGCGCCACGCAAGAGCCTGGGAAGTGGCCACCGAGTTTCAAAATCTTGATCCCGGACGAGGCGCCGCCGATCTGCAGGTCTAATTCGGTCTCCTTGAAGAAGATTTGGTTCGCCGAGCTCTGCGTTGTCCACTGCTGGTCTTCGGTCGCCAGGTAGACAGGGCAGCTGAAGGCACGGGCCCACTCCACGTGCGTTGTGTAGTAGTGGGGGTGAGAGATGACGATGGCTTTGAGGCCGCCCATGCTCTTGATCTTACTGACGGTCTCGTAGTCAATGAGGGTGATGCAGTCCCAGAGCACGTTTCCTTGGGGGGTCTTGATGAGGATGGCCCGTTGTCCGATGCCCACTTTTGGCTCGGTGACGACAGAGAGGAACCTATCATCGCCGCATATGGGCGTCCACACGTTCTTAGAATTTGAGCGGACATCGTCCAATGTAGTGAAGCTCTGGCCCGAGGGAGGGGTGAATTGTCGTGGGTCATCACAGATGAAGCACGTCTTCAACTCCCGCCGGTCTGCTGTTGCGTACTGAGTCCCGCATGCCGTACACACTAACCATGAGCCGGTCATCTTAAGGTCATAATACATAGGCTGGCTGGATACCATGGTGAACATGGTTCTTTTTGGTTTGCACCCTCCAGAGGGTGACGATGATTGTGAATCTTTTTTTTCAATACCTGATCGTAGAAAAAACAACTTTTGGTCGACCTCCTTAATGAGCTCGATGGCCCTACTAGGTAGGTTAAAGCGGTTATGTCCGTTACAGAATATAAGTCGGATGAGAATTAGTGAGTTTTGAGACAACTTTTGTTACGGTCAGAAAAAGTCTAAGATTTAAAAATGACGTTTGACGTTTATGGATAATCTTGATCCCTTCTTTTTTTTTCATGAGCGTTGCCTGAATCAACATACAGTGCAGTTAATAATTCAGATACGAGATATGGGAAGCATCGCGGGGCGCATTGGTGGGGAAGAGAGAAAGACGACATGGAGAAGTGGGGGAATGGTGATAGTGCATAGAAATAGTTATGTACATACCGCGGGTAAGGATGCATGTATATACACACTAGGCACATGGCATGTATGTACTACATATATGCATGTGTATGCTACTGTATGCAGGTAGCTACATAGTAGCTGACTCCTACATGTAGGTACTCTAGGCAGCTTACATAATGCTAGTACGTGGCTTGAATCTAATATGTATAATATGTATAATTCAGGTACCACTCTGTCCAGTGGTAAAGTGACGCAGGTGACATGCAGTAATTTGTTGGCAGGTGGATTCCGTGTCTTTGCCCTACGTGCGGAAGGTATACGCGGTTATCTACGGCCGGCGAGGAAGGTGAGCTAGATACGGTAACGAAATGCGGGGATACCGGAGTCATCCGACTTGGACTTTAAATTATGTATTCAAGTTATACTACTAATGTAAGTACTATGTACTGTGTACTGTAATTTGTAGATAGGGACCAGAAATACGTAAAAGAAGGTCTGACCTGATCTGATCTTTATAGGTAGTCACTACTTGGTAGGTTTTACCTTATCTTTCAACTCCGACACCCGTGCATTCCAGATATATATATATTAATAACTCATTCTTGACATATTTGAACTTTGTCTCTTTCTCTCTTTACTACCTACTATACCTATACTATGTAGTAGTAGGCATTTAATACCTACATGATACCCAATACCCAACACATGCAGTGAATACCCAACATCATCTCCCTTCGTTCAAGCTTACTCTGTAAACTACATACTTACTATCCGTTTACTCCTTTAAGATGGTGTTCTTTCTCGATTATATCCAGCATAAACGTGACTGGTAAGTGACCTCCCTATTTCTCCTTACGCTACCCATTATCTATCACGGGTATAAATCCGGTTCCGGTAACTTGGGGTGAGACATACAATTTGGAGTGAGACATACCTTTCTCACAGTTACACAGCAAGTTCAAGCAAAATGAACGCGCAGAACGAATCCGGGGTTTAACGCAGTATCACGGTCCCTTCACTACACAGGACCGGGATATTATCAACAAGCCAATCGAGGAGTTGGTGAACGAAGTACATGATGGTGCACTTCAACCTATTGACCTCCTTCGTACCTATGGCAAGGTTGCGGTGAAGGCACACGAGAAAACAAATTGCTTGACCGAAGTTATGATCTCTGCGGCTGAAGGATGGATTACGGATGGCTCCATTAACCTGAAAGGCCCACTGGCTGGAATACCGGTGAGCTTAAAAGATACCATCAACGTTGGCGGCTTCGACTCCACTGTCGGTTACAGCAGCTTCGTCGGTAACAAGCCCGTCGAAGATGGTCCCCATACCAAAATACTCAAGGATGCTGGTGCCATTCCCTACGTAAAGACAAATATGCCCATTACGCTCCTTAGTTTTGAGTCCACGAATGATGTCTGGGGACGATGCACTAACCCTCACAACAACAAATACTCTCCAGGAGGGTCAACTGGCGGTGAAGCAGCTCTGTTGGCCTTGGGCGGGAGAATTGGAATCGGAAGTGATGTCGCCGGCAGCGTTCGAGCCCCTGCCCATTTCTCCGGTATCTACAGTTTACGGTGTTCGACTGGGAGATGGCCGAAGGGAGGGTTTGCAACGAGCATGCCCGGCCAAGAAGGCGTACCGAGCGTCTACAGTCCCATGACCAGGACCTTGGACGACTTGACGTATTTTACTCGCGCCATGGTCGGCATGCAACCCTGGAAGTACGACCATAGCGTTCACCCTCTACCTTGGAGACCTGAGATAGAAGAAGAATATGCATCCAAGGAAAAGTTCCGCATAGGTGTGATGAGGACAGATGGGGTTGTTGACCCTAGCCCAGCATGTATTAGGGCTATAGAAGAAACAGAAGTTGCCCTGAGACGAGAAGGCCACGAGATTGTCGAGATCGATCCGCCATCGCCGTACGAAGCCCTCCAACTTGGTGCCCTTTTATTGAACGCCGATGGCTGCAAAGTGTTCAAGTCGTTTTTCCGATTTGGCGAGTGGAACGATCCAGGGGCAGACCAGATGGACTTCTTTATGCGACTGCCCAGACCGCTCAAATACGTATATTACCTTTGGGTTAAGTACGTTCGACGAGACGATGTATGGGCTGGTCTCGTCAAGGATTGGCACGAGAAGAGTGTATTCGAGCAATGGCAACTAGTCTCTAAGCGTGAAACCTACAGGGCAAAGTGGTTCGACTGGTGGAACAAGGTTGATGTCGATTTCTTGCTGACACCTCCAAACGCCACACCTGCCGTGCCACATGATGGCATGAAGGATGCTGTGAGCAGCTGCGGCTACACATTCCTCTTCAATCTTGTAAGAAAGCATTCTGATCATTGTTACTGCACTGAAACTAATCGGAATAGGTCGATTATACCTGTGGTGTCATGCCCGTGACACACGTCGATAAACACCTCGACAGGTTACCATCCAACTTTAACATTAAGAAACTGAACGGAGTCGCTCAAGGTGCATACAAGCTCTATGATGCTGAGGCGATGCATGGACTACCTGTCGGCATACAAATTGTGGGCCGAAGATTAGAAGAAGAAAAGGTGCTCGCAATCATGAAGAGGATAGAGAATGCTCTTGGCGACGAGAGGTATCAACTACTTGATATCGACTGATTAATCTATATGAAGTGATACGTTGGGAGATGTGCTGATGATATCCGTGGATATAAGATATGCGTCGATATATGTTTGCCTTAGTCCCGGCGGTTACTGTCGGCGGTTTCGAAACCAGGTTCTTCGCTAAGACAGCCAGAAAAATCATCATTAGAATTAAAATAAATTGAAACTTACTTCTTAACAGAAAGATTTTAAATATGGGAATTGAGAACATGCCTGGACCCGTTACGAGTGGCTTGCATGCGCAAGTCCAAGTATAAGTGCTCCGATCTCGGGCGGCTGTTCAGCCGCGCTGATCGGGGCCGGTACGGAAGACTTCTTTATAAGTAAGGGATAAGTCCTCGAAGGATACTTTATGTCTAGGATGTTGAATTTACGTTATTTCTACTGTTTTACAGAATATCATACGATATTCCTTGTCTTCTAAACCTTGGCGAGAAAACCTCTTCTTACAAGTCGGTACATCTACAGGCGAATAATGGCCGAGGAAAAGAAAGACCACTGGTCGTCTGAGGTGAGTTAACTACGGACTGCACCTCGAACACTGCCCATTTCACAGTAGCGTTCTAACATTACTTGTGGCACCAAGGCATACCAGAACGCGGCCTCCTTCGTGCCGAAGCTCGCGACCAAGATCGTGCAATGGCTTGATCCGCAGAAGGACGACGTCATCTTAGATATAGGATGCGGCGGTACGTTTCCCATCCTCATATACTGAACTGACTGAACATCTCAGCTTACGTCTGCATGTCCTAGATGGCGTGCTCGATGTCCAGATCCACGAGGTTCTAGCGCAAGGAAATGGTAGTATCCATGGCACTGATGCTTCGCCGGCTATGATCGAAGCAGCGATAGAAACTGTTAAGAAAGCCGGGACTGCCAAGTGCACGTTCGAAGGTAATTGCTGCCTCTGTTTTCGTTACCTTCCTTTCCCTGTGACATCTTAAGTCTATATATGCAGGGTTTCATAGTGCCTAACAAACTTGTTCGTAATCAACATACTGACCTACTTAACAGTCGTCGACGCCGTTGAACTCGCGAAGGCGCCACATCTACAACGCGGACAATACACCAAGCTCTTCTCCAACGCAGCACTGCACTGGGTCCTCGGGCAGTGCAAAACCGACGCCGCGAAACAGGCGGAATTCTTCCGCGCAGCACGGGACGCGCTCGTGCCCGGCGGCACCTTTGCCTTCGAGATGGGCGGCCTCGGCAACGTGTCAGAGATGCGGGCGGCGCTCCTCGGGGCCGTGGCGCGGCGGGTCGGGCTCGCGAAGGCCGTCGAGCACGATCCGTGGTTCTTCCCCGACGAGGCCTGGGCAAAGACGGTGATGGAGGAGACGGTGGGCGGATGGAAGGTAGAGAGGGCAGAGAGGGAGTATAGGCCTACGACGGCGGATGTGGGAGGGGTTGAGGGCTGGGTGAGGTTATTCGGGGCGAGCTTCTTTGAGGCGTTGCCGGAGGGGAAGGAGAGGGAAGAGTGTGTGAGGGAGGTGGTGGATGTGCTGGAGGTGGTGTGTAGAAACCCGGGTAGTGGTGGTGGGTTCCATCTTGGGTATGTGCGGTTGAGGGTGTTGGCGAGGAAGTTGTGAGTGCCTGCCTTCCTTCATGCTTGCCATGCCTACCTGATCTGGTGATTAGGTACTAGTGATAGTAATATTGAAGTGATCCTCGGTATTATTGCCTGGTAGGGATTACTTAAACTCAAAGTCAAAGTTCTGGACTTCTCGATGCCTAAACGGCCTCGACTTCCAATTCGGTTGAGTTCCAAGGTTGAAGGCCTTAAGGATGGATGATTCAGGGTTCCACTAAACAGTGTTTAAACTCGTACCTGTGTGGCGTAACATCCTAGCACATGAAAGAGAGTCAACCCCTCAATATATTCTCTGTCGATAATACGAGGCCATTTACCCACTTGTCTAACGATAACGAAGAGGAGAAAATGCTGTTAAATATCGAATCATGAACATCACCGAGGCATCAAAATAAATTACCTGATGGACAACAATTAAAGCCAAGAAACTAAATACCTAGCACTCAGTTACATGCTTTAGGTTGCATGTGGGGTTGTACTACTTCGATATCATCCCGCCATCTTACTTCCCTAGGGTACCTACCTAGAGTACCTACCTAGGGTATGTTACATAAGAAATCGATAACTTTAGTTATCTCCTACGTCGTACATTCTTTAAAAAGAAAATCATATTCCTCCCAAGTTTTTGATCCACTTTGGGCTCACCGATTTATTCAATTTTCTCCGTTTTCCTACCCCATCTCTCATTCCTAATACCTCATACTTGAATAAACCAGGAAACACCCATCCGATCAGAACAGTCACTGATATCCGGCCATGTCTGCCGACGACCAGCAGTTTTTGGACTTGGTTAGTAATTTTATTTTACATTTTATCCTATCTAGAGAAAGAGAAAAGATGAATGAGTAAAACGAAGACTGACAGCATTTTGACATGTGATAACAGCTCTCGTCCATCCCGAACCAGATCCGACGGTATTCGGGGGACGTTGCCGATTATGTCGACAAGGCTGTTGACAAGGTCGCCGAAGATCTTCGAGATACACTATCCTCGGCTCCTTGGGTGCCTGACTACATACGACCGACACCTCCGGCTCGGCCGCCACCGGTCGAGATCATACCCTTGACCAGCTTCGAACGAGTCCAAGATTGGATCTCTCGCCATAAGCTTCTTACTGGCGCGGTAGTGTTTGCTATCGGCTATGCTACGTACAGAACAGTACGACATACGAAGCTGTCTCGCAAAGCCCGCCGAGCAAGGCGTGCCCGCAATGGCGGAAGACTAGAGGTTGTCGTCATTGCTGGCTCGCCCACGCTACCCCTCACTAAGACGTTGGCTCTAGATATGGAGAGGAAAGGCTTCATCGTATTCGTTGTCTGCAATACAATCGAAGACGAGGTCACCGTCCAGGGCTTCTCGCGACCGGACATCAAGCCGTTAGGGATTGATATCACCGATGTAAGTTGTCTTCTTGATTGAGCACCTAGTGTCTTGTTGCATGACTAATATGAATATGAAACCTAGCCCACGAATGCTGGCCAATCTATCGAACGATTTGCATCCTACCTACAAGCAGCGCACGCGTCAGTTCCACGAGCCAAGGCAAATCTCTTGGAATTGAAGGCCGTCTTCCTGATTCCTTCACTCAACTACCAAACATCACCAATAGCTACCATTCCCCCATCGAGCTTTGCTGATCTGTTCAACACCCATCTCCTACACCCTATCCTCACCATCCAATCCTTCTTACCTCTACTCACGTCCCGAATGAAGTCCTCCAGTGATCAGCCAACAACACCCAAGGTTCTTGTCTTCACTCCCTCTATCATCTCATCTATCAATCCGCCCTTCCACGCCCCTGAAGCAACCGTATGTTCCGCGCTCTCCGCATTTACCGAGGTCCTGACTGCCGAGCTGCGCCCTCTCGGCATCCCCGTTACCCATATTCAACTTGGTACGTTTGACTTTGCCGGTTTCACGCCTGTACGCGGTCCCATGCAAATGCTACCCCCTCCCATAGAGGCCCAGCAGTGGCCCGAAGCGGCCCGCCTAGCCTATGCCCGGAACTACGTATCACAGTCAGGCTCTGTCATCTCCGCCGGTCGTATTCGCGGCCTCCGCGGTAGCTCTTTGCGCGATCTTCACCATGCTGTGTTCGATGTTGTCGACGGCTCTGAAAAGAGCGATGTTGTGCGCGTCGGTCTAGGCGCTGGCCTGTATGGATTTGTGGGTCGTTGGGCGCCTAGAGGCTTGATCGCGTGGATGATGGGGATCCGAAAAGTAGATGAATTGAGTGCATGGGAGACGTTAAACACCGCGAATAGGAGCAGAAGTGGGAGTGCCGCTGGCAGCGGAAGCGGGAGTGGTAGTAGGAGTAGGAGTGGAAGTGAGAAAAGCGTGAGTAGTGAAACCGGCGAGAATGTCGAGGGAAGCGAGTTCATCTCTGTACCCAGTCACGATCATGTGTGGAGGAAGGATGAGCTCTGATCAATGACTTTCTTTCCTTGCGTAATATTGGGCTCTGGGCATGGGGCTGGGTAGGTGGGCATGGGATGGCTAGGTGGGTAGCTGGCATGCTCGGTTTATGATGCTATGATTTGATATGTCAAGGTTATGTTGTGTATATACGTTGGAGAGATGAAGCCGAAATTTTTCGACACTTGCGCCTGCACTTGGAAGAACAAACTTTGCTACTCTTAACACGAATGGGTGGTTCCCGGGTCACCTCAATACAAAATGGAAATCTCACGATGAATAATTCTCTAGGTAGCTAGCAGTAAAGCTTTTTTTTTAATGTTATGAAATGGTTTATTGCTTGATATCTTGAACTACCTAACAATGTCCCCGGGGTATCTTGAGCTCGTAAACTTCCTAGAAAAGACCCCCCTAACATATGTAGTTGGTTAATCCAAGGTGTTTAATCTAGCAAACATGGCCTGACATTCATTTCCACTTGAAGCAATCCTACGAGAACCCCCCGCCCGTTGAGCATCATGTCCTTCATCCTCGTATCGTGATTCGGTGACTGAGTAGGTATCTTACACTGTAGCGCGTACGTATCGACTGGGAGGTACGAGGTAATGTGCGTAGAAGTAGACGCAAACGGTGGCTTCTACACTGTCTTGTCGGGTCGGGATCGAGTGTTCTCTGTGGAGGTTTTGTTGGGATATCGAGGGCGAACCCGTTACTAGCGTGGCCGTCTCGAACCTCAGCCTCTTCAATGATGGCCCCGTCCCCGCCCAAACTTCCTATCGCCTCTTCCTCTCCACCGACCACCCCGTCCACCTCCAAACCTGTCACCTCTTCCTCCCCTATCATCCCTATCCCGTCGTCCAAACTCCCTCGGCTCATCATCCATTCCAAAATCGTCTCTCCGGATCGGCTCCTCGGGTATCACATCCGCCTTCGCGATCGGCTTCTCGAGATTCTTGTCCCACCGCGGGTGCGCGCCGTCCTTGCACAGCTTGCCCTCGGGGCAGAAGCCGGCGAGGTAGTACGGGCACAGCTTCCGGCGCACGTGCTTTTTGCTGCAGGTCGGGCCCAGGGGGCAGAAGCCGCGGTCGTAGTGCGGGCAAGGGGGCAACTTGGACTGGGGGTCGATGTGTAGATAGAGGCACTCGTCGCCGTTGGAGCAGTAGCCGTTGCGGACGAAGAAGTTGCACTCGGGCATCTTGCGCAGGTTGTACTCGTGCAGGAACTCGCAGCTCTCGCCCTTCTTGCACAGGGCGCGCAGCCAGTGCTTGCACACGAGCGAGTTGTAGCTCGCGTTCGTGCTGCTCGCCGCGTTCGGCGCGACGTGTCGGTCGCCGCAGGAGGAGCCCGCCGGGCAGTGGCCCGCGACAAAGGCTTTGCAGACGGGCCGGTTGGGCGGGAAGCCGTGGCCGTAGGTCGAGCGGAGGAAGGGCGAGAAGCTGAAGGTGTAGGAGGGGGCTTTGTGCTCGAGGATCTGCTTCGCTAGCTCGGAGGGCGGTGGGGGCGGCGCCGTGGTCGTCGCCATGATGGGTGGAGTGGTGGGGCGATGTCGATAGAGTTTTTTTTCTTTTTAAATTGCGTTCCTTGTTTTGATGTTGTTGGTGGTGTCGTTTATAGTATAATGCGTATGAGTTTGGGAGTGGTATTATGGAAGTGTGTTGTGTAATGTACTTGGTTGGAATTAAAGAATTCACGTACCTTGGTAGGTACGTAAATACCCTGGTTGGAATTGAACTCAATTGATAACAGGGACGAGACAGCTTATGTGGGGCGGGTGGATGAGATAAGACACCTATTAGGTACATATAGTGCTTAGAAGCACAGTCCCACAGCTACTACTAGTACTGCATACACTAGTGCGGGGTATGCAAGTAAATAGGATACCTATGACCAAATTCATCAAGAAATCCAAATGCTTTGTAGCATTCCTCTTCCTCCCCTTTACAACTCCGCCCTCGTTTACAGATCTCCGACGAACAACGGGGTCGTCGACCCAAGCTCGGCCCGGCTCCTCTGCTGTGAATAGGATCTACATTGCATGAAAGTGCGGGGAGATTGGAGATGCTAGTCGTTCGTTAATTCATCCCATCTTCTTCTCAGCCTACCTCCCCAGATATACTACCTAAATACAGCTCCGTATGAATGCGAGACGAATAGTTCGAGATATTATAACAGTGATTTGGTTCAGCATAGTTTGAGTTGATTGGACTGGAGTTTTTCTTTGATTTGTTCAGCACTGTCGAGTTCAGTTTATTCACATCACTACCTAGTATACCTTTGGAAGGCTTGTCGTATTTTATTTATCTTATTATTTTCATTACTACCTAGCCCTGGATTTAAGCCTTTTTGACGCTATATCACTGCATGTTTAGTCTACATGCTACCTTGTAGGTAACTAGGTACCTATCTTGTTCGGTATCGGTAGGCACGCCTCGCCTCGCATGATGATGGGGTCGTTCGGCTCTACAGCTCGGGAGCTCTATCCAGGGCTGGGGTTCACGTCTTATATCAGTGGTGAATCATGCCCGGATACATCTTGGCTCGTTGCATTTCCTGTGTCCCTCTTTGCTAACCTCGAAACTTGGTATGGTCAACTGGGCTTCGGTTCTCGTTTGCTCTTCTTCACATTCCTCGTCTCTACTTTTGCTGCTTCCTCGTCCTGGTATGCTGGCCGGTTAAATCGAAACATCATGTTGCTCCCGTTGATATTGCTGGCCACCCTCAGCCTTACCCAGGGGCAGGATAGTGCTACGACCACAACGACTGCTCTAGATTCGACATATACCCTGCCACCGGATGCAGATGTTGGTCAGCAAGTCATTCCAAACATTGTTGACCCTCAAGCTGTCAATCCTCAACTAGTGTGCCCCGGCTACAAAGCCTCGAACGTCAAATCTCAAGGCAATGCCTTAACAGCAGATCTTACTTTAGCAGGCGAGGCCTGTAATGTCTATGGCACTGACATCGAGTCTCTTTCTTTGTTTGTCGAGTATCAAGCAGCAGACCGGCTACACATTCAGATACAGCCTCGTCACATTGGCCCTGAGAACTACACATGGTTCATCCTCCCCGATGAATTGATCCCAGCACCTCAAGTAGAGAGCGAGGATGAATCCGATAGCTATCCCTCAGATAGCGATCTCGATTTTGCCTGGAAAAATGAGCCTACCTTCTCATTTGAGGTCGTGAGAAAGAGTACCGGCGATGTTTTATTTACTACTGGGGGTACCCAGCTGGTGTATGAAGACCAATTCATTGAATTCGGCTCTTACTTACCGGATAATTACAATCTGTACGGTCTAGGCGAAGTCATTCATGGTTTTAGGCTTGGGAATAATCTCACTCGTATGACTCCTAACTACATTCATACTTGATTCGTGATCTAATAAGACCAGGAACCCTCTTTGCCGCAGATGTGGGTGATGTTATAGATGCGAATATCTACGGCAACCATCCCATATACCTTGACACTCGCTACTTCAAGGTTGACCAAGAGACGGGAGCGATGGCATATGCTTCAGACTTGACGGATAAGTCGGCTCAGTACAAGTCATACACTCATGGCGTCTTCCAGCGGAATGCCCATATACAGGAAGTGTTGCTACGAGAGAACAACATTACTTGGAGGGCACTTGGTGGTAATATTGACCTATATTTCTACCAAGGTCCCACACAGGACAGTATCACCAAGGCATATCAAAAGAGTGCTATTGGACTGCCCGCGATGCAGCAGTATTGGACATTTGGATATCACCAATGTAGATGGGGATATAATAATTGGACTGAGCTTCAAGGTGTTGTTGACAACTTTGCCAAATTTGAAATTCCTCTCGAAACAGTATGGTGTAAGTGCGAGATGTAGCCCCTTAATCATGCACTTTGATAGTTGTCGTTCATACTAACGAACTCATAGCCGATATTGACTACATGACGGCATATCGTGACTTCACCAACGATCCTAATCGATTCAGTTTCGAGGAAGGAGTTGACTTTCTATCTCGTCTACATGAGAACAATCAACATTATGTGCCCATTATTGATTCGGCAATTTATGCCCCGAATCCTGAAAACGCCAGTGATGCATACCCACCTTTTGATCGCGGTGTCGAGCAAGACGCTTTCTTGCTCAACCCCGATGAATCCATCTACATTGGAGCAGTATGGCCAGGCCTCACTGGTATGATCTCTAGCTTGTTTTCTCTAATGGCCATGCTGATAGATTATAGTGTTCCCCGACTGGATCGGTGCTTTGTTTAACGGCACTGGTGCAAATCGATGGTGGATATCTGAAATCGCCGAATACTATAGTAAAGTCAAGTTTGACGGCATTTGGATAGACATGTCGGAGGTTGCCTCCTTCTGCGTGGGTAGCTGTGGCAGCAACGAGCTAAATCTCAACCCCGTCCAACCTCCGTTTCAACTTCCGGGAGCGCCTGGGAATGAGGTGCTACAATATCCCGAGGGGTTTAATATCACCAATTCAACAGAAGCTGCTGCTGCATCCGCGTCTTTGAGTTCCCAGTCAGCTACAGCAACATCAGCATCTTCTACGTCAACTTCTTATCTTCGCACTACCCCGACGCCCGGTGTTCGTAATGTCAATTGGCCGCCGTATACTATCAACAACTACCACGGCGACCTTGCTGTTCACGCTGTTAGTCCTAATGCAACCCACCATGGTGGTGTTCTAGAGTACGATGTGCATAATTTGTATGGACATCAGATTCTGAATGCTACTTATCATGCTCTTCTGAACATATTTCCCACTAAGCGACCGTTCATTATCGGGCGGTCCCAGTTTGCCGGCTCTGGAAAATGGGCTGGCCATTGGGGGTACGATCTTTTCCCCATCCCCGAGAGTTCCAAGCTAATATGGTCATAGTGGTGACAACTATTCTCTTTGGGCTTTCATGTTCTTCTCCATCCCACAGGCTCTTTCATACTCCCTATTTGGTATACCTATGTTTGGTGTCGACACCTGTGGATTTGCCGGTAACGCTGATATGGAGTTGTGCGCACGTTGGATGCAACTATCCGCCTTCTTCCCATTCTATCGAAATCACAACACCCTAGGAGCTGCTAGCCAGGAGCCATACATATGGTCAGCCGTGATAGATGCCTCGAAGGTGGCTATGAAGGTCCGCTACGCACTGCTGCCCTATTTGTACACGACATTCTATTTGAGTCATTCCATTGGTTCGACAACAATGCGCGCTCTGGTCTGGGAGTTCCCTAATGAACCGTGGCTTGCCGATGCTGATAGGCAATTCCTCCTTGGCGATGCGATCATGGTAACTCCTTGTTTGGTACAAGGCGCTACCACTGTTGATGGAGTCTTCCCGGGCGTGGGTTCGGGAACTGTCTGGTACGATTGGTATAACCAGACATCTATTACTGGAGTAACAGCTGGACAAAACGTTACTATCGATGCACCTTTAGGCCATATCCCCGTATTTGTGAGGGGAGGAAAAGTGATCCCGATGCAGGAACCAGGCCTGACGACGGCGGCCGTTAGGGCAACTCCCTGGAGCCTCTTAGTAGCATTAGATGCCAATGGCCAAGCTAGTGGTGGGCTCTATATCGACGATGGCGAAAGTCTTACCCCAAATGCTACGACATGGGTTGATGTAAGTTTTATGTCTTTATAACACCAATTTTTGAAGGTTACCTACTAACTGACTCTCTCTAGTTTACTGTGGAGAGCTCGTCGTTGAAAGCTTCACCCTGTGGTAATTTTACAGATACAAATGTGCTTGGTAACGTGACAATTCTGGGCGCTCATGGTCCCGTGTCCAGGGTTGAGTTGAATGGCAATGAGATACATACTAGTGCCTGGAGTATAGAAAGCTCGGATAAGGTCTTGAAGATTACCGGTCTCGATACCTTGACGGCGAATGGTGCTTGGAATGAGGAGTGGACTTTGAGTTGGTCTTGATAGAGAGTAGGGTTCCTATATCTAGTACTAGGTAGTTACAAAGGTCTGGTGACTCCGTCATCCACAGACTAGAAACAGAGATGAATAATATATCATCATGGCCTTACCCTTGTAGAACCTTATTGCAAATTGTAGTCGATACTTAATCTTCTCCCTCCTTGATCCCTGGAATGTGTTCAATTATCTTTGACCCCTATTCAAGTCCCTCGTTGAGTTTTGCGCTGGATTCTGGCCCCTATATATTCAGCTAAAGCTCATATCACATCAAACACCCCATAAAACACCCCAAAGCAACACAAGCAAGCGACCAGCCCATCGCCCCTCACGACAAAGCAGCATACAACCCAATACAACCCGCCGCAAACGCCGCAACAGGGCGATACAGATTCCTCACCGCCCACGCATCCACAATCGCATGCGCCGTCGGCGCACCCTCCGCTATCACCTCCCCTAAACCCTCCTCCTCTATAAACCCCTCCACAAACACCTCCTTCCCCCCGTCGACACCCCCCCGCGCCTTCACATCCACCCACCGCGCCCGCCCCTCCATCTGCCGCTCCATCGTCCCCATGGCAACAAAGCCCCACGGCATCGCGCTCAGGCTCACTGCGGCCGCGATCGCGTACGCGCGCGCTTTAGAGGGGAGCAAGTACGCGAGGTAGATGTGCGCGAAGCTGGGGACGAGGGCTAGGAGGGTGAGGAGACGACGGGTGCGCTGGAGGGTGCGCTGGAACTGTAGGGTTAGGAGGGGCGTGGGCGACTCGAGGAGGCGCGGGATCAGGAGGGTGGAGAGGCTGAGGGTTAGGCCGGATGTGCTGGTTAGGAGGGCGATGGTGAGGGCTTGGGTTAGGCGGAGGAGGGCGGAGGGGGAAGGGGAGGGGGAGGGGGAGGGTGGCATTTTTTTTGTTTTGGTGGTGAGGATATAGTTGGTGAGGTGATTGGGGAGGTGTTTGGTATATGTTATTGAATGAGTAACAATGTAAATAGGTGAGAGATGGGAGGAAGAGGATGAGGATGAGGATGAGTTTAGAATGAGGAGCGTGATGAGTGTGAGCGTGACGTCAAATTGGGTTTAATAGTTGAATGGCTTTCGTTTACTAGGATATAGTTATATGCAATTATTCGATTATCCGTACTTAGAATCAGCAGCCAAATCGAAGTTCATGATTCCTCATTTCTTACTGCGTTTACGTTGATCCCCAATTAGCCCACATACTTCCTCGTACACTATCTCAATTTTATGATGGACATTCATAGTTCCCGGTGGTTGTAGATCTATTAAGAACTGAAGGCTAGCGAGTACGTGCGACCTCAGGTAACCTACGAATATGAGGCTATTATGAGCCCGAATCTTTAGCAAGGACCAGGGGGATTCACATGGGAAAGCTGGATCAGCTCCGAGTTTCGGACCCACCATGGTATGTATTTTCATAGAAATGAAGCTCGAGTAAGAATTGGACACGATGATCTACCAAAGAATGGTATCTGAGCAATCCACACTCCCCTTATCATAGGTAACTTACGCTCTATGCCAGAAATGTGAAAATCACTTATATATCAGGTAAACTGTTAGAGAAATGATGTCGGTTACTCATTCCAAGTTATTACGTACATATACCCGATCTCTTCAAGTCGAGACTCTTTAATCATCAGCCACATCTGTACCGCCACATGACATCTCGGTTACACACGGATATTGTACATACTTACAACGCTGAGAGTTGAGCTAAAAAGATTCGAATCGAACCGATAATAAAATTATAAAAGAGACTTTTTCTTCTTATTATTTCTAAGAAAATAAAAAATAAATTAGAAAGGATATAACAAATCAAAAATGGCGTCTCAACTATCTACGAGCAAAATATGCTTCATCGGCGGCGGGAACATGGCCGGTGCGATCATCGGAGGTCTCGTGGCCAAGGGCAACGAAAAGCAGAACATCTTCGTCTCCGAGCCGTGGGACCAGAACCGGGAGAAGATGGCGGCGCTGGGCGTGCGCACCACTGAATCCAACGCCGTGGCCTCTAGCGACGCGGACCTCCTCGTCCTCGCCGTCAAGCCCCAGGTCACCAAGGGCGTTGCCCAGGAACTCGGCGCCGCGTGGGCCAAAAACACCTCCCTCCCTCTAATTGTCTCAATCGTGGCGGGCATCACGCTGGAGAGCCTGAAGGAGTGGTTCGCGCTACCCGACGGCCGCACACCCCACATCGTGCGCGTTATGCCGAACACCCCCGCCCTGCTCGGCGAAGGAGCCTCCGGCCTCTTCGCTAGCGGCGATGTGTCGCAGGCTGAGAAAGACCTCGCTGCCTCGCTTCTGGCTAGTGTTAGCAAGGTCACGGAGTGGCTCGACAAGGAGGAGTTGATTGATGTTGTCACAGGTATCTCTGGTAAGCAACACCCCCCCCCCCCCCCCATCTACCTAGATTGCATCTTTTATCTCCTTCCGCCCCAATGAAAGTCAATCCACAAGACGATGATTATTAACTCGTTCTAGGATCCGGACCTGCATACTTCTTTGCCTTCGTCGAGCACCTGATCGAGAGCGGCGTTGGCCTAGGACTCACCCGGGAGCAAGCCACGCGGCTGGCGAAGCAGACGTGCTATGGCGCCGGAAAGATGCTGGTTGAGTCGTCCTCGCCGCCGTCGCAGCTGCGAATCAACGTGACTAGCCCCAAGGGCACCACGGAAGCTGCGCTGAAAAGCTTCGAGGCTTCGGGACTCAAGGAGTCCGTAGATAAGGCCGTCAAGGCTGCAACTGACCGCGGCAAGGAGCTGGGCGTGACACTGGCGAAGTCGGAGTCGTAGGGGGTGTGCTGCATCGATCGATCGGGATATTAGACGTCGAGGCATTAAAATTTGGTTCGTCAAAAGTTAAGGGAATAGGGAAATTATTAACGCTAGATTTACCCGTCGCAATATAAAGAAAAAAAAGTTTACACAAAGGATACATGCAATGTTGCTATCTACAAGATACCTATTAAGCAGCGCCTGATATTTTTAAGATATTTTCTATGTCCGACTGTGCTGGTGATGAGTAATGCGGATTGCTCGACATTAAGAACTATTCGAGGAGATAATTAAAGTCGACTTCAATCACGTCAATCACATGAGGATATAGGAAGAATCGATGGAAACCTAGGTACCTACTTAGGTGAAGGGAAGATGCTTTTATTATGTTAGGTACCTAGGCTATGTTGAGTACCTAGGAAACTGCACGGAGGTTGCGCAATAGGGGTAATGAGCACTTCACTCCCTACTCTGTTGCATGGGTACTAGGAGGCAAGTATTGCAAACTTTCCGAACCGCCTCTTTATTTAACCTGCTTATCCACACCCGTACGTCACGCAGCGGTATCAATCGGTTCATAGCTATCCTTGACGAAGGGCGCCGGCGTATTGACGAGCGGCACAGAGTCAAAGCCCCGAGTACCAATGTGCACTAGCTTCATCAGCTCGGCCTCGGGCTCGCCATTCTTCAGCCGCCGGATCAGATCATCCGGGTCGAAGTCGACGCCGAACGGGTTGTCTTGGAGCTCCGGGCTCGTCAGAATCTTGGTTGCCTCCTCGGGGGTGTCGAAGATGTCCACCTGCGTCTCGATCTTGTTGCGGTCGGGGTCCTGGTAGTACAGCGACATCGTGGGCCCGTGGTTCACGGACCAGATCGGCAGGATCCCCCGCGCTTTTCGCTGCAGGTACGCGGTCAGCAGGTCCTCGAGCGTGTCGTACGTGAAGGCGATGTGCTCTAGCCCGGCGGTGTTGGGCACGGTGGCGCCGCACCCCGGGATGGCGATGATGGCGATGCGGTGGTGCTCGTCGTCGTAGGTGAGGAAGGCCATGGCCGACGTCTCCATCACGACGTGTGCCCCGAGAACGGCCTTGTAGAACTCTATCATGGGCTTGAATTGGGCCGTCCGCAGCACAACGTGTGCCATTCGCGAGGGCGAGATGACTTTTCCATTTAGGTCTGCGTCAAACATTTTGCCTCGCTTTCAACTTGGGTGAAAAGGATTGAGATAGGTACTGTGAACCTTGGAAGACTTGGAACCTGGCGGCTGGGACTCTCTGGTCCCCCTCATATGCACGCGCTTATATAAGGACTTGTTCATCTTGTCTTACACGTACATGATGCTTAACGCCGAATACGCAGCCCAATCCAATCACATAACCACTTGTTTATTGATCGCCTGGTTGGTAAGCAGGTAACTCATGTGGCCGGTTACCGTTTTTGTTGCCTCTGCTGTGTTCGGTTATAGTCGCCAAATGGAGATAAACTTATTGGTCGGACTCTGCTCGCTACCCCGACCCGCGAGATAGGCAAGCAGCATCTTCGATAACAGGTACCTACCGTATCTCAAAACAATTCCTTGCCAGCCGATGCTACCTACTCCACATCCCGTGTGTAAGTATCGCAGCCTTTTCGCAGACCAAATTTCTTTTTTCCTTCTTCCGACTCGCGCCTAACTAAGTATCCAGAATGTCGTCGGCGGTACGGCTGGGGCCGAAGGACGACGAATGGGTATATGATAGAAACGCCAAGTCTTACGATCTCACTCGCGGCGCTTCGTCGCCGGCCCGGTTTAGCATTCGTACCACGCATGGCCCCGAGGACACGTCGATCACGATAGCAACAGGCCTTAGTGCTCTGGTCGTGGTCGACATGCAGAACTTCTTTCTTCATCCAAGATGCACCGACCATGTCACGGGGCTGGCGGCCGTGGAGCGCACGCTTCGGCTTGTCGAAAAGTGTCGCGAGATCGGCATCAAGGTAAGGACCGAGAGAGAGTCTTCTTGATATTTCGTATATGGTCATACATGTATATCTACCTACTTAGTACAATACCGATGCATTCATGAATCTCAAGCGTGGTTCTTTTGACGTTGATGCGCAGAGGACCGACTAACCTCCCCCCCAATCACAGATTATCTGGTTGAACTGGGGACTAAACGATGACGACCTCGCCACCATGCCCGCAGCTGCCGCGCGCGGCTTCGCCAGGAGCCTTATCACACCGCCCCTGGACACCACTACTAGCAAGCAGGCCCGATTCGGCTTCGGCTCGGACATGGGCGAGGGCAGAGGCCGCCTGCTGATGGCGGGCTCGTGGAACGCGGCCCTGTACGCTCCGCTGCAAGAAGCGAGCCGACCGGACGCGGACGTCTTCTGCAACAAGGATCGCATATCGGGCCTCTGGCACGGCGAGACGCCGCTCGCCAAGGCCCTTGAGGCGGGCGGGTTCCGCACGCTCCTCTTCGCGGGCGTCAACACCGACCAGTGCGTCCTGGGGACGTTGGCGGATGCGTATTTCCGCGGTTGGGACTGTGTTATGGTCGAGGACTGCTGTGCCACTACGACGCCGGGGGGCCAGGAAACTACGGTTTACAATACTTCTGTGAGTTGCGCGCCCCTTTCGCATTGGGATATTGATTACCTAGGCATTATCGGATTTTAACTGATTATCGCTCCCTCTTCTCTTATTTTCCGGGCGTTCAATACCATTAGCTAATTATAACCATTCACGCAGAAGGTATACGGATTTGTAGTCAATAGTAAAAGTGTTACTGAGGGCGTACTGAATCCCGAATCTCGTGGATGAGTTCTGAACTCATGCCTACCTACTACCTAGGGTTCATGCAGAATGACGTGTGGTTTTTGGTGTTTAGTCTGACTGAATTATACCCATCTTAATAAAAGGGTTAGACGAGTTCTGTATGATGTAAGGGTGATTACTAGGCAGTTTCTACGGCTGGGTTGATTCCAGGTTTACATCCCCTTTATTATATCAGCCTACATACCTACCTTCAACTGCATCACCCCAAATAGAGCTACGGCTTTTGTGATTCCATTAGGGAGGTCCCGGCTAGTAAATACTCCCGGCTCGTAACTGCTCGGATGTTTCCGAAATACCCTACCTAGGTAGGCATATATTTACTACGTAGTATGTACCAGGTAGGAAGCTCCCAATTTCCAACCGTGATTAGCGTCTTCTTGCGAACTCCCGAATAGCGATACGCGGTTAGATGGGGGGGAATATGCGCATTGCAACGCTACCAGAGTAATCAGAGCTATTAGATTGAAATATATAAACAAGAAACATCATGGGGACTTTAATTCATCGTTTTGTAAGCACTATTTGATCTTCTGACGGCCAAAATGGTTATGCTTACCCGCGTCCTGTGCCTCTGGGCGACATTAGTCCTCAATGCTACGATCGCGAAAGGCCATCGCATCCCGACGCGGAACGAATGCCCGCCATTCAAGAACGGGACCATCGTGATCGATTCGTACCAGCTGTACCCCGAAAACGCTGATTTCGATCTGAACCAGTGCCTCTTGTACTTTGGGTCAGTACCTACCTACTATCTTTTTCTTACCTCGGACACCTAATTGGGGACTCAAAACTAACCTAACTAGCGCTCTGTTCAATGCCTCGGTCGTCGTGTACGACCCGTACAAAGCCAAGACGGTCCAGACGCTCGAGTTCCCGGGAATCACGCGCACCGACCCCTTCCACGTCGGCGGCGTCGCCTGGGACCCCTACACGAACCTCATATCCATCCTCATCGACGACGCGACCCCCCACGTGACGCCCGACCACCACGTCGGCGGCGACGACTTCATCACGCGCTACGACCCCGTCAAGAAGGAGACCCTCTGGTTCCTCAACATCACCGAGGTCAGCCAGGGCAAGTACGGCGGCCAGCAGGACGTCGAGCACGACGCCCGCGGCCACGTCTACGTTCTGGGGACGTACCCCGGGACCATACTGCGCGTGGAGCCCGACGGCAGTGCGATCAAGCCGTGGTATTTGCCGAAGGTGATTGACCACACGTACACCGGGCTCACCGGCTTCGCGGCGACGGGCGACATCCTCCTCGCCAGCGACGCGCGCAACGCGACGGGCAGCGGCGAGATCGTCCGCTTCGACATGCGCGCGCAGCAGGGGACCCCCGTGCTCGTGCCCCGGACGCCCAACGAGCCCATCATGTCCCTCGACGCCGTCTACCTGCCCCCGAAGTACCGCGGCACCGTGCTGCTCGTGTCCGAGCACGACCGCGGCGTCTCGGTGCTCAGGTCCCAGGACGGGAGGTGGGAGACGGCGGAGTATCTGGGCCGCGTGACGGACGACCCGGCGCTGAAGGACGGGGGCGTCAATGTCGCGACGGTGGAGATCGCGGGCAGCGTGTACATGGTCGACGAGTGGTTTGCGGATCCGATCGTGCCCGGCACGTCGGCGGGGAATAGGACGGCGTTCCCGATGTGGGATATTACGGCGCAGGTTGAGAAGCTGCTGGGCGCTAAGGGCTGTTCAGGGGGAGGGTGGATGAAGATACCTACTAAGTGTGTCTGAAATTATCTCAGACTATTCGCACGGTAACTGCGCAGTAAGAAAATACCTAGTTATGGGCTTGTCTATGGTGTTCCTGAATCATGATTCTGTTGATGTGGATGATCACACTAACAGTTAAGTCCCTACCTACCTAGGTAGGTAGTACGTAGCTGGCAATTTGCTGAGGCATGCAAAAAGAAGTCAAGTCGCCGGCAGCCTAAAGTTCCAAGGTTGCGACGTATAAACAAACATACCTAGAGATGGATTCGCACGGTAAGTATGTAGTTAGATTCATCGGGACTATTCGTCTCTCGGGCAACATCCAGGTAGTTAATTGCGGCGGGTCGACGCGATCAGGGCTTCTATATTCATTCGCGAATAGCTTCGTCGATGTTGGGTGTATTACATAAAATATATTTTGGCCTCAATTGATCCTGTATGATCTGAGGCATGCTAGTTTCGACAATCCTGGATAAGCGACGGGAGATTACCGCGATCGGCTGAAACGACAGCTGACATGTCGAATCAACCTCAACGCATGATGATTTGCGTCATGGTCTAAAGCACAAAAATCTCGAGGAATATCGTCCCGAGTTGCCGCAACTATAGAATAGATCGACGACAAGGAGTTGGAGGGTGTCCTGGTGAAAATCGTAGTATGATCAGTTTCCATACGACGGGGAATCTTAAAACCTGATCTTATGGATGAACCCTGCTGTTCATCTCTAGTCCTACCTTCGGACTCGAAAGCGACCTCGGGTATCATCGTATTGGGGTACATACCTTGGTACTATAATATCGTCTTGAAACTCTAGATTCTAACTATGTGTTGGGCGTCTATCCAGACGACCGTCCGACGTTGTTAGTCTTTCTCGGAGGAGGCTTCCTCTCAAAGTGTTAGGTTAGCGCTTTTTACTTTTACAACTTCTCATTCGGATCGCTGATCATTAATTAGCACAGAATCCACAGTCAAGAGATATTTCGTGTGGGGAGGGAACCAACTATTTGGGACGAAACCCACCGAATAAAGAAATGAGCACGCTATGATGCTCAACTGAATTATCGGTAAACCATCGTTGCGATGCCCATATTTTGCCGTCAGTTGAGAGCTCGATATGGTAAAGATAGAGTTGAGGACCTTGAGGTGTAGGTAAAACTTACGAGGGTCGTCTCGAAGCTGTCTCAAAAGCGCCCGAGGAGCTGTTTGATCGCCCTCTAGCAGGGCTAGTGAACCACAGTAAGGGGCCCTAAGTCCCCAGACAGGTATCGGGGGCAGCCGTTTTGGGGAAGACGGCGGACCTAAATTAAGACCCTTCTACTCATCGTAGTACTTCGTAACCCCTAATAAACTCCCAAGCTATCGCTGAAACCAGATTCAATCTCATTCTGGGCTACGCTCTGATTCGTAGTTGCAAGCTAGAGCTCTCTATTCCTGGGTATTAGTGGGTAGTATCCAAGGCAATTTCAGATCTAACATTAAAGAAGCATTTTGTCAACAACAGAAAAGGGAAAAGTCTAGAAACAGTTAAGAGATGCGTAGGTTTCATTATTAGGATCTCTAGACAAAAATGATCTTGTCGAATTCTAGGCAAAAGACTAACTGACTACCTAGTTAACATACTATGTATTGTAAAAAAACCTTGGAAGTCAAAAGAATAATATGAATGATTACCGAATAACTAGAATTGAACCCAGCTACAGCTGATCTTTTGAGCCTCAATCGCCTCACCTGAAAGATCTTCCGTCAAGGCGTAGAAATCATATCATCAGCGGTGTACATACGGCGTAGTATGTATTATTTCTTATTCAACCTTAGTTAATACCTGGTAGTTAAGGGGCATCATGGTACCATGTAGCATTCTCTCTGACCCCTGTCGGAATCGGTAGCCAAGACCGAAATGCTTCAAGAGCCTCTTATGGGTTATATTTGATTCCACCAAGTGTTCCACTAACCGCTCAACGAATGAAGAATGCCCTATTGAAGATGGTTATTCGGTATTGCAAAATCCCGAGGTTTACTCTGCGCCTATTCTCTCTTCTACGCATTGTACAACTTTCCTACTTCGACAAGTGCGAGTGATGCTTATGCATGTCCAGTTATCGATCATACCTAGGCATTCAATGCCTTCAACATGGGACGAACATATCAGACTAGGATCGTATTACTTGACGCCCTGTGCACCTACATATCCATGTCATACCATGCTAGCTCACCATCTGATCTGACTGCCAGGGTGAAGTTTGATCTGCAGAAGGGGCTCGTTAAGGCCTGCCGCTAGACTGTCTAGTAGCGAACATAGTCAAGCTATCGTCACGACAGAGCGAGCATCCACAGGTATACAACATCTATATAATCACCATATCCCAGGCTCACATTATGAGATCTCTTCTTCCTTTTTTCTTCCATCAAGCTTCGGTTCCTTCTTCGAATTCCTGATCGTTTTTAGTTCTGTGAACTTTTTTGTTCTTCACTCTCATTCTTATTTCCATTCGTTCTATACCGCACGGCCGGTCTTTATTCGATTCATCTTAACTAGGATTCGTCCAATTTATATTACTTCTAAGAAAAATAAGCTCCGTTGCTTGAACTTATCCGCCATCATGTATACCAAAGCTGCCTTAATCTCGGCCCTGCTTGCCATTGCAGAGGCCCGCTTCAGCCAGGAACAGATCCCGGTTGCCGATATTCAAGCCCTTGGAAGCTTCGGAAACTCTGGCGAAGCCGCAACTCTGGCCGGTGGTGTCCCCGGTGTCTTGTTGGCTGCTGCCGACCCTTGTGCAAAGCTCACGCTTGCCGACAAGATCGTGACGACTCTCGGAAACGATCCTCAGGTTATCTCCGCGGCTCAGAAGCTCGTTGCCGCCGAGCAGAACTTCAACCCCTTCGCGGTCAGCATACCGAGCATTTGTGGAGATGCGAGGTATGTGAATGAACTCTTGAACAAAGAGTGAAACTAGAAACTAATATGATGCGCGCAGCCTCCCTGCAACTGAAGCGCTCCGAGGTATCGTTCCTCTGGTTGACCCTGCCGTTGGCGACTCAGATATTGAGAATGCCAACTCCGCCACTTCACTCCAAACCCCCTTCGATGCCGCTGGCCTAAGTGTGGCCGAAGTCAGTATGTATTACCCATTTCTTTCATCAAGAGTACACTCTTCCTTTTAGAGGTCACCTATGAGTTTTTCTGCGGTCAAATGCTCAACCCCTAACCTAAGAATTCAAGCACTAACACGTTCCAGTGACCGCCCAGGGATTCAGCAACTTCACTGTGAAGGGTGCTGCAGCTGGTGGAAACGCTAACACTGGTAATGCCAATGCCGGTAACAACAACAACGGCAACAACAACGGCAATAACAACAATAACAACAACAACAATGCTGGCACAGGTAACGCTGCGACTACCTCCGCCGCTGCTTCAGCAACGGCGACTGCCACAAAGTGCAGCAACAGGTCGAAGACTGCAACCTCGGCTGCCGCTGCCGCTACGTCATCTGCTGCCTCGAACAACAACACTGGTAACAACAATAACAACAACGCTGGCAACAACTCCAACAACAACAACAATAACAACAACAACGCCGGTAACGCCAACGGTGGTGCCACAGCCCAAGCCGGCGCCGGTGCAGTGACTGACCCCGTCACGGGAACTTTCACTGGTTTCGGTTCGTCTCTCCCGCCCCCTTCTTTTTATTAAAAAAAAAAAAAAAAAAAAAAAAAAAAACCACTAACCCACCCCCACAGTCGAAAGCAGCCTCGGCCTGAACTTCGGCGCGTGCGTGCCCACGGTCAAGTTCGAGGAGTCCCTGAACGGGCGCAAGGCCGGCGAGTTCACCTTCCAGGCGCAGGACCCGGTCGTCAACAAGGGCCAGCAGGAGGCGCTCAACCCCAACATCATCTTCAACCGCATCTGCGACCAGCTCGGCAACGTGTGCGGCGCCGCCGCCGACGCGATTGCCGCTTGCAAGTCCGCGCAGGCTAGCCTGGGGGGCGGCGCGAAGGACGCGACGACGGCGGATGCGTGGAACGAGGCGCTCGGGTTTGCGGGCACTGACTTGAACCCGGATAATGCGCCCCAGGCTGGCCTTGTGGGCCACACTTAAGTCTGGAGGTAGAGAGTACCTGAGATGAGCCCGCTGTGATCATGCGCAGTAGGGTGTTGGGGGTCAGCATGACATTCCGTGTTGGGCACTTAGTTGTAGCTATGAATTGCATTTTTGGATAAACAATCTTGTCATCTTACTGTGTTTCGTGATCGGTTCTGTCATCTAAGCCTTCCCCAGTGCATATCAGCATGTGCAATCTTCCAGAACATTGGTATGAGTCAGCTGAGTAGCCTGTACCGTCCGGTCGGGTCATGCGGTGACCTGCTTTGGTATCTACCTAGGTGGGTATGCTTGTAACCCGTGATGACTTATAGGGTACGAAAGGCAGCCTTGTTTGTGATTGAATTCCTTGTAATCAATAGTGATGTTGACTTCGTCTTATTCGTTGATAAATCAACTAATAGTCCCAAATTACCCCTGAGGCTCATAACGGGCGTTCCGATCGGGACTACCTACACAGCCTTTTTAAAGGGGTTGTCAAAACATTTCGCCACATCGAAAAGTGAATGAATGGTCTCTCATTCATTGTCCTCAGTTCATGTCAGTAGATCTGACAGGAGCTGTGCTAAATGCCAAAGTGTCTGCAGAGTGGTTTTTCTAACTCACCTGGGCACCTAACTTCTCGCTGGTGCCTCGGGTGTCCTCCTTCTACACTCTAAACGGTTCTTCCGATGACAATAGTCAGAGTTTTTGACAGATATACTAACATGAACTAAGAACAATTAACGAAAGATCAATCGTTCACCTTTGGCGTACCTGCATAATATGGCCATTAAGAGTCTCGCTCGTCTGTATTTGTTTGAGTGAAAAGTACTCAGATGCTACTATCCCCTAGGTGTACAAACAAACCCAAAAGAGACAAGAGTCTTGGAATAACTTAAGTTCTGTGACCACAAAAGGGCTCCAGGCCTATTCACTGATCATGAGGCATGTGCCTTAGGTGCACAGATACAATGGAACAAAGGAGCTGGGAACTTAAAGTAGATGATATTGATAGATCAATTACACTCGTATTCTATCGATGTTTCCATCAGGTTCACATCTACGTAGGTACCTAGGGAGGTAAGAACATCCAGCATAGAAAGCTCTTCAGCATTCGGTGCTAGGATATCTCGAAATCTAGGGGGGAGCGCGTCAGATATACTGAGAGCTGCTACCTGTCCTCCTGTCACACTTTAAACGCTCTTCCAATGGCAACAATAATAATGTTGCAGGTGCCTGAGGCACCATAGGCTGCACTAGGCCATATATTGGCACTCCGCCAATGTAGTCAGGAATAAAGCAAGCTTTCTTCCTTTCATCTTTCTTCTTGGTTTGCAGTTATCCTGCAACAAATAAGTTTATGCTCCTTCTTGTCCAGCTATGTCGCCACTACGTTTCCAAGAATTGTCAGCTGCTTCTGAAAATAAAGGGGCAAAGCTGGCTAGATAAGGACCTGCCTAAGTATCTATTTACTAATGTTATGATCTGAAAACTGAGGAAACAGGTTGTTATACTCAGAACCTTAACAATAAAAGGCTGTCTAGGTACCCAAGATGCCTAATAGTTGCGAGTTTTTATAATGCTTTGCTAGGCCTTGATGGTGGAATACCCGATACGTCAAGGTGCTGCATACTTCGAGGCTCGCACATTACTTCTGTATTTGTCCAGGTCATTTATGTGACAAGTAGGTATGCAGAGATTCTAATTCTACTCTAATAGATACCGCTTCAATACATTGAATCTGAACAGTCCACTGCGAATGAATAGCTTAAGGGGGGGTGCATTTGGTAAGTCGACGCTGCTAGCCCTCAGGTGGACTAGAGAAATCACTCTGGGAACACTCTACAACTAAACCGACTTTCACTCTGCAGTTAGCACAGCTCAAAGTATAGAAACCAGCATAAGATTACTACTTCGAGCATGTGAAGTTTGAGAGAGCGACAGTGAGGGTCGCGATGGTGTCTTGCCGATCTCAAGCGACTGTATACCTGGGTACCTGGGTACTTGGGTACTGGATATCTCACCAATCCTCAGAAAAGAAAGGCATACGTCAATCTACATAGCGTCACTGCTAGCCCAAGGCACGGCATGCACCTATTCGGGCCAAGATATTTAGGGAACTGCATACCGAAGGGACTGGGGAATGGCTAGAGCGGTGATGCTATCGCGACACATCTTGGGGGTGTAAGCCACTAAAACTAAACCAGGCCAAATTGCGTACCCCCCAGTGCTATCGCAACTCGAGGATCAATCCACCTCACTTACTACTTATCGAGTAGTTATTCCGGGCGATCTCCTGTGGGATGTCGGGGTAGCCACAATGATGTGCCTGTAAGAGTTGAGGAATCGAACACGCACCAGCTCAGTGGATCGCATGTTTATGTGGCAGGCTCTTCTACCATTCCGCCGGGTCTAGCCCGTCATTGATATGCATGTTGGAGCGGTTTGCCAATATCCCAGCAGAGACACCAAAGCTGCAGATAGGTATTATCCTTGGAATAGATTGCAACCCAGCCTAGTGTAGGTAACCTGGATATCATGATCTTCTACATAGTAGCACTTATAGCTATATATTATAGCTATCCCACCTTTTACACACAGGAGGACTCCCTGTTTTTTTCCATCTACATGGACCCCCATGCCGGCCATGTGAACATGCCCATTAACATATTGAGTGGGACCTGGAAGATATCATTGCTGGGTGCGATGCTAGCGACTTGGCGGTACGGGCCGGGCTTTCAAGCTCGATGGGGGGAGGCTGGAGGTAGGAACGACTATTGTCTATATCGTACCGAATATTCTGAGATAGAGGATAAAGAGTGGGTGGCATAAAATGCAAGATATGAATGTTCCCAACACTGTGGAGTAGAGTGGTATCCGTAACGCCGGGACCGCAGAGACTGATGATCAGTTACCGATTGACTGTTTCTCCATATCGAAATACTTCATATGACTAATTCTCTGGTGCAATTCCGAGTTAGATATACTATGTAGAGTTGCGGCCAATGCAATATAAGCACCAATGAGATGGCTTCCCAGATTCACCTCAGTTTCTGTTCTGTCGAAACCTGCATATACAGGAAATATCGGCGTTGGAGCGCATATGGCTTGCCTGGTTGTCAGTTCACGCTGCAGATACGCTGCAGATACTATTCTTGTAGCTGGCCCCCATCAGAGCCCAATCTGCTTTGGCGGAGTTATACGCTCATTACATCGGAATATACTCCATGCTATAGGACAGATAGAGGACCTCAAGGTTTTTTATTAGTTAGAACCATAGCGTCATCAACGTACCCATACCTAATCCCCCATACCTGTAGATCTAGGCTCAAGGATGCGGATACTGGGACGTGGGTTGGAGCATATATGAACTTTTAAGCCACGAATACCTAGTAGTTACGTAGATGAATTCCGCACTTCCGCATCAGTCCTGCCACAGTCTCCTTGCCCCATAAACTGTCATCGTCGCCGACCTGTTGTATATGCCTTGGTGTATCTATTATGGAGTCCCCTTACAAGCCTTATCCTGGGATGCCAGCGGCTTCGAGATGTCACTAGCTATCTATCGGTATATTCGTTCGGCATCGTATATGTCCCAACTGATATTTCCAACAATGATATCTACTAGGTAGCCAATAACTGGCCTTATACTCGTGACCTGATGTTGCTCCGAGACCCGCATGCTATCTAGCTTAGCGGTCTCAGGCACCTAGGTACTAGGCAGATATGTTTCCAAGGTTATGATTTTACTGAATAGGTATCGAGACTCATGTTAGCTAGGAATGTAGTCAGTCTTTAACTGTAATTACTAGGTAGCTACCCTAGACACCTACTTAGTTACCTAAGGTTAATGCCAGTGAAATGACTAATAGGTGATCGTATACCTCAGGCCTCCTTAGCCCTGGAGGATACTGCCTCTCCACATACCCATCTACAACCCGACTAACCCCAGAATCAAGGAGTTTTGACCTTTCTACTAGGTATGCCCCAAATATGGAGTATATTGGTTCGGCATATATTTGACGAAGTGCTGGGTTCAATGGCACTACAGATTTAAGATAATCTTATTCTCCATATAGTACCCAGTAATGTTGTAATGCCAATATTTTGTCGATCTTCAAGAGTACTACGGCGTATGCTTGTTAGTCCGACCTTTGATTTAGACTCGCAGAGATAAAGTCCATCAATGGTTAGATCTTTCTCATACCAAGAGGTTAAAAGGCTCTAAGTGAAAACAACCATAACGAATATCAGTGGATATAATCAACCTTGTTAACTAGGTAGTCAACTTTGACAGGTTGATCAATGACCTCTTGGGAAACCTTAGTGAGGTTTTGGTGGATATTACCAGCCTTAAATACGGAGGATGCCACAAATCAAATTAGCGTTTATGTCTCTGTTCATGTCTTCTTCAGGCCGGTCAACTAACCAGTTACGTATGGCTAGTACTATCTATAATTCGTATTTTTTCCGGTAGTTAGTTTGATATACCGCCATCTACTTTGTAAGTAGATATTTGATAAGCTTGGAACTATGTATGTAGGTTAGGTAGTATTACTCGAAAACTTGTTTAGATTCTTAGCGTTGCAGGTAAGGCTGCAACCAAAAAGAAGATGGATGAAAGAAAGCTTGCTTTATTCCTGACTACAACGGCGCTGTGCCGATATCTACCTAGGACAGGCCTAGTGGAGCCATGGCACCTCAGGCACCTGCAACACTTGGGTACTAGATACTACTAGGTACATACCTAGTAACCATCCATGATACAAAGAGCACAAGAGCCTCATAACAAACACATCGATATGTTTATTCTCCTTCCCTGGTTTGAAACCTGTAAACCTAGCGTAATGTGACAGTCGAATTTGGTCATCGAAATCACAGCACATCTCTCCACGGAAATATCTATAACTCATAAAATGTTCCTGTACACTGCCATACCTAACACGACTTGACTTACCGAAACTATGATCGTGTGGGTTTTAACGAAGCCCCGGGTGTCTATTTCTACTGTCTACCTACCTAGGTACTCATATCAAGTTATCAACACCTTCCACTGTTCCTTGGTCAGTGATTGGTGTAGCCACTCAGTACGTAGGAGTTGCTTACCTGATAGTTACCTAATCCAGGTTCCTACAGACATACATAAACTGGATCCTACGCACCTACATAGTAGTCAAGCAGACTAACGATGCAATGCACGTCGACACGAAATTCCATATCACGAAGTAGACTGCGGGTCGAGTAGAAACTTACGACTAAAAAAACGTCACGAAAAACTTCAGTACGCATGTACATAACCTAGGTGTACCCGCCACAACTACCTAGCTTCTGCGGGGAACCCCATGGTGGTCTGGCGGTCAACGATGCTAGTTAGGTATGAAGAAGAATGGAGAAACAAGATGTAGGAAAAGCAGAAACGGGAGGGACTAGCTACCCCAGTTTCCTGTCCACGACTCGACAACTACCGGTAGTTATCGGGGACCTCTGCTGAATCGGATTATCGATGAAGGAAAGCAAATCCTAGACGTAAACGTGCTGACTGTCAAAGCGTAATATACCTGGATGTCTAGGTTAAGGTAGGTATCGATCTAAGACAGCACGGCCCGCGATTCTTAAAAACCACACTAGTTGGAGTGATTCGCATTCGTAAGGGTAAGGATCCAGTTGATATGGCAGACGATGTAACCGTATTATTTTGGCACAACGCGGACTAAAGCTAACTAGGTACACATACATGGATACTCTCAACCTACTAGCACCTATCCAGAGAAGCCCAACATGGAAATTTACCGCGCCGATTCCCGCTCTAAGGCGCTGCAACGTCCTCCACCTCCGCCATCTCGAACCCCCTGAACTCGAAGAACTTGCTGAACTCCGGGTCCTCGATCAGCGGCTTGACCAGCTGCTTCTCGTACGGGATCATGAACTCCCACCCTTCGTCAGGGTTGCCGGTCGGGCGCGGCGGGTAGATGATCACCAGCCCCTCGTCGACCTTCGTCGCGAACAGGTGTCTGAAACCCCTCGGCTTGCCGAAGCCAAAGTCCGCCTCGTAGATCTCGGTGTCCCGCCAGTCCGTCATGATGAGCGTCATGGGCGGCAGGGAGTCGATCCGGATGATCAGCCCGACCTTGTCGCGGATGGGCGCCACGGCGTCCAGCGCCTTGTTGAGGGCTTCGTTGGTCATGCCGGTGGTGGTGGTGCGCACGTATTGCGCAAGCTTAGATAGGGGCGCCTCGGAAATGACCTCGGCGTTCGTCAGCTGCGTCGGCGAGGTGGCCGAGGCGGGCACGTAGAACACGTTCCTCTGCATCCGCTTCGGCGCGACGGGATCGCGAAGTCGCCTTCTCATGTCCACGGCTTCACCCCATAGACTGGACTCCTGAGGCGCAGGGTTGTAGATGGTCGCACGGTGCTTGGAGAGATAGCGCCATAGGAAGGCGGCATATGCGTCGTAGGTCGAGATCCAGCCACCCTCGGGAGGGGTGGCTAGTTTCTTTAGCTCCGCGGCCTTGCTCTTGGATAAATGGAGCAGCAGCGCTGCCGCCTCGTGGTGAGGGTAGCGGTCAGGAGAGGGGGGGCCGTCGATCTTGTCTTCCTCGGCGATGTCTGGCGCCACGAACCGAGTGTGCTGAACAGCCTCCGGGTCCCAACCAGGGGCTGGAGTCTGGTTCACAATAGCGGCGCAGTGCTCCGCAAGCTGGTGGGTAAAGCCGGCCCAGCCCATGATGTCGTTGGCGTAGTGATGAGAGTGCATGTTGAAGATCAGTCCGCCCGGGATGAAGTTCACTTGGAATGCCGACATGAACGGATGGGCATCGGGGTGGCATTTTGGGCTCTCGCCGTATGTGAGGCCATGCCAGCTCAAGGTTGGGATTCTGTCCCCCAGTTTCGAAGAGACAAACTGTGCCTTTTCGAGCTCGGCGAAGGAAGGAAAGTCATCCTCGGGCGTGTTGAGGTATTGGACGATGAACCCAACTGTGCTGTCCTTCTTCTTGAGAAAGGAGTGCTCGCCAAGGTCGTTCTTTTCGATGGTTCCCACAAGGTGTCTAGCCTGGGCAAGAGTCTTCTCAAGACCTTCTCTCAGGATGCTAGCAACCTTCTCCCTATCGGCCCCATCTTCAAGTTTGAAATAGAGTGCATAATTGTTATACACGCAAGCGGATGTGTAATCAAGGGTAGAGAGTCTAATGCTCTCTTCCTCGGGGTCGTTTTCCCAGCCCCAGGGATGGATGCGGTATTCTTCTTTCCTTGGCATGTTTGTCTTAATTCGTAAGGGGTTCCAAGCTAAGTGAGGTGTGGAGATCAGAATATTAACACAGGCTGGAAGTGATCCGGACAGAGGCTTAAATAATTTTGGCCTTGGGTCCTGTCTTTATTTGTTTGTTTGATCAGGGAGCTTGATCAGGGAAAAGCTTGTCCTGGTGACAATGAAATTCTGTTAGAGAGCCGATCAAGAGATTACTGGTGACACTACTCAAGCGGTTGTGCCGAGTCGCCCCGTTTAAGCAAGGGGTAACATGAATGAATATCGATATTCTGCTTCTATTCTAGGTAGTTGTAGGTTGCATACCTGACTCTTCCTAGTAGTGATGCAAGGATCTCGAGCCCTCCTCTTTATGATCTTAGATATGCCGATGAAGACTTGGTATGCACAATTCACTACCTACATTGTACTACATAGCACTATGGTAGTTACCAATCCCGGTGCGTTGTTTCAAAACCCATGCACGAATGGAGCCCGCGGTGGCATTGGTGGCATTGGTGGCATTGGTGGCATTGTACACAGTAGTGTAGAACCAACAACCCATACATAGTAACTATGGATACTACCTCATTACATATCTAGCGCCAGTTGGTGGCACTACCGAGGTACTATACCTTAGTAGCCCTAGAGGGACTCGATTCCATATTATATTATAATCATTGTACTACATATTGAAGGTTGTACAATACAATACGTATTTACCTTCACATACATGTTGGACTCTTGGAGATATCAAATGTAATTACTAACTACTAACCTAGTGCTTGGTATGTAGGTATGTAGGTATGTACTTACGGAGGTAATCGTAATTTATTGATTCATCCCCATCTCAACTACATGCTCAATCGCTCGAAGAGCCTCAGCTAACCCATCTTCTGACTTTGCCCCTGGCACGGCATGTCCGAGGTCGTGAGTGGCCAATTCTCTGACTTTTTCATCACAGAGTTGAGATAGGGCTCGGTGTACTGCGATCTCACCGGCGCTAGAAGCCCGTGACCAAATATGGGCAGTTGGAACAGTCAGCAATACTCCATCTGAGTCTGGATCAGCATATCTCACGACAGCATCTCGGATGAGGTCAGGGTCAAACGGTGGAGCCGCGCAGAAGAACACGCCGCATTTAATTCCGCCGAATGATCCATGTCTTGCGTCTTCGATGAGCATCATGGCCGCCACAGTTCCGCCTTCCGAGAACCCCATGATCCCGTCGAACGGCCCCTGGCTCTCCACTACCTCAATCATGTTGTCGCAAAGCTCTCGATCTTGGTCCACGTCGTGCGCAACGTACCCGAAGAACTCGTCGGCAAGCGCCTCGGCGCCTTCTTTAGTTAGCTCCCATGTGCCGCGTCTATTGGCAACAAAGACTTACCAACGTCAGGGTCTGTTGACACCATGCCATTCACGAAAACAAATTCGTGATCTCTACCGAGAGCCTCTCTGATCCTTGCTGTATTAGAATGATTAATTCGGGAGCTAGCGATCAGGGGAAACCTGGGCAGGGGAGAATCCCCGGGGGATAATAGTACCGGTTTGCATCTCAAAAATCTTCATAATCTCTATCAGATTTCGACTCCGGTACATAACAATGATAACATATGTCCCATGCAAAGACGTACCTGCGAGCTCGTCCCCCGTCCGTGCAAACATAGCCACTTCATTTTAGAGTTTTGTCGATGAATGTCTTGATCTCTTCACGATCCTAGTTGCTACCGAAAGATGTGAAACCGATAAGCGAGGCGATGGACAGAAGGAACTCGCTATCGATTTCGTAGGTAGTATCTACCTGCTAGTGTAGGTTATGTAGTCGCAATGGTTCGATGTTAAGAGTCAAGACTTCAAGAGCAAGACTATAAAAGGTATAGAGACAATTTCAGTGTTGCATAGAGGACTATGAACTTGCAGGCGGGGGCTACTATTATACATACATACAACCCTATGTAGTATTAGTAATATAACCCCCGGAGATCTACAAAGATAGTACTAGGTTAGGTATTTAGACAAGGCGATGCAAGTGACAGTTGAAACCCTCACTTCTTATTTATTTATGAGGTAAGTATTCTTCTCTTTGAAGTGTGGTCTTTACCCAATTCATTACCTATTAGATACCTATTAGAATAGGTATTGTCAGAGTATTGTCAGAAGACTCAGAACGAGTGTCTACACATAAATACCTCCATACGCCAAGGTTTCACAGCTGTAACAATGTAAAACCTCTCTTGAATTCTGTTGTTATGCAAGTGTGTAGGTAGACAACATTCGCAACATTCGCAACATTCGGAGGGATCTGGGACTCTGGGACAAGAACATCGGGTTCGGGAAACAGCTCGCACCATACATAGTAGTAGTACCATGGTTATGGTGAGGTACAGAAATCGGGGATATTTCCGAATGGGAAATAGATCAACTAGGCGAGGTACTAGAGACGCAAGCACATGGAAGACCCAGTTCTTGTATCTTTGTATCAACATTGAAGAGAGAACATACATGTAACGCTAACACTGTAGGGATTAACAGAAAGACTCAACTAACTAACTACCTGGTAACTAACTAACTACATCCTGACTACAAGTGCATGGTAAAGAACCCAGTACCTACACTAACTACCTAGGTAGTAATAGGCACCTATTTATACTGAATACCTAGTTAGTAGGAACATTATTACTAGCATTCAGGTAGTTAATATTTTACTAAGTTAAGTTAATCGTAATATTCTATTTCAACCTCAATGAATTACTGTTATGTCTGATAACTAGTTATCACTTACAAAGTACATAAATGCACAGACACAAAGCCTTCAAAGAATAAGGGAATAGGTAGGTTATCAGTAATTAAATAGATACAGCCTCGGAATTGTCGGGAACTTGAACTACAGAAATCTTTTAGCACTCCGCTACTTGCCTAGGTAGGTTAATACCTCCCTCGGTAGGTACCGAGCATGTAGTAAAGATTTGCCATACTAAGGGACTATCTTGTAACACCAACGAACGCATACGTGAATAGTCTGAAAAGTTGCCTGGATTAGGTGATGATTGTCCATGTTATAGGCTTTGACAGGAACCTAATTGCGAAGGGCGAGTTCTGCTGGAATGGATTATCTTACTACCTTACATTCACGACGGATGCCATAATAGGCATAGAAGTGTAACAATTGCTACAGTATCTTCGTGAACGATAGACCCTTGGCAATGGGTTTAAGCTAAACTGATATGTCAAACCTACATTGAGTATCATTTCCATTTCTCCTTCGGTCAGAAATCTTCCTACGGTGACATTTCTCTTAGCTAGTTCACGAACTATAGATTTACTTCAAGCTACGGCAGATCTACAGGTTTGGCATACTATCTCGACGTCTTGATATACGAAATTGACAAAATATACGCAACTAGGTACCTAATTTTGATAACCTTTCCCCATGTACAAGTGCCGAGGGATCGAATTTGACATATCGTGATAGGCGATCGAGTCGAGCTTTGTCTGTTAGCTTACGTCGTCTTAAGGGACAATCTATGCAGAGGCTTCCCTGCCAACATTGTATTCGGCAGGGGCTAGTTTTGATGTTTGCCATCCTCCGAAGCGAAGTAACTTTATAATGATGTTTGTAAATCCTTGCCTATGGTATCATAGTATTCTTTTTTTCCCCTTATCCCTTTATTCCGCACCTTGTACATATGTAAGAAGAAACCTACATAATATATTGCTATCGGCCGAAAATGGGGTGAATAATCTTCATCCAAGCATATACTCTTGTGACAAGTAACAATGGCAGAGTTGATTCCATACCTATCGCCTCAAGAGCAGGAGGCCATACTGGATGGTCCTGCTCTTGCACCACCCGAAGGAGTCATTCCCCAGTTTGACAACCCGCCGAATAACAATGCTCTGGCTCATGGCGTCCTATCCGCGTGTGTCGCCATCTCTACCGTGTGTCTCTTAATTCGTGCCTATGCGAGAGTATTCCTATTCAAGCAACTCAAAATCGAGGACTGTATGTCTTACACCCCTTATGGAAGCCATTTATTTGTCTTGCATGTTTTTTACTTTTGACTGGCTGCTAATTCATCTGTTTCTAGATCTGATAGTCGTTGCATATGTCAGTCATAGCTGTGCCGCCCATCATTGGTGCATCTGTTAACCTCGATTTCTAGGCGAATTACCTTGGCTGGATTGTCTATTCATTCCTTTTGTCTAAGACTCCCGGTTACTTCGTTCACCAATGGGACCTCCATCTCCGGGACATGATAGCGACTGTTTTAGTAAGCGTCACAGCCAACAATTCCAGTTAATCGACCATGTTCACTAACTTGGAATCTCAAGTACATTCACTATGCAGGCGTTTTCTATTCCATTACTCTGCCGCTGCTCAAAATATCCATCCTGATAGAATGGTCTCGAATGTTTGTCCCTAGGGGCACACGCAATGCATTTATGTGGGCGTGCTACATCGTGATAACTGTGCAAATCATGGCCATGATCGGAATTGTATTTGCTCTGTGTTTCGTGTGCATCCCGTACGAAAAGATCTGGAATATCACCCTCAAGGGCCATTGCTTCAACAAGCTCAACATCGATATCGGAGCCGCTTGTGTTCATCTCTGCACCGATATCGTCATCTTGATTCTCCCTCAGAGGCCCATCTGGAGGTTGCAGATGTCGTTCAGGAAGAGATTGGGTGTTTCAGTCTTCTTCTCCCTAGGTATACTGTAAGTGACAAATAAGGCTCGATTCTATCGCCTGGATCCTGGATATCATAAAAGCATTTGCTAATTCGTTTGGTCCATAGTGCTTGTATATCCGCTGGATTTCGATTAGCCGTAACGCTTACATATGCCCACCAACCGGATCAAACCTCGACCTTCGGCCCTGTCATCTTCTGGGCCACCGCAGAGATGACATGCGGATTTGTTATTGCATGCTTGCCGTCTACGCCCAAGATTCTCAAGGATCACGGTATTCTTCGAAAGATGAAGAAGGCGATGAGATCAGTTGTTGGATTGACGAACACCACATCGAAGGGCACCGCCAGCAAGCTCCCCATATCTTCAAGCACCAATCCGGCGAGCACGTACCGCAAGCTTGGCGAATACGGAGAATACGGCGTGGAGATGAGAAACATCAAAACATCAGAGTCGACAGAACAACTTCGATTCGAGAATGGCCATGCTGAACAAGGCATCCTCCGCACTACTCGAGTCACAATCAAGGAGGAATATGCAAAGGATGTCGACGAGGATGTTCTGAATCCCAATGCTGCCTGGAACAAGGAAACTAATGTGTGATTACTAAGCCATCACTCGCGGATAGTCTGCGGAAGCTTAGGGGTTTCATTTCTTTTCCCCGGGAGTGTATTTTACTAATAATAGGGGTTTGGATATCAGTCAGGCGTCAAGCAAGGACGATAGCCTATCATGTATAACGAAAATTTCAGACTTTTTTGTGTATCTATTATGCACCTAGTAACTATGTAGAGTTGAACTAGGCTTATGTTCCAGCTATGTTAAGATCATTGCTACAAGTATTTTATTTTCTTGCGTGTTGAAGACGACGACGATGAATGATGCAAGTCTCAATTCACATTTACTTGTAACTAGTGTGAATGGGTACCTCTTACACGGGTAGGCCCATGTGACATGTGTCAATATAAAGGTTGCTGGTAATGTCTCGGGACGGCCCTCAAAATACCTAGGGACCAAGTCGGTACCTACCTACAATACCTCAGGGGGCGGGATCGCGACAGCCCGTGCTTTTTCAATCCTCAAGCTTATTTCCTATTTTTATTACGCCTGCCTATGATAGGCACAGTATTTACCTACCTTGGTAGGTACCGAAGGTACATAGCAAGATGGGGGGCTGACTGTCCTTGCAAGGGGGTCCCATTACCGGAACGGAACCGAGCCACTGAAGAAAGATCTCACGTAAGACGACTATAGGCAACGTCAACTCAACCATCATACATATAAGCCTCGCATTCTCCCACACCTCGGTACCAAGCACACAAGACAATACTATGTAGATACTACCAAACAGGTAAACAGCGTGAGCCACGTGAGCCACGTGATTTATAACAGACCCAAGTCTTTGCTCGGGGTCGAAGCAATGTTACTGTAACATACATAATGACCGAGTAAAATATCCGGCTAGAGGTGGTAATGATGTCCATTACCGAAGGATTCATACGTGGATCGCTTCAAGTCTAAACTCGGGTTCGTTCTTAACGATCACGTAATCCAGAATAACTTCTTTATATCTACTTGTACCTTAGTCTCGACTGGCAAGTTCTGTCCAAGCTTTGATACATAGTACATACAACTCGGAAGAATCGATACAAAAATAATCCTATCACCTAGACCCTTGAAATTTGTCTACCTAGGTTGATAACTACCAAGTAGGTACCTATTTAGTATATTGACTATGTGCTTGGTAGCCGGTTAGATATCTACTTCGCTGCTAGCTACCCAGTAACTTAATGCGGGAACCTAAAGTCCAGGGGGTCAAAAAACGCCGAACGATTTTGCCCCAGCCAGGGAGGGAAATTGGTGTCGTAGTCATCGTCTTCGTCAGCTACCTAGTACTGTCGTCAAAATATCCCACTTTGATCAGAACCTTGCAAGTGCCGAACTGATACCTATTTTCACATGAATTGATGCCGCACACATACATACAAAGCAATATCTCTTCCATGTATGTATGTATGTATGTATGTATATAGGTAGGTAGGTAGCTAGGAATGGAATTAAGCATGTGTGAGGCTTGATAACGATCAAGTCCCTCGGTATTTGTACCGCCCTCTTCAACGTCTGGATCAGATCGTACTCCGTAGAAAAACTGGACCAGGATTTAGTCGCCCCTCCGGCAATGCTATGCTGCGGAGGGGCATCACGAATTTATGAGAACAGCCCCATGCAGCCAGGCTCCATCTCATTTCCCGCTGGTATCAATGGATCAGCGAAGTCGGTGATATTACCCTTACCAGCTAATCGTTACCTACCCCACGTTCCTGATGAACCTCTGGACTATTACCTGCCCACGTAAATTTTAGCGGTTGAAGAAGATATAGGGCAAGGATTCGATGCATCATGCATGGTCTCCCCTCTAGTTTGGAATGGCCAGTACCTAGACAGGCTTGGCTAGTTCGATGTTCAACCATCTCTCGTCTTTCTTGGAACTATTATGAACATTATGGACATGGTTACCTGGTACCCGGGTGGGCCGCCATACAGGATCCTGGGATCACTTCACGTACACCACCTACCGTAGCTTTTCCCACCTCGTCCCATAATTGTACGGTACCCTGCCGCACTGCCCGCAAGCATGCTTCTCTGCGAAGCTTAAACAGTGCTATAATCGTATGTAAGAACAGACAGGAGGAGAGAGGAGTTCCATTGTTTCTGTCTCGTGCTCTGGATTCGAAATTGCCGTACCGAAAAACTGACTCTCGACCCATAACCCGCATATATATTCTACACATACACATAACGCACCACATATAACTACAGTGGACAGGGAAGATGTCACCCTTACCCGTCTCTGCATCCTACATATGTGTTATGTGAATCTTGTAGGACACAGACGCGTGCTTCCCGTTTACACATATGGGGTGTTTTTGGTGGAGAGAGAGAGGGGGGGGGGGGGGGGGGGGGGGTATATTGGGTATCAGAATCCGTCGAATATCCCACGAATCTTTCAAAGCTGTGTCGGGACAGACGGATAGGATATCTCAGACTACCTATGAGTTTCACGCTCGGGTCGGTAGCGTACCTAGGACGTGGTAAATTCCCGAAACAATGCAACCCTTTTGTGGGAGCCTCTCTCTAGCTCAAGTGCCTCATAGACGTACCTGCATCGGGCGCTTACATATTTTGCCCTTCGGTAGCAGCCCGTTTCGTACTATGCAGTAAAGGCTAAGTCTTAGTTATCGCCATCAGCATCGTCAGTATCGTCATGTTGGCCGAAGCTACCAGGAGTACGGTGAGTTGGGGGTGGAGGCACGGGAGGATACACGACACCCTAAACACGTGGATAGCTTCTATCGGCATATGGGTCAGGACTGTTTTCGAATGCTAGCGCTAGATCAGCCGTTATTGTCTTTTGGGTCTGGTCTCTTATTTCATGGTTGGATGCTTTCTATCACTAACATCCTAGTAATAGTTGCTGATCCTAGGTGCAAGGTGACTACTAGGTACTAACCATGAAGTCGGCCACAGCTAACACACTACTTCCTATCGTCAGACTTGGAAAATGCACGATGCTCTATGGTCATCGTCGATACTGCTGGGACCCGTTCATGTGCTTGAGCGGGTATGCGTCGTTAGGGTTGCGTGCTATAGGGGACTATAGGAGTGGGCCCAGACGTGTCGGCAAGCTACAAGTAGAATCAGAGTCTAGTCTCTCTTAAAGATGGCCTTTAACCCCCCCCTCCTCCCACCTCAGGACAGTTTTGACGCAATGAAATACATCTTCTCCTGCTTGTGGGTGACCGTGTTCTGCAGCTAAATGGTATATGCCCATGCCGAAGACTAATAGGCAGTATTTGCTTTTATCGTATTGTTACTAGATATTGATTTTTCTTTGAATTATACCCCTTAACGCCTTGTTTCAGCCCACACTATACCAACTATGAATGACGACATAGCCGTTGTAGGACTCTCCTTCAAGCTTCCCCAAGATGTCAATGACATCTCCAGCTTTTGGGAGGTCCTCGAGAACCGGAAAAATCTCATGACCGACTGGCCCGAATCACGTATCAAGAATGGTTCGCATGAGGCTAGCGGCGAGAACAAGGTACATAGTGCTTACACCCTCCTCCTGCATTGAAGCTAACGCCTAATACATCATAGATCCATTGCCGGGGAGGACATTTCATAACGGAAGACCCAGGAGCATTTGATGCCCCGTTTTTCTCTGTTACCGCAAAGGAGGCGGCTTCTATGGACCCCATGCAAAGATGGACTCTTGAAGCATCTTATCACGCTTTTGAAAATGGTGAGTAGCTTTGAACATAGAGCCAGGCTTACTACGTACATTGCAATGCTAACCAATTTTGTTCAGCCGGAATACCAGTCGACCAACTCAGGGGTTCACGCTGTGGAGTGTTTTCTGCCTCTATGACAGATGACTACAAGCGGATGGTTGCGCAAGACCCCGATAACGTACCTCGTCTAGCAGTAACGGGAACATTCGCCTCTATTCTACCTAACCGTGTCAGCTGGTACTTCGACTTACACGGCCCAAGTATCCACGTAGACTCAGCATGCTCAAGCAGCTTGCTCGCCCTTGACCTTGCTTGCCAGGCATTGCACACTGGAGAAGCATCGTCTGTAAGTAGACACATTCGATCCATAAGCTAGCCATCTCGCTGATAGTTACCCCAGGCTATCGTTACCGGATCCAACCTGATCCTAGGACCTACGATATATCAACTGCTGTCATCGTTGAACTTCTTGTCTGCTGATAGCAAATGCTATAGTTTCGACCACCGTGCAAATGGTTACGCTCGCGGAGAAGGTGTCGTCGCCCTCGTTATCAAGCCCCTGTCAGACGCTGTGCGCGATGGGGACATGATCAGAGCAGTGATCAGATCTACGAGCTCAAACCAAGATGGCCACACACCCGGGCTGACACAGCCAAGTCCTCAAGCACAGGAAGACTTGATTCGACAAGTCTACAAGAAGGCAAACTTACCTCTCGATGTGACCCGTTACTTCGAGGCACATGGTGCGTAGAACTGAGTTAACTCCAATTCGAACTCATGCTAATGACTGAGCATAGGAACTGGAACGCCGGTTGGTGATCCGATAGAGATGAAAGCCATAGGTAGGGTTTTTAGGACGAGTCGTTCGGCAGAAGATCCCCTCTATGTGTACGTCTGCCCCTATATATCCCCAATCGGCAAAGAATCTAACATGATATCTTGAAGCGGCTCCGTAAAAACAAATATCGGCCATCTTGAAGGAAGTAGCGGTTTGGCTGGCGTCGTCAAGTCTATATGTAAGTGTCTGGCTCATCCCTACGGTTTAACTTCTCTGTTGACAATATGCTAACCTTTGTGATGTACCCAGTGATACTTGAAAAGGGTATCATCCCAGCTAATGCAAATTTTGAGAAGGTGAACCCTAAGCTTGACGTGGACTTCTACAATACCAGAGTAGGTGATAATTTATCAAGACTTGACTTGCCAGAGTGACTGACAAAGTGTTAGATCCCAAGTGAGAATGTTCCATGGCCATGTGAAGGCCTACGTCGTGCATCAGTAAACTCATTCGGATTTGGTGGCACAAACGTGCATGTCATTCTGGATGACGCATTCCACTACCTACAAGAACGGGGACTGACCGGAAATCACTGCACTACTGTCCTGAAGAAGACGAATGGCTTGTCTATCTCTAATGGGACTCACAACACTAATGGCTCCTCTCATACCAATGGAAATTCTAATTCGAATGGGAATGGCCATACTAATGGACATACTAACGGCCACGTTCAGTCGAATGGAGCAACTAAGACAAATGGAGACTCCAACGGAACAGCTCAAGCGACTAATGGGGGCTCCAACGGTAATGGCAACACAGTCGCCCAGAAAAACGGACACCATCAAGAATCTACGTCGAAACTACTGGTTTGGTCTGCAGCAGACGAGAAGGCTCTCAAGCGTGTGATCGAGGGGTATCAGAGCTTCTACAAGGAGCAGGTTCTACCGGCACCAACCAAACTCGATGATCTAGCATACACGTTAGCCACCAGAAGAAGCCACATGCTATGGCGAGCATTCGCGATTGTCCCCAGCGGATCTCAAACTCAGGAATCAAGCCTTCCAGTCGTTAAGCCAATCCGAAGTTCGACAGAGGCCGGTATAGCCTTCGTGTTCACGGGCCAGGGAGCGCAATACGCGAAGATGGGCGCAGACCTTCTCGAATACCCGCTTTTCGAGACCACGCTACGACGGATTGACGAGATATACACTATCCTGGGATGCACATGGTCGATATTCGGTACGTTGCGGGCTATTGGTTCGCGATATAAGCCGGTCACAGCTAACAATTCTCGACAGATGAACTCTACAACAAGGAGAATATTGATCGCCCCGAATACAGCCAGCCCCTTTCAACGGCCGTTCAGATTGGGTTGATTGAACTGCTAAGAAGCTTTGGGGTCGTTCCAAAGGCTGTTGTGGGCCACTCATCGGGAGAAATTGCAGCAGCGTAAGCAACCCCTTTTGCAAGCTCACTCTATCCGTCCTTTACTGACTTACTCTCAAAGCTATTCAATCGGTGCACTATCACTCCTAGCGGCTTGTAAGATATCCTACTTCAGGGGGCAGCTGGCTGCCAAGCTCAGGGCTTCCAGCGAAACCCCTGAGGCCATGATGTCTGTGAATCTTGCAGAGGAAGAGGTCAAGGGATACTTAGAAAACATCAGTGCCAACGTCGCGGCCAAGATCAATGTCGCTTGCATCAACAGCCCACTTAACTGCACACTCTCCGGTGACGAGGGCGCCATTGACATCGCCAAGGAGCAGCTCGATAAGGATGGCATCTTCGCCCAAAAACTCAAGACGGGCGTGGCGTACCACTCGCCCTCCATGAAAAAGATCGCCGACGAGTACAAGACCCAAATGGGCTCTCTTGATGGCAGTGCCAGGTCATCAATCCCGATGGTCTCATCAGTTACGGGCCGACGGGTTCAGCCAGCGGCGCTAGCAACCCCCCAGTACTGGGTCGACAACATGGTGTCGCCCGTCCGATTCGCCGACGCCGTCCATGTCCTCACGCAGAAAACTTCGACTCTAAAGGTAGGAATGGGAGCGATCACTGACCTTATCGAGGTTGGACCCCATCCGGCGCTGCGAAGACCAGTCCAGGATACTTTGGCGAAGGCCGGAAATAAGAAGCAGCAGATTCGGTATAGTTACGTGCTACACCGGTCCCACTCCGCGGTACAAACCACGTTGGAACTCCTTGGGCAACTATTCTGCCACGGACACGCAGTTTCGGTGCCAGCAGGAAACCAGCAGACTTCTAGCCAAGGACCCCGTCGTTTCTTAGTCGACTGCCCCAAGTACCCCTTCGATCACTCGAAGATATATTGGGCCGAGTCTCGTCTAAGTCGCGACTTCAGGCTGCGCGAGTCTGTTAAGGGCGAGTCCTTAGGGGCTCGGTTCTTCGACTGGAACCCCCTCGAGCCCAGGTGGCGGAACTTCCTCAGCGTCGAGAGCACACCATGGATTGGCGACCACGTTATCAGCGGCACTATCCTTTTCCCGGCTGCTGGCATGCTGGTCATGGCGATGGAAGCGGTGCGGGAGCAGTGCCCTGAAAACCGCACAATCTCCGGCTACTTTGTCAAGGAGGCTAACTTCCTCAACCCTATCGTTGTTAAAGAAGCGTGGGAGGACAGGACAGAAACCATGCTGCACCTGCGGCCAGTCAAGAGACCCTATGAGAAAGAATCGACGTGGTCGGATATTTCGATATACGGATACTATGATAACCGGTGGACCGAATGCTTCAGTGCTAGCATCCAGGTTGAATACGAAGACGCCGCTCAAACTGACGTCCAGGCAGAGCGGCAGTTGGCTCATACAAAGATCTACAACCAGTTCGTCGAGACACAAAAAGCATGCACTAGGCCAGTGGATTCCCAAGTATTTTATGAGGATGCTGCGGACTGCGGTCTCGGATACGGAGAGGCGTTCCAAGTCGTCGAGAATATCCAATGGGACGGTAAATCGAACACTGTCGCCCGTGTTGATATGACCAAATGGAAGACCACTAGCCTCGTTCACCCCGTGGTCCTAGACTCTGCTCTGCACGTTTTGCGAGTCAGCACCACCCTAGGACTTTCTTTGTCCAATGCCACGAACGTTCCCGTTCGCTTGGTGGGTGGCTGGTTCTCCGCATCTGGGTGGCAACAGCCCCAAACATCTTCCGTTCGATATCTTGCCAATGCAAACATCAAGGGGGGCAAAGAAAGTGACCATGGTGCCATACACGCCGTGGCAGATGATGGATCAGTCTTGTGCACGATAAGAAAATTCACGACTGCTGCCGTATCCAGAAAGGCTGACAGCAACAAGAGTGCTAAGAAGCTATTGCACAGCATCGACTGGAAACCACAACTAAGCTTGCTGGAACCACAATACCTAGGAGATCTAGTCGACGCGAATGTCTTCACTCGAGACGAGAACATCATGCTCAACCACCACCAGAAGCTGTGCTTTGTGCTAGACAAGGTCGCCGCCAAGACCCTCAAACTCCTTTCCGGCGAAAACCGCAACAAGGTCCCGGACTCCCAAAAGAAGCAGATCGAATGGCTCGAGCAGCACGTCTCCCTGCAGCCCAAGGAACGGGTAACCGACGACATAAGCGAGAAGGAGCTCGAGGTCCTGCTCAAGGAGATCGAAGCGATCCACCCGCCGTGGAAGCTGCACACGACTGTCGTGCGCCAGCTCATGAACATTCTCACGGGCGAGATCGACCCGCTCGAGGTCATCTTCGACGCGAACCTCGCCGACGTGTTCTACGCGGACATGTTCGCGCACGTGTGCGACGACCGGATGGTCAAGTTCCTCGACCTCGCGACGCACGAGAACCCCGGGCTGCGCATCCTCGAGGTCGGCGCCGGCACCGGCGGCTTCACGTCGCGGGTCCTGGCGGCGCTGAAGCAGCTCGAGCAGCAGAGTGGGGCGCTCAAGTTCGCGGAGTACACCTACACCGACGTGTCGCCCGCGTTCTTCGAGAAGGCCACGGCGAGGTGGCACGAGTTCAAGGAGCGCATGACGTTCAAGACGTTCGATATGAAGCGCAGCGCGGCGAGCCAGGGCTTTGAGCCCGGATCCTACGACTTGATCATTGCCGGAAGTGTGCTCCATGCCACGGAGGATCTACTGGCCACGATGAGGAACGTGCGCACGACACTGAAGCCGACAGGCCACCTCTTGCTGCTGGAAGTTATTGCGCCCCATGATGTTGTCACGAACTTCACGTTCGGCCTGGTGCCTGGATGGTGGGGTCGTAGGGAAGAATGGCGAGGCCTGTCGCCCGCGATACCCGAGAAGCAGTGGGACGATGTCTTGAAGTGGTCAGGGTTCCGCGGCAACGACCTTGTCCTGAGGGATTACCAAAGCGAAGCTTGCCACATCTTCAGTATTATCGTATCGAAAGCCGCGGAAGTAGCCGAAGCCCCAGCTCCTGGGAAACCAGGGCTTGTTGTAGTGGTCGATCAGCAGTCAGAGCAGCAGAACGAGCTGGCCAACTTGATCCACTACACCATTACGAAGTCGACTGACGGGCAGGCTCGGGTCGTTTCCCTCGATCACTTTGCCACAGCAGATTTCTCTGAGGACGACACGGTAATCTGCATTGCCGAGATGGTCAGGCCGTTCCTCGCGACGCTGTCCAACGAGAAGTTCCAACTCCTCCAGGAATTCCTGAAGCGAGTCAAGAACCTACTCTGGGTTACGCTGAGGATCTTCAAGGACAGCATGTACGCACAGTACGGCATCATGGACGGGTTCTTGCGCTCCATCCGGCGCGAGGAGAGCGACAAGCACATCGTCACGCTTGCCATCGAGTCCCAGGAAGACACACAGGCAGGCTACGCGCAGTACATCGCCAAAGCCCACAAAGCGGCCTTCGAGGCACAGACCGAGGAGCTGGAGTATGTCATCCGCAACGGTCTGCTGACCACTGGGAGAATGGCGGAAGACGTTTCTGGAAACGAGCAGCTGCGAAGTCTGCTCTACCCGCAGCTGCAGCAGAAGCCTATCGCGAAGGGACCCGCGCTGAAGTTTTCCATTGGCGAGGCTGGGGCTTTGGACTCGTTCCAGCTTGTAGAAGATGTCGCCAGTCAGAATGATCTTCTTCCGCACGAAGTTGAGATCGAGGCTAAGTCGTGGGGCGTCGACTCCCGAGACGTGCTCGCTGCACTGGGTCGTTTGGAAGAGAACGAATTCGGAATTGACTGCGCGGGTGTCGTGACGAGGGTGGGCCCTGACTGTGATAGCGATATCAAGCTAGGAGACAGAGTCTGCATGGTCTCCATCGACTGCATGCGAACGCATCCTCGCGCCTTAGACCATGCGGTACATAAGATCCCCGACAATCTGTCCTTCGAGGCTGCGGCTTCGGTTCTAGTCCCTGGCATGACGGCTTTCTATTCCCTGATCGAAATCGCCCGCGTTCGCAGCGATGACAAGGTGTTGATTCACTCGGCTGCTGACAGCACAGGCCAAATGGCGCTCTGGATCGCGAAGATGCGAGGTGCTGAAGTATTCGCGACTGTTGGGTCTGACGAGAAGAGGCAATTCCTCACGGACACCTTTGGAATCCCCAGCGACCATATCTTCAGCAGCAAAAACACCTCGTTTGCTCAAGGCATACTCCGTGTTACTAACGGGTACGGCATCGATGTGGTCATGAACTCTCTGTCGGGAGACAGTCTGCGTGCAACTTGGGAGTGCATGGCTCCCTTCGGGCGTTTTGTGGAACTCGGCGTCGATGACATCAAGGCCAATTCGTCCCTACCCATGGCCGGCTTTGCCAGAAATGTCAGCTACGCATCTGTCGACTTGCGATATGTTATCCTACAAAACCCACGCCTAACTGCCGAACTCCTGCATTCCACAATGACTCTGTTGGATGCTGGTGCTATTCAACATCCTGCCCCGCTGCAAGCTTATCCCGTATCAAAGGCCGACCAGGCGTTCCGCTTCCTGCAGGAAGAGAATAGTGTAGGCCGTGCCATCATCAACATCGAACGCTCCGATGTAGTCCCGGTAAGTGCTTTCAATGATCTAATATTATCAGGACAGAAGACTAATTCAATTCAGCAACTGCTCCTGGAACGGCGACCTTGGACGTTCGATTCAAATGCGTCTTACATCGTTGCCGGAGGATCAGGTGGCCTTGGCCGTGCAATCCTGGAATGGATGGTGGATAGGGGTGCCAAGCACCTCATCGTGCCATCACGATCCGGTGGCTCGAAATCCGTTATGGCTGAAGTCATATCCAAGCTGGCCAGACGCGACGTGAGTATCGTAGCACCCGAATGCGACGTATCCTCGCCCGAGTCCCTCGGCAAGGTCCTCGAAGAATGCTCCATCACAATGCCTCCGATCAAGGGCTGCATCAACGCCGCCATGGTGCTCCAGGACGCCGTGTTCAACAACATGACGTACGCGCAGTGGGAGCTCACGATGAAGTCGAAGGTGCTCTCGTCCATAAACCTGCACGAGCTGCTTCCCAAGAACCTCGACTTCTTCATCCTCCTGTCTTCGCTCAACGGCGTCAACGGCGCCCTGGCACAGTCGAACTATGCCGGCGGCTGCTCGTTCCAGGATGCGCTCGCGCGCTACCGCGTCGCGCATGGCTACAAGGGCACGTCGATCGACATCGGGTGGATGCGCAACATCGGCATCGTGGCGGAGACACAGGCGTACCAGCGCCAGAGAAAAGAATGGGACGACATGCAGAAAATTGACGGCAAGGAGCTGCTCGCGCTGCTGAGCGTGCAGTGCGACCCCTCAGAGCCGCTCCCCTCGCAATCCGGCAGCCAGATCCTGCTCGGCGTGCGCACGCCAGCGGACTTCCTCGTCAAGGGGCAAACCCCGCCGCCGATGCTTACCAAGCCTCTATACGCGCCATTCTCACACGTAGTCGGCGAAGCCAAGGTGGCGTCCAAGGACGCGACCGTAGACCTGGCGGCGACATTCAGGGAGGTGACGGACAGCGGCGAGCGGATCCAGATCGTGATCAAAGCCCTGGCGCAGAAATTGGCGCGCTCCATGTCCATCTCGCCCGACGACGTTGAGCTCAACAAGCCGCTTTCTAGTTACGGCGTTGACTCCTTGATGGCGGTCGAGCTGCGCAACTGGATAAGTAGAGACTTCCAGGCTAGCGTGGCTGTGTTCGACATAATGGGCAATGTGCCGGTCTCGGCTATAGGAGACCTGATAGTGGCGAAGAGCACGGTTGGAAAGAGTCAATAGGAGGTGGAGAAGGAGGTTAGATAGGGGCAATGTATGGACTTAGATGGACGGGTTTGGTTATACCCATTCAACGTTTTGGAAATTTCACGTTTCGGAAGTTTCATGGCCGATCGTGGGGGTTGGAACTGGTTGGGTTGAATTTTTCATAGGTAGGCAAGGTTTGGATATTTTTCTTTTCTTTTCTTTTTTTCAACTTTGTTACCCATAGTACCTAGGTATCTATAGCACGGAAATGAGATATGATGATGATTATTAAGACCGTACCTAGTCTTCCTAGGTGAGTGTATTCCAAACCTCGGAATTGCTCTCGAGCTTTTTCGAAGTTCCGATAACGATAATAAGGAACGTAGCCCCTATTTCTTGTGCGACGCAAAACCCCCTGGGTCACATGACTGGCGCTCTCCATAGGTCTGAGCTACCCAATTGGGAAAGTTGATCAACTATGCTCCATCCTGATTGGTCTACGGAGTTAAACTTGGTCCTAAGAAGAGGTCACGTGGGCCAAAGTCTATGTGATGCCATTCTCATCCACCCTAGGTATGTAGTAGACATGTAGTGAAAGTCCCTGGTAAGCCTAGATACAGCTGTTATCAGTTTCATGACGCGGCCAGTCATTGTGTCTAAAGGCAGGGAGTTTGGTTTGTATATATTATATACATACAGTAACATACTATATAGTCGTTCCTAGTGACGAGTCCAATTCTCCGGGGATCAATGAAGTCAGTTGCTGTGTCTTTTGGTCCAATTTTGTGACAAAGCATTTTCAATGACAAGGGATTTGTTCTTGTTTTCTTGTTCTATATCATTGTATTTGCTAGGTGCTAATTTTAGCGCGATAAATACCACCTCCTTAGCATTTTGAAACAAATTCATCCAGATAATTGGTCATGACAAACAGAAAGCTTGTGGGAAAAGGGGGAATTTGCACAATATCTGTACAAAGTCCTTGTTTGCCTACCTAGATATGTTTGAGTGTTATTTAAGTAACACGCCAATGTGCCCCAGGTACCTAATATGATATACAGTCAGAATTAAATATCTGTTCCAATTCTCACACTCTTGTCGCATAACAACCCGTTCAGCTCTATACTATCATAATGATCCCACACAGCAAAAGATGACCCATTGGATTCATGCTAGTATATATATCAACCTAATTACTCAGGCAGAGCGTATCTAAAAGGAGCATGAAGTAGATATATCCGTACTTAGTATATTTTGTGCGTCGAAAACCCAAGGTCAGATCTTACAGCTCACAAGCGTAGGTAACTCACATACTGTGAACGCCTACTTTCTTGATCCCACAACCACCACTCGAAATACATATAAATAACTGTTCTTTACCTCACCAGTACTTCTTCCTACTTTTCATCAACAATAAATCATAAATATCCTCACAACAAATTACAACATATTATCGCATAGGAACTAGTCTCCTTGCAGTATCCTTCCAACACTACCACCATCCACAATCCACAGAGCACTTGAACACCACTGCAACAATTCCATATCTATCCTCACTGCCTCAATTTGAATAGACTTCAGTATGGCTTCTCTCCGAGATTTTTACTTCCCAACCGAGCTTCTATTTCTGCTCGCCGAATTCGTCGACGATATTTCCACATTGCGTGCTCTTTCTGCAGCCAGCCGAGAATATCACGACATTTTCAACCCAGTATTGTATTCATGCGCGGCTAAGAACCACCCATATTTACTTACCTGGGCCTGCGAGGTTGACCGAATCGACATAGTAGAGAAGCTACTTATCGCTGGAGCCAACCCAAACATAGCTGTAGGATCAGAGGAGTACGACCGATACGAGAGAGAAAGATGGCTGTCAAGCCATACGACAATTGACATGACAGACCCTATGAACATACTTGACAATATCTATGACCACACCATTTGGTCCAACACTATCACACCTTGGAGACGATCCCATGTAAGTGGTCCGGTATACGACCCTGCTCAACATGATTATCCATGGCATGATATATGGGACCAGCCAGCGGATCTACCACGGGAGAATCCACAGGAATATTGCGAGGATCTTCTACAGTACTGGTTCCCATTGCATGCTGCCGCTATATCTGGATCAACTAGAGTTATTCAGATGCTTCTCAGCCACGGCGCCTACATAGAAACGCCCTCAATGAGACTGTGTCCTTGCTACACGACCATATCCAGTACTCACGACGTGCCCCCTAGCAACCTCCGCTCAAGCCACTGGACACCACTTCATATCGCGCTTTGCTGCCGTAACGAAGCGGCAGCGAATTGCCTCCTTACCCTTGGGGGGGCATCAGCGAAGATTGATGCTAGACATCGGTGGGGGGATCGATATCCAACCGCGTTACAATGGGCGGCCAGAAGTGGCTTTATTTCAACTGCACAGTTGATTCTAGATGACACCGGAGATACGCTCGTAAATAAACAAGCACCCGATGGTTGCGTGCCTCTTGTATGGGCGCTGGGAAGTGACAACAGCATAGAGATGATGTCTCTTCTCCTCCAATACGGCGCTACAGTCAACGGATGGACCGAAGACCCGCTCGCCCACGCGCTAAGAGGGTGCTGGTATAAAGAAGCCAAGTTTCTCATTGAGCATTATACAGAGATCTCTTCTGAATCCAGTCGTCTCCGCAACCTACTTACTCAGTGCATCATCAAGCTGCTCAACTTTCCCGAAAAAAGGTACCCCATGCTCCCGAATCAGTACGAATCTAATGGGTACGAAATTCGGTTGTACCAAAGAGAGTTGGCTATGAGAGAACTCGATGGCTATAAACTGGGACGGTTGCAGCACGCGCCTGACCCGATCTTTCTGAACGAAGAAGTCCATTTCACCGGTATGATGGAAATAATACTGCTGTTGCTTCCATATCACATTGATATGCACGAACAGTTCTTGGTTCCCGCATCGGCAGGTCACTTGACGGCTATCGTAGAAACGTTTCTATCAGCTGGCGTCAAGGTTGACGAAGCGACTGAATACGGCATCTCACCGTTGCTAGCCGCGGCTGAAAGTGAGGAGACGGTACGAGAAAGGGGACGTTATGAAACCATCGAATGCCTTCTCCGACATGGTGCATCTCCAGACGAGGTAACCGCGATAAACAGGACTGCTCTAGTGGCCCTATGTGAACACCTCGATATGGATCAGAAGAAACAGCTTGATATCATCAAGTTGATGGTCGACCACGGTGCAGATATCAACCGCCGCTCCCTTTCTATGTCGGAAAGTGGCATTGAGACTGTCTATTCACCCCTCCAAGCCGCCTTCCGATTCCAAAGGCTCGACATTTGCCGTTATCTTGTCGATCTGGGAGCCAAGGTTAGCCACGAGGAAGGGGATCTCCTCTTTATGCTGCAGGACTTGCTCGATTGGTATCCGGAATTCGTCCAACCGCCAGGCCCTGATGAAGAAGTTGTCGAACATACCGCCGACCCGATCACCTGCCCTGTCGAATTCTGCACTGCTCTGCGCTTCATACTGAGTCTCGATGACTGTGGGTGGCTATGCAAGAATCCGGAAGCTTTAAAGTGCTCCACGCACGTTCATCATTTTCCGCTGAAGGAAATGCTTCTGCAGTCTAAGGGGGCGTACATGACATGGCTTTCGGAACACCCGGAATACATGAAAGGGCGCTTGGATGGTGCGGATGACTCTGTCGAGGACCTACCTGAGTGTGCTAGCTAGAACAGGGACGGCAACATTTACATGTATGTAACCTTCATCATCTTTTAGGTTCCGCCTCGTAAATTCGTAATAGGCTTATCACGGTGTCTATCATGGATATCCCATATCCCTTGCAAAATCGATTGGAAGAGGGAAACTATAGGGGTCGAGGATAAAGGGAGATTGAAAGGTCGTAGAGAGTCAATAATGTAAATAGTTCTTAACTGGAAGCTCGTATCCGGCAAGTCTAGTTTATTGAGATAGTAAATACTACTAGTAGTAGTTTCCCAGCAGTTTATTTCACCCCTTCCTTGATATGGCATTATAAGTGCATACCGTAATATCTAGGGTTGGAATGAGAAATGAGGTCATTTATCATACCCCCTTTTTTCAATTAATAGTAGGTACTTAACTAACACGCCTTACCTATTACGGATAGCTTAGGTAGGCCCCTCGGAACTACTAACCTAGGTAACTAGGTTAACCTTAGTTGATTGTGAAGCTTTGGCGCGTTGATGTTAGTATTTATTGACTTTAGGTTTGACACCAAAAAAAAAAAAAAAAAAAAACGAAACCAAAACAAAACAAACACAATTTTCACTAATATTGACAGTATTTCCAATCCTCTACCATGGAGTTCATTGACTTCGGAGAGCCTGAAGCCCAAAAGCCCGGTCGCAAGTTCAAAGACCTCCAAAGCCGATCCATTGCTCACATCAACCATTCGTCCAACAAATCGAAACCGCGTCACTCCGATCGCAAGAAAAAGGAGGTTCTGATGTGGCTAGCCCTAACTTCAATACCCTTACAAGAGTCCTTGGTGCGTCCTGGGCTGGTCAAGCCTACGGGCAGGATGAAGGACGACGGCCTAAGCCCAGTAGAGCCGGGGTTCCGTCGGCCTACGTACAAAGAAGCCGGTGACTTTTTTAAAATCTCGCCGAATACAATCCAGGGCTGGTGGCAGCGCAGAGAGCAGATACTGCATGGCCCCAAGAAAAAGACAAAGCCTAAAGCGAAACCAAAAACCACACGACAGAAATAGTGATATTGGGATATATTAGTTAGGTAAGTAGTGCTTGTAACTCAATCCATATACATCGCGAACCGAACCTCGCAGCTAAACAGTTAACACATCTACAGCGCAAACCCAACCTGCGCCAAGTTCTCTATCGCCGCCAGCCCATACAGCGCCGCATCATTCGTTGAGACCCACGCCGCCTCATCCACCGCCACCAGCGCCTCGCTTCCATTGACCCTTACACTCGACCACGGCAGCGTCGGCGCCAAGCCGTCCGTACCCAGGAACTCCGACCACGCGCGCGCGGCCAGCGTGTCATTACCTGTCTTCTTAGCCGCGTACGCCGTGAGCCGGGAGTGTCCCTGCTTGAGATTCAAGCTGCCGAAGCTCTCGCCGTAGCGGGCCGTCTGCTCGGCGGCCCCGGCGCCATAGTAGTAGCAGTAGTCGAGCCAGGCGCTCTCGAAGCCGGCGGGCAGGTCGGCGCCGAGGTAGTCGGTCAGCTGGGCGATGATCTCGGGCAGCCCAAAGCTGGCGGACAGGTGGGAGACGTCGACGTCGCCGAGGTTGTTGGGGTCGGTGGCGGGAGGGGCGATGACGCCTGTGTTGAGGTTGTACAGCCCGAGACCGGTCACAAAGCCGTTCTTGAGCGCAGCGATGCTGTGCATGGTGCTGTTGAGCTTCGCCTTCGCCTCCTCCCAGCGCGGGCCCCGCCGCTCATACTCGAGGAACCAGGTCGATGCGAGGCCGGACCAGTCGAGGCCGATGTCGAGGTCGAGGGCCGTGGGGTCGATCTGGTAGGTGCCGTTGTCGTCGCGGACCTTGCGGCGGGGGTCGACGGTGAGGAAGGCCTTGTCGGCGTCCATGAGCTCGTGGAGGAGCTCGCCGGTCCGTTCGTCGCCGCCAGATAGTAGAATGTTTGGCGATAGATGGGTGTCGAAACACGGATCTGCTTGGAGCTGTCGCTGAAGTGCTGGACGCCATGCCGTGTTCCGAAGCCCTTAAATGGCCCAATGTGATATACGTCCACTTCGCCCGTATGTCTCGCGTGAGCTTCGGCAAAGCGATACACGTCTGCCCTTCCCGTGCGTAGAAAATAGTTCCAGAAAAAGAGGTTAGGAGATAGTTCTGAATTGTCCCACGCATACCCTCCGATATCGTAGCGCCAGGTGTGTCTGTCTGAATCGTAGGTATGCATGATATCGCCGTGATCCCAGAATCCATACCACCGCCTATCGGAAATCTGGCCCTCGTAGTACTTGATTAGGAAGTCGAGATGCGTTTCAATCGTCTGCGCTGCCTCGGTCAGATTATCGGGGGTTGTTGCCCAGTACGAACCCGCTCCCTTGGTTTCCTGGATGTAGCCTGGCTCTGCGGCAAGAATCGGTGGCTCGTTGGCGTGAGCGGTCAAAGCAGACAACGTGTCAGCGGACGGAGTCTTCTCGAAAGGGAAGATGAATATTTCATTAGTTCGCGCGATGCCGTACGGCGTGTCGTAGCCTTCCTCGTAATCTTCGTAGGTAATCTCCAGCGCGTCCAGTTGCTTCTCATATGTGTCTTCGCCCAAGCCGTCGTGGAAGGGTCGGAGGTCCATAGGCTCGGCGGACGGGCTGTATAGCCACAGGGTTATCTGGCCTACATCGGAAGCTGCGTTTGAGATGTCAAGACTGGTGGGGTACCGCTTCCAGAAGTCGCGAAGTGCGACGGCGAGACCACCTTGCGTAGCACCTCCGAGATAAGCCAGCCCACCCGCTTGTGAGCCTCCGGGAATCTTGACCCAGCTCTTGCCTGCCTTGGTCCTTTTCGATACCGTAAACCCCTCGGAGGACAGCTGAGTTAGCTTGTAGTCGTTCCACGAAGGGATCCACTGCAGCCTTGTGGATACTCGGGTGTCCCAAGCCGAGATAGCAGGTGTTTCTTCTCCGTTGAACTGGGCTGTGCGAACGCTCTGTCCAGGATCTCTTCGCAGTCCAGTAAGCCCTTGCACCGCCTCGCGGAGCAGGCCCCCGTCAGGGCCCGCTAGTCTAACGTGCCGATTGTACAGTTTCTCGCCGGCCAGGGGAACATCGAAACGGATCCCGATCCCCGTGACGAAATCACTCTCAGGCTTGCCGTCGAATATGAGAGTATGCACTACCCGAATAGCGTCTGAGTCCGCATAAAGATAGAAACGCAGGGTAAACGGTAGCCAGTCGTCATGGGGGCTCGACGTGGTCTGATGTTTGCCACGGACAGTGACTAACGCTCGTACCGGGCTGGCCTCGTCATACTCGACGGTGGCCTCTTCAATGTTGCTCTCGAATTGGAACTTGTCAATCGAAGGCTGGGTCGCGTCATCCTCGTCATCTACAACCCCTGACTGGGAGCGCAGCACCAGTCGCCCGTTCTGCCCAACAACTTTTCCGCCGGATGTCTTGATCTCGCTCACAAGCGTGTTTCCAGATTTGGGGAACGTCGCGGCAAACTTGCCTGTGTTGACGGTGACCTCGCTCTCGGACTCACTAACAGTCAGTCCTGACGCCGAGGAAGAGTTGGTCGGATTGCTACCGGTGGCGGCCGACGCAGTGATTCTGTACTCGTCGTACACTGTTCCGGAGCCGCTTAGGGCATGTGCGGTCCATTTGATGGAGTCGTCTGGCCAGTACGCCGTCACCCACGACTGGAGAGGTACCTCAGTACCATCACCTCCCGAGCCCGTGAAAGCTGTTCCGTTAGCCGGATATTTGCCCCGAGCCCAAGGTAGGCCGAACGTCGTCCCGGAGTTGAGGTTAGGTGTGTCGCCAATCCATTTCACAGAGACCGTTTCTGCTGAGGTTGTGCTGTTGGGAAAACTCTGGGCAGATGTGATTTGGGGTAACCCAGAGAGGGTCAGAAGCCACAGAGCACTCCACATAGACATCGTGGCGAGACTTCCAAGGTAAAACAAGGAGAGAAAGAATTGGAGGACTTCTATCTTCCAAGTCTCATTAGGCCTACCTCCATCAATGACCAGAGATTAACGAGAGTGGAAGTCGAAGCCATATGTAGGTACTTATGAGGATACCCCTTCTCCAATTTCCGTTATACAACATTTTGGATAAACTCCAAGTTTCAAGCTTTGGATCTGGACATGCACCTTGGCCTGCGGAGCATATTGCTACCTCGGTAGGATGTTCCACCGGGCATGGCAACCTAGTAGAGTGAAGGGTAGCTACTCCGTACCTGGCTTAATATAAGAAAGGTATAACGCGGATGTGTTCGCATTCACGATAATTTCGTCATGGTGAGATTCCACGAATGAAGTAAGAGCCTGAGCAGCTAATCCGCGTTGCCTAATAATAATGGAGTATGGCCTCTTTGCGGGGATTGTGGAGATCACCCAGCCCTAGCTGGTAGGCATAGGAGCTTGGCTTGCCTACAGTGGTAAAAGGTTGGAGACTGGTGTCGGGGCTAGCAGGTACGATTACGATTTCAGGGGAGCTGTACTTGGTAAAGCTTTATGTGGTAGCATCGTTAATCACGAAAGCTCGTAACCAGACTTCCAGCTCGCTTCGGTCGGTGTGTAGATCACCTCATACAAGCTAATTTCTAACTCATATTCGGTCGTGATCCGAATGCTACGTTAATTTAGCATTATGCTTCGTCATAGAGACCGCCATTTCCATCTGCTTGTTAGGTTGATGAATGAGAAAAGCACATTATAGTAAACTTAACTACCTATTAACCGTCCACTGCAACACACACTTGAACTGTGATGCAGAATTCACTCAGATTATTTCACGTATATAGCCGCCCTTAAAGCATCTGCATAGGAAAATAATCGATTATGGATAGATACCTATGTTCTTAATATGGGAACATTATACTAGGTTAGATGTTTGGGTACCTATGTCAGGGGCTTCTAATAATAGCACTACCCACCTGGGCAGACACCTGATGTAGCGTACTGGAGTGAACACATTCCACCCTCTTTATTCAACATATACAGTTCGACGTAAAGACAACAACAATGCCACAAGGCCACAATATCACAGCATGAAGATTATGGGTCTACTGATGATCCGCGTAATAAACCATACGCCCAGTTGTACTTCATAGTATGAACAGCTAAGGATTAACTTGAATACAAAGGGTATCACACTTGCCTCCTCTCCGTCTCAATAACGTCGGCCATAACCCAATCTTGAACATCAACTCACAACCGGGTATCTAGCGTGAAAAAACAAGAAAAAAGGACATTGCCAGTTGGAAAAGACAAACAAATCAGCCAATCTGAAAAAAAAAAAAAAAAAAGGAAAGAAAAGAAAAACAAGGGTATTTGGGTTCTCAGATTAAACACCTAAGATCACGGCGACGGCGACAAGCTCGAGATTCTCCCAATCCTCTTACTCTTCTTCCCCACAATCTCCACGACCTCGGGTTCGATCGGCGTCTCGGGCGGTTCCTCCACACTCGCCGACGGGCCCCCCTCAACCTCAGAGCCATCTCTATACAGCACGGGGGACGCTTCCTCCTGGTCCTCCTCCTCCTCGTCAACGTCATCTCTCGCAAACAAGGGCGCGTATCCGTGTCGGGGACCCTTGAACCACGCCGGCGTCCTCCATTTCGGCGCGGTCGGTCTGCCCCACCACGTCGGCGGCACCTTGGGTAGGGCGGGCATCTTCATCTTCAGCTTCACGTTCTGCAAGTTGGGTCGGGGGAACGAGGTCTCGTCGACCCAGGGCATCGCGGGGCGCGCCGCGGGCCGCAGCCGGCGCCCGCAGTCCGGGCAGTCGGGGGGCACGGCCTGCCACGCGAGGTACTGCGTCAGCCCCGGGATCGCGAGGCCGCGGGAGAGTTCGCGTACCGCTAGGTAGAGATGGATAAAACTATTTGAAAGCCTAGTTAGCACTTTTTGATTTGTGGACGCGAATTGGCCAATGAACTTTTTGGGTTTTATTTAAAAAAAAAAAAAAAAAAAAAAAAAAACTTCATTGGTGGGCGATGAGGGTAAGTAGGTTGGCTTACAAATTAAGCAGCAATGGCATCGTCGCATATGAGGCTAGCATCACTGCAGTGGCCGACCGTATGCGGCCTTGGCTCGAATTGATCCATGTGAGGACCAAAACCACCATCAGTGCGGCCGCGAGGACTGTGTCAACCGCAAATACGAGGAGAGAGCGGTTCTGGGTCCGCGTCGGCGGCGACACATCGGGTGTCTGCCACGGCGACTGTGTATTTTCCGGTTCTTGTCGCAGCCCCTCTTCACCACCATCTACTAGTTGCTCTGGCTCGGGTGGTGGTGGCTGCTGTCGCTGCTTCGCGGATTGTCTCGAGGCGAGGAGGATGCCTACGCCGGCAGAGAATGCGAGCGGGACCAAGCCGACAGCGGGGAGAGGATTCTTGGAGATAGCGCCATGTGCGACGCAGAGGGGAAATGCGGGAATGAACGTCACGGCGGTAACGATCCGCAGTACTCGAGTATCTGCCATGGCTGCGGTAGTGATTGATGTTACAAGCACGATAGCTTCTCAAGCAAAAAAGGCGAACGAGGGAAGGTGAGAAGAGGGGGGGGCATTTATTTGTTTGAAGAATTGACGCTATGATGGCGAGCCCTGGCTCTATCTTATCCCTACCGGGTATTGCTACCGGGGGTTATGATTCGTCAACCAATGAGGTTACATTGACGGATCGTGGCGATGAACACAAAATTCACGAATATTTACTTTTGTAGGTAAACATCGTGTACCTACTACTAGTAGTAATTCACAATAAATACAGTCAGAATTATCTAACGTTAATAGGTTGCTAGGGCATAATTAAAACGGGGTATATAGCTCAATATGTAGGCAGCTATGAATTAGGCAATTATACCAGTAGCCTAACCGTAGAGAAGTCCTCCGGAGACAATAGGACTTTAGCACGACATTCAGGTAAGAGCTTGTCAATGGTAACATGTCCAAGGAAAACCAGCCAGCAAACTCCATGAGGGTGAAATACATGGAAATGATAATATTTGTCAATACACACGACACAGGCATTTACATACTTTACCTAGGGTAGGTACCTAGCCAGGTAGTTAGGTATGTTTGGACGTCCTAAGCATCGTCCTCGTCTCAGGTTTAAGTCTAAGGAAAATCACATTAGCTAGGTGGATTCCGATATTTCAAAGATACGACGAGTGGTAAATTACCTAGATACCATGTAAGCATACCTACATGTGGCGTGCTCTGCTAGATACTTCTCCTACAAACAGTCTTCATGATGAAAAAAAAATAAAGAGATTTATTGTGTACTGAAAATCCAAACGATCGCTAACAATAAAATCGCACGCGAACACCGTCGCTGACCCAAAGAGCAACATCTATTCCCCTTCACATCGTGTCTTCCCTTCTAAGCTACTAAATCCTCCAGCTTAGAGAACGAGGTGACTCAACCGTCTTCCTTGACAAAGAAAAAGCAAAAAGAAAATCAATCTACCACATCCATCCACTACCCAACAAACTCCCCAGTCCCTCTCCCCCCCTTAATAATCCATACCAATACAGTACCAGTAGCACCCAACTTTCCCCTACATCCATCACCACCCCACAACCTCCGCGTCACAGAACCAGCGCTTTATCTTATTTCCCTGACTCCCCCTCAGCAGCTTTCGAAGCTCTCACGCAAGGCATCGCCATCAACGCCACACCGTACATAAGCTGATAAAATTTATAGTTATCCGCGTAAGGAGCAGCATCAACAGCCGCATCAGCATCAGCACCAGCAGCTGCGGCGGTGTCAGAAGCAGTAGCAGCGGTGTCAGAGGCAGTAGCGGCGGTGCCTCTCGGAGGAGCCGGACGCGTAGGTGGTCTGGGCAGCGGACGGTTTGGCGGCCCCGGGGCGTCGCGTGCGTCGAGGGGGGCGGGGACGGCGGTGTCGTCCGCAGCCGAGTTTGAGTTTGCAGGATCTGACGGCATGGCTTGTCGTATTGTGTTTGTCTTTTGCTAGCTAGCTAGCTAGGCAGTGTGTGGAATGATATTCGATCTTAAAAAGTGGTGATAGCTTCCCCAAGTTCAGATGCTTTTCCTCAAAGAAGAAGGGAAGTTGCGCGAACGTAGTTAGTAACTTTCGTCGCAAGAGCGGAAATCCCCCCTGGGTTAAATACCCTTTTCTCCTTACGCCACTTTGCCTGACTACCTACCTTACATACCTACGTCTGACCTGGCTGGCCAGGGGGTGGTTGTAGCACACTGGCCCTGACTCATCTAATGACAGGACGTATAGTGTCACAACAACGTTTTGTGATCGAGGTTAAGGTTGGCAGGAGGACTTGTGGTAGGTAGCCAGGCCGTCACGTCATGGTGAGACTGTGCGCTTGTATACCGAGTGTGTCGTTTCCATGTTCTAGGAGGTGGGTACTAGAGTAATACAGCTCAAGCTAGGGACTGACCACCTGGGTGTAGGAGTTTTCGCCACGTCCTTGAACAAGCATACATATGAATATGTTGTTCAGAAAGGCTAGGAACTCCTTGGGCTCGAGTTCTTCAAGCTGGGTTTCCATCGTGTATTCTGTGACAGGCAGGGTCTTGACGTGGGAATGTAAGCTTCTACACTAGGCTATCATGACGAGATAGCGTGTGAACTGATCACTTACACACTTAGTTGAAGGTAAACACTCACCTGGACTATTCAACCATAATCACGTAGGTATCTTCTATACAGCTAAACGGTAATCTAGAATGTGGCATGAAGCCCTCCTTTTTAGGACTTCTACGTGTTAAGTCAGCTAGAAACCCCCCTCGTGATGGTACGTCCATAATTGAAAACCATTGGCGTGGCTTGTAACCCCTATTTCCTCCAAATTGCCTATTGTTGAATCCAAGTGAGGATCAAGACTGACTCCAGTCAACATCATATACCTAACAACGGAGGGGGGTTAGTTCACATATACTTCGCATAATGCATTTCATCGAGACTGAAACAATGTGGGTATTATCATCATTTGATAAATATAAACGAGTTTATAAACTTCTTCCTATTGTAGGGTTTTCCGGTTTACAATAGGTTACCTAACCCAATCATAGCATAGGTAATGCCTTCGCGTAAACCAGAAACCCCAAAAACGCCATGCAATGCCAGTCATGTCTCTCCTTACAACCAGAAAATCCCCAAATTAATCCCAGTATCTAATCACACCGTCTAAGCCAGCAGCAACAACCTTGCTCGTTTCCTGAGGATGCCACTGGACGCATGTGATGGGTTGGTCGCCGGCCGGAAGCTTATGGTACATCTTGCACGTCTTCCAGTCCCAGAAGCAGACGAACCCGGCGCTGTCGCCGGAGGTGAGGAACTGGCCGTCGGGGCTGCAGGCAACGTCAATGGCGGTACCGGCGTTGTTGTGGCCGCGGTAGCTCTTTTTGCGGTTCTGCCGGAACTTGTCGTTGGCGCCATAGACGACGATCTGGTTATCCGACGACTGGTACGCAACGTACTTGCCGGACGGGTGTAGGCATGCGCGCGTCATCGGGTACATATACGGCTCTGCGATATACTTGATCGGAACCGGAATGTTGTAGTCCCAGGCTCGCAGCGATTTGTCGTCAGATGTCGTCATGAACCGCCGGTTCTCGTCTACGAAGGTGATAGTATTGATGGCGTTGAGATGGTGGTCGTATTCCTGCACCAGCTCTCGCGTACGCGTATCGAATTGCACAATCTTCTTGTCAGACATACCAGCCAGGAACTCATGCGAATGCTCTGGCGAAGGGTTGAACTTGATGACATGGGGTGTTTTGCCTGTTGTGAACTTGTTGATACATGCGCCAGTCTCCGTGTCCCAGAGCTTCATCTGGCGATCATACGACGCAGAGAGGAACTGAGTGCCCTCGTTGTTGAAGCAGATATCTGATACAGCTTTGGAGTGGCCGAGATAACTTCTCAGAAGTTCCTTTTGGTGGTACACATCCCAGATCTTGATCGTTGTATCTGCGCCAGAAGACAGTAACAGATGTCCCGAGTTCGGGAAGAAGCGTAGAGCTGTAACAGCCTTGTTGTCGTGGTTCTTCCATGTATGGACCAGCTTCTTGGGTATATAGTTCGTGATGCTGCCGTTCTCCTTCTTTAAATCGATATCCATATCTTGCGGTACGTGCATGTATGTTCTTCCTTGGTAGTCGTACTGTTGTTCGCCGTGGAATATCGTCTGCTCATCTCCTAATTCCTCAACTTCCTTCCTCCTAGCCAGAGCACCGGTAGGTGCCGATATGACTGTACCGCTCGCCACCACGTCCTCATCGTCTTCGTAGACATATTCCACCTCTTCATCACTAGCCAATTCCTCGTCTTCTCCGACTTCCTCGTATTCATCTTTATTGTATTTGGCCCAAGGTCCAACATACGCGCCGTCACCATCAGCTATGGTCGCATCACCCTTTTTTTGCCTTGAAGCCCTTAACTTAGCAGCTTCCTCCTTGACAACAACGCCAGATTGGTATTCTCTTTCGGGGCCACCCTTACGTTCGATGGCACGGTGCTTGCTGCGAAATGTGTGTTCGCTTAGGAAGGTCTCCTCCGCTTGGCCGGTAAGCACATTCTTCCGTTTTAATGCGTTCGACTCGTCTTTGTATGGATTTAGAGGACCGAGTTTAGGTCGCGCTAGATCCTCGCCAGTATATGGTACGACAGCGTGATCGGGCTCTGCTTGTTCGCGCACGACAAGCGCGTCTTGGGGTGCCATATTTGGCGGGTATTCTCCGAATTCGTTCATTTTGTTGTCGGTGGTAGATTTGGTTTGGTGGTTTTAAAAGAGTGTCAACGCGTTTTGCAATTGGCAAAATTTCTAGAATTTATGATGAATGTTCAACAGCTATCGGACAAGAGCTACTATTCACTTAACCATGAATTCGTTAGTTAGTAGAACTTGGGTTACTGCATAATTCACGTAGAGTAAATCACGTGCCTAACTTTACAACGCTCACATTTTAGCGTATGACTAAGAATTACCAGCAGTAGTGTCTCGATATTTACATAAATACCAAAGTACCTACTTATGCCAACACCCAAACATTAAGAACGTTGACTGACATAAACATTAAAGCTCTACCGTAAAGTAACATTAAAGACCGTTCACACATTTCGGGGTATTATTCTGTAGTTTCATTATGTATGAAAATTCCCGATCCGAACAAACAGCACATGCTGGTCATGTATCTGTGCATTACGACCGAGCCTATTCCGAGCCCAAAAGCTCACATTGCCGTTATCCTCCCATCCCGTGGAATTGCGCACTCCTCTAGGATTGACGCAATAGCCTGCCTGTCTGTTCGTAAACTGTGGATGACCTCCCCTAGCCTAGCTCTGTTGATTCGTTCCAACTACCTAGGTAGGTATTCATCACTGTCCAAAACTCCCAACACAAAGATTCTCCAGGGTTGTCTATATTGATATATGCCTTCTATTAGGCCACAGCGGAACTTCAAGGGTTGTGACTTATGACACTTGTTCCATCCGATCCCAGCTGTGCTTAGGTGCCATATTGAGCCTTCAAGATACTTGATCGGACGTATAGCAGCTTATTTCGTCTCGTCTTTGATTAGGGCAACAATCATGCTGTATAGGTAGAAGAAGAACATGACTAGGTGGAAGCCAAGCTTGATGAATGATTCCTAGATCCCATATTAGACAGGCTTGCCCCAGTGCCCATGCCACGAAAACAAATTTCTTACCTTCTTATGAACATTCAACTTCCTGAAGATCTCAGTTGCGTCAAGCAAGTGTGTGTTGTTAACAATCCTGCCCACAATTTTAGCGACTTCTTTTTGCAAACTAGTCTAACTCGAATCAGATTTTGCGCAACGTACTTCTTGATGTTCCAAGCCAGGAGAGGTAGGTTGAGAACAAGCGCCATCCAATAACCATTGATCAGGAACAAGAACGTCAGGAATCCATGTACGGCAGCCTCGGGGATGATGTAGGTGTTAAGGCGGTTGCAAAGGTCGATAGGGTTGATATAGTCACTATACAATCACTTATTAGTCAAGGGATTCCGTAGGAACAAGCAAAAGCAACAATGACGTAGATGGGCGCGCTGTGTAGTTCAAGCTTAGATTGCAAACCAACTGCGCTTTTCAGGCCTGATTAGATTCACCACTTACCATTCTAAATCGCTGTACATAATCGTGAAGAAGACCTGAAGAAAGAGGTTGACGGCATTTATGAGCACGGCAAAGAGATACAGCCACGCCTCTCCTGACATTTTGGCGATTGAATTATTTCCTGGCTCGAAGGCAACTGTACGGTGTGATCACGCGAATAGAGCTTTGAATAAAGAGACAACAATTGCTAGCTGTATAGTTCGATAGGTAACGAGTATACTACGTTGTTCAATCGTGTTCAACTAGATGACGACAGGCGTGCACGTTGGGAAAGTCGGACAATCGGATGACGGAATGGGTAGAAAGCGGAGATAAGGCTGCAGGAACTCGTGTGTTTTTTTCTTGGTCGAGACGGGTATTCGCGCGATATGATTACAACGACATGGGGGAAATAGATACGTGTCGTCGTCGAGGTGCAAGTCAAGTTAGAGGGAGGTTAGTAAAGTCGGTCGGGATCCCCGCGATTAATTTAATTGTCGGGTGTTTGGAAAAATTTGAGTGCGATTTTTTATGTGGGTGGATGATGAAAGCGGCTCGCTCGAAGAAGGGTAGGTAGAAAAAAAAAAGCTTGCTTGCTTGCCTTCGTTTCCTTTGGGGAGAATGAGGAGTAGGAGCAACTTTTGCTAGGTTAGTAGGACCCGGCCTGGCGAACCTGGAAACAGCGAAGAAACAGCGAAGCTTGTTGAAGCTTTCGGCTAAGCTCCACTAACGGTTTGTACTCAGGTACATAACTAGTACGTAGTTATTACAATTTACCACAGCATAAACCCCCCACATCGAAGGCTGGAAATGGAGGGGCAGGGACCTGCAGCGAAAGAAAAATAAGGAAAAAAGAAAAACCCCCGCCAGCTTCCCTAACCTTAGAGTCTTGGACTATTAACATTTAACTAGCTACAATTAACTAGCTCCGCCTGAGTGGTCAGGTTGGGATGGGATCCCTAAAAGAGGATAAGGGGCCTCAACAGATATCAACTGTATATCTGTCACATACTGTACCTAGGTAGATAAGAATGATGCCATCTATGTATCTTACACAGTAGCCTATAATTATGTATGTATTCTTAGGATGTTCACTGAGAACGTTGGTTTAAGTTTCACTTCTTTCCCCTTATAAAACGAACATTACAACCCAGGAGAATTACTTTATTCTCAACGTCAACTACGAGTTTGCAGCAAGTGCTGGATATGGATGCTTCGTTGGTGTAATGAACGAATACATACATACATATGTACAAGTAGACACGTCTCTTGTAAGAAAGTATCTACATACATGTATGCTGCCCTATACCTTAGTCTGCAATGTGTCTTGTACATAACAATGCATTGCTTGTGAGATCCATGTCTTGAAATGTCATAGTACATTCCATGATGTTGCTATCCGGTCCTTCTTCTTATGCGCTACCGTTGGCTCCGTTTTCGGTAACCGGCATTGGCACCGGCCCACCAGGCGAGTTCTCCGTGCGCGCCGTCAATACTTCCACTCCCGTTTCAGTCACGAGGTAAGTGTGTTCTATACGAATACCGTGTTAGCAGACAACATACTGGTGCATTAAAAACAAAACAAAACAAAACATAGATTCGGCTTACCAAACTGAGCAGTCCTTTTCCCGTCAATCGTGGTGCTCGTCCAATTGTCGGGCCAGGTAACGTCTCGATATTTACCAAGAGCAATCATGGGCTCGATAGTGAATGTCATACCAGGCTTGCACTCTCCCACAGCCTTGTTCTTCGCATAATGCGGCACATTGGGCGGGCAATGGAAAAGAGAGTTGACTCCATGACCGCAATACGTTCTGATAACACTACAATTCTTCGACTTGGCATGCTTTTCGATAATATTGCCAAATTCTCGAATGAGAGTTCCGGGCTTGATAAGCTTGGCTGCTTCGTCTAAACACTCCCGAGCCGCTTCGACTACCCTGACAGAGTCCGGGTCTGCTTTGGCCTTGTCGCCCACGTAATACGTCTCATTCAAGTCCGCATGGTAGCCTCCGTGGTATAATGAGACATCCAAATTGATGATGTCACCATCTAGTAGCACCCGCTGATCCGGAATACCATGGCAGATCACTTCGTTGACAGATGTGCATATCGATTTGGGGAAATTGTTGTAGTTCAGGGGTGAAGGGTAGCACTATGACAGTCAATGCCCGTTTGAACGGATTATACCATATTTGATTTGGAAGAGGGCTCTTACGTTTCGTTCTATTGAAGCCTTGTGACAGACTTCGTCAAGATAATCTGTAGTAACACCAGGTCTGACCTCGGCGGCGACAATATCTAAAACTTCTCGTCCGAACCTGCATACTTTTCGCATAGCATCCTGCGCTTTGGCATCCAGAAGATCAAATTTATTCCGATTAATGAATCGCTCGCTTTTCGGGAAACCGGTCTCGGCATAATCAGGGTGTGGTATCGACTTGGGTATCGTGCGCTTTTCGGACAAGGGGTACACAGGACGTATGGGTCCGGTGTATGCGAAGGAGGGGAACGGGTTGAAAAATCCGGTTGCTGGATCAGGTTTAGAGACGACCTTTGGAGTTCTGATGGTATCAAGAATACCGTTTACTGTTTTGCCTTGGGCGATCTTGTGCAAGACTTTATGATTATTCTAATGGAAAGAAAGGTTAGTGTCAAGCGTAAGGCTACGACCAAGACCGAAGCGTACGGACCCAGTTCTTCTTGAAGCAATCTTGCGAGCAGAAATTGCTATCCTTGATTCCGATCTTTAGACACGTAGGACATTGTAAGGCAGAGGCATCATTCTCGCAGTCAGCCCCTAGGCATTTCTTCTTAGTCGGCGGTTCGGCGGACATGATGGAGGGGGTGGTACTGAGTAGATGTAACAAAATATGGCGGCAGTTTTATAAAGAGGAAGAAGTAGTCTAGGGTTCTTTCATGGGCGTCAACGCAGAATATTTTACCAGGCTGTCGAGTAAACTTCGTAGATCATCCATGGACCAACATGTATTTTCATGGATATTAGGACTAACTAAGTAGGTAGGTACCCGGGTATGCATGCAGCATGTTAGATTTACAAGGCGCAAAGGAAAAGAAAAACACCACTATAAAAAAAAAACTAAAGCCGCAAACCTTTCGTACGATATTAGTCACCTTTTAAGTAGTACCCCACGTAATTAATCATCTAAACTCTATATATGCATATTGGAAATAAAGCGGGCTAGTCTTCTTATGTAATACTATGTATCATCTAAACTCTCTACCGTCCTACAACAACTCAACTCTTTCATTGTGTATTTATCATTCATAGGACCAGAATCCACATACGTTTGAATCCATCAGTGACGTTGCCAAGATTATTCCAAATATATTGAGCTCTTTCCTGAGTCTTTCAGAAATGTCTGGTCAGAAATATGTAGTGGTTGGAGCTGGCCCCGTTGGGTCACTGGCTGCGTTATATGCTGCTAATAGAGGTCACGATGTCGAGATCTACGAACTTCGAGGTGGTAGGTCACAAGTTTCAAGACTGTCTTTTCAAGTCAAGACCCATGTACTTGGAGTATATTAGATTTCAATACTGATGCTGCGTAGATCTGCGACATCCTTCAACAACGCCACTTAACTTCACCAAGTCTATTAACTTAGCTCTTTCTGAAAGGGGTATTAATGCCCTGCGCCATGCTAACCAACAACATCTTCTTGTCCATATATTCTCGGGAACTATCCCTATGAGAGGGAGGATGATTCATGGTAGGCGCCTGTCTGGTGACCTATTCGAAGAACCCCAGGATTATGACGCTCATGGAAGGGTAATGCATTGTTCCGCTACCTATTAACCTCTGTCTTGATGTCTTCATACCTTGATGACTAACGTGTACAGAAAATCTTTGCTGTTGATAGGGCTGGACTTAATCGACAACTATTGTATACTCTAGGCGCGATGCCTAATGTCAAGTTCTTTTTCAACCACAAACTCACTGGAGCAGATTTTAAGAGACGCAAGGCATGGTTCGAAGTCCGGGGTCAAGACTCTTCCAGTAGACCCGAAGAAGTCGAAATCTCATTCGATTTCATGATTGGTGCTGACGGGGCTCACTCCTCTGTCCGATACCATCTAATGAAATTCACGAGAATGAACTATCAGCAGGAGTATGTCGATACATTATGGTGCGAGTTTCAGATAAACCCAAGAGAAGAGGCCGAATTAGATGACCAAAAATCCAAATTTCGCATCTCTCCTAATCATCTTCACATTTGGCCTGGGAAGCAATTTATGTTCATTGCTATCCCCAGCGAGGTATCTTATACCCATTTTTGAGTCCACTAAATACTATCAGTGCTAACTGGATTAAGGATGGTTCTTTTACCTGTACCCTATTTTTGCCAAGTGCAGATTATGCTCAGCTAGAAGCGGACTCATCCAAGCTGCCAAAATTTTTCGATGAGCATTTTCCAGGGGTGACGTCGCTGATAGAGCCAGAAAAGCTCATCTCTGAGTTTGAAACCAACCCACATCTTCCTCTGATCAACATCAAGTGCCAGCCTTACCACTATGCTAGCTCGGTTGTCATTTTAGGAGATGCGGCACATGCGATGGTCCCGTTCTACGGCCAGGGGATGAATGCTGGGCTCGAGGATGTGCGTATCCTCTTTTCGATCCTCGACAAGCATGCCACGACTGAAAGTAACAGCCCGGATGATCCTGGATCGATTGGTAACGCTTTCCAGAGAGAGTTAGCACTTGCAGAATATTCATCTCTTCGCGTCGCCGATGCCCATGCCATCAATGATCTCGCCTTACAAAACTACGTCGAAATGAGAGCCTCAGTACTAAGTCCCACATATCGTCTACGCAAATTCCTGGAAGAGTTCATGTCCGTACATGTACCAAGGCTTGGTTGGCAAACCAAGTATTCCCGCGTGAGCTTCGGAAACGAGAGGTATTCTGAGGTCGTAGCAAAAAGCAACCATCAAGGGAAAATTCTTATGCGCGGTTTCATCGCGATGGTTTGTAGTCCCGTGATTGCTGGCATTATCGGTCTATATTGGACACAGCGGCGCTCCATCGGCGGATTGCATTTTCTGGACGCGATTCGCAACATGATGAAATAGAGTCAAGGATTTAGTGATAAATCTGAAGGCCCATATACCCATAAGTGGCATGACTGTGCCACATAGCTATTTTAACCTTCCTTATTCCGCTGTGTATTTTCGAGTTTTTGCAGGTTTGTAACGCATCCTTCAACCTTGGCAATAAAGCCCGTCACCAACATATCGCAGACTGGACCTAGCCGGCATGCTAAAACCCCCTTTTAGTGCTGCGGTGGGATGAGGCTACAAAAACGCTTCGGGGTCAACCTATGTACCTACTAAACTAAGATACCATATCTAATATGAGGCTCAGTACATCAATATATTCGTACCTGGAAAGACTGCCTTAGAGCAAGTAACTTTGGACAGCTCAATAACTCGTATTGTTCTTTCTCTTCTTGTCTCTTTTACCTCCTAGCTTTAAGCGCTCAGTAACGGCTTGCTACCTACATATGGAGCATGTGTTCTACAGTCTAATATTCTTTGTACAAGGCCCGAAAATAAGTAGCCATGCAGGGACCTGATATATTACTGTAGGAGCTCAAAAGTCCAATAGGATCAGTATAGTCGATGGTGTTCATTGTTCCTTAAGTACCTAAGGTGCAAGATAGGAATATGGAAAGGGGAAGCGGCAGAAATGCGCCGCATGCGGGCGTATCCGCTGAACCTCAAGGGATACACTAAGCCCCGAATATGGGGAACCCGCCCTATGAACTATAATCGGTTAACTGAAGGTATAATGTCCGCTGGAGAGAAGATACGATTGACCCTGATATTATACCGAGCAATCAACGATGGTGGTAAAGTAGCACGATGTCCAAAGGTGTACATAGTAAATACCTATGTACTTATCGCGCGGGGTCAAATGCATCACGACACGCTATGTAGTAGTACGATTCGGACCATCCGACGACGCGAACGACGCACGTTATGCACTATACTTTCAAAGGTATATAGACATGGACCCCTATACCAATCTTTCGAGGAATGGCCTGTTGCGCAGCCAATGAAAAATTAGGCTAGGCCTAGGAATTGCGTATCGAATGTTGCTGCCGCCGCGCTCTCCCTAAAAATTGTGATGGAAACATCGAGGGCTTTGGGAATATCGACAGATTTTACTACTGTAGATAACTCCGTAACCTAGATAACTCCGTAAGCTTGTGGAGACCCTAATAGAGGAACGGATTTCCCGGGAACCCGGACTGCCAGGATGCGGCACAGTAGCGTGGTAACCTGGTAGTAATTAGTGGCATATCTTGGGATGTGAAGATAATAATCATTGACGCAGGTGTGATTGTGATTTGTTACAGAAGTCACCTGGGCCTATCGATGTCGACTGGTCATTGCTATTCAGTGGGTTTATTAACGCGAGATAGCCACTATTTTTCTTGAAAGGGTAGGGGTTGATGCTAAAAGGTGATGTATCATTGGCTAGAAGATAGACGTCAATCGCCTGTTAAGACGCCTGTTACGACGACGCTACCGAGTAGCGTACAGACCCAAGGCGCTCTTATTCAGTGGAGCTTCAAGGTCTTAAGCTAGGCCTTGAAATTTATCAAGTATTCCTACACATATTCTACTATGTTAGGATACATGGTTAGATAAATTCAGTAAAGGCGATTCAGCGTTAATTTGAATAGCACGATGGTTAACGGAATAAGTCCCGACCAATGGTATTACATTCCAGTGCCGATCTTGTCTTTTCAAGTAATTTAACACTTGAAGACATTCTCACATGGGTGCCGGTGACTACCTTACCATGTAACCTAGCATATGTCGAGTTACCTACCCAGATCGGTAAGTATGTATTTGTTATGTTAGTGTACCTCCTATAATACTGCATGCACAATATGAATCTAGATTCTCCATTTTGTTCAAGGGTGGCCGGGGGTATGATTGACAGCGTCCCCTAGGTAGATAATAGACTCGATGCGAATCGCTTTTGCACTGACAATTCGCAAAACCGTTACCCGTCATACTCTAAACTAACGAGCGGGCATCATCATGTTTCTAATATCAGAACTCGGCCTGGCCGGTACTGGCCTTGCTACTACAGCAATGCTGGTCATTATTGTTGCGTCTATACTAAACTTCATATGGCTCGTGATATATCGTCTATACTTCTCGCCTTTGGCGAAGTTCCCGGGTCCTCGGCTGGTGGCAGCGACGAGCTGGGTGGAATTCTACCACAACTATTGGCGCAGAGGCCAGTATATTTATGAAGTCGAGAAGATGCACGATAAATATGGTATATATATATCCTATACCCCTGTGCAACCTAGAAGAGTTTCCAATAACACACAAGACTTCAATGTTGACTGACGCGAACTCGTTTTGTTATTTACATAGGCCCAATTGTTCGAGCAAGCCCCACTCTGCTCTCTATTCGCGACCGTGACTTCTACAGCGAAGTCTACGTTATAGGGAACAAGCGGAAAACTAACAGGGACAATACATTCGAAGGACTGGATTTTGATGGTCAGTGAATAAGAGCCTCCAATATGACCCTGATAACTTCCAAGGGTGTTGAAAATGCTGCGCCGCAGAATTTATACTTATCCCACCATTGGCAGGTTCTCATATCCTAACGATCGACCATGACTTGCATAGGCTGAGAAGAAAGCCGATGGAGCCTTTCTTCTCTCGGCTTGGTGTTACCCGTCTGCAGTCTGCAATCGCCGCCGCAGCGCTGCAGTTGGAATCCCGCCTTCGGGAGCTCAAAGGCACAAATACCGTCCTTAGCCTCGAACTTGCCTTTTCCGCATTCTCGAGCGATGTGATTCGAAAGATTTGCCTCGGAAGCAGTGCGCAGCCTGGTGAAGGCTTTCTAGATGCCCCTGATTGGGGTGTGGATTGGTGCGCTTCCCTGGGCTTGAAAAATTAAGTCGAGATCTTACTGACCACGTCTTACTTAGGTACAACACGGTCGTGACACTTTCTCTATCTATACCATTACTCACTGCGTTTCCCTGGATTGTCAAGTAGGCCAACAAGAAAAGCGTTTACCAGACGAATCTAACTCGGTACAGATCTTTGACTTATGTCCCCGATGGAATTCTTCAACGGTGTTTCCCCGATGGCACTATGCTCAAATCATTTAAGGCGGTTCGTTCGACTCCACCAGTATCCTACCCCATCTTCATTGAGACTGACTTGGAAAATAGAAAACCAGAGAGCAAATCCGGAAGGCATTGAATGGCGTTCAGGAAAAGGATGATAAAGAAATATCTCTGTTTCATCGTCTAGACTTAGATGCCACATCAGAGTCTGAGAGATCCGAGGATCGCCTCGCGAAAGAAGCCCAAACGTTGTTGGCTGGCGGCACGATCAGCGTCGCGCACACTATCGCATTTGCGGCGTATTATGTCCTCTCGCGGCCCGCGATTCACCAAAAGCTTACTGATGAGCTGCGAGATCCCATGAGCGAGTGGCCTGAGAAAGTTCCGACTTGGGCTGACTTGGAGAAACTGCCCTACCTACAAGCAGTCATCAAGGAGGCTTTACGGTAAGACATTTCACTTTGCTCTCCACTCCGAATTTTGTTGGCACGTGTACTGACTCCTGGATTTACCTAGATTATCATATGGAGTGATGCGCCCGTTGCCTCGAGTCTCGCCAGACGAACCAATTCAGTATAAAGACTGGACAATACCGGCAGGCGTAAGACAGCTATTTATATCCTTTGGTTCGATCATATGAATGCTGACTGTGTACCTGCAGGTTTCTGTAGGAATCGCGCCGTACTTCCTGCACAACGACCCTGAGATTTACCCCAACCCCAAAAAGTTCCTCCCTGAACGATGGCTTGGAGACGTAAACCCAGAAATGCACAAATCTCTTGTATCCTTCGCTAGGGGGTCGAGGAACTGTCTCGGTATCAAGTAAGTTTTGATCCAATGCACTCCCTGCCTTGCTCATATGCCATGCCCTCGTTTTGCCTGGGTTACTCTTTTACTGACCATTCCTCCCCAACAACAGCTTGGCATACGCAGAGATTAGTCTCCTGTTAGCCGCCATATTCAGACCCAACGCGCCTAAGCTGGAGCTCTTCGAAACAGACGACAGCGACGTGGTACGAATCCACGACTATCAAATCCCCTTTCCTAGACTGGAGTCGCACGGAGTACGGGTCATGGTTTCTTAATTCGACCAGCATACGTTGTACTATGATGATAAGAATGAAACTGGAAGCGAATGAGGTGATAGGCGATAGGTTATTCAGTCTTCCCGATAACACCCCAAATATGAATCCTTTTCGATCGCTGTCTATTGCACTTCCTCGAGTGGTAGAGATAAGGTTCTCACGGCGGCGGAATCTACATATAATACTGCATATGTACATATAAACCTAGGTACATACGAAGCAGGATGAACCTGCAGATCCAGCAGTTGGAATAATTGGTCGATGGGTGCTGGCAGCGGGGTTACGGCCAGCTACATAAAGCGGACTTCACGGACAACTTGCATAATCTCAACGTCAAAGTGCGCTAATCCGCCCATGTGAGCGGACTTTAGACCTTGGTACCTACCTTATGGGAAGACAAATACTGTCCCCTGGATACAATATTCTAGATTAAGATCAATAGAAGGGAAACTTCCAAGGAATTTCGTTAGATCTGACACGACCATTTATGAGTCACTCGCCGATGCAAGATTTTGATTCAAGATTGGAGAACAACGCGGATGTATGCCTTACTTGCCTAGGTAGGCACCTAGGTCCTGATATAAGTCTGGCCATAGCCCGCGCTTGTCCGCAAGCCCGCTCTTGAATAGTATCTAGGGGGAGCGGAGTGAATATGAGTATACCAGGAGCTTGGTGCCATTTACTTATCAAACCAAGCAGTCGGTCCCAAGAATGGATCGTAGAGCGCGATTTGCTTGCATCGCATGCAGGTACGAAAACACACCATCCATCTCCCATAGTTCGGAAGCACCTAATCATAGCACATAGGCGATTGAAACGCAAATGCCCTAAAGAATTACCGGCCTGCTCCTTAGTAAGTGTTGTGTCTACGCCAAAGAGATATACCTGACTGATGATGGCCCCATGGTAGTGTGTTCGGCTGGACAAGCGATGCGAGTACCCACCAAGAGCTCGAAGTGTTTACGAGGATGTAAACCGCGGGTCACCAAGGAGCTCGCAAAGTGCGAGCGGGGAGGCTGATTTGCCTGTATTGGGTAGTTCCCGGACAGAACTTCCTTCAGACCCTGATCAAGATCACGGGACTGGACATGGTTACTTGGACACCTTCCCAACCATGTTCTTCCTAAACTCGGAGTTATTCAGCAAGCCCCTAACTTCAGACTACAACCCACCCATCAATACCACTACACTCCTTTACAATATATCTTCCGATGGGGCTGAGCTGGTGAATAGGTATTTCTCAACCGTCCACCACTGGCTGCCCATCCTAAGCAAGAAACGCGTCCAGCGGTACATCGCCGAGTACGGGAAAGCTCCCAACAGCCCTTTGCAGCTTCTACTACGCTCCATGAAGCTACTCGCCGAGCCTCTTCCGCTCGGAGTATCCGCCCGAGCGAACAGAAGCTACATAGCCGTGCTCGAGACTCTGTTCACCGTAGAAAACTCCTGTCTCCCGTGTCTTCAGCTCCTGCAATCCGTCATCTTGATTTCTGTGTATGAGATCGGCCATGGCATATACCCCGCTGCCTACCTTCGCGTCGGCCATGCCGCGAGGCTCTGCGTTATGATGGGCTTCCACGACCGCAAGAGCGCGGCGCAGCTGTTCAGAGACACGCCCACGTGGACTGCGCGCGAGGAGGAGCGACGGGCTTGGTGGGCGGTCTTTTGTCTCGACAGGTATGTACCTACCTACATCCCACATCCCACATCCCACATCCCGCTTCCCGCTTTTCCATCAACATAGTTAGTTACGCTTTATCAAGCAAGTTTGCTCACCCCCCCAGCTAACTTACTTATCCAGATTCACAAGCCAAGCCCTCGACAACACCCCCCTCGCAACCCCCGAGCCCACCCCCGGCGAGCTCCTCCCGAGCGACGAGCGCACCTGGGACGTCGGCGGCGTCGGCTCCAGCGAGCCGCTCTTCGCCGCCTCCTTCTCCGCGAACACGCGCCTCGGCTCCTTCGCACACGTCTGCCAAGCCGCCCACGCGCTCGGGCGCGTCCTGCGCCACCGCAACAGCAGTAGCGTCTCGCTTAGCGTTCGCGTCGAGGAGGCGACGCAGCTGGCCGGCATCCTTGCTGCGCTCACTTCTCACCTCCGCGGTCTCTGGGCTTGCGGTGGGGCGACCCCTGCTGGTAATAGTAGTAGTAGTAGTGGCGGTGGTGGTGGTGGTAATAAGTCAGGTGTGTTGGTCGCGCTCGCCCTGTGCTACTCCGCCCGCCTCATCCTGTACGGCGAGTACGCGTGTAATGAGAGGTACTCGAGCGAGCTGGGCCGGTCGTCCGCGGAAGCGCGCGTGCAGCAGGATTTCCTGGCGGGGATCTTTGAGGTCGCGGGACAGGTTGGGGAGCTTGTGCGGCGGCTGCTGGACTCGGTTGAGCTGGACGGGGATGGGTTGAGTCCGCTGCTGTGCCATTGCTTGTTTGCGGTGGCGGAGGAGTGCGAGTGGTTTGTGCTTGAGCAGGAGGATGCGAGCGCCGGTGTATGGCTGAGGGATGTGGTTGAGTTGTTGAGAGTGATTGGGAGGCGATGGGGGGTCGCTGGTAAGTGTTGAAGCTATTGAAACTGCTGTGGCAAGGAAACGCAGGGCTGACTGGTAGTGCGCAGGTGTCTACTTATCGGAGATCTATAGGTGGCCCGGATATAATAGCCTAATTCTGTAGCAACCCAGTCGACGAGCGCATCTAAGCGAAGCACAGTTTTCACGGATGTTGATATTACATAGGTACATACCTATTACGAGGGAATTTATTACCAACAACTATAAGTACCTAGGTAGACAATACCTATCAGATGTCACCTCACGATGTGTGTTGGTGCTCCAACTTTCCTTTCACAGCCGACCCCTGAATCTAATCTCCAACGTCCTTATGGGCACATAAGCCAACAGCGCCACCACCACCGCGAACTCAAACCCCAGATCTCCGGTCTTCTCCGCGATGGGCCCCGTGTACCAATCAGCCTGCATCGAAGGAATAATGAACGCCCACGCAATCAGCACCGACGCGAGCGCGCTCAACCCCGACGGCAGCGCGCGCCCGTCGTTCCAGATCTTCGGGTTGAGGCTGCTCGGGTCGCCATTGCGGAAGTACAGGTACTCGAGCAGGAAGCACGACACCGAGGCGCCGGCGTAGTAGCCGATCAAAGTCAAGAACGCCGTCACGGACGTGATGAAGGACTTGGAGGCGGGGATCGCGATCGCGATCATGGCCGCCGTCGCGACAACCGACAAGATGATGCGCGGGACCTTGCGCAGGATCGGCGCGACGGCGGTCAGGTTGAAGGAGACGGTGTAGACGTCGCGGCCGCACGTCGCGACGACGGAGAGACCGAGGATGACGAGGATGAACCGCCCGAAGTCGCCTAGCCGCGTGATCAGGATGCTGCCGAGCACGGCGCCCATGCCGCCGGCCTCGTAGGCTGCCGTCCACGCGGGAACGGTGTATACAGCGCCGCCGACCGCCGCGCCGAAGACCATGAGCAGCGAGTACGGCAGCGCGATGCCGAGTAGGCAGTACACACCCAGGCGGAAGCGCGGCGCTGTCGGCGGCATGTAGCACGCGTAATCGCCCGCCACATTGCTCCAGCTGACCATGTTCCCCGCGGCGAAGGCGACCATGCCGAGGTAGTTCTTCGCGGTCGGCGGTGTCGCGGGGGCGGCCTGCTGCGAGAGCTGGGGGCCGGAGACGCCGACGAGGATGAGGATGGCGATCAAGGTGGGGATCCAGGCCCACCGCGTGAAGAAGTGCATCACGCGGTACCCCATGAAGCCGATGGCGAGCGAGATCACCATGATGATGGCGATGGCGGCGTCGACGGGCAAGGTGCCGGGGTGCACGGCCGCGAGGCACTGCGCGCCGTTTATGCTGGCGGTGACGCCGAAGCCGCCGACGGTTAGGGTCACGACGATGGCGGTTAGGACGTTGCAGTATTTGCTGTTGGGTTGGTTAGCTGGAGTGATCCTCTGATGGGACTTGCGTAGGTAGTAGGTATTCGCTTACCCAAAAGTATACCGTGATTGGATCATCTGTCTCATTCCCGTCAAGGGGGCAAGAGTGGTGATGTACGCGGCGGGCACTGCGAATAGAAATTGCAGGAATATGATCATCAGCGCCGCGTCGCGTAGCGTCATCCCGTAGCCAAGAGTCGCCGCGGAGCCAATTCCGATCCTATAATCACGTAGATAAATTAGAGATTTCTTAACTTATAATTTCTTTACCATTTATTCCCTGTATCCCGTAGCAATGTGTTTCCTATGAGAGTTTCGCCGGGAAATAGCTTACGGTAGCAAGCTCGTCATAGACGTAGCAAAGATGGTGAACACATTGATGTACCGGGTATCGGTTCGCTTCTCAACTGGCACTGGTTCTGCGCCGCGCATCTCGACGCCGTGGTCAGATAGCTTCGCCCAAAAGGACGACGGCGGCGTTTCAAACAAGTCATCGACCTCGCCGATTTCACTTGTCCCCCGTGATGACGTTTCCGTCGCTCCCTTTTCAACATCCAACACCTTATCAACCCCCTTTGTGGACCCTTTCTCCGAAATATTGTCAGCCATGCTGTCGATTTTTGAGCTTAGTTCAGATGTTCCGAGTAACAAGAAACAGGATGCCAACTCTTGGGGGGAGTAGGTAAGTCATGGAGGAATTCCTCCTGTAAATACCCAAGCTGCCATGACGGAGAAACAGGGAAATGCTTTTATATAACGCTCGAAGCTTTCCAACTGCATAACTGCGGTCCGTCAGCTTCTGCTTCTGTATCGCGGCTGCATCCCCCATTCCCGGCTGCTACATGGAGAGGGTAGCATTGTACGGGGGAGTGATATGTTATAGTCCCATGCCATTGGTCCCGAGTCCCTGCTTGAAGTTCTCCATAAGAAGTCATGATTGGCGCTCTGTTATCTGACATGTCAATTTCGAGGTTCTGCCCCCAACTCGTTTCTTTGACTCTCGACTAAATAGGCACCAGGTGAGTCTTTTGGCTTTCTGTACCCAAGCTGAAGTTCAAGCTGTCCGTGATTGCCCCCACTCTCTACGCGACGTTACCAAATATCACGGGTAAAAAGCTTGAGCTTTACGCCTCCCCCATCCCACTCTTGTGTACTTATACAAGGCCCCCCGTCAGTTAGCACCGGGAACAGACACCCTTTTATCAAAATGCAGAATAATGCCTTTCTCTCCGCTTGTCTATTAGCTATGAGGGGCCTAGTAGACGTCAACTGATAACGACGATGTAATTGATAACATTTTTGAATCTCGGCAGAGATCGACTTCAATTTGTTAGTTGCCTTTTCAAGTGACTCGTCGGTAGAAACATTACCTTATCGAAGTATTGCCCACGATATTCAGCATGCTTAAGTCTTCCAACCTACCTGTGTGTCTAGATAGTGAATAGGTTAGGAGTGTTCGTTCTTTTCAACAAACTACACAACCACGATGCCTTGTTGTGGGCAAAGCTTTTCTATTTTTCTTACTCGTTCCAGTATTATCAGACCAGTCCAGATATTTGTAAACCCTATGAAAACGTCAGAAACTCATGACAGCTGGATATTCGCAGCTACAGCACCCGGGGACCCCTTACATTGCCATAGCAAACCGTTCATAGCTTGAAGCGTTTAGGAGAGTCCCGTCAAGGTTAAAACGAGCCAAGTATATTGAACGCCGTGGTCCATAATCTGGTACCCGGGCGCCATTGCTGTCCAATTCAGGCCCGCCTGTAGAAGTGAATGAATCTTCTGTAAACAAAGTCAAACCAAGACGACGTCTCAAACATCACGTTAATCGTCTTCTAATTGCACAGAAACGATAACCCCAACGATCACAGTTATGGTATCTTCTAGCAGGATACAGAGTGGAACGTCTTGGACTGCGTATACCCCAGATCCAACAACCGAGGTGAGCACTGCTACTTACCATTCACTCTTCAACGAGTGCCTCACCCAATTGAAATATTAAAATTGTAGTCGGAGTATGTGAAGTCAGCTTTGCCACTAGGACGACTACCATCAACCCGTCAGTAACCGCTTACGACATAACGGACGACATACTGTATGAAATGAAACACTCCACTAAAGAAGAGGTTATGCCGCGGGAGTTCCTCGAGCTACGTAAGTACAGCTGACGTTAGGGGAGTGTTGAAGTTCACAGCCGAGCGGGAAGTAGGAAAAGGGAATGAAAATGAAAATATGCTGACTTACCTATCATATACATAATGAGGTGTAGTCGGTAGCATGTTTCTAAGCGCGGTCCGACTACGAATGTTTCGGCAACCCAAGCCACAAGCAAGGTTCCCACAACAACGAAAGCGCCCGCCATAAGCAAAGTTCCCACGACGACAGTACCTGTATCAAAGTCGACCAACAAGTCTAAGACCACGAGACACTTCTCAATGTCAACACCGATAAATCTTCAACTGAAAGACCAAAGACCACAAAAGCCTCAGGCACATAGGTACGTCCGTGTTATGAGTCTAACGGTCGTATCAGGGGAGCTTACAAGAACCGAGGAAAAGAAAGGTCTTGTATATATAGACCCCCCTCCCTTCCCCCCACCGACATCTATGTCCATGGCTCTTTGCTTAGAAACGTTGTTGTTTCCCCGCCTTTGGTTTAATATTGTGACAGTTCGAACCACGATATGTGCCCTGGAACAAGCCTAAAGGAGAAGCTATGCCCTCATAGATGTTAGAAAGTAGGTTTTCCAGGCAAATGCACATCGATTCTATGAAGGGGGCTACCGTAAGGATGCAAAGGTAAATGATACGTTATGCGGGCAGACTCATTTCTGATTGAGCGTTGTCGAGTACACTCCCCCCTTTGATTTTTTCTTTTTCTTTTTTTCTTTTTCGATTACGCTGATTTCCTGCATACTTCTTGTTCCAGGAACCGTCTTGACGTCCACAATCAATGAGATCCACCAAGCAAGAAGTACAGAGAAAAAGCAAAACCGTAAACTTCTCCGATAGTGATATCCGTATCCTTTGAAATGCCAGAAGGAATGCACGCCCTCGAAGAAATACAAGTTGCGAAGCGGTGACAGTTGCAAGAGTCAATGTGATAGGGTTGTTGAACATCGCAAGTATCCTTTTACAGCTTTTGTTTTGTCAGATTAACTGTGGAAGCCCACTCTTGTGCTTCAACGTTGGGTATGCCGAAGCCATGTCTTAGAACGGAGTGTCTGGAACTTGGAAATAAAAAAGACTGGTGTTGCTTTTGAGCACTGGAAGGCTTGGGATCTGCCTTGATCACGGCGTTAGTGGCCGTACACCGCATATCGATGTACGATCAATTGGTCTATATAAAGCTAGGAGATCGGATCAACGCTCAGGGCCAGACAATATGGCCGCCTCATGTATGTAAGACGCGTAGGACGACGGACTACTGCAAGGGAGACGATACGGTGAGGGGTGGTGGCTTGCATAGACCAGGTGTAAGTAGGTATTAGGCATAGAAGCGGCGCGAGGTGGACTTCACAGGTCCATATCGTGACTTATTTAGTGGGCAGGTAATGGACTGAGCATCGGGGTTATGTGCGAGGTAGAGATCTATAAATCTCAGGGACAAAGAACGACTTATCTGGAACTCATAAGAAGGTCTTCACTCGTCCAGCGATTACCCCGCCCCATAGAACTCCAGCAACTTCAATATTCAATATATCAACCATGTCGGCGCAGCAAGTCAAGTACACAGTTGAGCACTACCGAGCCGAAGGCATCTCACAAGAAGCCTTCGTGAAGTGGTTCAAGGAATACCACGTTCCCATCGGCGTTCCGCTGATGAAGAAATACGGCATCACCAAATACACTGTCGTAAGCTTCCCCCATACTCTTATCAAAGTATAGCGTAGTTCGACTAGCTAACACAGAAGCACACCTGCAGCAAGTGCGAAACCACGAACTAGCCACCGGGTTCGAGCCCCATCTGCACAAGATACGACCCACGTGGGAGGTCAGCAAGGCGGACCTGGTCCTCGAGTACTGGATGCCCGAGCTGAGCTGTCTGTACGGCCTGGTCTCGGACGCCGAGTGGAACGAGAAGGCCCTCAAGGGCCAGGACCAGTGGCTCGACATGAGCAGGTCGACAACCCATATTACGAACGAGGAGACGTACCTGGAGGGCGGCAACATCTTGAAGCTTGCGTAAAGAGGCGGGCAGGTTATAGAATAGGGGTATTGATTCAGAGCTAGGTAGAGTGCAGTTTGGAGGTGTCTTGATCTACAGGTACTTCTTTTGGGGGTATTTCGTGCCTATTGGGGTAGTTTATATGAGAGTGCGTCGTTGAAGTGAGGTCGTCAGCCGCTTCTTGGGGGGATCTATGGTACCATGTGTACAACCTATTTCGCATGTATAGGTACCGGTGTATGTAGTGAGGCACCTTGAGATAATCTAATACCTACATAGGTACCCAGGTACCTACACGTACCATGAAATATGTTTCATCCTCACGTAAAAGAATGTGAGGGGAAGACGAGTGCGTACTGATACTTGAACATCGAAGGCAAGACCTCCTGCAAAACGACCTTGTCGGACACGTGCATGTTTATCTTCTAGATTTACATCACTATCTGTCTAAATGATATGGGGTTCCACACCTAGATACCTGTAGAAACTAGGGTTGATCTCTGGTGACATGCACATATCCGCCTATGATATAAAGAGTTGTCTATACTGAGAGTCAATATGTGCAAACACACTCCTGCTACACGATGTTGCTACTGCCAACACCACAAGCTAATACTACGTAGGTATTAACAAAGCGGCGACATACATATGTAATATCCAAAACTTGCTCACTCTGAGCGGCTTTACTAGTAACGTACATAAGCCATCTCAGAAATTGCTGCCAAAGCCCGTTACCCCTCAACGCCTCGTTTTTACCTCCGTTCCCGCCGCCGCCGATATCATAGGTGTCTATTTCTCGGCATCCTGCCTCGGGCCTCGGACCGGTCTGAACCGACTTCAATGCGAAGTCAAAATAGTTTCGGCTGCCGGAGCATTTCAACCATCACGAACCAACCATAGCTGCGAGACATACAGCTGAGTGGGGGATCTCGCGCTTTCGACCTTCATCATCGGCTACCTGCGTGTAGTCTGGCCATTTGCGTTTGGCCGTATGCATCTCTGCAGCCATGTCGCTTGCACCAGACAACACGTACGTGCTCAGGTATAAGAGCTGGTAGCCATGGACGAAACCATCTCCTGTAAGCTTCTCTTCCCAAACTCCAAACCCACAAGAAACACTACCTACTTTATCACATACTGGCACATTGAACTCCAACCTCAACTTCTGTTCTCAGTTACCAATTCATCAAACACCGCGAAGATGGGCAAGGATCAAATGACTAAGAGCGCTGCGGGAGAAATCCAATCCTCACAGGTACGTGCTACAAAGTATACCCCGTTAGGTGAGTTAGTTTGTTAGTTGGCGTTGAGGCTGATCGAAATGGCCGTAGGCTAAAAATGGACGCGATATGTCGTCTGGCGGCTTCGCAGCTCGCGCGCAGAGCGCGGCAGCTAGAAACGAAGCCGCCGCTGGCCAGCAGAACACGGGACCGGGCCACAAGACAGGTGGCTCATCTGGCGGTGCTGGAGGGAAGAAGTGAATCTAGTGGAAGCTGATTAGAGGTGAAATCGAAGATTGTGACATGGGGAGTGGTATCGTTTGTAGTTGATGGTAGGGATTAGGGGGAACATGTAGCTACACGCATTCATCAGTTTAACTTAGGTAGTAGGTACCTCAGGTACACATCCGCTCGTTTAGTCTATCCAGAGCCTTGCCACTTGGTAAAACTGGCATACCATGATTAATGCGACGAGGTGACCGGAGTGGCTGTGACATGGACAATGCGATATAATACCTATATAGGTAGGCATGTAAGGATTTTATCACTGTGTCTAGACTGAAAACATATCAAAGGAAAGTACTTTAATCTAGCTGCGCTGTCAAATATCGACGAATGCGATCTCCTTGTAATGCAACGCTAACCCCCTTTCCACGAAATAAGCAAATGGCCGTAGACCGTAACTCCATGCAAGTACCTGATATCGACTGGACCTGTTCTTTTCATTATGCCGGATGTACCTCGCAGCCGCTACGTTCAAGGCCGTGCCTCGTTGGCTGAACAACTACCCTATACTTACACCCGGCCTGGCCTCATACCCAGGTGCCAATCAGAGAACGCTATACCGCATCATAACCAGCCCGAGTAGTAGTTTCTTTTCGTCGAGAACTTGGGTGCCCGGTGCAGGATCGGGAATCCTCCGGCGTGCGTCTAGCACGAGGAACACTTCTGCACCTCCTCCGACTTCTCAATCTTCATCGTGATGCCGGAGCAGTTTCCCGAGTTGCGGCCGGAGCACTCGTCAACGCGGATGTAGCGCTTGGATCCATAGTAATGGCTGCCGGCCTTGCACCAGGCCTGCTCAAATACTTGGTAGCACATCGTGCTGTGGCCGTATCGAAAGACGAAATGGTTCAGAAGGCGTGGTTAGGTAGATGTTCAGGGCTACGTCTTTCTTCCTCGGCTTGAGGACTGGATGCTCCCTAGATACAAAGAAGATTCCGGTTCAAGGTAGTGGTGGGAAATTAAGGCAGTGTTGTAGTTGGGTTAGGGAAAGCGAGGCAATGGCTGGAGGAAGCTCATGGTTAAATAAACCTTCACTTGCTCTACCTAGTATGATCAGCTCTTCGACGTGACATGTATACCAAAACCAAGCGATTCGTTTCTCCTTAACGTTTGGCACAACTGGTGCCGTCACCCACTCAGAGGACTTGAATACCTGACTGGGCGGTAACACAACCTGTGATGGAATTTTGAGTAGTATAGAGTGGGACGAACAACAACGCATTCGATGGACTTGACATTACTAAGAGACGTGTCATCTCTCAGTCTGAACTCTCTGTATTCTTCAGAGTGACTGTGGATCAAGTATGTAATCATTCCTCATTAGAGCGCACCACGAAAAATGACTTCTTCGTTGTTGCATGCATAGGTATTTGGTTATGCTAGAAAAGAAGGTGAAATGAGAAAAGAGAATAAAGGCCTTTATAATTGTGAAGAGGTATATGTAGGGTTCGAAATCAGTGCCATTTCTATAGGGGGTACCGTAACCTACCTAACCTAGTAGGTAGGTACCTGGGTAGGCACCTACTAGGTAGGTACTGTAAGTTGATGAAAACTTGAACCATAGGTAAAGGGTGACAGGTAATGACACCCAAAACACTCAGTTGGCAATTACACGTGCAGAATCCAGATATACCTAGGTTAGGTACATATAACTAAATAAATAATTATTAGTGTTTTCTTTATTTTATATGCTATATAAACTCCACTTATTATACCAATAAATCACATCTTGCTTTTAACCGTTTAAAGAATCCCTTAATTTAATCCTTTTATTAGCCAGCCTCGTTTACATAGCTATTAAGAAAGCTAATAAAGTTATTTTAAGTAAAAAAAGCCCTTATTTTCCACCGGCCTTAGCGACGTATTAACTTTTTTAATAGCCTTAACCACGCCTTAATAAGGTTAAAATTAAATGAATATAACGGCAAGTATTATAACTTTACTTCGAAACTTTTAACCAGGTTATAAATCTTTTATAAGTAATAAAAAATCGCGTTATTTATCATTAAAATAAATTAAGGACTTAAAAAAAGAGACATTTACGGTAAAATACGGTTTTTTAACCACTTTATAAATCTAATTAAGTTTATTAAGTTTTAATAAATAAAATTATCGATTATTTTATTTATAATTATAACCGATAAAAAATTAAACCTTATCCCTTTTTTTAAAAGCTTAAAAATAATAAAAAATTATCCCTTTAAAACTTAGTCGTATCGGCGATAAATAACACGTTTATTAACCTTAAACTTATCCACGAATATAAATATATTAAAAATAAATTTATTAATTTAATATAAATAAAAAGCTTATTACTTTTCGTCCTTTTAAATAACGTTAATTTACGCTATTTTATAAGTATAATTCGCTTATTTTAAATGCTCGTAAATCGTAGATTTAATAACGTATATATCGTAAGTTTTAATAAAAAATTATTACATTTCGTCGAAATATAAATTAAAATAATACGTTAACTCTTTAATTAATTTTTATTAAATATTTAATTAATTAAATTATTAAAATATAATAAATAAATATAATATATAAATATATTTTTAACGCTTATAATAATAATTAAAAAATGTTATATCGTAAATTAAATTATTTAAGATTTAATAAATTATTAATGGCTTTTATTTTTTTCTTATATCGTTAAATGGTTTAAATATTATAGTTAAACCGGTCGGTTAATTATTAATTTAATTAATCTTTAATTATTATTATAATTTTTAAGTTTTAACGTTAAATAATAATAAAGTAACGCTTAATAAAGTGCTTAAATAAGCTTATTTTATATTAAAATATTTGCATAATAACCGTATTTTTTTTTAAGGTATATTTATAATTTTACGAATTAAATTAATTAAGATATCGTAGATTATATTATAAAAAAAACGCGTGTTATAAATTTTTTTTCGTAAAGTTTATATTATTTTATAGTTAATATATAAGGCGCGACACTCCGTTTTAAAGTGAGAATAATATTAAGTATTAGGTATTAAGTATTAACTTAGGTATTAAGTATTAAGTATTAAGTATTAAGTATTAACTTAAAAATAAATATAGGTGAACTTATATATTAAAAGGATAAAATTTAAGGATTAAACCTTATTATTAAAATGTTTTTAAATATATAATTATAATGTTTCGTATTTTTCTTTTTAACGTATTTATTATTATTTATTAGGGGGGGATAATAGTGTTTATTTTAAGTATTTTTAAACTTTATTTTAAGAGTTTTGCTATCCGCACCCTTAAAAATTGCTATCGGAGGCTTATTCGCACCCTAGTACATAAGAAATAGCGTTTAAACGCCGTTGGTCCGAGCTCTCCAGCTAGCCTCCAACGTACTATCCTTAATAACTTCTCCTTTAAAAGGTGCATCTCTATGCAACCGGTACCATTAGAACCGTCTCAATTAGAGCTTTCAAACGATATATGTTTCAAATTGATGCGATGGGCGGTTGCGAAGTTATTCAGAGAAGAGTGAAATAGACGCTTTGCCGCTAGCGTGGCGCTAGTCGACCTCACGTGATGCACGGACCACTCCAACCTGTGCCATTTTCAAGGTGGAATGTAGTCTTCAAACTGGAATAACTTTACAGCCACCTGTCGCGTCAGTTTGAAACATATACCGTTTGGACCGTCTAATTGAGCTGATTCGAATGATCCAGGATGCACTTCAATCCGATTCTTGGATTGGAAGTTGTGTTGGATCTTTTGATTGAAGCTACTTGGAGAGCTCGGACCATCGGCGTTTGAACGCTAATCTTAGATGTACTAGGGTGCGAATAAGCCTCCGATAGCAGTTTTTAAGGGTGCGGATAGCAAAACTCTATTTTAATAACGTTAATAAGTTTTAATATAAACGTTTTTAAACTATATAATTATTTAATAAGTATTAAAGATAAGTAATATTATATTAAAATAACGATAAAATATTAAAAGTATGGTTTTTTAAAGTAAAGGGTTAATCGAATAAATAAGGTATAATGTATTTTATATAAAAGGTAATAAAATAAGCTATAATAATGAGTGTTGTTATCCGTACTCCTATTTTTTGCTATCGGGGCTTTATTCGTACTTCTATACATCCCATACAGCCCTTAAACCTTAAATCCGGGCCTAATCTAGCGCCCCTAGCGCCCCCAGCTGCCCACATCAATTGAATCCAAATAACTCTCTGAAACATATAGCTACAAACGTGCAACCGGATTCAATTAAAAGACAATTCAATTAATAATTGATTGATACCGGTCGCAGAATGGGGCGATACTCGGTCGCAAAGTTATTCAAGAAAGTAGGTGGCAGCCCGGGAAGCACGTGACAGCCCTTAGAGCCACACTAAGGGCCCTTAGCGCTCTTAGAGCCCTTAAACCCAAACCTTATTCAACAGTTTCAACCTTGAATAACTTTCCAACCACATCTCGCACCAAGATGCAACCGGATTCAATTAAAAGAGAATCTAATTACCGATTGATTGATACCAGCCGCGATCTGAGGCGATACGTGGTCGAAGAGTTATGTTGGTATTTGTCTCGACAGCAGTCACGTGACACTTCTTAGCGTGGCCCGAGCGGCTCTAGGGCTCTTAGGCGGCTCTAAGGGCCCTTAGCGTGGCACCAAGAGCTCTTAGTGTGGCTTTAAGGTTAGTCACGTGCCGCCCGGCTTGCCACCTACTTTCTTGAATAACTTTGCAACCACGTATCGCCTCAATTTGAGACCTATATCAATCAATCGGTAATTGAATGCGCTTTCAATTGAATTTGGTTGCACGTTTGTAGCTATATGTTTCAGAGAGTTATTTGGATTCAATTGATGTGGGTAGCTGGGGGCGCTAGATTAGGCCCGGATTTAAAGTTTTAGGGGATGTATAGGAGTGCGAATAAGGCCCCGATAGCAAAAAATAGGAGTACGGATAGCAACACTCATAATAATTAATAAATTATAAGCTTTTTAAATTAAATAAATGGTTTTTAGATTTTTTAATTTAAATAAATTAATTATAGACTTTTAATTAAACGACTTTTAAATAAACAGCTTTTAAAATAAACGATTTTTTAAATAAACGTTAACTTTTAAAATAAAGCTTTTAATTAATAATAACGTTTTAATTAATAAAAAAATCAAAACAACTTTGAAAACAATAAAGGTCCTAATTATCAAAAAAAACTAAAAACCAAAAATGAGGCTATCACCACAGCTCTTCCGGTGGGGGGTTACCAGATAAATGTGGGTGGATCTATATATTAAAAGGATAAGATCTAAGGATCAAACCTTGCTACTGAAATGTTCTTAAATACATGACCATAGTGCTTCGCACTTTCCTCTCTGGCGTACCTGCCACCATCTCCTAGGTACTAGGTACTAGGTACTAGGTACTAGGCGTTGATAGGTGCGACTCCTATGTTTCAATACTCAAAGACGAAACAACATTGAACATTGAACATTGAAAGTCAAAAGTGAGCACCTTCAATGTTCGCATCCATGGATATCAACTTGAATGTTTACTACCACTATCTACCCTAGGCTGGCACCTAACCCAGGATATCTTCTATCAATTCCATCAATGATACGCAAGTAGATATATCGAGGACATGGTCTTTGGGGGCACCTCGTGCCAACCATGAGTATATACGGATCTTGCCAAATAGACAACGGATAAAGTTACCCTCCGCTGAGTTCGCTGCTCACTTTATCAAAGGTAAGAGACATACGCCCATACATATTGCCTATATTAGACAAGCCGCCGAAGCTAATATAGCTATGTTTGACAGATATATATAATGACATCGCAATAACACCTAAAAGTGACGCCGCATCAATTTCTGGCGACGATACAACCTGGAGACTCGTTGCTGACATAAATACGGGAGACTTTCCTATCACTTTTCCAATACTCAAGCATCTTCTCTCAACATCGGCCCCCGTTGGGGAGGATCATGATCTATTTGCTAAGCTACCGAGTGATATCGCCTCTGAAGCCCGCCTTTATACTAGGCTGATCACGTCAGTCATCAATGGATCCACCGATATACCAGCCGCCCGCGTTTTGAGATTCCTAGACGGACACCGGGATATTCAATTATCAATGATCAACTTCCTCTGCTCTGAATCAAGTCCTGTGGCTAGATCTCTCGCCAAAAACATCTTTCAGGCAGCATTAGAAGGAGATGCTGTGCATGTCATCAAAGTTATACTCAGTCGCAACGAATGGATTGACGTCAATGAGTCTGTTTGCCATTATCGTGGAGGAATATCCACACCACTTCAAAAAGCTGCACTACACGGATCACTGAAAGTTATCAAGCATCTCATTGAGCGCAAAGTGGATGTGAACAAGCTCTTGCCTAGGGGTTACAGAGATAACGCACTAGGCTTGCTGATTGATCATGAACACCCTCAAACAACGCTTACCGATGAGCTCTTGGGCGTAGTTGATGCTCTCTTACAGACAAACTCTACGGTCTCAATAAATTGTATCCGGAGGGCACTACGCTTTTCCGACCCACGTCTTGCAATCCATCTCTTCCCGAAATGTACACCCAGAATCCTTCAATGCCTCATCTTGCATCATAGCATTCTCCGCGATATCGTGGAGAAGTTTGAAGAGCAATATGCCACGAGCACAATTCAGATGATTTCGAGGGAATTCCACGAATTGAGTACCCATTTGTTCTCGGGTCAATTTTTTGAAGCTATCACCGACGCTTTAGACGTGGCTACAGATCGTGGATTTGTAGAGTTGGTAGAAATTCTGTTTTCATACATCCTGTCCCCAGGGCCAATAATCCAGAAGATAATACTCAAGGGGAACCATGCGATGATGGAGTTTATCCTTCGATTTGGTCAACGTTTGCACAAAGGGATAGAAGATATTGATCTTTTGATTATCGCCCTCGAGCTTGGAGACCTAAACCGCGCTCACTCTCTAGAAGAGAAAGGTGCAATTATTCGTCTCCAAAACGACCACAACATCGGTCAAGCACTCACTGCAGCTCTTGGAAGGGGGAACTTGAAACTCGCAACGATGGTATTGAGCCTCGACCCGGATTTCGATTTTGTCGACCATCGAGATTTTAGTCTGGAAGCTGCCTTCGATGCTGCCTTGACTCATAATTTCGATGATATTGCTTGGAAACTCCTCTTTAGCAGGCAGCCCAGGCTCCAATATACCACTGGTTTTAGGGATCTTGAAAATGGCTATTTATTAAGCTGTTCAGTAACGAATAGAAAACCTGACTTTGTAAAGGCCATCATAGGCCGTAGCATTGATCTTGACGATGATTTATACTACGACAATGCAAACACTCTCAAAGCTATCATGGAATGGGGAAACGACTCGGTCCTCAATGAGATATGGCAAGCCCACAACTATGGCATATTTCACCTTAAGCCAGAATTTTTCTATGTCGCACTCAAGGGCGAACATTTAGGCCTTTTCTGGAAATTTTTATACCCCACTTCCGATGATTGGGAGGTTAACGCGGCCTATGGGTTACAAGCTGTGGCAGAATGTGAGAATGTGCCGGTCATTGATGAGCTGATTGCTCTCGGCGCTCAACTGATGAGTATTGATCAATTAACAATGTGTATTACTGGGCATCCGTCCATGGCTGAGCCACTTTTGAAGCGGTTTTGGGACGTGTACCAAGAAGAGATCACTGAAGGTAATTTGGATTTTCTCAAGGATGCAATTCGATATTACCCGGAAGAACCTAAATGGCTAGATATGTTGTTTGAGTTCGAGTTGGTACCTACAGATGTCGCCCGAATCCCCGGAGGTCACAGTCTACTTCGGATCGCAATGGAGCAATTTAGACAGATCAAACCAGTGGCCGATGCGGTAACCTTTGTGAAAAGATTCATTGATGTTAGCAACGTCAATGCCATCGTACGATTCGATTCTGAGTTGTACAGCGCCCTTTTGCTCGCCATCACATTGACTCATGTTGAGATAGTTCAACTTCTCATTGATCATCATGCCGATGTGAATATTCCCACGGGCTTCGGCATACAACGTACTCCGCTCCAAAAGGCGGCTGAGTCAAACAATCTCGCGATGGTTAGTTTACTGCTAGTTAACAAAGCTGACGTCAATGCACCACCTGCAAGGTTCAATGGGGCCACGGCCCTGCAATTCGCAGCTATTCATGGAAATTGCGAGATGGCGATGATGCTCATAGAGCACGGGGCTCAGTTAAACATACCCCCGCCAGAGGGAAGACACGGACGCTGGCCTCTCGAGGGTGCAGCTGAGAACGGCCGTCTGGACATGATAAAATTTCTTTGGGAGGCAAACGGCGGCCCTTTTGATGACGAGCAGTGTCGAAAGGCTATGCGGCTCGCAGCACGCGAAGGTCATTTGGGCTGTAGGGATTTGATTAAAGAGTTGCTGGGCAGCGCTCCTTCCATCGAATAATCCAAGCATACTCTCATGACTGGTGCGGAACGCGGGGTTTCGAGATTCACAAGTCAGGCAATGAGTTGGATTGCTATTCCATTTACTTTCTTGCTTGGTTTAGAGAAAGTCTGCGCAGATATATGTTGAAGATCATGCCTCTTGAATCTCGAGACCTAGGAGTACCACCTAGGAGTATCCTGTTGAAGAACCACGTGCCATGCTACTGATTCTATCTAACTTTAGGTAACTTGCGGAAGAGCACATCGCATTTAAGTAGGCCGTTTTGAGCGAAAGGGGGGCTGAATAGTGGTACCTGCCATCCACCATGACCCGAGGTATCGCTATTACCTAGCAACCTCGCCACTTACAATCACTAAGTTGGAATCTGAAATTCTTCTATAACACACACGCGACGTAGTAACAACACCAGCCCATAGGTCAGGGTTTACGAGACACATGGAGATCAGAAAGCACTATTAGTATGCATCTGCCTAAGCATCTGGGCAGGTAGCAAATAACCCGAAACCTTGCATGAAGCTACGCCGTTATAACAGGTACATTTATATCCCCCCTCCTTATCCGTCCCCTCCATTCCATCCATCCAATCCCCCCCACCCCCCTTTCCCCTTCCCCCCCCAAGCCTAGGTACCTACCGACAACAAACAGACCATCCACCCCCCGCACGCCCCGCACGACCAGCCTCATCATCATCATACCCCGCAACGCCGACGTCCTGCCGCGTGACGCACGTGCGCGCCCACGACACCCCGTTCGCCTCCCACAGCGACAGCAGGCCGTGCGCGTCAAACCAGTAGTGCGCGGGACCCCCCACAGCGGGCTCGGGGGCGCCGAGGAGTGGGCGGACTGGTGCGTTGGTGGCGAAGGGGAATTGGGGGGCATCATTGCCACCGTTGTGTCGGGTGATGGTGACGGTGTAGTCCGGGTAGTGGTGGTGCGACTGGTGGCACGTATGCCGCATCATCGTGTACACCAGCGCGCGCTCGTTGGCGTCGGCCGCGCTCCGGTACGTGCCGAGGACGAGGAACTCGGGCCCGCTGTTGTGGCTGGTGCGCGAGTGCGTGACGACGTAGACGAGGTGTGGGGACGGGGCCGGGTAGAGCTTCAGGGCGCGCTGGTCGATGTGCTGGTTTATGATCTCGGGGGAGTAGTGGTCTAGAAGGAGGCGCGTGGCGCGGGTGGATTCGTCTTCTTCCTCTTCTTCTTCTTCTTGGTCGTTGTTGTTGTCGTATTCCTCCTCTTCCTCCTCTTCCGGAGTGCCCATGAAGAATCTAGGCTGTAGAACCGGTGATGGCTCCCTCTTCACCACTTCCTCTTCCGGGGTGCCCATGAAGAATCTAGGTTGCAGAACAGGCGACGGCTCGCGCTTTACCACTTCTCCCGCGTCATCCATGAAGAATCTAGGTTGCAGAACCGGTGATGGCTCCCTCTTCACTACTTCCTCTTCCGGGGTGCCCATGAAGAATCTAGGCTGTAGAACCGGTGATTGCTCCCTCTTCACCACTTCCTCTTCTGGAGTGCCCATGAAGAATCTAGGTTGCAGAACGGGCGACGGCTCCCGCTTCACTATCTTCAGCGACGCTCGCGTGAAGTGTCTTCGTTTAGGCACGGGCGATGCCTCTCTTTCCTCCACTCCTGCTGGCGACGATCGAGCAGTCGCAGCCGAACCTGGGTCCGGGTGCAACGGTATAGACGCGAGATCAATGCTTTCGCTCCCCCTCTTATGTTTTTTCGCGCCGGCCGCTTTTTTGTCCGCCGCCTGCGCTGCTCCCTTGCGCTTGGTGGGCTTTATCTTGACCATTTTTTTTCTTCTTCTCTCTGTCCTCTGTCCTCTGTCCCTCTTGTCGTTCTGCCTTTTTTTTTTTTTTTTTTTACACGTCTAGTTCCCTTATAACGTCTCCTTCAAATGTTTTGACTCAGGATTCAATCTTCGTTTATCTCGAACTAGGTAGCTTTTAAATAGATACTAATTGGACGTAGGTATTGTACAGTACCGTACCTAAACCAAACTTCGTCGAATATGTAGAAAAAAAATTTCAAGAGGGAGTTGTAGTAATATTTTTTTTTTCAATTGCCTCTACGCGCGAAATTGCGCTTGACTAGGTAGGTAGGTGCCTTACCTACATGTATGTATGTATAAGTCGCGTCGGAATCGCGGATACTTGCTCATATCTATGTACCTTACCTAACTATGTACATACAATGCATGGATCAGAGACGCGTTCGTTCGTTTGCTTTTTTTTTCTTCGTGTCACTAACTAACTAACTAACATCTTTTTTTTTTTCATTTTAAAACAAATGATTAACTAAAGGTAAAAAAGCAAAGCTTGGGGGAAATAGTTCCGGGGGGGGGGGGATTATGCTAACCTGGATACCCCGGCTTGCGACGGCGGCGTGCCGTGGTTGCCGGCAGTAGGCAGGCAACGTCAATTGTCAATTGAGTTTGACGTTTAGTTAGCTAATAGCTAGGTGCTAGTTATCCTGATTCCTGGTAGAGCTACATTTAGTTAATGCTAGCTATGTACCTCTAACTAATATTAGTATGATTTCCTCTGATTTTCTAGGGGTTTTGTTTTGTTTTTTTTCTTCAGTTCAACAGTTTGGTGTTTGTCGTCGTCGTCGGTTTGTCTTTCGAATAGTTAGTTGACTGCTTTCTAAGACTTCCACACTGGCACACCTACCTATGTAGCCTGTCTCAAACGAAAAAAAAAAAAAGCCATCAGGAATCGGGATATCCAAGTCAAAAACGCCAAAGCTTTTTCTCTCGCGCAAACAGAAACACAAGACAAACAACTTGAACCTCAATCATTCTATTCATTTCATTCCTCAGCTAAATCGCTTACCAAGGTAAAAAAGTTATGTACGCAGACTCTGGACTTGGCACCTACTGTACCTCTCATTGCCCCACGGCAGCTCCAGCACCCCATTGTGCAAACCCCGGCGGTCCAGGCTGAGGGAACAAACCCTGACCTTGACCCTGCGCATGTCCGTTTCTCCCATGATATTGCGGCACAACCCCCACACCACCACCACCCTGCTGTCCCGCCCTCCTCGCAGCCTCCTCCTCGGCCTCGCGATGGGCCTGCTGTCGTCTGGCGCGGTAGTACATGAGGAAGATGATAGTAGCGATAAGACCTAAGATAATCAAGCTCTCGAGCACGCCGTCTAGCTCGTCGAAGGCGTCGAGTGACTCGCCATCACTGCCGGTAATCGTACCGTCGTCGTAGATGCTGCCGTAGTCATCGTCATCTTCGTAGTACGCCTCGTCTTCGTCTTCCTGGAGGAAGTTGGATATCCACTCGGCTAACGACCAGTCTTTCCTAGGTGCTAGAGTGTTGACAACAGGTAAGTACATATCCAACATATACTCGATTTGTATAGGCCTAGCAGGGAATAAAGAAGAAAACTTACATGGCTCATCTTGAATAGAATTGATCCGTCCATGGGTAAATGTATTCCAGGCGCTGCGCATCCGTAGTTTGAGTAGACTCATCTGGACGGGAAGATATGCCTCCTCATTAGTCTCGAGAGCCTGGTCGTAGTACCTCTTCGCAAGATGGAAATCTTGGTTGAGCCCTACTCCGTTCTCGTGCATCCAGCCAAGATTGTAAAGAGCCTGGGCGCTTTGGAAGTATTCCGAAGCACCGGTATAGCATTGAGCCGCTTTGTCTAGAGCTTGTTCTGTACCGATACCATCCAGATAGTAGTCGCCCATTTTGACAAGCGAGTCGATATTTGATTGGATAGCCGACCTCGTCCAGTAAATCAACGCTAGAGCTGAGTTTTGAAGAAGACTAGACTTTGGTGATTGACGTTTGACCCATGATGGAAGAGGGAGTCGGGATTGCGTGGGGTCAAGCATAAAAGCAACATTGTTCTGTGCCTTCTCGTAGCCTTGCTCCGCAGCCATGAGGTAGCCAAGGAAAGCCAGCTCATAGTCACCATCTTCGTATGCCTGGCTGGCTTCTGCCCAAGAAGATACTAGAGGTTCAGCTTTTTCGGCAACATTCTTGTAATATGCCATCGCTAGAACACATGTTTTATCTCTTCCAACCCCATGGTGAATCATCTCGGCTAGATAGTATTGAGCCTCAATGTTAGCCCAGCGCACAGCGGCTTCAAAATAGGAGTTGGCAATTTTCAAGTCATCCGGTGTGCCCTGGTCAAGATGTAAAGCTCCAAGCGCAACGTGAGAGAGACTGAAGTCTTGGTCAGCAGACGCCTTGAACAGTTCAGTCGCCTTCGAAATATTTTTCGGAATGCCAAGGCCATGGAGATTCATAATTCCAAGACCCCATTGAGACTGAGCATCGCCATGCTTAATCCCACGTTCAAACCACCCACGAGCAAGCTTGTAGTCCTGTCTGACGCCTTCCCCGCGCAGCCACATCCGACCGATGTACCCGGCAGCTTTACTGGCGTACTTCTCAAGTTGAGGCTTCGGCTGGTCAATAGCTCGTCCATCCTTTGAACGCCAGTACATCGTCGCAACCGTAGCGAAGTATCGTCGGGCCAAGTCCACGTTTCTTTCGAGACCTCGCTGCCCTTCATAGTAAAGTCTTCCTAAATTAAACGAAGCCTTGAAATCCCCCTTCTGGGACATCAAATCGAGATATTCGATTACGTCGTCAATAGCGGCGTGAACGTCGGAATTCGGACTGGCCTTTAGCGCATGGACACCGGAGCTTATGACACTAGCTCCCTCTCCGTACACACCTCCGACGTCGTCGGAAAGTCGATGCGCTTCGGGTATGATAGCCATTCCGCCCGGCGGCCCGGACCGGAACCAAGTCATGGCCTTGTCGGCAACTCTCTTGTAATATTTCGAGGCAGTTTCACAGCTCTTAGGCGCACCGATGCCACTAACATGACGGGCCGCAACAGTCATTTCTGATCTAGTGTGTCCCGCGTTGGCGGCAAAGGTGTGATAGAGAAGAGCCTTGGCCTGATCTCGCTCCACTGCCTCCCCAATCCCTGTCGCATACATGAATCCCACCATGTACTGTGCCGAGCTATTTCCATACGAGGCAAGTCGGTAATAGTGATCGAATGCGGTCCTGAAATTCCGAGGATGTGAGTAGTTTCCAAAGAAGTTAAGTTGCGCCAAGAGGTATATGGCATCTGTGTTGTTCTGCTCAGCCGACTCCTGAAGTAACTTGACTCCCTCAAGGAGGGGCCCGGTGATGGTCGGTGGCGCATGGTCCTGTGGAGGGGCGCTCGCTCGTAAACTCGGTAACGCCTTCATGGCAAACTGGAATAATTGCCCAAACATGCCACCTTGCTTCTTCGACTTTCTATACAGCGGTGTTCTTATCTTTCGAAATTCGGCCATTGCCTCGTGGACAAGCTCCCATCCTATGCTGTGTCAGATAACCGTTGATCGGGGATGGCGCGCACGAGAAACAAGTGCTTACCACTTTGGTAAGGAGCCCAGACATGTTGTGCGCCTTGAACGACGTTGGTTTCGGTTGCTGGTTGAAGGTTCGTGGATGTTGAATCCTCTGTGCTAGCTTCCATAACCTGCTGATCGACAGCGGCGGATGCAAATGCGACAACCTGCAAAAGCACTGATGTTGCTAAGTGTTAGCTTATAGAACCTTGCTGCCATAGTTGACACTAGGTAACAATTTAAGAATCATAAGAAATATGAGGAAATCGTAAAAATTACAATGCGAAACTTACGGAGCGCAGAGACGAGCCAACGTCTCATGGTGAAAAGTCTGCTAAGAGCAATAGTTTAGTTTTGGTATTAATGTCATCATCTCCAGGGAAGAGGTTTAATATAAATCTGTTTGAAAGGGCGTAAATAAGAGGGAGAGAAAGAAAGGATGCGGGAGGTAAAGGCCAAAGGTTAAAGATGTTATCGTTAATCACGTTATCAGTGAGCTTGGGGAAACTTACAAGCTGTCCAGATCGGCTGTTGCCTACTACGTACTATCTAGCACCGGTAGGTACGATATAAACGCGACATCAGCCCTGATACAATAGTGCTTATATCCGATTGGCCAAATTGGCGCCACAGGCTGGGTAATGTGGGGTGTTTTAGATCTTTTATCTTTTCACTTGCGATTTCGTCACTTTTCACACGCTAAATTTCAATGCCATTCACTTATGAGAATATCAAAGGCTTGAAAATTGTCTTTAACAGTATTAACTATATGTGAAGCATTTCAAGAGTATCATATGTATGTAAATACTTGATGCACAAATTGTATAATTTTGCATACTCACAGAACTTATCTAGTTCATAGTCGCTGTTATACAACTAGGAGGAGTTTACTACCTAGAACCACACGTTCAACTGAGCATAGGTTCTACCACCTAACGCTTGCTTACAAGCAACTTCACAAAGAGACACATAAATCAGACACCATGTATCCCCTTACCTGCGTAGACGGGTACAGGATCCCGCTGCGCGATGAGGTTTATGTACTCGACATCATTCCGCTCATAGCTGGACCAGCTACCATATCCTCAGACCAGAAGCTCTCCCTCTTCAACCCAGCGAATGTGAGCGCGGGTCCACATATCAACCTGTCCACGCATCATGGCAACATAACCTGTGCGAAAGCATTTGACGCAGGAAGCGCCGTCGTATGCACGGCAGGCGAGGACGGCAGTGTATCTTTATGGGATCTGCGCCAGGATGCGCGGCAAGCTGAGGTGGCTCGACTGACAAGTGAGAATTCACAGTGTTCCCATTGTATGAGTCTGAATGTGACGCTGAGTAGTTATATAGATAATCAAGTTCCCGTTTTGTCCCTAGCATGCTCGAGTGCAGGTTTCTCTGTTGTAGCTGGCACCGAACTTCAAGATCACCAAGCATCAATATTAGTATGGTAAGAGCATGTCGCATCTCACCTTCTATCTCAGTCATGCTTATGCTGTATTCAGGGATGTTCGCGGAACGCCCACTCCGAAACTTCACTATAAAGAAGTCCACAGTGATGATGTGACAGAGGTCTGTTTGCATGCTATCCGTGGAAGACGTATTTTGCTAATCATTCGCAGCTTAACTTCCACCCTACTGACAGCAACATCTTATTGTCAGGATCGACAGATGGTCTTGTAAATATCTGCGATACTAGAATCACAGACGAGGACGAGGTTGTGATCCAAACTTTCAACCATGATGCTTCGATCCACCACGCAGGTTTCTTGAATTCCACCGAAGTGTTTGCTCTTTCTCATGACGAAAAGCTTGCGCTCTATGACATGGCCGAGAATCATGAAAACGGAGCAGCGACAATCAACTTTGGGGATATGCGCAATGTGCTTGGTTGCCAGTATATTGCCAACGTCTTCGCAAAATCGAATGGTGCCGGTGCTGTCATTGGTGCTGGAGCTCATGAGTAAGTTTAAATATGATAACCTACAAAATAGCCCCCTGACTAATTCACTTAACACCCGCGCAGTCAGGAAGCGTTCGAGCTAGTCCATCTCAACAAAGCTCAAGACTGGAGCTTCGATCGAGAGAACAGTGTGGGCTTGCCTGGAGCCCATTCTTCGGAGATAATCCGTAGTTTCTGCTTCTACGATGAAGCGCAGACGGTGTTTAGTGCTGGTGAGGATGGGTATATTAAAGCCTGGAAGCCCAACGCCTAGTTCAATAAATCGTTACGAATAGTATAGCCTTCTCAACCGTACTTGTCGTGCTTGTTTTTAGACTTCAAGTCCAATAGCCGTTCGTGATAGTCGCCCTCTCGCCTCGCCTTCTTTAGACTCCTAACCTCGTCCTCCTCAAGTCGTCTACCCACAGCATCCTCTAACTCTTTTCGACTGATCTTCTCCTTGGCCTTTTCCTCCTTCGATGCCTTTAGTCGGGGCTTAAAGCGGGCTTGCATGTGAACTCTTAGTGTCGTATCGAAGCTTATCTCAGTAGCGTCTCCGCGAATCTCAGGGGTGCCGTTCGGTTTCGTAGATTCCTTGATCGTCAAGAAAGTTTCTCGTTGCGATTGGATCTGGAATGTCCCTGGGGTGTCGGGGGTCGGAAGTACCGTCCAAGTTTCAAGGGCTGATATAGCTTCGGTTGTCGCAGTCAAGATACCGTATTTATCGCAGCTGAGGTATCTAGGCACAACAGGTTAGCTGCGATATTGAAATTGGGAGAGATAGTAAAAGAGTACACACTTTCCATATCGACCTTTCAATCTGAAATTCTCAGTGCCGTAAATTCTATTTACAACCCAGACTTGTCGCACGTCGTGTGGTTCAGCACTGGCAGGATTACCGTCGACGATATTCACAATAGGATCGGTGAATACCTTGCCGTTGGCATCGCAAGCTAGACACGTTGGTGGTTCGGTTGGAAGTACGATCATGACAGGACCCTGAACGTCTCCTACTACATCGGCGGATACCCAACTGTCATCATTTGCTGTTTCCTCCGAGGCGGCAGCGGCAGTACTAGCGACAGCGAGATTGCTTGGATCAGCATTGTCGGCTGTAGGATCGACTTCGGTTCGCTTTCTTTTCTTAGGCTTCTTTTCACCCTTGAAGGATAATGGCTTCACCATCGTAGAATCAATCAAGACTTGAGCGGATCTAGTAGATGTAGAACGTTTGAAGTTGGTGGGCGTGGAGTTAGCGTTAAGTGTGTCGTTGATAAGAGCTGCAATGTTGAGAGATAAACATTGCACAGTGACATTGACATTAGTTAACATTAACATTAACATTGTGGCGTCACTGTTAACCATGTGTGCACTTGAAGTCTAAATTATGGACTCAGGTACAAAGTACATAGGTACATAGATGTACGACATGTAGGCGACCCACCGGACTTTTCCAATTGAAAACCATACTATGTAAAATGGATATATCAATTATACATTATTCAATTACCCACAATCGTTCAGGAGAGACGGAAGACATCCAATGTTTGGAATTCATACAGTGAAGGTACATGATAATATACAAATCAAGTTCAAGTCTGGGGCGGGAAGCTCCTATAGCCAGTGCGGAGAAGGCCGCCAGTATACAACAATGGGGGGTTAGTTAGCTCGAGATTCACGTCTTTTTAAATTCCGACGATAACCTTTGGCCGAAGCTATTAACTAAACAACATATTCATATTTCAACCCCTTTCTCAAGTAGCACTCTTTTTCATGTCTTTTCTGAGATTTGGTATAATTCTCTGAATTTTATTGTCATTCTTTTTTTTTTTAAAAAAAAAGCAGAAACATACCCAGGTATACGACTACATACAATCTGCGATCATGGCGACAGCACAGCCTGTAGTAGTGTCGATAGCTGACCTCAAAAGTGGTAAGTGCATACTAAGTCAACAACACAATACCAAATTCACAAGCACCGGTCATCACATATTAACTTTTGCTCAGGAAACATCTCTTTTGAGACACTACAAGAAGCATTCGGCCCCGAATCTCTGGGAATTCTTGTAGTCAAAGATGTCCCAGCCGAATTCCCACAGCTGCGACGGCAGCTCTTGTCTTATGCATCTTACATGGGCAGCCTATCAGAGGCAGACTTCGGTGCGTCCCAAAGACACAGCCCACCAACGTGACTGATCGAAATTAAACTAACCAAACTAAAGAAAAATTCACAAACGAAGCAGCCATGTATCTTGTAGGCTGGTCCAAGGGCAGGGAGAAGCTCAAGGACGGGGGCGCCGACGAGTACAAAGGCTCCTTCTACGCGAACTGCGCATTCTACGTTGACCCATCGCTGGAATCAGCAACGCCCACGGAGAAATTCCCCCTCGAGAAGTTCCCAGAGTACCTGGCGCCAAACTCCTGGCCCCCCAACGAGATGCTACCCGGTTTCCGACCCACAATGGAGCAGATGTGCCGCCTCATAATCGACACCGCCGTGCTCGTCGCGCGCGCCTGCGACAAGTATGCCGAGAAGGAGATCCCGGGCTACCCCTCCGCCTACCTGGAGACAGTCGTCAAGTCGTCGTCCACCACTAAAGCGCGGCTGCTCCACTATTACCCCATGCCCGAGGAAGCGCTGGCCAAAAAGGGGCAGGAGGAAGAAGATAATTGGTGTGCGGTGCACAAGGACCATGGGTGCCTCACCGGCTTGACATCGGCTATGTTCATCGACGAGCTCAAGACAGACCCGACGGTGCCCGTCAGCTTCGGTAATGACAGCAAGGTCCCGAATTTACTGCCGACGCTAGACGAACTACCCGGATCACCGGACCCACAGGCCGGGCTGTGGATCAAGGACCGAAAAGGGGTGTCGGTGCAGGTCAAGATCCCACGGGATTGCATCGCGTTCCAGACAGGCGAGGCGCTCGAGAGGATCACAGGCGGCAAGTTCAAGGCCGTGGAGCACTCTGTCAGGGGCGCGTATGCCAAGGGAGTTGCTCGGAATACTTTGGCGGTCTTTACCCAGCCTAATCTAGATGATGAAGTTGACCTGGACCAGCATATTAACTTCGGGGAGTTTGCGAGGGGCATTATAGCTAAGAATACGGTCTGATGCTGGCCGCCGACGAGAATTTACTAAGATTATGGCCAGGGAGTGTGCTACATCTGGGCTACCAGAAGCTGTAGAAGGTGTTAGGGCATGATACGGTCTTTCATCTAGGCTGGAGGTTGTGGGAGATGAATGTGTTGGGAATGACGACAGGTTACGCTGGAGACCGCGAGGGCCAGGGGTGGGATAGAAAGGGGCGGTTTGATATTTTACTATGAGACGATAGGGGCATGACGATGAGGGCATAACCTCCTAAAACCTGGGAGAGAAACACATCAGAATTACCCTTGTAATTTGATCATTGGGAGAGAGGCTGCCACATCACGTGATCTCACTTCCCCCTTTTCTCTATTCATGACGTCCATTCCATCCTCCCCGCCTCCAATCCGCTGTGACATCAAACTCCAAATATCACCAAGTACGGCACTCCAAGTACTCCCCAGGTATGAGACTTCGAATGCTTTCTAATATGGAACTCTACATGCCCCTAAACGCAAAGTCTCAGCCATTTTCAGATATAGAGTCCCAGCCCTTTCGAATACGGCGCCTCAGAAGCCTCCACGCCTGAGGCATAGAATAGGATGAGTTAGTTATTTTGCTTAGCGAATCCGTTTTTGTCGCAATAGATCGCCAAATACCACTAAAGCTAGAAAAAGTCTTGACGATAACATCTCGTCCTGTTAGAAAAGCCCACGATAGTAGGAGCAAATGCTGTATTGATGGAAAGGGCCTTTGGCATTGCTGCGTCGTCCCACCCCAACAATCTAAGATTGACTTAACATCTAGCTGCGCGAATTGTAAATACCGGTAGAGGGAAATATGTTGACCACCCCAAGCGTTGGCTCTAGATTTGAGTATAGTGCCCCTGCCCCAGCTGTATACGTCAAATCCGACAAATCCCAACTGTAGAGCCAAAGAACTCTTAACAGGGAGATAATGCAGATACTATTCGTCACTCATCAGCAACTTGACTATGCAATATGATAGACCAAACAGATGTACTTACAGAATACCTAAACTAAACATCCCAGCAACGCCCAATTTCTTTAGTCATGAAATTCGTAGGCGAAATAGCATAGGCATCGGCAAGGCCACAATAAACACGTCGATCGTAAGGTTTGTAATTCCGGCGACAAGATATGTGATATTATCTCCGTCACAGTGGCCCCCTGGTATGCTTTTATCCCAATTAAACTCGACCGGAGTGCAAAGGATAAAAATTTCTAAGAAGACACTGATCCAGTAGGCTACGGATACTGTCATTGTGCCATAGCATATGTAGTGGAACTTTCTACCAGGGAATATGACGGTGTAGGTATCGAAAACTTGACGCAAGTGTTAGCAGAGGCCCAATGTATCTGCCCAGCCGGAAAAAGCTACGGTGATTTAACGTCAGCCAGGGGAGCGGGAAAACACTCAATAGTTATGCCCAACAAACCTTTAAGAATGTCGCAAACTTCTCTGGGCTTGTGGAAATGTTGCAGGTGCCTCAGGCACCTTTAGGCTCCACTAGAGCCATATGGCCCTTCCCTTATGGCCATATATATTGGCACTCCGCCATTGTAGTTAGGAATAAAGCAAGCTTTCTTCCTTTCCTCTTCCTTCTTCTTGGTTGCAGTTGTACTGCAACAGGAAAGAACATCATTAAGGTGAATTCCCAGACCACCCACCCAACAGGCTGTTACCGTGATGCGTCAGTCCATGTTTCATCATGGTCAGTTGCCAGGGGGCATGGCTCAACAGACGTACCTGAAATGGTAGACGAAAGTGAACCAATCGCAAGGAGAAGTATCAGCTGTCATGAGCGTGATATCTATGTTCTAGCCTGATCATGGGTACAAGGCGATCAGATTATTTCCTGATACGTTGGCGAAAAAGTTGCGTTGGTTACTGAACGGTGATATGGAGTGGGTAATGTACTAGGTACCTATCGTTTTCCGTAACGAAGTCAAAAATACTAGGTATGAGTAAATGAAATGTTGCATAAGCTGACCTGTTACCTAAGGCCTGATGAGGTGAGGTGAGGTGAAGTTTATTAAGTGTGACCCTAACCCTAGCCTCAGCCCTAACCCTGACATAACCCTACCCCTTGGTTGATACCCACGCCGCGACATTGGCAATGCAGGTCAGGGAACATGGCAGAAACTTCGCGCCATGCATTAGCGACTGACACATCAGCGAAACCAGGAGCGCCAATGCCATCAATAGAAGCCCGCATAACGATCATAGCCGATAGAGATATAAGCCTACGGAGGTGCAATCCAAATTACTTATTGTTACAATATGGAGATGCTCCCATCTATCCCAACAATTTGGCGTTCCAATTCCATTCTGTTTCTGATGAATGAGGGGCGAAGTATTATAGGGGTCTGGATGCTGTGAACCCATGTGGGGGGTGATACCATAAGAGCAGTTGATAAAGTCATGACCAGACGAAGAATCAAGGTGCTTAAACTGGAGGCTGCGACCACCCAGTCGCGATTTCGAGGAGAAAGGTAGTACAGGAGCACACCTTAACATACGCCAGGGTCACTGCGAGTAGCCCCAGAAACAGACAAATGTTATGCTTTTATATCTTGTATCTTGAATAGGGGCATTGTTCGGATGTTACTAGCTTTATTTAACTACCCAGCCATAGTCGCCCTAACTTCAGCGGTATTTACTTGAATGCAGTCATAGATCCCTAGGTACCAGGCAGATACTCGGCCCAGGTGGAATGACCTTCTAGATCGGAGCGTTTGACCTTGTCTCCATCTTAAACCCTGCTTAAGCCCTGTAAACACCCACTTAGTTAGATTACCCATACAAATTGTGTGCTGATCATATCTTAAAGTATGAGTATCCTAGGTAATTACATATACGGCGTAGTACTGTACCTATTATTGCTATCGGGCCCTAAAACCTTAAATCTAGAGCCTTCTCGGGCCGTAAAACGCCGGTTTCGAATTGATATTTAGATTAATAAGCCGGTTATTTGGATGGCACGTGATCACCCTTAAGGCCAACATACAATCGCTTAAAGCCTTAATTATTTAATATCCAACCTAAACGTTTAAAACATATAGCTATAATGATGCAACCGGTACCGATTAAAAGAGGATTTGATTGTCAATTAAATGATATAAGTCAAATATGGATGCGATACTTGGTTGCAAAGTTATTTAGGTATATATATCGTGGGATATCATGTGACATCTGATCATGTGACACCCTTAGGCGATCGTGTGCAGGCTCTTAGGGTGGCTTCAAGGGTGATCACGTGCGCCCGCCCGCCCGCCCAATTAGCTTATTTACTTGAATAACTTTACAACCAAATATCTCCCCAATTCGAAACCGGTATCAATCGATTCATAATTTAATGCGCTTTCAATTAATACCGGTTGCACTTATATAGCTACATATTTGAAGAACTTATTCAAGATAAAAAACTCAATTCAAAAGGTTCAATGTACGTAATACAGTGTATTTAACCATTCATAATTCATATTTTAAGATATGATCGCCATACAATTTGTTTGGGTAATGTAACTAAGTGGGTTTTTACAGGGTTTAAGATGGAGACAAGGTCAAACGCTCCGATCTAGAAGGTCTTTCCACCTGGGCCGCAGATACTGAGTAGCATTTGATGATCTTCAAATCCTAACCGGATCATTCCGACGTATGCATCTACATAAGGTATAATGTAGGGAAGTTATCCGGCCAAGAATGATCGGAACCACACATACATAGTTCTCTCGGGCATTTGAAATTACATCACTTTAGAGATATCTGGCGTGCCCCTGGTTGCCGGCTAGTCCCCCCGCTTGCTTAGCAAGCTTGGGACATATATAACTCCTATCCGGCAGTTGGTCCGGATCTCCAAAGTCAACAACATACCTATTTAATGCCAATTCTTGAAGCATTCGTACAAGTTTTATTAAGTAATTTGCAAACTCATTAAAAACATACAACAAGAAAATCAAGATCATGGCCAATTCAATCAAGAACGTGGTTGTCGTGGGGGTAAGTCAGCACCTTATTTATATCCCCTCACCCCGGAACAACCCACGCTAAACATCCCGAATATTTAATGTAGGCATCGGGCAGTCTAGGGAAAGAAGTCGCGCAGGAGCTTGTCAAGGCCGGCTTCAACGTGACCGCCTTCGCACGTGAGGACACGACGGCGACCTTCCCGTCGAACCTGACCGTGAAGAAGGTCAACTACGACTCGGTAGAGTCGTTGACCGCCGCGCTCAAAGGCCAAGATGCCGTCGTGTCCACGATCGCCACCGTGGCCGTCGGCAACCAAGGCCCGCTAGTGGACGCCGCCGTCGCCGCCGGGGTGAAGCGGTTCATCCCGTCGGAGTTCGGCATTAACACGAGAATCGTCGGCGACGACGTCATCGGACAGATTCTGGTGGGCAAGATCAAGACCCTGGACTACATTATCGAGAAGTCCAAGGCGAACCCGTCTTTCACGTGGACTGGTGTCTCAAGTGGCCTGTTTTTCGACTGGGTAAGTGCTGAAGAGGAAGATGCATCCTACAGGACCAAGGCAGCGACACTAACAGGTCTGCGCAGGGACTCAAGTACGGCTCCGTCGGCTTCTTCAAGGACAGCAAGACAGCCATAATCTACGACTCGGGCAACGAGCCCGTGCAGGCGTCGAACCTCGCCTTCATCGGCAAGGCGATCAGCGCGATCCTCGCGCAGCCCGAGAAGACCGCCAACCAGTACATCTCGATCGCGTCCTTCAACCCGACGCAGAACCAGATCCTGAAGATCGTGGAGGCCGAGACGGGCGAGAAGTGGAAGGTCGAGCACGCCACCACGGCGGAGGAGAACAAGATCGGGCTGGAGAAGCTCGGCAAGGGCGACTACAGCTCCTTCGTCAACTTCTTGAAGAGGCGCGTCTTCAGCGATGGTGCCAAGCTGGCTGTGGAGGGAGACAAGAATGCGATTGGCGTTCTGGGACTCCAGGAAGAGGATCTGACGGCAAGTGTCAAGGCATGGCTGAGCAGTTAAGTCAGGGCTGCTAGATAGGGCTTTAAATCAAGCCGGTCCTGCTAAAAGTGTGGAACGTCGCTTGCTGGTTAGGTACTTACGATTTATACGCACCTACTTAGGTATGAAGTCTTGCCGGAAAGCAAGTTGATACGAGATATATGAATAAATATTTGCATCCCACGTGGAATCATGTTCAACAGTCCGTCCGAATTCCGTAACATTGCATAGGCACCCAAGTCCCTACCTAAGTAACAGCTATATACACAAGAATCGACCCACCCTCCCCAACAATCTCACCTTTCCTTCTTTCTCACCGCCCCCCCCCTATCCATCCCCTCTCACCAACCTAAGCAAGAGCCGGCACCTCCCAAGGAGCCCAATCCGCAACCGCGACCGTCGCGCTGCTCTTCTCGACCTCCGGCGGCGCCGTCGTGCCCGCAAGAAGGAAGTAGTTGATATACGCAGTCAGCTCCGCCTGCTGCGACGACGGGAACTGGCAATGGCTATGCCCACCCACGAGCGAGAAGCCCATATTCGTCGGGACGCCCAGGCCCTTATAGATCAGCCGCCCGGCCTTCATGCACCCCGTGGTGCTGACGGGGCCGAGCCAGTCGATGTCGTTCTCGAACGCGAGGAGGCCGCGGGGGGCGACGAGGGCGGCGAGCATGTGGTGGTCCTCGGGCATGGTGTTGGTCTTGGCCGTGTAGGCGTTGAGGTTCTGGCTGAACCAGACGTTCTCGCCCACGATCTCCCCCGCCGTCTGGATGTTCTTGCCCTTGCTGTGCTCGTCGTCCGAGATGCGCCAGCACGCCGCCCCGCCGGACCCGGACTCCTGCGGCAGCGTTAGCGCGATGCGGTTCGCCAGCGCGCCGACGATGAAGGCGCCCTTGCCGTTGCGCGAGCACCCCGTCGTGCCGAGGCGCTTGGGGTCGATTCCCGTCTTGTCGGCGCCGAGCTGCTCGAGCCCGTCGATCACGCGGTCGACCCCCCAGGCCCAGGCCGTCAGCGCGCCGGCGGAGTGCGTGTTGCCGAAGAGCGTGTAGAATGCGCCTTGCCCGCGCGAGCTGCCGGAGGCCTGGGAGGCGAACTGGTCGTTGTTGAAGCCGATGGTGCCGACGGTGCCGGGGATCGGCAGCGAGGATCCGCCGATGGTGATGATGGCCGGGCCTGGGGAGGTGCTGGCCTTCTTGATGGCGGTGCTGATCGTCACGGACTTCGAGCCGACGGTGACCTTCACGGACATGGTGCTTCCTGATAGGGATGCCTCAACCTTGTCGGGCGGCGGGGGGTATGCGCCCAGCTCGTACTGTTGCAGAAGTTTGCTGATCTCTTGTTGGCGGCAGGTCCAGTCGGCCTTGCTGGCAACCTTCGTTCCATCCTCGTAGGTGAACGGGTCAGGGAGTTTGGCGAAGCTCACGGCTGGGTAGGTGTCCTTGAGCGTGCAGTCGCTAGTGTTCTGGCGCCGGTAGATGTCTGCGTATGGCAGAGCTGAGGCCGTGGAGCCCAGCAAGAGGGCGACTGTGAGACGCACCATTTTCTCGTGGAGTATCGTCTGATGGTATGTTGGGAGAAGGCGTGTTTCCAAAAAGGTATACTTCACCGATTAGCCATGGAAGGCTCTGGGTAAGTAGGTAGGTATGGGGACAACTCTTATACGTCCCCTAGGTCGCATATACGGCAAAAAGGTGCCTCGCCAACCCTGCTAATTTCCGGTTGATTGTGCGGTCCCGGAATATGAAAGGCTGAGTAACTTGCCATTTTTGAGCCGATACAGGTGTTGAAGTCTGCTGGTAAGTGGCTCTGGCCAAGTCTCGACGTCGAAGGCGCCCCAGTCTGGATAGTATGATAAAGTATGAATCTCTCCGTGAAGTGTGACGAGACTTGACCCCCTTGCACCGAGACCTCCTTGGCACTTTAGAGACGATGTCTAAGCGGTATAGATCAGGGGTATATCCCCAGCTCCAAATGCGGAGAGATTGGTCAATATGGCTAATAGCGAACGTGTATCAACCTTGGAATTCAACGTAGCATTAATATAATCTTTCGATCACCCGCGGGAAACCCATTCTGGATCTATTCCATCGCTCGATTTGGCTAGATACATTCACATGACCTGGTTCTGGTAGGCTCGCATAAGAATATCTACTGCGATTATAGCTGTATGTCTCAACCTGAAGTCTACCTTAAGGGCAGCTGATGGGTTGTGCATTAATATAACACAAGACATATTAACGAGTTAACTCCTCGTAGCTGTCCTGGCATCATCAACACAGGCGAAAAAAAATAAACAACCCCTGAATTATATTTCTTTAGATGTGGCTAATCCCCAAGTTGGTATTTTTAGACATTCCCACCCCGATGATCCGGACCTGACGTTCTTGAATATAGCCGAACAGACAGCGTTGCATTAAACCGCCTTTTGCACGCTCCGAATTTCCGCACGCGGTTAAATCATGGTGCGAAAGCGTCTACACCAGTCCCTTCACAGGATTCTGGCCGTTACTTGCTGAGATGGCTCAATACATCAAACAGATGTGAGCGGTTTCCCCAGGTTTCTTGGCGGCCGGTAGTTGCTGCGACAGTTCTCTTAGGTAGACCAACCAAGGTAGCGAAGAAAGGAATAGTGAATCTGTTTCAGGAACAGGCCTGGCCATAGGAACATTACAACTTCAACGCTAGAATGCATCGCAGGATGGAGCTACCGCTCTTGGCAACATTGCTGGTGTTGTTGGCTCGTTCGGTCGTCGCGCACGGCGGTCTGGCGAATTATACAGTTGGTGATACTTGGTACCGAGGGTAAGGTTGCCATGAGGCTCAGTAATAGAATGCACGGCTGACATTACCATATAGATATGATCCCGATTCGCCTAGGGAAGAGCAAGAAGACCAACCATGGATGGTCCAGAGATTATGGGCAAGCATCGACCCCATCTTCTCCGTCAACGACACCGGCCTAGCCTGCAACACCCCCGGGACCGCAGCGCCATCATACATCCCCATCGCAGCCGGTGACAACATCACAGCCGTGTACTGGTACTGGCTGCACCCCTACGGGCCCATGTCCGTGTGGCTAGCCGACTGCGGCGCATCATGCGAGGACGCCGACGTGAACGACCTGAACTTCTTCAAGATCTGGGAGGCCGGGCTGGTGGAGGGGAACATCGTGGAAGGCATCTGGTACCAGAAGCAATTCCAGCACTGGGACGGGAGTCCGGATCTCTGGTCAGCCACGATTCCGGCGACGATCAAACCAGGCCTGTACATCGTGCGGCACGAGATCCTGAGCATCCACATTGCGAACAAGCCACAGTTCTACCCCGAGTGCGCACATCTGAATATCACCGGCAAGGGTACGGCGGTCCCCTCGCCCGAGTACTTTGCCAAGTTCCCGGGATCTTATAAGGAGGATGGTAGGGCATTTCCATAGCCTCTATGTTGACGAGGATGGCTGCTAATTCTGCTAGACCCGTCGATTAAAATTGATATCTACTCCAACGAGATGAAAGTAGCTACGGTAAGATTTTAATTAATGCCTTTTTCTATCGTGAAATCTAATCTCTATACAGAACTACACGATTGCCGGTCCACCAGTTTGGGATGGGTGAGTACTGAAGACCCCAAAGTACCTTGCTAGAGTTACAAACAAATTAACCCCTAACAGACTCGTAAACAAATATTGTCAGGATTGCTAGACGAGTTACTTGGGCACTTCACAGTCTATAATGACTGGCATGTTCAGTGTCATACACTCTCATCCCCTCTGCGATCCCGTCTTCTAGAAGAGCCCCCGGGAGGGCTTGTTAATGGATTCATAATGCCGGTTGAGGGACCGCGGTCGTCGACGGAGTCCACATCTTGTAGATTAGCCCAGCTGGCCGTTGGGGCAGAGTCTGATTCAACGGGCCCGTATCTGTTACGAAGTGGGAGGTTATCTGCTGCCGTCCGCTCCGCACTATTGTCTCTCTTCACATATTTCTGTTTCTTTGGCTGACCGCCACCGTGGTCACCTCTCCACAGGCCACCGCCCACAAGATCGGTAAACTTTCCCCCTTTTGCGAGCAGTTCGTCGTACGACCCAGACTCTACTACATGTCCTTGGTCGATAACTATGATGCGATCTGCCATACGCATCATTTCCTTGCTGTGTGTTATAACCACAACGGATAGCTCGCGTCGCCCCTTACGACGTGCATCAGACATGCCCAATGCGTCATTGCCATCGTAGATGCTTTTTTGAGCAGAACCCATTAATGATTCAATGGTTTTCCTTACGGCTTCGGCACCTTCCGCGTCTAGTGCGCTCGTGGGCTCATCGAGAAGCAAGAGCTTAGGCCTCCGAGCTAAGGCCCTCGCAATACAAATTCGCTGAGCCTGCCCGCCGCTAAGCGTCTGGCCACCGTCTCCAACAAACGTATCGTAACCTGCTTCCAAGCTGTGGATAAAGTCGTGAATCCCCGCCTCTTTAGCCGCTCGTTCAACATTGCTTTGATTTCGTAAAGACGACTCCTCCGGTAAACCGTAACGAATATTATCTGCAATTGAAGCAGGGCACAGAAAAGGCGTTTGGGGAACGTAGCCAATCTGATCCCGCAGACTAATGGTGCTGATTTCGGTAGCTGGGATTGAAGCAAAGGTCAGCTGCTGCCGATGGTCCCCAACCCCCCGTCGTCCAACTGATGAGTCTGGTAAGTACAGCCCCATAATGATAGACGCGATCGTACTCTTGCCGCATCCAGAGGGGCCGACGATTGCGGTCGATGTGGCGGCGTCAATGCAAAGCGAGACGTTTCGAAGCACGGAGTGATTCAACGACGGGTAGGTAAACGACAGGTGTTGTAGCAAAATAGGGAAAGGTTGTATAAGTTTCACCTTTCCTCTGGATTCGTAGGGAGAGTCAATGGGCAGATTGACATAATACAGAAGTCGAGAGGCAGCGGACTGGGCAGCAGCGCGACCTGATATAGAACTAGCTATACCGACAACAGACCCCACGCCAAGGATGAGCAAATTGACAACCTGCAGTATCTCTTGTACCGGTGGTCCACCAGACTCGGTCAGGAGGCGGGTTGCATACCAGAATGTGAGGGCCATGGCGAACCAATGCAGCGACTGCCAGCCAGCAAACGGGAAAGCCGCACGGAGCACTCTATCAACGCCGACCCCAAAGATCCTATCGGTACATTCAGAGTATTTCCTAGTGAAGAACCGTTCAAGTGTTAGAGCTCTAACGACGCGTATATTGATGAATGTCTCAGTAAAGGTTGCGCTCGCGTGGTCGACCATCTGGTTGTATCGTGACTGTGTATCGCCAACCATACTACCACAGACTACCATAATGACAGCGAGGCCTGTAGCACCCGCGATAGTTACAAGAGTGAGCTTCCAGGATATTATTAAGGCCCATGTGATCGTTCCCGTTACCATGACGAAGAGGACCAATGACTGAGGAGCAATCCTTCCAACGAGATGCTGCATAGACTCTGCATTCTTGTCCATGCATTCGCTTATGTGGTTAGCTGAGTGTAGTGGCTTACCAAACCACACCTTTGGCTGCTGCAAGACCCTATTGAGCGCTTGCACACGTAGAGCGTTTGCCCAAGCCTGGCCAACTAATAGCATCAGGTATATATTGAGATACATGGATACCACTGTGAGCGTAGTGATGAGCAGTAGATAAAGAGCCCATTTCCGCGCGGCAGCCATCTGATCTTCGGCGGAATACAATACGGCTAGAAGATTCGCGAATACAAGATTAAAAGCCGGGACTGCGCCTGCGTATAGAATGCACATCAATAATCCAACGACGAAACATGTCCTTTCTCTCGGAGTCAAGGATGGCCAGATCGTCTTGAAGATGGCCCACATAGATACAGGCTGCATTATCTTCACGCTGTCGTCTTGGGTATCACTGTAAGGTTTAACCGGATCCGTGGACGCGCCGTCAGTGGCAGGAACACGTCGTCGATCTTTCAGAGTAGAGCGACCTCGACTATCCCGCACCTTATTTCCCAGCTCTTGGAGATGTATGAGACTCATTCTTCTTTCCTTTGCCCTCCCATGGCCAATATTAGCATGATCCGATCCATGGAGGCCAGTCCTCCACGACGTTGACATGCGCTTCGTGAGGGTTATAGCACCTTGGATAATTGGATTTTGTGCCTCTGACACGTCCATCCATGATGGCACGGTGGCTTCCGCGTCACCACTGGACGGTTGGTCAGTCGAAGTCATAGAGGCCAATGGAGTAGGTCTGGGCGGTAAGGTGTTATGTTGATGTGAGTTGACAAAAGGCCAGAAGTAGCCCGATGTTGGATGGGATTCTTCGGCTAAGACGTCTTCCGCCTGGGATGGGTTGGCAACATCGATGACAGTAGATGGCGCGAGTAACGCGGCAAACACAGTGCCTTCCTGCTTTTCCAGATATTTGCGGAAGCCTTTCTGTACTACACGCGCATTGTCCAAGACATACACAAATTCATCCCCCTTTATCTCCGCAACCTCGTGAGTGATTACAATAGTTGTCTTCCCCTGCCTCCAGTGCCTAATCGCATCCATAACCAGTGTGCGACTTAGCGGGTCTAGTCCGCTGGTAATTTCATCCAGGATGAGGACCGGTCGGTCACGTATCTTTGCCCTTGCGAGAGCTAATCGCTGTTTTTGGCCACCACTGAGGCCGTGTCCGTTGGCTCCAACGTCTGTGTCTAAGCCCCTGGGGAGCGTAGCAAGCGTCGATTGAAGCAAAGCAATCTCGCATGCAGCCTCCACTTCTTCCCTAGAGACCTGCTCGGGGTCTTGACGTCCCATGGCCACATTCATGAAGAAGGTAGTGTTGAAAAGCGCGCTAGCCTGTTGGATTAATGTGACATTGTTGCGGACCCATTCAGTGTCGAGAGTTTCGAGCGGGTGCCCATCTATTAAAACGTCGCCGCTAAGTGGTCTGTAGAATTTCAACAATAAGTTACTCAGCGTGCTCTTCCCCGATCCACTCCGCCCGACAACGAAGTATAACTGGCCTGCTTCAAAATGGAGAGAAGACTTTTTCAAGACAAGTTGGTGTGGATTTGACGGATATGTAAAGCTGACCTTGAGAGATCGCAGCGTTAGTATCGAATGGTAGGTCGAAGAACAAAACTGAATCGCCAGCCAGCAAACTCACTTGATTAATCTGTATTTCCCCCAAGCACTCTGTTGGACGATGTCCACCGACCATTCGGTTCACTTCACGTCCCCCTTCCATTTCGCGAGTGATAAGAGATAGCTCCTTGCTAGCAGAGATCCCTCTCTCTAAGCCCGCCCACCTTTGGGCGATGTGCCCGGCAACACCTATGGCGGCAAGGGCCGCATAGAATGTTCGAACGACACTTTCCGCGCTCATTCCTCCGCGTACTAGGATAGCAGCAAAGTAGAACCCGAGCACGAACATTCCATCTGTCCAGAACTTCAAATAACTTTGTAGCAACGCGTACATTCTTGCCTGTACCAAATATTGATGACCAGCCCGTCGGATAGCGGTGGTATATTGCCAGGTTTCGTGGTCAACAGCATTGAAAGCTTTTACGAGGTCAATGGACGTGACTGAAGCTATCGCATACTTAGATGCACGGCTACGCTCTCGATCTTGCATTCTCGTAGCGATCACTGCCTTGCGCCGGATGAGAACAGTTATAACAAATGTTATAGGACCGGTAATGGCAATCATCGATGTAAGTTCCCACGAACCTGAAAAGGCCAAACTGAGACTCGCAATCGATGCAAGTATATCGACGAACAAGTAGCCAAGCAGTGTCGTCGATGCCCCCTGAAGCTCTTGAATTTGCCTATCTAACTATCAGCGATGCGTGTTGATGGCAAAAGATTGGGCATTGTAGGGTAATGGTACGTTTGTATTCCCACGAGCAGACTAGCAACCCCGTTATCTTGAAGGTCAAACCATCCCAAGCCCTTTTTCAATAAAGCGTGGAACACTGCTATACGGGCATCTTTTGCTTTTAGCTCGCCGCAAAGTGTCCAAAAATACAAGAAGGTATAATTCACCAACAAGGACGCCCCGCCGAGAGAAGCTAGAACAAAACTCCAGTACGACATTTGGCCAAGAGCATCATTCCCAGCGAGCTTCCCGGACCCAAAATCGGAAATGACACCAAATACTCGCCCGATTAAGACAGCCGAAGAAGCTCGCTGGGCAGCTAGAGGTAGTGTTGTTAAGATACCTAGGATAGCCGGGCGCTTGTGTTGCCATGGCACAAGGGTGAGCAGACTTTTCAGTACAGATAGTCGCGGTCGCCAGGTGGCAAGGCCAAGCAAAGCTTTGCGAATGCTCAGTTGCGGCTGTCGTTGCGAGTCCATACTAGCGACCGAAAACGGATGGATTTGCTGTGTTAATTAATTCGATATACGAGGGCAGCTGGGACTGTCAGATTCAAAGCAATGCAGCATGGTCGCAATACTTGCCTCGCGTCGTGGGCATTTGGCCGATGACATTACTGTAGAATTTCTAAGAGGTAGTCAATAATACACCAATAGTGATACCATGGAATAAGAAGGGGAAATTGACCCTCTATCAATCAGTAGGTAGGTATTGTAATGCCTCGTGCTAGCTTCCAAGATTCCCAATGGCGAGGTTCTTTGTTCGACTGGTGCTTTGTGGTGAATTGCAAGCAATAAAACCCATAATACTAAATTTGGTTGCTATGGCTTAGGCACGTACTAACCCTAGGCACCTGGTTTGAATGAAGTGAATTTTCGAGTTCAAGCTCCTCTCCCATGAAGGCCAGACTGTCGAAGTAATCTTCAGAGTTCGAACCGCGAATCTCGCGGTTGAAAACATGTGATAGTTCACTTGGAACTAAGAACAGGTTCGCTCCTATTTGGCCTAAGAAATTGCCCAGTATTCCTATATGAAATCATGTGTTCATTCATTCGTGATTCCAGCCATGACTTGTGAAGACAGTGGCGTTAAAGGAATAAAAAGAGATCCTTGCAAGGGGGCTATGGAATATCTAGCTAAATGCTACGGCCCTCGTCAAAGGGCTGAGGATTGTAAATTGTTTTCACTTAACTTCATTGCCAGATCGCAGGACGTCACAAGAGTGAGGCCCGGATCGGCTTAAGTATAGTATCCTGATTTTGTTTACAGCCAATTCTATAGTTCTCGTAGGAGTATGAGGTTGGACGCATGAAGAATCGGTAGATAACTTGCGGCAGTGCCTATTGTTGTCGATCAAGTATGTAGGTCTTGTGGCTATTTAGAACCATTGGCCTTCTCGTAGATCCAGTCGTTAAGTCCTGCCCTATTTCTTGCTATTTCGACAGCATAGAACTGCATTCTAGGAACTAGGATAGAGGGATTTGGTTAGTAAGTGGTCAATGTTTAGCTTCAGACAAAGACAAAAAAAAAAAAGCAAGGTACCGAATATAGTAGTGTCCTGTTCGTATTCTACTTTGGGGCTCGTCCGAAGCATAGTGCCAAAGTTGTAGTCATCAACCTTGTTCTCGTACGCCATCATGAACTTGCGCCACTGTTCCTTTCCCGCCTTGCTTTTCATGTCATCCTCGTTGATGGTTTCATTGGGATCAAAATCGGGGAAGGCTATCTTGAGATGAGCCAAGATATCATCATCTATCTTTGTCAAACGCAAGGATGAGCCTTTGACCTTCTCGAGGACGGCCCAATATGTTTCAAGGTGCTGGACCGCTACTCATTTCACAAGAGTACAAATTAGAAAAGATAGCAGGCGAAAATGTTGCGACTAAAAACGAACCCTTGACTGCAAATTGCTTCTCAATCTGTTATAGATATTTGTTAGATGGAATGAATCCTTCGCAAGTGTCCAATAGAGATAGATCTTACGTCCTGCAGATTGTCTGCCTTATCGGCATTGAAGTTCTGCGGAACCGGGCCGGACATCTTGGTAATTTCGTCCATCTTGATGGATTCAGCTGTGGAGAGCGTGTTGGATCCTGTACGTGATAAAATTGACGTAGGAGCAAGAAATTATTATTTCGCAAGCACCTTGTTGGGTTTTGGAGGGGTATCCATCCCGTTAAATGCATATCCATGGATGCATGTACTGAAGGAAGTCTATCCAACTCACATGTGGGTCTTAATGAATGAGTAATCACCAATCCCGGCATTTCTATGTTGAACATTGAATTCTTCTTATTCTTCTTTCTTTAACATTTAACTACATCTATATACCTAGTCATGTTATGCTATTTGCAAACATCATGATCCATTAGTTGTTTTCCGGTTTTTCCCTTCTACAGTTTATTGAAAACACGTTCCTTTCTTCAGCTACCTAGTAGCATATTAGTAGTGGTAGGTAGATACCTAACCTAAAGATTGCTCAGCTCTCTTCAAAGCCTACAAACAACATCGAAGCAGGTTATAGGGTGGCCTTGTATTGGTCTTCCCCCTATTTCCGTTCAAGAGCCTAGGTACTTAATTATCAGCAACCTGTATCCAAAACATCCACGGATAGTACTCACAACCGCAAATGAACTTCTTCTTCGGATCTTCTCCCCAAAGAGGACCAATGCCCATGGCACTATTGTCAGCACGGTAGCTATTCCTCCCAGCAGTCCACCGGTCGCATCTTCTCCCAGGTTTTGAATCAGCGGTCCCGTCACGAGAGGGAATACTCCACCGAGCACGTTGCGGCAAAAAGATTGCGCCGCCAACGCTGAAGATGCGTAGGTTTGGTACGTGTCCGCGAGGTAATTGAACGTAGCCAGATATATATAAAATATGCCCATCGAGGCGAGTAATATCGCAAAGGTCGGAACCATCCAATGGGTTGACGGCTGGGCTGCGAAACCAAATAAGTAGAGGCCCGCTGGGAGCAATACCGAAGTGAAGCAGGTGAAATACAACCGCGATTCAGGTGACTCGGCTGGAAATTTCCGCCTTACAAAAGACCAGAATGGGGTCGCCGCTGCGATATCCAGGCTGGTATCTGAACTATCAACCTCCGAGCTATCAGATCTAGATTGCCATTTTGGATGCTTGAGCATGCTCTCTTGATATATGCCGATAGTCGTCGCAAGAACGGAACCGATAATCATCGCAGCAAAGACATAACCAGACTGTTCAATGCTGAAGTTATACTGTCGCTGGAACACAAGCGGTATAGACCCAAAGGTCAGGTAGAGTATGGCCCATGCGAAAGATACCCAAAGCGAGAAGAAGAAGACTATAGGCTCGGTAAATAAAAGAGCGAATGGCCTAAACAGCGATACCTTCACCATCGTAGTGATTGACGCTCGCTGCTCATCCTCTTTGACTATCCATCGGATCCGCCGTAACTGTAGATGGCCTCTTGACCTAGAATAATATTCTGGTGCAGCTATTGATGAATGCGGTCCCGCAATCGACTTCTCTTCGTTCGGCGTCGACAAAACACCAGAATCCACGGTTGATCCAGCAGTGAAGACACCGAAGACACCCTTCTCCTCTAACTTTTCATACCACGCGTTCAAACACTTCGCCTTCCTGGATAAGAGTACTGAGCCCCGGCTCTCTTTGAACAAGCTTACGACAGCAATCATCAGGACAAAGTCTATAATCACTACACTCAATTATTAGTAGTCATTAACAAACTCAGTATAGATGTGAGTTTCTTTCCAAAATAGTCTCGTAGGTTCTATGAGAGGCCAGGTTCTTAGGCAAGAAAAACGACACAAGAGACTCAAGCTTTCAATCAACGTACCTTGGTGCCAGAATACCCATTTCCATTTATCTCCCTCACTTCCCCACTGCTGCACCATGACGGCAGAAACAAGAGGACCGAGACCTGTGCCGATGAGAACAGCACCACTAAAAAGCGCCATCGGCGTGTTGCGATCCTCCTTCTCGTACATATCAGCAATAACTCCGCCCACCATTGTGCTAAATACGCTTCCACCGACACCCTTGAAGAACCGGGCGATCAGCATACCTGACAAGTTTGTTACCACGCCGCAGACTGCTTGAAAGCAGACGAAAACGGCACCGGCGATGGCGAAGATAGGGTACCGTCCGTTAATCTCAGAAAAGGGGGCGAGAATCATCGGGGCGATTGCGAAGCCGGTGCAGAACGTCGTAACTCCCGCCAACGCGCCCTGGCGCGATGTCTTTAGATCCGCGGCGATCAAGTCTGCTGACACGGAATACGCACCCGCCGCATACGCCGTGAAGCAGGTAGCCATGCAAGATATCCCCACCATGATCCCTTTCCGTAATTTAGGCCAGGTCTGTGGGTCTGTGTACTGCGATATGTCGGGACATGGAGGAAGACCGTCGTGGATTGGTCGCTGATCCCCCGCGACACTATGTACCACTGGCGTGTCGAAAGTTAAGTAAAGATAAGTGATAGGAGTATCCGCATCGGGTCGTGATATTTCACCGGCGCCATTCTCATGAGTAGCTCTCCCCAAAATTTCCATTTTTGCCATAGAATTTGGCGCCTGCACTCCTATTAATGTGCTAGATTGTGCCGCTCGATACTTCTCGAGTACCTCATCGCTGCCAAGAGATGGACGACCGTTCGGTCTATCGTCTATAGCACGCTCAATCCCATCCTCGTCGTTGATTGGTTCCATACCTTCGGTAGTATGAGTAAAGGGAATGGGTAGTATAAAAAGGCTTGGCTTAGGCGACTGCCGGCAAGCTATAAAGAAATAAATACCCAGGTATAGTTAAGAGTTCTACATGCAGCACCGTTGCTTCTACACCGTTTAAATGACATCGTAACGAAGCAATGGCCAAACGTAAATATGGTCCGCCGATATAGGGTTTATTAAAGGGAACCCGAGAAGCGACAATAGGTACCGACTCTCCCATCCGAAACTCGGGTGCTACTACATACCTAATAGCACCCTAGGTAGGCAATCCCAATCCATAGAACCAACTACCTAAGATACAGGATGTTAGCAGCGTATAGGCAGTTCCCCACCTATCAGACCGGCATAAGTTTGGTGAGGGACGCCTATTCCCGGTTCTATTCCCGCTAGTTGCCGGGTGAAATCAACGACTAGGGAGTTGAATGGGTAGTAATCGGGAGCGAGCAGTGATATCACACTTTAAGTTTAATCGGTGAACAAACATACATATGTATTATATAGTTAGTCAGTCATGAGGCTATACCTTATCCGCCTAGTACCTCCCCAAGTAAGTCATAGCAGGCACTAGATAGGCAGTGATCTCCGATGGTAGGAAAGAAATGCTAGGTAATCCCAACATCGAACTCTACCAGGTACGTGAACTTATACCAACCTGGTACCATCTAGCCGCATTCTCTGTGCAAAAAGCTAAATTTCCTGGGTTAGGTATGTGTCTTGATATCGATACCGATTCCTTTCAAACTACATGTAGGCATCACTGATATCTACTGCATACTTACTTTTGTCATACGGATCTTCAGTATGAAGACATTCTATGACGACTAGAAGTACCGAGAAAGTACGGTATTTACTCAGAGCCTGAATCCAGTATGGAATCAATCCCTGGAGCACAATCATTATTCGATACCTAATAGGCACCAAGCCACGCTGAAAGCAAATATGCCCAGTCTTCATGTAAGCTGTATATGATATGACAAAATGACCTCAAAAGGAATTACTCATGACTTGAAGCTTCCCCAGACTATGTAGGTAGGTAACTACGAAGGTTGTGGCCAAAAGTTTAGACCAAGATATACCTCCGCCCCACAGTGCGCCACTCTTTTTTGGGCCTCTACCAATAATAGGTATACATTTAACGTCAAATCCCCCACAACCCTTAAAAGTATAGCACCTTATAGCACACTTAAGCGCTATAATGTGCTATAAACTTAAAGCTTTCAGTCCTAAACAACCTTAGATTATTATACACATATTTACATTAATTTAATAAAGAAAAAAAATTACAGAAATTTCTATTATCAAATACACTAATTAAATAACGTAATAGCATATTTAATATTTATTAAATAAATTTATAAGGCTTTATAAGTAGGTAAGTATATTGGCGATGATATTTCTTACAGTGGTAGAAAAGTGGAGGAACTGTGGGGCTAAGGTATATCTTGGTCTAAACTTTTGGCCACAACCTTCGTATACATGTCTTTATATTTGAGCATTGTCGGAAGGCATCATCTGAAGATCTACTGAGCAGCCTAATCGTTTCAATGCGCCTTAGAACAACGTATTCTCAAAGGCGATGCTATTGCCTTCAACAGAACTGAGTAGTATGGCTAAGTACAGACAATAAAGATGTTTCGGCTGTGGTTCAAAAACCTAGTGAACAAATGTAGCCTAGCTGAATGCAGCTCTCCTATTTAAAGGGGGGGTGGGGCAACGCTGGGGCTCAGTGTGAATTTTATGCCGTGCATCTTCAAACTTTACGTCTTCCATACTTCTTCGTCATAGTCAGCAACATACACGTTCAAGTTTCATTGAAGGCGCCTCTCCCTTGCCTAGGTACACTTACCTAGCACTTAGTGTCTCGAGCTTACTTGTCCGATAACGATCAAGAGCCAAATAGCTTAACCAACTGAAATGAAATGGCGTCGGGTTCTGGTCAGCGCCCTATGGAGCGGGAGAAATACACGATACACGTAGGAAGTGGTTGGGGTTTTAACGATGGGACGTTCCTCCATAGGCCTTCAACCGCAAGAACCATGAAAGATGTTCCAGAACCTTACCTTCCTGCCTCGGCCCTTGCATCTGCAATCGGGCTGAACCATCTTCAGCTTGTCCATAATTCGCATATCAGACCTGTTCCCATTGATGTCTCGACCAAGCATCTCTGGATGTGTCAGCCTGAACACGTGAAGGATGTCACCATGGTTATCCCTCCCTGCGGCCCGTAGCTTTGGGGTTCTAACGAGGACTGGCGCAAGGAAATGTACACCAGGATGGAGGAAAAACGTTATTTGAATGCTGATGGAAAATTCAAAAGATACGATGAATTTAAGACCAAGCCGGTAGTGATCTGGCCACTGTGGGTTGAGGATGAGTGAGGTAAGGATTGGGTGTTGCTGGTATGGATTACTAGGGAGGACGCCAAGGGCAGCGGCGTGTTCGATATTGTAGAAATGTCCGGTATCTACGACCCGCGCCGTGACCCAGAGATTGGCGCGGATGGAAAACACCATCCCATATACGCGTGCACATCCAGGGTTGAGAGACATTTAGAAGAATTCCTCCGAAAGAGAAACTATATTATCGATGCAAGTTCAAGGAGACGCGTATTCTGCGCCCCCATGCCACTGGACGAAGTCTCGACGGGCGAGCGTTGCTTCTCCAACGTTAAACAATTCCTCAACTGCATAACCGAGTTCATGATCGCCAACGGCAGAGTGCCGACGAAAGAAACCATGGCAGAGCTGCCGAATCTCAGCAGATGGGCGAACCCGTATGCGGAGCGGATAGAGATGACGGGGATTCATGCTTGGTCACTCATGGCCGCATTCGGCTACAAGGCACGCATAGTCGTCGAGTCTCTGATTGACAATTATGGATGCGATGTCATGGCCGATGGTAAGAGGCCAAGGATGAGGCTGTGGGACCTTGTCGGTCCGGCGATACCAGGGAAAGTATGTGACGATCAATTTTTGCTTGAAGCAGAAGCAGAAAAGTAGTGTTAAATGTAGGTAGACTAAGGTGAATCAAGAATCAAGTAGTTAAATGGAGTTGAGAATAACTAGCCATGCGAGATATGACTAACCTAGCTTAGTCATCAATCGGATTTTCAATTTAAAAATGCGACGCGGACTTGACGCGGGCGCGGAGCCGGGTAGTGGGAGCTTGGGCCAAGTCGCGTTTTACCTTTAATTGAAATTGATAGATACCCAGATACCCAGATACACACCTACCTTTCTACCTACTCATAACTATGCCATATGTAGATTAAGACTTATTACAATTCCTCATCTTCATACATCTTATTTACTTTCAGTCTTTCCAGTCAGAAACTGCTCCCTAGATCTAGAAAACTGGTGGTGCTTATCTTGTTTCTCGTCCTGGCAAGTCATCTATTCAATCCCTACACAGACTAGTATACTCCATCCGTCGCATACTTTTTCTGTCTTCTTGCCCTGAGCCCTCTATCATCCCTTTTCTCGTCGTGTGAAGGGGTACGGAGGGAGAAGGTAATAGATAATAGGAAAAGGGAAGAAGAGGAAACCCTGAAAAATGGCGGGCACACAAACACCGGCCGGGAAGACGCCCTCCGGATCTAGAAAGGCCGGCTCAATATCGTCATCTGCTACCTCTGGAAGACAGCAGCAAAGCATCCTCGGGTTCTTTGCCAAAGCCTCGCCTGTTCCTACCTCTTCTCCCACGCCCTCGTGCCTTAAGGAAACTACCAAATCCAATAGAAAGCCATCAAACACTACCCCTGTCCCTAGCAGCGATGCCTTGGAACCTTCTAGTTCACAAGAAAACCACGGCTCTGCTGCCACCTTAAAGGTAACTGGTCACGGTTCCTCGCTTTTCAGTAGGGCTGCTGCTAAATCATTGACCGAACAGCTCAATTCCTTCGCCCATCCAGCCCCGAGCAGTAGTCCCACCCTCAAGGTAAAGCCACCCCATATTCAGCGCCCTTTACTCCTCACTCTTGCTAATTGACATTTGCTTCTTTTAGCCTAGGAAAACCGTGAGCTACGCTGAGTCTGACGAAGACGACAACGACGAGGAAGTTTTAGTTGTCAAGAAAACCTCCAGAACACGCCAACGTGGTCGCCAGCGCTCTAGGATCGTCGACGACGAAGACGACTACGATGAGAGTAAAGAGGCCGAAGATGAAGATGGTACGATCTGGCAATACACTTATCCAATTTGCCTACGCCAGATTTTGTAAATTAACAGTTTTTTCGCAGATGAGATGGCCGATTTTGTAGTTTCCGACGATTCGGACGGACCAACAAAAAAGCGGAAGCGTCCCTCAAAACCGCAACCTGCGCGCAAACGCTCTCAGGCCTTTTCCCCGAGTTCTAAAGGGGAAAACAATGACCAGATTGACAGTGACAACGATCATGACGAGACAATGGAAGAAATGCCCTCAACCTCGACTGCTCAACAGTGGCGATACGATCCAGATAATGTTGAGCCGGCAAAACCGAGACCAGCTGTTGAGCATACCGCCAAAGCCTCTGGGGCCAAACAAAAAGCGCACACGCGTGAACCCGAAGACCGCTATCCATGGCTCGCTAATATCAGCGACATCAATCGCAATCCCCCAGGCCACCCAGATTATGACCCTTCCACCGTCTACGTCCCCCCTGTGGCATGGGATAAGTTTTCGGCCTTTGAAAAGCAATACTGGGAGATCAAACAGAAACTCTGGGATACCGTTGTCTTTTTTAAGAAAGGCAAGTTCTATGAACTTTACGAGAACGACGCAACTATTGGCCATCAGCTCTTCGATCTAAAACTTACCGATCGCGTGAATATGCGCATGGTCGGCGTTCCTGAGAGCTCGCTGGACATGTGGGTAAACCAGTTCATTGCCAAAGGCTATAAAGTTGCCCGTGTCGATCAGATGGAGACGGCATTAGGCAAAGAAATGCGAGAGAGGGTCGATGTCAAAGCCAAGAAGCAGGACAAGATCATCCGTCGGGAGCTAGCCTGCATCCTCACTGGTGGCACGCTCGTTGACGGGAGCATGCTTCAAGACGACATGGCAACGTACTGCGTGGCCATCAAGGAATCCACCATTGATGACCACCCCGCATTCGGCATTGCTTTCGTCGACGCCGCCACGGGTCAATTCTTTCTCTCGGAATTTGAGGATGATGTTGATTTGACTAAATTTGAGACGTTTGTAGCCCAGACGAATCCCAAGGAGCTGCTTCTTGAAAAGTCTCGTATCTCCACCAAGGCCTTGCGTATTCTGAAAAACAACACCTCACCTACTACGATATGGAACTACTTTAAGTCTGGTAGTGAATTCTGGGAGGCCGACCTAACCCGGAGAGAACTCGGCTGCAACGGGTACTTTGGGGCTGACGAAGGAGCTGAGGAGCATTGGCCTGAGAGCCTGGCTAAAGTGAGTGAGAAGGACTTGTTGATGTCTGCTCTCGGTGCTCTTGTCCAGTACTTGCGAGTGCTCAAGATCGAACGAAACTTGCTCTCCCAAGGCAATTTTACTTGGTATAGCCCCATTCACAAGAATGGCACTTTGATTCTCGATGGCCAGACACTTATCAACCTGGAGATTTTCGCCAACTCGGTCAATGGGGGCTCGGGCGGGACTTTGTTTACCCTACTGAACAGATGTGTAACACCCTTTGGCAAGCGTCTCTTTCGTCAATGGGTATGCCACCCATTATGCAACATTGAAAAGATCAACGAACGCTTAGATGCCGTCGATGCACTAAATAATGATCCAACAACCAGGGAGAAATTATCCTCGCAGATGACGAGGATGCCAGATTTAGAACGTCTAATCTCTCGAATACATGCAGGTGCTTGCCGGGCTGATGACTTCGCAAAGGTCCTTGAAGGGTTTGAGCAGATCGAAATTACCATTGGCATGCTAGACTCTTTCAGCAATGGGGATGGCCTCCTCGGCCGTCTTGTTATTTCCTTACCAAACCTCAGTGAACCGCTTTCGTATTGGAAGAACGCCTTCAACCGCCAGAAGGCTAAGGAAGAGAAGATCCTGGTGCCTGAGCGCGGTATCGAGGAGGACTTTGATGCAAGCCATGATAAAATCACAGAAATCAAGGATGATCTACAGGCCTTACTCAACAAGCAAAAGACTGAGCTTAAGAACAAATCCCTCAAGTTCACCGATGTTGGAAAGGAGGTTTATCAGATTGAAGCTCCCAAATCTGTCAAGGTCCCTAAGAATTGGCAGCAGATGTCTGCTACTTCGAGTGTCAAGCGCTACTACTTTAAAGAACTAACGGACCTGGTACGGAAGCTACAAGAAGCCGAGGAGACTCACTCACAGCTTGTTCGAGACGTCACGCTGCGTCTCTTCCAGAGGTTTGATGTCGATTATACTACCTGGCTACAAGCCATTCGCGTCATGTCTCAACTGGATTGCCTTCTCAGTCTCGCCAAGGCATCTTCCTCCTTAGGCGAGCCAAGTTGCCGGCCCGTCTTCGTAGACGAAGAGCGCAGCGTAGTTGAATTCGAGGAGCTCAGGCACCCCTGCATGCTCAATACTGTTGATGATTTTATTCCCAATGGCATCGTCCTGGGTGGTGATTCCGCCAAAATCAATCTCCTAACAGGCGCGAACGCTGCCGGTAAATCTACAATATTAAGAATGGTGAGTCTACCGTTTCAACGTTTGATTATTGAACTTCCTGCTAACACACATGTACAGTCCTGTATCGCAGTCATCATGGCACAGATCGGTTGTTACGTGCCAGCCACCTCAGCCAAGTTGACACCTTGTGATCGTATTATGTCGCGACTTGGCGCCAATGACAACATCTTCGCGGCACAGTCGACGTTCTTCGTTGAGCTATCCGAGACCAAGAAGATTCTTTCCGAAGCGACCCCACGCTCCCTTGTTATCCTTGACGAGCTGGGACGCGGCACGTCCAGCTATGATGGCGTAGCTGTAGCTCAGGCTGTTCTACATCATGTAGCTACCCACATTGGATGTATCGGCTTCTTTGCAACTCACTATCATTCGCTCGCCACCGAGTTTGAAAACCATCCCGAAATCAGAGCAAAGCGAATGCAAATACACGTCGATGAAGAGCAGCGACGAGTCACATTCTTGTACAAGCTCGAAGATGGTGTGGCCGAGGGCAGCTTCGGTATGCACTGCGCAGCTATGTGCGGGATTGCTAATCGTGTCATTGAGAGGGCAGAGGTTGCTGCTAAAGAGTGGGAGCACACCAGCAGGCTCAAAGACAGCCTTGAGCGTGCGCGAGAGGGGTGCTATATTCCCTTGGGCATGTTGAGTGACGTTGCTGCTCTTCTTGATGACGAGAAATGCCAAGACGTTGGATTACCAAGCCTGGAGGTACTCACGCGCGCAATCGAGGCTTTGTGAGTGTGCGGCAGCAGATGCTATTATGGGTACATATCGTAGGAATGTCACGAGACGAGACGCTGTATGTATAGTGCTATAGCTGTGTATATCGGGTGGATCTCCTTTTCTTTCGGTATAAGGGACTTGCTACGTGTGCACGGAGTCATGGAGCCTATGTTATTAGTTACCTAGCCAGGTAATTCATTGCTATTCGACGTTGTCATAAGGCCAATTAAACAAATCATTATAATTTTATAGATTTCGGAGTACTTTTTACCCACGAACATGACCCCACGTAACAGTGATTGCATAGGTGCCTACTTGTGTTGCCATATAACCGGTAGTTACCTGGTGGAAAACTAGGTAGCCTCCCCTTTCTTTGAACCCACCAAAGCAAGTTTACATCTCCTAGTTATCTTCAGACTTTTCTTCTTTCTTCTCAAATACATCCGGAGCGCTACTAGTGTTACCACTGAGTCCCTGCAGCATGGCAGTCAGTCCGATCTCTTTGTTGATCTCGTCCATGCGCTCGAAGTCCGCTTGGGCAGTGCCTTCGGAGCCGAAGATTACGTCCTGAATTTAGGGGTTAGCTTTCGTTAGTTGTCCGGGGGGGGGGGGGGGGGGGGTTAGGTGTGAGTTTACGAACCATTTCCTCTAGCGTGAGCCGCTTGGTCTCGGGGACGAACCACCAGACGAACCCGGCGCCCATGAAAGTCAGCAGCCCGAATAAGATGTAGGTGCCGTAGCCGATCTTGTTGAGCATCGTGGGCGTGACTTGGCCGACGACTAAGAAGGAGAAGAAGGTTAGTGAGTTAGTTAGTTTGTGCGATGTAGCGGTGGATTGCAGGTGTAAAGGGGGTGGAAGATATGAGACGTACTGAAGTTGTTCATCCAGTTGCTCGAAGCACCGAGAGAAGTCCCGTAGGGTCGAGTGCTCAGGGGCCAAATCTCGGCGACGATGATCCACGCGCAGGGGCCCCAGGAGTAGCCGAAGTGGATGACGAAGAGCCAAACCATGGCGACGGCGGCCCAGCCGGCAGCCTGCTGCGTGGCCCACTGGCTGGCGTTCTTGGCGACGATGACGGCGATGATGATGTGGCAGGTGGCCATCCCGAGGGCGCCGATGATCAAGATGGGCTTTCGGCCCACGCGGTCGATGTACAGGACGGCGGGGATGGTGGCGAGGAACATGACGATCCCCACGACGCCGGTGGCGAGCAGGCTGGTGACGTTGTCGTCCATGCCGAGCTGCTTGAAGATGGTCGGGCTGTAGTACAGGATCGCGTTGATGCCCGTCCACTGGTCGAAGAACATGGTCACCGTCGCCACGATCACGCGCTTGAACATGGCCTTGGTCTGGAACAGCGACTTGATCGCCACGAACTGCAGCTTGAACGTGTTCCACGCCGTCTGCTCGGACAGGTTGGGGAAGAGCTCGGCGACAGTCCGCTTCTCGAACCGCGACTGCGCTTTTATCTCGAGGAACTCGAGCTCGACCAGCTCGTGGTCGGGCGAGAGCCCGCGCAGGCTCGCGAGGATCTTGCGCGCCTCGTCCTCGCGGTCGTGGTGCACCAGCCACCGCGGGGAGAAGGGCATGAAGATCATGCCGACGAAGAGGACGGCGGCGGGGAAGAGCTGCAGGCACGTGGGCACGAGCCACGCGGCGTCGGTCTGGGTCCCGAGCGTCACGCCGCCGATGTAGTTGGTGCCGTAGTCGATCCAGAAGCTGACCATGATGCCAAACGTGATGGCGAGCTGCTGCAGCGCGACGAGCGCGCCGCGGATCTCCGGGGGCGCCACCTCGGAGTTGTAGATCGGCACGATGGTGGCGAGGGCACCGACGCCCATACCGGTTACGAAGCGCCCGCCGAGGATCACGTCGTGCCCGCCGGTCTGGGCGGTCGCTTGGATCACTACGCCGATGATGAAGACGGTCACGGATACTAGCACGGCGTATTTACGGGAAATGGCCTCGGCTATGAAACCGGAGAGCAGCGTGCCGACCCAGGCGCCGAGCTCGAGGATGGCGGTCAGCCAGCCCTTCTTCGTCTGGTCAGCTGCGTCGTCGAAGGGGTCGTACTCGCCCATGTCTGTGCCATTTTGTTTTTTGTGGTTAGCGGGAGTCATCAAGTCGGGGTCGAAAAAGGAGATCTGTATATATTGCAAAAAAAAAAAAAAAGAAAAAAAAAAAAACTTACGGGCCTTGAAGGCGGGCATCGCCAGCACGCCCGAGAACATTCCCTGATTATAACCGTAGAGAATGCCACCGATACAGGCGAACAGCGCGATCCTGAACACCTTGAAGTTCTTGACCAGAGCCATAGGGCCCGACGCTCCCATCATGTTCTGGCGCCGCTTGAGGGCCACATCGTACACGGCGGCGCCGGCATCGCCTCCCGCAACCATGATGATGTGTTAGATCTCAAAGTCCTTGTCTGTGCAAAACTGCTAAAATAGTTGTCGGGTAGGTATGATTTCTAGCACCGGCGTACAATATTAAATATCGACTTTAGAGAGGTGTATATCAGGCCACACAAAACCCTCGAGGCAACAGCAGCAGCATAGCACACGGTGATAACATTGTATCAGCAATCCTTTTGGGCTGGGGGGTACACTGCAGTATATAAATATTGCATTCAAAATCCTACATGGTACGGTGTATGCTGCTAGACTTCTTCTACGTCCAATACCACCACGCCATGATACATCCATACCTACACAATACCAGGTAGGTAACAGGTAATCTGGTAGGTTAGGTGTCCTGCACAAATCAACATCAACATCCGGCCGGGGTTCGCACGCGTGGATATTGGGGAACTCGACTCCATCACATACTGATGGATGCTATTTACCAGGATGCGGGATAAAATACACATCTCGGGGCGCCGAAACAGAACCGAGAATGCCGGCTGATTGGCGGGTTTCCCCCCTTTCCCGGGGTGATTACTGTTTGTATATGCCTACCTGTACAGCACCCATGGGGTTTGCCACCAGTGGTGGTAGAACACTGCTATGTATGTATGTATGTAAGATCGTGTGAAATATTGGGGATAAACAATAAGCATGCAACTCCCCCCGTGTGGGGTATCGGGGTAATACCCAGTCGAAGTCTCCATCTCTCGAGTCTCAGTATGGAATAGCTCAACTGGGGTAAACGCATTCAGCCTAAATTGCCCCTTCCCCCAGTTCGAAAGGATCTGGTGTTCGGTTGGCTGGACACTGTCTTATGCATACTAGGTTAGGTATATATGTATGTTGAGGGGTTCGTTGGTGCTGCCATCGCATGGCTGCTTGACGTAGGTACGTGTTTACCTACCGAGTGGACTTGGTAACGTGCACATCTAGACTCCAACCTAAGTATCATGGGATTTTGATCATGGCCCGAGTTGGGTTCCAAGCCGAGGGAGAAATTTATAGTTAGTTTTGTTGCCTTACACTATTCACCCCCTCCATGATACCCATCGAGGCAATACCTATTAGCGGTTGATATCTACAAGGCATGAACGGTAGAAACCACCATACCTAGGTAATAGGCCCAGGCGCATCGATTGGGAGAGTCAATTGGATACAATGTATAAGCTTGGTATTTGGAGCGTGGGACTAGGACATAAAATTGAAGCTTCCGACAAGTGAATAACTACTAGGTATTCTCTTAAATAATAGAAGAACTATTATCTAGCCTGGGTATCTAGTAGATATGCAGATTGAGGCGTTTGTTAAGCGGCTCTCCCCGGAAGGATGCGCCGCTGTCTCAGTAACGGAGCTCAGATATCCAATGATTTTTAAAGCTTGGGCCTCATGTGTAGATTTTCAATGGGAGGGCCATCGTTGATCATCGTGGTTAATTAACGGGCCTCTGCTACTGCAGCAGTGCATGCCCCTTTCTGTGCATATATTTAGGTACGTACATCCATGTGTCCAGCTCGGCTAACTAATAGCTGGCGAGTAGAGCTGAGATGTCATCCGTTTCGAAACATGCGACAATGCTGCTGAGAGGATTCCAAGGTCTGGGAGATGCAGCAGATACTACCATACCTACCTACCTATGTACGTGTAGGTAGGTATGCAACTACAACTGCCGACCCGCCCCCAAAGGATCTGCTTAGGTAAAGGACCGATAAGATGAATATTTACCAGATCGCTGTAGTTATCTACATAGGTAATCTGTCATACAAACGACGGTCCTGCATACACGGCCAAGTATGTACGGCTCTACCCGTGGCCCCCAACTACATGTATGTATACTATACTACTATGTAGTTTGTAGCTGCAGATCAACACGACTAAGAAGACGTTAGCTACTGTGAAGAATGTCTGTGTCTGCGCGAACCACCTTAACTGCCAACCATAGAAAATGAGAATTCTATTTTAAAAGATCTACTTTGCAGCGTTGATGAAGATGGCATCCATACTTAGACAGCCAAGAAGATACACGTGATAGCTGGATCGCTGCACTGGTACAGTAGCACCGATACAACGAAAGAAAGAGTTGCATGGATATGAATATGGATATGAAAATGGATCATGTTCATTAACCATCAGGTCTGGAGAACAGACTAGGCTTGATCGGGTAGAATATCCATTAAAATCGTGTGTTGAACTATTAGACGCGCGCCTCTTTTCTCTTGCTTTATTCACATCTTTCTTTATTTTTCTCGTTGAACTTCACCTGATCTTGTCTCTGTGTTTCTCATCCAATACAATATCTCCATTTTGTCGAAACAAACTGCATTTGGACATCCCACGTTTACTAGAGACTAGGGAGGTAGGATATTCAACTTGTTTCAAAACGCGCCCCCCTTTCTAACATACTTGAAGTAGATAACTACTGTTACCACGTTCCAACACGTGAAGCTACTTAACCTAGGTTGCCATTAACTATACTGTAGGCTCTTCAAATGCTTGACCAGCTGAGTTGGAACATCAGTCCAAGTCCAAGCCACATTAGGTTGTACGACTGCTGTACTTCTCTACAGATTTACAGATTTACATACTACTAGGTAAAGCAATGTACATGATGACTGACTGAGACTTAATTAAAATAAAACTCTTAAAAATCTCAGATCGACAATCTAGCCAAGGAAAACAAACAACTGATAAAGACGATTTTTGCTAATGTGATTATGGCTAATATGATATAATATGATATTATCTTTGTTTGTCGCGCACTCGAGTCGTAGTCGCGCGGGCGCGCGCGTATATATCCCGAGTATATGTACCTGATATGGATATGTAATATGTATGTACTGTAGATCTACTACTCAAGTTATCCTTATAAGGCTGGCGCTTGATGATACCGTCCGCTCCCTTGCTATTTTTGACCATGATTGCTAGCTCGTTTCTGTCTTAGTACATTTGTATGCCCCCAAATTCGGCAACATTGGAATGTAATCATGTACAATGCCAACGTACCCAACTTGGATATTCCCCATTAGCCGCCCTCCACACCATAGTCACTTTTCCCTAGCCGCCCAACTCCATACAAACGCCATCCCGAACCTCGCCAGCCAATATCAACTGCCCTCAAAGAGTCCATCCACTCTTTCAGATACACAACCCGGGTTTCATGACTACAGCTTGCATGTTCGCCCCCCATAGCTGACCATCGCTTTAGATCTTGTTCTACTACCATAGCAGCTATGTTTCAGATCCGATGTCCTGGGTCCTCGCTACAATGACGGGCCAACATGGCTTTTTTTTCATCTGTATCTTTTTTGGTTAACTCATCTATCTAGACCCAGAGTCTTACAGCATCCAGTACTTTTATAAGTAGCCGCGCCCGTTTCGTGGCCTGGCCTGGTTTATTACTTTCCCCTCCCGGACCCTTTCGCTACATCATCAAACGGCCAATTTCTTTCCCGTCTTTTTTCTTTTACCTTATCTACAATACCGTTGTATTGTTGTTTCTTGTTTTTTGTTTTCATTTCTCCTGGGAAGCCTCGTTCGTTTCATTACATCCTTCGTTTGATACGAGTTAGCAACATTTTACAAGTTGCCATTAAAGCACACACTTGACTACCTACCTACTCAGAACCTTTCCCAGGTAACCTCCACCTCCAGGCGAGGCTGAACGAAGGAAGAAAAATAAACACGGAAGAAGAAGAAAACCGAGAGAGAGAGAAAAGCTTACCAACAACGTATGCACTTTTTTAAAAAACCAAGACGGAAGTAGAGAGGCAACACATATATCGCTAATCCTAATCATCGGCTGGAAACTTCCGATAATTCTACCTACTACAATTTCTTTCGTTTTTTTTTATTATATGTCCCCTTTCCGCCCTACCCACCACCAATGAATATGCCGAAGCACACTCGCTCGTCGAGCTCGAGTCACAACAACAATCGTTACTCGAGCCAACAAAACACCATGCCGGTATCCCTTGCGCCCTCCGCTCCCCTCCCCATCTACACCACCCGGGGCCCCTCTCTCCCGCTGAACACCGGAGGCTACTACCCCACCGTCGCCACGACATCCGCGCAGCAGGCGTCCATGCAAGCGCAGGCCTACGACGCTTACACGGCGGAGGTCGTGTCACAGCAACAGCAGCAGCAGCAGCAGCAGCAGCAGCAAGTGCCGCCGCTCCCCAACCGGCCGTCGTCGGGCGCGTGGACGGTGCAGGACGACCAGAACCTGCTGGCGGCGCGGCAGCAGGGGCTCAACTGGGCGCAGATCCAGAGCAACTACTTCCCGAACAAGTCGCCGAACGCGTGTCGGAAGCGCCACGAGCGCCTGATGGAGCGCAAGGGCGCCGACGACTGGGACAACCGGAAGCTGGAGCGCCTCGCCAAGGAGTACATGAGCATGCGCAAGGAGATATGGCAGCCACTCGCGGCGCGCACGGGAGAGAAGTGGATTGTTGTCGAAGCTAAGGTTTGTCTTTCTCCTCCTTCCCCTTCCCCCTTTTCCATCTTTTCGCCATTCCCCTCCCCCCCTTATCATCAAACATTTCCACAACCTCCCCCCACCAAAAGAACAAAGGAAAAAAAGGAAAAAACAGCAACAACTAACCACTCGGGCCCCCGTGCCCTTCAACCACCAACAGTGCATGAACAACGGCCTCAAAAACCTCCAATCCGCCGCGCGCTCCGCCGCGCGGCGCGAGCGCCTAGAGTCTGGCTCCGGCCACCACCAGCATATGCAGCAGCAGCAGCAGCAGCACGCAGGGTATGACGACGACAGCGGTATTTCCGGGATTGGTCTGACACCCGTAGATGACCTGGACGCGTCGTACAGCAGCCCCGAGACCTCGGTGTCCAGCTGCTCGCACCACTCCGGCGGAAGCCACCACGGCGGCTACGGTCACCCGATGGCGCTCGCGGGCGGCCACCACCACCACCACCACCCTTACGGCGGTAACTACGGCACCGGAGGCGGGGCGGGGGGCGGTGGCGGTGGCGGTGGCGGTGGTGGCGGGCTGTCCTCGAGCTACGGGTCCTCGGTCTCCTCGTCCGCGCACTACGGCGCCCCGATGCACCACGCCGCGCACCAGCACGCCGACTCCTCCCCCTACGCGCTGGCCGACGGCCAGAGGCTGCCGAGCGTCGATATGGGGATCGATGCGATCATCAACAGGCCGGGACATGCTCCGCATGGCATGTGAAAAAGGGGGGGTAGGGGGGGGGGGTGGTTTAATTTAATGTTGGTGGTAGAATCGAACCCTCTCTCACTCACTCACTCACTCACTTTAATCAGCCGTTTAGTTTTATACTGTCTAATCCTCCTCACCACACCCCCTCCCCCCCAAAAGCTCTAGTAAAAATTTCTTGTTTCTTATTTATTACCTACAGCTACCCTACCTACCTACCTATATTTTCTTATTCACATTGGATAGATATTTATTCAATCTTTTTTTTCTTTTTCTTTTTCTCTCTCTCTCTCTCTTCAAAAATCTCTCACTTCTCTGGGGCGTTGAAGGCGTCAAGCATAGCATGGCGAATATGGGCAAAATTAAAACAAAGGGGGAAATGGGGAGCGGGGGGCCAAATGTAATGCAACGCAATTGCAACGCGAAAGCGAAAGCGGAAAAAACAAAAACAAACCAAACCAAAAAAAAAAACCACCTAGTGGCATGGGATTTGATGGCAGGATATTTCTGAGAAGATTGCATAGGAGGAGACAGGTCGACGACATGACTTTCATTCATCTACAAGAAATTGAATTTGGGCATATGGCAAATATCTGGCTTTTCTGGCGGGGGGGTTTCAATGCTATTTTTCTTTTTTTTTTCTTTTTCCACGGGTCTCCTCTTTGTTTGGTACCCCCCTTAATCCTCCCCCCCCTCCCCCAAGTTTACAAACAAATACCCCAAAATCAGGGGGGGGGAAAGGGGTGGCACGCATGGTTGGGTTGGATTGGGACATTTACGTTGGATTCAGCCCCTTGGAAGCTCATGCTCCCTTACTCACCAGCCTAATGATTGTCAACGAACGCATATTGTATACTAGAATACCTTACCTTACCTATTCATCATATAGATACCACAGGGCTACGGGCATTGATTTAATAATTAAAGTTTACCTATCCATATGGAATTGATTGATTGATTGATTCCAAGCCATGCTGTGTTGTGTTATGCTATGTCATAATATGTGCCTTCTACATAGTCCAAGTTTAAGTAGTGATTTTTTACTCGTTAGATCTTACATATACCACATGGATTGATGGATCCTACCTAGGTACAGGTTGGCTGTTTCTCCGGCCGCGACCAGACCAGACCAGTCCACAACCTGCAGGATTTCCAACCCCAATGTGTGAGCTCACTCCCTCACCTACCAATGGCGGGTGCAGCAGCAGCAGTCTGGGCCTGACCAACGGCGGCCTTCGCTTCCTCCCCAACCTCATCAGCAATCCAGTCGCCATCATCCTCGTCCTCCTCGTCCTCGAGATCTGGCTCCCCTACGATGCTGCTCCAAACCCGCCCCCACATGCCCTTCTTCTGCACCAGAGCCAACACCATAATAACCGGCAAATGCCAAACGCTAGCCCAAAATAGCCCCCGTGCGCTCCCCTTGAATCCTTGGTACTTCCAAAACTTCACGGCTTCGCGCGCGAGCCAGAAATTTACAGGTATGCTCGTCACTGCAAAACTCCACTCCGTCACGCCTATGGTGCAGAGCGCAATGGACAGCGGGGCAAACAGCATGCTATACCTCAGCGCGACTCGTGCGTTGCGGGCAGGGTTGACCCAGCACAGCATCTTGTGGCCGGCCGCCTTGTACTCTTCCCTAATGGGCCAAGATAGAGCCATAAAGTGAGGGAATTGCCAAGCGAATAAAAGGGTGGCGAACAGCCAACCGCCAATCGCGTCCGAAGTAAGGAGTAGTTCGCGGAACGATCCATCTCCTGTTGCAGACTCGCCGGCCGCTGCGGCCCAGCCCATGAGAGGCGGTATGCCCCCAACAATGGCCCCGACCCAGGTGTTGAGGCATGAGATGCGCTTCATGGGCGTGTAAATCCCAGCGTAGAGCACGATATTGGCGGTACCTAAGAATGCGACGGTGGGATTGACGCCAAAGTACAGGCTACCAATCCCAAAGAAAGCTGCGAGAGTGGCGAATAAGAGAGCCCTGCGTTCCGACAGCAGCCCGCGCACCAGCGGTCGGTTCCGCGTCCGGGTCATTTGAGCGTCCCATTTTGGTTCGTAAAGCATGTTGAGTGCGTTGGCGCTGGCCGAGCAGAGGGCCGTGCCAGTCGTAAGAAACGTGAGGGTCAAGGGCGATAAAGAGGGTGTATCCAAACCTATAGATGGGGAAAGAAATGCAGGAACGGGATAGAGCGCATAAGGCGCCATCGCAGTAAGAACTACAAGGACGGTAAGACGAGGTTTGGAGAGGGATAGGAGCAGTGAAAGCTGTCGGCGGAGAGAGTTGACGGGATGTTTTGTGGAAGCCGTCGTGAGGGTAGATGATGCATCTGGTGGGAGCGTATTTGGGGAATTGTCGATACTCTCAGTAGTAGCCGTGGCTGTCGTCGTAGTACCCAAATCGCTAGCTATAGCGGCGTTCCCTGCGATTACCTTGCGCCGCGCAGCTTGCCGGCGGCGGTGGGGTAGGTCTGGACTACCCAGGCTGCTCGCTGTTTGTGCGCTGGCATTGTTATCCGTAGGGTTTGCAGTGCTCGTAGGGTTCGTAGTTGTTTCACTGGACGCGGTCGAGGCCGCAAAGTACTTGGAAGCTACAGCATCTTGGGCTTGAAGCAGAAGTCTATTGGACAAGAAATAACCCTTCTTTAAATGCGACTTCGGCTTTGGCGCTACTGTAGCGAACGACTGAACGAAGGCCCGTCTAGTCGAGTTTTTGTTGTAGTTCAAACGCAAGTTCGAGTTTAACTGTAGACTGCACCTCCAGCAGACATTATCGAGAGCATAGGGACGAAGCAGACTTCCGGCAGGCCGTAGGCGCATACTGACTGCGGCTCATATCGCCAATTGAGTCGCTCGGAGGGCTGTAATACGGGACTTAGCGACTAAACAAGCATCGCGATGACGATGGGTATCTGTATTTACTGAGGGTAGGTATTAAGTTTTATTATTTTCGAATAGTAGCAGTAGCAGCTGTTGTAGTTGTAGCAGCAATTGCTGTGATGTCACTCTCCAAAGAAAATGAAGTTTTTCGGCCCATCCATTTCCCGGTATAGCCGTTTGATGGTTATAAGGATATAGGTTCGATAAATGAGTATAAGTATCTACTACTAGTAGCATATACAGACTAGTTGCATGTAACTACTTTGTATCCAATTTATCCAATTTGATCTTTCGTCAAGGGGTTCAAGAGCCTCTCCTCTCACAGCATCAATTCATCACATGTAATTTTTAATTCTCAAGGACACTACATAGTTACAACTATATGCATATTAAATTTACCACATCTCGTACATAATATATATACCACTTTCCAATATGTAATTCCTAGGTACCCCTAAACGGCACCTAGCCTATACCTGCTTCTCATGACTACCCACAATCCGACTACTATCAGAACCATGTATATCACCACCTATCGTGTCCTTAATTACCACCGGCTCATTAGCAGCTACCAGTTTCTCATCTGTCTCCTCGAGTTCTTCATCGAGCGTGAGATTGAGGATCATGCAGACGAACGCCGTGACACAAAAGCCCGTCTCCATAATCAACACAATAGCATCCAGGAACCCCTGGAGGCCCCTGTTGTTGCCACTATAGCTAAATACGTTGTCGAAGTAGGTCGGCACCATGGTTGCTGTATCACGTGTAAGCTAGATATCCTCACAAGTGCCCAGGTATACACGAGACTCTGGTAGATAGATTAAAGAACAAAGGAGGGGGGAGGTAACTAAAAGGAACACAAAACATACCTCCATATCCAATAGACAGCCCAGCCGTTAGAATAAACCTATTCCGTCGATTGAACGGAACTCCTCGTGTAATGATAGCGATGCCCGACACCGCCACAGCGCAGAACAAAAAGGTCGTCATCCCGCCGAGAACAGGGGAGGGAATGGCAACGAGGGCCGCGGCGAATTTCGCAAAGATGCCCATGATCAGCAGGAAGAGACTTTGCAGCAGTCCACGTGTTAGCTTTTGAGCGCTCAAGAGACTTCTGGAAACCAACGGTTTGACTTACCAACAGCAGTATCCAGCAGTACGGTTTGCGCAACGTGTAAGAGCGATGACTCCGTTATTCTGCGCGAAGGTCGACATGGGCGTGATAGTCATGAGGGCCGCCAGAATGCCGTTTATTCCGTCCGCTAGCACGCCGCCCTGGATGCGGGACTCGTACGTCCTGCCCTCCACCTCAAGGCGGGAAACGTCGCAGGTGGCGGTGATGTCACCGATAGCCTCGCACGCGCAGATGATGAAGACCGCCAAGATCGGGAGGACCAGCGGTCCGTAGACCGTCAGCTTGAACGTGTGCACCCAGATGAACGAGGCGACCGGCGCGGCGTCGATTCCCGAACGGTCGAAGTACCCGGTAGCGGCGGCAATGATGCAGCCTACCAGGAGCCCGATAATCACAGCGGTGGACTTCATGATCGGGGCCCCGAAGCGCTCGCATAGGATGATGGTCAAAAACACAGAGAAGCCGAGACCTAAAAGGTAGGTATTAGCATCAAGGGATTAATACCCATCCCTAGCCACGGTGAAAACTGACCGAGATACTCCGGAGAGCCCCATGGCAGGGCGTGGGGGGCGCCGACATTGGGACAGACGTCGAAGAAGGCCGTATGCGTGGCATCCGAGCAAGAGCCGCTGCCACCAGCCCAATTCTTAAAACCCGACTCGATGAGGCTGATTCCGATCAACTTTGCATACCTAGTTAGCAACAAAACAGCTTTCCCCCGGAACGATGAGCAATGCTTACCATAACGGTCGGGCCAGTCACGATGGGGGGAAATATCTTCAGCATGATCTTCGGCGGTATGAACGCGATGAGAACCTCGATGAGGGCGCAGACGGCCGCCGTCCCGAGAAGCGCGCCGTAGGCGTCCGGGCAGGGCAGCTTGTTGCCGTCGGCGTCGGTGGGGCAGAAGCCGTTGGCGTACATCTGCGCAAAGGCGCCGAGGGCAACGGGGATGATGGAAAATGAGATGCCCACCACGGAAATTAGTCCCGTTCCAAGATAATATCTAATTTCGAACCCCGTTAGCAAAAGCCTCTCGTCATTGTCACCGGCATTTGCCGTGAACAACTAAGCGTAGCGATGTGGAGCACTCACGGTGTCTTGTATATGTGAAACCTGGTGATCTGGATCGTAGACAAGATACCCGAGACAATCAGCGCAGTCGAGACCAGATACTGCTGCATCTCCGGCGGCAGGTTGACTCCCGCCGCGCCCGCCATGAGAATCGGCGGGGTGATAATCCCAGCCAGCATGGCCAACGCATGCTGCAGGCCGAGGAGCAGCGCCAGGACCACCGGCATCTTGTCGTTGAGGCCGAAGAAGGGCGACGCCTGCCGGGACTTCTTCATGAACGGCAGGTTTGGCCGCAGGAGAAAGCCATAGTCGTAGTCGCCTAGTATGCCCTGTCGTGTGAGAAATGTCTTCTTGAGGCGCTGGAGTTGGCTGCTTGCGGTTTTCCTCGGCCCGTGTTGCTGCGGCGCGATTTGCGACGGGCCCTGGTCCTCGTCCATGCTCGCCGGATGAGAGGCCGGTAGGCAGACAAAAGCAGTACGTTTTGCTTTGCTTTTCTGATTATAAAACCGAGTTCCTGGGTATATACAATATTTATAACTTGTATACCTGGTTCATATGCGATTAGGTAAATAATTCTAGTCGTACAATAGCCGGGTGGTTTAATTCCTCTCAAAAGGGTTTGCCTTCGTCGAAGAAGAGGCTATATCGACCAATGACAAGAGACCTACCTATTTACTTATGTATGATGTAAAAGAAATTTAAGTAGGTAAGTTATAGATTCTTACCAGCCTTCCTATATGTAAATCTTTATCGAGGAGGATTATAAAAGCTCATCCATTAATAACCATATTTAGCAAAAATCAGCAAGGGTTAGTTACCTAATTTTTATTTATCTATTATCTCCCCTACCCCCCAGTACATATCTTGTTTACGCCGCCGCACAAGTTTTGGTGCAGACACTTAACTGCTAGATGCAGGTACTAGCTACCTAGCAGCTGAACCTCGATCTGCTATAAATAGCATGTACCTGCTACATAATGCCATATGTAAGTCTCGCCAGGTCCCTATCGCGTACTAAAGGAAAATAACATGTCAGTGGCTTGTTTCCGGTGCAGATAGCCTCAGTCCAGAACCAGATGGCTGGGATCCTTCCGCATGGGGTACATTGATGTATGTATCGGTCAGCAGAATCGTCTGTCCGGATCTTCATATGCATGTACTTACCAAATAACTACATATGTATGTAGCTTATGTACATGTATGTATTATTACATGTGTGCTTCTTATACAGAGTAGCATTCAATAGCAATGAGTATACATACAAATCTGCACCTGTAAGTACGTGTTTAATACATAGGCAGACACGTTCCCAAAATTAAGGAATCCAGATGTCATTACTTGCAGAATATCTACAATGTACTGTAATCACAATATCGCCCCTGAAGATAAGTAATAAAGAACCTCCAAGAGGCCGAGAAAATCATGACAGCTGACTGGCTGTAGATAAGCGGGAGCTAAAGCTCGGCCCCTAGCTGCGCTAGTCAGCTTCCATTAATTATCACTCTTCACCATAATAGTCGATGCCTCGGGCTACCTACCCTGGTATGAGATTCATACCTCCGGATAACGTTATGCTTCAATGTCCATGTTTCCATCCTAACGGCGCCGGCCGCCCGCTGCGTGCCGTCCGCCGCCTTGCATGTAGGTGCGATGTAAAATTGGATATTTAACTTGAGATTATCAAACCTCGTCCATTACCCCGTAACCACATGGCAGATCTCATGTAAATTGGTATGTAGGTTTGTCACATATGATAACCCGCTTAGTTATCTGTCCAATCTTACACAATAACTACTGTAACCAAAGGACTTGACCGTGTCTCACCGATTATCTGGGAACGGCTTTCGCTCTCATTATGTAGGTAGAAGAGGTAGTAGAATTGTCTGGGGCTGCATATTAAGGAGCAGTAATATCACATACATGTATTATACGTACACTATGTGTAACGCAGGGGCGGCCCCCCCCCCCCCCCCCCCAACAGCGTCATAGGTATTATGTATCATCAAGCGATCAGTAGTTAAAAACAGACATCCCGATGGCTCATCTTTTGCCCTGTGGGTTCCAGCTGCAATCTTGCGATCGTCTTACATATGTAGGTACTAGCTGGCTTAGGGAGACTTCAACACTACCTACCTAGGCTAGCAACTAATATTCAGCTTGATCCAATACATATCTAGGTATTCACAATATGATCTTCCTACGCCATCAACAAGCCGTGCCCTACGTACCCTCCCTAGACTAGAGTCGAGCTGCCCTGCAAGCTAACAATACCGTCCGCGTCTCTCGGACCAGGTTCTGCGGGCCATTCTCTCGCGCACGGCGAAGATATAGCGGGCCATTTTTCAGGGGGTCCGGGCTTGTACAATACCTGGGACGAGTAGAGCTCTTGAGCCGGCGCATGGTCCGCGGATACGGATACGAATAAGACAGCGCCTTGAGAATTAGCAAGCCAAGGCGCCGCCGTTTGGTCGAAAGTTCAAATATCGAAAAAAAAAAATGAAGCTTGAGAGGTGGATGATAGCTACCTACATATCCAGGCCTAAGATGGAGGGGATGGGGAATTATAGGGGGGCCTTCAGGTAGTATAGAGTACCCCGCACTACCCGGAGCTACCCCGCGTATAGCCCTTCTATTCTTCGAGGGGACTATAGTTAGGTATTACCCCAATTCCATTATCCTCCCAAGAGAAGAGCGGCATCGAAATAATTCTCGTCCATAATTTCAGTTGTATTTGCGTATCCTCGAAAGGGGAATATATTAATCCCAACGAAAAGCCATGGACACACGTATCTAAGCACAGGATAGGATAGGATATGATACGTAAAGACCTACCTACCTACAACACAGCTGACCCCGGGTATTATCACATTAACTAATCAATCCAGGCCATTGAATCGCAAGACCCCATGAGCTCCATGCGGTCCAAGGTCCACCGGCGCCTTGCCTTTTCTTCTTTTCTTCTTCCGTTTCGACCCTTCCTCATCGCTATCTGAATCATTATCCGAGTTTCTGCTTGTCTGACGCTTCGTCCCGTTCTTTCGCGCCACCTTGTCATCGTCGTCGTCATCATCATCCGAATCATCCGCCTCGCTATCCGAATCAGATTCACTGTCATCTTGTGCCAGCGAAGGCGCCTGCTCCCATATCTTGATGGTCTGGCCGCCGCCACTTATCATGCGACCTTGGCAGTCGAACCCGATACCCACTACTGCCTCGATGTCGTCGTGTCGTAGGGTACCCTCGACCTCCCTCTTCACCAGGTCGACAATGCGTAAGCTGCCGTCGCCCATGCCGATGGCAACCTTCTTGCCCCTCGCTATATCCTCGGGGACTTGAACAATGCAGTCGAGGCTTTCGCCGCCTCCTTTTACAGGGTCCACGACGACGCGGTCTTGCTGATCATCCCAGGCGCCCTTGTCCCACAAGGTGAGTATACCGGTGCCTGTCCCTACCGCCACGATTCCACTACCTCGGCTCTTCTTGGGCCCCATTCCGGGAATGAAAGCGGCGCAAAGGAGCTCATCTTCCTGGTCATCGCTGCGCACCAGCACGCCTCTTCGTAGGTCTGTAACGGCCAGCGTGGTACCGCCCGTCGATATCCATTGTTTGCTGTAGCCGCTCGTGCTCTCCGCAGACGGGGGCAGGGGAGTGATGCTCGACACGAAGTCGTCGTGAGGGAAATGCGTTTGCTGGGGCTTCGATTTGGCAAGCGCACCATCTCGTAGATCAAGAAGGTGCAGGGCGCCCGAGTCGCAGGCAAGCAGCAAGGTCTGGGGCGATAGGACATGAAGTAGAGACGGCGAATCAGGGATGGATCTGGTCGAGGGGATGGCGATTTTGGAGGCAACTTGGCCGGTGACTGGAGAGAAATGCTTTAGGAGGTAGTCGGTACCAGCCGAGTAGAGGGCTATTCCAATTAGGCAAGATGCGCGTTAGCTTCACGTCATAATGCAATATCTCAAAGTGTTCCATGGGTATTATTGACTAACCAGAGCCATCGTTAGAGAATGCCAAGGTGCGACAACTGCCCTTGTGCCTCCTGGTCCTCCATACGGTGTCGATGGTTCCCTTGCCGTCCGACAAAACATCGGCGTTGGAATCGTCGTCGTCGTCTGATGATCGATCGGCGGCAGGTAGACGGAAGCATTGAACATGACCTGACGAGAGGCCAACTCCTAGGAGGGGTTCGGTGGGATGGAGGACCTGGGTGAAGAGCTCTGCGCTCAGGGGGAGCGTGCAGAGATTTTCAAACATGATGGAAGAAAATAATGCCAATAACCCCAAGATTGGGTAGAAGTAGGTGAGGAGATTATTCAATTCAGGTTCAGGCTCATGATTTGCATCTTATATCCATTCAATTCCCTTCCTCGGGCATGTATCGCAAGATATCGTATGGAATGGTATGTCGTTTTATACACTGAATAAATAGTATGTAGGGTAAACAGACAAGGATATAATGAAAGTTCCTATGTAGGTTCAAATTATTTTGGTATAGATATGTAACAAACGAGGAATTGAAAAGGCATCTCGATTGTTACATTTCCTTGATTAAAGAATGGGGGGTAGTTAAATACTTTAGAGTAGTATAACCTCTATTAATACATTGCTTTTACTACTAGTACTTTCACCATATTTCTGCCTGGTATGTAACTTATAGGTATGTAACTAACTTTACTGCGTTATAAAGGCATTTAAATCTATCATCGCTTATGCATAACGGCATAATATTCATAAAAAAACGGTGGTCTGTAGTTACTTTACCGTACTGTGTCATTCCCGTCGCTCCCTTGACTTTTTTCTTCTCCTTTACATAAGCCCATCATCCTCAACGAAGCCGTCACGCGTTCATCTTGAGCACTACATACATACATATATGTATGTAAGTAGATTACTCCATAGTTTCCTGCCGCTCCATCCACCTTCGAGTTTCCCCAGTCGAGATTCGCAAATTGGCCAAACCCTCCATAACCTTGGACTATCCTATACGATAAGGATCCTTGATGCCGCGTGGCTTATAAAGGGGAAATGCACCGTTCACTCGCTCTTAGGCTCAGTTCGCCAGCGGCTTTTGGGCATACCAGAAGTAGTAGTCTAGGTATATGTGCGCCTGGGTGGTCAGCAGCTCACTCTGGACGCCGGCAAGGAATTCTTTTATTTGCTGCGGAGACTTCGAGAGCGAAGGGAAAAGCCTGGGTACAAGAGCATCTATAAGATCCGCGAATGCTGATTTCATATACAATCCAACCAAACGGAGTCTCTTGGCCTAGAAATTTATGTTAGGCTGAGCAAAGCAACAGGATTCATAATATTTGATAGGGCTTGTAGTACCTTGGGCCACATCCCAATAGGGGTTTTGAACTTCTTATACTGGATGTTAACGAAACCAGCGTTCCTGAGGATTTCTTCCATATCGTTTCCCACTATCCAGTTAATTCCACGGGGGGCTAACGCTTGGGTTACTAGAGTGGTGAACTCAATGAGCATGGAGTCTTCTCGTAATGTGCCATCATCGCATTTCATGACAGCTCCAAAGTCTTGGGTTTCGATCCAGCCTCCGGGCTTGATATGGCTTTCGAATGCCTTTTAGTATTCGTTATTATGTCAGACTCGTACGTTCTAGAAACCAATTCACCTGAAACTTTGCTCGCACAGTCTGGCTGGATCTTTTATAGTCGGGAGAACTTGGCGAGCATGGACAAAATCCCAATTATCTCCATGAGCCCAATCATCTCCGATGTCGTCGATGATGAACCTGACATTGCTAGGGACCCAAAAGGGCTGAATGGGGCTCAGATCGCATCCAACCACCTGGGCGCTAGGGAACATATCGGCCACTAAACAAGTTAGATGACAGTGCTCAGCATTTTCTCGTTTAGGGGAACCCCATTCCATGATCGTCATCGTATGGTTGGCTCACCTTCGATCGCCCATGTCCCCATACCAGTGCCCAGATCGATTATCTTTTGAGGGTTATCGCCAATCGGTGCAAAATAGTATTTACCCCTACGTCCTATTCGTCAACGGGGACGTCCACAGTTGGTTTGCGGCTAAGGCTCATATTGTACCTCGTGATTTCCAGAAAAGCGATATGCTTAATCTCTTCTCGATTTTGTTCTGTCTCATCGTTTGGGATAGGGTCTAGGCGATCTCTTGGTTAGTCGTCAACGCCAAGCCGCTTCTCTCGGCCGTGAAAGAGTCTGTTAAGTCTGAACTTGCAATGCGGCAAAACTATCCGGCACGCATAAGATAAGTGAATCGAGAATACAAGGTCGCCTACATGTTCCATGCCGATATCTATGGTACTGTGATGAATCGTTAGCAATCAGTGGAATATATAGTAGGATCATTCTCTTGTTACTCTGCGGCCGTTTTCATACGCATGTCGGTAGATGGATGAAGCTATGGTCCCGAATTTACTTATTATCGATGTAGCATCGATGTCGGAAGGGTCAAATTCTCCATCCGGTATGTCGTCTGGCCCAGCAACTTCGATTTGACTATCGCTGCCCAATGTGACCTCTTCCGAACTCCACAAGTCGTCAGCATCCCAGCCAGGCTCCATCGCCGTCGAAGTCGAAGTTAAGTAGGTAGTACATAAAGCGGCTGCGGTACCGAAAAGTGATATAGGTGTCGGTTTACAAGGCGAAGAATCCAAACAGCTAATCTAATAGGAGTGAAGAGGCTGACTCAACGACGCGAGGGGATACTTCATGTGGAGAGAAAAAAGAGAGAGAGAAGGACTAAAGACAAGGAGAGGGGGGAGAAGGTCAAAAGGTACTACTTACATGTACACACCTACTACCACTAGGTAACTACCACTATTCTATCCTTACAACCAGATCGTCCTCCAAGCCAGATGAAAACTTGGGACCACCTTCATACCGCCAGATCGGTCCTGTGACTAGTCACAGGCTCACAGCAGGGGTGTATATCTGATACTTTCACACTTCAAGGTTGTCAATACCACATTGGCTTGCATTGCAGAAGCTAAAATCAAGTAAGTATGGGGCTCGGTAGAAAAGCATGGATAGTGTCCCAAGGATTTTATACACATATACCTACACACTTACAACTAGTAACTACACATATGAATGTTGAATAAGCGGTAGGGAAGCCTTGACCACTGAACCGCCCAGCTGGGTCAAACTTATACCCACATCCATGGATACAATGTCTTGACTCTCATCTACATGTGTACCTACTAGCTAGTACCTACACATGTATTGTCTTTGGGATGTAGTTATCGGTGGAGATTGAAGAGTTCAAGTTTAGGCAACTTCAATGTTCAAATGTTACAACAGTGGCCTTGTACATGTACATATCACATGTACTTACTACTTACTATGGAGGCACTATGCAAGTGTAAAGATTCCGGATACATAATGCCAACTACTAGTATGTAGGTCCTTGCCTGGGTTAGCATATATAGTAACTTGAACAGGTTAGAATTCATCGTGTACAACGTTGATGGCGAAACGGGCATGGTGCTAACTAGAGACATCAACCCTATCAGGCTATCACATGTGCATACCTATACTGTCATGTACATGTACGTAGGGTACATATGTATTTATCGTATATATGTAGTGGGTAGTACTTCCCTCAATGCATATATAGTCATATATACATATCTATACTATGTACTACTAGTAGTAGTACCGGTAGCTACTTGCAAGGTGTTGAACTTTGAAGTTCGAATTGCAGTTCATCGCAACTTCTTCAAGTGGCAGACTTGCTGTGACTTTTCGGGTAAGAGGGTTGCATATCAGGTTCCTGGTCCATAGGTGCCTACCCTGCCCTAGGTAGGTATCTTAGTAATACGAATAACCTAATATTTCAATGTTCTTCCAGCATTCGATGTTGAACTTCAATTTGTTTCCATTTAAACATTATATTTCCTTGCCTTACGTACTACATGTAGTACCTGTCACCTGGGTACTTACACCAATAGTATTTAAGAACCAAACTTATAATCCAAATAACCAGGACGGCTTCCAATCAACAAGTCATCCTCAAAGCAACGGCATCTTGGCATGGGAACCCTCTATCTCTACTCAATAATTATTAAACCGTAGTTCCTTAGCCAATTATGGCTGTTTCTCTCTTCCAAAGATCACTCTTTACGTGGCTCTTGGTCACGACGATGGCTTCAGCAACACAGTTGCGTAATATCATGTATCTCACAGGGTAGGATTGTAGCCTCTCCCCTTACCTTTATTGCCTCTACTGCCCCCGTTTCCCGAATCGATATTCTCACATATTTTAGTGTTTCCTCTCCCTACTAACTGTTTCCTAGACAACATCCCATAGCACCTGATTTTCCCCTCAGCTCTTCCGTCACTCATGTAGCTTTGGCTTTTATGAGCCCCGACCTCTTCAATGGGGAAGGTGGAAATTCTAAATGGCCCCTTTTCACGTCCGTCTCCGATACACGCTCCAAATTTAACCCTGGGACCAAGATAATGGTTGCCATCGGTGGGTGGGGTGACTCGGCCGGATTTGATATTGCTGCACGTACGGATGAGAGCCGTATACGGTTTGCTCGCAATGTAGCAACCATGGTTCATGATACGGGCGCTGATGGTCTGTTTGAAGCATTTCCCATCCCTAATGGAGCTTATAATGATATACGCTACTAACAAGTCATTGGATCTTAGGCGTCGATATAGATTGGGAGTATCCAGGGCAAGTTACTCTCCTGTGTCAACTCCTGCATTTGTATACATCGATGTAAAGCGAGACTAACCTTATTGTTGAGTTTAGAGGCAACGGCGAAGACTGGAAAAAGATCCCCAACGAGGAGAGGGTCTGGGAAATTGCTGCGTATCCAAAGCTGCTAGCCGAGATCCGCAAGGCTGTAGGGCCAAGCATCCTCATATCAGCCGCTGTCCCCGGTCTCCCGAGAGATATGCTTGCCTTCAAGCCTGATACTGTGCCCCTTATCATGGAATCACTCGACTTCCTGAACGTTATGACATACGACTTGATGAACCGCCGCGATAACGTTACCAAACACCATACTGGCATCCAGGCTAGCTTGGTAAGTCTGAATGCTTACATTGCCAACGGCGCGCCGAGAGACAAAATCAATTTGGGCTTCGCCTTCTACGCCAAATATTTCCGTACCGAAAAAGAGCCATGTGTCAAGAACCCCATCGGATGTCCCACAGGCCTCTTGGAAGACCCCGACACTGGTGCTGATCTAGGTCGAGCAGGCTCCTTCTCCTGGCGCGACACTGTCCCGCAAAATGTTGAGGCATCGCTTAAGAATGCCCTAACAAAGGGGCAGTATGACCCAGTTGGAGGTGGCTACTATTATTGGGATGAAGAAGAGGCCATCTGGTGGACATTTGACACACCGGAGTCCATCCTTAAGAAGTTTCCCCTCCTCGTGGAAAAGGAGAAGTTAGGTGGGGTGTTTGCGTGGGGGCTTGGAGAAGATGCCCCTAAATGGGCTCATCTGGAGGCTCTTTGCGCTGGGGTGAAGGGCCTGGCTAGTAAGAAGGAGGAGCTATAAGAGCACCATGCTTTTAATATTCGACTTGCGCCTGTGAACAATTATTAAGTATTGTTTGTATCATAGTTAGGGTACTAGGTAACGAAATGACGAAAGCCATGCCCAAATAAACGTCCCTACGAAAAGTCCACGAACCATCACGACCTCGCTCAGTACATTCAGGATATTACAGATTCCTTTCTTGTTTCACTGGCAGTAAATTGTTCGGCAAGCCATGTCAAGCTTATGACCCCCAACTCAGAGACTTGAAGGCATTATCTAGGTACCTGCATAGTACCTGAGTGACAGTAGGCTAGGTTAGTCAAATGAGTTTTTGTATCCTTACAATCATTGATCTCATTAATTTTATTTAGGTAGTTCATAGCTTACCTAGTATGTCAGTATATCCGACACACATCGTGGGGGCCGAGGCCAAATTAGACGGGGCCGCGTTGATATAGTTACGGATAGGGGCAGGTCAGTCTGCAAGATAGAAGCTTTCTACTTGGCGCTCTAGCTGATATCAACCTTGGAATTCAGTAACGAAGGTTGCCTTGTAATAGTATGTACACCTAATTACAATAAGGCGGCGTAGTCCAACGGTTTCTGCCCCTTTGCAAGATGTGCCCTAGGTACGTGCCAAGCAGTGATCAAGGGAAACAGGGCGCGTTGCGTTTATTCTTAAATGAGAACTAGACGTCCCAGGGCCCAATATCTACAACAACGTTGAAGCTACCTAGGTAGTAAAGATTACCCACGTCAAAGAAGGTATCGTTAAGAGCAGTTACGAAGGGCATGTAAGCTTCTGTGCTGTACAAGCAGTTGAACTAGGCCAATCTTCTCTTGGAAAAAAAAAACAACAATTCGTAATTCATGAGGGCAGCATGGCCAGTGAGAAATGCGGCGCAAGGAGCCAATTGTTGCGCTCAAGTAGGTACACTGCTTTTGGCGAAGTGGTACCTTTTTTTTTAAAAAAAAAAAACAAAAAAAAAAACATCAGGCTTGCTGCTGCGCCTGAGATGCAACTCCTACGAGCTCAACCCTAATTAACATAAGCCAACGCAATCCTTCTGCGTTCAAAGTGGCAGTATTAGCAGAGTAGGTAGATAATATGGAGGGACTACTGACTCTGCCTCTTAGTTTATAATGTAGGTACTTCGTATATATATCTATCTAGGCTAGGTGTGTAAGTATTAAGCCAAAGCTCTCTTCTGGTCATAGCTGCCTGCTCGGTCTTCTATTGACGTCCTTATCAAGACGGCAAAAACGAGTAGGGGAAGTAGGATTCTTTCCATGGTGAGATACATGTATTTATCCCACTTGCCTAGGTTAGGTACCTACCAACGGACCAAATTTCACTATCCGAGATTCGCTGTCCTGAATACCTACCTAAGGAACCCGCAACTCAAACCACTTGGCTATATTGAACCTCTCGTTTATACTAGATTCGACCCTCTCGATGGGATATCCTAATCTGAGGAAGCTGTCCCAGCTACACACACCACTGCACCTTACTCCGGGGCGAAAGCAAAGGGCTACAGTTGAGGCGCTTGCAGTATTAATATTTTTTTTGTTTACATGTTCATCTACTATGAATACAAACTATCCGGCTCTCTCCTACTAGACAACCACGCGATAATCCGCACGGGTCCTCTGATTCCTCAAAATATCTGGCAAATATTCTTGCCCCCGGCAGGTTCTACTTCGGACTTTTCGACCGATCCCGTAGCTCTCCGGGACACCGCGTCCTGGCTGGCCAAGAATTCAGACCATCGATACACGTTGGTCGGCATAGAGGGCGGGACCAAGTTCGTGAGGGAGCACTATGCGCAGGATCAGCAGCTCCTCAAGGCCTACCACAGCCTTCAAACCCAGGCCTGAATTCGGATCTTCGCCGGTATCTGATCCTGAACCTCGAGGGCGGCATATACACCGACCTCGATACGTTCGCTTTAAAACCATCGACGACTGGGTGCCAAAAGACATGCAACACTGAGTGCGGCTGATCGTGGGCATCGAGTACGACAGGCTCGACAACCAGCCATGGCCCTACATGCCGCACGACCTTCAATTATGCCAGTGGACCATTGCCGCGGCGCCGGGTCACCCCGTTTTCGCGGCCATGATCCAGCAGTCACTCCACGAACTCGCCGGTTCCCACAACACCACCTGCGACCCCACGGATCTCGAGGTGATGAAACTCGACGGGGCCCGCGGCGTGGACCGACGCCGTGTTCCAGCAGCTGCAGCGAGCGGAGACTGAGAGACCTGTCCGGGATGGCGGAGCCGACGCTTTGCGGCGATGTGCTGGTGCGGCCGATTAACGGGCTCGGCGTTGGCCAGGAGCACGAGGGGGGAGCACGAGGGATGGGACGGTTCCGGGTGATGCGTTGCTGAGGCATACGTTTCAGGGCTCGTGGAAGGATAATTGGTGAAGTTTGACAGTAGAAACAAAGCACAAGGAAGTGACCTAATTAATTCAAATATATTTAAGGTTGACAACGTTGAAGGATACTTGCATAGGTACTGTACTGTACCTAGGACGCATAGTATCGGATCGGGGTTTACGTAAAGTGAAGCTTACATACCTAGAGGTACAGTTAGCACTAACTAACTTTCCACATGCCTACCAGCCCAGCTAACTACGTCATAACTACCCATCCTCACTGTCCAATCAGAATCCCGGCTTTGCTACCTTAGTGTACAATACATAGCTTTTGTTAGGGTCTAGGTTCGGCATTTAGTTAGACGAATGCGCCCACTTCGCCCACGTCACGTCACCACTTTGCGGGCTGAGGAAAGTTCAAGATCTCTTCTCCAGTATCATATCCGTAACCAGTCGTGCCTCATTGTCTTGTCCCACAGCCTTCCCCCCCCCCCACCTTGCGGATTCCAAGTTTTTGCTTGCGCATTCGTACGCGAGTCTTTTTTTTTTCTTTTCTTTTCGATGTTTTATTCTTCTTGGACCATTTGTCGTCATTGCTGATTTGGGCCGTGCTACCCACCTTCCCTGTCATCACACGCCACGCCACCCACCTAACCTGTATACCTACATATATAACCTAACCTAGTATAGTCCATATATAGCCATGTATATATAACCTCGCTCATGCTGCCGTATATATATATACCTACCTACCTACCTACCTTGGTAGGTATTTGCTTAGATAAATGTTTAAACGGCAAAAAATAATAGTATAATTTCTATTCAACCTATTCGATATCTACATGCCTAAAGTGCCCCTCCACTAGGTATCCCATCTCATACATATCTAGTACCTACCTAACGTAGGTTACTTAATACCACATAATTTATACATCGTCCCTGCTTCCTCGCGCGACAGATCCAAAAAAAAAAAAATCGTGTAATCATGGCGTTCGGATTCATCCCCATAGTCCACATCGTGGCTGCCGTCTTCTCGATCATCGAGCTCGGCCTAACCGCGTACCGTAAGCCAAATAAATCTACTTACCCTCCCTATCATATCCCACTAACGTACTTCCCCCCACCCCTTATAGTCGCTAGCCGATACAGCAACACCTGGTACGGGTGGTACGGGTACGCGTCCTCGCCGTCGCGGGTGAACTTCATGATCTTCAACTCGGTGTGGTCGCTGCTGGCGCTGGCGTACATCGGGCTGACGCCCCTGTACCTGACGAGCGCCTTCCACCGGCTCGCCGCCCTCGCCCTCAACGCCCTCACCGCCGTCTTCTGGTTCGCCGGCGCCGTCGCCCTCGCCGTCTTCGTCGGCGGCCCTTACGACTGCGCCGCTGACTCCTACTGCGGCTCCGCCGAGGCCGCCGTCGCTTTTGGCTTCTTCCTCTGGTGCGTACATGCATATATATATATATACCTGCCCCCCCCCTCCCCCCTCTTGCTACTCGCTACCTAAGTTAAGGTTAGCTAGGTACACCGACTGTTTGCTAAATCTTCCATCTTATCACACGTACAGGGCCATCTTCACCTTCCTCGCCGTCCTCGACGCCCTCGACTCCCTGCGCAGCCGCGGCCACAACACCGCCGCCCCGAAGCCCAGCAGCCTCCCAGGCGCCTGAGCCACTACCTATCTCATCCCACCACCGGACTGACTAAAACTTAAAAACTATGCACGTCAAGATTGCCATACGCTACCTAGCCAGGCGAAGGGGGTTACCAAGTCCGATTTTTTTTTCCGCGTTATCCTGATGTGGATGGGTTATGGTGATGGCGATGGCGATGGCGTACTTAGCTATTTGATTTGATTATTATTGCGTTTAACTAGTTATGTGTTAGTCACGAAAAGAACGGAAAATGAGGAAATTTGGGAAACCTCGGGGTTTTACAAGGGGAAGAGGCGAGTGGCGAGAGGCTGTAATGTGGGAGATTTTTTTCATTGGTGTCTTTGGGTAACTACCTACCTACAGTACCTAGGTAGGTATGACGATTTTTGCGGTCGCAGGACAAAAGAAATAACCCCCCCCCCCCCCCCCTTTTTTTTTTTTCGAACTCAAATACATAGGTACCTACTAGGTACCAGTTCGGCGTTGTCGTCTGCTTCATTGGGCGGGGCGGTTTAACTACCAGGTAGCTTGGCTTCACGATAGGTATATGGATATCTAATGAATTGATCATGATACAATATCGTAAATGCTGCGGAAGAATACCTACCTAGAAAGTGCATGAGTTTACTGGGAGACGACATGTGGCGTAGTTGTTTATATGCCCTGGATGCCTGCATCCATGAAAAAGGGGGAAGTCCATCTTATCGTACTTAGGTACCTAAGATATGTATTTTATTAATTTATTAAATCATTTTTGTTCAATTACCCGACGAAACCTTGATACTAAGGCTTATGCATATATAAGCAGTCATTACCTTTTATCTATATCGCTTCTCCTTGACGTAAAACGCTAATTAATCCTTCGCCTGGTCGTTCCTGTCATTTCTATCTTTTATGCTTGAACTGTAGTCTAAATCAACTCGGTGCCAAGCAGTCGCCAGGTTACCTCTCAGGTTGTAAATGCTGTTATGGGTCTGGGGCTGCGTGTTATATGTGTCGTCCGTGGCTTTGACGAGAAGTGTAGTTTTAGATTCGCCATTTTGGCCTCTCATACTCGTGGGTAATTGAGCCTCGTACTTCCACCTCTTCCAACACCAAGCCTTATTGCCCCTTTCAAGCTGGGTGTCGTCAACAAGTTGTGCTTGGTCCCAAGTCTCACCACCATCGAGACTAATATCAACGCGCTGTATCTCGCGTCCACCACCCGAATAAGCGTAACCTTCAACCTGGACTACGGGGCTACTGGCTGATGTGTCCCCACTACTATTATCGCTCCTCTGTATGTTTGCGGGTTTTATCATGGTACGTGTGATGGCGCTGGTGATAGGCATCACCTGGATAGCCTTGTATTTTTCCCAGTCTTGTTTGACTTCGTTTGGCCCAAAGCATTTATAATCCCGACGTTGCCATGTTGTGTTGCTCTCCTCATCGCTGACCACGATCTTGTTCACCCACTTCACGCACCTCGCAGCTACATGGCCAGGCACGATCACTCTGACCGGAAATCCATGATCGCGAGGCAGAGGCGCATCGTTCATCTTAAATGCTAGCAATACATCTCCCATAGGGTCGAGAATAGAGGCAATAGGTATGCTGGCACCGTATGCTTCAAGCCCAGAAAACTGAATATGCTGCGCATCCTCTCCCGGCTCTTCTAGTGACAGACCAGCATCGGCAAGTACGTCTCGTAGTCGCACGCCTTCCCATTTAGCACAGCTGATAGCTCCCACTGTCCATTGTAGGCCATTCGTCTTCTTCGCGTAGCGTGTCATGTCACTTCGTCTATTTCCCGAGCATTGTAAAACAGCTGTGACGGCGTACTGCTTGAAGCGAGTTTTGAGATCCCTGATGCTGTATACTTTGCTATCCCCGTCCGGTAGCTCGACCATGATATTATGATCTTCCGCCTCGTCCTCTTCCACGACAGGAACCCACATGTGGTTACGGACGTAGAATGTCTCGTTGGGTGTCAAGAACGACTTGGCTAATTCCACGCCGGGTGTCTCCGCATTGCAAGGCTTCTCTGTCAACTGCTTTAGTCTCGCATCTCGGACTGGATCCGTCTTAAATGGGTCTTCAATATAGTCTTGCAACGGTCGTCCGTTCTCCAAGTCATCTGGATGAACTTTTCCAACGATATACTGGTCGAGGATTTCCCGAACGTAGGGTGATTTATGGATGGAAAATATATTCCAATATGGCTCAATGCTACCACCAGCAGCACGGAGAATAACATCTCCACCGGGGTGGGCAGGAACCCAATCTGTAATATCGTATACCTTGTCTTCGTATATTACCCAAGGCCTTTCGGACTTTGGACCGTGTTCTTTAACCTCAGCAAGCCGGTAACGTGGGAAGCCATCATCGCTACTATCGTTTGATGTTGAACTAGGTGACGTAGGGTCTGTATCTTCGGGAGTTTCGAAAGGATCGTGGGTTACAGGCTGGAGTATAGCGAAGAATACAGTGAGTAGCCCGCCACCTGCGGCAAGAATAGGAAGAGGACGTAAACGAGGGTGATTAGGTAGGGTTTTGGGTATAGCCTTGGAAGATGCAGCTCTAAAAGACCGAAAGACAGCGTGGAGCTCAAATGGATAATTAGCTTGTTGTATCCCGAGGTTCTGAAAGCACCGGAGAGCTGGTCTTGGCCGATTAATTATCTTGAACAAATGATGGCCACTATGTCTCGAAATAGGTATCGACATAGTTACATGTACCGGGCGAAAGGTATCGTGGAGGACAAAGTCCTAGTGCCAGTTACTATGTAGAAGCTCTGACGTCTTAGCGTCGCGTCGTCCATAACACATATCACCTTGCCAACTTCAAATATCTAGTAGCATCAGTTTGATTCGACGGAACACGCTGGCACACTTTCAACTCGAGGATGAGAAAGCGCAATACCAAATAGTATGGCGTAGATCCTCTAGGTAGATAGATGAATTGGTGGTGGTGGCGTGTTCTAGCTGGGCTAAAGTGGAAAGAGACCGAAGAAAAAAACCGGAGATATTAAGTGGGAATTGAATTGGTATTAAAGAAAATACCTATCCAGGTTTTAGGAACAATTATCTAGTGACACTGGTTGAAGAGTAAAAGAGAGGCAGTGAGTGCCCTTGGGTGATCAATGAAAAATCGAGTAAAGCAAGCAGATTGTTTGCCGCTCACTCGTCTATCCAGTATGCGAGTTATTGACGTTTTGCTCTCGAACATACATATGGGGCGATAATGATGAAGAAAGAGAAAGGAACAGGAAAAGAAAAGATGGCAAGGCAAGACAAGGCGTAAGAGACGGTGAGAGGCAGCTTTGGTGGGAGAGAAGAGATATGGATGGATGGTCTGTTCACAAAAGTTGGGCAAGCAAAGACAGCAGCTGATTGCCTTCCTGGGAATTTGCAACGTGGATAGATAATGCGTACCTAGGGCAGGTACCAGCACTGGTTGCCCCCTCGGCTGCCTTATCTGTTAAAGGCTGTTTACATCCCGTGGTACCTACCTATAAAATGATGCTATTTTGCATCTAAAAAGGGAGCTAAGTGATTTGAAAAAGAAAAGGAGGGAAGGAAAGAAGAAAGATGCCCTACCTAAGGGTATGTAACTCACGAAAGTTGAAAATCACATTCAAGATTGGATGACTCAGCCCTATGTATGTACCAGGATGGTACTTCGTACCTGAGTAGCTACGACTCACATGCCCGGCAAATTTAAATAGTTCAACGATGTTGACAAGGATAATGATCCCAGGATTCCCAGCAAAGGCTGCACGCTTCAAGGCTAACGAAAACCTTGCATATGCGCTACTCTTGACACATCTAACTATGTAAGGTTAGTTATGTAGATGTACCACATAGGTGACCACGTTGTCGTTGTCGTCGTTGTTGTCGTCGTCGTCTACTACACACATACACGTAGAGAGATATCTATGGATACCTAGGTACATATGTACCAGGTATGTATTCCTCCAGACCCATTAAAGACCAACCTATAAAAATTTCAAGATTATTAAATCCTTCCTTCGTGGTGTGGGCTTACAAAGGATGTTCAGAATAATAGTATTTTATAACTTTTGTCAATGATAAATCTCAAAGGCTGACGGTTTGCAGCGGACATGCTACACTTATAACTCCCTCATGTAGTATAAAGTATCTACTTAGGTAACTAGGTGTTTAAAACTTGGAAGCGTGTAATCCACTTCACCGTACCAGGATAATGACATTCTGTACCTAATTATGGACCTAACGATATCCTGAACATCAACTGAGGAAAGTAATGCTTTATAATCTTTAACTCTTATGTAGGATGAACCAATTGTGACTCGGATTCTGCCCAGTGCCTACCACCTGTCCATATTCCACATACGTTAATATACCTAGATTATATGATTGTATTTCCCACTAGTACCGTTCAATGTTCATTTTAATTACATTCTTTCTTTATCCGAGACTCTAATCACATCCATGATCCTATCTATTATGGAATGGATGCTTCTTGTTGCTCTTGTTTAGGTGCCGTATACATGGGCCGGCACTAAGATATATCAAGCTCTGGCAGATATGCGGCGTAATAGCACACCTAGGTATGTAGGTGGTATGTCAAACCAGAAGATCATGGACAAGAAAGAAAAATATTGTTATTGATTGTGGCAAAAGTATACTGCTACATGCCATTTTTAGAATTGGACCGTGAATCAACTTGCTGGGAAAGACGTAGTGGCCGATGATACCATATATTTCGTTATATGCACCCGAAGTTATATTATTTTCGGATGAACTCGAATGTGTCAGTGGTCGGATGATTGCCATTATGCCTTAATTAGTAGCCGCCAATGCCTAGGATAAAAAGAGCACCTTAGTGGCAATGATAGAATTTATAACGTATGAATTTGTGTAAAGCTGCTTAATCACTTCAAATCTTCACATGTTACGAGCTTGGAGGCTTGAGTTAGGCTATTATTACATCTGACGGTATTGTCTAGGCCACGAAAGAATAAAAGTACACTGTTAGTTACTCTGCATCATATGGCATCTAATCATCCCCTTCGTCCTCAGTGTAATATTCGAAATCATCAGGAGCCTGTGCCTCTTCGTCGCCTTCGGCATCTTCATCTAAAGCAGTCAGTACACCGGCGGCGGCCGCAGCACCCGAGATTTCGTTCCGGCTAGGAGGGATGAGATGATCACGTCTTAGTCGACTTAGTAGTGCTTCTGAAAAGGGAGGGTTACGAGTTTGGGCGCCGCCCGCGACGGGGGCTTTCTCGGTTGCTACCTTCTTCAGCTTTTCTTCGATGATTGCCTTTTCTTTCTCGGGCTGCAGGTCTTGAAGAAGTATAGGACCGCCGGTAGGCTATAAGTTAAGTCGTGGTTAGTTTCATGCACAGGTGGAATAAAGAACAAGCATAGTTGTCTTACCAATGGACCAGGTCTCACAAGTTTGACAGGCCAGTAACGGCCCTTCGCGAGACTGATATACTTGAGCTGGGCAGGTAAGACTCGACTCATGTTTTCAATATCATAGCCCGGTTTTTCCTTCTCTGACTTCTTCTTGACATCCGTTGGGGGTGTCGAAGATTCCTTCTCACCTGGCGCAGGAGTTTCTCCATCCTTCCTGTCCTTGACGTCCTCACTTGGCTTAGGCTTAGCGTCGATATCCATTTTGTCACCACTAGCACTAGGCTTAGATGTGGTCGGCGTGGTAGTTGAGTCAATATCCATGCTTTCCCGTCGCTGAGCTTTTTCCTTTTTCTGTGCCCGGCGTTTCGCCTGGGCGGTAGTTGACAGGATGGCCGTCGCAATCATGGTTGGGCCCTCTTCCGTCTTGACCTCCTGTTCAGGAGGGTAATCGAAGAGACTCGGCTTGGTGGCGCAGTGGAATTTGACGTCGATGATGTCTAGGTCATGGTCAAGGGCAATGATTGAGGTTGGACTGAAGGCCAAAGATAAAAAGTGAGTGAAGGGGAACCAGTACCAGTACTGGGTGAAGACGGCCATTCCAACGATACCAGTCATATTCAAGTTCCCGGTCTGCGTCTGTAGGCCAATTGTGCAATTGCGCCCACCTGCATCAATTATACCCAGGGCAAGGGCCGCGCCAAATTTGGTCATTGCATCCTCGTGGCGGTCACCGACAACCTTCTTGAGAGTTTTCCGGATTGAAGCGACTTTGGGGTTCATTACTTCATTTTGCTGTATCATAATCATGGCTAACGCAATAAGCGCGCCTTGACGGACAAAATCTGTGGGATCCTTCATCATAGGCTCCAATAGATCGATGGCCTCGTCTAATCCGGTTCCGGCACATGAGATACCCAGAGCCATTGCGGACCCATAACGGACGTGGGGATTATACGACTCAGAAAGGAGTTCAACCATGCGAGGGACGCTACCAGGCTTGCGAAATAAGATGAAGCCTAAGCTCATGACCGCAATTCGACGCACATCGTCGTTGACATCGCTGACAGCAACATGCAATAACTTTCGGATTGCTTTGTTACTGCCGGTACCACAATAGGCCATAGCTACAGTCATGATACCACCATATCGCAGTGTCGGATCCGGATCGTTCAGAAGGCCTTCAATCATAACATCGGCACCCTCTTGTTGTCCATACATGATCAACGACATACCTAAAGCCAAACCTCGTACACTCTTTTCATGGGACGTCTCATGGGCATAGGCAACCATATCCTCAAGAGCTTTGACGTTGCCGGTTCCTAGCATGATCAAGCCCATTGAAAGGCCAACGGCCTCGCCGTTGAGAGCGGAATCTGCGTAAAGAACAGCCTTAAGGTTCTCGAAGATTTCCTCGTTTCCACTTGCCATACCAGCAAGGCCCAGACCTAATGCACCACCATGCTGAATGACCTCCTCTTCAGCGGCGGTGAATTGAGTCTTCAGGTACTCTAGGGCATCAGCGCCGTGGTTTGCGTGGATGAGGCCATAAGCGTAAAGTGCACCGCCCTGCGAATAGGGCGAGCCGCCGCTAATACCACCGGTACCACGGGGGAGATAAGGCTCGAGGAGCTTCCTAGATTGGGAAAGGTTTCCGCGATGGATGACACCAAGAGCTGCAGTGGCGGTAAATTTGGACCAATTCACGGCCTTGCCAAGCCATTCTAGGTTGTCTCGGAAAAACTTGTCGTTTGTTGTACCTTGATTCATGAAGGCATTGCAGAAAGTGACAGCGCAATGGAAGATGGAATTGCGGCCTTCAAGGCTGTCCCGAACTTTGTTGAGAATGCTGAGGTCAGTGTGGTTATTGCGATACAGGAACTCAAGATTTAATTTGATGGTCTTGGTGCCGTCTAGGATAGAACGGATGTTCTTGTAAATCGCGGCCTTCTTCTCGTCAACCTCACCTGGCTCAGCGTTACCTTCGCTAGTCTTGCTCGTAAGGAGGGGCTCTCTCTCAGATTCGCCAGCTGGCTCATCGTCCTTTCTCTCAGTCAGAGAATCACCATTTGGCAAACCTGAGATAACTTTCCCTAGGAATTCTTGGGTACCGTTATCGTAGAGATCGAACGCAAACTGGTAGGCTATGGCAGTGGCTTCAACACTGTCAGTCTTAACAAGGCGTTCAATGACTGTACGGGCCTGATCGTCCTTGTTTAAATAGACAATGCACTTGGCAATGGAGAAGTAGTCGGGATCCCTAGCTCGGCCACTAGTGAGAATATCAAGAATGAGCTGCAAGATATCATCTCGGAAAGCTCGTTCCTGCACAACGTCCATGCATATGCTTAGGCAGTAGTCCAGTAATTCCTCAGCAGGACCCATAGCGTCATCTTCGGCGGACTTCCCCTTGTTGCGCTTGAAGTCTTCGTCTGCGCGATGGATAACCTTGCTGACGACATCTAGGCGTTTTGCTTCGACGGCGATACCCACAACCTGCTGGTAGCGCCTTTCTTTAAGGCAGCTTTCGAACAAGCGCTCAATGACTCGGTCGATGGCACGCCGAGTATCAAGTTCATTGTTAGTCAGAGCGATAGAGGAGGATCGGTGCTGCTTCTTTTGTGGTTCGAAGGAAGGATCGAGAATTGCATTGTCGGTAGAAGCTCGAGACAGAAGGGACTTGGATGGTAGGGTAGACTGGGAAAAGGGTGTGGTAGGCGATATTAAGGCAGAAGCGTTGCTGTTGGCGGTGGCGCTCGAAAAGGCGGTAGCAAGAGATGGCAGAGACGTGTCTTTATCCTTCTTGCCGACAACAGTGTGGTTCTCATTCTTGGTAGCAATATAATGATCGACGCACTTGGAGATGATGGTCTCTTCAAACTCGCCGGGATTTTCCAACTTGAAGAGATCGCCAGCAGCTAGGGCAAAAAACATGCTCTCGTCGTAGGCCTGAAGGTGATAGTAAACCTTAGCAAGAACTAAGGCGGCCAACTTTCGCTCTGGAAAGGACTCATCTTCGTAGAGAGCTTCACTATTATAAGGTAAGTTTGTTGGTTAGTTTCTGACGATAAGAGTATTTCGAGGGATATCACAACGAAGGTAAGACTTACATTTGGCCAAGAGCGCTGGCGACCTCGAACCAAACCGTGTCAATGTCATCGTTAAGAGTTTGTAGGGCGAAGACCTTGAGCTCGGGCTCTTCATCGGCCAAGAAGGCTAGGACCCCAGTAGCAGTAACTAGACCAGGCATTCTCAAAGATCTGGGAGGGGGACTGGCCGATGCGCTTGGTTGGGAGAAGAAAATGGTGATTAATAGTATACGTCAACGTAATGTGCGGTAGATGATGTATAGAACGGAGTTTGTTGGTTATGGGAATAAGAGTGAGAAGGGGGATTGCATACGCCGTATCGGATGACGCGATACGGTACGTATGTGTATTTTTGCAGTCTGATGGTTGTTGATGAAATGAAGAGAAGTGAAGCAATTCGAATTTCAGATGCGAAAGCTTCAAAATTAGAAGTAACGTACGTGCATAGGTACCTAGGTATGAGGAAGCAACTGCTAAACCATGTAAAAGCACGGACCAATTTATATGTCCACGTCAGGAACAGCTCTGCCTACCTGCCTTGGCATTAGATATGTATGTAGATATGGGAGCCTGGGGGCCCACATCCATCTAAGACTTTCAATGTTGATGTTGCTGTCGGTTAGGCTTATGTAAGTTTGGAGTATGTATATAGTATATGTATGTATATAGCTTAGGGCCTTTACGAGGTTAGGCATGTAGGCCGTTAAACTTCAAATTGATAACTATTATCTTCGTTTTCAACGTTTCAATTCCTCTACACTTCCCTTCTTTCAGAAACTTAATGTGCTATCCTACCCTAGGTAGGTATTAATTACCTTGATTTCAAGTGTTTATGTAAAGGTTATTTCCATCACTCTTCCCTACCTAGAGTAGCTTATCTCGAAAGAAGCAAGTATTCAATTAATCATAACAACAATGAATATAGAATGTAGTTCCATACGACTTGTATATACATGTGTAATGTAGTAGGGAAATAGATAACCCTTTAAAAAACGAGAGTTACATATAAATATGTAGACACTATAATTATCAGATAGCTGACATCTAGAGTATGGGTACTCGCTCTTCGGAATATGTTCAACAGTTCAAGTTATTTGAATGTATCCATGTCTAGGTAGTTAGGTACTAATACTAGGTAGGTATCTACATGTAGAAGATAGAGGCAGAAAAACCCCCTCACAAGCAATTGAGCCCAAGCTCCTTACTTCAATGCCATGTGGCTACCACCATATGTAGGGTACATACCTAGGTATGTACGTACCAGGTATAATTCATTGATGAATTCATCATGTCACGCACCACTAGCATCGCACTTGCACTGAATGCTTTCGCATTCATCCCTGGAAACTTAATCTTTGTTCATAATTCGACATAATTCGCCAACTTTTGTACAACATTTATGGTTTTATGGTTACTAGTCTTGCCTAGTATAATCTCGACACCTAGGTATTGATCACCTCCTCGGCTGTTGCGCATCTTCGTCCGATACAATTTTAATCGAGAAAAATAATGATAGTGGCATTTGTCATTGTCGCTGTTCCTATTATTGGATCTGTCAAATAAGTAACCAAGATACCAACTTAATATTCCGTTTCGCGATAATTTTATCGAGAACACTTAATCCTCACGACAAACAATCATCCACTCCGTTTGCAGCTTTCACCGTCATTTATATGTCGCTTAACACCAGAATACCATCCTTCCTGCTGATAGCGCATTGATTGTTCGATATTCGCAACCAGAGATAAAAAAAAAACCATTCTATGTAACCTCATCGCCAAATGCATCCATGACTTCCAAGAACGCGACTTGAGAACGAGCGAAGAGAGATTGTGTGCGCGCGCCACAGAGAGAAGAGAAAGTGTGCGTGCGTGTGTGTGCTTAAGAAGACAGCTACAAAGAGTGCAGGCAGCAAGGCAGGAAAACGGGACGAAAGAAAAAAAAATAACAATAGGGCGCGCACAAGGCACGCGTCTACGTACATGCATTATTGTCTATTACTGGAAAAAAAACGAGTGTGTTCTAATCACCTTCAAGTCACTATCTAGTAGGTGTTACCAAGAAAGAAGGGAAAGAGACAAAGCCAATAGGGAATAGGGAATAAGTTTTCACGAGGCAAACATCGTGAAAATGGATCTACGTGCCATGTTGAACGGCCCAGATGGGGGCGCATCGAGAAAACAACAACAGCAACAGCAACAGCAACAGCAACAACCTCCTCAACCTCCACCTCACCCTCCACCTACTCTCCAGACATCATCATCCACGAACTCCATCCCAACTTCGACTACACCCACGACCCCTTCTCACGCCGGGCCCCATCCGCAGTCATTCAGAGATTATAGTCAGTCGACCCACGCCTCTCCCGGTCCGCATGCCCGCGATTATCCCCCAGCTGCTCCGTCGTCTGCGCACCCTAACCATACACCAGGATCTACCGGTGCTTATCCTTCCCCAACATCCTACAATCCTCCCCCAAACGCGTTCGTCGGCAGGCCCCCTGTTCCGCCGCTTCAGCCCCCAGGTCCCCACGATTTACGATCACCAGGGAGCGCCTCCATATCCGGGCCATCTCCTTATCGACGAACACCTACCTCTTCCATCAGCACCGCCAGTGGCGGCTACCCTTTCCCTCCAACGCAGCAACCTCCTATAAGCCCAATACAGAGACATCAATACGGCCCACCAGGCGCTGCTAATGCTGGTCCGGGAGTTGGTCCGAGTGCTGCAGCTGGATCTTATTCTCGCGATAGTTACAATAATCCTAACCCACAAACACAACACGGGTCCATCTCGTACCAACAGCTACCACCGCAAACACCACCAGTTGGGACACCTGGTGGTAGTCACCAGTATTTGCATCAGAGGTCTCACTCTATTCAGTCAACGCCCACACCTACTTCTGCGCATAGCCAGCCAGGTACATACGGCCCCCCTTATACCCAACAAGGCAGTCCAGTCACGACGACCACACTTCCTCATCCGCCCCCTCTCGACCAATTCCAACACCAACACCAGCGTCAATCTCCTCAGCCTGCGACACCTCTTGGGCAGCCTTTGCCTGGCCCTCCGCGACAATCTCCTGCAACGAGCTACCAGCAACCGTCCAGTCCGTACCAAAAACGGGTTTCGACCATCTCTAATAACTCTACTTCATATCCTCCTCCTCAACCAATGCAATCATCGCCCAAGCCACCCCCACCTGCTTCCATTCAACGAATTCCCAGTAGCAGTAGTCATAGCACCTACGACGCTGTTACCGAATCTTATCGAAGTGAACGTGAAAGAAGCTTGAGTGTCTCACCCAAAACACGTGTCCCTAGTTTACCTAGCAACGCTAGCCATCGCCCTTCATCTACCAGCAGCGACGCAAATCCTTACAACCCGCAACGTATCCCACAAGCCCCAGTTAACCAACACGCTACAATGGAACCTCTTAATGGCGGTGCTCCAGCAAAACGGAAATTAGAGCACAGAGATCTCAGACCGGATGAGTTGGAAAATGACCGAAAAGCCCCCCCCCCTCCCCAAATGAACGGCAATCGCGCCGTTCCATTAGCTGCTACGAGTCCAGCCTCAAGATCACCGTTAGTGTCACGGCCAAAACGGATTAAGCACGACCGCCCTCCAATCTGGGCACAGAGTGCCAAAAGCCGAGAACAGCTGAAAACCAAGAGTCGCAATTTCTCTTTAAAGTATCATATTCGTCAGCAGGTGCACGCGGGTGGACAGGTCAATGGAAATAACATCCAGGACACCAGTGCAAATGTAAAGTCGGAACATGTTTCTCGACATCCCTCACCCGAAACGACGCGATCTACTGTTGCGGTCAAGTCAGAGGAACCCAATCAAATGGTCATCAAAGATTCTCTCATATTTAACGGCCAGCCGTTCCCCTGGGAGCCTAGTATCGGAAATGAAACACCCAAGAATATTGTCTGTCGCGAGGTTGCCGACTTTCTTGGTATCAACGTCTTACAGTGCCCGCAGTTCGAGGAGGTACATAGTCGGGGTGCACAGTTCGAGATCGAAGCCAAACTCGGCACCATTATTGACAAGATGACCAATGACCGCATCTACGTTCCTCAAATAAGGGCCGGTGAATGTGTATTGCATAGCAGTGGGGTCGCCTTCCGTAGCTCTATGACTGAGGTAAATTGACTGCTACTTTCATTCCTTCCTTTTCCTTTATAGTCTTATTGTAGGATCATACACATACTGACAATTCGAGTTTATAGAGCCAACATTGCGAGCTTAATGGTTACTTGAATGAACAAGTAAAAGCCTCATTCCCTCGAAACCCTATTGCGAATTCTCGAGTACAGGTTCACTATGTTCATCGCCGAGAAATCGACCGGTTCTTCGAGTTACCATCTTCAATGCGGCAACGAATACCGGGCTGTATTTCGGGTTTATTGCAACAGGGCACTGTGAAAGCACGTGTTACGTATGACCAAAAGACTGGCAATGTGCTAGCGAAGATTGTTAAGGCCCGTATTGCAGATATGAACATACACTTCCCCCATCTACCTCTCGACTGCCGCATCAGTATCAATATTGAATGGGACTGGGATGGCTCTGTCGATGAGATAGAACGATGCCAAGTCACCAACAAAGAACGGCCTCCTGATCGAATCAAGGATCGACTCAGCTACAAGCACGGCTTTTACCAGGTCGACCTTACTCAGGTGACCCAAGGTCACCCTACATCAGGTAACCAGGGACCGCAACCGCACGCTGGCGCAGCCAAGGAGCACGAGCTTGAGGTGGAATTAGAGGCGCGTCCTCTAATCGAGCATGGCCGCATGCTGATGCGCCAGGAGCCAAACAGGTATGAAGACTTGGTTGACGGTTTGGTTAATAACGTCCGTCTGCTAGCCCGACGTTGTCCGCCACCGCATTCATGATGCTATCATGAGAATCCGTGCCATACAAATTTTATTGGGTACTTCTCAAGATCATCGGCTATTCATATTTCCACACTGCAAATGGGCTCATTGGCCACGGACTTATTCTCGCTTAAGCAAATAAAAGGGATTCAGGCAAGTGAGAGGAAAAGGGGTGGAGGCGCTTTCCAGTTTCTTTTGCTCAGAACATGATACCAGTTCGGATTTAGGCAAATAGGGGTCACGGCGGCACGCAGGCGCGGTTTGCTACATGGTGTTTATAGCTGGTCACCTAAGTAGGCACTTGATAATACCTAATAGGTTTGCTAGCACCTTGAGAACCTTCATAGCGTACATGAGTAGTGCGATGAATTGAAATTTGTCATTTGAAGCATTTCTCAATTTCCCCCTAGGTAATTCAGAAATAAATTTCACAAATTAGAAGGTCAATGGATGGATATTTCAGAATCATCCCTCACGATCTTAGTTGAACTTTTACTACGATAGGGACTCCTGGTACGGCAAACCATGACCTGAGTAGAAGAGAAGCCGATGTTAAGACACGTTTTTTTTGTACACCTGGGCAGTATACTACCAAAGTACCTACGAAGTGAGCAAGAAGGTAAAATGCAAATGTGTAGTTGTTATGTACCTATTTAGACGGCCCGTTTCCCCTGAGGCATAAAAAAGAAAATATCCTTACAGAAAACAGAAATCCAAAAAATAAAAAAAAAAGGATTCAAAAAATAAAACTAAAACCCATGATTTAAAGATCGAATCTTGTCTAATACTTGCTTTGCTTCATACAAATAGAGCCCTCATCTCCACGCCACTTCCCAGGTGGCTAGGTAGGTAGGTAGGTAGGTAGGTAAGTATTATTACCGTTGGCTGTGGTTTTGGTTGCTGATGTTTTTTTTTTGTTGTGTTGTGTGCCCAACGCCCTAACCACCGCACCTCCTACCTCCTAGCCACCCATCCCATCCCATCCCATCTATCTCCCGACTCCTCCTTTCTCCTCTTCCTAGCCCTCCCCCTTCTTCTTCAGAAGAAAGAACTAAGGCGCAGCGGAACCCTCTCCGCCGGGCGCGGGCGCCTGGTAATCGTACGGCGGCAGCAGCCAGGGGTGGGGCGCGTCGTTGGGGTGGTCGCCGCGGCCGGCGGTGGAGGCGATGGCGGCCATGCGGCGCCACTCGGGGTCGAGGGCGACGTGCTGGCGGCCGGCGACCTCGGGGTCGCTGGCGCGGGGGGGCTGCGGGGGCCGCGGCGCCCGCCGGTAGTGCTTCTGTCGCCGGCGCTTCGGCTTCGGGGTCGGCGGGGCGTCGGCTTGCAGGTTGGCGACGGGGTCGGCCACGGCGCCCGCCTCGGAGTACTCCTCCGACACGGACGTCAGCGAGGACGTGTCCGACGGCGAGAAGTACGTCTCGTCTAGCGTGCGCTTGTGCCGCCGCCGCCGCCGCTCCGTGGGGTCGGTGTTGGTGCCGGCGTCCGTGGTGCCGCCGACGCTGCCGGACGCGGGGTTGGTGGTGTTGGTGGGGCTGCTGCCGGCGTCGGTGTCGGTGGCCTTGCCCTTGGGGACGCCACCACTTTCGGCGAAGTCCGTGTCGGTCATCGTCGTTAGCGACGATGTGTCGTCCTTCTTGGGGGTTGGATCGGTGGAGGTGGTGAGGCCGGTCTTGGGCGCTGGGGTTGGTGGTGTGTTTTCCTCGTCGTCGGATGATATGGAGATCGGAGGAAGCACGGTAAGTTCGGGGCCGGAGTTGTTGCCTGAGGTGTTGCCGGATGTGCCGATGTCAGTGTCAATGGCGGTCGTCTGTGTGGTAGTATCGTCCTGCCCCCCGACGCTCCTATTATCCCAGAACTCGTCGTCGGTCGGCCACTCCATCTGGTTGCGCAGGTCGTTTAAGGGGATCACAGTAGTGTTCATGTACGGCGGCCAAGGCAGCTCGAAGATCCGTGCCTTGAACTGCGCGAGCCCGAAGAAGTTGGGGTCGTCCAGGTAGCTTCCGACGGCCTTTTCCAGCGAGTACGGCTCCGTCCACACGCCGGCGACGCTCTCAGGACGCACCGGGAACATGGTGTGCGTGTATGCCGGGTAGTTCTTGACGAAGTTCCAGTACGCCTTCTTAAAGTCGACGCCCTGGTCTGGAGGGACCCATCCACTGTGGTTGGGTATGAAGTAATCGTTGAGGTCGCCTTGGCCGCGACGGACTTTGCAGCTACCAATTGCGGCCATGTGCATCTACAAGTTTCATGGGAAGTTAGCGTATGTTATCTCAGGGCTTAATGGGGTTATGATTTAGTTTTAAGAAAAAGAAAAAGCTCGCCTCTATTTCTTTGACATTGTCTCCTGCGGCTCGGAAACACCTCGAGCATCTCCAGTCGCGCGGTGGCACGAAATTGGGATCCTCGGGCTCGCCATAATATACTACATCCCACGGAGGCGAGTTCACCCTACGGGCGCGAATGTCCACCTCCTCTCCAGCCCCCGCTTCTCTCCATATTACGTATCCATCATCCGCCTCTTGTCCTGGGGTATGGGTTTCTATGGTTGGAATGTCCATGTTCGTAGAAACTTCTGGGGATGGAGCGATTGGTCCAGTTGGATTGGTTCCTGTCGCAGTGTGCGTGGTCGGGTGGGTTACTGTGGTCGGAGTGTGTGTGGTTGGGGCCGGGAAGATTCCTCCGACTGGAGCGGGATCGCCGACTGGAGAGGGAACGTCGCCTGGAGAGGGGCCGACATTGGTTCCAATTGGAGTTGGATATCCAGGTCTTGTCGGTTGAGGTGGCGTAAGATTGTTCGTAGGTTTGCTGAGAGCTTTCATGATTTCATTTAAACGATCGGGCGGAAGCTCTATATCATTATCATCATCAGGGGTGATTTGGTCTCCCGGTTGTCCTCCCGGTTGACCTCCCGGCTGATCTTCCGGATTCGTATTGCTAGGACGGGTGGGCTTGCCAGTGTGGGCTCCTGATATACATGCTGAGATGTGTACTGACTTTTCGGTGCTGGTTTTGTCAGTGAGAATAATTCCGCAGCCGGGACAGCAATCATAAGGCCATCCACCCAATGGTTTGCAATGCATAGCATGCCTTTCGCGATATAGTGAATCCATAGTTTTATCGTACTCCAGACCACACGTTGCGCAATACCGGTCGAGGCGATTTCGGAGTGTCAACCCCGTTTCACATTCACAGACCTCCCTTGGATGGCCCTTTACGCGACCGCAAATCTTACACCAGGCGGAAATGGTGGTTATGCCAGTCTGACACTTTTTTTCATGGTGCTTCCGATCGGCTGGTTTATTCAACATGAGCTGGTCCCGACCGCACATGTGGCAGTAATCAGGTGTTCTCGAGTGAGGAGGCTCACCACCAGAGACCCCGACAAGTTGCTGGACATCATAGTAGTGCTCGTCGATGAAGTGCCGTCTGATATTATACTGATCATAGTATGGGAGGAGATTCTTTTCCTTGTCGCAAAGGAAGCACTGCAATGTGTTATGATCCTGTCGCAAATGTCGATCGAGTCCTTCACCATCACTGAACGCGAAGTACCGTTTGCAATTGAGATACGGACACTCTCTAAGTCTGTCAAGGAGATTTCCTCGCAGGGTGTGGACTTCTCTTTCAAGTCGCGCAACCTCACTAGGCGTCCGCATCGCAGTGGTGAATCCGGGGACGTTGGGCCCTGTGTGAATAATAGTCTCGATAGGGGGGCCGTGGATGGGCATCACCGGTTTCGCTGGGTTCGCAAATATACTCGGACTATCGTAGAAGAATCTCTTACGCAGCGCCTCAGTCCTCGTAGCTTCTGTCATCGTGTTGGAGGACCTGTCAAAGAAGTTGTTGAGGAATTCGCTGTGGGGTTTTGGCTTGTCATATCGATCGAAGTGACTCGAGAACTGGACAGGAAGCCCGGGGCCGTAACGCGGACCCCATACTAAGTTCTTGTTTATGGCTTCATCTCGAAGGTTAGCACGCCAATATCCCTGGTACATATCCGTGAAATATAAAATTGAAAAGAAAAAAAAAACATGGAAAGGAATGCTCTGTACTTACCCCAGTCATTGTTCCAAGGCTCGAGTGAGACAGTAATATCAGGTTCAGTGATATGCCTTTGAATCCATCTCCATTCTTCCTCACGCGTGTCTGCTCTGACAGCAAACTCGGTCTTGTTGAGCCCCCAGGTCGACTGAACAATGTGAAGAATATTACCCCCTGGATTGCCTTGGGCGGTAGGATACAGCTTGGTCTGAATCTCGGCCAAGAAATCGGCCAGTTTCGCATCATTTATATTGTACGAGAAGCTGTTTTGGGCGTTATTTTTTGAGCGGATCTCATAGCTAGCAAAAACTGGACGGGCCACGATGCATACTTTCGAGGGATAGCCGTGGACCTTCGGGTGTTGGAATTCTTTTATGGCTCTTCGCCAGGTCACCCGTGCTTCGTAGGTGATCTCTTTCTCCGAAGTCAAGATGCGGCTTCCTGGTCCCCATGAACTTATGTAACCCTCTTGCGAAATCCAGATGTCGAGTCCAACCATTTGGAGATTTCCCAGTAACCCTGGATTAGCGGCGAATACCGCATTGAGCAGTTTCGTCAGCCCAACGTGATCATTCGTGGTGTCCGTCTTGTCGAGTACAAGGTCGTCGGCGTGGAGGAAAGTCTCTGTTATGCCCGAGTTCGCGTTCGAAGGGGTGAAGTTTGTATCGTAAGCATAGAAGCCTGGGATCAAAACCGGTACAATGTTATTGGGTATCGGAATTGGCCTAAAACTTATGGTAGGGATACCTGTGCCCTTTGCCTTGTCCTCAACGGCCTTGTTCCATACTTCTGGAGGGGCTTCAAGAAGGCCATATGATGAGCTGTCCGGATGGGATGTGTACTGGAGAAAGTGGTGAGGAAGATCTTGGAACAGCGTACGCATGGCAGTTGTATACTCGCCGCGTAGCTGATTTTGCTTATGCGTTGCATTGAAATTCCGCGGTACCTTCATATATGTTAAGGCACGATTCTTATCATCCCATAGCTGTATTATGTCTTGTCCCTCTTCTGGGCTTGGATTGAACAAGACTGGGTGGTCTTCTTTGTCGAAATGCACGAAGATACTATAGCGCTCCGTCGGCCCAGTAAACCATTTTTTGAGTAATGATGATATGGGATCATTGGCATTTGGCACGGGTTTATCATGGTATAATATGCCCGTTGCTGAATCCAGTGGTTTCCTGTTAGTGGTAGCAGCTGAGTCCCAGACTTCGATGCAGACCATGTAGTTATAACCCTCGTATCTCACTCCGAGGAGTTGATCTACAGCTGCTACAAAGGTGTCGAATTTTGAGAGAGTTGAAAATGACCCCTGATATCCGTAAATTCGTAGTGGTGTTCCGTTCGGATCAGACGAGGGAGGAGCAAAAGTCGACGGCTGTGCACCACCACGAAGATTCAGAGATGGGAAATTTACGACTGGCTGTTTTCCGGGTCGACTCGGTGCGTACACTATAAAACATCGTTATTAGCAATTTAGAGGCAAGACACGGCAAAGCTAAGACAGTGTTTCAGGACTACTTACCACGTTGTGATGGATCACCGTATGTTCTAATGGAATAGTCGTCCAGGAAGTCCAACGGGTCACTTTGAATGACAAGATTGTCCTGGTTGCGATCTAGATCCATCTTTACATGGCCCTGAAAGCTCCCCGGCTTCATTGGGGCAACTGGCAGTCCAAAATAGAGAAGAGTCATCTTGAACTGCAGTGAAGGGGTGTGGCCTTTAAAGCGTGTCTCTAGGAGACGCTGGTAGCGAATAGAGTGATCTCTTTGTAGTTCAACCAGCTGCGGTGGTCGGACCGCTGGCTCGAAGAGAGCAACCTCTTCAGGTTCAAATACTTGATCAAGAATCTGTCGGACAGTGAGAGAGGTTTCCCGGAGCAACTTCAGAAAGTAAGCTTCCACATTTATGAAGTCCGGGTGATCTTTATGGATGAGCGGGTTTGCTCGAGAGGTAAATGGTACTGTTTCTAGTATAATATTCGGTGTGTTCTGGTAAACGTCTCTACGTTCTGGGATTGAATATGACAGTTCTTGCGACTGCATGACGATGGCGTGTTGGAAACTCTCCGTGAAGAGTAAGATAGAATGTTGGTTAGCCGCACGAAGGATTTACGACTGGTGATATTATTATGACAGCATTGGATATAGGAACCTCAATGCGTCACGGCTGAGAGAATTAAGAGGATGTTTCCTCAGGACAGAAAGAAATGGAACAGGTGAAATGGAACTGGATGAATCTTTCTCTATAAAGAACAAAGAGTATGTTCTTCCCCCGTCCAATTCTATCAAAGTAACCCGATTCAGTTGTTTTAGAGACTTAAATGGCATTCCAAGATTCCCTACTGTTCAATGCGGCCAGGCTTCGGGGATGAATGCATTCCAGTCCGTTCTCTTTCACACTGCGACCGGTACCTTTCTAATTTCTAAGACAAAAGAACACATGGAGTAAGCTTTTGTCCATTTTCAGCAATTCTATTGTTCAAAACCCTTCCAGGTTCAGCCACGGCCATCAAGAACTTAGAAACCGTTTCCGGAAGCTATCCCCAAATGTTACCTACGTTGAGTATCATCCAATAGGCAGAAAACTTATTGGTAGCTACTGACTGGAATGGAAGAAAGCTCGGCGCAATAATCAGGCGTATGCTCATCAGAGCTAGATTATTTGAGATAAAACCTACGTCGAACCGTTTTCGCGACAGTGTCATTGATCACATCTATAGATACCTACCTACCTTAGGCAGGCGTACAACCTACCTAGTACACATTGCTTGATGGTCAAAGCGAAGCGAACGCATAGCACTTTACATTAGGTATATTATGTTATACTGGGTAGGGCATCGGTGCTCACATACCTATCACATAACCTCCTCGTCGGAGTTTCCTGATTCAACTGCGATATACGGGACTTTGCTGCAGCCTGACAGGTGTTGAGTAACCATGGAGCTTGTATAGATCCCCATATGTAGGGCCCCCCCTTTTTTTTCAGGGGTATCTTCAGTAATGACAATATATCATTTGCGAATAACTAGATTATTAGCTGGTAGGCCTGCTCCATTCTCCTGTGGTCGCAGTAGCTTCCCCCACTTGATCCGAAGTCGCTTCTCATGTATGCCTGTAAAGACTATATTTGGAGCTTTTCTATTCACCAACGGAGGTTCCTGTGCGGGAGCATAAAATATCGTCGCGGGGAAGTATCGTGTCCCCCATCTTTACTGTACCCCATTGTCTCCCCCGTATCCCCGGGACTCTCCCAAAAAAGTTATTACCTTGTGTTCATATATAATCAGTGCCGACTTATCTACTGTGAAGTACCTAGGATAACGAAGATGGCTTCTAATCCGCAGCAGAACCTATTAGACGTGCTACGTTCGCATAGCTTGGTGGATTGCGATACCTTTGATGTCGAAGGTAAGATGCTGTCTGCCACTGTGTCATGGGTGATCTGTGCCGCCAAAGAAGTACGCATGCTTACATGTTGGAATAGTGCCAAAGAAGCTCGCCCCCTTTGAAGACTGCACGTCAAATCAGGTTGGCTTTATTTTCTAAAATACACTCATTGAAAGAACTAGACAATTAACCTTACCTGTACTAGGCCATCGCCTATCATGAACTGATCCGCGTCGATGGGGACGGGAAAGCTCTTCACGCCCAACTGATTCAAGATGCGGTTGATTTTGCTTCGTCAAAGGCCTCGGCGTATCCAGAGGCGACGGTAACCGAGCTAGCGGTAGAGGTTATGATGGTCAAGCTGGCCCTCCGAATAGTGCCGTACTTGAAGGGCTTTTCTCATATTCAGACGAACCCGAAGTATGCGTACAACAAGCAGAAGACTATTGAAAACGGAAGACGTAAGAGCGAATGCTTATTAATGACCGCGGAGCGATGATCGCTGATGATGATGATGTAGGAATCGTGTCGATATTCCTGGAACTAGACCCAACGTACGACAACCGAAGGGTGTGCATCAAGATTCCATCCACTTGGGAGGGCATGCAGGCGTGTCGCGAATTAGAAAAAGAGGGAATCGCCACATTGGCGACGACGATGTTCTGTATGGAGCAGGCGGCTCTCGCGAACCATGTTGGGTGCACGTATATTGCACCGTACATCAATGAACTGCGCGTGCACTTCGACGCGAAGTAAGTTCCTATCCCTAATGTTGTTGAGAGCAATGATGCTGCCCCACATGCGAGGTTGAGAACTAATGATGTACTTACCTAGTTATGTCGACCAGCACAAAGCCTTCGACTTCTGCGGCGCCGCTCAGCGATACTACGAGAAAATCGGCAGCGCGACGAAGGTGCTGCCGGCCAGTCTGACTTCTATACAGGAGGTTATGAAGCTAGCCGGCGTCCACCACATTACCGTCGCCCCGCATTTGTTGACGAAGTTGGCAGAGACGCCGGCTAACCCGTGGGAAGGGGAGACGGGGACCGTTATCCAAGACAAGACAGCAGATGCGACTGTAGGGAATTATGATGATATACTAGAGGATGAAAGTGCTTGGCGCCTGGCATTCACTCGGAGCCAGGAGGGGAAAGCTGAAGTCAAGAATATCCAGGCCGTTAATATATTCTGTGAGAAGCAGGATGGTCTGGAGCAATTGGTTCGACGATGATTGAGGATATATAGGTATGTAGCTCTTAGGGATAATGTATAATCATATGTTACGTACCTAGGGTATATACCTACATGCAAGCTGTCAGACATTATGTACCTCCTCTATACATTTACTCGTGTAACAGTTCTTAGGTATATCCAACATAACATTTCTTTTTTTCTATCATGAGTGTTTATGTAGGGATATATGTAAGTAAGTAAATACCCAATTCGCCAAGAATACGTCTATACTATGTAGGTTAGTTGGGTGGAAGAAAAAGAAACATTTGAGCACATCGATAACTTTCTGTCAGACTTCAAATGTTTGTCAACCCCCTGCTGTGTTCATATCAAAGATCTTCCGAGACATTCCTCATATCTATCTAACCTAGTAGTTTTCAATCTTGCAATTTAGAAGGATTGAATGTTCCTTTAACCCGCGATTATGGATATTACTCGTAGCACGATAAAGCAGGATGGGTACGTGTATTCGCTATAGAAACACCATAAGCCGGAATGCAGGTACATACATAAGGCCATAAATTGACCTAAGCAACCCAGGTCATCTGTATCATATGTAGGGTTGCGTAAAATGCGCATTATAAAGTAAAGTGCGCGTTTAATTCATAACCCCTGTAAAATGCGTTTAATTCAGTATTATACTCAAGGTGGGGCACGTGACCACCCTAACCTAATACACTTAGTATATAGCACTCTTCCAAACTCACTTGCAAACACTGTTCTATGGATATACACAATTCAGCTAGATCTCTCAAAAGGCATATCGAGCACTGTCACTCTTATATACGGATATTACATAGATGCTCAACAAATAGCAAATCGTCAATCTCTTAAGGCCCAATGCCAAAGCCATTTTAGTAGGTGGTCTTCCATTTAATTCTTACTCAATCCATTATATACGCTATTAAAGAAAAACGTTATTCGCAACCGTTATTGGAATGACGAGATACCTGTAAAATTATGTAATCTCACCAAATTTTGGTGCATATTTTTCTCTACTTAAGTACATCCCCACTTTTCAATTTCGGACCCACCGCATTTTACTTTAAAGTGCGGAATAAAACTTGAATTATACCCGTATAATTCAAGTTGAATTAAACTCTGCGCAACCCTAATCATATGTTCGTTTATAGATCTACAATGATATGTATCTTGGATTCTGCCAATGTTGATAAGGTGCTCGTCATTCATTGGATCACGGATGCACGCAGCGGAAAGATATCTGTTAGTATACCATGGGCCACCCCTGCAGCCATCATGGCTGACGATCTGGGGGAAGATATCCAGGTAACATCCAGGTAGCTATGAATAGGATAACTACCGCATACATCTGCCATTTGTAATGAACAAGGTAACCCTATAAGATTGATATGGTACTCACAAAGACCATTCACAACCTAAACCCTTCAATTGTCAGACAAAGACTCGAAAACAATGAAGAATATATCGATGGTTGAGTGGAAACGGAGGTTCACGTCCCTCCACTCTTGGGAGCTTCCCAAGCAAACTGGCGCCGTCGCGCCAGCCCACGTCTGGACGAACCGCGACATGGGTACTGTTACACTGCCTACCTACTCTGCTCTACTATATGATTTTACCATATAACAGATCATAAAATCTTACATAGAAAGCTCACAAGTTAATCAATCTATTCTACTTAGACCCAACACCCGTCGAGGATCAGACATGGAACACATGGACTATCCTGGCCTACTGGGCCACCGACACGATCAACTTGGCGACATGGCAGACGGCGTCCGCCATCCTAGCAGTGGGCCTAAGCTGGCGAGAGGCCATCCCCATCATGGTGGTCGGCAACTTCTGCGTCGCCGTGCCGCTGGTCCTCAACGGTGCCGCCGGCGCGAAACTCCATGTCCCCTTTTCCGTCTTTGCGACTAGCAGTTTCGGCTACTATATGAGATACTTCTGTATCGTCAGTCGAGCCATTCTGGCCATGTTCTGGCTGGGTATACAGGTAAGTACTGATAGAGATAGATGCCCAAAAGAAGAAAAAGAATGTCCCAATTAATCTGTGTACATGCAATATAGGGAGCGAACGGTGCACAGTGCATCACGATCATGCTGCGCGCCTGGGCCCCCTCCTACAACGACATCCAGAACCAGCTGCCCGCGAGCGCCGGCATCACCACGCAAGGGATGATATCGTACTTCTTGTTCTGGATCATCCAGCTCCCGCTGCTGCTGATCCACCCCACGAAGCTGCGGCCCTTGTTCTGGGCCAAGCTCACGGCGGCGCCCATCGCCGCCATCGCGACCATGATATGGAGCATCAAGCGGGCCGGGGGCAGCGGCGACATCTTTGCGCTGCGCGCGACGGTCACCGGGCCGCAGTACGCCTGGCTCTGGCTCACCTGCATGTCGAGCGTCACGGGCACGTGGAGCACGCTGTCGGTGAACATCCCAGACTTCACGCGCTACGCGAGGTCCGCCAACGGCCAGTATATCCAGCTCCCCGCCATGCCCATCATCTTCACCCTGTGTGGTGTGTTGGGCATCGTGACGACGTCGGCGAGCAAGGTGTTCAGCGGCGAGTATATCTGGAATCCCCTGGATATCATCGCCATGTGGCTCGACTACGGCGCGGGCGGCAGATGCGCCGCTTTCTTTGCGGCGTTTGCGTGGTATATCGCTCAAGTACGTGACCAACCTATCTTACCACTTACTGTGTGATGTGTTACCTGTTACCTAGGTAGATAGTGGAGATTATGCAGTGCTAACGGGCCGTGTAATAAATAGGTCGGTACGAATATCACAGCCAACTCCATCTCGGCCGCCAATGACCTGACAGTGCTCTTCCCGCGCTGGATCAACATCAAAAGGGGGTGCATGATCGCCGCAGTCATCGCCGGGTGGGTCCTAGTGCCGTGGAAGATTCTCAGCTCGGCCCAGAGCTTCCTCGCCTTCATGGGCGGCTATGCGGTCTTCCTCGCGCCGATGGCTGGCATCATGGTCGCTGACTACTGGCTCGTCAACAAGCGACACATTGATATCCCGAGCTTGTATGACCCCGATGGCCGCTATCGCTACATCGCTGGGTGCAACTGGCGCGCGGCAGTCGCCTTTATCGTACCTGTCGTGCCGCTACTCCCCGGCTTGAGCTTGAGCATTAGCGGTCCGGAGGCGGTTCACATCAACGAGGGCGTGACGAATCTCTACACCATCAATTGGCTGTTCGGGTTCACGAGTTCAATTGTTCTTTACACGCTGCTGAGCCACGTCTGGCCAGCGAAGGAAACGTTGTTGGAACATACCATTTGGAGCACGGCCATCGAGACACATGGCATCGAGGAAGATGTGGGATCGGAGAAAGCTACCGGTAGTGGCTTGTCTGACAAGTCGAAGACGATGCCTGAAGAGAAGGCTCTATAGTGTGGCGGTATACGATGGACTCCTAACCCAGAGTGGGAAATTAATTTATACCTAGCAGCCCATCAGCAGTGATGAAGTAGCTGACGGGGTGGAACTTATACTTGGTCCGTAAGAGATAGTTGAAATGAGATTTTTAGGACTCTTTGTTTCTGTGCCGTCTTACTTTGCTACTGCCACTGACGTTCGCTCTTAGGTAGACACAACACCAGAAGTCGTGAACGAAGCTAACTTACTCACCTCAAGCATCTCATGAAGGGCCAAAAGTGTAAAACCTCACATTTCTTTTAGCACAATATGGTATTCCGTCAGCGCCTACCCACCCACTTACCTAAAAGTATGTAACGTCGTTGAAATTTTACGACATACCTACTCAGCAGATCCCGGATATAGCTGGCCATAACTCCACGTCTGTGCCTCCTGGGTGTTAAGCAGCGATCACGGCAACATGTATTTCTAATCAGCCAATACTGGGGATCGGATCTCCCGGGTTTTAAGGAGCAACCGGGTTCAAAAGCCCATCTTTATCCCAATGCGACGCTGCTGCCCTCCACCCCCCGCCCTCTCTCCCCCCCCCTTCCACCTGCGCTTCGCGCCTTTCCCCTCGACGCGAGCTTCGCCTATCCGAGTTCTAGGGGTACATAAAAAAAAGATTCCTATTCCATCTTTGGGGGAAAGAATCGTCCAAAAAAATAAAAAAAAAAATTATATATACTTACTTTACTTGAAGGATGCCGCACTGAAAGAATGACCCAGCTCAGGCGCATATTCTCGCGGGCGACGGCGAAGCCGTACCGCACGGGGGACCTGGAGCTCGCCGAGCGCCCGTACCTCAACGCCGAGGGGCTCGTCGACTTCCAGCCCGGCGACATCGAGAACCCGCACAACTGGTCCAAGGCAAGGCGCTGGTACATCACGCTGTGCACGGTGCTGCTTGTTATTAATGCCTCGTATGCGGCGTCGTCTGTGTCAGCGTGCTTTGGTGTAAGTTTTTTTTGGGGAGGAGATATGGGAGTTGGTGGAGGGTTGGATAGGTATCGCCTACCTGTCCAACCTGGTTAGGAGAGGGGAGGTGGGTAAAAGTGAATGAATTCCGCTAACTCGAGATCTTCAACCAAGAGCGTGTCCAGAGAATTTGCGGTATCAGAAGTCGTCGCCGGCCTCACCATTACCCTTTTCCTCTTAGGCTACTGCGCAGGGCCGCTAGTTTTCGCCCCCCTATCCGAGGTATATGGTCTCCCCCTCCACATCCTCTCCCAACCAACCCCCCCCCCCCGTTCGTTAACTCCACCAGACTGACTAACCGGGCATTGAATCACCTAGTTCTACGGCCGCCGCTGGATCTTCTACGTAACCTTCCTGATCTACCTCGCCTTCAACCTCCTCTGCGCCTTCGCGCCCAACTTCGGCTCCCTCCTCGCCGGCCGCTTCCTAACCGGCGCCTTCGTCTCCGCGCCCTTGAGCAACGGTCCCGGCGTCCTCGTCGACCTCTGGGGCCCCGTCGAGCGCGGCAACGCCATGACCGTCTACTCCGTCATGGTCTGGATCGGCCCGGCCCTCGGCCCCGTCGTCGGCGGGTTTCTGGAGCTCACCGAGGACTGGCGCTGGAGCTTCTATGTCCTGCTCTGGCTAGGCGCCGCGTCGGTGCCGTTCATGTTCACGATGCCGGAGACGTTTGGCCCGGTGCTGCTGATGTACAGGGCGCGCAGGATCCGGAAGGCGGCGATCGAGGGGTTCGAGGATGTGAGGGCGCCGGTGGAGGTTAGTGATCGCTCGCTGATTGGCATCTACAAGGTTGCGCTTACGCGGCCGTGGATCATTCTGTTCGATCCGATTTCGCTTCTTTGCGCGGTGTACATGTCGTTCGTATACACGCTGCTGTTCATGTTGTTTTCGATATACCCGATTGTCTTCCAGGGCAGCCGGGGCTGGAACTCGGGGGTTGGCGAACTCCCGCTGATCGGGACGACGATTGGCGCTATCCTGGGTGGTGTCATTGCGTTCTTCGACTCGAGGCGGAAGGCGGAAAAGGTGAAAATGGGAATCGCGATCAAGCCTGAAGACCGGCTTACCCTGGCCATGATTGGCGGTGTTGGGTTCCCGGTCAGTATCTTTTGGTTCTCGTGGACTGCGGAGTACGAGTAAGTCAAGCCAATCCTGTCGACAACTATGATTTGGCCCAGAACTAATAAAAATGGCACAGCTGGATTCACTGGATGGTTCCGACCGTCGCCGGCGTGTTTCTGGCCGCGTCGCTTATGCTCATCTTCGTCTCGTTCATCAACTACCTGGTCGACTCCTATCTGATGTACGCCGCATCCGCCATCGCGGCCAACACCATTGTTCGCTCGGCGTGTGCGGCCGCAGGGCCCTTGTTCACGGGCTACATGTACGCTGCCCTTGGTATCGGGGGCGGTGGTTCGCTGCTCGGAGGCATCGCCACGTTGCTTGCTGTCATCCCCTTCGCATTTTATAAATATGGCGAGCGTATACGTGCGAAGTCGAAATTCGCCGTTGCCGGAATGAGAAAGGTGACTAATGATGGGGAGGTCCAGATAAGCGAAGCGGTGGTAGAATCTTCGACGGTTCAGGCTGAGATACCGCCTCAGATGTCGGAGACATCGAGCACTATGGATGGACAGGGACAAGAGTCTCGCGAGGAGAAGCGAGACGATAATCAGATCGATGATATACATACCACCCGAGAAGAGCAAAAGCAGGAGGATTAAGTAAGTGTAGGAAGGATAAAGGGAAAGCAAAAACATGGACATAGGCAATGATAGCGTTTCAAACATCGAGGGATAGACATGATAATATTCGTTAATCAATTTGTGTGTTCAACTCAGTCAACTCCGTCCACCTTCACCTAACTTGAAATACATATTACCACCAAGGTACCTACCTACCTATTTAAATAATACCTAACCTAGTATACTCCAGATATCCATCATCAAGCACCATTTACCACAATACACTTATGCGTATCTGCCGTCACCGCCCCATTATTCTTCGCAATACTCTTCCCCATCGTCGCATCCATCCCATTGGCGACCCTCAACTTACTATCCTTCGCCATGCCATTATGCGTACCATTAAATCTCAAGTTCGCGATGCCATCGTAGCCCTTAATCCCCGTCGCCTTCTCAACGCGCTTCGCGATATCGTCGTCAACTTCTCTTAGGATGGCGATCTCCCTCTTGATGAACTCGGGCTCCTTGCAGAGCGCCATCTTCCCCGAAATGTTGCCGATGAAGCGCTCGCGCGCGGGCTCATCCCACACCTTCTGCCACAGGGCGCGCGGGGCGTTGAAGTCCTCGGGCCGGATCTCCGATAGGAAGGCGATGGCCTCGCCGGTGAAGTGGCCGTGCGTGGTGCTGATGTTGATGGAGCGGTTGCGGAACTGGATGGGCTCGATGGAGCTCAGGTAGTTCGGCCGCGCGCCTTGGTTGAAGAAGGCCATCGAGCCGTCGCGCTGGAAGTTGCCGAACTTGAAGCCGGTCGACGGCGCGTTGACGGGCAGTTGCTGGTAGTTCACGCCGATGCGGTGGCGGTGCGTGTCGGGGTACGAGAACAGCCGCGACTGGAGAACAGGGTCGGCCGAGGCTTCGATGCCGGTTGGCATGTGCGCGGGGTTGAAGGCGACTTGCTCGATCTCGGCGAAGTAGTTCACGGCGTTCTCGTTTAGTGTGAATTCGCCAATCTTCTTGAGAGGGAACTGCTTCTGTGGCCAGACGTGCGTCAGGTCGAAGACGTTGATTCTCTGCTTCTCCCACACTTCTTCGGCCTCCTTCGGGGTCATGGTCTGGATCTTGACATCCCACTTAGGGAACTCGCCGCGCTGGATCGCTTCGTACAGGTCCTTTTGGGAGTAGTCGGGTGACTTGCTCATAGAATCCTCCTGGGTGATGAACTTGGTACCTTGCTGAGATTTAAAGTGGATTTGGGTGTATATCCAGTCGCCTTTCTTGTTCACAAACTTATGAGTGTGGCCCGAGTAGCCATGCATAAACCGATACCCATCTGGAATTCCCCGATCTCCCATGAGAATCATGACCTGGTGAACACTCTCCGGGTTGTTGCACAGATAGTCCCAAAACATGGTAGAATCATCTGCGTGTGTTAGATGGGTAGATGGATCCCTCTTCTGCGTATGAATGAAGTGAGGAAACTTGGCCGGATCTCTCAGGAAGAATACCGGCGTGTTGTTGGCGACAAGGTCCCAGTTTCCATCGACCGTCCGGAACTTGACAGCGAACCCTCGAGGGTCTCGGGCGCAGTCGTGTGAGCCGGCCTCGCCTCCGACTGTTGAGAACCGCACTGTAATAGGGCATTTCTTCCCCTTGGTCGAGAAGATGTCGGCAGAGCATAACTCTGGGATTGGATCCGTACACTCAAAGAAACCACTATGGTGGCGCAAAGGTCAGTAGGTATTTCATGGGTTGTTCTTTCAGGGGGGAATGAAGGGGGTCTAAGCTGATGAAGCCTTAGATACATACTGGGCACCGCTTCCCTTCGCATGGACTACTCGTTCGGGGATGCGTTCGCGGTCGAAATGAGAGATCAGATCAATCAGATGGAAATCTTGTAAGAGCAGAGGACCATTTTCTCCTATCCTTTGGGCCTCGTAGGGATGAGGCATGGGCACGCCATTGCTGCAATGGTTAATAACGGGCACAAAGTTTAGAAATAGTTGCCCAGTACGTACCTGGTAGCATATAGTGCTTCCTTGGAGCCCATTTTTCGGTCTTTCTCATAAAATGCGTGTTGGTTGGCCATGTGGCCGGTGAATGAGGTATCTGCAGAAGGCGCCATATTGTTCGATGTTTCTGCTTCCCAAACTCGATTCTAGTTCGAGTGATTGGTTATGTGATCGTAAAAATGTCGATTTCGAGGGCAGAAACATCTGATGACCAGATGATAGGATTTAAATATACCTAGGCTTGGATGTCTACAACCTAGTAGGTATGGGAGGTGATGAACTCATCATTTTCTTTTGGCCCCTACCTAGGTAGGTATCCTTGACCAATCAAGTAGCCTACATATGTAGCTACATATAATTTCGGACTGTTCTCATTAACATTTACCCTCATTTTGCTGTCGACTAGGAATTCGATGATGAAATGATGACGGGAACATCTTTGGCTATTGCTAAGATAGTGGGCGCTTTGAGTTTCACCACCAAAAAATTGCCATATTATCGTAGGCGTCATACTGGTTGGCTGGGTGGCGGACTACTTACTAAGGTTACTTACACCCCAAGACAGTAAGTATTAGGTTGCGTATTCCTGCACATATAATTTAATCCTGAGTATAGCTCACATATTTGTGAGCATAATTCTATTTGGTGAAGGTTAAGAAATACGAGATTGATGGTGCAGAGGTGCTTTATTCCAAGGTTGCCACCCCCCCTTTTCATTCACATACTCGTACACAACTCGAGATAGACTCCTCAAAGTCAAAACTTCGTAATTCACATTTCGGCAGCATGCCGTTATCGATTCATTGATCTTGCTATGAGTCGATTAAACAGCTTATGTCCCAACTCATCATGCACACAGTTGATCCAAAATACGCTCTCGAGTTCCATCTTAACCCCTTCCCATGATAACCCCCCCTGACCCCCTGGGATCAATTCGTCTAGAATATACCTCCACTTCTCAACCAACCAAGGCTCTTCGTATATATCGTATATCGACATGGCACTGACGTTAAGAACCCAAAAGACAAGTTTCCTTAGATGCGGTGATGATACCTCTATAGCTTGGCACGCGTCGCGCAGATGCGTAGCGATATAATTACGCTGCCTCGCAGGATGCTGGACAACACCCGTGTTCCTCGATGAGAGCCCACCGCCTCTGGGACTCTGAAATAAGGTAATAGTTAGAAAAGCCATGATTCCCAGACGCAGACACTCGTCGATGATGCAATTAGCATCGCCCCCTAGTTGCAAGAGATGGGATTGAATCGACTCCACTGCGCTCTTGAAAAGTGCTCCTGGTATCCGAGATCTCTGATCAGCGTGCTCGTTGACCATAATGGTAAGGTGTTTAAGATCATGACATATTACAATCAGCCGTGGATCAGTGAGACTATTGGTGAATTCGAGGTCATGAAGCTGGTGATGAGCGTCAAAAATAGGAGTCCAGGTAATTGGGGTAGAGTCGCGTAATAGGAATATGGGCACGCTTCCAGTAGCTGCCACATATGCCAGGTCCAACCTTAACAAATGTTAGACACTGTACTATTACGGAGATATTGTACGAATGAGTACTAGGTAGATACTATGAAACAACATACCGGTGCAACTCGAAGCAGAGCTCGACCTCAGACCTAAGATAGCCGTCACCGCCACAGCCATTTATAATCTGTCGCAGACCAGCTAGATGCACGCCAAGTTCCGCATAATTCCCCAACTCCGCAGCAATCGCCGCAACCATAGTTATCGTATAGATGATGGGTCCTAACGAAGAGGCATCGAGACCACTAGATAGGCTCTGGTTGAGATGGGACAAGGCCTGTTGTAAATGAAAATGTGGCGTTTTATGGGTGAGGCTTTGATATATGGAAGTAACTGCTACCACGGAATGGACAAAGGCCAGGTCACGGACGAGCCACCGGGATGTTCTCTGGTCGAGTGTTCGGAAGCTGACAAACTTGTATGCTGGGTACATGGCTCGTTTGAGGTCATTAAATGTGAAAACTATAACTCGCATCTGATTGTCAATTCACGATGGCGGATTGGGTATGCACAGATGCCATTGACAGCTGGGTACCTAGGTAGGTATAGTACTAACACTGAGATACGATGTCCGTAGCCGACAAGCCGGCCTCCGTCGCCACGTGCAAAAGCCGTGAATCTAGAAGAGGGGGGAGAACCCGCATGGGCCATTGGATAGCCGCATGGCTGCGGCTCCCGTCCGATGCTGTACTAACTTTACCTAGATCTTCGATCGCTATAGGTGGTGTATTGCTATTTCCGTGTCTGGTCTGCCGAGATCGACGAGAGCCTTCACGCTTATTTTTACCAATCATGCAATGACTGCGGATTTGTCTCCTCTCGGCAGGACTTGTCTTCCCGCTCGCGGGATCCGCTATTATGAACGAATATTGATCTGGCATCCTAACGCGATATTGATGACAAAGAAGAGTGCCTTAGGTTAGTAAGTGTTAAAGAGAGGCGCATGATTCAGCGTCGGGGAAGGAGATGACAAGAGACCAGAATGTATTCCAGTTTGGGGGTATTCGGCCGAATTAGGTCAATCTTACGTGCCTAAGATCTTCACGATCCTAGTCAGCACGTGGTGAAATACGATTAGTCCACTCCTATTGACCAGATTGATTGCCGTTTTGGGAAAAGTAGAATATGAATTTCAGGTAGGCAGCCACATAGGGTGGCTAACAGCAAATCTACAATTAGTATCTGGCATCAACGTATTGTTGCGCGGCGGCATAGATCTCCCGGGGATGGAGGTGTACGGTTTTAAGGGGATGGCATGGAGAGTATAAAAGAAAGGCACATCCAACATAATAACTACATAGGTAGCTCGATACACAACTACATACATAGGTATCAATATATACATCGTACCCAAACAAAATAACTTTCTTCTTCATCCGGAGATTTGAACTTCTAATATCCAGCAACCGGAAAAGAAAAGGACACAATATGGCTTCTATGTCACTGCAACCCTCAACCCTATCAAGCCTTGGCCTCTTCATGAAGTCAAACGTACGCATGAAGCCAATCCCACCCCCTAAGGACCTCTCCCTCCGCGGCCAGACAGCTCTGATCACAGGAGGTAACAGCGGTCTCGGCTTTGAAGCGGCCAAGCAGCTCTTGCAGCACGGGCTCTCTCGTCTTGTCATTACATCTCGAAGCGCCGAAAAGGGCAAGAAGGCTGCCGATTCTCTGCGTGCTTCGTGTCAGAACCCGGATTCCGAGATCCTTGTCTGGGAGTTGGACATGTTATCGTACGACTCGATACAGCAATTTGTGAGACGCTGCGAGTCCGAACTGCTCCCCCTGGGCAATTCGGTGAGCGGTCGCGGCCTCGATATTGCCATCCTCAATGCCGGTGTCGCTCAGGCGGTGTTCGCGATCAACCGCTCCACGGGGCATGAAGAGACCTTCCAGACAAATTACCTTTCCACGGCGCTTCTTGCCATTTTGCTACTACCTCTGCTGAAGGGGAAGGGAAAGCCGAAGGTGGGGTCAAAGCCAGGCCGTCTGAGTATTGTAGGCTCAAGCACTGGCCTCACTGCCGCCTTTGGAAACAGGAACGCGAACCCTTTGATCCCAAGCTTTGATGACCAGCATCATTGGGAAGAAATGGGTGCATTTGAGAGATACAGTGTCTCGAAGACATTGGTCATGGTGCTATTAGCACAGCTAGGAAAACAGGAGCTTGTTGACGAAGACGGCAATGGCGTGCAAGTCAACGCCTTTGAGCCGGGCTTTGTCAGGGGCACAAACTGTAAGAAATAGCCCGGACTCCTCGTATACTTTTGGAGAAGTTGCTAACAAGTTACTATCAGTGTACCGCCATGCTTCATCGACTAAGATAGCGAAGGCGATGTTTAAAGTCATGAGCGTGATAGGGGGCAGGACCCTCGAGCAGGGATCGTGGATGTATGTCCATGCTACAGCGGAGGTTGACGGGAAGAAGACGCACGGAGGCTACTTGATGGATTGGGAGTTATTTCCGTAAGCCACTCCCTCTGCTTCTCTATCTTTATGAATAAGTTAACATAATGGCTTCCAGGCTTTACTCGTTTTTTTACACCGACGAAGGGAAGGTGGTAATGGAAAGACTTTGGGAGGAAACGCTGACGGAGTTGGAGTTTGCTGGTGTACGGGGTATTTTGGCATCAACGGGGTGCAAGACATGAAAACCGCTTTGGTTGCTTTGCGCTGTTGTGACTGTACTTTCCTGTTTACCAAGTTTTTTTTCCATGTTCTTCTTTACTGCATGTAGATATCCTCATAGATAGTGTTCACATACCTGCTTACATAGATCTAGACTTTTCTCCTGAGTCTTAGGATCCTCAAAGACCTTCTTGCCATTGTGAGTATTGCTCACGTTCGGGATGATATTTTTAGATATACAGATCTAACCTTAGGGAGGTAGGTTAACTAGTAGGTAATGAGGGGCATAGAAATATGGAGGGGCCTTAAAAATCACGTCCAGGGCTGTCAGCTTTGTGGCCTGGAGGTACTGGAATTTAGGTGCTCCAGCGTATCAGTGTGCTATTAGGATACCCCTGGGGTTGGTCATTTAGGGCAATAAGTTTTTGCTGCAGCGATTAGTCCCGCTGTAAATAGATGCTTGGTAACTAACTGTCATCTTTCAACCAACAATAAAATATAACTTCCAAGGTTGACTCATTTTAATCAAGATCAATAAACTCTTCTTTTCCTATTTGTTTAATGAAACGTTCCAGCTTAAATCCTTTCTTCACACTGAATTAACTTATGAACATATATAATGTTCAATGCCAACCAAGGTTACTACATACATGTATACACGCCTGATATACAGAACCTTCACATGGCTGATTCATCCACATTCGGGTGTATTTGTGAGCCCATGTTTGAAGATCTCGGAAATCTCAAGCTGTCACCACACCACTAAATATATCTAAATGCAACTATATATCTACGAGAATGTGACGGAGGCCATCCCATTGAGACGACCGACATGTAGCCTATCTGATAGGTAAACTACGAACCATCGGCAATCTGTTCGGTAGTCCATTCATCGCGACCATGACGGAGATTTTGATTATCGTATGCATAGCTTACTTCAACTTTCAACCCAGTCCGTCGTGGATCTTCTCATCGTGCGCTCACCAAGCGGCGATCGTGCTTACTATGTAGGTACTGACTACCAACATGTGCAAACAAGCAATGGAGGCATCGTGGAAGCATGGAGTTCAAGGCAACACCACACACACCAGCCCATACTTCAGAGTCCTCAAGGCAGTATTCCAATCCCCGGTTGAGGGGCGGACGTTGTATCCGATCCTTTCTGAGCTCTGAAGCTTATATGCTGCCAATGGGACAGTTCGTATCCTGTGCGACCAACAACTATAAAGAATACACACCCATCCGTAGCATTGGGGTTTTATAGAATGTTGTGGCTCCCAAGGGAGTTTCTCAAGGCAATACGTAACGACAAGAAACTCGGGGAAATCACTAGCATAGGAGTTGGAATATCTTCATCATCTAACATGGCCATCGAAAAGAACCTCGGCAGCCCCCCTCCCAAGGGCGTCTTCGCAACTGCAAAGCAGTCATGGGGCGATCTTTTCCGCTGGAAGCAGAGGGTCCTCGTCACGAACGAGCTCGGCGAATCCCACACGGAATGGCAGGCTCCCGAGAAACTCCAAAATCCCCTCTCGCTCTTTATGCAGTTAAACGCCAAGCAATGGGCTTATTTTCTCGTGGGGTTCTTCGCTTGGACGGCTGATGCCTTCGACTTCCATGCTCTGTCGATCCAGACCGTCAAGTTGTCGGCATACTTCGAACGCAGCAAAACGGAGATCAGCACGGCGATTACCTTGACGCTGCTTCTGCGATCTGTCGGGGCCGCTGCCTTCGGTCTGCTTGGTGACCGGTTTGGCCGGAAATGGCCCATGGTTTCGAATTTGGTAGTTCTTGGTAGGTGTTGGATCATACTAAATCTTTTGACCAAGACTGATTCTTTGAAAAAGGTCTATTACAGATTGCCACGATATACAGTGCCACATTCCAACAGTTTCTAGCTGTCCGATCCTTGTTCGGTATATTTATGGGCGGCGTGTATGGTAACGCTGTCGCGATGGCTCTCGAGAACTGCCCGTATGCCCTTCCTAGTATCCCCACATACTTGTACCGATGTTAATATGTACTTAATCGGCAGTGTCAACGCGCGTGGTCTCATGAGCGGTATTCTACAGCAGGGTTATTCTTTAGGATACGTTCTTGCGGCCTGTGCCAACTTGGGAGTCGGCGGTGCTCCAGAGACCTGGAAAACAGTCTTCTGGATTGCCGCTGGGTTCTCGATCGGCATCGGTTTAATCCGTTGCTTCTTCCCAGAATCGAAGCAGTTCAAAGCTGCCAAGGCGGCTGGCCACCACATCTCGGCAGGCGACTTTTGGAGGGAAACCAAGTCAATGCTGGCCCAGGAGTGGCGCGTGTGCATATACTGCATCATCCTGATGACCTGGTTCACGTACTACGCACACGCGAGCCAGGACAGCTACACCACGTTTCTGCTGGAGTCGAAAGAGCTCCCCAACGATGCTGCTACCCGCGCCAGTATCCTCATGAACACGGGGGCCTGTGTTGGTGGAGTTATAGTGGGCCATCTCTCCCAGTTCGTCGGTCGTCGTCGGGCCATCATCGGCGCTGCCCTGATTAGCGGCTGTATAATTCCCGCCTGGATTCTCCCCGGAACCGAAGCAAGCCTCTCTGCGTCCGGATTCGCAATTCAGTTCTGCATCCAGGGCGCCTGGGGCGTGATCCCCATCCACCTCAACGAACTATCCCCGCCCGCTTATCGGTCTACCTTCCCGGGCATCGTGTACCAGATAGGAAACATGGTATCTGCGCCGGCCGCGCAAATCGTCAACGCCATTGCTGAAGGCAACTTCGCCGTCGGCAAGGACGGGAAATTGGTCGATGCGTACGGCCCAACTATGGGGATCTTCCTTGCCATTCTGGTAGTCGGCATTATGGCAATCATTGCCGTGGGCCCGGAGAAGCGTGGCCGGTCTTTTGAACATGCTGGGCCTGCTGGTGCTAATATTCAGGTCGAATCGGAGAATAGTATCAAGGATTCCGAGCTGTTTGATTCTAAGGGGCATACTGCATTAGAACTCGAGACAAAAAGACGGGAAATTTGATTCTCTTCCTGCTCTACCTTGGCATTGGGTAGGCAGGTATGAAAGTCGTTATCAGCTCGAGTTCATTAAGAATCCTAAATTGGGCCTCTTGATGGACAAGCCGCCCTCTTCGTTAACGGAGGATAACGCTGTGTGCTGTCAATAAAGGGGCAAATCTTATGCCTTCCATGGGGGAGATAGCTTTGCCCTTTCCCTGCTTATGATGACGCATAACCCTACTCACTTCTACCAACAACCACAACAGATTCACCTAACCTAGGAATCTCAAGATCTTTGACCTTGACTTCAACAATACTCCACCTTTTGCACGAATATTTTTCCTCGTGTCATCATGGTATTGATAATTGGGCAGCATTGTATCATATTTATTGGTGTAGCAGCTTAGGGGTCTTGCATCCATAGTATTAATAGCAAGGCTGATCAGCCATCCCGAGGAATTTACCATCTAACGACCCTACCCCCTGCACCCAAATCAACACCGAAGTTAACTTGATTTCAAATGTTCTTTAACCTGGTTTTGTCTGGTAGATACCTATAAATATGACAAGTAACTCCCTAGTTCACGTCTCTATTTTAGAAGCAATAGAAAAGACGTGCCTTTGCGATCACATTATCCTCATCACGAGTTTCATTGTCTCTGGCAACATTGAAGTGATTTTCGAATTGCTTCACGCAAGGCCCAGGCTAACACAGACGGACGCGTTAGGAACGCTATCCCCAAGACCACATCCATCGATGCCGATTCCAGCGCCAGTCTAGCTCAAGCTACCCAGCGCCACGCGAGGGGGCCGTGTCAGCTACACCTGCCCCAAACGCTAACGCTGGCGCTGGCGCCGGCGCCGGCACATCGACACCGAACCCCTGCGCCATATCCTTCAGGCCATTCTTCCGAGTGGAGAAGGGCGCCATCGCTGCTCATCTTCGGATGTGACAACTTTACCGATTACCATGGGATTTGAAGAGCGATGTAGGGAGTTAGGTGTTCGGATCTCGTTGGGAAAGAAGGAGAGAGGAGAGAGGAGAGAGGAGGATGAACAAAACTGAAGAGACAAAAATGGAACGAAAAGGGGAGGAGTAAAAAGGGGGGTGGTCTAGTCTCGTCGGATGAGGGGCTGCTAAGTAAGTCCCTCAGATGGCGTCTAGCTTTCTGCGTCTGTTACGATAATGAATATGCGCCAATGATTATTACCCCAGACCCAACAATACAAATTTGGCAAAGCCCTTTCTTGCATCAAAGATCCACGGATGCGTCTTCCGTTTCGATCCCATGTTATTATATAATATCGTAGGGATAATAGTTGATTGCCCTGATCTGGGGGCAGCTAGGTTACGTAGGTGTCGCTGTTACCGATTGGTGGCAACATACCTACCTATGTAGGTACTCATGCGGCTTACTCCGCAGACAAGTTCGAGAAGGACTGTCCTTGTAGTATGGATGCGACCTTGTCCGAGTTTCTGCCCTGCATCTTGATACCCCATTGGTGAAGGTGTCATCTTGCCAACGTTGCGCGATTGCTGTTTTTCGACGTTGGGTCATGTTAGTAAGTTCCCAGAGAGTGAAAAAAAAATCAAGAGTTGGCGTGCAGCAGGCAGGGTCGCACGTATGATGATGGTGTGCTGGTGAGCCCTATGAGAAGCATGTGCTAAGTACCTAGGGTAGGGTAGGGTAGGAGGCAGGTATGTAGATAGCTGAACTACATAGAAAGAGGCAATCCAATCGTCCATTTTCTTTTTCCTTACCGAGATTTTTCGGTCTTTGCTTTTTAAAAATTAACATTAATAACGCGATTATTTGCCCGTAGGTATGCATGTACTCGGCACCCGGCTGTCTAAAACGATGGAGGTAAGGGGTACTAGGTATTCAGGGGAGAGATATCGAGCGATCTACTGTAGTGTCGACCAATGTTCATTATGGAATGGTACGATGTTATCTGGGTATACCTAGGTGTAATCCTAGGTAGGTAGTATTAAGTAAAACAGCTTGTTTGATAATGACTACGAGTAGTTATAAATCATCAACATACCTATGTACTACTAGGTAGGTACCTACTACCTAGTAGCGTTGCTTACCTACATATGTACCTACATGTAAGAGAGATGCTATCTACTGTAGGTACAATACCGAAATACCTGCCTAGCTAACCTACCGACTAGGTCCGACCTACTTAATAGGCTCAAGGCTAGTATGGATGTAGTGTAGACAAGCAACTCTAACTGATTGCAGTTAATCGAGTCGAAATCATTGTTCAATGATTGTTGGAGTGAAAAGTGGAGTTTGTGGAGTTTACCTTATCTTGCCATATCTTGAGCTGAAAAGTTGAGCTGCCTAATTGGATGACTACAACTCTCTTTCTTTCTACTTTCTGCTTCTGCATCTGCTTGGCCTAACCTGTTTTATATACATGTGGGCATGCCATTCACATGCCTTGGCAACACGGTATGTTCGCATGGCCAAGTTTCCCTCCATGTACCTACATACATAGTACATACATGTGGTTACTAATATAGGTAAAACCATACGATTGGAATTAGGATCTAGCTACATATCTAAGCCATTAGAAGCTACAATGTTTGTAGGGATAGGAGGGGCATCAGAAGCTGAGAACCGACACATCGTGGGAAAATGAACCAATCAAGTTACGAACCGCTCACACTTCGGGACATTGCTAAGAATGAAAGACCCCGGACGCCCTGTAACTAACTGATAACCCCCCTAGCCTTCCCCCCACAACTAACCTGCCTTCATAGTAACCTACTACGCAGTAGTAGGTTAGGGGGTTTCTGGGTTGTCTAAGTCTTCGATATCCCTGATGGCTCAGGAGAGACGACATGCAATGGGGATTCGTCGAGGTTGAATCTTAATATCTGCCTCCCAAATTAGTAGGTAAGTAAATAAGTATCTCCTTATACTAGTATCGAATCCATACAATGCCCAGCAATGGCATATCCAGCCGCTCCGTGAGCATCTCATTTTACTCGAATCTCTTCCACGAAAACAAACAACGAACGAAAAACAAGTCAGAGTCAGAGTCGCAATAAGCAATGCCAGACGCCACGAGCTCATTAATTGTCGGAATTTAAATGATAGATATTAATGTTGCCCCCCTCCTCTCCGAGACTTCTCAACCACGCGTGCTGGACTATCGATTCCTTTCCCATTCATTCTAATTTGCGGGCGTCACTTGTTTCGGACTCGCACTCCTTGCTAGGTACTAGGTACTAGGAAATAAATGATAGACACTTGGGCGTATTGACGCAAGTCTAGGATAGTTCATAGGATAGCTTGGGCTTTTCGGTCCGCTACCTAGTAGCTAGACTTTCTTGGTCCCCTTTTCTCGTCTCTTCTGTTTTGTGGAGGCTCTCTCATCATTGAAGCTACTACATCTTTTACGACGATCCAAACAACTAGCCAGGCCCGCTGTCAAAAACACTCATCACCAACTACTACTTACTGGCTTGGCTGCGCTGCACTCTTGGACGTTTATTTGTTCTTGTTTTGAAGGCAATTTATGCCATGCGCGGCTATCACAAACCCATAGAAGTCTGCTAACCAAAGCGTCACCTATCTTTCAACTCTACATGGTGTCGGCCCCAGATCTCTCCGAAGATCTCCAGTGCAGTCGGAGGAATTCGTAGCATTAGTTTTAAATAGCACATCCCGATCACGCCAAATCAATCGTAGTCGCTTCTGGCAGATACTTGGCGTTCCTAGATCGAAAACCCAGCTCACCTGGCCTGCCATGTCTGGACGCAGCGCATACGTGAGAAAGAAGATCACCGAGCAAAGACCTGGTGGGCGGCATGTAGGAAGCGGTCATTCTGAGCTTGATGCTGAGTCAATCAGCGAATCGGTACTCCCGCAAAGTACCGGGTATGGCACTACCAATGCGCGACTCCTCAAGTTTTACGAAACGGCGCGGGAGGCGGAATTGAACAGCTATCGTCCCCCCATCATAAATCTCGGTAATAACAGCAGTGGAAGCCAGAGTGGTGGAAGTGAATCCGGCAAGCGGGAGGGGGGAAGTAATGCATCTCAGCAAGGGCCTATGCCCGACTACGCATATGCCAGAGCGCGGAAGCCTGTATTAAGAACGGAGGATGTGTCGGGTATCGAAAGGTCTGGTTTTCGAAGTGCGATGGACAAGAAGAGCGACGAGTTCCGCAAAGGCATCACGAAAGCCTTCTCATTTGGGGCCAAGAAGAAGAAGGGACTCGATGTAGGATTCAGACCCGATTCATCCGCCACAGTCAGGGGCCACCGTGATATGGATTCCTTTGACATGCACGAAGGACCCGGGACACCTGCCCAGCACCCGTCACACCTCGTATGGGATCCAGAATATCAGCAGATGCTTTCGCCGCCGCCGTCAGCTAAACTCCCACCGATCCCTCCACAATCGAATGCACCACCCATTAAACGCTGGATTGGTGCCGGGAGACCTGTGCAACGATGGAACAAGCTACGAAAGGATCCCGAGTTATGGGATCCCAATGGGGATGTGCTAGTGTTCCTTGGCCGCAAAGGACAGGTCCCGCGACTAAACCCTTCTTTCCGTCTTTCGTCTCATATCATCGAGACAACCGAATCTCGTTTCCTTCTCACCCTCCTCCGTGAAGGGTCCACTGAGGATGAATACGATCCGCGGGTTCAAATGCCCCCGTCGCCCATCGGCGCACCCCCGATGCTTCGGCCACATGGTGTGCACCAGCAGCTAGGATATATAGGACGGAATGGCCAGCCCACCCCGCCAGTTTCGGAAGATACCAATCTCGCGGATGCGGATGGACAGATCTCATATGAGATGTACTTTCCCACTCCGCCTAACTTGAGCAGACTCGAAGCGCATCGGCACGCGATCACGACGCGCAACGTATTTGCGCTCTTGTACCATGCTTCTCTCGTCGGCCTATCCCTTTTCCAGGCGTTGTCCGACTTGCTAACCCGTCTTACGGCGTACATGCCCTCCGACGCAGATAACCTCGGCACCATCCTCAACTATCTGTCTGGGCGCGGCATCGACGACTCTCGGAACGATCCGGAAACCGCCGTGTCCATGCTGGCGTGGTCTGAGTCCGCGGAAGTGCGGTGGGAGGAAGGATGGAACGAGGCGTTTGTGCATTGCGCCGGGATGTACTCTCGGTTGGAAGCCTGCGCGGACTTCAAGAACATCACGCCCATCACGCGCGCGCTTTTGGAGCGTGCGTATCTGGAAACCCAGCTGCGCGTGCAAGCTGCCGAAGAGCGCCTTGCCGAGTTCTCTTGCGGAGATATCTGGCCGACGTCAGGTCCTGGCGCGCGAGGCCCTGCACGAGATGCTGCTGAGCGCTTGCGCCAGTTTTTCGTCAATTATCATACTACGGTACACGGCGATTGGCCCCCTCCTCTCGATGCGAATACGCGGACGGCGGATGGCGAAGATATATGGCTCACAAGGACAATGGCAAGACAAATGCAGAAGGAATTTGGCGCGCTCTACGACTACCTCGTCAACCGCGACATCGTGTGGGATGAATCCGAAACCCGTAGCAGTCGCAAGTGGATGATGGTGTCCGAGAGTGGCAACAAGTCCTTCGACCCGGATACCCCTGAGCTCCCGCTCACGGATATGCTGATTGAGTTTGACAACCGAATGCGATTCCCTCATATCCCGCATCCGTACCCTCTGGTCCCCGAATCCATTCCCCCGATCTCACCGCCTACCTCTGGCTCGAATCGCGAAAAGTTGCGGAAGGACAAAAACAGCAACGCGAAACAAAACGGCGAGAGGCGCGCGCAGCTCGCATACACGGAAGCGACTAACATATACATACTCGGATCTGACTTCACCCAGTCCGACCTAATCGAGAGCTTTGTGAAATTCGAAAAAGCGGACCAAGTTGGCATCGTGGACCCCTTCGTCGCGCGCCGGGGGCGGTGGGTGCTTATCTACGGAATCCTGCAGACCCTCGCCAGCGTCTCCGTCGACTCGCCCAACATCCGGTACAAGGACAACGTGGCGTACCACATGTCACCCTGCTTCAACGGCGCCAAGGCTCCCCCGTGGAAGGGGGCGTCCGGCCCCGTGGCCGAGGCCCGCCACGAGCTTTCTCACTGCTGGACCGTGCCGCGCACCTGGCAGCAGCAGGCCGGCAGCAACAACAGCGGTGGTGACAGCGGCGGCGACTCCGACGCGGATGTCTCCGTCACGTCGAGGTCAAGGTCGCGCGGCGGCAGCATCTCAGACCCTGTCCTCCGCATGATGCGCGCGCAGGCCCGCATGTTCCCGCGCCCGCCCGGGACGCCCGCCACGACGAGGTCTAATAAGACGGACGGCTGGTACACGGCGCGCAGCGTGCAGTCCAGCATCGTCGGTGACAATACTGGCGCTGGCGGTGGTAGTGGTGGTGGTGGGTTGGCGGCGCCGCCCACGCCGACGATCTGGGGCGGTTCCTCGGCAAGGAGTGTCGTGAGTTCGTACTCGGAGGACGCGGGATCGATTGCAAGGCCGCATTCTTCGGCACGGTATTACCAACAAAACCAGCACCAGAACCAGCATCAAAGCCACCACCAAAACCAAAATCACGGATACGGCAGCGTAAACAGCAGCGTCCACCACCACCAACCAAAAAGCTACGCCCCCTCCCGCGGCGCGCGCAGCGAGCGCAGCTATGCCACCTTCGGCCCCGGCCCCGGCAGCGTTACCGGCAGCGTCAAGGCCGACGACAATAACAATAAGTGGCCCGAGCCCCACGGCGCCCTCGGAAAGCGAAGGATGAAGAATCCGAAGCACCTGGACTTGCATCTGGACGTGTCGCGGTTCGATGACTATGGGGATGGGGGAGGTAGTGGGGGCGGGGGGTATAGCCCAACGAGCGTGGATGGGAGTAGGAGTGGTGGTAATGGTGATCGTGGAGGGGGGAGCGGTGGTAGTGGTGGGGGAGGGCCAATACTGAGCCCGAATAGCTCGGATGGGTTGGGGCCTGTGATTAGGGACTTCGATGAGCTGGAGTCGGTTGTCGAGGAAAGTCTGTAGGTTAGGCTAGGTTGGGAGAGGAGAGGAGTTGGTGGGGATGTGTGCTTGTTAGCAGCTCGAGTTTTTTGTTCAATGTAGTTCGATATACCAACCTACCTTTTAGGCAAAAAAAGACTTGGGGTCTGGGACGAGTTTACTGTTATATGGATATTTTATATGGATATGTTATATGTCTGGCCTGGTCTGGTGGTGGAGGGGGGGAAGAGGCCAAACTAACTATGTAGGAGTATTAGAGGAAAAGGGGGGAGTTAGTTAGGTACCTAACCTAAGTACTTTCTTGATCTTTACGGTACCTACCTACCCCATTTGAATTAATGATGTGTGGACGATGTCGACGATGTGAGTGTTTGACTTGCACTACCTACCTGCTTCATCATAGTTGGTTATACCTAGGTCTGTTACGGTGGTTGAAGAGTTATAGATCTATTAGCCTTGCGGTCATATCCAGTACCTAACAGTTGAGAAAAGAATTTCCATAGGAGACGCTGCCTCAATGCCTCAATGCTAGGCTTGCCATGAAGCAGGTTTAGAATGCCTTTTACCGCCCCGAAGATGATGCGCCTGAGGGAGAAAAGGGCCGGACGTCATGTTCGAGGAATTTCTGGCCTATTAACTATTAGGTAGGCACTTATTAGGGTTATTTCATGATATAGTTACAGATACCTACCTATATTTATTACTCTATGGTTCGAAAATGATTATTATATACCTGGGTAGGTAGTGGCATGTAATGTAAGCCGAGCCGCATGAGCCGCACGACCCCTGCGATCTTTTATAGAACAATGATCAACTCTATGTCGTGAATAGGATACCGAGAGCAGAGACTTTAGCCCGATCCTAAAAATATGAAATAGGTATCTCAGGAGCTATGTTATTTATAACGTGAAAATTCGTCTTTGCATGAAGTGTTTTTTGAAGTGATTCTCCTAAATTTAGGTAAATACCCTACTCATCCTTTTACTTATATAGATAGGCTAGGTAGATACCACTTACATTCCGCAATGCGTGTTTTGATTCCACCATAAAAATCTTTCTTGTCCGTACCTACCTATCGAACACACAATACCTAGTAGACGATACCTACACAGGGTTGAGTTCCGTCCAGCATCATGTTGACCCTTAAGAACCTGCTTCTTCTACTGGGCCTTGCTGGACAGTTGGTAGCCGACGAAGACTGCCCACCATGTGACTGTCCTTGTCTAAGCTCGACTACGTTGCAAACCTCCATGAAACCCACAACTGCTACGGCGATACAGAATACACAGCAGCCTCCCGGAACAGAAAGGGCTTCAGCTACCCAGCCAAGTCAAACAGGTGGCCCTCCCGGAACACAAGATGACGACGACAAGGACCACGGCGGCGTCGGTACCGGTATCGGTGTAATCCCAGTCCCATTCCCCGGCTTTGGCAACTTACCTCCTGGTGGCGGTGGTAATAACAACAACAACAACAACAACAACAACAATAATAATAATAATAACGACAACGATAAGAACAACAATCACAAAAATAACAATGATGACAAGAACAGCGATGATAAGAACAACAATGACAATGACAAGGATAACGACAAAAATAACGACAAGAACAATGATGACAAGAAGAACACTCAAGATCCATCGCCAACTGAGACGAAGACAGGCTCCTCCAAGGCATCCTCCTCCGAGACAACCTCTTCCAAGCCAGCCTCTTCTACGCCAGCCTCTTCCATGCCAGCCTCTTCCAAAATAACCTCTTCCAAGACAACCTCTTCAAGCGGCAGCTGTACCATCACAGCAATCGTCATGGTTACCGAGTCGTACAGTCTGAAGACAGGTGGCAGCTGGACCACATTCCTGAATACCAAGACACCCAAGTGAGGATGATGATGTCCAGCCTCTGAAAGTCCTACCGTCTAATAGCAGAACAGCAATGCACCAAACTCTTGTCAAGTGACATTCGCTACCACGTCCACCACCGTGACGCCCTCCAAACTCCCAGTCCTTACGGATAGGGGTCACAAGATTCAAGGCTATCCCGAGCCCACTTTTGTTCCCGTGGGGACGATGATTCAGAACTGGCGTGAGTACCTAGCTTTACTTACCTTTCTCCTTATAATGCTGCTATTGAGCACCTACGATATCTACCTTAAAAAGTACCAGTTCACGCCTTACCTGTATTTTATATGAGCGGCGTGTTTGGGGGAAGGTGGTCAAGGGAAAGCACAGAGAGCGCATAGCTAACCCATCGCACAGTCCTAGAGCAGTTCAAAAAGGCGGGGCTCGAAGAGAGCGTCTCCGGCAACACTTCAGCACCCGCAACGTCAGCCAAGCGGTCTAGCAAAACGGGCACCAATACTTCAAGCACCGTTGCATCATCCACCGCGCGCAAGCTCAGCACGAGCAAGCCTAGCGCGACAAGTGCGAAGAAGCCCCAGCCCACGACGAGCAAAACCGTCTCCAAGCCCGAGGGAACCGCCAAGCCGGCCGAGCCCAAGAAGGGCACCTGCAGCGTAGAGGTCTGGGAGGCGTCGCACGGGCCCCGGGACGGCGTCAACGCGACGGCGACAGTCCGCGACGCCGCCGGCAAGACGCTGCGCGTCGAGGACACGGGGGGTTTCCGCACGGAGTGGGGAGCCAAGCTGACCGCGGCGGCGAGGGACACGAAGCTGCGGGCGGACCTCGTCGTCACCTTTACGCGGGACCTCGCGCCCGGCGCCAAGACGCAGGATTGCCGGGATACCGACGGCAGCGGCAGCGGCAGCAGCAGCGGCAGCGACGTGGCCGTTTCGGTCGGCAAGAGCTGCTCCCCGTCGCAGTGGCGGTACTGGGTCGTGAAGCTGCAGTACGGGGCCAAGACGTGGGATAACCTCGCCCGCAAGGAGAAGGAGCCGTGGAATTGCGAGGGGGATAGGGAGTGGAGTGGAAGCGCGCCGCAGCGGAAGTTTACTTGTCGGTTTGAGTGCTAGTTGGTAGGTAGAGTAGACCGTGACAATACGCTAAGTAGTAAACATTGAAGATACCTACTACTAATAGTAAGTTACCTATTCTCGTATATGACTATAATCAAGTTTATGAGCCACGACATACCTCGGTATGTGCATATTACCCTGTTCGTTCACTGTACTACATAGTTCGATGTTACCTTTAGTGTTGTATGTGCCTTAGTGCCTTGAATTTCGAGCATACATACCTCATCCTGCAGGTCTTGGCGTTCCCTAGGTACATGTACCTACATACAAATGCTAGGGTGTGTTCACTGTGTTGATGTATACTACCTAGTACCTAGTACCGTAGACCTGGATATTACATGGTACAGGCTTCAGCTTTTTCTCTGTCACTCACTCACTCTCTCACTCTCTCTCCACGACCCTTACGTTGACGGTTGGTTGGTCAGGTTCCCTTTCAGCCTTCGATTATTCCCTTAGGTATCCTTCTCCATCCTCACCTCTCATCTCTCATCTCTCATCTCTCACCCGTCACTTCTCACCTCTCTCACCTCTTACCTTTCACTTAACTACATCTCTACACTCAATTCCTACCTCCTCACCACCATCTACATAACTTACATATCCCGTCACCTTCTCACTGACTATATTCCTCCTCTTGCATATAATTACCAGCCATTGATACACAGCTCCTCTTTCATTATCCAACCATATATATGCCAAGCAATTTTGCCAAATAAAATTTCCCGAGGGCAGTGAGGAGGGGATCTCCAACCATCCGCAAAGATGTTTTTCGCCATCTTCTTTACGTTTTGGCGCTTCATGCAGATCATCACATTGGTAAGTCCAGAAAAAAAAACCCAAAAAAACACACCATCCCCACCACCTTGTCTGCTCTACTCCTACTACTTACCTACATACATACCAACTTTGCTTTACACCTTAACCCCTCGACTCGAATGCCACCCGCACAAGAACACCCAATCGCCTAAGCGCAACTATCATCCCCAACTAACCAAAGACGCCTTCCAACAGATCCCCACGATGGGCATGCTCGCCTACTTCGTGAACGGGTACGTGCAGCTGAACCAGCTAACGCCGAACTACATCCTCGTCCTCTTCATCGTCTCCGTGATCGCGCTCGCCTGGTCCATCTACACGCTCTTCAGCTACCACCGGTCCTCCTCCAACGCGACCTTCGTCGCCGTCCTCGACCTGCTCTTCGTCGGCGCCTTCATCGGCGCCGTGTACTCGCTGCGCATGATCGCCGCCGCCGACTGCACCTCCATCTCGCGCGGCGACCCCTACGACGTCAGCTTCGGCCCCTTCGGCAGCGCCTCGCTCACCAACTGGGACGCGAATGTCGACAAGACGTGCGCCATGCTCAAGGCGTCGTTCGCGTTTGGCATCATGAACTGTGTGTTCTTCTTCATGACGAGCATACTGGCTTGTTTACATGGCGACCGCCATGGTGGAGGGGCGGATCGCCCCGGCTATTATCGTGAGACGCACCATCATCGACATGGTCACCGCAGCAGTCGCAGCCCGCACAGTAGTCGGCATAGCACGCACTCGCATCGGAGGGTGTATGTCTAGAGGAGTTGCGTGGGAGCAGGAAGGAGTATATCAATGGCAATGGAAAACAAAACAAAACAAAACAGCGTGTGGTGGCGTGGTTTGAGTTGCATTCTCTTAAGAGCTTGAATTGGTTGAGGGCCGCATCAATCCAGACACCAGGCAACGACATGTCTTCAGCCACGAAACCCCCGAACCGGAGAACGCGGTGGCCAGCCCCAATTGGTCGTGTATTCGGCGGCCAAGACTTCGTTGTTCTTAATATCTGTGTTTGGGCATCACGACGTTTGGAGTAACGTATAAACTAAAGAGAGAGAAAGAGAGAGAGAGAGCCTCTTGAGTTTGGTTGTGTTTTTGTATGTGTGATGATGGGCGGAAGGAAGATTACTACGACACGACCCAAGATTTTCGACGAAGAGGCGGACGTTACAAGCAGTTACTTGCAACTTTTTTCCAGTTCTGCCGAACGATTAACGAAATCCTTCGATTAGGTATATGACATTTGCAACGATTAATAATGACGTTATTCCCACGATTTCCCAAACTACCTACCTAACCTCGTACCTACCTAGGTACCTAAGTAGGTATCTATACGATTTACGAGAGCGGTGGTAATCTGGTTGTTTCGCAGATGAGTTAGTTTGTACGTGGATGAGTACGGGCTACGATGTTTTTACTTTTACGAAGGACGATGAAGTAAATGAATGGCTTGCATTGCTGCCGTCGTTTGGTTTTATAGTTCAGCTATGTACGTAGATAGAGAGTATAGCTATTTCTCAACTGAATTATAGTTACTAGAATCGCTGTTGAGGCTAATAATATGTCGTTCTCGCAGTCTTATGGCATTTGCTAGGTACATAATCCAAAAGTCACTACTATCTCATTCCCCTAACCTCACTATAACACTTTATCCATATAGTTAGATCGTGAGGCATAGCAATGCGCAGCTGAAGATAGTTACTACTAACTCTCCAAACAAGTGCGACAGAGCTCAATCGAACGTCGTACATGGCCAATGCCAAAGATCATACTCAGCAGAGGCCATCACCGGCAGGGCATGGCTCTGTCTCGGCTGAGAATTTGGTCCTTGATGCTCAAACTGGGGAAAGTAGTATTAGGTTGCGGTGACTTAATCGGCGGGATTTGCGCCTCAACACTGGGCATTGTTGATTTACGGTCAAAATACGGAGCGAGGCAGGGCCAATCACGTCCTCGTCTCATCAGTCCCCACGGTGTAGCCCCTGGCAACACCGCTTCGTCCCTCTCGAACAACTGTGCTGTCCTCATCATCCTCCGTGCCGAATTCCGTGCCCAGCCCTTGCCAGGTTCGCTGCGACCTCAGGAACTCTGCTCCAGGACTTGCCACACCGTTCACCAGCGCCACGTCTCCAGCGGCTCTCCTGACAATTGCTGCTGAGGATGCGGTTGTCTGATTCAGCGATGACAATACGTCGTTGGTTTCGGCTCCACTCCGCGGCACGCTCCGTATAGCCATCCTCATCGGGCGGCTGTTGCTAACCAGCTTGCCAGTGCGCAGGTCAAACTCGGGGGGTTCTGATTCTTCATCGTCGACACCGCCTTCGATATCATATAAGTCTGGAGCAGCGGCGCTGTCTTCTTCAACTTGGCTCTGTTTGGCGATGCTCTCTGCACTTCTTTCCTCGGCCCACGAGGTTCCCACTCCCTCAATCCCGCCCCACCACTCCCCAGTCCAGACCCTACTCTCCTCCCCTTGTAGCGCGAGCCCAAGTTCAAACGGTGTGACCACGGGCTTCCACAGCCCCTCCTGCTCAACCAGACCGCTTTCCCAGCACCCGACGACGACCCAGCCATCTATCTCCGCAAAGTTCGCAAGTTTGGCAGCGTTCAATTTACCAACCACAATCGTATAACTCTTCTTCCCGGCAGCTGCAATCTGACTTTTGAGGGTGGAGATCGTAGACATGTAGTTCTTGACGGATAGCGTGTTCACGAGAATTCCAATTATAGATGCGGTTGCAAGTCGGATGACAAGGCCATATCGCCGGCGAAGTAAACTTTGGGTGGCGCTTGGATCTAAGGGTGTAGAGTCCGTTATATACGGAGACGAGGGTGTGGAGTAAATTCGTAAAGATGCGAGACGGGAGGAAAGGGTCATGAGGAGTGACGTAGGTGGAGTGGAAATATGGAATAGATGGTATTCATTTAAATTATGAACGATCTCATCCTCACTAGGCGTAGCAGAGAAGATAATATTGCGATTCGGTATCGGTCCAGTGGGATCTCGTACAATTTCAGTCGCAATGATGGTTGTGTATCCTCTTTCTCTGAGTAATTCGCATATGGGCAAGACGTGGTCTTGGAACATGACGTCTGCCATAACAACCACTTTATCCGTCTTGTCCTGAAACTCCTTCTCGAACGATTCGGTTATGGTGTAGTAGTCAAGTTTCTGCTTCGTGAAGATATGGATTACTGGTATCCTCGAAGTTGGACTCAGACATGCGCGGCCATAATGGACGACCCCTTCGGCATTTGCGTGCTCGGCTGCTATTTCATCGACACAGCAAGCACTATAGGATGTGTCCGCTAATATGTATAACCGTTGGCTTTCTGCCGGCTTCTCCTCGTTTTCTTCCCCATCTCCTTGTAGATGCGCCGCCACACTTCTTAACTCTTTGCGAAGCGCATTAACAATCCATGGTGCATCCGGTAGCATGGCATCCGGGAACTGTAGTGCTATGTGCCTCCAGCCATTTTGTTGAATATCGGCAGCTGTTCGCGCAATCTCGTAAACTTCATATAATTCATCATCAGATCTTTTCGTTTGTTTCGTTTGAGCGATCGTGGAAGACAGGGTCGGGTCATCTATGAAGGTATATTCAGCTGGTGTAGAGAGTACTGGAGGTGCGCTGAGATCGGACGCCATGTGAAAAAGGGAAATGGAAAAGAGTATAACTGTAAATTTCAAATTGTTTAAAACGTCATGAGGTAAAATATTCTCTTTTTTTTTCCCTCGAATAGGTACATAGTACACGATGTATGAACTAATGGAGGGGTACCTAACCTGGGCACGTATAGTGGTGGAGGGGTAACTAGTAGAATTACCTAATATGCAAAAGGTAAAGTTCACCAATCACTAATGGTGTAATATCCATTGTATTGGAAATAAGCTCACATGCAAATAGTTCAATGTTACACATGCATACCAAGGTATAGGAACCTTATATTGAATGCCGGTATTGCTATGTATGTGCATGTATAGCCGCATAATACAAACATCGATGCATCTATACCTAAGAAGCCAACACCATGCAGCCTCGCTATGAGACGGGATATATCATCAAGCGTCAAAATAGTATATATCTAGCCCCATATGCTTCATCTGATCTCCGCAATATACATCCTCGTGAAATCTACACAAAATATTAGCTCCTCCTACAATAAGTCTATCCTGAGATCAATGTCCCCCACCCCCCTCTCTTGGAAAAGCGGCTTACCTAGCAGCTCAGAGTTTTACCTTCCCAGCACTCAGTCTATCCCAATCACTCTTCTCGAACGGAACGTACGTCCCATTCTTAAGCCAGAGCAATTTGTCACTGCCAACTAGCGAAGGGTCCACGCCTTGGACTCGGAGTTCGTGCTTCTGTTGTTTGTTCGTGCCGGTAACTGCCGATGTGATGCCCTCACCAATCCTTAGGAAAATCGGCACGGCGTACTTTGGAAGTTTACTCCTGGTAAACTCGGCCAGAGATTTTAGTAGCGCATCGTCAGGACCACCCTCTCGAAGCAGAAGCGCGGCGCACCCCGCCCTACCGTCGTGATTCGGTAACTGCACGCCGTACACATTGGCTTCCTGCACAGCCGGGTGTAGGGAAATCGCCTCGCTGACCTCAGTGGTAGCTACATTTTCACCCTTCCAACGGAACGTGTCGCCGATGCGGTCGTGGAAATACATGCGTCCCTCATGATCCCAGCTGACTAAGTCGCCCGATCGAAAGTACCCATCACCCTTTTTAAACACGTCGCGGATGATCTTACTCTCCGTTGCCGCACTGTTATTATAATACCCCTGGAATTCCTTCTGCATGTCTGCCGTTGATAGTGTAAACAGTAGCTCACCTACGCTACCGGATTTGACCTGTCGACAGAGCCCAGTCTTCGGGTCGCGCCATGGCGTGTCGGTCTCGAGATCTAGTTCCACGATAGCAGTTTTCCACTTGGCGATTGCCGAGTACAAGAAACCAACACGACCAATGGCACCACTCGCGAACTCGTTTCGGGTATGGTTCCACGTAGCTAATGTGCCTTCTGTCGACCCATAGAATTCGGCGATGCTCTCGACGCCAAATCGTTCTCTAAACTTATCCCAGATGTCCGGCCTCAGACCATTACCAAACGCGAGGCGGACTTTGTGTTTCTTATCCAAATTCTCTCCCGTGACTGGATCAATCTGGGGCGGTGCCGCTAGTAAGTATCGGCATGTCTCGCCGACGTACTGGATCATAGTTGCGTTGTGCTGACGAGCTTCCTTCCAGAAAGTCTTCGTCGAGAACTTTTTGCCAACAGCAAAAGTGCAGCCTGCTTCCAAACAGTGGGACATTCCCATGATAGTAGCCGAGCTGTGGTAAAGGGGCATACACTACGTACAACTCATTAGATTGCTTTGACGGGTATATTTCTGGGCAAGGAAAGAATTTACCGTATAGAATATGTCGGACGGTTTAGTCCCTAGCCAGCCGGTGACAAACAAGCCGGCCAACGTCAGCTTGCTCCATGAAACAATGGCGGCTTTTGGCAACCCTGTTGTGCCGGACGTATAAATGAGAATACCTATATCCCTGCCCAGTTGTCCACTGCGGAGGGAATCTGGTGGCCGCACTGGTTCAGTCGCCAATACCTCGGCGACCAACTCATCCGTCAGTAGCTCGATTCGTAGGTCTCCTAACTTCTCGCGGACTGCATCGTTCACATTTGCAGCAACTTCTGGGTCAACTAGCAACAGCACTGATTGTGCGGTAGTAACACAGTGGATCAAAGCTTGGTCGGTCAAGTTGTAGTTGATGAAGGCAGGTTTAGCCCCAATAGACCACAGGCCATAGCAAATAAACAGAAAGTGGTCCGAATTTTGAAAATCCACGGCGACGACATCTTTAGGCTTGATACTAAATTTAGTCTTGAACCAATTTCCGTACTTAAGCGCTATCTCGTAGACCTGGGCAAAAGTCCACGCCTTGTCCTCGAAGAGAATGAACGTCCGATCCTTGGATGACTTATTCGTCGCTGCTTGCTCTAACACGTAAAACGTACTGCAGCGATCTTGTCGCTCGCGACGGATATTACGGTAGAAAGCTGGGACGGTGCCTCGCAGCAGAGTTAGGTCGTACGAGAATCCCGTCCTGGCACTAAGATAGGAAAGTCCGGCAGCGGCGGCTGGCAAAGCCACAGCCAAAGGAACTGATGTGTATTAGTAATAGGGGAGAGGAGGATGGTTCGGTCAGGGGCCGATCTGAACCAAATCGCATTCCATCACAAGGACACAAAAAAAAACTTACTGGGCATTGTTGTCAACTCACTCACGTAGTTAATTTCGTCCAACGATAAGTTTGTAGATATAGGTGGAATTCATGGAATGATAAGATGAGCCAAGATTAGACGGCACCTCACAAGCTACCTTGATAAAGAGGTTACTAGATAGCGGGAGTAGCAGGAATAGCAAGAAGCATCATATAATTGGTATATATACGGTTCTACAGCTATCAGGTAATCAACGGAAAGTCAAGCAAGAACAGAACAGCAACATTCAAGTTTGCTATAGAATCTGTTCTGGACGAGTGAGTCCAAAGAGCAATGAGAAAGGAATGGTTAACTAGTAGATGGCTAATTCAATCAAAGATGAAGGCAGAGATGAAGGAGAGGGTGAAACGAGAGAAAACATTGAAGAATTTGAATTTGAAATAACAAGATATGCTTTAACTATCTCCCAAGAACGATATGATGATGGTTACCTAGGTTAAGTACGTAGTAGGTTAGAATAGTCGGTGGGCCAAGTGGAGTGGACTTCACTTTTTTTAGAATCAATTTAAGATTGATGGGTTGATGACATTAGAGGAAGGTAACTAATAGGCATCTTGGACCCCTTGCGCATACCCTACAGTTAAGCCTTAGTATAAGTAGTTAAGGACTACGTGTAGCCTGTAGGTATCTTACTTACCCTAGGTAACTATGTGACTGCCATTATGGTAGTTCAATAGTAGTACATACAGGTATACCCCTCGTCGGCTTTTTGATGCGTCGACGAACCTCGGCTTGCAACGTTGACTTTAAAGTTTAGACAAACTTAAATCGGAGCCTAAAAAGATTAATAATAATTTGCACATCCTGATAAGTGAATACCTATACACTACAGTATGTACTAATAAGGTAAAGCATTTATACATAACTTGGAACCTAGTAGCGTTGCTATGTACCCATGTACTCGATTAATCCATGCCTTGAAAAGCTTCCCCTGTCAGTGTTACACTGGTCCAGTTACAGTTCGCTGTCATTTAGGATCAGCTTTGTACTTGTAAGGTTACTAAGCCTTTTTTACATGCACACCAATTCACGACACGTTGACAAGAATTGCCATCAGTTCGGATCCAACATCGCAATTGACTCTCAAGCCATGCTTCCAAAAATTTAGCGACGCTTGCTATAACCATGTCGTCCGTTTCCGAAACCCGACATCGTAGCGTCCCATCACCAGCCGAGACAGCATCTGCGACGGCCGACACTAAAACGATCGATACCACAAAATCGCCAGCAAAGCAAAAACAACCCCCCCCTGAGAAACCCCAAGATGTTCAAAGGCGATCATATATAGTGGCATCTTTTTGGTTCATTGTTCTATTTTTAGGATTGCCAATATGGTGGAAAACGACTACCATATACAGGGCCGATCTGCCCTTGAGCGAGATGATGGAATGGGCTGACGGCAAGGTCAGAATACCCAGAACCTACCACTCTCTACTCAGTCCTCAATACTAACCTGTTTCTGTTGTCAAGACCTGTCAACCGGTATTCCCTCTTAATGTCGCTATTGATGCGCCAACTCTTAAAAGCGACGAAGTTGAGAATCTCGTGCGCATTACCCAACAAGCGTTAGACACAACGGACGACTTCAAAGGACATCGTCTTGAACTTGAAGTATCGCAACACTCGAGCGCCGATCTCACGCGCAATTTAATACAGGACTCTAATACTACGCTCATAATCCGCCTAAGCCCCGGCGATGTTACCACTTCCTCGCTCCAGTCGCAAAATCCCATCCTAGACATTACTTACCCCCCGAATTCGATACCGGCACCAGACGCTGTCTCTTCCGACTTTGCGACATACCTAGCGACTCAGCTCCGTGAAGCTTTCTCGGAGGAGCGGGATGTCATGTCATATCTATTAGCGACATCGTCCATGCCATTTGAGCAACGGCCGCTGGGATCCTCTCAAACATTCTCCGATTCCCTTTCTAAACGAATGACGAGATCGTTGAAATATTCACAAACCTACCATTTGACATTCTCGTTATTCACGAGCGGGCCTACTCCAAGTGGCTGGGATATCGAAACTGCTATCGACGAATACATGAAACCCATACTAGATATGCTCGGACCTATTCATAACTTCACTATAGATACCCAGGTCCAGTTATACGCCGCTCCGGGTGTTCAATCGCAAGTGTTAAGCAAAGAGGATCTTTCCTCTTTTATAAATGCTGCCGAATGGCCACTGTCGCCTTCAATAGGGGGTGCACCAACGGTCAACTTTGTTGTATACATTGGTAACCAAACTATTGGCGTTGGCTCAGAAACGGGCACTTCCCAATCATGGCTCATTCCGCAATGGGGCTCTGTGTATCTTTTACCACCCCCTCCTACGGGTAATGTCCCTTCGGAGTTGCTAAAACAGCCTATCCTCACCTTTACCTCCCATCTACTCTCTCTACTCGGTACCCCGCAGTCGGGTCCCTTGCCTATGCGCTTCTCGACACTCACGCGCATTCGAACCGCAGATTTGCTCCTACGAGCTTCCTCATCCCTAGGCTCACTAGCTCGCCTGTCCCTGGCGTTGCCAAGTATATCGATTCCATCTAGCGTAGCTGATGGTGTGGCTAAGTCTATGCATCACTTACAGCTTGCGTGCTCCAACCTTGGTGGAACTGACGGCCTCGAACACGCGCGAATTGCCGATGTTGAGGCCGAGCGTGCCTTCTTTGAGAAGAGCATGGTCGGACAGTTATACTTCCCCGACGAACACAAGATTGCTGTGTATTTACCATTGCTTGGGCCGGTCGGGGTCCCCTTGTTTATCGGCCTACTGAATCAGATCAAGGCGTGGAGAAAGGGAAGGATGGGGAACGTAAAAGAGCCATGAGCCTATCAAAGAAGAATATAGATTACTACGAATTGGCAATAACCCGTAACATGCCAAGCCCGGATCGTAGTTTCGCCCTATAGCTAGATAGATGGCCCGAGACGGGGTGGGATGTGCTGCTATAGCCTGGCAAGCCCAGTGTTGAGCATTACATATGTATGGGTGGTATGGACGTGCTATCGTAACTACCTCTATTCCTATCCAGTGCCCAGTCTACTGCATATAGGGTACCGACGTTGAGTCTCCTAAAGAGCACACAGACATGTGAAATGGATACTAGATAGGTCACGCCTATCAAGTCATACCAGATATCGAACGGTACCAGTCATGAGGTACACTATAATGCTATAGCGTCACAATGATATTCCCTGGGTTTACTGCCTTTGTTAAGACCCAAAGTGTTTTAAGCCCTGGAGCCAATCGATAAATGGATACATCTGCAGATTTTCTCCCCTCCATCTCTTCTCCACGGCTGGGGTATCTTCAATATAATCATCTAACTATGGTTCATCGTTACGAACATTGAACTCGAAACCGACATGAAGGTACGGTATTCTGAATGATGTATGTACCACAATAACCAGACTCCAGTACCTAGTAATGTACATAGTAGGTGGGTACATATATGCGGTATATGACAATATGTAGGTAGGTAATGTACCTATGTTTCATCTATCACATATCACCTACAGGTAACTTCTGTGGAGAATTTCTTTTTCTTCCGTTGGTTTTCTTTTTCTTTCTTACATATTTTCAACCTTCAATGTTGGTTGTTCAACCACATGTGCACCTTATGTACCTTGTGCTTATGCAAAACAACCTGGAATACTACATACTTTAACCTAGTAGGTAACTACCATATATTGCTAGCCATATGTGGGTTTTGTGTAGGTATTTTATGTATCAACACTATTTCATGTGTGTACACATATGGAGTCCCGCCTTCCTGCTTCCAATACATTGACGTACACACAGGGCGAACCTCGTTACAGACATTCTGGTTCCCCAGTCATAGTGCCAGTCCCGGTGCATGTATGAGCTGTTCCATTCCCGTTCCCACCCAGTCTAGATAATAGTCTGGCCCAGGCAGCCACTTCGATCAAGCAACCCGCCAGGTTAGGTATGCAGTCATTTGATTCTCCGATTAAGAAGGTAATCATTAAATTAATGGAGATATCCGGGTGGTGTGTGTGCGAGATCGACGGGTCAATGTAACCGATGTTTCTGGACCCAGGGAGCCAATGAGCATTTTCGTAAAATCTACAACGAAGTGCTTGCATACCCTACGTTACGTACATGGCTACCTACCTACCTACTGTTCATGTATATTAGTTTGGACCTATACCGTCACTTGATCCTCCAACAGCCATAATCAGGTTTATCATTCGAATGTCCGGAGCGACCGGACAGTGAAAGATAAAAAGTAACCGTTTGCTCCCTGAGTCGTCTACCTATGTTGCCTATGCCAATAGGTAGCATACATCCACCATCACAATGAACCTTTCATCGGGCATCCGCACCGCAGCAGCAGCCTTCGTACCGTCGTCACCGCCACCGTCCCCGCCCCCGCCGCACACGCTTCTAGCACTCGCAGCGTCGATGCCATGGGCACGGCTCCTCCTCCCGGTATTACTGCTATACATCGTGCTATGCCGGACCCTACGTCACCGCCGGGAGAAGGCGCTGCGCGAGAAGCTCGGGTTCCCGGACCGGGCGTCGCTCGCGCGCATGACGACGGTCGAGGCCCAGCAGATCATCCACTTCATGTCGTCGTGGGAGATGCCGCTGTTCCAGTTCTTGGCCCTGCAGTTTGGCCTGTTCAAGGTGCGCACTTCACTTCCCTTCCTCTTCCTTCCCAACTCTCAGATGGAATGGATGAATGGATGGATAGGTGTCTGAAGAATATAGGAATGCACATGGCTAACACCATGCCCGGGTTTGGTGGGTCCATTGTAGACGTACGGTATTGAGAGTATTAGCCGCCTGCTCCTAGCTACGGGAAACCTGACGGACCCTGAAAGAAGTCCGAAGAGGTGAGATATTCTTCTTGGTCGTCTTATTAGTACTTGCTCTATTCGGATGTGTCTATAATGCTTGGCTTTAACTGCCTAGTACATTGCCATCTTGGCACAACGACACCAACCTCAATCCGCCCACTCTAGTCTATACCTAGCCTTAATAGCATACTTACCCGTGGCTTAATGTGCTATATGCTAGAGGCCATCCTCACGCCCGTACCATTAACTAAACCAATGATAGATTCGAAGACACAGCCGTCCTAATCGGCGAATTCCTTGTCAGCCCGCCGACCACCGAGCGTGCCATGCGAGGCATCGCCCGCATGAACTTCCTGCACAGCAAGTACGTCGCCGCGGGCACCATTACCAACGCCGACCTGCTGTACACGCTGTCGGTCTTCATCACGGAGCCACCGCGCTTCGCCCGCCTCTACGACTGGCGCCCCCTGAACGCCATGGAGCGCTGCGCCTACGGCGTCTTCTGGAAGTCCATCGGCGATGCCATGGGCATCGAGTACAAGGGCTATCTCGAGCACGCTCCCGCGTGGCGCGACGGCCTCGAGTTCGCGGAGGATATCGAGGCCTGGGCGAAGTCTTACGAGATCCAGGCTATGAAGCCGAGTACGGTGTGCGCGAAGCCGGCGAGGGCGCTGATCCCGATGATCACGTACTGGGTGCCGTGGTTCGCGAAGGGGTTCGTTACGGAGGTCGTGGTTGCGCTGCTGGATGATAGGGCGAGGGAGGCTTTTATGTAAGTTCAAATTTGGACATGACCCGGCTGCGGGTCCCCCGTGATTGATCTAGCATATGATGTTGCACATTACACAACCGAGGATCGACAGTTATCGATGCTTGGCAGTATGCGTGCAACGAGGACTTCTTCGGCAGTAGATCTAACACCTTCGCAGGCTGCCCGTCCCCGGCATCACCGCCATAGCCACAACATACACCCTCCTCGTGCTCCGGCGCTTCGTCGTGCAGCACCTCACGCTCCCGCGCTTCTTCGAGTTCAAGCGGCAGCAGGAGCCGGACCCGCAGACGGGGCGGGCCACGCAGCGCATCCAGTACGGCAACTACCCCTTCTACATGAAGCCGACGTTCTGGAACCGCTGGGGGCCCGGGGCGTGGGTGGTCAGGGCGCTGGGCGGAAAGCTGCCCGGCGATGACCCGGACGTCTACATGCCCGAGGGTTACCTGGTGACGGATCTGGGCCCGAAGAATAGGGTGGGGCTGGGCGCGGAGGAGATGGAGGTCGATGTTAAGAAGATTAAGGCGAGTAGGTGGGGTGGGTGTCCCTTTTAGTTGCCTAGGTACTAGGCTAGGTAGGTGTGCATTACAGATGATGTAGTGTGTCCTGCACGTTGTAGGAAATACATATCTGCCTAACCTAGGAGGTTATTGTAGGTGCACTTAGATTTCAGGGGCGGGAAGTTGAAATCAAGGTATTTGCAGTAGGTAGTACACGAAGTAGAATCACACCTGTCTTCGCCTCCAATCCCATAATACTTATGTAACTTCTTCTCGTTCAATTGATAGGCAGGTGACAACTCGTATTTTATTCGAGCTAGAGTGCTATCTGTCTAAGCCACACCCTCGTATACCACCTAGGTACTAGGTGCCATCAATTCACACGGGATGTTACCTATTTTAATGTTTGTGATAAGAGCTGTTCAAGAAATAGGCCTCCTTCAAAGGCGAATGCATCAAAAACCGTTAATTGGCATTTTGTATAACGGAAATGCATCGGATTATTTCAATTGTGATAGTTGGTTGCCAATAAATACTAGGTATAAGTAGCACTATTTGGAAAGGAAAAACCATCGCCCGCTTGGCACAGCGGTAATGCGCCTCACTAGTACTTTATGTACTCCTAATGAGGAAGCTATGAGGAGATGACTGGTTCGACTCCAGTAGTGGGCAATTGCTATCAATTTTTGGCGTTTCTTTTTTTGGTCGTGTTCATTCATGTTAGTTGGTTCCACCTTTTAGACCCTAGACCAGTGCGCACTCAGACGGGAGGACCCGAGGCTGGACCCGCCGATTCCGTAGCCCCCCTGGAGCTGGAGCTTCTACATAGTACACTTAATTCAGCAATACATATGTACATCTATCACGGAGAAATATGTGTAAGCACATATGGTAAGCACGGAAGCACGTCTTGAAGCGAGGCCGATCACCCAATTATTATAGGATATCTTCACCCGAACCGTTTTCCTTTTTGTCACCTTTTTTCCGGTTGGCATAAGATTATCGAAAGTCAGTTTGAGTGAAGTAACCGGGTAACCGGGTGGCTTGTGGTACACAAGAAGCCCTACCTATCTAGTTAGGTACATAGGTGAGAAAATATGCACAATGTAACTATAACTGCTCTGCATATGTAGGTGTTCGACGAACTGGGACATCCGGTATTGTGAGCCGCGCAAGGGAACGATGTGTTTGCTAATTCAAGCTTTTGGGCCGTCAGATTTGACGAACCATCATGTAGACGTAACCAACTCATTCCCTTGGAATTTAATGGCCAATGAAACTCGTTATGGAATAACTACATGCTACTTTGTACACTACGTTAACGGAAATTTCAGATATCGTTGTTAGCATCGGCCGTTTCTCAAAGGGTAGTGCCATGTACGTAACTACCAGCTTGGCAGCTGAAATATCAAACTACGTTAAGTCATGCGTAATAGTTGTGGAGATCTTTCTATATGTGACGATGCGCTCGGAAGTCCCAAATTAGTACTTGGGAATATGATATATGATATAGAATAAACATGCTCAGGTTACATTTTTCAGCCGTATGGTCAAGCTGTTCATTATGTTTACTACGACAAACACACCTATTACTTAAGGTAGATATGAACGGAATATTATCTCCTTGCCTATCTATGTACTGTATAAGAGGTGGAAAGGCGTTGAGAGGGACGTAATGGCAACAAGCCACGAAGGAACCGTGCCGTGGTGTTCACCTCTGAATGAACAGATGACTGTCTGAGGCTTCGACGTTGAGGATCTCGTGTAACTTAAGAAAGCCGGTGTGTTGGCTCTCGGCCAAGTTGACAAGGGGCCGATGGGGGTGATCGGTGTCAGAACGTGGTAATCAGACATTGTGGCGGCTTACACACACGATATCTATTCGCTGAGATCTGTGAGCTGCTGCCAAAAACCTAATGGTTATAGGGTGATACCTGGTAAGTGGTACCAATGGGGACGGGGACAATCCCAGTATATTCCAATCACCAAGACAAAGGCTACAGTAGCTCGCCAGCTTCTTAAACTGAGGCGTTCTGCTCCCTGTCTCTTGCTCGATTCACTCACTCAGCTGCCTCGTTTAAACTAGCGTTGAAGCGTCGTTCACATCTTCGAGTGCCTACCTACCCTTATCAGATGTTCATACGGCCAATGTAATAGCACCTATTTAAAGACGCCGTTGATATGCGTGACACATATCTAGGTAGGTACATAATGCATAATGCAAGACACGTTTATATGTGCTATGATATAATACAGTTGAATAAGAAGCTTTGGTCCTTCCCCATGGCTTTGGTTAAACGGTCTATCCCTGACTAGCCCTACACATGCCCAAGAGCAAATATCAGGCCGCTATCGTCTCCTTGTTTCTTTTGGGGAAATCTTAAATTCCAACTCGCAGTATTGTGATACCAATGATGAATCACGACATCTAAGAGTACATATACGCACATTCAGACCTAGACTTTATTTATTCCATTGGCACACTATCTAAGTAGCCAGTGGCTTGATTGTTGTACCGCACGAGAGCAAGTAACCGAAGGGTTGTAACCTATCCAAGTGTACATACCAGCATGTCTGGCCCACGTGGAATCCCCCTGAAAGAGCCCTCGGGTGAAACTTCAGGGACATCGTCGTCTCCCACTGCAGCACCAGCACCGCCAGAAACAGCACCAACGGCAACAGAAACAGTAACGACACCAGCAACCGCACCGTCACCAGCACAGGTTCTACCACCGTCACCAGAGGGTTCTCCTAGTCAGCAAGCCCAAGGATCCGAGATTCTACCCGCATCGCATTGGGCTCAACAACCAGTAGGCCAAATCCTCTACTAACTTTCTCCAAATTATTGTGAGCAAGAGAGGTTAGTTGACTGATTATCCATCTAGCCTCCCGAAGACTTCGACGACGACGACTCTTCATACGGAGACAATGCCAGCTCCACCGCCTCACTGACGGCGAGTATCTTCGAATACCGCACGGTACTCGGCCGCACGTTCCATAGCGAACGGGGCAATGCCCAGTCCTGGTGTGACCCTTTTCGTTTCTTTCTTTCTCGATTGTGGGATAAGTCATGAACCTTTCGCCCCCCCCCATTGCTGACTCGTGCTGCAAGGAACCCGAACGATGCTAAACATGATGAAAGCATGGATATCCTGTAAGCCTAAAGCAACTATTAGCCCAAAGTCTAAGCACTTGGGCTTTCAATCCCGGAGCAAAAGTACTGATGATGACGTGTAGACATCATGTCTCGACTTTGATGCAGGACGGGAAGCTTTATCTAGCCCCTATTACTAAGGACGTTCAAGTAAGAGAATCCTTACATAATACCAGAATAGCTTCAATACCTAGTATATTCTTGCTGAAAAAAAATGGTCGCCTAAACTAGAAAGTACTGGACGTCGGCTGCGGAACGGGTAAGTCTACCACCATGACAAAATTTCCCCCTTTTCGCCTCACTGACTTATGTTTCTCTAGGAATATGGGCAATGTAAGTTTCACCTCCCCAATTACCTCTTTTATTCTCAATTTCCCCCAAGCTAAGCCACACCAACCAACCCCCAGCGACTTCGCCGACGAGTTCCCCGGGACCGAGGTGATCGGCCTCGACATCTCCGCACAGCAGCCTCAATGGATCCCGCCGAACCTGAAGTTCGAGCTCGACGACATCACGCGGCCGTGGACCTACGACCCGGACACCTTCGACTACATCCACATGCGCTGGCTCGTCGGCGCCATCCCCGACTGGACCGCCCTGTACAAGGAGATCTTCTTCACGCTCAAGCCCGGAGGGTACTTCGAGAACAAGGAGTCGTCGGCCGTGATCACGAGCGACGACGGCACGGTCGCCGAGGGCTCGGCGCTGGACCAGTGGGGCAAGATGTTTGGGGAGGCGGGCAAGAAGTGCGGGCGCACGTTCAGGGTCGTGGAGGAGGATATACAGAGGAAGGCGATGGCGGAGGCGGGCTTTGTGGATGTTGTGGAAGTCAACTTCAAGGTAAGCGTGGTCGATCATGTGAAGAATGCGGGGCGCCCCCCTTTGGCGGAATAGCTGTTAAAAGTACTCGGCCGCACCTAGGCACCCCTGGGACCCTGGCCCGCAGACGAGAAGCAGAAAGAGATTGGCCAGTATAACCAGCTTGCCCTCGAGCAGGATATTGAAGGTAGAAACCCCTATCATGGACTTCCTGACCGCCACCCCTCGCCTCTTGTCTCTTGCTTGCTCCTAAGTTCCAAAGTTGACAGCACGCTGCAGGCTTCATCACGTACCTCTGGAGCACGGACATGGGATGGACCCGGGAGGAAATCCAAGTCTATGCCGCACATCTGCGGCGCGAACTGCACTCCAGGAGATTCCACGCCTACTACCCGCAGAAGGTAGTCATTGGTCGCAAGCCATATCGCGGAGAGGTTTCGTGACGGTGGAAGGCTCGTTGGCCTTTTTCTCTTTTTTTCCTGCGTGGGGGGTAGGTAGGTAGGTAGGTACCTAGGTTACTTAAGTCCATTTTTGCGGGGTGGAAGGTGTCACTTTGGAATGGAACATGTCTGCTTTGGCTGTATAGTGTATGATCTTCGTCTTCACTGCGGCAAGGCTCCTGCAGAGTTCTAGCGCACTGCTAATCAAGGCATTAATCCAATTTGTTGTCAACGCAGGAGAAGCAATACTTTCGGGCGAGTCATTCACTTTGTCGTATTGGCCCCCTATTATGCTCTGTGCGAGGTAGCACCCGGTAGACCCGGACTTAACTCCCGAAGCCTTGGATACCAACGGGGTGCATGCCATTGGTCACTCCTTGATATAAGCAGGCTAGAACTGAGAATATCAACGGTTGTACGCACCTATACCGATGGTTGTTGCCTTTTTATACGTGTTGGTGCTTCGACGCAGCTCGTTGGAATGAGGGAAAATGCTTTACCCGAGATTCGAGACCGTGGTGGTCAAGTCTGATGTCAGCTGCAACATATTCCTCCCTCGCCAGTCCTTCCTTGGTCGAGACCTTTTATATCCCGTTAGGGTACCTAGGTTAGCTGCAGGTATATCAGGAGGATATATGGGAGGATTTTGTTCGTGTAAAAGTGAATGCATGTAATAAAGGTTCAACGCCATATTAGGACACTAAGTGACTGCCTATTCGCGGAAGACCCCCTTCGACATTTCTTGGTTGCTACGAGATACCTATGAATAGGTTCGTGCTTACTATGCATACTTCTAGTCCTGTGAATTTCCTCAGCTGTTTTATTTTAACAAAGACGGGAGTGGTATGTTCTGGTGCAACTTCACACTTGTCTATACCAACAGTCATGATATTCACGATTCTGCTGTGCATGTTGCCATGCAGGCTCTGTGCTGGATATTAGAGGCGTCGTTGGGGTAACAGTACTCTGTATTATTAGTACCAGGTCGATATCCATAGATGAATATCTATCCCGGGCCCATCAACTCCTCTGCCTCGTTTCTCCCATCGGAGCATTACATCAGTAAACAAAAATATGGATCCGAACCTTACGCCCGCTCTTGAGGCCCCCCTAAATACCGAGCCCAACATCTATGAACGCAATCCGATTATACCTGGTCGAATTGGTCTTTCTATAGTCTTATGCTTTCTTTGCATTCTAGCTGTCTCGTTGCGTACATATACGCGAGCGTTCATTCATCGTGTGTTTAACTTAGATGACTGTAAGAATAGTTAATTCTTTACAAGGCTTCTATTGTAGGTAAAGGACAGCTCGTTAATCATATCATTTATTTTAGACGCTCTTATACTCTCTACAGTACGTTGCTTGTGGCGATGAAGTCTATGGCTAATATCAAACTGTCGGATACCTCATCTAGTACACGAACATTGCGGAAGCCATCTATTGCCCTATAATATTACTGGCCAAATATGCGTACTTCGGCAGATCGAATTGATTTTCCTGACTCACTGTCACAAGAGTGGTACTTCTATAGCTATACGATTCCTTATATGGAGTAGCCTGATTTGGTATCTGGCCACTACACTTCTCATAGTTCTCGGGTGTAATCCACGAGAGAAGATATGGCATCCCAACATCGAAGGGCACTGCTCTTTGGACTCGGAAAAGGGGTTGGCTTGCTCCACTATATGTATACAGACTCTGTAGCGGTTAGGAAATCAAACCAATCCATCTTGGATTGTTAATCGCCAATTCAAAATTAGGGATTTGAGAGATACTGGTAATTGGATCGTTATTTTCTAATTAACTTTTGATGAATTGTAAATGATTTCTATTCGACGCATTTTTACAACTGCGAGCTTCAAAGTCAATTTAATTTACTAAGGTGGTGTATCGGGTTGCTGCATACGGTCCTTAGGTAGTAACCCGATACACGCGCATATTGAAGCTTCAATCAATCCTGAGGCGATCATAGACAAGTACAAAGTACAAATTACTTATGCATATCGCTATATGCATTATTGGCGTGCATAGATGATTTCACATCTTCAATCTTCCTCTTCTTCCTGTCCCCCTCCTCTTCTTTTAATTTAACACCTTTTTTTCAACACTGAAACTGTCGCATAACTCCCACTGTGAACTCAGCTCCAGATTCAGGGGGTCGCGATGGTAAATCAGCACGATGGAGTCATCACCTATCACCAGCGACAACCAGGCTACTGCCAACCAGAGCCAACCTCGTCAGCTTGAACTCATTTTTAACAACATTGATGAGCTCATGCATGCCACCATTGCGATGAATGAAGCTGCAGCTCAACAAAATCCTCAAGCAATGAATGCGGGTGCCAATTCAGATCAATGGCGCCAATCTGCACAGCTATTCAAGGACTTCAAAGACCTGATGGTCGCAGTCCAAAGCAAAGCCGCCAGAGCAATCCGCGACACAGAAGCCAAACTGGGACTTAATACCCAACCCGACAATGCGGTCCTTGATGTACCAATTGAGGATCTGGTTGGCGTGAGCCCAGAACATGAGCTAAACCGAGTCCTGGGTCGCAGCATGTCTCTGCGAGGCGGACGAGACGGTAAACAGACCTTCAAACTTCGCGACTTTGATACTGGCCTCCCGAATACCCAGCTCATAGTAGCCGGTCAAGGTGATGCCCCTGCTGCATTGCCTCAGAATTCCGGGGACGCATTCGTGGTTCTGAACTCTACACTGCGGAATGTCTGGGTTATACAGCATGCCTACGCATGTCTAGTGAAGCACAAGGAGAGCCTCATAAAGCAATACCTCGACAACGTGGCCTCCTCGAATTCAGGCGTGGTGAGCCGCAAGTTTTCGCGCGAGTACTACGAAGACCTTAGTCTGGCCCAGTTGCCGTCGAAACAGAAGCTAGGCAATTTGCTTGACGTCCAGAAATCCTCGTACGATTGCACAACCCATCATACCATGGCCGTGATTGCTTTCATGGACTCTGCTGGCAACCGCCGGTACATGGAAGCGGTCAGCGGAGCTGCTATCACCATAGACGAGAACGCCGACAACGGCTGCGATTGTCTGTATCTTCGGCTCCCCGCGACGGAAGCGAGCATCAAAAAGCTATACGACACCTACAGATCTCTCCGAGCAGCAACTTCGGAGCAACGCCGAGCCGTCAAGGATAAAGCGCTCGCAGCTACGTTGCCGACAAATCCGATGGATGAGCTAGAGAAACAGTTTGACTTCTCTGTGGGCGGCGAGACTGAAAAGGCAAATGGGGGCAGCAGCAAGAAGCGTCGGCGGATGCTGGACGATGATGGCCCAGATTAAACCCCGACAACCTGCTCGTGCGGAAGAATTGAAGCTCTTGATTAGGGTAATAGGGGAGGCAATAGCGCCTCGGCGCATGGTTTTATTATAAATACCCAATAGGTCTCTACCACCTGATGTAGGTAGGAGCCTGCATGGTCCAGTGGAAACAAACTAGAATCAAAGTACAAGAATTCAAGATGTTTTCTCAATATCTCAACTTAGAATTCTACCTATTGTAGTATCTTTAATAAGCATCTCAGTAAGTCAAACACTCGCGTTGATAATTCCAACCACGACGTTTGCCAATTGCTCAAGCTACGATCAGCCCCTGCCTATAAGACCTCATGGCCTCAACCATCATCATCATCATCGTCATCATCGTCACCTACCCACTCCTCCCCTCAACGCTGCCCAAACCCCGCCGGCACCCCCCTCTCCCTCAACTCCATCCTCGTAGCAACTCCCGACACCCCAACCACCTCATCCGCGGGGTGAAGGGGGGGGGCGGAAGATGGAGAGGGGCATGATGGGGTGGCTGGCGGCGGTGGTGGTGCGGAGGTGGCGCGCCCAGAGGATATAGAGCGCGAAGAGGAGGAGGGAGGCGAGGAGGGAAGAAGACGCACGGAGGCTACTTGATAGATTAGGAACTATTTCCGTAAGCCATTCCCTCTTCTACTCTATCTTTATGAATATATGGTGTCTACCTAGGTAGGTACTATGTCGGTACATGAGTAATCAGAATTAACAGGATAAAAAGAGAGAAAGAAAGAAATAGAATCAGCATAGCATTCGTTACAATATCATTTCATACAAGATCGAGAGCCGACACGGCAGTAGCGCCGGCATCTACCGTGAGGATACCCCCGGTGATCCATCGGGATTGTTCACTCACTAGAAATCTAACGGCTGTCGCACAATCCCACGCATTCCCCTCCGTTCGCAACAGACTTCGATTTTTGCCTGCGTTTCGAGTCTCGGGGCTCGTTCCCTTGGTGTACATCATTGGCGTGTACAGCATGCCTTAGTTCATTTAGCATGGTATGCGAAATATTAAAGGGGCAAGTTTAAAAAAAAAAAAGGGGGGGGGGGGGGCGGAGGATAAAGGAGAACACTCAGAAACAACCGTCACTAACCTGGACACACGCAGTTCACCCGAATACCATCCGATGCATGGTGTGCCGCGATGGCGCGTGTCATGTTAAGAACGGCGCCTTTGCTCGTCGGGTAGAGCAAATCGGGAGTGCCCCCTTACTAATCCAACAACAGAGCCCATGTTGACGACGCTACCTCGGATATGGCCAAACGACTCATCATTCTTACGCATCTCCGGCACGCCGACTTTTACCATATTCGCCATGCTGGTGACGTTTATGTCGAGGCCACGGCGCCATTGATCCAAGCCAAATGCCGTCGCGTCCCCTTTGGCGCCCAAGACGCCCACGTTGTTAACGAGGATGTCGATTCTTCCAAACCTGGACATGGCCGCGTCCACGATCTTTTGGCAATCGGTGGGCTTCGTAACGTCTGCCGCGCAGGCGATGCTATGCTCTCCGCTTTGCCTTCCGACTGTGTCATCGTGTTGGTACGCTCAGCCCAGGCCAGATTCAGGTCAGCGCAGACGACAGCTGCCCCATCCTCCGCCAGCAGCATCGAGATGGCTCTGCCGTTACCCAGGCCATCGCCCTCGCACCCTGCTCCCGTCACAATGGCAACCTTTCCCGCGAGAGACCGCGATGGCTTCGGGGGATGTCTTCAGTCACTAGGTAGTAGTAGGTAAGAACCAAGTCGGCTGTATCAACATCGCAGACGATAAGCATTGCGAAGAGTCCGCAGGTGCTTACACGTTCTCCTCTTCAACGTAATTGTTCTTCTTGCTATTAAATAAGGCGACGGGATTTTCCAGCAGAGGATTCTCGGAGGCAGACTGTTTGGAGAAGGACAATGCACCCGGCATGCCCAGGTGAGGGGGGACAGGCCCGATGACCGTCCCGATGAGGGGCTAGCCCTTCGACTTAGGAGCGAGAACGACATCCCACCTGCCATAGGACGAGCTCTTGTCCCACGAAACAACATATTTCCAAACATGAGGGTAAGACAGACGGAAAATGATATAGAATTCCAAGTAGTTATGCCTTGCCAAGTATCCAAGTCCTGATTAGTTCATGGAATCGGCCAAACATACTAGGTATTGTGTACCATTCGTCAATCACTGTCACCGTGTCTCGATTCGATGTGACACAACCCGGATAGGGAGGTATATAAGTGTGAAATGAGACATCCATTGGTTTTCTGATGTCGACCATGATGACCCCAACGGGGGGGGGGGGAGTAGATGCTTTTTTCATTTGCTAACGCCGAACGCACCGAGTTTCTAGGGGTATTGAGTAGGTTAGATATGTACCTAACTGACGTTACCTTTTCTCCACGTCCACCAACCCTCTTATGTATATCTCAGAGTGCCTAGCACTCTCTCCTCCCGGGGTTCACTCTCCGCATCAACTCTTATATTCCCCCCTACCTAGACCTAGGTGCCTACCCCCCCCCCCTAAACCAACCCAAAATACGCCGCAAACGGGTCATCCGTGCGATTCACCGCGTTCCACTCCATCACATTGCGCACCCTCTCGCTCTCGTTGCGCCCATACAGCGCCTCGACCCACGCGAGCGTCATGTCCGTGCCCGCGCTGACCCCCGCGCTCGTCCACACGTTCCCATCCACGACCCACCTTGCCTCGGGCACCCAGTTGACGGACTCGGCGCGGGGCACGCTGCGCACCCAGTTGAACGCGGCCTTGTTGGTCGTCGCGTTGCGCCCGCGGAGGACGTTGGCGCGCGCGAGGAGCGAGGCGCCGGTGCAGATGGACATCGTGTAGGCGAGGGGGGAGGGAGGCTGGCTACCAATGCCATGATAGCTGCTGTTGTTAACCCCGCCCCCCAAGATGCGCTTCTCCAGCCACGCCACGTGCGGCGCCGTGCGCTCCAGGTCCCGCGTCCCGTAGCCCCCGGGAACGAAAATGACGTCGAACTCCGGCGCGTCCGCGAACGAGTGCGTCGGCAGCACGAGCTGCGTGAAGAGCGGCGACGCCGCGGACGCGAACAGCGATCCCGCGGGCGCGCCGTCGACGATAGTGCGGTCGATGCTGATGGGGGAGAGGTCCGTCGACACGAGGGAGAGGGTCATGGGGTGCGTGAGGGAGAGAAGGTTTAGCACGTTGAGGGGCCCGAAGACGTCGATGGCGGTGAAGGCGGGGAAGAGCAGGTAGCCGATGCGGAGGGTTGCTGGGAGGGTAGGTTAGTATGTTGGAATGTACATAGGTAGGTAGGTAGGTAGGTAGGTAGGTGGCGGAGGCGATGAGGAGGAGGAGGGTGGCGTACTAGTAATATTGACCATTTTGGCGATCTGTTCGAGTATGTACTCGGTGTCCTGCGTTTGGTTTGGAGAGGCTGATCTAGGGTTTAGGATTGGAGGTGTATGCCTACCCAATGCCTAGGTATCTTTATATCTAGATACTTGGATATGAGGCAGGTACCTGCATATAGTTAGGAACTATCCCGTCACACAACTTATGTAGGTAGGTACACACCTGAGCAGGTGTGACTTGAATAACTTATATAGGTGCCTACCTATCTCCACAACATACTGTGCATACCTCGGCCGTGACAAACCTTTATGGCTTGTGCGCCAATAAGACATTGGACGACATTTACGAGATATTGTCTCACAGTATCAACAGGGTTTAATCGCTCTTTGTCACCTCTTTTTGTTTGACTACCTCGTAGGATCCTGCTCATTAGCGCTGCACTGGGGCAGTCATCCTTCGGACTCACATCTGATCATTTTTGGCCCCAGTCACGGCATTGAGAATCAAGGTAACACAGGTATCCATGAGGTTAGGTGGGTTCGAATTGATGAAAGAACGTACGCCATAGGCAGTACTGATTTTGCGTCTTTTATTTGAGCAAGATGTAATGAATATGATAGTTATTTTCACCGTTTGCAAAGTGGCGCCTCTAAATTTCTCATGAAAAAATTTCTTAAAAAGGCACTCATATCCAACCATGTATTATTCAAAAACGCTATCAAACGGTGCTTTATATGCCGCGCTCCCTCATATTTAAATTATACAGCAAACCCGCCAGAGGCCGCTTGTCTCGGTTCCCCAGCCGCCTCGAACGTCCCGTTCGGCAGTAACCGTAGGCCCTGGGCGGTGCTCTGCCCCGGGTACGTCCACGTGACGTTATGTCCCAGAGACTTCATGAACGCAACGGTGCTGTTGTCGTATGCGTACTCAAACGTGACTTGATTTGGGACGAGCTGGTCGTGCAGTCTTGGCGTGGTCAGAGCTTCGATCGCAGTCATGTTCTGGTCAAGTACGTGATGGAGATTCTGGATTGTTGAAGTGATAATTCTGCTGCCGCCGGCTGCCCCGACAACAAAATACAACTTCCCGTCCGGCGTCTCGACAATGGTCGGGGAGATTGAGGACAAGGGGCGCTTGCCCGGGCGCACGAAATTGGCCGGGCTTGGCACGTAGCCGAAGGCATTGCTCGAGCCCGGAATAGAGAAGTCGTTCATCTCGTCGTTCATGATAATACCAGTTTCGGGGTCGATGAGCTGGGATCCGAAAATCAAGTTGATCGTGGTGGTGAGGCTGATGGCCAACCCGGTGTGATCAGCACTGACGATATGACTTGTGCCCGGAGTCTCTAAACTCTCGAGACCTTTGGGGTCGTACCACGATACGTTCTGGTGGGAGAAGGAATCGGAGATCTTGGAGCGAACTTCGGCTGCAACCTCGTCGGAAAGCATTGACTGTTGGTATTCGTCAAGACCCTCAACGAATAATGGATCTCCAAGCTCGGTCCGCTGCCCATATGCGAATCTCATAGCCTCGTCGAGCCTGTGCGTGGTCAGGTTGATCGCAGCAGGATCACCAAACCCCTCATAGCCGTCGACGATCTTCAAAGCACTCAAAGCCACTACTCCACCCGATGGCGCACTGCAACTGGTAAGCTTATAGCCTCGGTACGTAATCTCTGCAGGCTGTCGGGTTGCCACGGTGTAGTTCTTTAAATCTTCTAGAGTCATTGTACCGTTATGCTTGGTTAGTGTCGCGATAGTCTTCTCGGCTATGGGGCCCGTGTAAAAGGCATCTGCGCCTTTTCTGGCGATAGTCTCCAAGGTTTTCGCATAACGTTTGCGCGTCATCGTGTCGCCGACCTTGACCAGCTTGCCGTTAGGGGCAAAGTCAATTGCCCACGCTGGGTCATTGGTGAGGAAATCTGCGTTTGGCGATGTTTTTCCTATGTTCGTGATCAAATCCTGAGTCACTTTGAACCCATCTCTGGCAACCTTGATAGCGGGGGCCATGACAGCAGCCCATGGAAGCTTTCCGTAGTTCTTGTGTAGGTGTTCTAATCCCCGAAGTTCTCCTGGGACACCACTATAAGGACTGTTTAGCCTCCCGATACTCAGATTCATGCCAAAAGTGCGCATCCTGATAGGGTGGGTTGAGTTACCTTGCCAAGCCGCCATATAAGCTGGCGTCGGTGTTGTTCTCGTACATTGCCTCAAAGGCAGCAGCTGGAGCCGTCTCACGGAAGTCGATAAACTCATATTTCCCACCGCAACCCCGGACAAGCATGAATCCGCCACCACCGATGCCACTGTGGTACATGCCAATGACTCCAACACAGAACACGGTACCGACGAGGGCATCAGCTGCGTTTCCGCCTGCTTGAAGCAGTTTTGTCCCAATCTTGGAACAAACCGCGCTTTCCGAGGCTACAGCACCCAACTTCGGTGCTTTTTCCACGGCTGCGGCGAATGCAGAGTGGGCTAAGAAGCCCAGCTGCAAGACAGCCGTAGCGATCCGTGTAAGAGACGGCATGACGCGATGAGGAGAGGGGGGAGGGGGGAGGAGGAGGGGGGCCGAAAGATGAACAAAGACCAGAAGGAGGAAGTTGAATTGTTTTGTAGGTGCGGCTCAGGCAATTTAAGTAATGCTACCTACATTGCAAGCGATACTACATCCATAGATACCTGCCATGATGTAGGTATCACGGATGGATTGCAGCCTACCTAGGGTACCTACATAAGTGCACTGTGCATGCATACCGAACATTGAAGGTGTAACCTAGAAATATTAGCTAAGGAATATGCCCAGGGTGTTTAAGTAGTTACTCCAAGAACTTGGAATAAACGCATCTTGCTTATCAAGGAAACCACGAAGACCAAATGTGGAAAATTAGCCAATGAGAGGTCGGATAGCATACCGAGGTAGTCACGCCATGCTGTTACATTATCAGATAAGCCAGATAGCCTGACTAAAAGTCTAAAACATCTCGCATTTCTTCACCTTCAATGTCGTATACCCTAGGGTAGGTACATAAAGTTTACCAGGGGCATACCTGCAAGTTCAAATGGCATCTGCGCTTGCCAACTTTGAAGGTGACATCGTCGTCTTCCTTCCTTTGTTTATACCATGACAGGCATTGACAGCTACCATGAGTCCATGACAGCATGCATTGTACCTGCGTTACTACTAGTACCTGGTACGTATTGTACTAGAAGAACTTGGCATGCCTTCTCTTGGTAACTACGAGATATTCTCGTTACAAGAAATCATTTATTGAATTTGTTATCTCCACCCAATGGGTATTCATTCAATGTTCAATGTTGTACGATGCTTAGTATATAATCTGATCATCCCCCTCTCTTTCTTGCCCCCCGACAGCCCCCGACCATGTGGTTTTCGGCCTAATCTGCAATTATCTAGCCTACCTAAATACCTAGGTGAAAGTGACGAATCTGACGATATCTAGATCCACATATACGCCTCCGAAGCGCATAAACTGATATGTTCACCGACCAGCCAACTGGTGTTAGTACATATTACCTACCTAGGGTATCTGAGTGCCTACTACATAGTACATTTAATCACTTGCAGTTACGGAGCCTGGAGGACGCTACCAGAGGTATTTTCCATACATGTAGGTAGGTAAATTGAGCTGACAGCTGTAACTCGGTAAAACGGCTGGCAGGATAATTTGTCACCTAAAAAGTAATCTGCGCATTACGTCAGCTGCTACCCGCTACACCCGGCAAGCAGCAATTTACGGACTGCCAGGCATTCCACATCTGGCGCAGTCAAGTGCTTCATCTTGGCTATCTTGGCACTAACTACCAGCTGCATGCAGCTTTCAAGGAGCCACCAACAGTTGTGGATAAGAGCTAGCAGCTGGCAGCTAATTTTATCTACGGACAATACTTCTTTCTACATAACTGCTAACTATTTATTATATCCAATTTATCAAATTGGATATCCGACATAGCTAACATCTATTTTCAGAGTTGGCACTTCTTTCACGTTATATAATCGTTATCCAATAAAATATACATGTCTGGGTCGCCATGGCTCCTTGCGAGCTTGTCGTCTTCTATTACCTCAACGCAAGTTCCGCCATGATGCCAAGGGCCAGAAAGAAGAAAAGGGGGAAAACAAAATACTAGGGAAAGTGTACTCCCTGAGTCCGGTGCATTCAAATATCCAGTGGTCTAAGAAAATCCAAAAAAGAGAAAGGGATGAAGTCCCCTTTTACTCTATCCCTGTCGTTACAGTCCCTCATTACCATTTACCAATACCATGGCCATCCTCATGGCTAACGCGGCTCGTATACTACCACCCGACCTTCCCGGGCTCCTGGGGGAAGTGCTGGGCGTTGACGATCTGGCCCATCATATCCGCGAGGTCCTGCTCAGTGAAGGGCTCCGCCGCTCTCTTGAAGCCGAGCTCCCACGGCAGACGTTCCTTTTCTACCAATGCACCCCTATTAGCTTCCTTCCAAAAACGCATGTATGGGGTAAGTAGGTAGACTTGTTCATTTATGCTTACCGAAAAGGAACTCCACGTAGCTCTTTGGGACCGTGCCGGTCTTCTTGTCGCCTAGCACCGAAATGTAGGCCGCCGTCTCGCCAATGCTGAACTCCGACCCCAGGTCCGAAAGCGAGTACTCCGGGTTGGTGAGGTTGGAGGTCATGAGGCGAGAGACGCGGGCGTTGGACGCCATCTGGACGGTGATGATGTCGCCCGTCCAGTACGACTTTGTCTGGTTGAATACCGCCTCGTTGAAAGTGTCGGCACGTCCAAAGTATGCATCTTGACGACTGCGAGTATCATGTTAGTCAGGCAAGTCCCTTAGTTACACGGTCCGACTGGAAATCAGTCCGGCAGTCTTTATGTAGACTTACCTCAAGCTAGCATCATGTTCTAGGATGTTGTGACGGCTGAGGTGGTCCAAGTCGAAGAACGTCGCATTGGGTATCGGGTTCGTAGTCGCCGCAAACTCGAACAAAGAGCTGGAGAGCACCGGGTCGAAGTTCAGGGCAGATTTCAGAGCATCCACGGTCTTGTTTACCGTGATTCCTTTTCCGTCGTGTGGGAGGTAGCCGTGGTTTGCCAAAGCATTCAGCATAGGACACGGGGCGCGGACTGTCTCAAGGATTAGCCACCTACATCATAAGCAATGCATGTCTAGGCATAACCTACCGTCATTTGGTCCTGCGGGAGCCCAGCCGGGTAAAGAAGCAGAGTTGACGGTTGTAGAGCCAAAGGCTACGGCGATGGATAGGTAGGTAAGCTGCATTTTGACCTCGTGGAACTCAGGGATTATTGTGTGTGTGTGTGTGTTTGGTATCACGACATGAAAACACTATAATCGGAACTCTGAGATCTTATATATATAGGTATACATCTACTTAGGTGGATTCATGCCGATATCACCGCTCGTATGTCAGCCCAATGGACCAGGTTAGAAATCAGATCGATCTGACTGGTTAAGCATAAAATTTGTCAAAAGCCTCTTCAACCAAGCTCAGTCAGGGCAGAGCCATGATGCCGCGTCATCGTGCCAGCAAGCCTGGTAGATGTCATGCGGCGTGGAAAACGGATCAAATTACACTGCAACGGGCTCTATTTTCCTCAGTCTCCTTTGTATAACCACTAACACGATCTCACGATCTTAGTACGGTGAACGGGTTTTCAGATACAAGGCGGTTCGGGGTGTGACGAGGATGTGGCGGAGCAGGCATCGCGAACTTTACCTATCCCAGTATTAAGCAAAAATGTCACCTACATACCTAACCTAGGGGGATACCTTCCGAGTGGTTTGAGATGCAGGTGTTTTCATATACATTTCTTGACCCTGCTGACGAATGGCAGATGAGCTATTAGAGATGGAAGGAATAATAGCAAGACCGAAAAGAACCTTACAGATACGCTTCTATTACGATACGTCTGTGCGGGAAAAGGGTCGAGGGTAGGGTAGCTGTGTGCTGTGCCATAACTACCCCAGAAACAAGCGGGTAACCCCGATCTTTCCGGAGGCCGAGTTCTTTACATAGCACAGAAAGAAGAAGCATTCCTTGCTAGTGCGGCTGAAGCGGGCGGAGGAATCGATCCAATCGTACAGCAGGTGTTGTAATCGTTTCGGCTCCGGGCTTAACTAAGTTGCTGCCTAGGGCTGCTGCGGTACCTGCTATGTAAGTAGGTAACTATTACTGTATGACAGTATTACGCCCTGCTAAGCCACCGCCGATCATAATCTCACTGACGTTCAGCTAAGCACTTGCCTGCAGTTGTATATATTATTCATCAGAGCTTGCTACCATACTTAATACTGTCAACGGATACGGGTGACCGGCAAGCCATATTAACCCGTTACCCCTTTAACACGAAATCCTAAAATAACAGACTTCAAAGTCAAAAACCAAGTGCCATGTATGCTATCACGCGTACCTTAAACAGATATGATGTAAGTATGTCTACCTGGGTAGGCTATTATAGAAGGAGAGCAGGCTATGATCTATATCGTCTAACCGAAATCATGTTTCCAATTCACCACACACCAAAGACTATTTTCCTTGTCGAATACTAGAACATATAAAGTTCTCGAAGCAGCGGGGCTCCTAACTCTTCGCAGCTTTGCTTAGCCTCCTGGCATAACCCGAGATATCAGCTAGGTTACCTAACTATCTCCGAACTCATCGGACATACCCCTCGGTTAGAGCTACGAAGTATATGATCAATTGGTGGGCAGCATTGAAGCAATCTCAATGGTACCTGATTTTGAGCACATCATGACATATAGCATAGAATGAGTCATTCTAAACAATCCAGCAACCTACCTCATGTTCTCTATCGGCTAGGTAGATACTATAATAATTCAAGCTCCTTATGTGATGAATCCTTCAAATTGGCCTTGATCTACGGCCACGCGCGGAGTCCGTCTCCGAAGCAGCAGAATCACAGTGCTTGAAGCGTGGGTTGAAACCTCGTATTGAAGTACTCAATGATACCCAAATATACAGGGACCTACCTGCCATTGGCATATTTTGCGACAACCTACCGCCATTTGCCATTTTCCAAGAAGGGAACGCGCGTCAAATAGTCGTTTTCATTGATTGGAGACAACTAACCTGGTGGTAGTTATGCAGTAGTTCGCCCGGACGTTGTCTCGGCAATAATGGAGATGTAGAACCGGGAGACCGTGCGGCTAGTTAATACAAGGAGTTTTCGGTAAGATTTATGATGCCGACGGGATAGTTGGAGGCTGGCTGATACAGGTCCACTGCTTGGCCCGTCTTTTTCCTCCGTTTGCCACGTTAGGGGCAGATACATAGGTAGGCAGGCTAGCAGGACACGCCGGAAACACGGCAGCAGCACGCTCTCAAGCCGCAGTTCCCGCCTATTCTGGCGATGGCTTTCCTATGAACTCGTCGACTTAAGGATATGGCGGTTTAAAAGATACAAATCTCATCTCACGGATTATTACAGCAGTCTATAAAATGCCTAGCATGCCCAACTCGTACTGTAGGACTCGTTTCAGCCGTGCTAGGTTGGTAGGTTCACGGGTCATCTCATCGTCTCTACCCAGGTAGTGATTTGGTATATATCTACTACTCAACCACAAGTCCTTTAACCACAACCTTGGAAGTTAATATCAACCTGGCTGGCGGCTGCGTTGCATTGCAGATACGGCATATTGCAATCCCCCTTAGATACGAAAGTCAGGTAGGGCAGAAAAGGGGGTTGGCAGAGGAAGCAGAGGAAGGTCGCAAACAAACATCGAATAGGAGTTCGGAATAATTGATCCTAGTATCTCATGAATCTCTACTCCTCGTCCCGGTGTAAGTTATGGTGTCGTTAGGAGTGGCAGTCGTATCAAGGGGGGCTCGCGAGGAAAAAGGAAAGGTCCCTGTACATATAGAGCACAGTCCTTGCGTATAGGTCCAAATTGACCATATGATAGACGTTAGGAATAGTTTGTTTATAGCTTGAAACTTTGAACCAAGTAGGTATCCTAAAGGCAGTGATGTCTAGGTAGTGAAAGTGTCAGGTGCCGCACGAAGAGCTAGCCTCAGCCTCTTCCTAGCTGCAGAGGGGAGCATACGACGCATGTATACCTATATAAGGGGGCGATATACTCCTCTTCTCTTGGTTCCATCACGAGGCAGAATCTAGAAGACACAGAACAACTCCGTTATTGCGTGGGGATCTTCAATATCTCCCCATGGGGCTATGGAGGCTACAAATACACGTAGCTGTCCTTGTTCTAGCTAGCTCCCCATGTAGTCTACTCTGCCTTCGCTAGCGCGGGGGGGAGACCTTTAGTTAGCAGGCCCAGAATAGAAGATCGACGTCAATGCACCTGTCATGTTTAATATGTCCACTAGCTTCTATCTAGCCCCTGAGTCGCTGCTGTACACTCAACGTCACTAGTGCCAGACCTCTAATCGCAGGACAGACCCTGACGGCAAGTCCCGTGATGGTTGTTATATATACAGTGGATGCCAGGAAGTAGTAGTGTGATAGCAGTGACATGTTGACGCTTGCCTTTCTAACCTCGTACGAGGGTGTGAAGCACCTCATATATAGGAGTTATTTAAGGCATAACTATACCTAGGTAGACTTTGATAACGAGCTGCTTGCGACGGGTTAACTCGATTGAAAGGTCCGAGACATAACCTAGAGTGTTCTTTCTCCCCTTTCCCCTATTGAGACATGTCAAAGGGAATAGGAGCCAGTGTTGAATAGGTTAGGTCCCTAGTAATTGAGCGATATCTGGTAATATGTATCAGGCAATTGATGGCTGGCGCAAGGTTACTTTTAGAGCCGATGTTGGATCTCCAGGGCTTATTCGTAGACTTCCGAAATACCTACCTAACTACACAGCCAACACGCCCCAAAAAATAGCAGCAGCTCAGCTCTTATGGTATATCTGCCCTTCGATCACGTGAATTGTCATTGGATAAAAAGCATTTATATTGATCCGAAGTGTGGAAATACATCGAACTTCAATTGCTCAACCCACGAGAGCTACGATTCTTAGTTACCCCTGAATTGTCAACCTCGAAAACACGCGAATGCTGAAGCTTGAGCTATGCCTCTCATCTATCAGCTTATAATATTAAACATTGTCAAGATAGATACCTAGATATACTCGAAAATATGGTGTAATTGAATACATCTTCTCTAAATTTACACGTGTATATTTTGATCATAGATGTCAGTATCCCAAGACCCACGCCTAGCAAACTAGAATGCTTCATACTGAGTGCATACCTCCTTATCTTGATAATTGACGATTATCCGTAGAAGTAGTAAGATTACGACAAAAGGGGTACGAAATATATCATAAACTCATAATGAATCACGAGTTAGTAAGTGTTTGGCTCCAAGTATAATGACTTGGACAATCAGGCATCGTAGTATTAGTCCAACATAATTCAGGGGGTTCATAATGAACGTTATATCGTACGTGAACTTGTACACACAACTGGATGTCCTAGTCACAAATTCTACAAAACCGAGTACTTAGGGATACTAGCGATAGGTTACAAAATAGCAATGTTGATAGCATAGGTAGATATTTAGGAAAACAGAACATCAGTAACTGTATACTTGCCTTCCCTCTCACCCACACAAGTAGATAGGTAGGTACCTAGGTATATTTTCCTGTACAAACACCCTAAACCTTTCCAGTGACTGTAGCATCTGACGATATACCTCAAGTCACCTACCTCTCGCGCTCCTCATCATCCAACAAACAATTTCCAATGGCGAGGATGGACTTCCATTTAAAAACACTCTTACAGCCTGCAGCTCAACCCATCATGCTACTGCAACAACGTAATTCGCAGACAGGTCATCTTTCCAGAAAGGACCCAGAAAGACATCATACCAAGCTAAGGTTCGAGCTCTCCAAATCGACCTTCATCTCGTCCTTCTTCGAGTACCTACCCACCTCCCTACCTGCCACACACCAACGCAGCACTAGAACCAGCGGCAAAAGATAAAATAAAAAATGCCCAACCCCTCCCACTCCGGCGGCGGCGGCGGCCAGAACTTGCCCCCCTTCGACGTGAACCGCTACACGGGCACGTCCGCGCGCGCCAACAACGGCCAGAAGCTGCAGCCGATGTGCGCTAATAACCCTCCCGGCAAGGGCCCCAAGCTGAAGACCCTGGAGCCGCCGCCGATGGAGCTGCGGACTGTTAAGATCTATGCGCTGCCCAAGTGAGCTCGCCGATACCGATACGCGAGGGGGGGATAGACTTTCGGACGGATCCATTTCTTAAGTCTTCTTTTCTTTCACATTTCGGAGGTGCCACGGGTGAACTCTTCGGCGCAGGTGTGAAAGGGGGGAAATGTGTTCGACTAAAAAGCCACATCATGGCCACCTTGGCAACCGAGCACCCCTGGGTCAGGGGCAACCAGGGCCAGGAACTTGCGGATGATACCCCCAGGACTATCTGGCCATGATCTAGTCCCTCGACAAGTTTCTTTTTCTTTGTTTTCATTCCCGGCGTCCTACATTATCAGCATTATGAGGCGGAAGGGGTCTGGCTATGGAGTTATGGGAGGTATCAAGCAATGAGAATAAAATCCGTCGTCAACCCGAGTGTACTGTGAAATGTGAGATCTCCGAGGAAGAACCTAGATACAAATGATTCGTTACCATGAGATCGTATGAAGGCCTGGCCACCGGTGAGACCTAGGATGTTGGCATTGAACCAGATACCGATTGCATCGAATATATTGTACACCGAATACTTTCGAAGTACGGTAGAGATGTCGTCTCCCGCACTGCTTATCTCTCAAATCCCAACCCACTTACCACGATTGGCCATAAAGTACGAGATGCGTCCCAACTGCCAAACAAGTCAATAAATTATATCGTGACAATTGAACCATACCTTACGGCTGAATAATCGATACCTATAAACAAAGCACATCGACTCCGTTTATGGTTTCATTCCCACTGTACCATGGCACCCTCCTCAACCCATTCTGGCCATTCACGTGGCGACGATTGACTTCTGCAGCGGAACCCCCTTCATGCAGGTAAAAAAAAACCTTGAGGTGGGTAGAGGAGGAGATGGAGTCCGGCTGGCCTCCGATGTGTGTGCAAAGACGAAAGATAAAAAAAAAAAAAAACACATTGCTCAACTCCACCAGGGATGTGAGTGGCGATCGCGGAAGCAAATACATAAGATAAAAGTAATAGGAAAACAATAATAAGTACCGCAAACCCTCCGCCTTCGCAAGTAATTAAACCATAATAAATCAGACGAAAGAGTAGAACGCAACGGGCCATATCCGTAAAAAGGTTTCCCATCGTTCGCCATGGCACACAATCCAGCGGGCCCAGTATCACATGCCGAAACTTATAACCAAGCCGGCACGCAAACATCGCATTTTGGTCTCGAAACTAATGCCATTCCATCTGGCCTCGCATCGTCAAATCCTCGAGATGGGTTTCCCCTGGATCGTGGGGCGCTTGCTGACGCTCTTAATCACAATCACGACCACGACAAGGTCCAAACGCAGACGCAGGATATAACGGACTACCATGAAGACCAAGACGATGAGGAACCTCTACCAGACCCCATGCTCGAGGCCGCCGCAATGAGGGTCCGGCATCCTGACAGCATTATCCTATCACCCGGGCTCCCACCGGACGAGGAATCCGGGGGCGGCGACGGTCCATTCCTACTCCCCGCGAAGCAGGGCGTGCCGCCCGAGCTGCCCAACCTAGCAGCCGAAGTCATCTTCGTGCTTATATGCACCGCCGGCCAAGTCATCTCCGCGCTGACCTACGGCCACGTGATCGTGGGCCAAACAGCCCTCCGCACCGCCCTCGGCATTCCCGCAACCCAAGTCCCGTGGCTCCTCGGCTCCGCGCTACTCGCCAGCGGGCTCTCCGTCATCGTCGCGGGCTCGCTCGCGGACCTCGCCCCGCCGAAACCTCTCATGGTGTGGGCGTTTGCGTGGAGCGCAGCGTGGCACGGCGTAGCGGCGGGGGCCATCTCGCCGCGTCTCAAGGTACTATTCTTCATGGCGCGCGCGATGCAGGGGCTGTCGCTCGGCGTGCTCGTGTCGGCATCGATGAGCATCCTGGGGCGCGTGTACAAGCCGGGCGTGCGCAAGACGCGCGTGTTCTCGCTGATGGCGGCGGGCGCGCCCATCGGGTTTTGGATCGGGTGCGTGCACGGCGGGGCGCTGAGCGGGCAGCTCCCGTGGCTATTTGGCAGCACGGCGATCTTCCTGGCTCTGGTCGCGCTGGGCGCGCAGCTGACCTTGCCGGATCTGAGTCCCGCAAAAGACAGCAGCGATGCCGATGTGCCCTCGCTGCGGCACTTTGACTATATCGGCGCCACGCTCTCGTGCGGCGGTTGCGGCCTCTTGCTTTTTGGCCTGACGCAGGGAGCTTCGTCCCAGTGGAGCCCGTACACATACACGCTTATTGTTGTGGGCATGCTGATGTTCGTTGCCTTCGCGTTCGCCGAACGCCAGATCGCGCGACCCTTGATCCCGAACGGTCTCTGGAGCACGCCGGGATTCACTGCTCTGCTGGTAGCGTATTTCCTCGGCTTCGGGGCCTATTGTAAGTTGATTATCACACTACGGTAGTTCATTGTGTCACATTGATATCAGGCAGGCGATGAAGTGCTAACGAAGAGCCCCTTTATCTAGCCGGTGCTTGGCAGTTTTATGCCGTCCAGTTCTGGGAGCGGTACCAGGGCGCTAGTCCGCTCACTATTTCCCTGTATATCCTTCCCAACGCCATCGTCGGTGTGTTGGCAGCTTGGATTGTATCCAAGACGCTGCATGTGTTCCCGGGGCATTGGATCTTCACAGCGAGTATGGTTGCTTTCGGTATGGGGCCGGCTTTCTTCCTTCCCCAGACCCCGACCACATCGTACTGGGCGTTATCTATGCCGGGTGTGGCTTTGGCAACATTTGGCCCAGATATGAGCTTTGCCGCAGCGGCCATTTTTATCACATCGAGCGTTCCACGATCATATCAGGGTTCTGCGGGGGCTTTGTTAGTCACGGTACAAAACCTCACTTCGGCCATTATGACATCGGTCTCGGATTCAATCGGTGTCAAAGTGGAGCAGCTTCCGACTGGTGAAATTGGATTGAAGGGATTGAGGTCCATTTGGTGGTTCGGTCTGGCGTCCGCATTGACAGGGGCACTTGTCACTGCGACTATGGTCCGGATACCCAAGGCTGAGGAGAAGGAACATGTGCGGTGAAGAGTTAAGCAAACATCATAGTGATAACTATTTACTAGGTAGGCACATAATGGGTAGAGCTAACGATTTTCAAGGGGGGTTAATGCCTAGCTAGATAGGAATGCGTTGTCTCCTGATCACTTCAATCGTGAGGTAGAAATGGATTGGATTTCCTTGGGTATACGATGATTCTTAGATGCAAAGGATCAAGGGCGATGGATGGTGACGATATGACTCTGTTTCTCTTGGCACTATTGTCCCGATCCTCCAAGTCTTGATTTGGGGATATCGAATGATCCTATTAACATGGAGCTCACTATGTAACACTCTAACGGCCTGGACTGTGGATGCCCTGTCGGTAGCTCACTGTTAGGGCATGCATAAGGCTCTTAACTGAGGATGGTTGACGGTTTCCGTATTTGCCAAGACTCGTAGGCATATAATTGGCAGGGTTCCATACCTGATGTTGCATTAGAGTGACTCTTCGATTCGTCTACGCCGTATTGGGAAGGTCAAAACACTCTCATGATTGGTTAGGAGCATCGAGGATTTTATAGTTGTTCAGGTTTAGGGCGGTCCAATCCAATGGAAGTGCAGTAGATCCTCAAATCTCAGCCTTGTACACTGCCAAACACTGCCAAATAGTGGCAAACACTGCCTATCCAGTGGGTTGCCGACGATCTCGATGTCATAGTCTGCAAGGGTGATTAGCATGAAGAATATATATCTGGATCAGGTCTCTTCTTTACAAGGACTCGTCTAACCTCATATTATCCTACAGAACCACAACAATCTCAAAATTCAACATCCAATTCGAAGAACATCACGAATAGCGATACCTTAATCAAAGAATACCTGACCCACAATAAAAATGCAACACTACGAGAGCATTTGGCGTAAGCGGTATCTATTGCCCTGCTGGATCTTCCAAATACTGGGTTCCATTGTCTTCGTTGTGATAGCGTCTCTCCTTCTGGTCGCGGCGGAATACGTGAGGGAACATCAACGCTCTGACTCGGCCGGCTTCCAGTATTCCTACTGGGGGTACAACTCTTCCGAACTGATCGATTACGCGCGAATCACGGGGGCCGTGGTACTGGCACTCAGCGTCGGCACTATTCTTTTCGACATTATCGAGATCATCTTGTATGCCCGACGCAGGCTGAATCCTATCGTGTTGCTCTCGTTCGCATGCATCACAACACTGGTCTGGGGCGCTTATTTCGTCATTGCTCTCATGGGCGCGGCTGCGGGCTCTCCAAGTATACTGGATATATTAATAAGTCTGGTCCTTATGGCGACGAGTATGGCACAGCTTATCATCGGCGCGGTTTTCACGCATCGGGTGCGTAAGGGCTTGTTTCTAAAGCGGAAAAGTTATAATAAGAATGCGAGTGTTGAGAGCGAATATGTTAGGTAAACGCTTTGATGTATGAATTATGATTAGACGCCCGTTTATTTTTATTTTTTATGAGGGGTTACAGGGCTTGATGCATCTCGGGATGGAATACGGATATCCATGGATATAATAGAGGTACTTGCCTATATTTTGTCCGGCAATGATTTTGGTACTGGACCTATTTGAACGAGTACGAAGTACGATGTGTGGTGGTATTTATGTATGTATAGAAGGTAGTTACATACCTTTTCAAGTACAATCCCAACATTAAATGCACAAATGTATGTGTAAATCCTGGTTATGGGTGTTGGTGTATACACCTCGGCGCCATAAATGACTCCAGACTGTGACGTGTCGGTCAGCCAGCCACATGGTGATCTGTCTGGATATTGCGGTATGATGATTGTTACCCTTGGTAGGGACCGACTAGTCCACGGACCGAGTTATACAATTGTCTCAGATGCCAAGACTCTAGACTTGACTTGTTTCAACGTCTCCGCTGCGGCTGAAGAACGTTGAAGCTTGAAAGTACTACATAGTAAATAGTCCCATGTAGTATCATCCGATTGCACACAATGCCACACATCCCCAACTTGATTCAGGCAGCGCTAATTGCTACTATGCGTGTAACAACGTTGAACGTTGAACCAATAAGTTGTGTGTGGGCGGCCTCTTGGAATTGTCCTGCAATGGTTTGAATTGATAAGAGCCAATCATTCTCGAGCACGCTCATAATACAGTAAGTAGATAGGTACCTACATTTTTTGATGCAGTTATGTACTGCCACTTCCAAGTTATCCTACATGATGTATGTAAATATCAGATAATCGGTTAATTCGTGCCGGTTAGGTGTAGTAAAAAACGACTAATACTAGGCAGGTATCCACTAGCTAGGCATGTACCAACTCTAAGTAGTACTAGCGTCGCACTAGATCGATGGCTGTGCGACGCGCCCAACATCTGGAAGCAACAGAGCATTTTGCGGAGTATGTACGCCGTAGTACAGTGTACTACTAGTAGTACATAGCCTAGCAAACGAAAATAATTCAAAAAAAGAATTCCGGGAAATCCGCGAACTTTATCGGTCAAAGAACATTGATTGAAACAATGGTGTAGATAAAAACTAGGTAAAGTGGCAGTTGCAAAGAGCATTGTACATACATATCTATTAACGAGGACCACGCAATTTGATGCAGATCTGATTCAGACGCTTCGTCATCTACTACATATGTACGAAGTAACCTCTATTTGATTCGACAGCATTAGATACATCTCAATCAGGCAATCAATCAAATTACTCCTTTTTATTTAGTTGGATTTCTTTCATCTTAACATATCCTTGCCGCTTGTCTCTTGCCTCTGGCCTCTCTTATATTTTTACTTACATATACATATCCTACCTACATATCTACATACACTTACACATACATACAATCTTCCCTTCCTTTCTCCTCCAAGTTGCCAACTGTACCTACCCAGCCCTACCTGAACTTCATCCCCATACCGTAATACGTTGGAACACTAGGGAAGCTTGATCTTAGTCTCTTGGCAATTAAGCTTAACAAGCAGCTTCTCCACCAAGAAGCCGCCTGATCTTTCTTGTATTTCTATTTACAGGTTTTATATTCACTTCATCCAACCATCCGGGCTGGTCCTCGGCTTTAGCAAGACACTAGGTATTCAGCTTCGACTTTGAGTTCGTCTGTTACGGAGTCTGGACTGTCTGGTACATACATCATAGTACAGTACATACACAATAGGCTACTGCGTGTAAAGGCAACGACTTGGAAGACTGCCTTTCTTTACCTTCCCTATATATCGAAATACTAGGTATCCTAGTCCAATGATTTCACATTAACCAAATACCCATTCATAATTCATATCATTGGAAGTCCACTTCTTTGTTCTCTTTTTACCTTCAAGTCACCTACACAAGCAGGTACCCTACATAGCCTACCTACTTACTTGACCTAGTACTTTGAGAGTCGACCTAATCCCTTCATATTCCTGTCTTTCACTATCTTCGTTCTGCTCTTTTCCCCTACTTCTTTTCTTTTTTTCTTCGTGGATATTCTATTCCATTCGATTCGAATAAATTAGATATCAAGCCGTGTTGTCTTAAGCCTTGATCCACTTACTTTTCCCATCGACCTACGAACCGGCGCATTTCGTATCGTAACTCCGAACAACGCTAATTCACCTCATTCATTGCACTATATAAACTCCGAAGCATGAAAAGTGTTGTAACGCTCGTTGCGAGCGCGTTGCTGGCCTCTGTCGCCCAGGCGCAAGTTGTCCAGTGGGATATTGCAAAGAGGCATGTTGGGCCTAGATTTGCCAAACGACAAGATGGCACTTTCACCGAAGTTATCACAAATGAGAAAACACGGGGTGGTTACTTTGCTTCTTGCCAAGTCGGCACCCCTGGTCAGAACTTGACGTTGCAGCTAGATACGGGGTCTAGTGATATCTGGGTGCCTTCGAGTAGCGCGAGTGTTTGTGATCAGGACTCTCAAAACTCAGGCTGTACTTTCGGCTCTTGTGAGTTAGCCAGCCAAATCCGAACCGCCTGTTGCGCTTGTACCTTGTGAGGCTATATTTGCTAATCAACATTTTATTCTAGTTGACGAAAGCGCATCTAGCACTTTCTCAGTCGTAGGCGAAAATGAATTCACCATTTCCTACGTCGATGGCAGTCATTCAAAGGGTGACTACGTTGCAGATACTTTCGAAATTGGAGGTGCTACCTTGAACAATATGACTATGGGTCTTGGTCTGTCAACTGACATCCCGTATGGCCTGGTTGGTGTGGGATATGCCTTAAACGAAGCCATTATCGCCAACACACAATCTGCCTCGTCAGCGTACGACAACCTTCCCGTACTGATGCAGAAGCAGGGCCTCATTGCGACCAACGCCTACAGCTTATGGCTAAATGATTTAGATGCCAACACTGGTAGCATCCTATTTGGTGGAATAGACACCGAAAAATACCAGGGTGAACTCACTCGTATCAACATATACAAGGACTCTCAGACAAATGCCTTTTCCTCCTTCATCGTCGCCTTGACATCCCTCCAGGCATCATCTTCTTCAGGCACCGATACGCTCACTTCCTCCGAGTTGCCTGTTCCTGTCGTGCTTGACTCGGGAACGACTTTCAGCTACTTGCCGACTGACATAGCAGAACAAATGTGGCAAGAAGTAGGTGCCGCCTACTATACCCAATTAGGTCTTGCCCTGCTGCCTTGTAGCATGGAGAACAGTGACGGGCACTTTTCATTTGGATTTGGCGGTTCGGGTGGTCCGGTGATCAACGTTACGATGGATGAACTTGTCCTTCCCCTCACAGATGAACCTCAGCAGTTTCCAAGCGGTCCGTACGAAGGTCAAGACATTTGCCAGTTTGGCGTACAGAACTTCAGTAGTTCCCCTTACCTCCTTGGCGACACATTCTTGCGATCGGCCTACGTCGTTTATGATCTCGTGAATAACGAAATCGGCCTTGCACCCACCGATTTTAACGCCACAGGATCTAACGTTGTCGCATTCCCGAGCGAAGGAGCTCAGATCCCGTCAGCTAGTGCGGCACCTAACCAGGCCGAGGTTACTCAAACTAGTGGCTCGCTTTCTCAGCCAACATACGGTGCCAGCGGCGGGTTCCAAAATCACGACGCCGAATCAGCGGCATCCTTACTACCGCCCGCTTTCGACTGGTCCAGGATAGCCGTTATGGGGGCCAGCATGTGTTTCGTAATGGTTGGTAGTGGATTCTTCCTCCTTATTTAGAGGAAGGTGTAACGATTTTAATATAAGAGGCGTTTTGGTTGGAGCTGGGTTTCGCATCGTTTATCTTTTACCAACCTCCGGGGCTCGCTTTCAGTTTAATCCTACAGGCGTACTTACATGAGGGCAATGGACTAGCATTCTCTGTATACTGATCAGTGATGGTATAGATGATTTTGCATTTCACAGAAATCCCGGGAAAGAAGACCAAGTTACATAGGTACAGAACCTACATATTGTTGATGGAAAGTAAAGGGTTTGTGCAAAGGTTACATAGCATCTTGCGACCAACCGAGGCACATGTACCTAATGTAGGCGAAGTGTGTCTATGAGTAAAGCAGAACAAGCATAGTTTTCATGGATTCTGATGAGATTGTGTACATTAATGACAAGAAACCCAAGTAATTCGAAGGCCAAGTTATTCTTATCCAAATGGAGTTGACAAACTGCTACATACCTAACCTACATGGAAAGGAGCATTCAGCATCAATGTTTGTTTGAGGGCTACATACTACATGTAGGTATGTATGTATGCCGCTAGTACCTACTACTACCTTGTACCTACCCTAGGCAGGTACCTACATAGTAGTAACTGAAGCCGTTCAATCAAGTGACAGTATTAAAAATCCTTGGATTCCCGATAAGCCGTTATCAGTCCAAAAATTTGTTAAGCGTCAAGAAATATCGAAATATTACTTAGTAAGTGGTGGAAATAAAAATAAATCACTAACAACACTTGCGATCTTTGAAGCGCGGAAAAAATAGAAAAAAAAGAGAAAAGAACAAAATAAAATGAAGTAAAATCAGCATAGTACATCATCTTTTCCAATTCATTCGCTTGGTTCAAGATTGATACTTTTCGGTTTCTCAATTTCTTTTTCTTCTTTCTTATCAGTCATGAGGGTCCAGAGAGTTGCGGCTGTCCTCAACGATGGCCGGATCTTGGGATCTAGGTGTAGCGCACGCTTTCTCAGTGTGGGTTCGAGGTGCCAGGGAGCTCGTTCAACTACGCCATTAATCGCCGCTCCGTTGCGTGTCGAGGGGAGACGATATTTCAATCTTACGAAACCACGATATGCTGCCGCAAGCGCTGCCGCTACCGCCGCGTAAATTACACTCACCCCACCAACATTTTGACCATGTTGTACTGACCATTGTCTTCTTGGACAGGCTGAAGCGGGCTGCAGAAGAGGCCAAGAACCTTACTCCTGAAGCCGTGTTTGCGAAAATGAGCCCAGAGGAGAAGAAGCGGCTCTCGAGAGTGCGCAACATCGGTATCGCTGTATGTCGCTATTGGTTTCCGTAAGACGAGGTAGACAGGGATACTGATGTACTGAATGTATGGTATAGGCACACATCGACAGCGGAAAGACGACTTGCACGGAACGAGTACTATTCTATACTGGACGAATCAAGGCTATTCACGAAGTTCGAGGCAGAGATGGCGCCGGCGCAAAGATGGACTCCATGGAGTTGGAGCGAGAAAAGGGTATTACTATTCAGTCTGCCGCGACCTTTTGCGACTGGAAAAAGGTAGAGGACGGTAAGGAAGAGACGTACCATATCAACTTGATCGACACACCCGGTCACATCGACTTTACCATCGAGGTAGAGCGTGCCTTGCGAGTTTTGGACGGTGCTGTCATGATTCTATGCGCTGTCAGTGGTGTCCAGTCTCAGACCATCACCGTCGACAGGCAGATGAAGCGCTACAACATTCCTCGTATCAGCTTCGTAAATAAAATGGACCGAATGGGAGCCAATCCCTTCAAGGCTGTCGAGCAGATCAACAGCAAATTAAAGATTCCCGCGGCAGCAATTCAGATCCCTATTGGAATCGAGGATCAATTCAAGGGCGTCGTTGACTTAATAGACATGAAAGCTATCTACAGCGAAGGACCCAAGGGCACCATTGTTCGAGTCGGTCCCGTACCCGAGGACCTGAAGGAACTTGCCGACAAGAAGCGCCAGGAGCTGATTGAGAAGCTTGCAGACGTTGATGATGAGATTGCTGAGATTTTCCTCGAAGAAGGCACACCAACCAACCAGCAAATCATGGATGCTATCCGCAGGTCGACTGTCAATCTAAAGTTCACTCCTGTCATGATGGGATCTGCCTTGGCCGACAAGTCCATTCAGCCCCTACTTGATGCTGTCTGTGATTACTTGCCCAACCCGGGTGATGTCGAGAACGTGGCCCTGGATCGTTCCAAGAACGAGGAGCAAACTAAGCTGGTTCCGTATAACTCGTTACCATTTGTCGGTTTAGCTTTCAAACTGGAAGAGAACAACTACGGCCAGCTTACTTACATCCGAGTGTACCAAGGTACATTGAGAAAAGGTACTTACTTGTTCAACTCGCGTACTGACAAGAAGGTCCGAATTCCTCGAATCGTCCGAATGCATTCGAATGAGTTGGAGGATGTCAATGAGATTGGTGCCGGCGAGATTTGCGCCGTGTTCGGTGTCGAATGCGCCTCTGGTGACACATTCACAGACGGAAACTTGCCGTACACTATGTCCTCCATGTTCGTGCCAGATGCAGTCATGTCGCTTTCCATCAAGCCTAAGCGAAGCACAGACGCCGACAATTTCAGCAAGGCCATGAACAGATTCCAGCGTGAAGACCCTACCTTCCGACTTTATGTCGACGAGGAGAGCGAAGAGACGATCATTTCGGGTATGGGTGAATTGCACTTGGAAATTTACATCGAACGATTGCGACGAGAATACAAGGTTGAGTGTACCACTGGCCAGCCCCGAGTCGCGTACCGTGAGACTATCACCCAGAAGGCTGAATTCGATTATCTTCTCAAGAGGCAGACTGGTGGGCCTGGTGACTTTGCCCGTGTCGGTGGATGGATCGAACCGAACGACGAGCCAGAGGCGAACAGCTTCGAGAACCGCGTTGTGGGTGGCGTTATCCCCGACAAGTTCATATCCGCTTGCGGCAAGGGTTTCGAACTCTCTTGCGAAAAGGGACCTCTTCTCGGCCACAAGGTCATCGGAACCCGCATGATCGTCAACGACGGCGCAACCCACGTGACGGATTCTTCCGATTACGCTTTCAGCTTGGCGGCGCAGATGGCGTTCCGCAAGGTGTTCCCCGAGGCCGGTGGCCAGGTACTCGAGCCGCTGATGAAGACAACCATCATGGCGCCCAACGAGTTCCAGGGCAATATCCTGATGTTGATGAACAAGCGCAACGCGACCATCATCGACACGGAGGTTGGCACCGAGGATTTCACACTCATCGCCGATTGCAGTTTGAACGCCATGTTTGGCTTCAGCACCCAGCTGAGAGCTGCTACCCAGGGCAAGGGCGAGTTCAGCATGGAGTTCTCTCACTACGGAGCTGCACCACCGCATTTACAGTACGTTATACCCTTTGAATGACCCTTTGCTATAAGCTTAAAAGCGGATTTACTAATCGTTTCTTACAGGAAGGAGTTGATCGCCAAATACGAGAGGGAGCTCGAGGCAAAGAGGACGAAGTAAACAGCATCTCTTTCCCCTTTATAGGATGCGCTTCAACGGGGCCAGCATCTCCCAGGCGTTGGCTTGGCCTATGTTGGGTTTGATAACACGATCAGACGAGTCGATGGATGACATTCTTCTTTGATCCCTCGCTAGATGAATCTTGCGTTATATCAAAGACTACCTATACCAAGCGTAGCTCATGATGGGAAGAGACTGGGAGCGGCTCGATTGAAATAAAAATATCGCCTATGTACAATACGAATGACGACATACTAGAGTTATATGAAGAAAAAGGGAAGAAAGTCGAGAAAGATATATGATGGCCTACCTGTGCGGGATGTGAGCTAGTCGGGCATTGCTTTATCTCTGCTCTGCGAGGTTGCCTTGCTTAGGTAGAAAAGGCGATGAATGGATAGAGTTGGCAACGAAGTACCAAGTAAGGTACATGAATACCTGCCTGTCATTGAAGAGCGCGAGATATACGCTTTGGTGTTTAGGTATAGAAACGCTTATAGATGACAAGAAAGAAACTCCTCCCTCTACCGACCTATTTATATTCACATCCTTAGCATTGGATTGTGTATTGTATTGTATCGTATCGTATCGTATCACCTCATAACTAGGCTAGGCATTATTGCTAAATAGGACTTGAACTTAAAATGCATCTTCTCATATTCAGGCGTTGATTTCATTGGTATCATAAAATTCTACCTCTAGAAAAGTAGACAAAAACATGAACTTTTTTGGTCTTCCGTCCATCCGTCCGTTACTTTTAGTTTTTATTATTTTCCGGTATCTCTTTTTTGATGTTTTCGCTGTAGGCGAGTAAGTACCTAACCTAAAGATGTAGTATATACCTATGTACATACCATGTCACGAGACACGGTACTACGACTATGCTCTACATCTACAACCTCCTCAAAATATCCGCCACAACCTCCTCCGTCGTCGCCTTGCCCCCCAAATCCGGCGTGAGCAGGCGTCCCTCCTCAAGATTCGCATCGATGGCCGCGTAGATCTTAGCCGCAGCCTCTTCTTGGTTGAGGAACTCGAGCATGAGCGCGGTGCTGCGGAGGGTGGCGATGGGGTTCGCGATCCCTTTGCCCTCGATGTCGGGGGCGGAGCCGTGGCAGGGCTCGCCGATGGCGAAGCCCTCGCCGACGTTGGCGGAGGGGACGAGGCCCAAAGAGCCGACGAGCGCGGCGGCGCCGTCGGACAGGATGTCGCCGTAGAGGTTCGGCGCGACGATCACGTCGTACGCTTCTGGTTGCCGGAACAGCTTGTACACCATGCTGTCGACGATCTGCTCCTCGACCTGCACGGCGCTGCTAAATTTCGGGACGGCGAGGGCGGCGCGGGAGGCGGTGCGGAAGAGGCCGTCGGTCTGCGAGAGGACGTTGGACTTGTGGGTTATAGTCACGAGGGGGTTTTTATGAATAGAGGAAGCAGGGTTGGCGTCGCGGATCTTCTGGCGGCGCAGGGCGATCTCGCCGGCCATGGTGGCGATGCGGGTGGAGGCGCGCTCGGAGATGCGCTTGATGGCCTCGGCGTACCTGCCGCCCTCGCTCTCGGCGCGGTCGAACGTCTTCTCCTCCTTGACGTACAGGTCCTCGGTGTTCTCGCGCACGATGACCATGTCGATGGGCTTCGCCGCCGTGCGCACGCTCTTCACGGGGCGCACGTTCGCGTACAGGTCCAGGCGCTTGCGCAGCGCGACGATCGGGCTCGAGTACCCCTTCACGGCGGTCGAGGGCGAGGAGACGGCGCCGAATAAGGCGCCGTCGCACTCCTGGCGCAGGACCTCGACGGTGCGGTCGGGGAGGGCGGCGCCGGTGCGCTCGAAGGTCTCGAAGCCGGCGTGCAGGTCGGCGAACTCGAATTTTAGGCCCAGAGAGGAGGGGAGGGCTTCGAGGATGCGGCGGCCGGCGGGGATGACCTCGCGGCCGATGCCGTCGCCGGGGATGAGGCCTATTTTTAATTGTTAATTTGTGAATAGATGAATTAACATGGAACTAATTTACAGAGTTAGTTAGTTACTAACCTATTCTAAGAAGTCGAGACGCCATTGTGAAATATCAATTGACTGTTTTGGTCAAGTAGAAGGGACCTTGGATAAAACCTTGGGTTGAAGCTTCTTTCCGACTACATGGTACAAAATAAATTTTTCGTGTAACTTCCTCACTTAGAGGGGTCCTCTACCCTGGAGCTCTGCTGCTGCCGGCTGCCGCGATCGGAGGGGTATCTTGGGTTACCTAAGGTCGTACAACATCTGCAGGGGGGTTCAGGGATATTTTAGTTCAAAGTTCGTGTCGCGTTAGGGTACCTTCGTAATGTACTTGTCTGACAGAATCAGACAGATTACAGGGACAATTCTCCATTTGAATTCTATGCGGCTTCGATTATTCCTTCTATTGTTTCCATTGCTTCGCTTTGATGCAGTATACTGTCATCCCATCCTAGTCTAGCATCTATGTACCACCAACCAACCAACTCATTCTGTCTTGCATGAGCTGGGAAAATTTCATATATTTTTGTCCATGACTGATTGGGTATAAAACACTAACTACATACGTATGTACGCAGGTGGTTGTGTTGCATAAAGTCTCATCACCAATTATTTTCTCCTGAACGCTTAAAGACTAAAACTACTGCGTACAGGATACTACGCGGAGAAACTTTGTCGCTTTTAATGCTCGATTGAATAGGAGGGGTCGTGTTAAGGTCGTGTTTACTCTGAATGAATCAGCAACCTGAAACGTCTTAACATATAATATCCTATATAGTACCTTACTTACGTAGCACGCAGCGGTATGGATGCATTCATCTACCGTTATATTGGGCTTAGGGTCTTTACACTACACTACCCTAGGTAGGTAGTTAATATAGTAGTTACCCTAGGCACTGGTAGACGCGTTCTACACTAGGGATGGGATGCCGCATGTAATACTTCCTAACGCACATATTTGCTACATATTTCCTCCGCGTTGTCCGAATAATTGGCCATTTCTTAACCTATGATAATTACCCCTGGTTTTTCTTTCTGGAAGATATATTGAGGTTACATTTATGATGACATGTAGAGAGCCATCGATCGAATCCAACCCTACAACAGATGTGTTGGGTAGGGCTTTGTATTAAAATTTAACCCAATTACTTTTTGAGAGAAATAACAAGTGCTTTTTTTTTATGAGGCTTGTGGATAGCGGCGAATTAAATGATTCAATTAGAATGATTGCTACCAAGTTGTGTTGACATGTGTTTCCTTGGCTATTTGGTAGTTATGCGCGTGCACAGCGAATAATACCAATAACACCAATAATACCAATAGTTAATACCTACCTACCTAATACAGCATTGAATGGATAACTACTATGAAGGTATCCATAAGTATGAACTCGTACTCCAGACTCCAGACTCCAGAGGTTGTCAATACCCATTAGTAAGTTGTTGTAGCAATATATGGATTCAAAACAAAAAACATTACAAGTCAACAAACAAGTGATGTCGTAAGAGCATTGGAGCATTGGAGCATTGAACTCACTGACATTTTCGGATATCACCAATAAATGAAATCGCTCTCAGGTCGCGGCAAGTTGACCGTTCTGACCGTTCTGACCGTTAGATCGCGTCTGGAGAGTTCATGCAAGCCCCTGAAATCCACTTTATTCGACATGAAATTATCAAACCTCACACCCCCCTGGTCTAACTGGGCAGCTGCTGGGCAATTTATTAAAGGAATCCGAAGTTCTTAGGCCGCTTTTATTAGACCACCTTAATTACCTATTAAGGTACCATAGTCCCATCCCATAAATCCCATAATCCCTAGTCCCAGTAGGGCCACATGCCACTTTACACTTGCACCTGCTTCCTACTCTCACTCTCCCACTCTCCCACTCGACACACCCACTCCTACTCCAGCTTGTTTTTTTTATTTAGTACTGAGTACCTACCCTAGGAAGTAGCACACCCCCCAGCACCTGCACCCAGCACCAGTACCGAATAACTATTGGGAAGCTCCAGCTGTCTGTCTTTGTTCTGTCCGGGACTTTCTCAACCTTCTCCCAAACTTTCCAACTTTAAGCTTCTTCTTCTTCTTCTTCTTTGTTTCTCTCGTCACGATATCACGTACATACATATACCATTTGTTGTATTAATTTTTTCCCAAACACGCTCCTTTCTTGCCTTGATTCTTTTGCTTGATTCGAGATCACTGTCGCATGTTACCGTTGCAAGGTTCTTAAAAGACGTTTGCTACATAGGTACAGCCTACCAGCCTGAGCCTGCATACTACTGCATACTAGTAACACGCATACTACACGCATACTATACCTACAGACCACATTTACCTGCCGTACCCAGTCTTCTAAACTCTTCTGTCTCGGCATCTCGATAAAAAACCCCCTTTACCTCTTACGATTTGACTTCCTCCTTACCTGAACCTCACTTGATTATTATCCTTATAATAACTTTATCCCATATTTTCTGCTTACTCTTGGAATCACTCTTGGATTGGATTGGACAAGCTAGTTCTCGGCTTCTCCGAGGCTTGACTACTTGTCCTCTTCTCCGAAGTCAGTCCAATCGAGTTGACTGCTAGACCGTATTGAACAACTGGTCAAAACAACGAAAGCCATCTTAGGGGGCATGCCATCCATCTTCGCAAATCGCAGCTGCACCTTCCCGCGGTGACAATTGTTGGTATATGATCAGTAGCAAAACTGATCACCGCCTTTGCTCCTTCTCCCAACCCAATTCGATTTGTACGCGACCAGTTACGACCAAACCATGTCGGGAGTCAGGAACCTTCGCGCCATGTTCGAGCAGAGGGGCGAGAACAACCCTCCAGATAGGGGAAGATCCCCCGGCGAGGGAAGCATTTCAGTCGGTATGACTAACCTCTCTGTCTCAAACATCCCCTATCTACACGGAGTCGTGTTAATACATTGACTTGTCTCACTCTACCTACCTATTTTACCCGTTCGCGCTACCCACTCTAATAATCATTTGCCCGTTTTCATGACTGTATCGCGTCTCTAGGGTTAACCTCCTATTGACTATATTGTACATATGTCATCTACCAGGCAACAATAACTCCTACAGCACTGTAGCTAACACTGTTATTTCCTGTCATTAGGGTCTCCTTCGCCTACTGATTCGCCTCGCCCCCTATCAAAAGTTCGGACCACCTTCGTAGCAGTCGAGAAAGACGGTATATTGGGACTGAGACGACAACACAGCGGAGATTCCGCCTCTGTGGAAAGCGGGAAAGAAAGTATCGAGACCGAACCCATCACCTCACAGCCAGTATCAGAAAAACCGGACACTGTCATGGAGAACATGGCTAGGAACATTTCTGCCTTGAAATTAAATCTCTCCCGGGAAGGCTCTGTCGACTCTCCCAGAAACTCGCCAAGACTAGCCCCAGCACCTCAGTTCTCCATGAAGAAGGATCTCGAGAGTCCCGGTCTAGCTCCGAATCCGAACCCAGACAAGACAACAGACGAAGAAGACACGAAGGCTAAACTGCTACCGGCTGATCCAACAGAAAAGGCAGCAATAAGAGGGAAGGGTGTAACTTCACCAGGGAGTGCCAGTGGCCCAACGTCAATTGGCAAGCCAAAGACTGCAGTTACGAAGGCAGCTCCCAAAACAGCTCCGATCTCGATCTCTGCTAAATCCGTGTCAAGTGCGCCGAGGTCGCCTAACTTCACCAAAGCAGGTACCAGCACGCCGAAGGCATCCGGCAGATCTTCAAACTTGGCACCGAAGAAGGCAGTGTCTGCGCCTTCGAGCGATCATGAGGGCTCAAAGAAGTCTTCAATTCCGGCCGCTGTCAGAACAAGCAAGAAGCCGGCACCAGTTGAGCTTCCTCCAGCAGGATCCACATTTGCGAAGCCAAAGGCCAAGTCACCCACTCGGCCTATTAAGCTTCCCCCTTCCCTTACTTCTCTCACTGCCTCAACTGCCTCGAAGATTGGGGCCCCTGGTGCAGCTCAGCCTCCCAGGCAATCTCTCTCACGAGCCTCGACCAACAGCCGTCTCAACGGACCTGCCAGCGCGCACAGGCCATCTAGCAGAACGAGCGCTTCAGCCGTTGCCCCAAAGACCAAGGCCTTGAGGCGTCAGAGTTCGTCTGTTCCGCGACCACGTCCAAGCCTCGGGCCTCCACCGAAGCCAGTGTCTAAGGACCATCCTGTTTCCAAAAAAGAAAGCAATGTAGACGAGAGCTTTCTCGCTCGTATGATGCGACCAACTCAGAGTAGTTCCAGCAAAGCCTCTGAGAAGGCACCTATCACCCCACCGCGAAAGCAGACCACGCCAACAACGGGTTCCAAGAAGTCGGTAGCGAGGGATGTTGAGGGAAGTGCGAAGAAGACGGTTGCCAAGGTTCAAGCATCAACGAACAAGTTGAAGGCTGCGACGCAGGGCACAAAGCCCGTCACCAAGAAGGCCTCGACGGCGAAGGAAGTTGCCCCTGTAGCTTCCCAAGCTGAAACGGCTGAAGTAGCCATCGAGACCGCTAAGGTGTCGAATGATACTGCCACTACTCCCGTGGTTGAGAAGGCCGAATCTGAGGTTATCTCGGAGTCTCCTGCCTCTGATGATGGCAAGGTAGAGAAGTCGCCTGAGCCTGAGGTGGAAGCTCCTGCCCCCGCTGAGGATGCTGAGAAGGTTGAGGTTGTCGAGGAGGCCGTAGAGGAGCCTGTCCAGCAGAAGTCATTGGAGCCGGCTATCGAAATGCTGAGCGCCGAAACCGAGGAACCCCAGGTGGCTGAAGACGTGTCGGCTACATCGGAAACAAGCATTGAGGCTGTCGCGGTTGATAATGTAGCTGAGGAGTCTGTGGCAGAAAAGGAAGAGGCCAAGGTCGAGGAACCCGAGAAGGAGTCCGTCCAAGTGGAGGATGTCCAAGTGGAAGAAGCCAAGTCAGAGGTCCCTTCGGAGGATGCTTAAGGTAATTCGACTATTTTTTCAGACAGCTGTACCAGCAATGTCTATTCCACAAAAAAGAGTAGGGAAAGAGACGAGACAAAAAAAAGCAAAGGTCGAACGTTATTTGTATTCGGCATGGCGCAGATGATACCTTTTTACCCCCCTTGATAACCATTAGAGCATGTGGGATTCTATTCTGTTCTGTTCCCTCACGTTGCTCAACGCATTTTTGTGGAGTTAGGTGATAGTGATAATACCTCTATGGCACGCATACTTTTGAACTTGCTTTTTTTGTAGGCGGCATTTTGTCCCTTTGTCATCACCTCGGAAGAAAGGAGTCCTATTCTATAGGTAGGGGTGGGCTAGACTACCTACGTACTGGATAATAAATATCCATGGATCAGAGAGGAAAGGGGGGCATGTTCGATGTTCCTCGGGACGCTCCAGCATTCATAAGTTAGGTGCTGTGAGCGTAACCTACCTAGTAAGGTACCTAGGTAGTTCTGATCTTGCCCTGGATATGCAAGGCATTGATGCCTTTCTTCGAATATACATATGAAGTCTCGTCAACAATTCTGTTCTTCCGTCATGGCGATGGAATGTGTTTGCTATGATCCTGTCTATTGTGCCCATGATATCTAAGATACTCTTTTATTTTAACCTCGTCAAAGGTTATACGTGACTACGTGGAAGTCGAGCACGTTTAGGTAGGTTTGGTACAGTATATTGGAGTATACCTAGATATAGGATTGATGTAACCCCTGGGGAAATACATATATTACACATGAACTCTCCTCTGTCTAGGTACCTTTATCCATGTTATCCCCCTTTTGCCAATCATTCTCATGCATGCGCTTTCCTTCCCATAACAAGGCTCTTCAGAAGAGTCTGCAGGAGTGATCACCTTGGGAGACATTTGAGATGTACTTCTCTTTCTCTTCGTGATTAGGTCGTCTTGGTGTCGTAGTCGTATCCCTCACCCATCCATATATGTCCATCCTCCTCTTCGCCAAGAGGGACTGGACTTGTATGTATGGAGATTGCCATGCCAGCCTTCCCTTCCTTCCCCTCCAAATGCTCCTCTTTTTTTTTCTTCTTTTTTTTGTCGATTTTTTTTCGTTAACAAATTGGATCAATGCGAATCAATCAGACCAGAACCGAAAAAAAAAGTTTTTGATCTGATCTAGCTGACCCGGCACAGCAGCAACCCTCCCAATCTCTTCTGGATCGCCTCGCGGACCTCCAGGGTGCCCTCGCTCGTGTTGACGATCAGGCACTCGCCAAAGGTCAGGCCGCGGTGCCTCTGGGCATCGAAGCCGCGGGCGAGCTTCTCGAGCACGGGCAGCTTCGCGGTGACGGGGCGCTTCGAGGTGCTCAGGGGCGTCAGCTTGGTGAGGACGGGCTCGCCGCCGTTGTTGACGCTGTACTTGAGGCCGACCCACAGGCGCTGCTTGGCCACGTTGGCGGTGGTCAGGGGGGGGGGCTCGTAGGTGGCGATGGTCTCGGGGTTGGGCGGGTGCGTGCCGCCCCGCGTGACGAAGGAGAGGAAGCCGGTCCGCTGCAGGGCCAGCGCGACTTGCACGTTGTACTTGGTGTGCGGGAAGGAGGTCATGCCGAGGCGCGCGCGCGAGGCGTTCGTTAGGTGCGAGCAGAAGTTTACGCAGTTGGAGATGCCCATTTTGAGAGGGGGGAGGGGAGGGGGGGGTGTCGACTGCTGTCGACTCTGATGGGGTGGGTGTAGAGGGAGGACGAGAAAAGTGAGCCGGTTTCGGTACTTTGTTTCGTCGATAGAGTGAGTCGAGAGTCGCAAGTCGTCGGACTCGAGCGGTTGAAGGCTTGAGTGAGGATTGAGTGAGGATGGTATTTCCTCCTCTTCTTTATTTGCTTGTTATATTTAGACGTCAATGTTGAACCCACGACCCAATCGATCGCTTCGGAAACATGAGAACACTGTCGGAATGTGGTGTTTGAATGTGAAGCTATCACGATCACAATTTGTTCCAATGAATGATTAAAAAAAGAAAGTGGGTCCGGGAACTCGGATTGATTGGGGATTTGGCGGATCAATACGGAGGTTTCGCTCGAAGAATATTTTCCATACTAGTTAGTTAGTTAACTAACTGGTTAGTTAGTTAGTTAACTACAGTGTTTGGTGTCTGTCAGCTCTGTTATCAGCTGTCAATTAAGTCTGCCATCTGGCCCGCTTTTTCTACCACCTTACGGCGCATAGTATTAGCGAATTACCCTATTCTTGAATCTCATTGGTCTACAGACTTACCCCACCATTGCAGCTCTACAAGACGAGAGTGGGCAGCTAAGCGCCGAACAGCTCTATCCCCCATCCCCTCGTCCCCCTCGTCCCCCTCATCCCATACAAAATGTAGGTACTGTATGTGTGTTATGTAACTGTGGCAGTAAATCATGGATGGATGGATCATTCTATTTTAGAAGTGGCCAGAAGGTCGGTGGGATCATTGCCGACTGGTGTAACAATTTCCTGAAAAAGCTGTTTCGTAAGTACAACTTTGTAGCAAGTTTTAATTTATCCAACTCTTCCCTTCTATTCCTTTATTTTTGGATCTGAAGTCTTGTGAAGCTCTCGTCAGTATCAAGCGAATATTATCGAAGAAACTTAGCAGCTAGCTCAAGTAACATCTACCTCTGTTGTTATTGTTGTTATTGTTGTCATTGTTGATCATTCTTCGATTACTTATATCTCATACAACCCCATTCACCTATCATATACCCTCTCCTGCGTTAAGGCCGAGCCGAGTCGCAATCAAGATGGCGGTTCGGCCTGGTGAAGAAAACGTTGCGACCCTGTGAGTGCCCAAATTTGCGTGATAGCTCCCGGAAGGAGTCTGTCTTGGAGCTTTAATATTCCCATGCTTGATCACTGATCAATGTCTCTTCTCATGTGATAGCTTCGGCGACGTTCATTACTTTTACGGACCACCCGAAGCAAAACCACCGCACCATCGCTTTGATAAGGGCTCTTACGTCTATCTTTTCGAGAATGCGAATGACCGGAGAGCACGTATTGAAATTGCCAACCAGCCGGGAACAGACGACCAAGATGCTTTTGATGGGTGTAAGAATATCATATTTCCTATAACTGGCCTCCTAGTTGGCCATTCATGGGCGCTTATCCTAATAACCACGCGGTGTAGTCTTAGATAGGACCCGGATTCGGTATTCTTACAAGCAAGAATGCCTCGTAAATATCGTAATCGAAGCCGCCCCCGGCGCGCCCATAGACCCAAGCCAGTGGCATCTTCCTACCTATGACCCGCGAAATGAGAACAAGTATCACTACAAACTTCACTCGCTCGACATCTACTTTTGGACTCACGGCGACGCCTTACAATTTGTAAATGGCGTGCGACGAGTCTTGCCTATATCTCAGGTAGAGGTCGCAGACGAGCCAGGCCCGCCGCCTCACCCGTATGCTCAGCCTCAAGACACCAATTCCTTGGTCCAGCGGCTAGAAAATGTTGCCATCTCAGATCCTAAGTACACGAGCCCTAAGCCAGGGCCGCAAGGCATACCTACTTTTGCGCCGCCACCAACCTCAGCATCGGCAAACAGTGGTAAGAGTGGCTCACCCCACAGCTTTGCGCCGATCCCGTACAACCCAGCGGCACCAGCTGCCGCGGAACAGAGAGTACACCGAGAAAAGACACCGCCTCCACCTGAGGAGGACGGCCATGATCCTCTTACTGCGGCCATCGCCCGTGACCATCATGCCCCGGCGGTATATACCCCCGGGTACGGTGCCATGAACTTTTCAGCTCCCCCAGGTACTCCTGGTGTTGTTGGCCCTCCTCAACATATACATCCTGGTCTTGCGAGTCCCGGTCTTGCGAGCCCCGGCCTTATGAGCCCAGGTCTTGTTAGTCCAGGTCTCCCTACTCCCGGCATCACCAGTCCTGGGTTCCCGCCTTCTCAATTCGGCCACTTGCAACGCTCATCCACGATGCCCGTCTCCGGCATGGCTTCACCAGGTCTTGTTAGTCCGTACGGGGCCAATTTCCCCGGATCGCCAGGCTTTGCTCCACAATCAACGCAAAGCCTACAGCACCACCCAACCCCTCCTCCTATTCAGAGTCCCGGCCTGCCTCCGCCGCCACCCGGGGGCTATTCGAATTACACCTACGGGGGAGCGCCGCAGCCTGGGGGCGTAGACTACAATATCCACCAGCAGTTATATCGGCCCACGGAACAGGAGCACGCGCTTAAGCATGGCGCGTACAAGCCCAAGCCGGAGGGCCACAGCAAGCTGGGCCAGAACGCGGAGAGGCTGGAGAAGGGCGTCACGGGGATGCTGAAGAAGTTTGAGAAGAGATTTGGTTAAGGGACTGCCTAGTGGGTAGACATCTGTTACAGCTTACCTATAGGTAGCTTACAGGTATCTAGTATACCTTCATGTAAGTTATGAATCATGTCACCTAGCAATTTGGATACCATATTCTATTTCTATAGTATTTAATAAAAGTTCATGCAATCAGAAAGCCTATCGGTATCATGTGTGCATGTGTGCTATGTACTACACCTTGTGATAGGGACATGTATCTTATGCAAGTTGTAGGCAGCTATAAAAATTTTGATAGGCTGAATAGTTACCTACCTGCATATGCCCTACCTTATTCCAGGCTGCCACTCCCTGGCTGGGACATCCCCATCCTAAACCCGTTGTAGCTGACAGGATACAACAGCTGTGCTTCCCGCCCATATGCACACCTATGTCTAGGTAGGCAGGCATTACATATGCAGGGAAATTCGGTTATGCGCTGATGAACTATCATTCAGCTCGAGGGCTCCCTCCCTTGGCATCAATTGCTTTACGTGCTGAGAATCTAGGCTAACATTGAATACAACCTACATATAACTAGAGGTAGGTTAATAGATAACTACTATTATCTAAGTAGTTAGTTAGTAGCAAAGGGAATTTTCCCTTCCATTTGTATTGTACATGTAGTTGTGCAGGATACCCAGGTACATACGTTGGAACACGACCAGCATTCTCATTCGCTGACAGAAAAGTGTATGTAGGCGCACGATACTACATACCTACATGTATTGTACATTATGTAGGGCCATAGGCTGAGTAGATAGGTAATGTAATACATAGTAATACGGTACCTTGCTTTACGTATGTCTCACTATGTACTCTTTTAAGCACCAGCGGTTGTGTGGGAGATGGACGGCTATGATTGGCGGGCCGTAGCTCCTGGTCGTTGCCGATCTTCCGGCTGGTACGTACATATGTATGTAGGTTAGGCCAGATGGGCAAAATTCGAGACATTACTAGGTATGTACAGATGTATGTACATAATGTTTGTTCTAGATATGTGTGTCTTAGAACTTTGCGCCAAAGGTGAGGGAGCTCGTGTCTGTGTGTCTCACAAGCTATCCACTACCTAGCTGATATGTAGCTATCTTTCTTTCACCAAGTAATACATAAGTAAGACCTTTTTCAATTCAAATGCTGTCGGAAATAACTAGGTTTACTAATTATCAACGGCGTTTTTTCCACACTCGTATCGCATCTTCGGAGTTTTAATTTATTTTTTCTATTTTTCACTGCTACATACGATCGAACTTTTCAACATCTTTCTTTCTTCGGCAACGTTACAATTTTGCCAAGATAGGTTTAGGTACCTATATAGTTAGGACTTTAAGGGACATCTGGAGATTAGTTACATAGAAAAAAAAATATTGAATCGGCGGGGAGGGGAGGGGAGGGAAGATGGGATCCGGATAGTTGGGGGCGAAGCGACACTCTCGGGCGCGCAGGGAACTACAGAAGACCCGGCACGCATTGGAGCCGCGACGGGAAGGGATGATTAGGTATATCAGTACATACTTGCAATACCTACACTGCTTAGATCCTTTCTGGGGCCTGGGCAGGGCACGCTTTTTCCTTTGATCAACATGGCGCAGCTTTTGCCCAGTTATGTATGTAGCTCGCACTGCTAAGTGCTAAGGTATCTCAGCCACGATGTGTGATGTGTTTGGCCAGGGCAGTTAGTTAATTGTTAGATTGATGGTAGCATAGCTTTGCCAAGATTGATATAGAGAAGGAAATCAAGGAAACGTAGATAGGTACATAGTTATGTATTGTCTAGTAATTATCTATGTGTTACCTAGGTATTCGCTAATTTTTATACCGTTACCAGTAGGTTAGTCTGTTGATAATAACTTGAGTAGGCATCTTATGTAAGTTTCAAACATTCGGCGATACGCACGTTGTAGAGATAAAGCGGCTCGGAGGAGGTAACCTGCATAAACGAGCTACATAACGCTTCTTATACCGGTGACGGACACGGAAGGTTTGTATCTTTCGAGTATCTATGTCCCGAGAATAGTGGTCCGGATACGTCAGTTTTTCTTGTGCCTTTCTTGTATGGTCTTATCCCCGACAGCTATAACTCGATAGCTAATATAAGTAAGATTCTTTCCTGTCATGAATGATTGGGAATCAATTTGAATTAACTAATGCTAGTAGACTAGTTATTCAGAGCTCAGATAAGGTCAGCTCATTAGCTAGCTACCTACCCAGTAACGGCAGCGGATCCACTGACTCTCGAGCTTCGGAAGGATTACTTTAGGTAGGTTAGTAGCTAGCACAGTGTGTACACAGTAGTAGACTAATGGTCCAGCCTCAACGGGGGAGTTGACAACACATGTCTGTCGTATTATGTGCCGTTCTTGGGTGAACTAATCCGGTTCTACGTGGTGCTGATATCATCATCTGCCTATAAGAATGTGATTTTTGTTAGTATTCCAAATCAGAGTTACTGGATACCTACATAGACAGTAACATAGTATATAGAAGTTACGTATGAATTGTAACGAGTTGCATGTGTGATTTGATATATAGCACGTATATAGGTAGGTATCAACTACATATGTAGGACTTCGAGCTAGTAACACCAGTGACTTGACCTCAGTGAAGTGACTTCACTAAGTTCAAGTAACTTAAGGTAGGTAGCGAGGCGAATAAAATTGGGACTCGTGTTACCCAATCGTCTCCAGCTACATAATATAGTAGTCCTCGAAAGGGAAAGGCCTAGGCTGTCGTGCCTTCCATGACCCTGGCTAGGCCTTACAAGTAACAAAATACCTACCTGCCAGGTCCTGCCTACTTCTTCAAGTCTTCTTGCCTGCAGTTCTCGTCATTGTTAGTCCAGGTATCCAACATTAATGTTAGCCTGCAGGTATGTACTATAATGTACTATTACCGTATATTTTCGGCATTATGGTCCTCTTGTTAGCTCCACTTATTAATGCGCTTTACCTAATTAGGGCGATTTACCCCAAGGTTTATTCAACTACACCTCATTTCGGAGGGATTCTTATCCGATTCCAACAATATTAGCACGCAATGTCACGTGTCAGCACGTGATATCTGCTCTCCAATATCTACGTTTTTCTGTTATTTCTTGATAGATGTATGGATATTTAAAGCTTTTTAATTAATGCATAGCACTTTAAACCTATCCTTATTGAAAAAACACAAAAATAAGATAGGTAGAATTATGATCACGTGGACTTTGATAACACTAATACTAGAGCCTCAGCACTGAGCTAACCACATTGGGCAAGGCGCACAAATAAGTGGAGCTAACAAGAGGACCATAATGCCGAAAATATACGGTAGCTATTCGCTGTAATTATGGCTTAACGCTTAGTTAACCGACCTAGTAGTATTATAGGTACTAGCCCTGGAGTATCAAAGTCGCAGCCTTAGCAATAGTGATACACACCACCTACTACTACTAGTAGTACATGTAGCTCCTTGTCTCTCCAGTCCTCCCCACCTCCGCAATTCTTCCTCTTTTCCCATCTCCGACTTTCCATCTTCACCTGCATCCAAGTCGAGTAGGTATAGTCTTGTCTTTCCTCGTTGATGCTCTCTAAATTCCGAATTAATCATTCACAGCCATATAGTTCTCGTGAATTTTCGAGCTATCAAAAAATAGCCTTATGTCTTTATATATACTATTACATTGACCTCTTCTACCTCAACTTATTAACCCGCTTTGCGCCATTAGCTTCAACACGCAATATCCACCACCACAACCCACTACTGACGTTTGACCCATTGATCGTCGGAAACAAACCTTGAAATCTTACCATATCTGCCTCATAGACTGTTACATTCAACATACCATACCTGGACTGTGGGTTCTACTCTGGTCAAGTGGGTGCCTAGTGTTTCTCTTGTCACCAGGCTTTGAGATTTACTACCTACCTCTAAATTCCGATCGATTTAACAGCGTCGACGACGCCCGCGAGCATATCTTTGCAACGCCAATCCCACCATCTCGTAGTGGTACAGTCGTCGCACAATCGTTGCACGGTACACCAACCCGTTCCCGCCGTCTTCCCACCGTACCTGCGTTCGGCCTCACCAATATTTCTAATATCACTCCCGAACGAACCGAGTCTCGTGATTACTGTTACCAACTGTTACCAATCAACCAGATTGTCCTTTTATAAGCTGCCTGGCTTGTCGTGGCTCTAATACGAACGGCGCCCATTCTGGGACAGCCTCGGGTGCGTCGGCTGCCGGCCTACAACATCGGATTGCCACTCCCAACGGTGTTCCAGCTCTCTAAATCTAGTCACTCGTTCATAATTCACCATGTATCTTCCGTTTCGTATCCCTATCCCACTCCGGCCTGATGTCGACAATTGTCTCAGCTGTAATAAGCTGTCGACCAGAAACAATAATGCGCCTCCCAACACCATCTTCGTTGTGAGTACATTTTCTCTGATAGTCTTTACGTCGAGCTTGTCTTCGCTGACCATGAACTTACCTTGTTACTATAGGTTGTTGGCATTATAGCTGGTATCTTGGTGCTTGTTTCTCTCGTTTATCTTATTTCACGCCATAAAATGAGGTCGAGGCGGAGAAGTGGAAAGGGTGGTTACCATCAGACTTCTGACGTAGAATCGCTCGATACAACTACTTCGCGGAGTGCGAGAACGCGAAACGACCCGTCCGACTCCAATCCATCGGTCTCCGAAACGAATCGGAATAGTTCGGTAACGCAGGTAGATAGGCACACGTCCGTTCGATCAATAATGACCTTGCCAGCGTATCGCACCAAGGCAAATGAAAACGAACAAGTCATAGGCCGCGAAGGAGAGCGCGATGGCGTTGACGTCGTGGTGGAATATCCTTCTGCCGAGGATATGGAGAGCATGAGAGACGAAGAAATGGAGACGCTATTTCAGATCCGGATGGCAAGAAGACGGGAGCGCGCCGAACGGGAAGAACGACGTCGTTTAGCCGACGAAGCGAGGGCCCGTGGCGATGCGGCGGCATTAATGGATTTGGCTGCTCGGCGACGAGCCGCGCACGCGAATAATGAGGTAGAGGGTTTGCGCGACGCATACGGTCAGATAAAAGACAAGCGGCAACGAGCCGTCTCTAGTGTTAGCTATCACGAACTTGGCGTAGCGCAACTCAATGGAACGAGAGTCCGCGCAAATAGCCAAGAGAGTGAGGGAGTAGGGTTGCTCTCCGATGCGGCCAGCATAGCGTTATCGATGCGATCACCTTCGGCCCAGTCACATCGTCGCGATCGAAGCGCCAGCTCTGTTTTGAGTCTGGATAGTGATTTCCCATCGCCGGCATTGAGGTCTGGGGCGTCAACACCGCGATTAGGGAGCCATACCCGTGCAGGGTCAAGCCCCGAGATAATTACTGAGGCAGATTTAGGCGACTCTGATATGCCACCACCAGACTATGAAGATGTTAGCTTGGATGATGTCAGATCGGGTGCAACGACATCCATGTTTAATGGCCCTCCACCTAACTACATCCACCCCACCGAAGAGCGTGAGCGAAGGCTAAGCGCACATGTCGGTGATATGGTGGACAGGATGACAGAAAGTGGTGACCTTTCGACGACGGATCATGCTCGAGATAGACCCTCCTCAGCAAGGCTTTCCAGAGGTGTAGGCGGGGTCCCGCAATTGCCCAGCCTACGGATTGGAAAGTTGCCAAGGATTGTTATCGAGCCATCAACCGCCCATCCTAACGACCCCGATCCATGAGCACACGGTCATCCGATGCCATCTAAACTCTTTGAGCTCGGGCAAGAATGACACCTGACTCACGAAATACCACGACGACTATGTGGCCCATGGCCGGATTATTAAATATGTCGATACTCAGCTGTATACAAAGATTTGGGATAGTACTTGTTAAATATGAGTTGGACGTAAGAGGAGATGAAATATAGGGAGACTAAGAGACGAGGGATATATATAACAAGAGCTATTGGCGAATGATATTTTTTTTGTATCATAAGTTATTGCGAGGCGTCGGAGGTTAGCAATTGCAGTTGCATTTTTGGGGACACTGAAGGGGATGGGAAATGATGTAAATAAAACGTCTCTTCCGGTCGATAACTACTTGGAATGGGAAAATCCACTAGCAAGTTGGTTCAACCACATATCAAGGTACGGTACTACTAGTACACGTACCACCATCTATTTATTATATTATTTTCAAGATCGTGTGTTTTCGTCGTCGTGCTTCTTCTTCGTTTGGAAGTTTAGGAATGGTGGTTTCGGATCTGGGATATCGATCCTCGAAGATTATTGAGGATTGAAGCTTTATACTGGTTTTCATGGGCTTACTACGCGCGCGTGCGTGGGTTTTTGTCGACTTTAGTACACAATTCTCAGGGGAGCGTTGAATTGCCGTCGAGGAAGGACAAGTTTCGTTCTACGTAGTTATCTCGGTACCTAAGGGAAGTTGGGCGGAAAAAAAAAAAAAAAAAAACCGAGTTGGTAGTTATGTACCTGTTAAATAACCTCAATGGAAAAGGGCGCGTTGCAAATGTTGTGTAACTAACTAACTTTTTTTTAAAAAAAAAATAAGAACGATGATGGGATGGGCTTGCGTTTGTTCACGAAGGGGATGGATGCTTTTACCTTACTTATGTCAAAGCCCCGATAATTAATTTACTTTTGAGTGCCGTGTTTGACTTTTTGGGGGTGCACGCGATGCGATACTACAGTTAGTTATTCGATGGTTTTTACGATGGTCTGTTGCGTGGGTGCGCGTTGATTGGGATAGGGGGGGTCTGGACTCAGGGCTCAGGATTCAGGGGGAAGTGGGAGGTGGGTACTCGGCACTGATGGTCAGGTGGTAGTTAACTAGGTAGGAGGGAGGTACTGTAAGGTATTGTACAACACAATGCATAGGTAGGTAAGGTACCATAGTTCCTGATTTAGGCGCCATACCGACTTTTGGGGGATTGCTTGTTTGTTGTGTGTGTGTGTGTTTGTTGAAGTGGCACGATGACTTCTCCTCCTCCGGTAGCGGTGGTAGGGGTTATACGATGTTGATCGGCTGGTTGGTTGGCTTTTTTTTTTTTCTGGTGAAAGATGTGTCGTCGCTGATCGGATAACTACCTAGGTAGGTAACTAACTATATCGACGGTGGTGTGGAAGGGAAGGTTGGCTAGGCCATGTGAGCATTTGCAGAGACAGACAGACAGACCTCTCTGTGCTCCGACGGAGCCCAACCTCTTGTTTACCTTAGGTAGGTAATGAGTGTACAGTGGAGTAGAACTGAGATGGAAACTGTTTTGACATGGTAAAGAAGCTTTTTTTCCGAGAGATCTGCCGAATAGTTAGTTAACTAGACGATTGTTGTCAAAGCGTCCACGTCAAGTGGCGGCGGCGGAGGAGGAGGCTTCTCCGAGATCTTCGATGTCCCGACCCAGGAGGTAGGTATCTGAAGTGTGAGCTGCCCGGCACTGATCATATTCAGGCACGGGATGGTTACGAAGGTACCTAGCAACGTACTCAATGCGAGCATTCTCTCTAATTTGTAGTTAAGGCCAAACAATGTTTCTCACTATAGTAAAAGGGGGAACGAGGATTCATTAGATAGTGATATTAATTTTTTTTTCTTTGGTGTACTATGGAGGTAAGGTTATGGTATAGTTAGGTATAATGTTTTTTTTTTAAGTAACCCGTCAACCCGTTTATAGTATTACGCATTTCTTGGGCAGCCCGCAAGGGCCCTCCCCGCTGGACCTGCTTCCTTCTTTGACTTCATTCTTTCCTTGCGTCGGCGTAGCAGTGGCAGCGGGTTGAGCAGCAGCGGCGGCTGCGCTCGTCTCCTCCTCCTCCTTCTTCCCGGCGGCACTGTCATGCAGTCACGCGGAGCCGGACGTGTACTTGGCGACGGTCTTGTAGAACTCGGCGCCCTGGGTCTCGGCGATCGAGATCTCGCGCTCGCTCGGCTGGCGCGAGCCGTCCCCGGCCGAGAAGGTGCCGGCGCCCCAGGGGCCGCCGCCGTGGACCTCGGACAGGTCCGTCAGCGCGCCGAACGCCTTGGCGTAGCCGAAGGGCACGTAGATGATGCCGTGGTGGGCGAACGTCGACATCGCGGCGAGCGCGGTGGACTCCTGGCCGCCGCCGAGGGAGGCCGTCGAGATGAACAGGCCCGCCATCTTGCCGTAGAAGCCGCCCGACTGCCACTGCTTGCCCGTCTGGTCCCACCACACGCGCCACTGCGCGGGGAAGTTGCCGTAGCGGGTGGGGATGCCGATGAGGAAGGCGTCGTAGGACTCCAGTGTAGACGGGTCGGAGAGCACGGTCACGTCCGTGGCCGGGCCGGGAGCGTACAGCTTGGCTAGGACCTCCTTGGAGAGGGTCTCGGGGATCCTAACGGGGCGTGGTGTTAGATAAGAGGGGAATTGATGGGTTGTAGAGGGAGGGGGAGGTTCTTACTGGAAGAGGTCGGCAGTGCCGCCAGCCTTCTCGATACCGGCCTTCTCGGCCTCGGCCAACTTACGGACATGGCCGTATGTGGAGTACTAAAGTTGAATTTCATGTTAGTCTTTCTATTCTTTCCTCTTTTTAGTTCTCTTCTCTCCTTGCTTTGAATACGAGTTGCAGCCTCCCCGTGTCATGATTCATGACTGGCAGGAGTCGATGTAAGCCGATGCAACCCCGTCCTGCAGGTCTCGGTACTTGGGACAACCTTTGGGGTGGGTAGCATGGCATGAGGCATTGAAGCTTTCCCCTCCCCTTCGTTCTTGTTTTTTTTCTTTCTTAAAACCCCGCGCCAAGCTTGGATGACAGTTGCATGCCAGAGAGAGAGAGTGTGTGTGTGTGTGTGTGAGGTTCAACTTACGTAGACGATAGCGATCTTGGGAGCCATGTTGAAGATTAAAACGAAAACGAATTGGGTATCTTAAGTTGAGTTGACTGGGAGAAGATATGGATATTCGAGGGCAGAGGAAACAATATTAAATGTTACTTCTAGCTTGTGAGTTATGGGAAGAAGGTCAGACCAAGCTATCCATATCTGTGAGAGGAATCCAGTTGACTTTATATTCGTCTCTACCAGGTAGATGACGGGGAGCAAAGGCTAACGGCGCCATTGGGTGGGGATGGTTGCTTGGGAATTGCTTACTTTAGCTTCTGGCATCATTAATAAGGTTGTCGTAAAGCTACATGCTACATAACCTACATAGTACCTACATGTAAGTATGTCGACATGGAAGCGATCCCATTCGGCGGCGGACTTGGAGCTCTCTCGATCTCGGCCTGCCTTACTTACTTCTCTCCCCTCCTCCCCCCTCCTACCTAGGCTGTACCTGGTAACAGGCCTTTCCCATGATACCCACTTCTAAACCACCTTTGCCCTGCTTGCTTTAGCCTGTAGAGTAGCAACGCGTTCGATCTCAGACTAGTAGCTCGTGCATATCCTGCCGCAAAGGTATCTCTTCCCCTCAATGGTTTGATGTAGATTGGTAATGGAGGGCCGGTGTTGATGTAATCGATCGTTGTTGATCGCTTCTTTGTTCAATGGCGGAGCTATCTGGGGACCTAGCTAGTACCTTGTGGTTGTCTTAACATACAACTAAACGGGTACCTACAGTAGTAGTTTCCCGACCTGTTCAACGTTTGCTGGCTTCAATGTTCTGAAGAATAATCTGACAAATACACAGCTATATGCAAATACTTACCAAGCTTTGCCTACGTTACTTTCCACGTATGTAGATGGCCTAGCGTGGGCAAGGTCGAACATGAACTTAACAAGTATGTACCTACCAGATATTGTATGGCTTATGGGCTTTTAGATTTTGCGGCTCCAGCCGAATCTAGGCGACTGATGAAATACTGAATATGGGGCTAAAAACTTGCAAATCGTCTAGGGTTGCTGAATAATGGCTTACATCGATGCTTTCGTAATTCTTATGTATTGCGAGGTTGGTTGGGAATCCAGCCTTTCCCCAGACAAGCAAGCCCACATCTGTTTTTTTTACCCACTTGGCCAAATAAACATCTAGCTTCCTATTCAAGAGTTTTCCAATGAGCAGGAACCGTTTCGTACCTTGGGAGGTATCCACCGCGGCTTTCTCTTATAGTGGGACTGGAGTTGTTGATAACCAACAGTCAAGTCAGCACTTGCTAAGCAGTGCTAACTTCTAAGCAGCGAGGCCAGCCGATGCATAATCAACCTTGAAGCATAACTATGTATCAGAACAGAGTCGTCTTGCATCGGTAATCAAGGCGCCCCCTTGCATTAGGGATATGCATCATATTCCAAGCTTGTGATCCTGACCTTAGAAATACTACACTGCTGTGCAAATACTCCGGGCGTTCTGCTATATTATCGAGAAGACCCCCAATGACATGACACTTTTAGAGTAGCATTGTCTCCCGTTCTATCATTGTGCCGAACCGTCGCATTGCATATAGGTAGTTAGGCATATTGCCCCCCGCCCTCGGCCAACTCTACCCGGTACTGGGTCCTGGTTAGTTATGTCTCCCAAGGTCTAGTCTTGTGCTTCTAGTCCATGTTTTACGCTGGTTATGAAGGATGCATATACATTGGTTTCTACCTATATAAGGTGTCCTGATGCTCCGTTGACTACCGTGCATCGTTTACCTCGATGCTCTCCTTCGAGGCTTCTACCGACGATAGTTAGATGCGCTAGATAGGCTGCCGTTGTTAACAAAGTACATACCTATCTAAAGATAAATCAATTAAATGAAGAGAATTCTATTAACTAGCTACTAGGTAGATACTTATGGTAACTAGTATATGCTATAATTCCTTTGAGTTTCGCTGTTCTGCATTCTGGGCGTAGGGAGTAGGATGAGGGGATTGCTCGACAATACTAGAGTGACGAGACATAAAGCAACCCCTTTTAGCGCCAATAGCTGATGCGCGGTGTATAGCTACCTCTTAAATAAGTAGGTAGCTGTATGGAATCCGGGTATACGTAGGAACACCATTGTAATAGGGGAATGAAATATATAGCATGGACGAGTACCTAGAGCAAAGGAATATTCCCGACTTTACGTGAGGATCGAAATTGTCTAGATTCTATTATCTCAAAATAGCACCTCTTGTCTATCAAAGATGCTCAGCTAGATACCCATCCAGCTCCTCCAACGCCTCCCTCAGCACCTCCGTCTCACTCACATACCCAATGCGCACGCACCCATCAAAGGCGTCCGTGACCCCGTGCCCGAAGCACCGCGCCGCCGGCAAGAACATGACCTTCGTCTTCTCCAGCACGTCCTTGCAGAACGCCTCATCATCAACCGGCTTCCCGTCTGCTCTCCCCCGGAACTGCACCAGTCCCGTGGTGCCCGCCGTCGGCTTCGCCCACTTGCACACGTCGGCGTGGTCGCGGACGAACTGGTCGAGGATGCGCAGGTTCGTCTGCGCGAGCGCGATGTTGCGCCTCAACAGCTGCGGGCGCACGTCGCGGCTGAGCGTGTACCGCGCGACCTGGTCGTCGAGCTGCGAGACGCTGATGGTGGTGTAGTCGCGAGCGGAGGCGACCGCCTCGATGATGGAGGGGTCGCGCGACGCGAGCCACCCGACGCGGATGCCCGCTAGCGCCCAGGCTTTGGACATGGAGCTCGTGACGACGACTTTGGAGTAGCCGAGGGAGAGGGCGGAGGGGGGGATCTCGTGGGGCGAGAGGCTGTGGAAGAGAGGGCGGTACACTTCGTCGGAGAAGACGATGATGTCGTGTTGGCGTGCGACGTCGATGATTTTGGAGAGGACTTCTCGCGGGATCGTTGCGCCTGTGGGGTTGTTGGGGTTGTTGAGGATGATCATCTGGTGAACTGGTTAGCTAGGCGTCTTCCTAGTATATAATTACTACAACTGTAGATAGTGATTGTGCCCCTTTCGGGGCAGAATATGGGCAGCATACCTTCGTGTTGCTCTTGATCAAGGTTTCAAGCTCCGCCACGTCGGGGATGTACTGGTTCTCTGCCTTTAATTTCCAAAGCGAGACCTCGGCCCCTAGTGACTCGGGGACGGCATAGAGTTGCTGGTAAGTTGGGTACACGCATATAACGTGATCTTGGGGCCCAACAAGACTGTATAGTACCAGATAGTTGGCAGATATAGCGCCTTGCATGACAAGGACCTCCTCATGGGATAAGGGGGTGAAAGCTCCCGCCTCATCTTCATTGTATATGCTTGCGATGTTCTGGCGCAGCTCATCGGACCCCCTGATGGAGCCGTATGTGAGTGCCTTGGAGAAGTCAATGAGTGGACGACTGTCCTTTCCTTGGTTGCTGTTGAATTGGACCAGCTGGTCTATCGAGATGGACGAGCAGCAAGTCTCAGCAATATTTAACACGCCAGGCGTAGTCTCATATTTGTCCATCCATTGTTCCACCTCGAATACTGGGATTTTCACCATGATGAGCGTTGGTTGGAACTGAGTTTAACCCGGTTAATAGGAGCTGAGTTAGATTTTCAGATCTTTCTTACTACGTGTGTAAGTATATAGGTAGAGTATGATGATAAGTTTGTTCGAAGCCCCTTATTCGACCTGTAGGAGAACAGCTGTGAGTATTATATCTAAGACAATACCCTTATGCCGTCTGTACGCGCATCCGATTGTCAAATAGACATTAGGTATATGTCGAGTGAAGGGCGTACATAGTATTGCGGGGGGCCCCGTCTTCTAACTAACCTACCTACATATAAACTAGGTACCTAGTAGTAGAGGACCTATACTAGTATTTGCCTATGTAACCTTGGCAGTTTACGATCGTCAACATCGGAACACTTTGATCACAACCCAAGCCGGGGGTTTATACAACTTCGCGACGGTACTTTGCGGCTCAGTTGAGGGGTTCTTGGAAACTCGAACCATTCTAATTCTTGTGGTATATGGGAAACTGAGTGCATGCGGGGAAGCATTGTGTGATTCTCATGATCTAAGTGGGTTTATTAGCCTATCTCGGTAGGTATGAGAATATTGAGGTTAACGGATGCCTCGCCGACGAAGCTCCGAATATGTCCTGACCTAGGTCCATATATATCCGTATCTTCTGGTATGTATTTCCTTAGCACATACAAGTTGATGAAGTTTCATGGCATATATGGCCACGAACATATAGATGGTGATGTATTGCCATCAGTAGTCATTATTTTATCAGAGGAACGGGGGCTGTGATAGAATTATATATCTGAATAGGCACCTAGGTAGTTATAGAAGGATATGAGTGATGGTAAAGCATACTACCATCCTTTTCTATGTTGAGATGATCAAGTGAATAGATAAATACCAAATGATAGTAATAAGAGTCGGTTACCCATAGTAGGATGAGTCTGAATACATACTACTTGAACTTCTACTTCCACTGACGCTACTTTTGATGTTCATAATTGTGTTATTTCGTTAGGTATGGGTCCAAGGGTGATTAGTAAAGCTAGCAATGAAGCTACTATATATATAATAGCCTTAGGTAAGTGCCAAAGAAGACTGAATTGTGGTAGTATAGATAGACTCAGGCATATTGATCTTAAAGTCTGTTAAGGTTGGTGATGCAAAAGTATGGGTTGTACCAATCGAAATGTTTTATAAAAAGTCCAGTGCAGAGATTCAAATGGAGATCCTAGGTATTAGGTACCTAGGACTGTTTCGTCCGAGCTTCTAAAGGCGAGCTACATAAACTTTCAGGGCTTGATTGAAGGTTTCATGGCGTCCAAGTTTCACTAGAGACCACTAACTAAAGACAAAGATTTATGTAGTTATGTAGTACTTGTACAAGTACTAGGTTAGACTAATAATTACAGCCCGATTGATCTGGGCACCTTCCCTTTTTATCAGTTCCAAGTTGCATGTGCATCTCATGTGCATCTTTCCTCCCCGAATTTCGGTGCGATTAGTAGGCACAATCCCCTAACTACCTAGGTAGTAGGTTAGCTAAGTAGGTACCTAGTATTTTTCATAAGTCACACAGACCCAACACCACTGTTAATGCTCATCTTCCCGCTTCATCCACTTCATCTTCCCCGGTTAGTACGTACCTTACATAGCATAGGCATCTCAAGCTTGTTTAACTTGATCTGGACGAATCATTTACTCTTCTGACTTGTGGTCGGAATCATTTGTATTCCCTTCCTTTACTTTACTCCCTTCAATTTATTCACTTCTCTCCCACGCTTTCACTATTATCACTATTATCACTACTACATATCTATTTATCCAACCCTTTAATGCATTTTATTGCCATTCAAATTATCATTGCCATTTGATACAATCATCCATCCACCTTATCCATCCCAGTGACCGCCGATACCAAAGCCAACCAAACCAACGCTGACATCACTCACGCGCCTAGCCTACTACTATACATTTAGTACTAGGCAGGTCTTGAGTACCTAGGCTAACCTAACTGTTTTCGGTAGCTAGGACGAGCTGGTGGTGTAGGGGTGGCGCAGTAGTCGGCCGACCAAGTGAGCACACATTGAGTTCCCGCAACCTCCAACCTTGAGGACCCTTTACGCTATCTCGAAGCTTCGTGTCTTATATTCGTGGGGCCAAGGTTAATGTACCAATATCTCACCGAACCACGTCCTTCTATCATCCAACCTCAACCCTGGCTCGCCTCCCTTCGCGAACGTCGATAGCTCCAACATCAAGGTGATGCCTATCATGTCACCGTCCGGTCTGGGGCGCGTCGCTCTCGGCGCGCTTTCCTTATCATGCCTTGTCACTGCCCAGCAGAACTATACCCAGGTTGATATGATGCGGGCGCAGCTAGCTTTGATGGGCGACCGACCAAGCGATTGTCCACCATGGTATGCTATAATCTACCTAGGTGATCATCGGATTGCTACAAGGTTCACTCACTAATACATCTCGTCGTACAGCTTCAACTGCCTCCTTCCGGCTTACGAATGCGGTCAGTTCGCTGAGTGTAATGAATACAACGGGAAATGCGAGTGTCCTCCAGGATTCGGGGGAGACGACTGTCTGGAACCAAGTATGGGCAACACAACCTATTACAACCTTGCTGGAAAACTCAACTAACTTCCTCGTAGCTTGTGGCTCTCTTGCTCGCGGTAACGAACGACCGATAAGAAAAGGCGACACTTGCGAATGTGACGAGGGCTGGACTGGAATCAACTGCAATGTCTGTACCCAGAACAACGCATGCAATGCGCTGATGGAAACCGGCGATGGTGGTGTCTGTTATCAAAATGGCGAGGTTGTACAAGAGAACCATCAGATGTGCGCTGTCACGAACGAGAAGATCCTTTCCATGCTCGATGGCAAAATACCTCAGGCAACCTTCACCTGCGGGAAGGAGACGGGTGTCTGCGATTTTCAATGTAGGTGGCAGTTCTTTAGCGATAATTCATTCTGGATAACACATGACTGACAAATGTTGGCTGAATAGTTTGGATTGACCGAGTCGAATCTTTCTATTGCCACCTCCAGGACTGCGAGTCCGGCGCAGACTTCACCTCAGACCGGAACAGCACTTCCTACGAATGCCCCAAAGTGGAGTGTGGCTGCATCAAAGATCGCATGCTTTGCGGAGCTGAAGGCTCTATTGACTTGACGGAATTTCTTAAGGAATCTGTCAAAGGTCCCGCTACTTTTGACTGTCTACAGGAGCATGGTGGCGTCAACGTCTGCAAATTCAAAGAACCCTCGCTAGATTGGATGGTTAGGAACGTCTTCGGCGATGAGAGCATTGAATTGGACTGTCGCTCCGGCGAATGCCTTTACCATACCCAAGTTCCTGGTTATGAGCGCCCTGTCAAGAAAATCAACACTCCATTGATTGCAAGTGTCATTGCAGGATGCTCCTTGTTCCTCGTCATTGTCATCTTGGGCATTTGGTATCTTTCCCACCGACAATATCGATACGGCCCTATTCATCTGGACGACTCCGACGACGAAAACACGAAGCTCATGATTGACCACAAGCCGGCGACTTTGTATTTTGAAAACATCTCTTATGGACTAAACGGCAAAGTGATCTTGAATGATATCAAGGGAATTGCGCATCCAGGGGAGATTACGGCTATCATGGGTGCCTCTGGTGCGGGCAAGACAACCTTTTTGGATATTCTTGCCCGTAAGAACAAACGCGGTCAAGCCGTAGGTGACTTTTATGTGAACGGAGAGAAGGTTACGGATACCGAATTCAAGAGTGTCGTGGGTTTTGTTGACCAGGAAGACACTATGCTCCCGACTTTAACCGTTCACGAAACCATCCTAACCAGCGCTCTCCTTCGCTTGCCACGGGGAATGGGTCGCGCGGCCAAGGAGCAAAGAGCGTTCGAAGTTGAGAAGCAACTTGGTATTTACCACATACGCGATTCTTTGATTGGATCTGAGGAAGGCAAAGGAAGAGGCATCTCCGGGGGTGAGAAAAGACGTGTCGGTATTGCTTGCGAACTTGTCACTAGCCCTTCTATCCTCTTCTTGGACGAACCCACGAGTGGTCTGGACGCCTACAACGCATTTAATGTCATTGAATGTCTCGTGACGTTGGCAAAGACGTATAAGCGAACCGTTATTTTCACCATTCACCAACCGCGCTCCAACATTGTTGCCCTGTTTGATCGTTTAATCCTCCTTGCCCAGGGCAAGACGGTATACTCTGGACCTTTCCCACAGTGCCAGGAATACTTCGACCAGGCGGGATACAGCTGCCCACCAGGTTTCAATATCGCGGACTACCTTGTTGACCTCACAATGCATGCCAGCTCATCTAGTACCTTTGACGATGGCTCTATTGTTACTGATCTCGCGAGCGTCGGTCCAAGCAGTACTAAAGCTGTGAAGTCTATTGCGAGCGTCTCCCGAACCGCTAGCATCGCCGAGGACAGCTCGACGGAACCATCTTCAAGCAGGCCCAAGGGCAAGCGAAACGATTCGATCAAGGCTAGACAGGACCGTGAATTGTTCACTAGACGGAAGAATACTGCTGATACCGCCGCATCATCTGACGTGGATGAGGACGTTGGATCGTATAAGCTACGCAAACAACCCGCCGGTGTCATTCCTCAAGTCGTTATTGAAGATGTCCATGATCTTCCCCCATCGGCAGAATCTAGCCTTGACGGCCTCGTTCGTACCTACGCAGAATCTGATATCTCTGGGAACATACACGACGAAATCCAGCAGGCTATTATCGGTGCTCGGCATGCCAACGGCCACAACGGAAATGCGGCCGACTCACCAAATGGCAACGAAAGCGCAATTGGTCGCGGTTATGCTCGTGTCGGTTATCTGACCCAATTCGTTATCCTCTCTGGGAGAACGTGGAAGAACTTATATCGCAACCCGCTTCTGATGCTAACTCACTACGCTATTGCGATAGTGCTTGCTGTTCTGTCGGGCTATCTCTTTTACGGGCTTACTGATGATATCCCTGGATTCCAAAACCGCCTTGGCTTATTCTTTTTCCTACTTGCTTTGTTTGGCTTCAGCACATTGACCAGCTTGAATGTCTTCGCCGCCGAACGGCTTTTATTTGTCCGAGAGCGAGCCAACGGTTATTATTCTCCCATCACGTACTTTGTGGCCAAAGTTCTTTTCGATATCCTCCCTCTTCGCATCATCCCGCCAATCCTCATGGGAGCCATCATCTATCCCATGACAGGCCTTATCCCGGATGCGTCGCACTTCTTCACTTTTATGCTGGTCCTGGTTCTTTTCAACTTAGCTGCCGCATCTATTTGTTTATTCATCGGCATCGTTTGCAAGGATGGTAGTGTAGCAAACCTGATTGGAAGTCTGGTCATGCTTTTCTCTCTCCTGTTTGCCGGCCTCCTCCTTAACCACGACGCGATTCCCAAGGCCGCACTCTGGTTACAGTCTCTGTCCATCTTCCACTACGGTTTCGAAGCGCTCATCGTCAACGAGGTCATCAAGTTGACCCTGGTAGACAAGAAGTATGGTCTAGATATTACGGTTCCCGGTGCCGCGATCCTGAGCTCATTTGGGTTCGACAATGCCGCAAAATGGGGGGACGTTATCAACTTGGGCGTCTTCGCTGGGGTCTTCGTAGTGTTGGCCTATGGTGCCATGCATTTCTTGCTGGTTGAGAAGCGATGAGATGTATGTTGGAAGGAACTTGAAGAAGAAATTATGTAGAATTATATGTTGGTAAATGTCCCTGGTATTGTTGGCCGAACTGGTGTCTCACGCATTATTGCATTTTTAAATCAGATTTCTTGTTGTCTGCATAAAGCTCAAATCACTACTCTGAGCCGGAATATCTGAAGAAGAATATGGGACATTTTGGGATGGGCGTTACAAGGTTCAGTCAGGCACGTTTATTAATGTCGATATCAACCATTTTTCAGAATATAAACAAAGGTAGATGATCGATGATTTATACATGTGTACGATATTGGTACATTTTGTGAGCTGTGGAGTGAATTTACAACAGTACCCAGTAGGTAGTTATCGCTGCGCCTAGTTTCCCTCGAATTGAATGTGCTGGTTTAGGCAGTTAGAGAGGGAGAAGTATCGGCAGACAGACAGCGTTCATTTGTTTCCCATCCTTTCTTTGTCTCCAAGCAGCACTTTAGTTTCATTTCATCTCACCGTGCCCCACTGCCTCTCCCTCTCCTTCTCCTTGGATTCTACGTCGTCCAGCTTAGCGCCCGTCAGCTCCTCGGCGATCTCCTTCTGGCGCTTCACGGTCTTGGTGCTGTCGCGCTCCATGTCCTTGATGACGGAGTTGGAGGTGCGGGAGACGTCGGCGAGCATGCTGTCGACGGTGGGCTGCTTGCCGGCCACGTCCCAGATGTTGTGGATCTCGAAGCCGGAGGTGGATATGCCCTTCTTGCTCCAGTAGTCGGGCGCGAACAGCTCGTTCACCTTCTCCTCGAGGTCCTGCTCCGTCACGATGAAGGAGCGCGCCTTCATGTACAGCTCCTGGATGGCGTCGCGCCGCCGCTCGCTCTTCTGCTTCGCGAGGTTCTGCGTGGTTTCGCGAGAGGCGAGAGCTCGCTCGAACCGCTCCGGGTCTAGGATCACGGTCGTGCTGAGCGTGCCGGCGTTGACGGTGGCGCGGGTCAGGCGCTCGTCCTCGCGCTCGGGGGCCTTGGCGGCGGCCAAGTTGGCGGATAGCTTGGACACCTGCTGCTCGTGGCGGCGGGTGTCGAAGTTCTGCTTGCGGGCGTAGAGGGCGCGCACGCCCTGGCGCATGTTCTCTCGCCGCGACGAGGCGACGCGCCGCTTCCAGGCCTGGATCTCGGACCGCGGCTCGCGCTGCTGCTTCTCGGAGGTGGGTGGGGGAGCGGACTTGGCGAACCACTCGTCCTGCGGCTTCAGGTGGCCATCCTTCTTCTTGAACACCTGCCGCGGCACGGGAAGGTGGCCCTTGATGGGCGGGAGCTCGCGCAGGGCCTCGATCGATTGGTCCTGCGGCGGGTTCGGCACGTTGATGAAGAGGGGTGATTCGGGGGGCACTCGGCCGGAGGGTCGGGTGGCGGTGCTGGAGAAGAGGGCGCGGGATATGGGGGTGGATATGGATGTGGTCGACGAGGGTAATATCGAGGTGGCTCGTAGCCTGAGAGCTGGTAAGGGTGGCATCTTGGAGGAGAGTTTCGTGTGCCAATTAGCACAATCATGGATTATGTGCTCCCTTTAGCCAATTGAATGCTTTGATTTATCGCCTTGTTGTCATGGCCGGGTAGTGGTTCTGAATACTACCTAGGTAAGGTAGGTAGGTGATGAAATGTTGAAGATTGAAAAGTTCCAATACAGAAATTCATGAGGATCCACTTGTGATTGAGGGACCAATCCAGATGTAGGTGGGGGTAATTCATGATGGATAAAGCTCGGTAGAATTGTTTGTGTCTTCCAACTAATACGAAGTAGTTAACTACATAGTTTAACTCCACTAAATATGCAGGCGGTGAGCTTAGTGTGGGCGGCAGAACCTTTTGAATTGCTTAGCTGCAAGAAAAAAAAAAGTTGTAAATCCATTTGAGTCTCCACCAACCACCTTTCTTCCAAAGAAATAATCACCCATCCTCTTCACTTCAACCATCCCCTTCTACCAAAACCTCGCAAGCTCACATACTAGAGCGCGATGGGTACCGGTAAGAAGGAACGTAGCCGGCTGGCCCGGCAGGGCAAGTCGGGTACCGGTATGGACAACATTAAGATCAAGGGCGAGAACTTTTATCGTTCTGCAAAGAAGGTCAAGACCTTGAATATGCGCAAGGACGATGGACCCACGCGAAACGCCGAAGGTCAGATCACACAGTCTGCCAGGTATCAGTCGAGAGATCTTCCTGCTGCTCGTGTTGAGCCAAACAGAAAATGGTTCACCAACACTCGTGTCATCTCCCAGGACTCTCTCAAGGCTTTTCGCGATGCTATGGCCGAGAAGGCAAATGACCCGTACCAAGTCCTGCTGAAGTCGAACAAGCTCCCTATGTCGTTGATCAGAGACAACTCGGACACCAAGAACGGGTTGAAGCAACACAAGGCCAAGATGACCATCGAGAGTTCTCCTTTCGCAGATGCGTTCGGTCCTAAATCCCAGCGCAAGAGAGTCAAGTTGGGTGTGAGCAGTCTGACAGATCTAGCTGAGGATACCGAGAAGAGTATGGACACATATAAAGATCGTCTCGAGCAAGCGAAACTACTGAGTGGCAACTCGGGTGTTGATCTTGAAGGAGTTAGTGAGAGTCATCCCGAAGGCGCGGATGCGCTTACAGTAGCCGTCGAACCCATTTTCAACAAAGGGCAGAGTAAGAGGATATGGAACGAACTATACAAAGTCCTTGAGTATGTTTTCCTGCAACCCTACAAGCTCTCGTCTTTGCTTTCTGATGCTAATTTGTGATAGTGCGTCTGATGTGATTATCCACGTACTCGATGCTCGCGATCCTCTCGGCACTCGTTGCCGAAGCGTGGAGAAGTACCTTAGAGAGGAAGCCCCGCATAAGCACTTGATATTCGTTCTAAATAAGACGGATTTAGTACCTACGAGTGTTGCTGTAAGTACTGGTTTTTTTTCTCTTTACCTATTCCACCCATATTCTGCTCGTTTTATTTCGATCCCAATGGTCTTAGTCAGGGTACTTCCTCTACATTCATTGTACATCCAGTGAGAAGTATCCGTTATACTGTTGGAAGATTAAATATCTACACTTGCTTTTCCCCTGTCTTCGGACTAGGAATTGGTAGAATCCCGTTTTGGAGTTCTACAATTAGTTAGGCCGTGTTTCATTTAGAGTTGAGATCTATCTCTGCCTTCTTTTGTGCGATTTATGGTAGATTTCTTAGTAATGATTCATACATTTCACATTTCCACTCCCTATATCCCAAGTCACAACATATTTGCATTAATGCTGACTTTTATTCAAGGCCGCGTGGGTTCGGAAACTCTCCACCGATTATCCCACTCTTGCTTTCCACTCAAGCATAACGAATCCTTTCGGAAAGGGTTCCCTCATTCAACTGCTTCGACAATTCTCACAACTGCACTCGGATCGCAAACAGATATCTGTGGGCTTGATTGGTTACCCCAACGTGGGGAAATCCTCGATCATTAATACCTTGCGCAAGAAGAAGGTTGCCACGGTAGCCCCTATTCCTGGTGAGACCAAGGTCTGGCAATATGTCACGTTGATGAAGAGAATCTACTTGATAGATTGCCCCGGTGTGGTACCCCCCAACCAGAACGATACGCCTGAGGATATTCTACTACGCGGCGTCGTCCGTGTTGAGATGGTAGATAACCCAGAACAGTACATCCCTTCACTTCTGGCTAAGGTTAAGCAACATCATATGGAGCGCACCTACCAAGTGAAGGGCTGGACTGACCATATCCATTTCCTAGAGCTTCTCGCTCGAAAAGGTGGTCGTCTACTGAAAGGGGGTGAGCCAGATGTAGATGGAGTTGCCAAAATGGTTTTACATGATTTCATGAGAGGCAAAATTCCATGGTTCACACCGGCGCCTGTCGTGGAAGGAGATCAAGCAAAGGGCATCGAAGGCCGTGATGGCAGGCTCGGCGAGATGCCAAGGAAACGGAAGAGAGAAGATGCAGAGAGCGTCCCAGATGTATCTGTGGCGGCATCGGCTACGTCTGTCGCGGATGATGGAGAAAGCGCGAGTCAAGATGAAGAGTTTGAAGGCTTCGACAGCAACAGCGATGATGAGTCATCAGAAGATGAAGCCGTGGCTGATAAAGACGATGAGGAAGATATGATACCCTTGGATGAGCTGAGCGATATTGACGAATCGGGCGGGGAAGAAGAAGGGTGAACGGTTGCTTCCATAGAGTCAATCAAGACGCCAGGTGGCATCCAGCTCGCCAATGCACACCCATCAATGGTCCATCACCAAGACTTAAGTCAGCCAGCGACGGATGAATGAATCCCGCGCAAGGCGCCTAGTAACGCTGCTCAGATCAGCATCCTTAGGCACTTCAGTGGATGAGCAACATACATGCAGCTCCGTTCATTCGACAGAAGCTTCGCTTGGCGTGCTATGCGACCCTTCATCGCATTTAAACAGCCCCAAAAAGTTATTAAATTGCCAGCCATATGCAGTAGGGTATACGTCTTTGACAGCTTGGGAGTCTATCTAGACATTTGGCCTTGCGAAGGAGGAGGGGGGAGGTTTGCTAAATGCATAGCCCACCGAGACAGACACCTGGTCCTGATCGTATGCTCTATAGGAGCGATATGTCGACAATGCTAGAAATATCTAGAAACTAAAACTCAGTAAAATATCATAATAAAAATGCTGGGGCAAAGACCACAGAGAACCTTTAATCAATTGTGCTTATGCATTCTCCTTTTAACGTGAATGTAAGTTGTCTCGAGGTTTTTGGGTACGCGCACCTACTAAGTAAGTGAGGTAAGACAGACCTACCTCCTACCTTGTACAAGTCAAACCAGAGACCTGCTCATTTTGGGCGATGCCCCTTCCCACGAATTTATAAATTCAAATGCAGTTGAACCCGATTCGCTCGAGGTTGGTGTTTCTTCGGTGGTCTCAATCTCGTCATTTAAAGAGATTTGAGATTGTCATCTCCTGAACATACGGAAACCGGTAAGAACGACGGCTGAGATGGTAAAAGGTTCTACAAACTGGGAAGTGTTTACTTCCCTTATTATACTTGATGAACCATGAGCTCTCAATTTTATGTTAATAGCTTCACTTTATATACCATTGCTTGGTGCCTTCGTATGCAATTGGCTTCACCATCCTCAATCCAACGCTTTTAGATCAACCTGTCTTGGGAGAACCCCCTTTACACAAACCGACCCGCATTGTCTTGGACTAAAAGCCTCTCAAGATTCTGACGTTAAATGTACTGTGCTTTGCCACGATGCTGCTGCCCGTGTTGCTCATCACCTTCTTGGCCGCATTCAGCTCCGTTGGTGATGCTTCCGTTCGGGTAAACGCTAGATGCGGCTTCCATATCACGGCATCGGGAGGCTTCAATGGCTCCATCGGGGAGTTGCAAAACGGCCAAATAAGAGGAAGCGATGAGCTATCGCCGACGCTCTTCACTTGGTTCGGGGATTCTTTCACGGATCAGCAGGGCAGGGGATGCTGGTGGACGCGTATGACCTGTTCGCCCTGCTCTACCTAAATATTGATTTATCATTTTGTGGCTTCACTTGTCGCTAATGCAAAATCTGGACTTATAGCCCCAACGTCTGCTCTCCAGTGCGATTGGAACCAACGGCCGGATCACGGCTTCGAGATTGGCTGCTATGGTGGTCTATCGTATAGGGACCAGTCCACATTCTACGAGTGCTGCACCGGCGACGGCGACGAGGTCGACATCTACCTTGAGCCCAATGGCGTCAGGTGCTCCGAAATCACACTGCACGCCGACAGCTGCCAGCCCCCGTGCGCCGAAGAAAACTCTTCTTTTTCATTACAATCGCCGTCGTCTTCTACTTCCGCGTCCCCTACTACTACTACTACTACTACTACTACTACTCGGACACATGCCCCCACTACAAGCATAACGGGAGAAGGCGGACAGAGTTCAAGCCCCAACCCGCAAACACCAAAACCCACACCCACCACCTCCCCGCCACCAACAGCCAACACCCCGCCCACCATCGCCGGCACCTGCGCCGTGCTCCTCGCCCAGGGCCCCGACCAGATCATCCTCGTCGACGCCGGCAACCCCGACACGAGCTACGGCGCCAACCCGGACATGCGCGTGCAGCTGTCGCCCAACGCCTCGGCCATCTTCGTGTTCGGCTTCGACGCGGCGGACGCGGGGAAGCAGTGCGCGCTGGTGTTCGACCTGCCGGCGCCGGAGCAGGGGCGGTCGCCGTATTACTCGTTGACGGGCCAGGGGGCGGTGCGCTTTGCGGTTCTGGACGGTCCTGGAGAGTGGATGGATGGTGGTACGGGGACGGGAAAGGGAAAGGGAAAGGGAAAGGGAGGTAGTACGACGTATAATACGAGGCCGAAGGTCGCGATGCCGCTGGAGAAGGCGGTACTTGTGCCGGGGGTCGGGATCGAGCCGCTTTCGTTCCCGTGTCCTGGGGTAGAGGCGGAGGTCGCGTTTGAGATGAGTGATGAGCCCGGCTCCGATACGTGTTTGGAGTATAGGCAGGATTGGCCGGGGGTTTTGGTGGGGTTGTATGTTGTTAAGTGTTAAGTGTTGAGATGTGAGATGTGAGATGGTGGATGTGGAAAGGGGTGTGTGAGTCTATCTCCCTTTTGGAGGTGGGAAAGGGGGGCATTTTGGAACTTTAGGACTTGGGGTCTTTATGGGGTTAGAAGTTGGTGGTGGATATGCTACTCTTTATTTACCTATTTTGGGGGCTGTTTTACTTCGAGGTCAAGGTCACCTACTATGGTGTTATGTTTTGGAGCTTTTTGGGGCAATGTTGGGTTGTAGGTGGTTATAGTCTCGGTTGTGGGGAGGTATAAAGGTGCACAATATCTGCCCGCATATTCATGTGGTGTCTATAACTGATGCACAGATCCGTGCGCTTATAAATGATGACTGAGCAGTTCTGTGAGATAGCTCTTATCCGTGACGTTCATATGTTGATATAAACCTACGGAATATGGGTAGATGTCTACGCTGTTTGGCTATTAACTCATAAATGGCTCTACCATCATGTAGTAACTTCGACAGACCCATTGGTTAGGTATACTCTATCGTTTGATAAGTTATATTGATGATGATTGCTCCTTAGGTATTTACCTAGATACGTTACTAGTCAGATACTCTTAGATCTGTGAAACTCGAGTGGTATGTGACATGCAGTCATCTACCTAGGTTACATCGAAATTGCACTCAAAGATTTATAAGATAGATCGTCGCTGGAGAGATTAGTGCTTGATGTGAGGACTCGTCCTAGTTGTTTCATAGATGTTTGCCTACCGATGGGACTACTTACTTGGGTAGGTAGGCAGTTCATTCGAACATCTATGACTATAGCCCACACTAGAAAGTTTGCCAAGGGGAGAAGGAATATCCTGGGAATTTGGGATCTAAGCCATGGATCTGAATGAGTTGGGTGCTTACTTGTATGATGTAAAACTTCCTACTGAAAAGAAAATGGAAAATCCTGGAGTGAGGTCGACGTTTACGGCGTCTTGGATCTCAATCAATACCTGGGTATGTATGTGGCTACGATTGAAATCATCCCCGGATAAGTTGCCGAATTGTTACTGTTAGTTTTAAGTGTAACAGTATCTGCCGAGCCGGATGGTATCAGAAGACTTCACGATACACCGAGACAACGTTTGATAGGAAGTTGTCATCGTTTCATCGCCGACTCTGGAGGTTAATGAGGCATTAGGTATCAAACAGTATTGGCATAGAATGGGGTTCATAATGACTTTATGAGATATTGGAGTTATGGTGGGTGGGAATTGATTAGAGAGTAACAGCTTCATACCTACCTACCTGGGTAGTACATACATGTGTGTAGTCATCTAGATGAGAACATTCTTTGCACGTGTTGCAACAAAGGCCCAACAGCTATCTCAAAGTAGATTCTCGGGCATTTCTTGGCATTCACATTCTTACATGTTCGACAGGAAGGTAGACCAATAATGGTATCCCGCCCCGAAGGAAATATTGATGCTATCGCCGTAGTAACGTTGCAATGTTTGAGCGGGAGCTCCCCTTAGCTCTTCCACTTCAGAACTAGGCCGCCGTGGTCTGACTTGGGGAATGGGATTGGGAATGGGAATAGGAGCCGGAACGGGGAAGTATCGGGGAGGCATCTAATGATAGGAGGCCGTCCAGATGGACACCTTTATTTCAGGATTGTTGCAGTGGAATGCTCCTGTTCCTATGAACATTAAGCTTGACCTGCGTCTGCCTGGAATGCGGGTGCATGCCGAGAAGCTTGTCAACGGACATATTATTGTTGCAATGACGCGCATGAGCCCTGTCAACCTCCATTAGAGTGCTTGCATGGTACTGTCATTAATCTGAAGCTCTCGTTGGTTGGAAATCGACCCCTAATCCGAAAGAGGAAGCTGTACATGCCAGGGGTTATCACACTGCGGGACCTGCTGAGACTCAACTGTCTCTGATCGAGATAGCAGTACTTGATCCTTATCGTTCTTGTGATAATCCCAAGAGTGAACACAAATTAATACCTGGATTAGACAACATCCATTGTGATACTGACACGTTAAAGTGCCTTCTCAATCAGAGCCGCAACATTGTCTCTCTTAACATGGATGGGCCTTGAGCCGGTGCGGCCGTAGGGTTGGGGATTCCTGGAGCTGGTTGGAGAGTGCCTCATCCGAACTTGGAAGCTCAACCTTCATCACTTATTCTCTTGACCGGGGTGCCACGCGCCGTAGGATGAACTCCCCTTTTGCTGTCGAGACCAAGTTCCTCCGAGAAACCCTCCGCGCTTGCGCCTCTGCCGATCTCACCTTAAACTGACTTAACCACCTACCTTCTCGTGCGATCTAATTAGACCGCGTGGATTCTTCACCTTAATCACCTGCTAGAACCAGTCCCTCCAAGTGGTAAAGGTGTAATTTCCGTGACTTGGGCTTGCGTTCGACTTACCAATGCAGTAGGGTTACCGGCGTCTGAGGGATGCTGTTGGAGCTTCTTCGTTGGTTACGTTGGGGTAGTTCAGTTCTATCTATCTGCTAAGATTTCAGGATACAACAACAGACAGTCAGTCATGGGTTTGGTTGCACGAGTTGGGTTGTCATGTCATGGTAAGTCAAGAACTACTTAGGCAGGCATAGGCTTGTAACGTTGGGATAGGCATCTGAAAAGCCACGAGGGGGAAGCTGACCAAAGGTCTGGAATGGATCTGTATATATAGAGGCATGTATATCATCTCTTCAACTGTTCGGATCTCCTTCGATCGTCAGCCCTATCTAAAATCTAGTATCACCAAAGTAGGTACCAAACCAGAGACTCGAGACAAGTATTACCGGTAGATCCAACATGTTCTCTTCCAAGTTGACATTGGCATCCCTTGCCAGCATCGTCCCATCCGTCCTCGCGGGTTTCGATGCCAGCGCGCAGAGCAATGTTGCTGTATATTGGGGTAAGTTGACGTGGCCCGATGTGTAACTCGGGAGCTTATTGCTGAGACATCACCATAGGCCAAAACTCGTTCGGTCAAGCAACTTCCCAGACACGGCTAAGCACATACTGCACAAGTGAGTGTATTCCATAGGTTACCTACCCAGGTCCCCAAGTAATTCCCCAGGTATCATCCTTGCTAACGTGTTGCGCAGACAGCAAGCTCAGCGTGAGACATGCAGATGATCTGTAACGACTGCACGTGTGCTGACTATAGACTTCGCAGATCATTCCCCTCGCTTTCATGAATGGCATCAAGACACCTATCACAAATTTCGCCAACGCTGGAGACAACTGCACGGTCTACGCTGGCACGCAGCTTCTGAACTGCCCGCAGCTGGAAGAGGACATTAAGACATGCCAGTCCGAGGGAAAAACCATCCTGCTCTCCATCGGAGGGGCAACATATACCGAGGGAGGCTTCACAGACTCGGCATCGGCCGAGAGTGCCGCGCAAAGCGTCTGGGATCTGTTCGGCTCCGACACAACCAAGGACAACCGACCATTCCGCACAGCGGTTGTCGACGGGTTCGACTTCGACTTCGAGTCCGTGACCCAGAACTTCGTACCCTTCGCCACGAAGCTGCGCTCGCTCATGGACGGCGACTCGAGCAAGAAGTACTACCTGTCGGCGGCGCCGCAGTGCCCGTACCCGGACGCGGCGATGAACGACATGCTCAACGGCGCCATCTCGTTCGACTTCATCATGATCCAGTTCTACAACAACTACTGCGGGATCCAGTCGTTCGTGCCGGGCGCCGCGACGCAGAACAACTTCAACATGCAGACGTGGGACGACTGGGCCTCGCAGACGAGCAAGAACAAGGACGTCAAGATCCTGCTGGGCGTCCCCGCCAACACCGGCGCGGGGGGCGGCTACCAGCCCGCCTCTGCGCTCGCGCCCATCATCCAGTTCTCCAAGCAGTTCGCCAGCTTTGGCGGTGTGATGATGTGGGACATGTCTCAGCTCTACGCCAACGCCGGGTTCCTCGATGACGTCTACGCCTCGCTGACAGGTTCCGCGGTCGCAGCAAGAGGAGTAGCGGCAGAGGCAGAGGCAGCCACAACCCTGGCCACCAAGATCAGGGCCCGAGCTACTCCGGCTCCCGTACTAGGTTAGATGGTGCTGGGCGGGCGCGCATGCCGATTCGTCGTGTTTCAGAGGGGATGCTGCTGGTGAGTTGGACTCTATATACTCGAAACTTGCGAGGGCTGCGGGGACAACAAAGCCCCGTTTGTTACATGGACTGATTGAATTTTCCTTAGGTACTTTGCGGCGTGGACAGTGGACACTGGACACGACAGACTTAGCCGGATGCTACCTGCAGCACACCGATATCAAGAACGACGCGCGATTTTTTTTCCTCGTGTAAATGGAGTGATCGCCATCAACAAAGCTTTTTGGAGTCGGCCTTTGACGACAGAATCGCATCGGAGTAGGAGTTGTGGCGGCTGTGGCGGGTTGTGGTGAACGCGGCTAAGGGGAGGAAGAAAGCTCTGACCCGAGTCTCTCGCTCTTCTTTTGGACAGTTGAAGCGTGTCCCTTTTTTGAAGAAGGGCTTCTTCTTGTACATACTTACCTTTTTGGACTTTTGTATAAATAACCCACAAACCTGTATATATGGCGAATATATCGACTTACCGAATCATATTGATTCGATTCATACATTTCTCTGGGCTTCACCCCCTGTTTGGTGGTTGATTATTGTAGATTTGGAGCCGTTTACTTGAAACTGGGCCAAGCCAAGATGTGAGCATCCCTTATGGCCGATACATCCCCCCTTGTCTCTCGGATATAGGCACCGTAGATCTATGTTGTGATTTCTACTGTGTCTCCCGCTTGACATGCATGTGCTTACTTAGCTACATGCATGATGTAATTGCGTGATGTGGGGTATTATTCACAGATTCGAAGCTCCCATTTTTGCGAGCTTCTCCCTAGTTTCATTCGATAGGTAGACTTGAAAGTTGATCGGTATTTTATATATTCAAGTATCTTTTAGAACTAACCTAACCTCCATAGTCTACTCATTACCTCTCACAACCATGTCGTCCCTCCACCACGTCCTCCTCCTCGGCGGCAGCGGCAAGATCGCGCAGCTGCTAACGCCACTCCTCCTCCAGCGATCGTGGAATGTGACCAGCATCATCCGCGACCCCGCCCAAGTCGGCAACTTGCAGAAGCTCGGAGAGGGGCACGCCGGAAAGTTGAGCGTCCTAGTCCGCAGCCTGGAGGAGGTGACCAGCGACGCGCACGCCAAAAGTCTCATCGATGAGGTCAAGCCGGACTACGTGGTTTTCAGTGCGGGTGCCGGCGGAAAAGGCCCCCCAGAGAGGGTAGGTTACCTAGGTACCTGCATATAAGCCACTCATACATATGCAGCTTAGCTTCGTGATGGGGTTTGATGGCCAATCGCGCTGATTGATACAAACTTACTTATCCTCGACCAGACTGAGAAGATCGACCGCGATGCCGCATGCCACTTCATCCGCGCATCCGTGGCTACCCCATCCATCACCAAGTTCGTCCTGATCTCGTTTGTCACCTCGCGCCTGCGGAAGCCGGAGTGGTGGACAGAGGAGATCTGGCAGACGGAGCAGAACACGACGCTGAAGGCGCTGAAGCGGTACTATGAGGCCAAGGTCGCGGCGGATCAGGTGCTGCACGAGGAGGGGAAGAAGAGAAAGGACTTCGCGGCTATCTGTCTGCGCCCCGCCACCTTGACGCCGGAGCCGGCGGGTAAGGTATTGCTCGGGAAGACGCCGGTGGCGAAGGGGACTTCGAGTCGGGCTTCGGTTGCCGAACTCACGGCATTGCTGCTTGATGCGCCCAATGTGAAGAGTTGCTGGCTTGATATGCATGATGGCGATGAGGACCCGGCGGCTGCGGTGAAGAGGTGTATTGATGAGGGCATTGATGTTGCTGAAGGGGAGCCTTATTATTGAATAGCAAGCAGCTCCTATATAGCTTTATCGGTGTTTTGTAGCTAGTAGTTTAGTACCTAGGTAGTAAAGATGGACGCCAATCGGAGTTTGGAAGTAATTTGCCTGAAGTTATGCTGCTGTGTTAAAAGCCGAGGGTAGGTATTAGGTATCTTAGGTATCTATGAATAAGGGATTTCGACCAAGAAGAAAGATGAAAGGAAGAAAGCTTGCTCTGTTCTAGACTATACTAGCGGACTGCCAATATATGGCTGGCAGGCCTAGTGGGGCCATGAGCCTCAGGCATCTGCAACACATTCTCACTTCATGCTCATATAGCAAGCTTGGGATTAGAACACCCCATCGCTAGTACTTTCAAATGATAGGTAAACTTTGAAGGAAACTTGTGTTATTAATATGATCCCCCTCCTGAACTAGATACCAACCCGCCTGCTTTGTATACCTAGTGGAGTTACGCGCCCAGCGCTTCCTTACCGGTCATATACCTCCCGCCTCCAGGCTCTGAAGAGGAAAACCACGAGCATGAAAAGGTTCGCCATCATCATAGATCCTATGAGTTGGATCTCACAGATCTGCATTGCTAGGGGCCTGGAATCCATACTGAGATTTGCTAGCAATTGATGATTCTTTGCCTATGTTCCTTGTCTTTGCTCGGGTTTATCGAAGTATTGAGTGATTACCGCGTTCTACGACCTAGAATGTACCTAGCCTCATAAAACCAGTTTCCTCTGACCTACAACTAGCAGTGAAAGCGTCGGGGAGGCTTATTGGTTTAAATAGAGGCTCCAGCCTGACGACGCAAACTCACGGGCCACTTCAATACTACGAGGAGGGTTGAGATCTCAATGGAAAATCCTTTATTCTCTTGTTCCTTTTTATGGTCGTTGATGTTCATAGCATTGTGATCAGACAAAGCTTATTGTGTGCTAACACTGAGGCCTTGTTCACCCCTATTGTTCCATTGTATGCATCCTATCCCAGGGGCCAAGGTGTAGTCTGCTGAGAAATCATTACGAGAATATTACCAAAGACTTGGTGACACGGAGGCTCTACACACATGTGGTGTGATCATCGCCAATCATTGGCCAGTGATTCTACCCCGTTGTTCAAATTACGAAAGTTGGTGGGTGTGCTGCCCGCGTCTTTGGGGTCGCCGTGAGATGCTACGCCGCGTACCGCTGCATGGGTTCTCAGCTCGAGCAGAAACGTTCACCTCCGCGCCATAATGGATTAGATGTAGATGTAAGCGGCGACGCCGGGAATACCGGGAACCGAGAAATTTGCTCTGATATGTGCACTTTCGAGCCTCCTTGGAAAGGGGGGTCCTGGGGGTTTACCCCTGATTGGTGTACCCGGCTCGGCAAAAATGATGTAACCTAGGTGCTTACTGTCTCGGCTAGCTTGACGTATCTGGGGGTTCTCATCGCCGGAATATGATTTGTAGGACTTTGAGGCTCTTTGATAATTATCGGGCAGTCATATCGGTATATACTTAGGTACCTAGTAGGTGCTGAGGTACCTATCTGTGACGGAAACAGGAACAGGGTAGCCGTCTACCATACAGGTACCTACATATGTTGATATTCAGGTAATTACAGTGTCTTATTAACCAAGCATGATTTTCACGAGTCTCACGCAATAGATAGAGAGTACGAAGTACCTTGAAGATCCTCAAGTGTCTAACAAACAAACTTAGATCAACGAATTACCGATAATTAGGTAGCTAATAAGAAGCTTTTTGACAACACATTCCATATCCACCTCGAGAGATTGAACGATCCAATGATAATCGCTGGTATAGACGTGAGGTATTAAGTGTCTATGCTTTATCGCTGTAATTGTCCTCGTATAGGGTGGATGGTTTCCGCAACCGTGCAAGAGAACTTGCCACAGTTTTAATTGACGACATCCCTCCCTTATCATCCTTGGAAGAAGCTTTCGGGTTTTGTGCGTTCCTCTGTTTGTTACCGCGACCATTTCCGCGAAAGGCGATGAAAATACAGATTCCCGAAATTACTATCGAGATTGGAACTGGAGATATCTGTATGAGTATCTCTTCCTTAGGTATAGCATAGAGGCAGATAGGTATGAGTAGGTGCTTACATATGATTTCCGAGACATAGCCCAAGCCGAGAGTACCTCCCTCTTCACGACGAAACTCGGTAATATTGATTGCAAAAAATGCGGACAGGAATGACATCGGGAGCTTATGTGGTTTAGCGATGATGGGGCAGCGGCGTGGTTGTGGCTGGCGTGACTTACGAAAAAAATGGTGATTATGGTAAATGTCATGATAGCCTGTCCTTGCTTTTGCGCTTCTGCCGTCATTTTATTTGACCACTCAGCTTGGAGGACTGATTGCTCGGTCTGCTTTCGAGTAAAATGAGCGTCGACCACGTTGCTTTGTTTCTGCTTCAAGTCCACAAGGAAGTTGAGCTATGATGACAGATGTTAGTTTACAGTCGTATCTTGGATTCGGAGACTCACCGCTTGATATGTCTTTTCTGCTCGCTGAGCTATGCCTTTGATTTTGTCTATACTTTGCTGGACTGCACGGAGCGGATGGCTGGAGTATCTTAAGTCATGGCTTGTGCCCCAAATTTCACTTGCTGGATGATTTTCGTTACGCCTGTTACCATTGATCTCATCTTCCTCTTCTCTGCTTAAACTCTCAGAATCAGAGAGGCAGGATTCATCACATTCCATATCAGTTCGATCTGAAGCTTGACTGTTAGTGCGCTTAAGTGGCTTAGGTTCATGTATCCTGTCCTTTTTGGTGATATTCGTGGGAATTTCATTCCCAGACGACGGAGCTCTGTCCATGAAGTGAATGATTCTCTCCATGGTTACGAGAACTCTCTTTTGCTCCTCAAATGTCATCATAATGATACTCAACTCGTCTTGTATATCCTTGATTTCTTGGAGCAAGGAAATTTCGAATGAAATGCCAAGTTCGCCGTTGCCTTGAAGCATCTCGCTCGATTTGGACTCCTCAACCACGTTTTTAAATCTTTTAAATAGTTGCGCTTCTTCGTCCATCTGTGCTAGTATCAGCCATCCGTAAGAGCCCTACTGTTTTGAATGAACCTACAATTTTCCGAATAGAATTTTCGTATATCTCGGGAAACTGTAGACATTTCTCTGCTCTAGACGAATCGATGAATGTCCTCGAACACCTGCTAGCAATAATGCCTGCAAGGTCGTAGACACTCTGTACTGCCTGTGGCTCATTGGCCATGTACCGCATGACATTCCGAACGGGGTCTGTTAAGCCGCCAGGGTCTATCACGGAATTGGCCTTGCTATTCGAAACGTCTCGGTTCGGGAAACATGTAATTATTGTATCTGCTTTCTCCGACGAAGGCCCTACAAGGACCCAAAGCCAGAGCTGGTCAACCATCACTGTCACTTCTTTTTCTTTTTCGTATCCTTGGGCTCTTTGGTAGCGTTGAACAGTCTGGTCTTGGTCCCTCTCATCAGTGTTGCTAAAGCTGTGGTAATAGTACTGATCTAATGTCCGCCGTACGTGTAGTGAATGGAGAGGTGAGTCAGTCTTGGTTGTATAGTGATATACAAGCTTCTGGTCATTTGTCCAATCAGGTTGTGGTGTTTGATCTTCCTCGCCGTCAACAATTTGCTTCATTTTGACAACAGACACGTTACGATCCCAATGTAAATATGGCATCTTGTAAACTCATTAGATAGAGATCCTTTCTCAGGACATTTGTAGGAGTTAAACTTACAAACGTAACGAGATTCTTATCATAACACGACTTGGTTGAAGATGAAAATTGCTCCACTATTCTTAATATTAGCTATCATGGCTTGAGACGATCTTGTTATGACATTGACTTACAGTCAAATGCCTGACAAAGGGGCTCCATGAACCGGGAATGGGGGGTCTTATCCGAACCGTGATGTTGTCGCTTTACCCATCGGTCTGGTTTCAAGACCTTATATACCGTTGTTCGATTGTTATGATGAAGTTGGTTGATGAGAAACTACTCCACTAAGTTAGAAAGCGTTTCCTTGTACTAGATAGTATAATATGTTAATTACCTCGACCCATTTCATCTACATATATATATATATACCTAGGCATTAGCTCATGAGAAATATTGGGCTGTCACTGACTTATGAAACTTACGTTGTTTGCGGGCAGGTGAAACCACTTGAATGAATTGGTGTTGACCTGTGGGTAATCCGGGTTTCTCACCCACTCATTTTCCAGAAGTTCGTCAACGGACACAACACGGGACTTCGGCTTGTAGACGCCCGAATCATACGTGAAATCTACAGCGTGTGCTTGGAACTTCTTGTCGATATCAGTATGAAGGTCTGTATAATTTGTCGCTAATCGCCCGTCCTTGTCTTTTTCAAGCAACATCTCTAGAATCTTGGGATGTTCTAACGCAACGTCTTCCAGACTTTGGGACAAAGCGTTGGTGCCTTTTATGTTTACATCCAAGTCGAGGAGAAGTCTTGTCGCTTCTTCCATCCCACTCTTTACCGCGAAGAATATGGCCCTTTCTTTTCCGGGGGATTCATATTCGACCTTTGCATCCTTGCTGAGAAGAAGCACCATGATTTTTGTGTGGCCGTACTCAGCTGCAGTACACAGCGGCGTCTTTCCATCCTCTAAATAGTCAACATCCGCTCCAAGTTCGACGAGGATTCCCATAACAGATACCAGCCCCTTTATGGCGGTAGTATGGAGGAACTTAGATAGCCATGCTTTGAGGTCTAGATCTTTTTCGGGATCTTGAGTCGGAGCTGCCTTGCACCGCGCTTCTATCAGAGTTCGCACAGTATCAGGGTGATCATGCTCGATGGCGAGTTTTATTGGTGTCGCGATTTCCTCCTCTACCAGTTTTGTGTTCTCCTTTGTTTGCGCTTCACTCTTTGGAACAGACCATAGAGTATGACGCCATTCAATGAGCGTACGAACGACTTCTTCGTGACCCATTTGGGCGGCCAATTCCAGTGGTGTTTTATCACTTGCCAATTGCTGATCTTCCGTCTTGCTGTGCTCCAATAGGGTATTCACTACCTTTAGCTGGCCATTTCTTGCAGCCCAAGAGAGGGGTGTCAGTCCGTTACTGTCCTGCAGATTCGGATCCACGAGAGGATGTAGCAATCGCACTATCGAAGCATGGCCATTTCCTGCAGCCCACGATAAAGCCGTTCTTCCAGTTGAATCTTGATGATTATATTCAACAACATCCATGTTATGAATGATGAACTTAACCGCATCGAGATAGCCTGACAGGGCCGCCCAAATCAAAGGAGTCTTCGTCTTGGTGCCTTGGGGAGTTTGGAGCGGGTACTGTGAGAGTGCGTTCCTGTAAATCTCCAGGACTGTTGTATCCCCCACCATCGCAGCCCACGACACCAAGTTACGACGGGTAACTTCCACAGATTCAGGTGTATTAGGTGCTCCACCTAATGGAAACTGGCCTAACTTATCATCGGTGAATCGCCGGAATTTGAAATGTTGCCTTCTTCCTTTGAAGACAGCACTTATTGTACCTTTATTGGGCCACTCACCCCTCAACAAGACCGCAACACGTAGATTGATATCGCTAGTGTCGTTCTCACTACCGTTGTTGACAGAGAAGGGGCTGACAGCATTTTGGATTGTGATTGTAACTGTCTTTTTATCTCGATTCCAGCGCGTAGAGGTCTCAAGCTGTCCCAATCTGAGCTCGTCGTCTTCTGTTATTGAGACGTCTGGGCAAACATTGGATTCGGTCTTGGCGAGAAAACGCCCGAGGACAGAATATAGAATATCTTGTCCATCCGTACTCGGTCCCTTAACTGAGAGTTCCAGAGAAATCTGAGAATACGGGGAAGGGAGGTTTGCCAGACTGAAATCGAACACCCCAAAAGCACCGGGTGTATTGTTAAACGAAACACTATCGACGACGTCCAGTAACTTCGGCCGAATATGGAAGTCGCGTTTTCGGCCTGATAAGGTCTCTGGGCTGAGTCTCTCCATTTTCTTGGTTGTCGTGTTCTAGCAACGAGGAGAGAGAATGAGAAGAGGTTGAGTAGAGGAAATATACTATTGAAACATTGAAGGGTTGACACCATAACTCAAAATCAGCTCCGAGGCCGCCGGAGAAATGCACGTTGACAAGAGGAAATCCAGGGGGAATCAGTGTTGGGCTTATGGCGTTCGCCGTTCGGCATGTAACCCTCTCCTGTAACTACCCTAGGTAGGCAGGTAGGTAGGCAGATACCTATTTTTGCACAAGTTTTCAATACTCGGAGCTGAAAATAAGTGGATGTCAGATATTCGGGCTTCATAACCCATGATAGCCAGGGTCGGCCGGGGTTCAGGTAAGCGTAGCCCTGCTCCCCCTTGCTATTATTGACCGAGATAATATCCGCGGATGAGGCTCTGGACGTGGGTATGCAAAAGTACATCTACACACATATCCTACACATTAACAATTATTTCTCACTTGATACGATGGATTTAACGGCATTATCAGCTGCATACCCAGCACATGGTGGCCGAAGCAGTACACTCGGTAAATCCGAAGAAACAGTAACCTAAGGGTACTAAAGATGTATTGATAATGAAATTTCTTTTACTTCCTTAAATCAATCCCTGCTGCATGAAAATACCCTCCCCTCCTTAAGCGACAAAAGCCCGTGCCTCCTTATCCTTCGCCCTCTTCTCCAATCCGGAATTGAAGTCACAAGCCAAAATGCCACCTGGATTGACCTGGACAGTATGCCACTCACTGAGTTCATATTCGGTGTGTTTCGTGCAGCCGCTCTCGTCCTTCGAGCATTCGCATACGAGCTTTGTCTTGTCCATATGGCAGCCGCTGCATGAGCCGGCGAAATTGCCATTGTAGGCGTGGTTCAACGTTCCCAGGTAGTTGGCGAAGCAGCCGTTGAGGTCGAGGCTCACGTCCGTGCGATTCTTGTATTCAGGGTCGGTGCAAGTAGTGCGAAGGACGTGTCCATCGTCTAGACGGATATTGGTGCAGTCCGAGTTTCCAAGTGTGTTCTTCAAGAATCCGGCCACCTCGGTGGCAGAGATGACGGTAATAAGAGGCAAGAATGCCAAAGTTGATGCGATGTTTAGCTTCATTGTTGCTGTAACAAGTGTAGATGTGGTGCTATCGAAGTGCGATGCTATGCTATTGCGATGCTGTGTTATCGTGATATTCTGCTATCGTGATGATGATATGATAGTGAAGCGCGTGGTATGAGTATTGTAAGAGCTTAAGGGCGACTTCAACTTTGCAGGTGGTATTTATATTCTCAACCAAAGCCACTCCTCACCTTGATCACCGTGACAAGGGGTATTATAGGGTTGATAATAGTGAATCGAATTCAAATAATAATTCTTTATCGCCATTAATTGTTCTTTTTTGAACAAAGGGGGATTTGCGGCTTTCTTATGATTCACGTAGAATTCAAATCTGTTCAACCAACACTGAATCTCGAACCGCTGTTGGGTTTCAACATAGAGTGTTGGAGATTGGAAAATATCAGTATCTCCCTCTAACTTAATGCCTTCCAATACACATGAATAACACATCCCATTCCGCATCTCATTGCCGCCTGGTCGGGTCGCCGGTCGGTGACTTGTATGCATTCGATTGTGATGACAGCTCCTGAATCTAATCCTCGTGTGACAATCACCAACACTAAGCCATAGTCTTGTAGTGACTAGATGTTGAAAGGGAGAACAATTGAATGTCTCCTATAATAAGGCATTCTTTCACAACGTGCATTGATAGTCACTTGTGCTTGTGCTTGACACTGATAATTCGGACAAAGGCACGGACCCGACATCTCTGCCAGTGTAAACAGGGAGCTAGTCACTATCTATTGCCGGTACTTTCATCCGAACATAAGACAGATGATGGCTACTAGATTTCGTCCAATGATCCAGTCAGATAAAAGGAGACAGGAGCTGATGGCTATCATCAACCCCTTTTCTCCCCCACACTGCTAGCTGGAGTTGCTGAAGGATCAAGTAAGACTTTTTGCTGATTTCCCAAAGCCAGCCGGTCGAACAAATACCACGAAGTAACAATCAGAATTGGCAGAGCGACCAACGTCCGCGTGTAGTTGCGAGCAGCACGCTTGTATTCTGGGCTGTTCGTATCGACTCTTGGGCGGTTTGGTACTGGAGGTCTCAATGCTGCAGATCTGCGTGGACGCGGTACGGCTGACCGCGATGGGTCCGACCGAGACCTAGGAGGTTCCGACATGGCTATTGACGGTACTAGAGAGGAATTGAAATATAGGAGACAGGTGATCGGGCATATGGTGCATACGTGTTGGAAGATCGAATTAAAAAAAAAAAAGAGAAAAAAAGGAGAAAAAAAAGGGAAAGGGAAAAAAGAACGGGCGGGTCTATTGTGGGGTTGCGGGGTAATAAGGATTTCTCCAAATTCTCCAAATTGAACCCTAGCCGTGCCTTTACCAGATCGCACTGTATTGTACAATACGTAGTACCGGATACCTCCGCCACATTGAGGCTAAATGAATGTGTGGCTGTGTTACCCCTTACCCCTTTATCCCTATTCAAGACTTTGTAGGATTTCAGTGATTGAAGTAGCATAAAACTATCTAGGTACCTAAGGTACGTATGTTATCAAAACCTTCGTCTGATATACTAGGACTTGACATTGTGAATCATAACTTAGTACCCATAACTATCAAATAAATCTATTACACACTTCGTTTGCGAATATCGACCGATTCCTTGAGAAATCTCACAATGACAAATCTCAAACCGAACCCCAGCCAGGTGGTGCTAGAGCCATGTGCGGGCCATTTCCATTGTAAACCGCACGCTGCGATGCTGCCACCCGATCCTTCGTGGCCGATTGCACTTTTGTCTTCCACTGCGGGGACCGTTCGAGTTTGCGGTTATAGCATGCCCATAGCTGTGGAAGGTATTGAACATCTTGTGCGCAATAGAGTACGAGGTCGTCGGAGAGTGGGCGTGCGTTGAAGACTTGGTAGCTCCCGCCATGCTTTGGATCGAACAACTTGATGCCAATCTCCTTGACTCTTGCGAACTCAGAGCACTCGCTCCAAGAAAGGGCCAAATCCTTCTGAATGCATTTCGAGAGTCCAAAGACATGGGACTTTCCTGAGATACGTGTAGCGAGCTCCATCAGTTGAAGATCCTGGATGCCTTGAAGTTTGACATTGAAATGAGCAAACAATGCGTCCGAGTCATGTCTCACGTCGAAGATCACCTTTGGGATCGTTGCAGACTCTAATATGCTCCTGAGTGTGTTCCCAGATGCCGATGGGGTAGAGAAGGCTGATCCTCCAAGATTCTTGACATCAATAAGATATGTTCGACGTGTTGGGAGTACGTAGAGTTGGAAGATTGATATAGTGCCATATCTAGACAAACTTTCGCCTTCGAGGTCAATGTAAAGTGATGGAGGTGTAGTTGGCAGGTCCTGAAGCGTGTCCAATACCGTGCACAGCACTTGTGTAGTGTCGACAATAGTAGGTGCTCTCGTTCTAGGGTCCATTATAAAACAAGGGTGTTAGGTATGATCAAACTAAGTTCTGAGGGGTTGGTGCAATGTAAAATAAATGGTATTGGTATATGATGAGAAATCTTGAATGTTGCTGATGTAACTTTGGACAGGACAGACCTGTTCTTATAAACGGTTTTTGGCTTTAACGACCCTTCCTGGTATCTAACACGTGTATGTATCGCTCCTCTACAAGCCCTGGAGTATAGAAATGTGGTCCTAGTCGTGATATGAGAACCTGTTGCGAATAATGGCTTGCCAAGCATATGTCTGAACATTACAGTACATAGGATAATGGTTTGCAACACACGGCCCGTACGAAATATGATTAAAACTAGGTAGGTAGGTTAGAAAGGGTCATGAGGTTACACCTACATATGTAGGCATCAACAACGTCTCTACCTACGGAAGATATACATACCTACAAATGGAACTGGGAAGATACATGTATCTAGTAATATATGGATTATGAATGACAGGGAAGAACATTGAAGCTCATGATTATATTACATACATACATATATAATTACTAGTGACCTCGTCATCTTGTTTGCTAGATAGACATATATGTATATAGGTACCTAGGATTGAAATTTTTCGTTTGAAGTATGGGTACCTAGGTACAGTACGGGTAGGGGCATATGTAGGTAGTCACCTAAGTATTCAATGGATCTCTTTCGTGTGTAGGTAGATAGATCTACCTAGGTAGTGGAGTACTTATCCGCGAAAATACATGTAGGTAGCCAAGCAGAAGTATGTACATATTGACTACAAAGACTTATTATTAGTCGTCTGGCAAAAGAAAATTTCAAATATCCAAGTTTCAACTCATGCTGCCAACCACCATGCTACCAGTCTTTGCCCTTGGGAGCCTTGTCTTCGTACAACAAAAGCTAGGTACATGCAAACGGCTGTGGCAAGATTTCACTCGAATGAGGGCCTTGCCAACCAACTTTTCCCCCGTCCTATCATATACCCAATCCTCTCCAGTGGCCTACAACACTTCCTAACCTATGATCTAAGATTGTCCATTGGGCAGGCCAGCCGTGCAAGCTCCGCTTGTCAAGCAGCGGGTTGCAACTGAGCCGTCTTCCGCGAAGGTCAACCAGGCCCTAATTCGTTTGCGTCAGTATTTGAAGAATTTGTGATGCAGGGCTCCATATGATAACTCACGAGACAGGAAGGGCGGGAGGGGGAGTGAAGGGCCCCTGCTGCCAACAGCAATACCAGCCTGCGCTGGGCAACGTCGCGTTGGTGTATGCCGGATCGATGTCTTCACATCGCTCGGCGGTTAGAAATTTCCGCTGGAGGCAGAGATCAGTCTCAGGGGGGTCATCCTGAGGCATGGGGCTCGAGAATGCCAGTCCGAGGAAGACGGCGAGAGTAGCGAAAGTAGTAGGGACCTGCATATTGAAGGTTCGAAAGATAGATTGTCTGATTGTAGGGCTTTGTGGTACTGAGTTGGTTGAAGATGTTGCAATATTCCCTTCTCATTTGCAAGTTTCCTCCTGAGTCCTTTATACTCAAAAGTTTCAATTGGGGTTTATTATCAACTTCCTAATATCTGCTTAGCCAAGACGAGCCGAGCTAGTCGCAGTGATTGTGGAGTTACATCTTTCTCTAAAAAAACCCCCAAGATCTCGTATTGAGGCCTGTTAATGCAACTTAACCCCGGCAGATGTCCAATTCATCGTATGGGTTCATTGTCAATTTTGGGAAGCTCGACGGTTGTAATCGGATAAAGTCACGGATTTCATAATCAACTCACGCAACATTCTGTCCTTGTTCTCTGTTGACCATCTAGATTTCGTATCCAATAATACCCCTCCAGCCTAGCCTCTTAAGGCTTCACTCTAAGATTCAAGTTGAACGCCATTCGTAGATGATGTTGTAGAGTGTCGTATTGGATCGCTTGGATTGCAGCTAATCCATGAAACATTATGACTATCATGAGACATAGTGAAGAGAGTCTGCCTTTATTGTTGCTTTAAACAGTGCTTATTCCGAAGAGCCTCAATGGGCTTTGATGATTGACTAACACGACTTTATGTGCGGAATTATACCGGACCTGAACTTTTAGATGTCTAGAGCTCATATGGGAAACAGTGAGCCAGTGATACGAGATCTGCAACAGCTACTAGTTAATATATAGTAGGTAGTAACATCTGCCTATGTTGGTGCTGGCATTTTGTCTACCTACGTTTGATAAGGGAAAGCTGTTTAGTACATGCGCAGGCGCCTATCACTTCATTATGAGTCCATAAACAAGCTATTGAATGCCCACACGGTCTATCCGCACCCATGAGCAGCAATGCTCAAAGATTGTCGCAAGTCCTGCAACTATTGAGCAAGGTTGGTATTGATGAGCTATTCAAGAGTTCACTGTTGGACTTGGGATGTTGCGTAGGATAGTGGATGCCTTCATAGGCGCATGATACATAGATCGATATCATTGGTGATATTCATCGATTTTACATCCATGGATGCTTCTTACCTATCTAAGACTTCGATGAAAGACAGGCATCAATACAGTTCTTAATTACCCGAAACCCCTATCTTCTCAATCTAGCTACTACTTAAGCCGTTACTGTAAACTTCCTATCATCCGTTGCGAGACCTTATATTATGGGACAGATACATCAATGAATACTTCACCTTCTAGGTTAAGTTAAGTGATGGTTACCGTTGCCGCCCCAATCAATGAGATACTTTCTACAAAGGCTACGTCTGGGAGGCAAGTACCTATAGACTTAGCACGCTAACTTCAAGGTTAACATGTGAACAAGTATGATTTCCTCTACTGTGAAGACTACTAAGTTAATGAGTATCTAGGTTGGTTCATTAGGAAAGGAACTTTAGGCGCACCATTGAAAAGGATTGAATATGATTATGGAATAAGGGATGGCCCATGCGTCTAGTTAGAGGCAAGTAGAAATGATCACAACCTGTCCAATGCTGAAATGAGTGTCCAGGAACTGCTCTCAGGTACAGTACCTACATGGAGTCATGTCAAGAATATGTACATCATCTAGGTATGCTCCCATAGCTCATAAAGCCCAAGATAAGTCAATGAAGTACATATCTAAGCTCATACACCGTATCTTTCATCATCTAATAGTAATTTGGAACATATATGTACCTGGTGCATTAGACAGTAAATCAAGTTTCCGGAATACCCTCCTCAAGGTTAATCTTGGGGATAAAAGAAGCGTTTATATACTGAGAGTAGATGGTAGTCTAGTTACTTGAAATTATAAGAACCACAAAGAACACCTACCTTGTTCGTGTTTGTGATAATAATTGTAGAGACTGATATCACGTGACAACCCTATAGCTCACCACATATTATAAGCATCAGCGCCTATGCGCCAAGCCAGCAGCTTTCTGTGAGCCTACTCATTTAAAGGGACGAATTCAGCGGTTGATGAACTTTTGAATGGCCAATTCACCCATTGAGTAGCGATTAGCTAATTTGATAAATGATTGGCAGGAAGACTAGGTATGTGATAAGGTGTACCGCATCAATATTATGTAGTAATAGATATATAGTATTTACTGAGGTGTAATACCTCAGCGGCCAAGTACGTCCATAATCTGCCTTCGAGAACTTTTATTATGGGCGGTCTGCTGGCGGCCCGTCCCTTGATCATCATGGCCTGAGCCCCTTGCTCGGTTGAGCCGCTTTTGTGCTTTTATGGATAAGTACAACTTATCTATACATAGTAGGAACTGCATGTGCATCTGCAAGGGCCAGGGGTAAAAGCTTCGATCAGGTGATAATTCTATAGTACTTGCCCAAGTATGACTACATGCAACTACGATAGAGAGGTCGCTTAAAATTCCACAATGTAGTCCTAGCTCCCTACAGGTGGTTTACAACATAATCTATCCACTTTATCTCGTTCTAGACTACTAGTAATTAGATCAACGCCATCATTCAAGAATCTACGTAGCAAGTGTAGGTACTTTTTAAAAAGACACAAATGCATTGTCGTACCACTCATCGCGATCACGCAAGAGAGAGAGGTGGAGTCAAGCTACCTAGTAGTCAAGTAAGCTATTATAGCTCGACGTTGTTCAGAATAGTCGAGGTTGATCCATTCTAAACAATGCGAAATGCGCGTGGCAGCCTATCCACTCTACTGGTTCACGACAAGTCATCCTAGAAAGCTCGCTCGGTCGTTTCCGTTATTCCATGTCATTGGTATCAACTCATTTCTGCACCCTATCAGCCTCTATACAGAGCAACCAATAGATACCGGGCCCATTTGACTTCAAAGACTGTACATGCTGTCCCGTCTTTCCGGTAACAGAGTGGGGTGGAGACTATGGACTCTCTCTCACCGAAAGCTATTGTTCAAGGCCAAGCCCCTCCTAGCATTAGAGAAGAAAACAAGACAGGTGCGAATGTGTAACTACTGAAGATTTAACTTATACACTTACCTAGTACCTATGTATACCTAAATAAAAGAGCTTCATTCAGCCTTACAATTCGGTTGGCACGGCACGAAGTTTAGGATTCTACCCTAGAACATCATGTATGTCACGCAGGTCTAAAATCCCAACCCTCTTTGCATGTGAAAAAGTTCCTATATGGGGCAAAATATCTTCTCAGAACCCTGAGCCAGGACATTGGGTATCTCGTACAGCCACCACCATACCCCTAACTTAGGCATCACTGCAGCCATACACGATATCGGATACCCGCAGCGACGCAGTGGGGGATATTGGAGGTGAATATATGATATTGTTGTACAAAACCCCTGAGGAGAACCCTTCGGTAATACGAAGTCAACACATGGCTTCTTATCACCTCCACGTTCCACTATTGGGAGCGAGAAGATAGGTTGGCCTACCTGGTAATACTCGACACTCTTCAACCTGCAGTGTAGATCTAGACTGCGCGAGTAGCGAATGTTCCTATGCACGGGTCTTATGGTGTCTGGCATCATCCGGGAGCTATGCTGTGCCTCGAACGCCGCTGCCATCATATGAATACAAAAAGGGTATGTTGCAGGTGCCTCAGGCACCATTAGGCTCCACTAGAGCCATATGGCCCTTATGGCCATATGTTGGCACTCCGCCATTGTAGTTAGGAATAAAGCAAGCTTTCTTCCTTCCCTCTTCTTCTTGGTTGCAGCAATAGCTGCAACAGGGTATCTTACATTCCTCATGTGTGTCAACAGCTTCCTAGTATCCCGCTTCCGCATAGCTGTAGTGTATCATAACCGTATAACATACTAGATAACCTATCACAATGTCTCAAAATAGCGAAAAGTCAAGCAAGTTTTGCTTGAGAATCCGGCTTCCAAAGAGCTTCGGACGCCTTTCCTCATTCCTTCCGAAGCTCAAGTCTTCCTCAAGTCAATCTCCTAAGCTACCAAGCTCATCCATCCGAATTGATACCGCTTCCACTCCACGATGTATTACCACCTTCCCAGCACGCGTTCACAGGGATGAGCTTTGGATTTCCAAAGGCGCCATCATTGCGCGGAAAAAATTTGAGAACCTTCTTCCCAACCCTGATTACCGATCTCACTCTATGGGACCATACGGGAACTTCTTCTCCTTTTGCTGGCCAGAAGGCAAGAAGGAGAGGGTTAGACTAGGTACAGAGATCATTGAGACATTATGGCTATATGACGGTAGGTGGAGGAGTCCCTATCTTAGACATTATGCCGCTATAATCTGACAATGGAATATCATAGATGTTATTGAGGATCTACCATATACCGGAGCCATGGAAACACATGCCAGTGTTCGAGACACTTTAGCTGGAAATTCGTCGAAGGCTAGCCGTAAAATTCAGGTTGCTGTTCTCTTCAAGGACTTTGGTCAGCGCTTAGCTCAGCTAGATGAAGAGGGGGCTCCACGAGTCATAGACGCCTTGAAGTCATACATCTCGACTTACGACAGTAACGAGACGCCCTTTGCTACCATCGAGGAATTTATCGAGTTCAGAATCTTCAATGTTGGATTTGGGTTGGTTTCCCCCTACCCCTTTTTCTACGTAGGTACTATTCTGATCCTAAGCATATTAGAATCATGGAGAGCTTTATGCAATGGTCGTTAGGACTATACCTCGACGAACACGAACAGGAAATGTCCCGGGAGTACTACCTGTCCTCTGGGCGTGTTATGGGAATGACCAACGACCTATATTCGTGGAATGTCGAGCGAACAGAGAAGTCAGACCGAAACTGGAACGCAGTGCCAATAATCATGAGGCAGCATGATTTCAGTGAACTGAAGGCTACGATATATCTCAGAGGGCTAATTGTATATCATGAGCAAGAGACGCGAAGACTAGGACAAGAGCTTCTGGAAAAGAGTCGAAACTCACCTAAAATGCAGATATATGTGTACATAATGGGGCTGATGCTGGGGGGGAACAGTTTTTGGAGTTCGACATGTCCGAGATACAACCCGGAGTTGGAGTTATAGCAGGCACACGAGATAATCATGTCCAGTCACGCTAAAGTTGATACAAACTTACATTAAGGAGGCGGATATTCACTTACATGTGAATACCTCTCCAAGACTAAGATCGAATTTCAATACACCCACCATTTTCCCACGAAATCAATAGGCTCAATCCCCAAACTTCAATATTATATCTAGGTCGAAGTTTGCCTCATGTAATGTTGACTCAGGTTCAGAATCGATCTGGCTATCTAAAGTGAACAATGAAAACAAGGTTAATATACGCACGAACGAAGCTGAATGAGTACGAAGATGTTGTACTCAACTGAAGCTTGGATCAGATTTGTACGGTCCCTAATATAATACAACTCACTTGCCATCACTGGTTTGTCCCTCTAGACATCCGCGTAATCGACCTGGTAATGGGTTATCTTCTGGATTTGTCCGGGGGGTATGATGTGTTCCTGACTACCTGTCGTGTTCATGTCATCTAACTTGACAGGAGGGCCCATATCCATGCGCAGCCCAGGGGCTTTCTTTGAGTTACTAGAAGCCCCGAATGGCAGAAACTTAAGCAGGGGCCGCAGAGCAGCAAGTGACGCGGTAAATATCGTCAACCCGAGTTCGATAACAGAACTATGGCAAGCGTTAGTAGGTGGGTATGGATGGATGTTGTAGGGGGGTCTGTCAACGTACTAAATGAATGTTGCAAGGTAAGCGTTAGAAGCCTCGACACCGGTTGCAGACGTTAGGTGGCTCACGTCGATAAACCCCTTAAGCCGGATTACGGTCACGATGGAGCTACTGCCATGGGGTTAGTATATCAGCCAAACTTAAGGGGGTCCCTTACTTACACCACACCTAATCCAAGCAAAATAATAACCGACGCTTTCATTCTCGTACTTAGCTGAACATTTCGCAGCAGTATAATGGGAAGACCCTAATAACAAGTGATTAGCAAACTGGAGAAAGGGGCTCTAGTGTATGGTATGAATCTAACCGCATATAAAAAGCTCGAAGCAATATCCATAGCTGATACAGAATATCCAATGTTTGCAAACACGTACGCCGGCAAACAGGTCCCAGTGCCTTCACCCCAGGCTACGGAGAGAGGCGTACACTGTAGAGCAACTAGGAGGATGGTAACGATAGTCCATATTGTGAGTACCACTATAGAGCCGGCTAGTAGTCTCCGGATTGGCTTATTGTTGGATGCAATTCGGTACAGAACTAGGGCTACGCTGACCTTAGCGACGTAAACGAGAATGACATAGGTCAATGTTGAAGCGACGAAAAACTGGAGGTAGGAGCATTAGCGCACGGCTCGTTTGACCAGAATTGCCGTATTCTTACCTTGACAGCCTTGATGGGATCCCATTCGGGTCTAATTTCTGCAGACCCGTATCCATTTTCAATCGATGTGAAGGTGAGGCCGCAGAGTGTGATATAACCCGCCTAGTTGCATACAGATTAGCTTTTGGAAAGGACTGGTAGCAGGATTCACCTTACGACAGCAAGCAACATGGCCCAATCATCGTAGCCGAATGACTTGCTCATACGGGTCCGAACGAACACTCGTAGGCCAACGGCGATAACATCCAGCGTCAGGAAGATTATCATCGCCGGGGGTAAACTGTCACGAGCCCACATCTTTGCATATGTGCCTGGGTATGGCAAAGTCCGAAAGAAATCAGAAAGAAAAGGAGAGACCAGCAGCAATCGCTGAAGAAGCACGTACATGTGTAAGTTGATAGCAAAGTAGTAGGGCCACAGGTGGTCGCCTTCTTAAATAGTAACTTCCGCCAAGTTCACTCTCTCCTGACCAGAATACCTACCGGTACCTACTAGGGCAAGCAGTAAGCGACGAACAACAGTTCGGTGACTGACCTATGCACATTTGACAGGGCCATTTTGTGGTGTAAGACAGCACGACGGGTAACAACGACGTAGCATCGAATTCAGACACAGTCATTCAGAAATTAACTGACCGGGTAGGAAATCCGCGTCCATCCAGGTGGGACGGACGTTCATACGATTAACATATCACACTTGACCAGACCAAACTACCTATGGGGGGTGGTATAGGATACCTATATCCCCTTAAGTGACAAAAAGCAGCAACAGACACACCGTTACTAAGAATAATAACAGATACAACCAAGCCAATTTACCTACCGCCTCATATATCTATTATCCAATAAAATCAACAAATTCTATAAATACTTAATTTACCACTTATTTTTGCGTATGCCACTTATACCAATAATACTTGGAATTACACAAAGCTACATTACAAGTGCCACACCGAAATCATGTCTTTTTAAGCTTAATATTTACAATGCTTTCTAACATTAGCTTTAATCCTCGACAAAAACGTCCCCAAATATAGTTTCCTTAACAAGCTTAACAATTAGATGCGTTTTTAAATCTTATTCGTTCGTAATCCGTAAATTCGATCCGTAAATTGCCCCCCCTATTAGTCTTTTAAAAACCGCGTTTGTGTGCAAATACAAACAAGCCATATGTAAAAGGGAATAGCCTCATCTAAAATACGGCTTGTACAATCCCCTAAAGCCTGGGCAAAACTGCTCCGGCATATCAGGCCCTTCTTAAAAACTAATTATCGAGATTATACTCAGTTACAATTACACTAAACGCCGGAATAACCTAGCGCCAACCAACTTTATACCGCATTATATTTGAAGGGAAAATAGATTTATATATGAGGTTGTGGGTAAATATAGGAATAGTAGATTAAAAACAATATATTAGGTGTTATTTTTAATAACGGTATGTCTGCTACTGCTTTATGCCACTCAAGGGGATACTCCGTAGGTAAGGTAAGCAGTATAATGAAAAGTGATATAGCTCTTTTTTTTTCTATGGATAGCAACTTATAAAGAAGGAGATCGACAACCATTCGCTTAAAGGGCCGGTACCGATACCGGTGTCATGATATAAGCAAGTGGCGATATTCGTAGTAGGTAAGCATGGGGGAATAATGACAATAAGCAAGAAATTTGGGGATGTCAGACATCATACGTAGAATGAAGAACAGAATCAAAAAGTATTGGCTGTCATGTTCACTTTAGGGCTGAAAAATAACTAGTCATAAGTGGAATAGGAGAACGGTAATGCTTATATAAGAATATGGCTTCATAGTACCTATTAGCATATCTACCCCAGTTTCCAGGGAACTCATTCCGAAAGCTGATGATGCTAACTATGTACATAGCCGCAGGAAATAACGATTTACCAGATAGCTCGGACTTTTATACACCTAGCCCCTAGGAGTATGGGGGTTCTAGAGGGGTCTGAAATGGCCGAACATATGTACATACATACGTCAATCACCTATCCGCGGTTTTGGCAAATTGGCTGTCCCGACTCCAGGATTATATTTCAACTTTGAACATGCTACGAAACAGTAGCCGCATATCCAGTCTTGCACACAGGTAATAGACCTGCGGGTTGGTAGCAATACTCAAGACATTCGTGTGATTAAAGGGGGTGCGTTCTATAGCGGGGGTAGCTAGTTGTGGTAAGGACTAATGCGTGATGGAAGCTACAAGAGCAACGATAGGCTGTAACTTGATGTCACAGTAGGGAGAAGCACCTAACCAGATATATGATTTATAGGTACATGTTAGCTTCTGTGAAGTGAAAGGTGTAAGCACAATATCTACCTAGTACTTAAGTCATCTTGAATGGATCGAACATATATAGAGAATATTTCTTCATTATATTCCCCAAGTAGCTCACACCCATAGATTTAAGACAACAAAGACAACAACAGCAGTCACACAGGAAACCATGACACTCCAGCTGCCGTCTGTCCCGGAAGAGGTCACAGCCTCTTGGCTTGCCGAGGTGCTCGACGTCAAGATCAAGTCGATCTCGATCGAGAAAATTATTCTCGGCACCGCCAACAAAATCTACATCTCCGTCGAATACGAAGGTGAAGCCAATGATGCGACAACAAGACCCCCAAAGCACCTCTGCCTTAAGGGCGGATTTAACCCCGCCATGATTGAGCAGGTGCCGTGGATCGTGATGATTTATCAGCGCGAGGTCGAGTTCTTCAACCGCGTGGCGCCGTCCCTAGACCACATGGAAATCCCTAAGGCGTGGTGGGCCGGGCTTAACGATAAGCAAGGCATCTTAGTCATGGACAACCTCGCAGCCCGCGGCTGCACCTTCGGTACCCCCACGGAACCGTGGCCCGTCTCACGGGTCTTGGCGGGTGTTGAGCAGCTTGCAGCACTGCACTCCAAGACATGGGGCATGAAGCCGGAGGACTACCCCTGGCTCAAGTCCGACTACGACCAGGCTATTCTTTCTCTACTGAAGACGTTCGACGCGGTCGTGAATAGCCCCGGCCGGCCAGAGTTCCACGACTACTTGAAGAACGAGGAGCGCATGACCGCTGTCATGAAGAAGCACTACGCCTCGCGAAACCCAAAGTTCCGCTGTCTCTTGCATGGCGACGCCCACATAGGCAACACATACATCGACAATGGCTCGCCGCGATTCCTCGACTGGCAGGTAATCCATATCGGATCCTGCTTCCACGATACCAGCTACTTCATCGGCGGTTCCTTAAGCGTCGAGGACAGGAGAGCCCACGAATGGGAGATTCTCGACCACTACTTTGCGACGCTGAAAAAGCTGGGGGGGCCAAGTCTCACTCGATATGATGAGGGTGTTCTGGAGGAGTATCGCAAGTCATTCCTTGCGGGTGTTGGCTGGCTCATGTGCCCCTATGAGATGCAGCCCAAGGAGTGCGTGTTTGCTATGGCCGAGCGCTTTGCGGCAGCTCTAGACGACCATAAAACATTGGAGTTGGTGGAATCGCTTCCCTGAATGTAACGCATCAAGGCCCAGCCGCGATAATTATGAGTAGCGCATGATATCCTGAGGAGGAGGTACTGATCTTCATTTACAATAGCATATCCCCAAGAGCGATAGTGGTAATTACCTAGATAGATTCTGAATCATGCATTACTTCTACTACGTTGATGTGTTAGTCTATGTTGCAGCTACTGCTGTAACCAAGAAGAGGAGGAAAGGAAGAAAGCTTGCTTGATTCCTAACTACAGTGGCGGAGTGCCAACATATGGCTCTAGTGGAGCCTATGGTGCCTGAGGCACCTGCAACAGTCTAGATGATAGTTACATGCTCTCTACCACGATCTCCACAATACTAACATCTTGTATTTCAAGCAAGAAACCATCGTGTTTCTCTCATATTACGATGAGATGAATTCCAGATCAGCCCTATTCCCGTGGTCGTATACCAAGTCCAGTCAATTGAATGTTGAATGATCAACCCACGGGCCTGCACCCCTTTAAATGTACAAGGGTGTCTAAAGTGAAATATTCTACCTGAATGATCTATCACATTTCACACCAGCGACAGCCGGGTCAGCGAGATTAAGGATTCACGGGCAGCGATTTCCTGTCATAACTCTGCCGACCTACCCTTTTGGTACCGACACCTACCTGGGTAAGATATCCTATGGCGCCATATTATGGGATGACTCTTGAGCAGTTGAGCCAACACTGTCGTCGTTAATATTCGTCGTGACCTCTGGCGATCGGTAATAGATGCTCATTTGCATAGAAACATCACACTTGGCGAGAACCAGCCTGTCGATATCCAGGGGTAGAATCATTATTTCATGCAGTATCGTTACCTACATGTGATCACGCGGCTGTTGTTTCTCTCCACTACAACCTGTCAACTTGAACAATCCAATCTTCTCGGCTTTCGTGAAGACAAGCTTTGCCACATTACTTGGCTGGAGCTTATTTCCAAATACTGCAGCAAAAACTGAGAATCCCAGTTGCAATCCCTGAGGGAGATTAGTTGAACGCTACATTTGGCTCGTCGAGTGCTGTAGCAACTGAGGTGTAGCACATCTTTGTAGGTACCTAGGTAGCTAAGAAATTATCGCAGGCTTCAAAGTTCCTGACAAAAGGTCCGAAAGAGATGCAATAACCAGGTAGCCCAGTATCATCAAAATACTCTCGAGTGATAGTGCATCTCGTCATCGGCCTTCAACTTCATCGTTGCCGAGTGACGATTTGAAGGTATTTTTTCAGGCCATCCCCCTTTTTTGTCTAGGGGGTCGCGTGCAGTGTTTTCTTAGATTTTGAATTGGCAGTCAGAGCAAGCGTCGCGTGCTGCTACGTTCTCATATTCCCCAAGTCTCCGCCGTCCATGGGGTACGTTTTTAAGGGTCCAATCCACGTCACTGGGTGCCAACAGCCTCGTAGATACCTAGCTTCTTTGATGACTCCTCATAGCAATAGCAATATTTAACAGTTGCAGCGTCCCCTCGGCGACCCAGCAACTCTCTGGATGCCCATTGGTGCTAAGCTCGACTTCACTGCTACCCAATGAAACAAGTGCTGCGTAATTGAGCTTGATGGTCTTAGAAGCCGTGACGTGCTGGCTTGCCCCTTCAATAATGGCCTTGTCGGTAGTGTAGTTAGATCATCCGCTTCCAAGTATTAGGTTAAAGCGTTCAACGTCTTTGTTGACGATCCCTTTTCAGGTGTGGCATGTAACCTAGCTACGTTGAACACCTGGACACTCATTTACAATGTTCATGCAACTCATCATATATCTTAGGTAGGTAGATACGTAAGCCAACTCTCGTCGGGCTTATATAATTGCATGTGATGATAGCATGATATGTTATAATGTGTTGGTTTCCTTTCTTCCCTTTACAGCGAGCGATGGCACTCTACTTCGTACTCTGCATGTAGCTTTCGGGCGGGTGGTCGGGTCGGTCCGAGCTGATCACTGTAAGGGTTTGCCGGCGGCAATGCAATTCATTCGCTGGAGATCGTGATTACGAGATGCCTGGGTTATCTGGCACCAACATACCTAATCTACCAGGTATGCATGGGGAGGGAGGGGCAACGACCGACGAAGCAAAAGTGAGAAAACATCGCACAATCGCAAGATCTCAAAAATATGGAGGAAATAAGATCGTTCATCGAGTCGCCTACGCGACTAGGCGCGGCAGTCATTGTCATTGGGGTGTTTTTATACAACATCTTCAAGAACCTGTATCCCCGGTATCCGTACCCACTCCCGCCGTCACCTCCAGCAGAGCCCGTCCTCGGCCACTTTAGGAGGCTGCCGATGGAAAATGCTCATCTCAAGCATATGGAATATGCCAAGCGATACAGTAAGTGAATAGCGCGGAACTCGGGCCGTAACGATGCATTCTCTTCTTCTAATCCCATATCGCAGACTCCGACGTTGTCTACTTCAATGTCCTGGGCAACCACATGATCGTGCTCAACAGCCAGAAGGCCGCAAATGAGCTTCTGGATAAGCGCGGGGCCAACTACCAAGACCGGCCGAGATTCGTGCTTTTTGATGTCATGGGATGGGGCTTGACGTTGACGTTTCTCCCGTATGGCCCGAGGTTTCGCTTGCACCGTTCCGTGCTCCAGACAGGGTTCACCAAGACGGCGATCACCAATTACAGACCGATCCAGGAAGATGAGGCCAGACAAGCAGTTTCAAGGATTCTTGCGCGCCCCAACACTTGGGATCTTTCTATACGACGGTTTGAAGAAACTCGATATTACAGAGCTTGACTGTGTTGCTAACGTGCAGAACAGATTTGCTTCCGCAATTGTTCTCCGCATTGGATTCGGTGTGATTGTGCGATCAGATGACGACCCCTATATCAAAATCGCAGCGGACGCCAACATGGCTACCGGAGGGGGAGGCAATCCAGGAACAGCTCTCGTTGACTACTTTCCTCCATGTTCGTATCCCCCCCCCCAAAAGAAAATCTAAGGTTATCGCAAACACGTCTACTGACACTATCCCAAGTCCGGTACATACCCGAATTCCTGAACTTTTCCAAAAGTCTACAACATGCGCGAAAATGGGGCTGGGCAATCCAGAATCTTCACGACATCCCCTTCGCCGCAATAAAAAAGGAATTCGTAAGTACTAGCCTCGCATTCATCCCGTGCTTTGAGGAATCACTTGTTACTGACAATCACCAAGGACGAGGGAACCGCCAACCCCTCCTTCGCGTACTCGCTTCTCACGAAGTACCGGGAAAATGAGGAGAATGGCATACCCAACCAGCTGACGCTCCAAGACATCCAAGGGGCATCCGGTGCGGTTTTTATTGCGGGATCTAACACGGTTCGTTCCCAGCCCTGGAGCCTATGATATGCAGACGCCAAGATGCTAGCGCTAACCCCTTTCCCGAGACCTTCGCAACAACCACCGTTGCCATCCTAAACATGATGCTCAACCCCGAGATATTCCACAAAGCGCGCGCCGAGATCGACAGGGTAGTCGGCACCGAGCGGCTGCCCACCCTCGACGACCGGCCGCACCTGCGCTACATCGACTACCTCGTCGAAGAGACCTCGCGGTGGCGGCCCCTGTCGCCCATCGGGATACCGCACCGGTCGCTGGAAGACGACGTGTACAACGGGATGTTCATTCCCAAGGGGTTCGTTCGCGCTGGACATAGGTGCCGTGAAGGTGATCGCTAACTCTCACGCGTCAGGACCCTGGTCTACTACAACACCTACGCCATGTCGCGAGACCTCAGCGTGTACAAGGACCCCGAGCGGTTCAACCCCGATCGCTACATCCCGAAGCAAGACGGGGGGGACGAGGAGCCCTTTCTAGTGGGGCCGTTCGGGTTTGGTCGCAGGTAAGTGCCAACCTGCCTAAGCTTCAGCCAGGAGGGGTTGCGTTGCGTCGCGACAAGAAAAAACGGTTGCATAAGAGACGAAGTTCTAATACGCAATTCTAACCTAGGGTCTGTGTTGGACGCCACTTAGCACAAGCGTCGGTGTGGATCCTCATGGCGACGCTCATAGCGACCACCGACATATCGCAGCCCGTCGGCCCGGATGGTGTGCCAATTGAGCAGACTATCACGTTTAGCACTGGCCTCTCGAGCCACCCGGGGAGGCTGGATGTGGTATTCAAGCCCAGGTCTGAGAAGGCCCAGAGGCTTCTCGCTGAGGCGGTCAGGGATACGCAATGAGTTTGGAACATTGTGGAATTCTGTAAGCGTTTAGGGGGTAATTGCGGTCTTCTGAATGTGTAGGTAGGTATCTAGGTGCTATGAATACCTAGGTAGGTACCTAACAAACGATTTTTGTTCTTCATTTTCGTCCGAAAACATCCACGCCGGCAGTCAAAGCTTGTACAAACTCTAGGTCCTACTCTAGTCCTTCACCGACCTCATTGTCAGCAATATCTTCTAAAGAATGGCAAAACCTGTGGGCGAACATTGGAGAGTTGATATCAGTGGAAAGACACTCAACATCTATCCCGCTCCCTTCAAGACCCTTATAAATAGCATCGAAGAGGGCTTTATCCGCTGCTTCGTCGTAGAAATCCTGTCCCGGCATAGAAATTGCACTGATGCCCTCCAGAGGCACCCATACCTTAGTCCGATCTGGCCTAATGCAGTTATCCTTGAGCCTCTGAGCTATGATCTTTCCCAGTTGTTCGCATTCCGAGGCCGTAGTTCTCATCAGTGTCACTGACGAGGAATGCTCGAGCAGCTTTCTGCGCGCGAGTTCCTTGGGCACTGTATTCCGGGGGCCAAAATTTACCATGTCCAGGGCGCCGAGGCTGATTATTTGCGGTATGCCGGCTTTAGAAGCGGCGGTGAGTCTGCTCTCGCCGGCACTGAAAACGCCGCCGACCAATTCATCAGCAAGCTCCGTGGTAGTCAGGTCCATGACGATGTCCAGGCGGCCGTCTTTAACGAATCGCTCCATGGCGCGGCCGCCAGCGCCTGTAGCATGGAACACGTATACTTCATAATGGTTCTCCTCAAGCAGTTTGCGTATAGCATCGGCCCCCTTTGTAGTGACACCAAACATCGTGAGGCCCGCAGCTCGCTTTCTATCCCTGGGAGTTGGCTGCATAGTTCTTTTGGCATATGCCTTGGCCATTCCCACGACTGCCGCAGCAGCGTTGTCTATCACTGCTCTGAGAATCTCATTCAAGCCCGCGATGTCAACTATGCTGTGCATCATCGTGATATCCGTCTCTGCGACGTAGGAACTCGTGTCGCTGGAAGCCACGGTAGACACGATTAATTTTGGGAGGGTGATGGGCAGTTCTCGCATGACCGCAGCAGAAATGCTGGTCCCGTTACTCCCGCCGAGGGAGATAATACCGTGAATCTCGCGATCTTTGTGAAGTTTTCCCACAAAAGCTGCGGCTACTCTTGCTATCGTCTTGATGTGCTCTGCTCGTGTAAGAGACTGCAAGTCGTTTTGATCCCCTTGGAACCGGCCATGTCGAAGGAATTCATCTCGGCGAATGAGTATAGCTTCATGCTCTGCCGCCAACCGACCGGTGTCAATTAACACGACATCTATTTTGGGGTCAAGTTTTAGAATTTGCGTTCGGAGGTAGAGAAGCTCCTCGAGTTTGGTATCGAACGTGCCAACCACTGCTATTGTAGTTATCATGTTGGGCTACGAGTTGCTTCATATATTATTTGGTTTGGATGGAGATGAATATACCTACTGATGCTCACAGGTATTCATTGTCCCTTGGAGTAGGCAAAAGACAGTGCCCGCCCAAGTGTAACACAGTCAGAACAGTGTCTGCTTACATGTAGAACGTCATGCCGCAGAAAGCATATGTACCTACCTACGCTACCTAGAATATCTACCAAAGTAAAACTCCGACATCATGTCCCTACCCCTCTATTCACATCCAAAAAAGTCATTCACCCTCGCTCCTCCTCTAACAACCATGGCTTCAACTCCCCGCCTGGAAGTGCTGCACCGCCTGCACTCTGTAATCTCCTCTCACCGCCCCATCGTCGGCGCCGGCGCCGGCATCGGGCTCTCGGCCAAGTTCGTCGAAGCCGGCGGCGCCGACCTGATCATCATCTACAACTCGGGGCGCTTCCGGATGGCGGGGCGGGGCTCGCTCGCAGGGCTGATGCCGTACGGCGACGCGAACGCCATCGTCGTCGACATGGCGCGGGAAGTCATGCCCGTCGTCCGCAATACCCCGGTCCTCGCCGGCGTGTGCGGGACCGACCCGTTCCGCGATATGCGGCGCTTTTTGAAGGAGCTGAAGGAGATGGGGTTCAGCGGGGTGCAGAACTTCCCGACCGTGGGGCTGGTTGACGGGGCGTTTCGCGCGAACCTGGAGGAGACGGGGATGGGGTATGGCCTGGAGGTGGAGATGGTCCGGCTAGCTGCTGAGATGGAGTTGGTCACGTCGCCGTACGTGTTCAACGTGGAGGAGGCTGTGAGTATGGCCGAGGCCGGCGCTGACATCATCGTCGCCCATATGGGGTTGACTACGAGCCAAGGGATTGGAGGAAAGACGGGAAAGACCTTGGATGAATGCGTCAAGTTGATTCAGGAGATCCGAGATGCTGTAATAGGAGTAAGGGAAGACATTATAGTGTTATGTCACGGTGGCCCAATCGCTGAGGTAAAGGATGCTGAGTACGTCCTCTCGCGAACAAAAGGGGTGCATGGGTTCTTCGGGGCCAGCAGCATGGAACGGATCCCGGTCGAGATTGCAATCACAGAAAACACAAAGAGGTTTAAAGAGATTCGTGTGGAAAAATGATTACCAGTAACTCACGAGAAGTAGTAGTTCGTGAGATAGAGTAATACCTAGTATTCTTGCTATACTCATGAGCCTTGCTTTCCGAATCATGGGCAGTTACTAGGATAGAAATCGATTGGACTTCGATAACCATACCCATTAAATGGGTTGGTATGTGTATATACACATATACATCCCTGCATATCCAAATACTTTCAGGTGCTATTAAAGATGGTATTTACGGCTAGATTGGGGAGAGGGAGTGAAAGATAGGGGAAGCTCAGTCACTAGGGTAGACAATATCAAACTTCTATTAATACAGCTTACGGCCCACCTTCACGCATCAAATAAGATATTTGCTAGCTATTCTAGAATCATTCCAATAACCAAACCTGCGCTGTTCTTATTCAAGCCACCCGTCTGCTGGATTCAGCCAGTACAACTCGTCACTCGTGTGTGAGCATTGCAACGGGCTATCGATATTGTCATGACTTCATCCACTTAAACTGTGTTATTTATTTCAACTTGGATGTCGCTGCGTACATGAATATCACTATACACTAGGGGGTTAGCCCCTATTGTCCGAGTGATATTATCAGTGTCGTGTTGCTGCGTCCGTGAGTGAGAAAACGCAGGATGTACGCTACCCCCTCCTATCTCCTCGTACCGCAGGGATCCTCTGTGGCTGGAAGCACCATCCTTATTACCATCCTTCAATATAGAGTTCCCAACTATCTCAACGCTCGTCATTGGTATATCGTCGTGGTGAGTGCTATATATCTTCGATGCATCCAGAGTTGTCGGTATGGTCCATAGGTGATTCAAGCTTGTGACGCGCTTGAAGCCACGGGCGCTTCGTCCTTCGGATGAACCCTGACCAACGTTCTTGTCCCGCATATAACTGCTACTTCTAGTCCTGGCCCTGAGCTTTTTGGTGAGTTGGGCCACGATTATGGGTAGGCATGCGCATACTACTGCCGTGGTCTCCTCGGCAGCCGTAAGAATTAGGAATACGGAAACGCCATCTGTCAATATGTGTTAGTGTCCAGATAGGTATGCGAGATCACTACATTAGAAGTAAGCCGGACACATGGAAACGCCGTGACTTACAACTTGGGTCGGTCTTGTCGTCAGTATCGATCAAAAGGTCAAGCACACGACCCAATTCAAGCAAGCAAGCGACCAGCCCGATGCCAAAGACAGCCATTAAACCGCGCTTTGTGCTCTTGTTTAGTTTCAGCTGAGAGATGGCCGAAAGAGGTAACAGCAAAAGGCCAATGTCGGAGATCAGACTGAATATAAGTGGTAACGAAACGTGCAGTACGTTTGTGGCATTACACTGGCCGTTCATATTACCGGGTATAGGTAGATGCGGGAATCTTTTGTAGTACTGAATGAAGTACCATTGTACGGGCTTGCACTGGAACAGGTAGAAGGCGGTGCTGCCGAAGAACCAAAGGACGATATAAACAAAGTTGGCCCACCAGAAGATGCGCAGCTTCGTGTTGCCTACCAGGAACAAACGTTTATAAAAGTAGAGTAAAGTCATTTTAATACAAACGAAGAAGCTGCTCATCAGTACCATAGTGATCCAAATATGCTATTTTCAATACGGTATAGTCAGCAAGCTAAGCAGAGATTGAAGCGAACATTGAAGTAGACAGCTTTATCTTGCATACCCTAAAGGTTTTTGACAAGTTCGATGGATAGTTGGGATCGCGCGCGATGACGGTACTTGTATGAAGGCCAAGCCCATAATGTGTAGCTACCATCAAATTTGCTATGATGGCATTCACGAAGATCTAGTGTTAATGGCCAGAATCAGTCTTAAGCATCTTATCACATACAGGATAGGTACTAGGTAGGTAAGTTGGGAAAAGGGGTAAGAACTAACCCCACTAAAAATGATCATTATGTCCTCTGTCATGAACCGCCAGCGACTCCTTATAGATCCCCACGTCCCCCATAATCTACCCGCAATGAACAAATCGTTTATAATAAGGAAGGTAATCAAACATCCCCAGAGATCAGGTTGCCTACTTTCGTTGATAAGTTGTTCTTCCTTTGGAGTGGGTGTCAGTGGAGGCATCGTGAACTATGTAAGGAAAGCCTTGATTAAGATCCAGTGTTTCTCTGTGTGCTTGCTATGATGTAAAGTCCGAGATTCTGAAAAGCAGAACGGATAGAGCTTCTTTACTAAGTAAGTAGATAGTTGTGACTCCAAGTCTCTTAGTGCGCTATGAAAATCATCTTTCAGCTTTTGGGGACATCAAGCATGATGCAGGTTCCCGCGTACATATCTTGGGGCCTTTCAGTGGTTACCTACCTTCCCAATCTCGAACAACTTCGGCCGAATAAGTGTAACATATTGCATTCAGCTTGATGGAAGGTTTCTTGGTATGGAAACCTCTCGGGAGACGCGGTTCTGGGGATCACTGAGTGCGTAAGTCATCTATTGTTACTGGCTCGCGATGTACCACAAATAAGTCTCAGTGTTGTCACTGTCAGATGGTCATGTACAAGATAGTATATACATGCATACATGTAGATGGAGTTTTAGTCTACTTACATGCCCATATAACTTCGTGCATGTTTTCGCTTATATTCTCCATCTTCTGGGCCTTTATGAGATATATCTAGTTAGTACTTTGACAAATGCTATAATCTAAGGTTGGAAGCGGTTGAAAATAGGTAATAGGGGAATGGGAGAATGACTAGAATTGGTCGGTGCGTGAGCGAATTCCAATTCGAGGTATTTGGGTTACCCAAGTTGGGTAACACAGTTACACAGGTAGGTAGAGATTGGACGGAATTAGACACGTCTAGAAAGTCCGAGGGTGACGCAAGTTTACATCTAATATCAACTTGTATCAACTTCAACGAAGCAAGAATCGAGATGCTTGAAAGTAACAGGGATATGGCGTCGTGCATGTAATTGGGGATGGCAAGAGTCACTGTCCTTTTGAAAAAGCATATATCCAGGAGCGGCAACTTGCATGAGTATTGCTGACTAGCGTATTTAAATACCTTGGGTAGGTCCCCATTATGTACTACCCAGTACCTAAGGTAACCTTGGAACTACATACCTACAATGTAAGGGTTTTTAACGATGTGTAACAGTAACGCGGCTGTTCCTACCCTACCCTAGACCCTAACCAGGTAGTAGGTAGTCATGGGAAGTAAGGGGAGCAAAACTCTAAATATTCATACAAGGTACAAGGCAACAAACATGCCAACATGATCATCTCAAGAACACTGAACCTTTAAATAGCACAACTACATATGTATGAAAGGTTAAAATGAGATACCCAGGCCAGAGAACCCTGATTGGCACAATTTGTTTTATGGAAATATCGGTGTACGGTTTTCATATCAATTTATCGCCGCATCGCCCTTGATTCCGAAAAGTAACTACCCTAAATTGAGGCATGCCTAAATGAGGCACCTTTATCGCCATTCTTTGTCAAGGCACACCTACTTTTCAATTTTGTTGCCCTGATCTTCTCATTTTCTGTTCAATCTTGTACTCTCGTTGCACTCTTGGTGTTATTATCTCCAACGCTTCCCCTTTTCGCATGTTTCGCTCCACGCCTCAGCTCGTGTTACTTGCCATCCTCAGTTGTAATACAGCGCCAAGACTTACATAACTTACAAGACTATGGCAAATGACAAGAGAACGTCCGTCTTCGAGGCAGACGAAAATGCAGTCTACCCAGCAACCAGTCCTCAAGACGATGGCAACCTCACAACTCATACGCCGCAGGAGGAGGCTCGCGTTGTTCGGAAGCTGGATCGGAATTTAATGTCCCTATTCTTCGTACTATGTGAGTGTGTATTAACTACTTAGTCCAACACAGTTTGGTTGCTCGTTGGACGAAAAATATTCTATGTCGATGGCGTTGCTGACATCCCTACGCCACCAAGACATGCTGGCTTTCCTCGATCGTGGGAACATAGGAAATGCGAGAATTGCGGGCATGGCCACTGAGCTTCATCTCGACAGTGTTAGATACCAATGGCTCCTTAATATCTTCTACATCACCTACATCATTTTCGAGTTTGGGGTCCTTCTATGGAAGATATTCCCTCCCCATATCGTCGGCACGGTCGTCGTGTTTGGATGGTGAGTACATTATCCACGTCGCCTTTTACTCCTCCATCTACTATTAAGGAAGCAGATAATTGACTGGGTACGTATAGGGGTCTGATTTCCACGGTACAGTCTGGCGCTCATGACTGGCATGGTATGATGGCATTAAGATTCTTTTTAGGTGCTTTCGAGGCCTGTTATGCGTAAGTGCTGGCCCATGGTTGTAAAAACGTGGGCATCCATTTTATCGCTGTGGCCAATATTGACCTTCGACAGACCCGGCATCATATTTCTACTATCATTCTTTTATCTAAGACATGAGATTGGATTCCGATGCGGTCTCTTTGCCTCGGCAGCGCCGTTGGCCTCGACATTCGCAGGTGCCCTCGCATACGGAATCACTAGCGGACATTCCCATCTCGCCAACTGGCGCTTACTCTTCCTCGTTGAAGGACTCCCCACCATACTCATGGCTGCGGTTGCCTTCTTTTTCATTCCCGACTCTCCCGAGAAGGCAAGGTTTCTGAATGCGAAGGAAAAGGAAATTGTCAGATCAAGGGCTATGCGCCAAGTTGGTACTGATGCCAATGCCAGAATCGGTGGCTTCAAGCTCAAGGATATTGGCCTCGTTTTCTTGGACCTGAAGGCCTGGCTGTGTGGGCTCATGTACTTTTGCGGGAACGTCACCTACTCCAGCTTGCCTGTTTTCCTTCCAACCATCCTACAAGATATGGGCTATACCGCAATCAATGCCCAAGGCTTATCCGCTCCCCCATCATTCGCCGCCTTTTTGTTCGCTTTGATCACAACCTGGATTGCAGACAAGACCCAACAACGCTGTCTCGTCATTACTGTCACTTCCATTGTGGGAGGGGCTGGATACATAATTCTTGCCACCGTTGAGACGGTAGGGGTTCGTTATTTCGCTACATTCTTAGCGTCTGCTGGAGTTTTCTCTACAATCCCTAATATCCTCGGCTTGACCCTAAGTGAGTAATTCGGAGACTGCACCCAAGCGACATATACTGACAATCAATCTAGACAACCAGGGCAGCGATACTCGACGTGGAATGTCCATCGTTCTTATCAACCTCATCGGTCAATGCGGTCCATTCTTAGGAACCAATATCTTCCCCACGAATGAGGGGCCAAGATACATCAAGGGCATGAGTATCTGCGCTGGTTTCATGTTCTTCTCGGCCCTTCTCGCTCTGGCCCAACGACTACTCCTAATGTGGGAGAATTCTAAGTTGGATCGCAAGTACGGCACCACTGTGAAGACTGGCAACGGGACTGAGGTACAAGACGTTGCCGTAGAAAACTATGGGCCCAAATTTCGATATGTTCTTTGAGGCGCCGTTCTTCAACAACTCGATGGCCAATATTGATCTTCCCCGATCTCTCATCTGTCGCCTACTTTCCAGGGGCATTTTGGAAGCATTCACACTACCTAGGTAGATAAGTATGGGATGAGGTAGTTAATTTCACTAGATGTTTGGTACCTCTCTAGTAGGTAGCCCTGAAGATAATGCGAATGCCTTGTCCAAGAACCATTCAAAGTTTCACAGTATTTATGACGATAGTGCACTCGATCACATTGAAGAATTGGGATCACAAGGTAAAGTTGCTGTAAAGGAGTATAATCAGCCTACAGTATCCAGAATAAATATGAGATACTAGGTAGCCTCCGAATATGTTCTGCGATTAAGGTATGTGGTATGTTGGTAATATAAATGTCGATTGCTTCAGCCTTAAGCTAGAACAAGCAGGAATTGACATCAACTTTGTTAATCATTGAATCTCTTTGTCTATTGCTGGAGACAAGGATGGCCAATATGAGAAAAACTCGAGATTGACAACCTACTGAGTACGTACCTCCTATGACCACCGGCAATTGCTCTGAAGTACGCCTGTTTCCGGCCGAATGCCAACCAAATTGCTAATCCAATCCTCTCCCCCTTTTAGCGAAGGTGCAAGCTAGCCCGAGCCCGGGACGATGGGGTTGGGCCGACTTGATGCAAACACCAGGTTAGGCATGATTTTTCTTCTTCTATCCATTTGCAGCATACATATGGCGAGGGCTGCGGGCAAACTCTGAGCTGGGGTGGTGGTGGAGGTAAACACGCGCAGTGGACAAGGCTTGCAAGAAATTATGCTCGCTGGTGCTCTCGCGGTCGCGACTTTCCCTTTCTGTGTGGTTTATGTGCGGCTATATCTGCATTTGCGCCGCTGGTATGATAGATTTGGCTTTGTTGCTGTATCAGCATATCACACAAGGGGCTTCATACGTTCAGGCGTTCAGAAGAGTAGGTAGGTATCCCGAGTTACAATATAGGTAGCATGCATCATATTATCCATTACGTGTTTATATCATGTCCTTCGGACGCGCATACTAAATACCTACGTACCTACCCACCCTCTATAAAGCCCCCAAAAACATATGTATGCCCCTTAGTCAAAAAGATCTCGTAGCCGGTATGTCGCAGTAGCCAGTCCCCGCATTACCTACCAACCTAATACCTAGCGAACAGCCCTCCCTCCCCAAAACACACCCTCACACGACGATCCCCCTTCCGCAGAAAGTAGCACGGCGTCGATAGACGGTATATGCCTATGCTCTGCCCCGCCTGCCGGATCAAAGGGAAGCTTCTCCCGGCGGAAGAACCTTTCCATGTCGGAGGGCAGTGCGTGCTGGTTTCTCGAGCCGGCGTTGCTTGTAAAAACGCTACTTACCGGGGGATACAGCTTTGAGGGGGTGATGCTAAAGGACGGCGAGGCGTCCGAGTGAGAATGTGCTTGGGTGGTGTGGGATCGCGATGGCGACTTACAGGGCTGGGAGGGTGCGTTCTCTGGTTCTGCGCTGCCTTGAACGTCAGGAGCGCGGCCTCGCTGGAGCTTCCGAGAAAGCTCGGTGAACGCGTTCTCGCGCTTCAAGGCTGGGGCTTTGAAAACGGCGCCCGCGCGGAATTGTCTCCTGGGCTTTCGCCTCTCGCTGTTGGTGGCCTTGTGCTCCATTTTGTCTTCTTTTGGGAAATTAAGGTGTGATGGTAGGTAGTTGTTTATCCTCGTTTCGGGGGGGTAGGTATCGAGGGGTGATGCGTTGCCTTACTTATATGCTTTTTATGTTCATAAATCGTTATGAGAGTATGGGACAATGCGCTCGTTCAGCTTTCAAAGAGGTCATACGAGACACAAAGAAAAGGGGTTCACGTGCTTACATAGTACAATGCTCCTTGTTCAACTAGTTTACCATGTCACGGATGACAGTGCACTACGACTAATGAAGCTTCTTGCTGAAGCCTGACGTTGAAGATACACGACATAGGTACCTAGGTAGCGGGAGGTGATGTATGAATTGATCTGTAGAATGTTACTGAAAAGATAAGAATCAACTCTCAACTACTAGGTATCATGAAAATTTAATGAAGACTTCCAAGGTGAAGTTCGGTTGATAATTCGTCTTATAGGCACTGGTTTTTATTGAGCCAATAAGAGCCATAGTTAGGTGTCGAAGTAATCATGCAACATAATAAACTTTTATCACACCAAAGATCCAGTAAGTGTAAATAACACTGATAAGTAGGTACCATAGTAGGTTATGCATGGTATAAAATATTTGTCTTTTTCATTTTGAAGCGTCTATTTGAAGAGGCTTCTAAGCTACTTCATCATCGCCCGTTTGCATCACTGCCCCCCCTAATCTAGGTACCTAGCTAGGTAGGTGAACTCCTTGTATTCCACCCCTTCCTACGAGACAGTCGTTTCCCTACGTTCCGGTACCGCCTTTCCCGCCAAAGCCGACTTCGCGCCGTCCATCTTCTTGGACACGGCGCCAAGAACGGCCTTAACCATGTCGTCAGACCCGAAGCCGGCAGGCCATCCGCGCCACGCGACCGTGTCGACGATGTCGCGGGTGTTGGAGGCTCTCCACATGTGGTCGTCGGCATGTTCGAACTTCTTGCGCGCTTCCTCGTCGTCACCGAGCTGGAACAGCATCACGCCTAGCTGGTGCTCGGGCGCCTTCATGGCGTCGAGCTCCTTGGCGATCTCGAGCAGGGGTGCCGCAAAGTCATCGGACGACACGCCGGCCGTGATGACGATGACGTTGAGCGGGGCACGCTCGGGGTCTACCTTCAGTTGCTCGATGTACCACGAGAGGATCTTCTTCAGGCGGGCGCCGAGCTTGCACCTGCCGCCGGGCTTCACCTTGCGGAAAATGCCCTGGGCGCTGACCTTGTCGGCCCCTTCACCTTCGCTGTGGACCTGGCCGATGTGGTTGTAGCCTGACTTTCGAACTGACATGCCTGGGAAATAGAATAGGGGTCGGTGATTGACGAAGTAGATGTCGATTCCGTTGTCGTCGTATTGGAGGCACACGGGGGCAACGGCCTGGATTAAGGCTGAGACATCACTCCATTGCCTTTCCATGTGCTCGGAATCGTCGATGACGAAGAGGGTTTCGAAGTACTTTAAGAAGGAGAGCAGCTCGGTGTGTTCGGTCCCAGGTGCCTGGGGGACACCGGCAGTGTCATCGTCGTTGCTATACATAGCCGCGTTTGCTGTGATACTCATGATGGGCAGATGTTTCGCGAATATTTCCAAACCAAGGAGTTGAGGGAATGAGGAGGAGATCGATGTTTCGGCAGTTTGCCTAACGAAGTGGGTAACGCAGCCAAGCGAGCTGTTAAGTAGGTTATATAGGATGTAGGTAGTAAGTAGTACGCACCTAAGTACGTATGGCCCTTGTTGAGTGTGGAGAAGTATATGCGTTGACCGACATTTTAAACCTATAAGATGTGTACAAATCTCTACGAGCAAGAGATGCTTGATAGGTTTTGAGTGAAAAATTGGGCTTGACGCGGCCTGGGTCGCTGATCATACATCCACGGATGTTAAGGCTGCAGTTTTACGTACCACCAAATATTGAATCACTGGTAAATCACACACATGGAGCCCCTGATTACATGTATGTACGTGTATGTATGAGATAGATAGATGAGTCCGAACTTGAGGGGTTCAGTATAGTTAATCAGTCTGCATCGTTTCCGATGTGATTCACTTTGGTTATATTTCAAACATTCTCTAGGTGTGTGGTAGGGATTGAAGGGTGGTGTGTTTGTTTTATGTTGAGTGTTCAAATGTTACTACTAGTACATATGTAGTATTCAACGGTTATGTAACTAACGTATTGTACCTAGGGTACCCTAGATACTACTAGTAGTAGATGCTAGTAGTTGTGTGTTGTGTTGTCGTGTTAGCCCTGCACCGTCGCAGCTGCCCTGAAGATGATACATGTAGTAACATCTGCGGGGTATACTACCGCGATAGGCTATGTCATCCATTATCCACAGGCATGGATTTGTCGATCCCTTAACCCCGCAGCCCCCCAATAGCGCCTTTATCTCCCAAGCATTAAATTTAAAATCCGAAATAAAAAACCCAAACCAAAAGACCAAAAGACCAAAAGATAAAACAACATTGACATCGTCATGCTATACTTCAAGCGAACGCGCTATACTCAGTCGACTCATTGCGCTCTTGCTTGACCACACGATATTGAACTCTCGGTATTGTCCGCGCCGGATCAAATGGCAAGAATATGGCCACAGCTATGACCATGAGCGCGGCGTCAAGAGCAATAAAGTAGGCTTCATGCATCATCAGATACCCTGTCCATCCCTCTACAAGCTCTATCGCTCGGAAAATGCTGCGCACGTATATGGCAGCCAGAGAGATAAACAAGGCCATGAGTATCTTATTATACTCCCGAGGCATGCCCAACTTGGAGGATCTTCGAGTGAAGTCGATGGCAAATATGGTGAAGATGGTCATAGCCACCAGTTGGAACATGACACCCGCCACCATGATATTGGTGCCAAGTTTCGGATCTTTCTGGGAGCCAGCTGCCATCGAAGCCATCGCACCACCAGCGGCCTAGTTGCGTGAAACCCCACGATCAGTATTCTGAAATCCATTTAGAGTGGAAGATATGGCATTTCTGCTTACCTGGATGATGAGTGATATGACATCACATGTCATGAAAATGTATGTGTACATCTTCGCGGACATTATGCTGTAATGTCGTCCCAATACGTTGATGAACATTCCCAACAATACGTATAAAGCGCCCGTGAAGAACACCGGCCCAATGATTAGCGTGGTGATTTGTATCATGTAGGCCCTCTGGTTATACGGGCATTCGGCAGACCAGGTGCGTCCAATCCATCCGATGAGTTCAGCTACGATCACAGGTGTTAGGTCTTTTCATTCGACATTCCAACTCAAAGAACACATACTCAGGGCACCAATACTCAGCAATACTGATGTCGCTCGCCTAAGCCGTATCGCCTGCAGAGTATGTCCGAAGAAAGCAATTCCAAAGAGAAGACAGAATATTATTCCTGCAGCTAAGCTAGGTTGGTAGCCATAGGCGAAATTATACCCGGGAATGGGTTCTTTCTGGCAATTGTTCGGGTTTCTGAGACCCTCTGGCAAGGAGTTGCGGTCGACCATGATTGAATAAAATGAGGATATGACAGTAGGTATCTTAGGAATGGCCGAGAGTTTATTGAAGATGGGATAGAATACAAGCACATGATAGAAGGTCAACCCATGGCTAACAGCTTCTAATATACACTTCACAGTTCGACCAGAAAACAAGAGACCATATAGCCAACAGTCAATGCCTCGGACTCCTATTCGCATCAGCTACTGCGGTATCTATCATTAACTACCTAGGTCCCTAGTTTTGGGGCTGAATACAAGGCATCCAAATAATTTCAGCCGCCTTCAGAGGCCCTACTCGGAATCTCGACACAGCCACCTTGTCGCAGGATTGTCTAAAGCCACTAGGTTAGGTCACTCCAGCAGACTAGCCTAGGGGGTACTAAGCTTAAGTAGCTGGTTGGGGCATACTATTAGGCTGCAGTCAACAACGGCGATGATTGATGGCTTCAAACTCGCAAGTTCGACTCAATCCAAACATAGAACAAAAGTGTTATGTGTAATAGCTTCGTTTAATTGCTATGTTGTCTCCTGGTGATGCAATAGGTCGTGCATTGCCGATGAAGTGGTCATGGACACTAGTCTTACTTCGACGCTATCTTCTTACGACATGGAGGAAAAGGTAAATGAATCTCACACACATCCTGATTTGGGGCCGCCGTATAACTTGAATGGTAAGATTGTGTTATCGCTCGCTGGGAAAAGGAATCTTTTTAAACCATCAAGTATCACGCACTACCCTAATACCTAACGTACCTATCTATCTAGGTATTCATCACAACCCGCTGCTGCTCGAGCCAGTACGAAGTCCTGCAAGTATTCTGCAACCAAGATACACTGGCGACCGCCCACTAACCTACCCTCTTATGCCAAGACCATTTTCACCATTGCCTGGTACCAATACTAGATATGAGGGCGGCCTTATACGGACACACAGCTCGGCCCTTGATTAATGGGCCGCCCGCTAGTGTCCCATGGCTGTTGCGGTAGGTCCCCTGCAGACCGCAAATTCGGTGGCTTACCGAGATAAGTGGGTATGTCGGGCCCGAGTTGCGCGGGTTGGTCAATAATGGTTAACCGGGGTTATAGTATTGATTGGCTTTTTGCTGAGGCATGACTTTGGGCTCACATCGAAGCAGGGTAAGCAGCTAAGGTAGGGGATCTGCCTGCCGGATACCCCTCAACCACTTGAGGCGTGGCCACGCTGGTGAGCTAAGTACTTTTGTCCGGGAGCCTTCCTCGATACCTTCGCTAAATTGCAAGGGGTCGCTTCTACCTGAGGCTGGATTATCACTTCAATTATGTAGCCACTTACTTCCAAGGTTCCTATAATAAGCCTCATCGAAGGCAAAACCTCTGTACCAAAAATCCATTGCTTTCCCTGCATCTCCTACGGGGCACATGGCTGGTCTTTTCCTGCTAGTAAGGTACGAGAGGTGCGTGTCAACAATAACTCCTGCGAAAGGGTTTATTTCAAGTGTTCATGGTGAAGATCTTGGCCTGATAGATCTCAATCTCAGTCCCTGTAAGATGGATTTTACGTCACATGGTGGTGCTCCAAAAGAAGGAGGCTGCCGCAACGTGATATCAGCAGCTGAAAGCTGAAAAGTCCCCTTATAAGCTACTCCAAAGCCCCAATCTTTCTGGTTATTGCAGTATGCAATTTAATCTGTAACTTTCCCTAGTTTTCAACACTCATCTTCAAGCAGTTACTAGTGCACAGGAGAGAGGAATATCTATTATGGCAGCCCCCACTATTACACAGAGAGACATTGGTACAGAGACCGAGGACCAGAGGCATCGTGTTTATGAGCATGCAGATACAGAGACCGAGGACCAGAGTCATCATGTTTATGAGCATGCAGATATCGGTACCGCATCCTCCAAGACTTCTTTGTCGCAGCGCGCCCCGACTGTTCCCATCGCCTTGAGAAGCTGGCATATGTATCTCAATGTGGGCTTGGGCAAATTATCATACACGAACGTCCTCGGGCAGAGGAATGAGTGTATCCGCTCTCAACTAGGAAATATGAAGAGCAAAATCGACCCATTTGGAAAGATAATCAGCGATATGCCGATTGGGCTTGACGTACATGTCGAACACTCCGTGTACTCGACGTTCCCTTACCCTCCTATGTTTAGGAATTTACTAGAAGAGCAGAGAGCGTTGCCAGTCTTCCGAGAGAGCGAGGAGAGCAGTGTAGAAGCTCGCTCCACCCCAGCGGCTGCCAGCCAGCCCGACGGAGATACGCAGGCCACAACCCGTATAAAAGACTGGGGCGTCAGAAATTGCTTATTCGGCATTGTCCGGGCTTCAGTCATTGAGATCGATAACCAGGTTCAGCCAGTTTACGTGGTCATTGGTATATTCCCACGCGGCTATACCACTCCGCGGGAGATGGTTGTCTTCGTCGAGAACCCCAGTCACCTCTTCTGGAAACTCCAATGGGCGGCCTTTCGTCTGCGCGGATTGACCCGCAGCTTGTTTTCTCTCAGGCATATCAAAGAGTTTAGACTATACCATGTGCGTATCTCTCCTGCTGAAGGCATTTCGTATTCTAATATACGTATTTACCTATCGCATACTTAGTGTAATCCCAAAAACGGAACCCACGAACGGATCAGGCTTGACAGCAACGGGGTGGCAGATTTGCAGCTGCTTCTGGACGCGTACAAACAGTGGCTGACCCCCAACTATATTTCGCGGAACTGGGCAAAATGGATCCACCAAGTGATGAACAACAACTCGCATGATGTGCTGCACGGTTCATATTCGCTCGAGCTCGTGTTAGGTTGGTCCTCAACTAGGATATCGGTCGTAGTGCTCCTGCCCGTACTGCTGAGTCTGGCGATCGGCATATACCTCAACTCGAGCAATTGGTCAGACCTGGCAACCACACAGACTGCTTGGGGTACTGCTTCGTTTGTCGTGACTGCGGGAGGTTGTAGGTTCCCCCCTTAACAGAGAGACCCTAGTCTCTTCAATACCTATATGTAGCTAACGAGTGACAGTGACGGCGGCATTACTAGGTATATTAAGTAGTATTGCGGATAAATGATGGCAAGACGGTTGGACTTTGCCATACAAACGTCAAGAGCCAGACGATAGGTACTATCTAGGAAAATGAGAAAGTTTGATATTAAGGGCGAGGTTAACAAATGCAAACACACTTCATTGCTCACTGTGTATGGCTTAACTTGCGGCTTGCTGCAGGAGTAATCGAAGACATACATGCTTAGTAGTATGCAGTATTGCAGTATTATGTTACAGGGGTACGTCTGCCCAGACATGTCTCTGCTTATGGTCAACCCCCATTTGATTCCACTGCGGGGATTAATATATCTTATGGATACCTACCTACTTAGGTAGCCATTCAGAAGATAAAAAACTCTTACTCCTTCATCTATCGATGTAAATGATATTGCTGGTTGAGCTTTTATGATATACCTGTTGTAATAGAATTACATTCACTTCCTTACGATTTCATAAATAAAACTCAGAGGCTCACAATGGTGGGCCGGACTAAGGAAGAGCTGGAATCGTACGCCATCGTGGATCCGGCCATGGCAGCAGTGAGTGGCCATCTCATTTAAGAGTACCTATATGTCATCATATCTCATACAAAAGATATATACCTAGGTACCTACCGATGTAATAAGGAGGTATGCGAAGACTCGCTAATGTATTAAAAAAATTCCAAGATAGCAGCCAGTGAGCCTCTGCGAGACCCATTGCCCACCGACCCGTACTACGGGGATTCCTCCTACGCGGCCATGCGCGCGCACCGGGCCACCACTTTAGCCGAGAAGCACCATCTCCGCTACATACCTGGCCCTATCCCGGACCAGGTCAGCGAGGAAGACCGCAAGATCCCCGTGCGCGACGGCTCTGAGATCACGGCGCGCATTTACCGTCCCGTCCAAAAACCGGCGGGGGGCAGCTCGTTGATCGTCGCGTACCATGAGGGCGCATGGAGCATGGGTGATCTCACTGACGAGGAGACGAATTGTCGGAATTTTACTCGGGAGCTAGGGGCTGTGTGTGTCAATGTCGAGTACCGGTAAGTTGTAGCCCTGGAGATAACTCTTGTTGAAAAGTGGTCAAGGGGTAACTTTTCAATGTCAACCCTTCTCAACCGACAACAACAAGCAGTTAATAGAGGATATGTACTACTAGACTAGCACCAGAGCATCCGTTCCCAACATGGATTGAAGATAGCTGGGATGCGCTGAAATGGGTAAGCTTTTACCCCTTTCCCTTTACCATACACTTACCCCTATGTAGTTAGTACTTATAAGCCCCCCTTAACAGGTAGCGCAAAACGCAACATCCCTCGGCGCCGACCCCTCTCTCGGATTCATCGTCGGCGGCGCCTCAGCCGGGAGCAACATCAGCGCCGTTCTCACGCACATCGCACGTGACGAGAATCTCAGCCCGCCGCTAACCGGCCAGTACCTCTGCGTCCCAGCCATCCTCTGCTTCACGCCGCCCGCGCTCGTCTCGCCCAAGTACCGCGCCGAGTACCTCTCGCACCCGGACGTGACGACGAGCCAGGACGCCGTGATGCGGATGGCGAACGGCGCGCAGGCGCTGGAGCTCATCCACAGCGTCCTGCACGCGTCGTGGGCCGACCCGCGATTCGTGCCGTTCCTGTACGGCGCCGCGAAGGGCGCGCACCGCGACCTGCCGCCCGCGTACTTCCAGGTGTGCGGGGCGGATCCGTTGAGGGACGAGGGGCTGATCTACGAGAAGATATTGAGGGAGGAGGCGGGCGTGCGCACGAGGCTGGATCTGTATAAGGGGTTTTACCACTGCTTTTGGATGAACTGGCCGCAGATGGATAAGAGTCGGGAGTTTGTGGAGGACACGCTGAGCGGGGTGAGGTGGTTGTTGGAGCAGAAGAAGACGTAGGAAGCGAGCGGTAAAGGTGAACGCATGGATGTGTTTAAATCACGATCTGTATAATGAAATGGTTCACGATTCATTACTCTACTTCACCATTGACCTCCTTGTCACACCCCTTTTCCTGGCCTAGGTGCGACCGATTCACGCAACCTTGGAAGTTCTAGAAAGTAAAGATTTGAATGACCTCCTAAATTGCCCACAAAAGATGTATAAATAGATCTCCCCCCCCCCCCCCCCCTCGTCATATTTGCATGATATATATAGTATTCCCTTGTACTTTCAAGCTTTATATCCATAACCAGGATTCATAGAAAGGGCGTTGAAGGATCGTTCGAAGCTACCCTCCCAACTCCGCTTTACGGTGATCATTCGCGCCCTTGTCGTCACACTGTAAAAGACCTGGGGCAGCTACCTACTTAATGTGGCAATTAGAGGAGCCAAATATCTATTATTAGGCTTATGATTCGCTGCATCTCCGCATTATTAGACGGCATCGGATCTTTATACGACGACATAGTACAAAGGTAATCACCTACCCCTGACTTCGATCAGGGTGATGTAATGGCAAACGTACATAAAAGCGGCGAGTGACGCAAGGAAAACGAGCCAAAGAATCTTGTTTGGATGCAAGAAACATTAATCATTACCTTAGATATCTTCAAATATTTCGAGCCATTTTACGACATAATCCAGCATAAAAGAAAGAAAACAAACCAAGAAGATACGGAGAATGGCACCTGAGGACAAATACCCCGACTTGACGGGCTTCAAGGCTCTAAGGTATATGGAAGCCCCTTTTCCATCCCACACGCATTAGCCAAAAAAAAAAAAGAAAAAAAAAGACGTTAACACCACCTCTTTAGCTTTGACTGCTACGGCACCCTCATCGACTGGGAGACCGGCTGGCAGAACACCGTGCGGCTCCTAACCTCGCAGCTTCCCCCAACCCACCCCCTCAACACCGACCCTCCCACCGAAGCGATGCAACGCCTGCACACCATCACCAACGCGTACGAGCGGAGCCACCCCAGCATGCCATACAACGAGCTCCTCGCGACCTGCATCAGCAAGTTCGCTATCGAGGACCTGCAGCTCCCCGGCCTCTCCGACAGCATCGCCGAGCCGTTCGGCAACTCCCCCGGGACCTGGGCCGCGTTCGGCGACACGGTCGCCGCGCTGCAGACGCTGCACCGGCACTACAAGCTGGTCATCCTCTCGAACGTCGACAACCGGAACATCGCCGCCACCGTCGGCCGGCAGCTCGCGCCCGCGACCTTCGACGCCGTCTACACGGCGCAGGACATCGGCGCGTACAAGCCCTCGCACGCGCCGTTCGCGTACCTGTTCGCGCGCGCGAAGAGCGACCTCGGCGTGGACAAGGACAGCAACGAGCTGCTGCACGTGGCGCGCAGCCTGATCGCGGACCACGTGCCGGCGAAGGAGCTGGGCCTGCCGAGCGTGTGGATCTCGCGGGGGGGCGACAGGAAGGGGGGCCAGGGGATTGGGGGGGACTATGCGGCGCTGAGGGAGAAGGTGGGGTTTGGGTGGCGGTTCGAGACGCTGGGGGACTTCGCGGAGGAGGTCGAGAGGCAGTTTGCTATCAAGGCGTTGGCGAAGTCGTGATGGACCCTTGAAGCCTCGGGAAGGCTGATGGGTGGGTGGGTGGGTGGACAAGGGGTGACACTCGAGGCCATGGGCAAGAATGGACACAGGAAGGGAATTTGTGACAGCAGGATGGGGAGAAATGGGGGGGAAAGGGGGGTGTTTTAAATAGCACACTCCATACCATTAATACAATATCTCTTCCTTACCACCTACGTCCCTACCTACCTACAAATACTCACCAGAACCACCTCCCCCTCCACCTCCACCACCCATCACCACATCTCCCTCATCATCCGCCCCACTAGTCTCACCACCACCACCACCACCTCCCCTTTCTCTTCCTCTACTCCTCCCACTTTCCCGCCTGCTCCCATACCCCCCCACACTCCTTCTCCTCCTCCTGCCTCCCTCTACCACATCACCCGCCCTCCAGCCCTGACGCATCGTAATCGTCTTCAAGAACCCATCGACATGCACGGCGCCATGCATCTCATCCTCGCTGTCCACCTCCTCTCTCTCGTCGCCCCTCTTGGCAGTACTAGTGACCCCATGCACGAGCCTAAGATGGCGCACGAGGTTCTGCCTCCGCGCGAACCCCTGCCCCTCGGTGGCGCGCGGGCACGCGGGGACCGTGCACGTGTGGTACGGCGCCGCGGACCCGACGGAGCGGGATCGGCTGCTGCGCGATGCGACGGGGCGGGAGACGCTGCGGGAGCGCGTTGGCCTTGCCATTGTTCGCGAGGGCCCCGCTTCGCCGTCCGTTGTCATTCCGCCCGGCGCTGGCCGGATAGGGAGCTGCAGCTCCTGGTTATTGTTTTCTTCTTCTCCTTCGTCTTCTTCGTCGGGCTCGAGGAGAGGCGGGTACGGCATCCCGGGCACATACGCAGTCGTTCTTCCGGGTACGCCTCTGCGGGCGGGGGGCGCGGCCTCGGGGAGGGTGTGCAGCACCATGCTCTGGCCGAAGAGGTCCGCACACCGCCGCGCGGCGCGATCGACGGCGTCGGCGGGGAATCCGGCTAGGGCCGCGGCGCCGAGCACGTCTCGCCAGTCGCGGAGGCCGACGCGGGTTCGCATTTTCGTTGCATCCCTCTGCTTGCCCGTCGCAGACGTCGAAGAAGCACGGGACGAGGGACGGTCGTTCCCGTTATTACTTGGAACCCTTTCCCCCTTCCGCTTAGCTCGCGCGCGAGGCGAAGGGCCAGCCGTTTCCTCGCCGTCCCCGGAGTTGCCGCTGTCTCTCCTGAGTTGCTTGTCGTCGTCGTCGTCGTCGTCGGAGAATATGGGATTGGGCTCCTTTCGTAGTCTCGCGACACGGATTGCGAACTCCCGGTCTGTCTCCCCTTCGAGGCGCGGGTATGTCTTCCTCGGCCTTCCTGCTCCCTTTTTTTTCGCCCTGCCCCTTTCCTCGTCTGTTTCTGGCGGCGGCGCTGTATACTCTCTCGCTCTCGAACGCCCGCGGCCTGGGGTGTGTGACATGGATCCCGGGGGTCTGCCTCGCGTCTTACTCCTAGTGGCGGGGGTCCGCGAGCGTTGCCTGGATATTGCCCTCCGATTGTCTGGGCGTGACGAGTCCGACGCCTCCGAGTCTGTGGAGTCTGACTGGTAGTTTAGTGTGGCTTCTTGGGCGTTGTGAAGAACCCTAAGTGTTGCGTCTAGCTTGGCAAGGATGTGCCGGACAGACGGGCGCATAAGACTATATGATAGATCGTCATCGGTCGAAATTGTTGGCTGGAGAAGTCGTTGATGAGGCGGCAGTTCAGGCTCGTCGTCTTCTTTAGCATCAATATCCATTCTCTCATCCCCACCAGCATCCTCGCGCTTCACAGACTTGGACCTTGATCTTGATCTAGACTTAGACCTCGTAGATGTAGACCCCGCCGTCTCCGTCCCCAAGTCTTCCTCCGAGTCCTCTTCATCGTCATAATCCACCTCCTCCGTTTCCTCTGCCCTAGCATCATTAGATACATCCGGTTTGGCCCAAGGTCTAGCGTTGAATTTTTCCTTAGCCACCTTCAGGACCTGCGCGCTGAGCAGCTCCTCCAAAGCCGAGCTCGGCATCTCGCGCACAGGCTTCCTGAACGTGAACCTCTCATCCGGATCGTGCAACCGTGCTGCTGCCCTCGGGTGATCCTGCAACGGTGGCGGGACTTTGTCCGCGAGCATCGGCCAGGCAGTCCATCCGCGTTGCGGCAGCCAGTCATCTGGCTGCACGAGTTGTCCGGTCGTCGCGTTGATGTCCTATTTCCTGCCATTAGTATGTTTGTGTGTGATGCACTCTTATAATAATTGTAATAATTGCGCTAAGCATTCACTGAGATCTATTTATTGCAATCAGCCGATTAATGAATCAATATACCTTTCCTGCCACCGGTCCCCCCACCACCTTATCCTGTCGCTTCCGATGCCTCTGCTTCAGCGCAAACGCCGTATACAAATGCACGGATAAATCCCTGTCGCCGATCTCCTTGAGCGCGGCGATTGTGTCTATTTCCTCGCTGTTATGCTGTTGCCATGTAGACTTGGGACCGCGCCATCGGTTTGGTCGGTCCTCGTCTTCATCTTCATCATCGTATTCGTGTTCATCAATTAAATCTTCAGATTCGTCGCTTGGTTGGTATGCTTCGGAATCGTCTGCTACTGCTGATGCCATGCCATGCCAATATAGTGAACACTAAAGTTTTTCCCTCTCTTTTCTCCCCTTTTCATTTGCTGCCTGGCGGTAGAAATTGGTTGTGTAGATGGTAGGTGTTGAGTTGAGGATTTGAAATAAAGTGATGAAAAGTTCACAACCGAAAAGCATCAACGAGAATTTTAAAGTCTCCATTCTCTTAACACCAAAACTGTACAACTACTATCAACCATGACCAAGCTAAGCAAAAAGCACAACTCAATTATGAGGTTATTCACATCAATCATATTCACTCATTTTTTTCATGCACAAGACAAAAATAATATCTCGCAAAAAGCACTCTCTGGTATTAATTCAACATTTATCTAACCTTTTACGCCTTCGTCTTAGCCTTCTCCTTCTCAAGTTTCCTCCTCTTTTCTCTAAGCTTCAGATCTTCTGCACTCTTCTTGTTGTTGGTATACTGCATCTGCTCAAACAGCTTCCTCTTCTTCTTGCTAAGCATACCCTTAGCTCTCTCCATTTCTTCTGCTTCATCTTTGGCTTGCTTAGCTAGCTTCTTCCTTGCCTCAGCCTTAGCTTTAGATTGCGCATTTGAAGGAGCCTGTTTGATCGGCTTGCCCGTCAATTCAGCTTCCAATTCCCGTTGATACTGTTGCTCGGCCGCCTGCTCATCGTCCTCAGATTCTTCCTCATTTTCAGCCTTCTCATTCTCCGAGAAGCCGCCAAATGAATCATTGTCACCGTCATCATCATCAGACTGCGCGACATCCATGCTGTCGGCCATCTTCTTCACAGCAAGGTCATCCTCATCTTCGTCACCCTCCACCTCATCCTCAGCCACCTCATCATCGCTATCTCCGAGGGCTTCGCCCTCGGTTTGTTGCTCATCCAGTGGTATTGTCGGGTCGTACGCCCCTTGGGTGTTCTGTACAAATGGACTTAGATGCGGCGGCAATTGAGCTCCGGGAGCATAAAGATCCGGTCGTTTCATTTCACCATCATTTATGCTATCCCAGACCCATTGTGGCTGAATGTAGACTCGCCCAGGCATCCTCTGGTTTGCTGCAAGTTTCTGAGATGTCTGATTGTCCTCAACATCCGCATCATCCTGGTTAGTCGCCTGGATTACTGGGCGATCGACTATTTGATGCGTGATGGAAGGATCGCGCTCGTTCGTTGTGTATGACCCCTCACCCAATACCGCATCCCAGCCGATTCGCTTGCAGCCGAACGCGCGAAGAATGAACTCTAACGGCTGTCTCGGTGTTTCTCGGGATAGGTAGAATGTGCAGTTCTCAAATAGTAACTCGGGTTCAGCGCCTGAGTAACTAGGTTGGGGAAGCACATCACCGCCCGGCGCAGCGGGCTCGAACTTGTCAATCGCGTCGGTTGCCTCGTCCTTGTCAGCCTCGGTGTCAACTTGATCAGCATCAACATCTGCCTCTCTCATTTGCCGAATAAGCTTGTTCACTTCAGCCTGTGTCTCTGGGTCAGGTCCAGCTTCCGCTTCCTGGCTCGTTATTTGTGCCGGTGCTTCGTTTGCAGGGGCAGTCACAAGGTTGCCCTCAATTTTGAAAGCACCGAGTTCACCGCCTTCATCGTCTTTGGCCTGGTCAAACTTGGGAGGGTACTTGAGACCGATGGAAGTGTACAATCGGAAGTTAATGAACCCCAAAAGGGTCATATAGAACTCAACGAATGTGCCCATGATCCTGAAATCAACGTCCCCTATGACTCTCTGGTTGAACTTGTAAGGGGCAAGCCATAATATATCCTCGCCTTGGATATTCGCCTGGTAGTAGATACCCTTGATAGATAGGAAAGATTTGCGCAAGTTCTGCGACACGATGAGGTAATGTTGAAATTCGAGACACAACCGTTCGCAACGTGCAATCATCTTGGCGGGGACTGATGATGTAGATGGGAGGTTGGCAAAGAGGAAAAGCATGGAGAGACAGTCGTCAAGATCGCGCAAGGCATCGACGAAGGTAGGATAGCGTTCTCGGATGACATGATCAAGAGTGTATCGCGGTTTGCCCGTCTTCTCAGGTCTCGCGGCATTGCGCTCGAGGCGGCTTGCGTCACCAACATCTCCGCGACCAAGGGCCCTAGATATCTTCTTTTCAAGGACCTTTTGCTCTCTGAACTTTTGTAATAGAGGTTCGTGTAAGAGATACTGGATGTCCTTGGCGTAGTAAAAGGTAGTCGAGGCCGTGGAGCTTTTGGAGACCTTCTTCTTATTTCTAGGCTCTCTCGGAAAGATACTAAGGTACGGTTAGTAGTTGTACGATTATTGTGATTCTCAATGTTCAATGCTCAATGTGCAATGCTCAATCCAAATGCAAGAATCACTTACCCTTTCCAAATACATAGCTTTCGAAAATCCGGAAGACTGATCTGAAGTTTCTTCACAGCGTGTGTTCGAGTAATGTAGTTTTTGGCATTTCCAGCCTCGCCCTTCTTCTTTATTCTACCCATTGTTGCGAATCCAGTATGTTTGCTGGTCTTGAGTCGATTCTGTTTCTGATCGTGGAAATAATCAAGCGATAAGGCGATGATTTATTTTATCGAATAAAAAAGCTTTAGAGGGGCCTCAACTTTTTTTTTTGCCAGCCAAGATTTGCCAGTCTTGACCGCTTTCTGGGGTCTGAAGCTAATGCCAAAGTAAGCTTAGCTTGATAGTAAGAGCATAGTTATCGATAAGACTAGCTGTCGTTGAAATAGGAACTGGCAAGGGTTGCCTCGCCTAGAATCGCGCAGCTAGCTAAATTGGAAAGAGCCAAGAAAGGACACAGAGCACAACTTGAAAGTTGCCGACCACTGCTAAAGGTACCTGTCTACATTTGACCACCGACATTCATTAATCATTAATACTACCAAACAACCACAGACAACTCGTGTGAACATTTACAATAATCCTCAAGTTTTGATAACTTGAGTACCTAAACCTCTCCTTAAGCCATCTATGACGATGGAATTACATTATGAATCACGGTAAAATGCATTTCCAGGAAACAGCCGGTCTATATGCCGCTGCTGCTCTGTTGCGATTAGTACTCTTCGCTTTCTTTCCTGGACTTCCAGATCTGTTGACTGCTCGCGTCGAGCTTTCAACTGCCGTGACAAGCTTCAAGAGACGTAAGTAGCAATCCAATCATACTTACTTGGGTAAGATATACGCAAACATGTATCCGGAAGCTCACCATATATGCAGTGCAAGAAGGATTGTTCCTGTATAATCACAATGTTTCGCCGTATGACGGCGGCGTGTACCATCAGGCGCCTTTACTCCTCCCACTTTTCTCGCTGCTACCAGACCCAGCGACCTATCCCATATTCGCATATATCCTATACATAATAGTCGATCTACTAAGCGCCGATGCGCTATACAAAATTGCCGAGTCGGGCGAAGCGAGCGCATCGAGACTCTTCACCTCGGCTCGCAAAGAGAGAAAATGGAGCGGCTACATTGTCGCAGCTCTGTATGACCATTCTATATACTCCTATATGCTCCCGTATGAGTCTCATGTAGCTCTCTACTGACTGCGCATTTATCTAGCTTTCTTTTCAACCCCTTCACCATCGCGACATGCATGGCCCGTCCGACTAATGTCTTCACCACATGCGCCATCCTCCACGCAATAGCAAAGGCCGTAGCCGGCAACCCTTTTACCTCCATGCTGGCCCTATCCTTCGCGACCTACCTCTCGATGTACCCCATATTACTCTTACCACCCTTGATACTTCTAGCATACGATAGGCAGCACGCGTCGAATAGGATATCGTCCTTACCACAATTCTCTGTCGTCAATATTGCAGCAGTTGCGCTCCAATTGTCGATCTTATTTCTAGGCTCCTATCTCCTTAGCGGGTCCTGGGAGTTCCTAGCCTCAACCTACGGTATCCAATTAACATTGACCGATCTTACACCAAACGTCGGGCTATGGTGGTACTTCTTCGTCGAGATGTTTGACAGTTTCCGTGCGTTCTTCCTAGGTGTCTTCTGGCTACATCTTTCGTGCTACGTAGGCGGGCTCTCCATCCGTCTTCGCCCGCAGCCACTAGCCGTGCTTACACTCCTCCTGGGCATATTTGCTATATTTAAGCCCTACCCCAGCGTTGCCGATACGACGCTATTCCTCGGCATGGTGCCACTATTCAGGCACGTATTCCCGCTCTTGCGGTACACCTTCGTGACCACGTCCACCGTGCTCTATTCCACCTTTTTGGGCCCTGCTTTCTACTACCTGTGGATCTACGCCGGCAGCGGCAACGCAAACTTCTTCTACGCCATCACCCTCGTCTGGAGTCTTGGCCAGAGCCTGCTTGTTAGCGACCTCGCATTTGCGCTACTCCGTGACGAGTGGGAGGTTGAACGCCCTGAGATGGTGGGGAAGGAAATCCGACAGATCTAGTAGATCGCGTTGGTGCTCGATTCTTTCAAACCTGATCAGCGTTGTTTGTACGATTTTTGTCGGGGAAACAAAGCCCCTGAGATAGACAAAGTAGACTTGGCTGGAGCATTATAATCATAAGGCAAAATAAAATGTCATAGTCGTTATAGAATTCTAAGGTTACGCATAAGTTCCCTCTGGAGTGAGTGCTCTGATCTCTTATTGTGGGTGATGTGCCACGTACAAGTGGTTGGAGAGCTTTAGTTGTTTTAGCTGTACCCCTGAGTCGAGGTACTAACGTCAGGCATGAACCCCCTTTAACTTTCAAGGCTCATGTCAGGGTGTGCAATGGATAACTGATTTACGTGTTGGGCAGGTGAGCACTAGGTAACATTTCGAGGACATATGTACCTACACCTTCAACGTGAAGCTACTCATTCATCTCATCTCAGGCACGCAAGGGATACGCAGGGACCTAGTATCTACCCCTGAGGATCGTACCTATGTAAGGCGACTTAATAGGAACAACATGATGGCAGGTTTTATATTACCTTTTCCCGGGGATGCATGTAAGGAGGCATCATACGCCTATCTGTCTGCTCTCAGGGGCCACGTTATTATCTCTATAGTATGCGGTTAGTTCCGCTCACTTCGATCAAACAATGAAGGTGGGTGGGTGTCAGGGTCGGAAAATGCCTATCCCCTATTCCATAGTATGTAGATAATAGACTGCAGATAGGGACACGGCGGCGACCGATGTGTCGTTTGTCTTGAATGTTCTGTGATCCATCCACACGCACATGCACATGCACCTGCACATGCACATGCACAATAAACATAACCTGTTCACATGGGACCTATTGGCATCGCGCTTCTGGCCATAGGAGTGGTATATAGTCGACGACAATCTATTTGCAACACAAATGCCTACTACCTTAGGTACTTAGCGTATGTACCCCCTAGGTAAGTATGGAACAGAGTCCCAAGACTCCTATATCCATCTACCTGCTTGACTAGCCTATATAGGCATATAAGTCTATAGCGATGAGCCTCAACTACCTCGACACTAGCCTAGGTACCTACAACTTATAGAGATCTATATCACATGCCTATATGTATGTATGTAACAAGAAGCAACGTTAACAACCCCACAGAGAAGCTATTCAATATCCAATGTACAGTACAAACCACACCTACCTAGTACCTCCCTATGTACAGCAACAGCGCGACAGCGCAACAAAGCCAAACCCACAGTAAAAAAAAAAAAAAACCCCTACGATCCTTAAGGATGCGGGGATCCGCAACTAGGTCAGGTACTGGGCCTAGCCTACAGTCAATAGCTTGCATCCATCTCATCTCAAATTCCATCTTGCATGACTCGAGTTCAGGGTCAAGCGAACCAACTTGCGATGCAATTCCGCACCCAATATCTACATACCCAACTAGGTACGATATCCTCCGCCTCGGAATCCATCGTATCCTATCGTGCCGTGGCTATCCACTTCCTGCGCAGGTACCTAGGCAGGCATACATTACCTAGTAGTCCATCAGCCTTCAACACGTCCATCAAAAAAATGCCACCACCACCACCAACAACAACTACAACAACAGCAGCAGCCATCGCCATCCTTCGCCCACGTTTAATCCCTACCTTACCTACCTAATTACTCCTATTCCTAACACTCCTCCTAACACCATCCTCCTCCCCTGTCTTCCCTCTCCCTCCTTCCAATTCAGCTTACCTAAATACCTATAATTAGTCATCTCCTGACATATTATACCTACCTACCTACCTCATAGTAATTCATATATCGGAATATCCCGCACTGAGTCTCTTAACCTAGTCATTTACCATCCCCCCGACCGACGTCGACGGCATGCAACTCGCAAATTATAACCTCAAGTCCAAGTATCCACCTCCCTACCTACCTACCTATGTAGGTACTTACCTACCGACATGTAGCCCCTGATTATGTAGGTAAGTGAGTTAGGCTTCGATCATCGTCATTACGTAGGTATGTACATGCTACCACCGGCAGCTGTGGCAGTAGTAGTGGCAGCAGCAGCAGTACCGAAGGATTTACCCGTCTAGTCTAGAAACAGTACCTATCCCGCGTTCCTACGGTGAAGACGGCTCACGCGTGTTCGGGAACAAGCAAGAATTCCCTGTTCAAGGATTGATTGGTAGTGCGGCTGATTTTTGCTACTTCCGTATTAGCGGAACTTCGCTGACTCTACACTACACGTATTCGTTTTCCAGGGCAAAGGGTCAAAAGTAGCTTGTAGATCATATATTCAGTGAATTTCTAGCCATGACTCATTCATCATATCGTGAATTTTACATCCCCATCATACGTATATGCAAAGTCGTGGTTCCCATGGAGAGCCGCGCTTGGCATATGACTAAGGGTCAAACCCTAGAGGCCGACTCGGCTACCGAGTGCATTTTCTGCAGGGCGATCAACTAGGCTGAGAATGGACATCAACAACCGTAGCTACATCCCATTGTACTCGTCGAACAGGATATTGCCTAAGTAGGCAAAAAACTGTTGTTAGGCTGCTCCCAGACGGGTAGCCCTTCTAGCAGCGATCCTATCTCTCCAAACTGGTGTAATCCGGTCTGATTCTCCTGGACGGGCTCAAACCGATGCGTGCTCGTGCCGAAAGGCGAGAGTGCTCGGAATAACGCCACAGCGCCCAAGGCTGTCACGCTCGCGACAGCCCCTCCGACCGCGAGAATCAGCTGAGTCGAATCCTTCACGTCATCATCCCCATAACCCAAAACGCCGCCCTTGCGCCACCTGTACCAGGCATCCCCGATGCCCGGGGTAGCGTCTAAAGATCCTTCCGCAAACCGACCAATCAGGTCGAGGGCGCCTCGTGGTGATGGCTCGAGCCAAGGTAGATCCTTCTCGTGACTCCGAGAAGTTACTTCGTTCGTGAAATCCAGCAACCTGGTAAACGACTTCTCTAGCACAGTTTTTAGTATGGGGTGCGGCGTCTGCACTCGCATCAGTTGCAAGTACCCGTAGACTAGGAAATCAAGAGATGATAATTTTTCTTCTCGTAGGAAGAACGCCTTCTCCCCTCTAAGTTGATTCAAGACAGAGTAAAAATCCTCTGCGAAATGCTGGAAGCGGATTGCGGCTGTATGTTCGGGCTGCATGGTCCTACTAGGGCCCAAACGATCCCGGATCCGGAGAAACCCAGTAGAGAGGGTTTCAACACTTCCATTGGCAGAAGACTCTTCGTCATCTACTTCAGCCGCAAGGTACCCAATGCCAAGGTGCTCAGCCTTCTCAATGGCAGTAGCGCGAACGGCTGGGGGTTCTGTCCACGTGAGCGGGAAAGGAAGCAGGGATGAGTAGGCTGGCCTGGTTATATCAGCCCAGGCTCTGGGTGAGACGTAGAGCGACATTGCCAGGAGGCCCGAGCCGCGGGTATCTAGAAACGAGACACATGCTAGGGAATCAGCCTTCTGCAACGGTGTGAGGTCATCATCAATCTGTAAGAGCCCCTGTTGGCTTAGATACGAGATGATACTCCGATAACCAGAAGTCCAGGTGCCTTCGTGCCTCAAGGCCGGGAGGCGGTCTATCCAGGTTCAATTAGCTCCGTGTCTTCAGGCTTGGAGGGGGTATATTTGACGTGCTGATCGCGAAAATCACGTGTAGGTAAATTTGATTAGGAGGCATGGAGTAGGAGGGGGGTATGTCCTACAATCTGGGCTGATAGCTGCGTCATTGGTAGCAATCAGGGTCCAATGTTGGCGGGGAAGGGATTGACGGAGACATGTAATGGCGGCTAGACATTCGGGGTCGATAGAGTCGAGGCCAAGCGCTGGGCCCCAAACATGTAGTTCCAGGACCATTGGGGCTGAATATTAGGTACCTCGTACCTAGGAGATATACGGAATAATGGTGGCTGAAAATAGTGTATGTTCCAGACTGTATTGTTCAAAGGTTACAGGTTAATAGTATGAATGATATCGGCTGGGCTATGGATAAGATCAGCTAGAATATCGGAAAAGCTAACCGCCCAATAGATAAGCCAAGTAATGTGATAGGACCGAAAGTCTTGTCGCGGAGGGGGACATCAGGTGTTCGCATGGGAAACGAAAGGACGGAAGTCCGTGCGCAGCTGCTAAGTGCTACCTAGGTCCACTGGTCCACTGGTGACAAATTTCATACGGATGATGATCTGAAGATGGCACTATCCCGTCCGAGTGAGAATTTCAGTTGATCAGTCGATCTTCCCGTTATGGTTCTTGGTGATTCTTGGTCTTAGATCTGGAAATTGCATGCAAACCTGTTCTATGTGCAGTAGTGTGTATGTGCATGTACATATCAGTGGTGCATTGGTGTAGTGGTGGTGTACCTACAGTTTAGTGGTGTTGTGGTAGTGGCTGTGGTGGTTGATGATGGGAAACGTCTCGAAAATCATCCCCACGTTTGGTCGTCGTCGCGTTTCAAGGGCCTAAACTAGTTGGCACGTGGTGATAAGTGTTAAAGGTAAATCATCCTTGAAGAGCTTTGACGTCATGGTTAAAACATCATCTATAACAACCAACTTCCATTGGTTATTAGTTATTGGTAGTCGGTCGGCCTTACTTATTTCAAGTTCAATTGAAAGGCTGTGCTCGGGAGTCGGCGCATTGAAGGCTACATACTACTACTACTAGTAGTACTATCTAGGAGGTACTAGGTAGTGTATTTTTTAGAACATTTTAATCTCGATTATTCAAGTTTCTAAGACTAAAGGTATCTATTTTTGATTTTTGAAAATTAAAACTTTATCTAGCTTCCTTTATTAGATGTTTTAGTACCTTCGTTGGTTTCCTTTTTCCTTCTTTTTTTTTCGCCTCCCCCTGATGATCCAGGGGGTGGCGAAAGAAGAAAAGAAAAAATGACGAAGTAATGTAATGATGAAAAGAACTACATACGACGTAGCATTAAAAGGCATTCCTTCTTAAGATCCATACCCTAGGTTAGATGTCACATCAACTGTAGATATCCATGCTACCTACATATGTAGGTGCGGAATTGGTTAATTCAAGTTCTGCAGGAGCCGATCTTCCCGACAATCTAATCTACATATATGTTGCTCGAACAGCCGGCGTAAAAATTGTTCAGTCTAGTGCAGGATGGCATATGTAGATATCTTGTCGGCTTGTGTCTGCCAAGCCGAATTTGTTTCTCAAAGGCGAGTCGAGTACATATTAAGGTAGGTACTTATACATTAAGTATGTCTCAAGACCGACGAGTAACAAGTTCGCTAGGACGATATACGTTATACATGTCGGCGCTGGTTAATCCCGTTTGGGCAGTAGGGGAAAAAAGAGAAACAACTAACGTTCCTGAAAAGATACGATGACATCGTACGGACGGTGAAGGAAATAGGCCATACGAAAATCCCCCGCAATCGAGTTTAGAATTTCGTGCAGGACGGGTCACGCGGTACCTATAGTACGTTACCATGTTTCCACATAATTTTAATAATTTCCCTGAAGAATAATAACCGTCTTGATATAACTTTACCTAGGTTAACTATACTAGACTCCCTAGCACTGAGTAGCAAGACAGTAGACTAGGTAGGCAAGAAAAAGTATTTCTCCGTCGAAAATTGGACGGAGAAATACCTTGCTATTAGGCTCCGTTAGGCTTTGCTTAGTTTGCATTGCGGACTTCAGCATTATCTTGGAAAATATCTTGGAAATCAAGATTGTATGAAGGGCAGATCCAGAGCGGGCTCGTGAGGATTCCGCCCCACTCCGCTTGGCCCGCTACGGCGCTGCGCTCCGTTGTCTTCGCGGGTTGCGGAGCTATGTACAGAATGTATGCAGGTATTATACTAGGTTAGGTATGTATGTATATACCTACATATACATACATACATATGTATGCCATGTGTACACACATATGTACCTCCATACCAACTCAGAGTCCAGACTCAGGTTGCATGTTTCCACTGCGGCAGTACGTCCGGTACTCCTGGTTGGGCACCGGTATGGCATCGGTATATGCAGATTATCAGCTCCTTTTCCATTGCTGTGTTGCCCGAATAACGTCCAACATCAGCTGATATCGACTGTCTGTCTGACGTCGGCGGAATTACGTATGTATAGTAGGTACGACTTTTTAACGCATAGACCAATAACTACATACCTTTTATGCTTCCCGGTATGATGTTATGGCGCCATGGGGAGCTGAGCGACACGCGGAAGCCAACGGACATACCTGTAAGTTATGTATGTAAGTACTACCTACCTAGGGTGCATGTATGTAGGTATGAAAACCTGCACGAGTCATGGCCACTTTTACTAAGATGTAACTACTTGCTTAATAAGTAGAATTGGTTAGACATACATATAATTTACGACTACATACCCAGTAACACGTAACACCGTAAATGCGCTCGCTTTCCGTGCCCATCCCGAGTACCTGGCTTACGGATGATCTAACGTCTAGTGTTGTAGCCGGCGACGTGGTTTTTGGGCAATACAAAATCCAGATCCCGAAGCACCTACCAAGAAAATGGGCTTAGAATTGTGTGTGTTTCTTGCTTGTAACACGGGTGATCGTCAATTATTTGTGACCTACGATGGTTTTATGATGTAAGGGATGTTCGAAGGACCACGACAGCCCCTCTTTCTCCTTTCTAACCTTAGTAACCTACTCTCTTTCCCCTTAATCCCTGGCGGGCCGCAAGTAAACCGAATGGCGTCTTAACCAAGGTGTCGGGAGTTGCAAATCTCGAAACTCCATGTCCCAGAATCCAGTCACCCAGATTAGCTCTTCTTCACCGACTTTGCATTTCCTTGCATCCTACTGTAGTAAAAGGTAATGACTTGCATGATGATGGAGTTCAACTCATTTAGTTCGTTACCTACGTAGTGACCTTGGGGCGATCCTAGCGTCACCTAACGACTTAGAGCCTATGACCTAGGTAACTAGGCAGTTAAACAAGCTGCGATTGACGGGCCAAGCCAGAATTCATGACTCGATCCAAGACCGAGGAAAGACAAGTCACTCAAAGCAAAACCAGTGGCACAAATAATAGGTTGCGAAAAAACTGCCGTACAGACAATTTGATTAGACTAATTGCGTTGCGCAGTAGCATGAGTAAAAATAGTTCAATTCGTATCGTTCCAATGGGCTCGCCTGCTTTATGCAGATCTCCCCGTATCATCCGTGGTTGTTCCGTTCAACCAATCCTCCATAACCGTTCCCCGTTCATGATTTGACTACCTCCAACCTATCCCGTGGGGGGGTTTATATCCAGCGCATACCAGGCTATGCTTTGCAAAACAAAGCGCCGTGATAATGCGAGCTCTATAGTACAGTTGATTGCGCAAAAGAAAAATCCGTAACACCTCATGTTCGTCAGGAGACCCCTTGTCTCAATTCCAAATAGCCATTGATAGTATGCTTCCCATGCGTTATTGAGCGTGTCCAAGTATTAAAAATCATCTTATATCCCATAAAATAATACAGGATCAAACTGCCCCGGGCATGATCAGAGAGAGAATGTATGGCGGAAGTGATCCTTGGAGCCAGCTCGGAAGGTGCGGAGCATCAAACGTTAGGCGATATGTATATTAGGGAGATCGCGTTGCGTTGTTTCGACGATGTGGTACGTTGGCGACATCTTAAGTGGCATGGGTCGATGCTGCAGTTTGCCGTTTGCCGTTGATTAATGTTCATGTCGATAGACGCAGGGGTTCGCGCGCATGTACGAGGTTGCGGCGAATATCAGGGGGCGGAAGCAGGAACTCTTCCAGGCGTGCATGAAATGTAACACCGCAAATCTGCAATCGCGTGCATACCCGGATGCGCCCTTGAAATGATGAAAGTCGAGAGCTGGAAAAGGGCATAATGGAAGTGAGCGGATTCCTATGAATTCCTCCTCGATAAAATCATCCTATGATCGTCCGGTTTCGTCCGTGCTGCCTTATTTCCGTTCTATGCTGCTAAGAGGCTATTGATAGCTTCTGTATCGACCCAATCGTTGACGGTTGGTTCTGATATGACCGAGTCATCCAAGACTCGATCGACGTTGACTGGTAAGTTGATACCATCCTTAACCACTCTTGGGTAGAGGAGGTAGGGGTCTGCTTGGGGGAGGACCCGGGCAGGGAGGGAGTTGAGAAGGTCGCTGGGCAGGCGAATCGAACTCAGAGATGGCGGCCATTTTAATAGATGGTTTATGAATAAACAAGTTGTTATAAAACTTGAATAGGTAGAGTAAGAGTTAGGTTGACTGAGAGCTTGCTGTATATAGAATAGCAAGTGCCTAGTTGAGAGAGTAGGTTTTATATGGCTTGAGTGTGTAAGTGAGTTTGAGTGCGAGTGTATGAATGTTTATATCAAGAGATGATATGATATGATAGTTATTTTGGTTTCTTGTTGGACTGTTTGTTTGACTGTTAGATGAAGCTGGTGAGGGACCCTGGGAAGAAGAGGGAGATGGTGGCCTTATGTATGACAGTCGTCCTCATAGTAAAGAACGAAGTGCGATACACCTTTCCATTCCAGGGCGCAAACTAATATCAGCCGGTACATTGTACATCTGGCACTAACTGGTACGACTAGTGTACAATACTACAATGTAGTTACGAAATTCACCGCCAGACCAGGAAGTACATCCATTATGGATTGGAAAGGTATGGAAAGGCATGTAGCTTGCAGGTACTGATTCTTAATCTCGCAGTAAGATTAAGGTACGGATTGGGTATGGACGGTACTTAGTCTAGCCGTGTCGTGACCTTCACGAGTGAGTGACAAAAATAATCCCCCCAATAACCCTGTAACTTTGCAATCCTGGTAAGGGCCACAGTGACGCAGCCCAAAATGGAGACAGGGGTATTGAAAA